CATGAAGCTTGTTCCCAAAGTTCAGCCTCGCCTTTTTTCTCTTTAGTACTTCCTAACCGAGTACGTAGGGTAAAAGAAAGGGTCGAACGGGAAGGAACAAAAAAAGAGCTGATTGATCAGATTCCTCATTCCAATGCGAATGGGATGGCCGTGAGGCTACAGGCGGGTAACTCAGTCAGATGCTAGCGATCTTCGGATCCAACGGCGCTGACACAACATGAGGAACCCTGGGTCTCGTTGGAGATAAAAACTCAAATGGGCTGGAAATGGCTTAATCACAATGGATGACCACTGCCTTGCAAACCACTTAAACCAGTGGGCTATGCGGGTGGGTCAATCTGAAATTGTGTGACCATATCCTGACTCGGCAATATCTACTCAAGGCTCTGAGAGCAAGTACATAATGGCCCTTCCCTACTATAAACTCCCAAGCAATTGGTGGCCCCGTTCGGCGGGTAATTACCACTGTTGCGCCCCAGGCTCGCCCCGAAACTGAGAATGACCTAATGCAAATTAGCGTCTTGTTTAATTTTGGATCGTCTCCTTTAGGGGAGACAAAAGAACTAACAGAAGAAAAAGTTGGATGATAATTGATGAACTTATGGCCTAATATTTCGGCCCAACAGGCCAAAATAAGGCCCTTCTCTCCCATGTTGGCCGATATTGTCGGGAGAGTAGAATCTCGCGGTCCCTGGACATGTCGGTTGCTCACAAAACATTTGTCGATACGCGCGCTGTTAGTTTTGATTTAATTACCCAAGTTTTGAGGTACGACCGAATTGCTCCAAAACAGCATTATTCGCTCCTCTGCCGCCCGTAGGTCCCAGTGTACTTCCCCGGAGCACATGTTGTTCCAAACCCTTGATTCCCTTAACGGAATTGCTCACAGGATGAGCTCCGCCCATAACGGTGGAAACCCCAATTCTCATAACAGAATTGCTCACAGGATGAGCCCCGCCCATAATGGAATGGCTCACAGGATGAGCCCCGCCCATAATGGAATTGCTCACAGGATGAGCTCCGCCCATAACGGTGGAAACCCCCAATTCTCATAACAGAATTGCTCACAGGATGAGCCCCGCCCATAATGGAATTGCTCACAGGATGAGCCCAGCCCATAATGGAATTGCTCACAGGATGAGCCCCGCCTATAATGGTCTAAAAAGTGCATTTAGTATTCGCATAAACGAATATTATCTGCCGCCGAAGTCAAATGACAGAAGCTCCGCCCCAAAAAGTGGAGAATTGAAGTCAAATGACGGAAGCACCGGCAATCTCAAAAAGGAAAGCCTTCCAAAGATCCTCTGTGAAGTGGAAAGTCTGGGAAATTGTATAGTTGTAGGTAAAACTCCCGCAACTCAATCGATTCTCTCGTCTGACCCCTCAGAAATCGACAATCTGGCAAAGGACCAGGCCGACTCCCAGGTCTCGTGGAAGACCATCTCTGACCATAGAATTAGAGGTGGCGCAATGAGAGAAAGAGTAAGGAACGATCCAAACGTTTACACGATGGTATTATTGAAAAAGACAAGCGACTCCCAAACCGTCGTGTGTCAACTACAATATCCAACAGATAAACTGGTTTGTTGTTACCACCGGGGATGTGAAACCCGTTCCCAAGCAGGACTTGGAGCGGAAGAATTGAAATACTTGACTAGACATTTGGAAAAGGTCCATGCTGTCAAAAAGGTCAAGTGGACTTACATTTGTACGATCTGCGGGGAGACCCCCAATGAAAATCTTGCATACCCGTCCAGATGGATGAAAACGCATCTGGAAAAAGTCCATAACAAAGAAGCCGAAAAGAAATTTAGTATCGGAAGCGGTACTAGATCTCGAGCGGCCAGTGCACTGAATGATTCAGCACCATCTTTAGCACCTCCTAGGAAGACAACGTCCAGAAAGACCGAGTCCAAGGTGATAGAGTTTTCGACTCCTGAAAAGATTACAGAGTTGGAAAGCAAGATTCAAACGAGAGGAGTGGCAAAGTCCCTCAGTGCTCTGAAAGAATCGGTAACAAAGAAAGAAAGAGAGGAAGTTGGCCAGAAACCAAAACTTGCTCCTATCCTTGAAAAAGCTGAAAAGAAAAGTGCTCGGAAAAGCCTAGCGAATGTTCTGAAAACGGAGACAACATCAAGTTCCAGAAACAGCTCTATCGGAGCGGACTGCGACCTGAAAATGCTGACCGGAATTGAGAGAATAAAAGCGGCTCGAGAGCAAAGCTCAAAGCAGGCTCGCCTTTCTATTCAGAAAAGGATGAGTTTGTCAGCAGTGGGAAAATCTCCAAAAAGGGAGCCACAAACAAAGGAATTGGAAAAAGAAACCATTCCTGATCCAGTAGTGACGACAATGGAAAACCCCATTGAATCGGAAGCGCTGGAAGAAGAAGAAGACCTGAACAGAACTTTTGTCATCGATGATGATGATGAAATAGTCTCGAGAAGGTTCAACACATGGTGCCTGGACCATGAAACCTCAAAGGAGGCATGGTTAAGTGACGACATCATATTCTGGTATCTGAAGCATCTTTTGCGCAAAAAAAGCACAAAGTATGAAACTTTGGATCCAATTATGTGGGAAATGTACAAAAGAGAAGGAATCATGCTCATAAAGCAAAAAAACTTTGGAGCACGAAAAACCTACTTTTTTTCCCAGTTTGCGAAAAATAACCACTGGATCCTTTTTGGTGATAAGCTTAACTGGAATCTGGTACGCAAACAGCTTCCTACGTGAACCCGAAGGAAAAAGTTCAACAGTTTATTGAGGAATTGGGGACTGAACGGAAAAAAAGTTCGACACTCCAAATCCCTGCCAGACAGATGGCATAAACTGCGGTGTTCATGTATGCCTGATGGCAAAAATCATGTCTAAATGACGACTATTGGTATACCGAAAAAAAGAGGTCCAATCGTTCCGAAAAAGATGTGAAAAAGATGCTCAGAGCAAACGGATATGACCTGTACTCTGAACAATACCGTGATTTCCACCAAACAGATGAAACCACGAAAAAACCAGAAAGTCCAGAAAAAGTGGACACTTCTGAGGTGTCAGTTGAATCCCCAATGGATATTCCACATGTTGGTCAACCGGAAGAAGTGGATAGAGTTTCCATCCCAAAACTGATGGACCTAAAACTCGAATGCCCTCCACATCTTCTACAAAAAGTTGCTCCAAAAGTGGTCAAACCAAAGGAGAAACCCACTAAACAGATGGGTAAAGCACGCAAAGTGCCAACTGGAAAACCAGAGGAACTGGTCGTGAAAGTACGAGAATGGTTCCAAAAAGAGTTCCAATCGTACATTCAAGACGGTAGAAGCTTCCAAAGATTGGAGTGGATCACCGACGTCCTGACAGCCGCCATACAAAAGGCCTCTGTTGGGGACACCCAGGCAATCGAGAAGATTGTGAAAAGATGCCCACCCTTGGAAGTGGAAGAGGGTGAGATGGCAACGCAAACGGATCCAAAAAGGATTCCCAAGAAGGGTAACAGCAACCCGACTGGAGATGGTGACAGCCGCAAAGGGCCACCAGTCTCTCAAAGGGACTCGTACTGGCAAAACCGGACGAAGACCTTTAACCAACTGATCGGCAAAGAATCGAAGCAATGCGAGATCCCGATCAGTCAACTTGAACAGTTCTTCAAGAAAACCACCTCTGTCACAAATGTAACAAAAGAGGTTCTGGAATCAAAAAGTTCCAAAATCCCAAAGATAAAAGTGGGACAGTGGATTGTAGACCCATTCACTGAACAGGAATTGGCAGTTGCTCTTAAGAAAACCAAAGACACTGCTCCTGGAGTTGACGGACTGAGATACCATCATCTAGAATGGTTCGATCCTGATCACAGAATTCTGACGCCCCTGTACAATGAATGCAAGGAGCATCGGAAGATTCCGTCACATTGGAAAGAGGCAGAAACGATCCTTCTATACAAAGGAGGAGACGAATCTAAGCCCGAGAACTGGAGACCAATCAGTCTCATGCCAACCATCTACAAACTATATTCGAGTTTGTGGAACCGAAGAATCCGGTCAGTGAAGGGTGTCATGAGCAAGTGTCAAAGGGGATTCCAAGAGCGGGAGGGTTGCAATGAAAGCATTGGAATCCTTAGAACCGCGATTGATGTGGCGAAGGGCAGGAAAAAGAACCTGTCAGTCGCCTGGCTCGACCTTACCAATGCGTTCGGTTCAGTGCCACATGAGCTCATCGAGCACACTCTGGAAAAGTATGGATTCCCAGAAGAAATCGTCCACGTCATAAAAGACATATACAATGGGGCATCCATCCGAGTAAAGAGTAAAAATGAAAAGAGTAACCAGATCAAGCTGAATTCTGGGGTGAAACAAGGAGATCCCATTTCACCAACGCTTTTCAACATGTGTCTAGAAGGTGTCATCAGAAAACACCTGGATACGTCCTCAGGCCACAAGTGTCTCAAGACAAAGGTCAAAATACTGGCATTTGCGGACGACATGGCCATATTGTCTGATTCCAAGAAACAACTCCAGGAAGAGTTGGAGAGAATGGATGATGACTGTACCCCACTCAAACTCATATTCAAACCGAGCAAATGCGCTAGTTTGATAATTGAGAAGGGCAAGGTACGACCTGAAGCACAAATAATGCTGAAGGGTGAACCCATTCGAAATCTCGCTCCAAAAGACACCTACAAATACCTGGGGGTCCAAACAGGAGTCGAGACTAGAATATCAGAGCTCGAATTGCTGACCAAAGTCACCAAAGAGCTGGAGAAGGTAAACACAAGCGACCTAACTCCACCACAGAAACTCGACTGTGTAAAGCTTTTTGTGCTACCGAAATTGACATATATGTACGCCAATTCGGTACCAAAGATGACAGAGTTGGGTCAATTTGCCAACATGACGATGAGGGCAGTAAAGGTTATGCACTCAATCCCAGTCCGAGGATCCCCGCTAGAGTATATCCAAATACCAACTAGTAAAGGGGGACTCGGCGTTGCGTGTCCAAGAATAACCGCAGAAATCACTTTCTTAGTGTCCACAATGAAAAAGTTGTGGTCCTCAGACCAGTACATCCAAAGACTGTACCGGGAATATCTGGAGGAAGTGACCCGAATCGAAACGGGCAAAGATCAGGTCACCCTAGGCGACCTGGCGGCCTATCTCAGCAACGAGATACCAATCGATAAAAAAAGGCGTTCGGTTTCAGTTGTTTCACAAGACTACGCGAAGTATGCAACAGTCTGTGGAAAAATCAAGTCCGCTCCTTTGCATAAGGTGAAAAATTGTTGAGTTCGATGGTGAATTGGCAATCTCCGTACAAGCAATCGAGAAAGGCAACGAGAGAATCTTTACCAAAGAGAATGTAAAGAAACTCCAACAACTGCTAAAAGGAGAAGTGAATGACGCTCTCTCTCACAGATTCACGACCGAGAAAGTTGTGAAGAGTGAGGTAGTCCGAGTCATCCAGCAGTATCCCTCAGTGCAACAGCTTTGTCAGAAAAGGTGGCAAAGTGAGTCGAGCAGCACACAAATTTGTGCACAGAGCTCGCCTCAACTTGTTGTCGTGCAACTATAACACGTACGACAACACAAAGTCAAAAAGAATGCAGAAGATGTCATTATGAGAATGAAACTCAGTGGCACATCCTACAAAGTTGCACTTTCGGACTCCCGAAAAAAATCACTGAAAGACATGACGCAGTGCTCATGAAAGTGAAAAAACTCATCGAAGCTGGTTCAAAGAAAGACTGGAAACTGAAAAATAGATCAGGAAATACCAGGATTCACCAGACTTCGACCAGACATCTACATGAGAAGTCCAGATGGAAAAAGAAATCATCATGGCCGATGTAGCCTGCCCATATGAGCATGGTGTGGAAGCCATGAAAAAGAAGCTGGGACAAAAAGGTTCAGAAGTACTCTGACGGTTTCAGCAATCTCAAGGCTCAGGGCAAAAAAAGCTTACTGTCCTACCAATAATAGTTGGATCTCTCGGAAGTTGGTGGAAGCCCACAACTGACAGTCTGAAAAAAAGTTGGGAATAGAGGATGCAGTGATCCGTAAAGTGATTCCTGAATTGTGTTCTACAGTATTAGAATACAGCAAGAACGCTTATTGGAACCACATCTTCGGAGACTCCTACACTGAAATTCCACTCAAATTCGGAGACGAGAAACCAAAAAGGCAACTCCTGGAAAAAAAGGAAAGAGCAAAACATGCTCCGACCCTTCCGGGGACGTAGCCGGGTTCGAAGTCAACATGCCAAAAGACCTGGCTCTGAATGGACATGGATAGGACTGAAAACGAGACTGATTAATGGAATGAGTAACCTGAAAAACCAATCCAAATTGATCGATATTGTGAATTTCCAGGAGAAATCGCAATAAATTCCTTCAATTTACCCCCTGATTCCCAAAAAGGAACAAGGATCGCCCTTATGGAGACATTCAGCCAAAAACAAATGGCAAGTAAAGACGCAGAGAAGAAGGAAAAACCGCGAAAAGAGGGGGTCCCCGCGACGCACCGCAGGGGGACGCAACCGCGTAGCGATCGCGATGAGGGCCAACCAATCACTCTGCCCAAACCAGCAGTATCGATTGCCACCAGCCTGCCAATTTCTCCAATTTCTCCTCTGCTCTTGCCGTTAACCTATCACTGTAATCGCAAAGCACTGAAATCTGCTAAAATTACAGTATGTCCTCACCGTCATACGCGAACCAGCTCCACGAAAAATAATGGAGAAGGCGAAGACGACCCTCACCAGCAAGGGACACTGGAACATGATGGTCGCAGAAGAAGCCCTAGGAAGCATCCTACTCCAAATGGAGAAGGACGGACACTTCCAGGGAAACCGACTAACGCTGCCGCATAGCAGAACGGACCCGAGAAAGTTCGAGGACCACGACCGCAGTGGACAGGACAGGGACAGAGGCCGCAAGCGCCGGAGCATCGTGAAACCGGGAAAAAAGACCGGCCCACCACCGAAAAAGAGCGCCAGCCACCCCAAGGAGAAGCCGCTCCACAGCAAAAACGCGGAGACCTGGGACGGCAAAATCCTCATCGTCAATGGAGGACCGAAAAGGTTCACACCAGCGGCGGGCATGGACCAGCAATCCATAATGCAGGTGCCGTACTGGCTGATCAAGTCGGGCAAGGCAGCACCGCAGCTCCAGAAAGCGCTGAAGATCATATGGGTCGGTGGCGAGAGAGCGGACCACGCCGAATCGACGATCCGTCTGCTCGGCGAAAAGAAAGGAGCCGCGACCGTCGTGATCCCGAATGGGACTTCGGACGAAACGAAGGAACGCTACACAAAGTGCGGAATCCACCTCAAAGAAAGAAGTGTGGACGGCGAGCTGGAAGCGGACCTCCAGACAGTGATTGATGGAGAGAAGTAGATCCAGCACACGCCAAACCGCCACCAGCCCACCAACCAACCAACCAACCGATCAATTAATCAATAGTAGTATCTCGCCATTCTTTCTTTCTCACTTTCCCACTGTAAATAAAGATTGTAAGGAAAGAAAAAGGATACAGCGCATCAGATACACACAGTATTGGTGAAATGACAGGATCATATCACCAGGAAGTACCCAACCAGGAAACAGCAACCTGGAAAACCACTCCAAATTGATCGATATTGTGAATTTCCAGGAGAAATCGCAATAAATTTCTTTCAAATTACCACCTGATTCCCCAAAAAAAGGAACAGACCATAGCCACAAAGATGGCAGCTGACCCTTAAAAGGTGTGATGACAGGATCATAAACACAAGAGTCACAAAAAGGCATCTAACTAGACAAAATAGTTGGGTGCCGATCCCCCCTCTTGAGACTGTGCAAAGAACACAGTCTAGAACAGACGGGAAGACCGATCTAAACGCACAAAGGTGCCAGGTTGGTATTACTGTTTCATGAAGCTTGTTCCCAAAGTTCAGCCTCGCCTTTTTCTCTTTAGTACTTCCTAACCGAGTACGTAGGGTAAAGAAAGGGTCGAACGGGAAGGAACAAAAAGAGCTGATTGATCAGATTCCTCATTCCAATGCGAATGGGATGGCCGTGAGGCTACAGGCGGGTAACTCAGTCAGATGCTAGCGATCTTCGGATCCAACGGCGCTGACACAACATGAGGAACCCTGGGTTCGTTGGAGATAAAACTCAAATGGGCTGGAAATGGCTTAATCACAATGGATGACCACTGCCTTGCAACCACTTAAACCAGTGGGCTATGCGGGTGGGTCAATCTGAAATTGTGTGACCATATCCTGACTCGGCAATATCTACTCAAGGCTCTGAGAGCAAGTACATAATGGCCCTTCCCTACTATAAACTCCCAAGCAATTGGTGGCCCCGTTCGGCGGGTAATTACCACTGTTGCGCCCCAGGCTCGCCCAACTGAGAATGACCTAATGCAAATTAGCGTCTTGTTTAATTTTGGATCGTCTCCTTTAGGGGAGACAAAAGAACTAACAGAAGAAAAATTGGATGATAATTGATGAACTTATGGCCTAATATTTCGGCCCAACAGGCCAAAATAAGGCCCTACTCTCCCATGTTGGCCGATATTGTCGGGAGAGTAGAATCTCGCGGTCCCTGGACATGTCGGTTGCTCACAAAACATTTGTCGATACGCGCGCTGTTAGTTTTGGTTTAATTACCCAAGTTTTGAGGTACGAAACTGGGAATGACCTAATGCAAATTAGCGTCTTGTTTAATTTTTGGATCGTCTCCTTTAGGGGAGACAAAAAGAACTAACAGAAGAAAAAAAGTTGGATGATAATTGATGAATTTATTAGGTTGTTCGGAAAGTTCCAGTCATTTTTTTGGGTTCAGAAAAAAATTTATTGTGAAACAAGTCAAAGAGTTATCCGATTAATTAGACATATTGCCCATGTTTTTTTTCGATGACTGTCTGCCAACGTGTCACCAACTTGTGGATACCCTCCTTCCGGAACTCCTGCGGCTGGGAGTCGAAAAAAATGAAGCCAACTAGATTTTTGACATCTTGTCTTGAGTTGAACTTTTTTCCACTGAGATGGCGTTGGAGGTGACTGAAGAGATGGTAATCAGAGGGGGCCAGGTCTGGGCTGTACGGTGGGTGAGACAAGATTGGCCAGCCTTATCCAGCGAGTTCAGCTTTGGCCTTTCTGTCGACATGGGGATGAGCGTTATCATGCAGAAAGTAAACTTTCGCATTTTTCCCCCAATGGAGATCCACATGGAGTCTGAGTTTTCTCAGCTGACCAGTGTAGACATCGGTCGTAATAGTGACGCCGTCATCAAGCAGCTTCCAATACTCAACTGCACGGACAGACCATCATATTGATAACATTGCCTTTTTTTCGTGTATTTCATGTTTTGGCCCGTCAGCTGGCTGAGCGTCTTTGTCAACCGACTCGGCACGTCGCTCACTGCTATCATACATAACCCATTTCTCGTCTCCCATAATGATTTGATCAGACCATCCATGTGTGCGATGCAGGGTGAGAAGATTCAAGCAGGTATCCACACGTGTATCCAAGTTGTGCTCAGTCAAAACATGCGGAACATATCTTCCGAGTTTTTTGACTTTGCCAATTGCTTCGAGTCCATGACTAATTGATGATAGGCTCGCCCCAAGTGACCTTTACAGTTCACGGACGGATTGAAAAGGATCCCTCTCAATCTCGCTTTTCAATGCTTCCAAGTCTAACGATATCGGTCTTCCTGAACGTGGATGATCATCCATCAAAAATTCTCCTTTTTCGAATCGATGAAACCAAGTGCTAATGGTAGTTCGAGTGGGTGCATCTTTGTTGTAAACCTCCGTGAAACGGCGATCAATGTCGGCATTTTCAGGTCAGATATAAATAGAAATAAGATTACATTTCGGAAATGTAAGTTGTTAGAGACGAAAACGTTCGGCATATCTCACTACTCGGGAACACGAGAATGATATCCGTTGCTGTGTTAACACTTCAATACCCTACCAACATACTGATAAAACGACAACTGAGTCGCTTGCTTCCGGATAGAAAAAACAATCTTCAAAAACATACTATGAAAAATGACTGGAACTTTCCGAACAACCTAATATCTCCTAATATTTCGGCCCAACAGGCCAAAATAAGGCCCTACTCTCCCATGTTGGCCGATATTGTCGGGAGATTAGAATCTCGCGGTCCCTGGACATGTCGGTTGCTCACAAAACATTTGTCGATACGCGCGCTGTTAGTTTTGGTTTAATTACCCAAGTTTTGAGGCTCACAGGATGAGCCCCGCCCATAATGGAATTGCTCACAGGATGAGCTCCGCCCATAACGGTGGAAACCCCAATTCTCATAACAGAATTGCTCACAGGATGAGCCCCGCCCATAATGGAATTGCTCACAGGATGAGCCCAGCCCATAATGGAATTGCTCACAGGATGAGCCCCGCCTATAATGGTCTAAAAAGTGCATTTAGTATTCGCATAAACGAATATTATCTGCCGCCGAAGTCAAATGACAGAAGCTCCGCCCCAAAAAGTGGAGAATTGAAGTCAAATGACGGAAGCACCGGCAATCTCAAAAAGGAAAGCCTTCCAAAGATCCTCTGTGAAGTGGAAAGTCTGGGAAATTGTATAGTTGTAGGTAAAACTCCCGCAACTCAATCGATTCTCTCGTCTGACCCCTCAGAAATCGATAATCTGGCAAAGGACCAGGCCGACTCCCAGGTCTCGTGGAAGACCATCTCTGACCATAGAATTAGAGGTGGCGCAATGAGAGAAAGAGTAAGGAACGATCCAAACGTTTACACGATGGTATTATTGAAAAAGACAAGCGACTCCCAAACCGTCGTGTGTCAACTACAATATCCAACAGATAAACTGGTTTGTTGTTACCACCGGGGATGTGAAACCCGTTCCCAAGCAGGACTTGGAGCGGAAGAATTGAAATACTTGACTAGACATTTGGAAAAGGTCCATGCTGTCAAAAAGGTCAAGTGGACTTACATTTGTACGATCTGCGGGGAGACCCCCAATGAAAATCTTGCATACCCGTCCAGATGGATGAAAACGCATCTGGAAAAAGTCCATAACAAAGAAGCCGAAAAGAAATTTAGTATCGGAAGCGGTACTAGATCTCGAGCGGCCAGTGCACTGAATGATTCAGCACCATCTTTAGCACCTCCTAGGAAGACAACGTCCAGAAAGACCGAGTCCAAGGTGATAGAGTTTTTCGACTCCTGAAAAAGATTACAGAGTTGGAAAGCAAGATTCAAACGAGAGGAGTGGCAAAGTCCCTCAGTGCTCTGAAAGAATCGGTAACAAAGAAAGAAAGAGAGGAAGTTGGCAAGAAACCAAAACTTGCTCCTATCCTTGAAAAAGCTGAAAAGAAAAGTGCTCGGAAAAGCCTAGCGAATGTTCTGAAAACGGAGACAACATCAAGTTCCAGAAACAGCTCTATCGGAGCGGACTGCGACCTGAAAATGTTGACCGGAATTGAGAGAATAAAAGCGGCTCGAGAGCAAAGCTCAAAGCAGGCTCGCCTTTCTACTCAGAAAAGGATGAGTTTGTCAGCAGTGGGAAAAATCTCCAAAAAAAGGGAGCCACAAACAAAGGAATTGGAAAAAGAAACCATTCCTGATCCAGTAGTGACGACAATGGAAAACCCCATTGAATCGGAAGCGCTGGAAGAAGAAGAAGACCTGAACAGAACTTTTTGTCATCGATGATGATGATGAAATAGTCTCGAGAAGGTTCAACACATGGTGCCTGGACCATGAAACCTCAAAGGAGGCATGGTTAAGTGACGACATCATATTCTGGTATCTGAAGCATCTTTGCGCAAAAAGCACAAAGTATGAAACTTTGGATCCAATTATGTGGGAAATGTACAAAAGAGAAGGAATCATGCTCATAAAGCAAAAACTTTGGAGCACGAAAACCTACTTTTTCCCAGTTTGCGAAAATAACCACTGGATCCTTTTGGTGATAAGCTTAACTGGAATCTGGTACGCAAACAGCTTCCTACGTGAACCCGAAGGAAAAGTTCAACAGTTTATTGAGGAATTGGGGACTGAACGGAAAAAGTTCGACACTCCAAATCCCTGCCAGACAGATGGCATAAACTGCGGTGTTCATGTATGCCTGATGGCAAAATCATGTCTAAATGACGACTATTGGTATACCGAAAAAGAGGTCCAATCGTTCCGAAAAGATGTGAAAAAGATGCTCAGAGCAAACGGATATGACCTGTACTCTGAACAATACCGTGATTTCCACCAAACAGATGAAACCACGAAAAAACCAGAAAGTCCAGAAAAAGTGGACACTTCTGAGGTGTCAGTTGAATCCCCAATGGATATTCCACATGTTGGTCAACCGGAAGAAGTGGATAGAGTTTCCATCCCAAAACTGATGGACCTAAAACTCGAATGCCCTCCACATCTTCTACAAAAAGTTGCTCCAAAAGTGGTCAAACCAAAGGAGAAACCCACTAAACAGATGGGTAAAGCACGCAAAGTGCCAACTGGAAAACCAGAGGAACTGGTCGTGAAAGGTACGAGAATGGTTCCAAAAAGAGTTCCAATCGTACATTCAAGACGGTAGAAGCTTCCAAAGATTGGAGTGGATCACCGACGTCCTGACAGCCGCCATACAAAAAGGCCTCTGTTGGGGACACCCAGGCAATCGAGAAGATTGTGAAAAAGATGCCCACCCTTGGAAGTGGAAGAGGGTGAGATGGCAACGCAAACGGATCCAAAAAAAGGATTCCCAAGAAGGGTAACAGCAACCCGACTGGAGATGGTGACAGCCGCAAAGGGCCACCAGTCTCTCAAAGGGACTCGTACTGGCAAAACCGGACGAAGACCTTTAACCAACTGATCGGCAAAGAATCGAAGCAATGCGAGATCCCGATCAGTCAACTTGAACAGTTCTTCAAGAAAACCACCTCTGTCACAAATGTAACAAAAAGAGGTTCTGGAATCAAAAAAAGTTCCAAAATCCCAAAGATAAAAAGTGGGACAGTGGATTGTAGACCCATTCACTGAACAGGAATTGGCAGTTGCTCTTAAGAAAACCAAAGACACTGCTCCTGGAGTTGACGGACTGAGATACCATCATCTAGAATGGTTCGATCCTGATCACAGAATTCTGACGCCCCTGTACAATGAATGCAAGGAGCATCGGAAGATTCCATCACATTGGAAAGAGGCAGAAACGATCCTTCTATACAAAGGAGGAGACGAATCTAAGCCCGAGAACTGGAGACCAATCAGTCTCATGCCAACCATCTACAAACTATATTCGAGTTTGTGGAACCGAAGAATCCGGTCAGTGAAGGGTGTCATGAGCAAGTGTCAAAGGGGATTCCAAGAGCGGGAGGGTTGCAATGAAAGCATTGGAATCCTTAGAACCGCGATTGATGTGGCGAAGGGCAGGAAAAAGAACCTGTCAGTCGCCTGGCTCGACCTTACCAATGCGTTCGGTTCAGTGCCACATGAGCTCATCGAGCACACTCTGGAAAAGTATGGATTCCCAGAAGAAATCGTCCACGTCATAAAAGACATATACAATGGGGCATCCATCCGAGTAAAGAGTAAAAATGAAAAGAGTAACCAGATCAAGCTGAATTCTGGGGTGAAACAAGGAGATCCCATTTCACCAACGCTTTTCAACATGTGTCTAGAAGGTGTCATCAGAAAACACCTGGATACGTCCTCAGGCCACAAGTGTCTCAAGACAAAGGTCAAAATACTGGCATTTGCGGACGACATGGCCATATTGTCTGATTCCAAGAAACAACTCCAGGAAGAGTTGGAGAGAATGGATGATGACTGTACCCCACTCAAACTCATATTCAAACCGAGCAAATGCGCTAGTTTGATAATTGAGAAGGGCAAGGTACGACCTGAAGCACAAATAATGCTGAAGGGTGAACCCATTCGAAATCTCGCTCCAAAAGACACCTACAAATACCTGGGGGTCCAAACAGGAGTCGAGACTAGAATATCAGAGCTCGAATTGCTGACCAAAGTCACCAAAGAGCTGGAGAAGGTAAACACAAGCGACCTAACTCCACCACAGAAACTCGACTGTGTAAAAGCCTTTGTGCTACCGAAATTGACATATATGTACGCCAATTCGGTACCAAAGATGACAGAGTTGGGTCAATTTGCCAACATGACGATGAGGGCAGTAAAGGTTATGCACTCAATCCCAGTCCGAGGATCCCCGCTAGAGTATATCCAAATACCAACTAGTAAAGGGGGACTCGGCGTTGCGTGTCCAAGAATAACCGCAGAAATCACTTTCTTAGTGTCCACAATGAAAAAAAGTTGTGGTCCTCAGACCAGTACATCCAAAGACTGTACCGGGAATATCTGGAGGAAGTGACCCGAATCGAAACGGGCAAAGATCAGGTCACCCTAGGCGACCTGGCGGCCTATCTCAGCAACGAGATACCAATCGATAAAAAGGCGTTCGGTTTCAGTTGTTTCACAAGACTACGCGAAGTATGCAACAGTCTGTGGAAAATCAAGTCCGCTCCTTTGCATAAGGTGAAAATTGTTGAGTTCGAAGGTGAATTGGCAATCTCCGTACAAGCAATCGAGAAAGGCAACGAGAGAATCTTTACCAAAGAGAATGTAAAGAAACTCCAACAACTGCTAAAAGGAGAAGTGAATGACGCTCTCTCTCACAGATTCACGACCGAGAAAGTTGTGAAGAGTGAGGTAGTCCGAGTCATCCAGCAGTATCCCTCAGTGCAACAGCTTTGTCAGAAAAAGGTGGCAAAGTGAGTCGAGCAGCACACAAATTTGTGCACAGAGCTCGCTCTCAACTTGTTGTCGTGCAACTATAACACGTACGACAACACAAAGTCAAAAAGAATGCAGAAGATGTCATTATGAGAATGAAACTCAGTGGCACATCCTACAAAGTTGCACTTTCGGACTCCCGAAAAAAATCACTGAAAGACATGATGCAGTGCTCATGAAAGTGAAAAACTCATCGAAGCTGGTTCAAAGAAAGACTGGAAACTGAAAAATAGATCAGGAAATACCAGGATTCACCAGACTTCGACCAGACATCTACATGAGAAGTCCAGATGGAAAAGAAATCATCATGGCCGATGTAGCCTGCCCATATGAGCATGGTGTGGAAGCCATGAAAAGAAGCTGGGACAAAAAGGTTCAGAAGTACTCTGACGGTTTCAGCAATCTCAAGGCTCAGGGCAAAAAGCTTACTGTCCTACCAATAATAGTTGGATCTCTCGGAAGTTGGTGGAAGCCCACAACTGACAGTCTGAAAAAGTTGGGAATAGAGGATGCAGTGATCCGTAAAGTGATTCCTGAATTGTGTTCTACAGTATTAGAATACAGCAAGAACGCTTATTGGAACCACATCTTCGGAGACTCCTACACTGAAATTCCACTCAAATTCGGAGACGAGAAACCAAAAGGCAACTCCTGGAAAAAGGAAAGAGCAAAACATGCTCCGACCCTTCCGGGGACGTAGCCGGGTTCGAAGTCAACATGCCAAAAGACCTGGCTCTGAATGGACATGGATAGGACTGAAAACGAGACTGATTAATGGAATGAGTAACCTGAAAAACCAATCCAAATTGATCGATATATCGATATTGTGAATTTCCAGGAGAAATCGCAATAAATTTCTTTCAAATTACCACCTGATTCCCAAAAAGGAACAGACCATAGCCACAAAGATGGCAGCTGACCCTTAAAAAGGTGTGATGACAGGATCATAAACACAAGAGTCACAAAAAGGCATCTAACTAGACAAAATAGTTGGGTGCCGATCCCCTCTTGAGACTGTGCAAAGAACACAGTCTAGAACAGACGGGAAGACTGATCTAAAACGCACAAAGGTGCCAGGTTGGTATTACTGTTTCATGAAGCTTGTTCCCAAAGTTCAGCCTCGCCTTTTTCTCTTTAGTACTTCCTAACCGAGTACGTAGGGTAAAGAAAGGGTCGAACGGGAAGGAACAAAAAGAGCTGATTGATCAGATTCCTCATTCCAATGCGAATGGGATGGCCGTGAGGCTACAGGCGGGTAACTCAGTCAGATGCTAGCGATCTTCGGATCCAACGGCGCTGACACAGCATGAGGAACCCTGGGTTCGTTGGAGATAAAACTCAAATGGGCTGGAAATGGCTTAATCACAATGGATGACCACTGCCTTGCAACCACTTAAACCAGTGGGCTATGCGGGTGGGTCAATCTGAAATTGTGTGACCATATCCTGACTCGGCAATATCTACTCAAGGCTCTGAGAGCAAGTACATAATGGCCCTTCCCTACTATAAACTCCCAAGCAATTGGTGGCCCCGTTCGGCGGGTAATTACCACTGTTGCGCCCCAGGCTCGCCCACGAAACTGAGAATGACCTAATGCAAATTAGCGTCTTGTTTAATTTTGGATCGTCTCCTTTAGGGGAGACAAAAGAACTAACAGAAGAAAAAGTTGGATGATAATTGATGAACTTTATGGCCTAATATTTCGGCCCAACAGGCCAAAATAAGGCCCTACTCTCCCATGTTGGCCGATATTGTCGGGAGAGTAGAATCTCGCGGTCCCTGGACATGTCGGTTGCTCACAAAACATTTGTCGATACGCGCGCTGTTAGTTTTGGTTTAATTACCCAAGTTTTGAGTCAGTTCATCTTGGGATTAAACCACCCTGCCTTCTGGATCTATTCCCCCCCCGCCATATTCACACTATGACCGAGCTAGGTACGACCGAATTGCTCCAAAACAGCATTATTCGCTCCTCTGCCGCCCGTAGGTCCCAGTGTACTTCCCCGGAGCACATGTTGTTCCAAACCCTTGATTCCCTTAACGGAATTGCTCACAGGATGAGCTCCGCCCATAACGGTGGAAACCCCAATTCTCATAACAGAATTGCTCACAGGATGAGCCCCGCCCATAATGGAATGGCTCACAGGATGAGCCCCGCCCATAATGGAATTGCTCACAGGATGAGCTCCGCCCATAACGGTGGAAACCCCAATTCTCATAACAGAATTGCTCACAGGATGAGCCCCGCCCATAATGGAATTGCTCACAGGATGAGCCCAGCCCATAATGGAATTGCTCACAGGATGAGCCCCGCCTATAATGGTCTAAAAAGTGCATTTAGTATTCGCATAAACGAATATTATCTGCCGCCGAAGTCAAATGACAGAAGCTCCGCCCCAAAAAGTGGAGAATTGAAGTCAAATGACGGAAGCACCGGCAATCTCAAAAAGGAAAGCCTTCCAAAGATCCTCTGTGAAGTGGAAAGTCTGGGAAATTGTATAGTTGTAGGTAAAACTCCCGCAACTCAATCGATTCTCTCGTCTGACCCCTCAGAAATCGACAATCTGGCAAAGGACCAGGCCGACTCCCAGGTCTCGTGGAAGACCATCTCTGACCATAGAATTAGAGGTGGCGCAATGAGAGAAAGAGTAAGGAACGATCCAAACGTTTACACGATGGTATTATTGAAAAAGACAAGCGACTCCCAAACCGTCGTGTGTCAACTACAATATCCAACAGATAAACTGGTTTGTTGTTACCACCGGGGATGTGAAACCCGTTCCCAAGCAGGACTTGGAGCGGAAGAATTGAAATACTTGACTAGACATTTGGAAAAGGTCCATGCTGTCAAAAAGGTCAAGTGGACTTACATTTGTACGATCTGCGGGGAGACCCCCAATGAAAATCTTGCATACCCGTCCAGATGGATGAAAACGCATCTGGAAAAAGTCCATAACAAAGAAGCCGAAAAGAAATTTAGTATCGGAAGCGGTACTAGATCTCGAGCGGCCAGTGCACTGAATGATTCAGCACCATCTTTAGCACCTCCTAGGAAGACAACGTCCAGAAAGACCGAGTCCAAGGTGATAGAGTTTTTCGACTCCTGAAAAAGATTACAGAGTTGGAAAGCAAGATTCAAACGAGAGGAGTGGCAAAGTCCCTCAGTGCTCTGAAAGAATCGGTAACAAAGAAAGAAAGAGAGGAAGTTGGCCAGAAACCAAAACTTGCTCCTATCCTTGAAAAAGCTGAAAAGAAAAGTGCTCGGAAAAGCCTAGCGAATGTTCTGAAAACGGAGACAACATCAAGTTCCAGAAACAGCTCTATCGGAGCGGACTGCGACCTGAAAATGCTGACCGGAATTGAGAGAATAAAAGCGGCTCGAGAGCAAAGCTCAAAGCAGGCTCGCCTTTCTATTCAGAAAAGGATGAGTTTGTCAGCAGTGGGAAAAATCTCCAAAAAAAGGGAGCCACAAACAAAGGAATTGGAAAAAGAAACCATTCCTGATCCAGTAGTGACGACAATGGAAAACCCCATTGAATCGGAAGCGCTGGAAGAAGAAGAAGACCTGAACAGAACTTTTTGTCATCGATGATGATGATGAAATAGTCTCGAGAAGGTTCAACACATGGTGCCTGGACCATGAAACCTCAAAGGAGGCATGGTTAAGTGACGACATCATATTCTGGTATCTGAAGCATCTTTGCGCAAAAAAAGCACAAAGTATGAAACTTTGGATCCAATTATGTGGGAAATGTACAAAAGAGAAGGAATCATGCTCATAAAGCAAAAAAACTTTGGAGCACGAAAACCTACTTTTTTTCCCAGTTTGCGAAAAATAACCACTGGATCCTTTTTGGTGATAAGCTTAACTGGAATCTGGTACGCAAACAGCTTCCTACGTGAACCCGAAGGAAAAGTTCAACAGTTTATTGAGGAATTGGGGACTGAACGGAAAAAAAGTTCGACACTCCAAATCCCTGCCAGACAGATGGCATAAACTGCGGTGTTCATGTATGCCTGATGGCAAAAATCATGTCTAAATGACGACTATTGGTATACCGAAAAAAAGAGGTCCAATCGTTCCGAAAAAGATGTGAAAAAAAGATGCTCAGAGCAAACGGATATGACCTGTACTCTGAACAATACCGTGATTTCCACCAAACAGATGAAACCACGAAAAACCAGAAAGTCCAGAAAAAAAGTGGACACTTCTGAGGTGTCAGTTGAATCCCCAATGGATATTCCACATGTTGGTCAACCGGAAGAAGTGGATAGAGTTTCCATCCCAAAAACTGATGGACCTAAAACTCGAATGCCCTCCACATCTTCTACAAAAAAAGTTGCTCCAAAAGTGGTCAAACCAAAGGAGAAACCCACTAAACAGATGGGTAAAGCACGCAAAGTGCCAACTGGAAAAACCAGAGGAACTGGTCGTGAAAGTACGAGAATGGTTCCAAAAAGAGTTCCAATCGTACATTCAAGACGGTAGAAGCTTCCAAAGATTGGAGTGGATCACCGACGTCCTGACAGCCGCCATACAAAAAGGCCTCTGTTGGGGACACCCAGGCAATCGAGAAGATTGTGAAAAAGATGCCCACCCTTGGAAGTGGAAGAGGGTGAGATGGCAACGCAAACGGATCCAAAAAAAGGATTCCCAAGAAGGGTAACAGCAACCCGACTGGAGATGGTGACAGCCGCAAAGGGCCACCAGTCTCTCAAAGGGACTCGTACTGGCAAAACCGGACGAAGACCTTTAACCAACTGATCGGCAAAGAATCGAAGCAATGCGAGATCCCGATCAGTCAACTTGAACAGTTCTTCAAGAAAAACCACCTCTGTCACAAATGTAACAAAAAGAGGTTCTGGAATCAAAAAAAGTTCCAAAATCCCAAAGATAAAAGTGGGACAGTGGATTGTAGACCCATTCACTGAACAGGAATTGGCAGTTGCTCTTAAGAAAACCAAAGACACTGCTCCTGGAGTTGACGGACTGAGATACCATCATCTAGAATGGTTCGATCCTGATCACAGAATTCTGACGCCCCTGTACAATGAATGCAAGGAGCATCGGAAGATTCCGTCACATTGGAAAGAGGCAGAAACGATCCTTCTATACAAAGGAGGAGACGAATCTAAGCCCGAGAACTGGAGACCAATCAGTCTCATGCCAACCATCTACAAACTATATTCGAGTTTGTGGAACCGAAGAATCCGGTCAGTGAAGGGTGTCATGAGCAAGTGTCAAAGGGGATTCCAAGAGCGGGAGGGTTGCAATGAAAGCATTGGAATCCTTAGAACCGCGATTGATGTGGCGAAGGGCAGGAAAAAAAGAACCTGTCAGTCGCCTGGCTCGACCTTACCAATGCGTTCGGTTCAGTGCCACATGAGCTCATCGAGCACACTCTGGAAAAGTATGGATTCCCAGAAGAAATCGTCCACGTCATAAAAAGACATATACAATGGGGCATCCATCCGAGTAAAGAGTAAAAATGAAAAAGAGTAACCAGATCAAGCTGAATTCTGGGGGTGAAACAAGGAGATCCCATTTCACCAACGCTTTTCAACATGTGTCTAGAAGGTGTCATCAGAAAACACCTGGATACGTCCTCAGGCCACAAGTGTCTCAAGACAAAGGTCAAAAATACTGGCATTTGCGGACGACATGGCCATATTGTCTGATTCCCAAGAAACAACTCCAGGAAGAGTTGGAGAGAATGGATGATGACTGTACCCCACTCAAACTCATATTCAAAACCGAGCAAATGCGCTAGTTTGATAATTGAGAAGGGCAAGGTACGACCTGAAGCACAAATAATGCTGAAGGGTGAACCCATTCGAAATCTCGCTCCAAAAGACACCTACAAATACCTGGGGGGGTCCAAACAGGAGTCGAGACTAGAATATCAGAGCTCGAATTGCTGACCAAAGTCACCAAAGAGCTGGAGAAGGTAAACACAAGCGACCTAACTCCACCACAGAAACTCGACTGTGTAAAAGCCTTTGTGCTACCGAAATTGACATATATGTACGCCAATTCGGTACCAAAGATGACAGAGTTGGGTCAATTTGCCAACATGACGATGAGGGCAGTAAAGGTTATGCACTCAATCCCAGTCCGAGGATCCCCGCTAGAGTATATCCAAATACCAACTAGTAAAGGGGGACTCGGCGTTGCGTGTCCAAGAATAACCGCAGAAATCACTTTCTTAGTGTCCACAATGAAAAAGTTGTGGTCCTCAGACCAGTACATCCAAAGACTGTACCGGGAATATCTGGAGGAAGTGACCCGAATCGAAACGGGCAAAGATCAGGTCACCCTAGGCGACCTGGCGGCCTATCTCAGCAACGAGATACCAATCGATAAAAAGGCGTTCGGTTTCAGTTGTTTCACAAGACTACGCGAAGTATGCAACAGTCTGTGGAAAATCAAGTCCGCTCCTTTGCATAAGGTGAAAATTGTTGAGTTCGATGGTGAATTGGCAATCTCCGTACAAGCAATCGAGAAAGGCAACGAGAGAATCTTTACCAAAGAGAATGTAAAGAAACTCCAACAACTGCTAAAAGGAGAAGTGAATGACGCTCTCTCTCACAGATTCACGACCGAGAAAGTTGTGAAGAGTGAGGTAGTCCGAGTCATCCAGCAGTATCCTCAGTGCAACAGCTTTGTCAGAAAAGGTGGCAAAGTGAGTCGAGCAGCACACAAATTTGTGCACAGAGCTCGCCTCAACTTGTTGTCGTGCAACTATAACACGTACGACAACACAAAGTCAAAAGAATGCAGAAGATGTCATTATGAGAATGAAACTCAGTGGCACATCCTACAAAGTTGCACTTTCGGACTCCCGAAAAAAATCACTGAAAGACATGACGCAGTGCTCATGAAAGTGAAAAAACTCATCGAAGCTGGTTCAAAGAAAGACTGGAAACTGAAAATAGATCAGGAAATACCAGGATTCACCAGACTTCGACCAGACATCTACATGAGAAGTCCAGATGGAAAAGAAATCATCATGGCCGATGTAGCCTGCCCATATGAGCATGGTGTGGAAGCCATGAAAAGAAGCTGGGACAAAAAAAGGTTCAGAAGTACTCTGACGGTTTCAGCAATCTCAAGGCTCAGGGCAAAAAAAGCTTACTGTCCTACCAATAATAGTTGGATCTCTCGGAAGTTGGTGGAAGCCCACAACTGACAGTCTGAAAAAAAGTTGGGAATAGAGGATGCAGTGATCCGTAAAGTGATTCCTGAATTGTGTTCTACAGTATTAGAATACAGCAAGAACGCTTATTGGAACCACATCTTCGGAGACTCCTACACTGAAATTCCACTCAAATTCGGAGACGAGAAACCAAAAGGCAACTCCTGGAAAAAAAGGAAAGAGCAAAACATGCTCCGACCCTTCCGGGGACGTAGCCGGGTTCGAAGTCAACATGCCAAAAAGACCTGGCTCTGAATGGACATGGATAGGACTGAAAACGAGACTGATTAATGGAATGAGTAACCTGAAAAAAACCAATCCAAATTGATCGATATTGTGAATTTCCAGGAGAAATCGCAATAAATTCCTTCAATTTACCCCCTGATTCCCAAAAAAAGGAACAAGGATCGCCCTTATGGAGACATTCAGCCAAAACAAATGGCAAGTAAAGACGCAGAGAAGAAGGAAAAACCGCGAAAAGAGGGGGTCCCCGCGACGCACCGCAGGGGACGCAACCGCGTAGCGATCGCGATGAGGGCCAACCAATCACTCTGCCCAAACCAGCAGTATCGATTGCCACCAGCCTGCCAATTTCTCCAATTTCTCCTCTGCTCTTGCCGTTAACCTATCACTGTAATCGCAAAGCACTGAAATCTGCTAAAATTACAGTATGTCCTCACCGTCATACGCGAACCAGCTCCACGAAAAAATAATGGAGAAGGCGAAGACGACCCTCACCAGCAAGGGACACTGGAACATGATGGTCGCAGAAGAAGCCCTAGGAAGCATCCTACTCCAAATGGAGAAGGACGGACACTTCCAGGGAAACCGACTAACGCTGCCGCGTAGCAGAACGGACCCGAGAAAGTTCGAGGACCACGACCGCAGTGGACAGGACAGGGACAGAGGCCGCAAGCGCCGGAGCATCGTGAAACCGGGAAAAAAGACCGGCCCACCACCGAAAAAGAGCGCCAGCCACCCCAAGGAGAAGCCGCTCCACAGCAAAAACGCGGAGACCTGGGACGGCAAAATCCTCATCGTCAATGGAGGACCGAAAAGGTTCACACCAGCGGCGGGCATGGACCAGCAATCCATAATGCAGGTGCCGTACTGGCTGATCAAGTCGGGCAAGGCAGCACCGCAGCTCCAGAAAGCGCTGAAGATCATATGGGTCGGTGGCGAGAGAGCGGACCACGCCGAATCGACGATCCGTCTGCTCGGCGAAAAGAAAGGAGCCGCGACCGTCGTGATCCCGAATGGGACTTCGGACGAAACGAAGGAACGCTACACAAAGTGCGGAATCCACCTCAAAGAAAGAAGTGTGGACGGCGAGCTGGAAGCGGACCTCCAGACAGTGATTGATGGAGAGAAGTAGATCCAGCACACGCCAAACCGCCACCAGCCCACCAACCAACCAACCAACCGATCAATTAATCAATAGTAGTATCTCGCCATTCTTTCTTTCTCACTTTCCCACTGTAAATAAAGATTGTAAGGAAAGAAAAAGGATACAGCGCATCAGATACACACAGTATTGGTGAAATGACAGGATCATATCACCAGGAAGTACCCAACCAGGAAACAGCAACCTGGAAAACCACTCCAAATTGATCGATATTGTGAATTTCCAGGAGAAATCGCAATAAATTTCTTTCAAATTACCACCTGATTCCCAAAAAGGAACAGACCATAGCCACAAAGATGGCAGCTGACCCTTAAAAGGTGTGATGACAGGATCATAAACACAAGAGTCACAAAAAGGCATCTAACTAGACAAAATAGTTGGGTGCCGATCCCCCCTCTTGAGACTGTGCAAAGAACACAGTCTAGAACAGACAGGGAAGACCGATCTAAACGCACAAAGGTGCCAGGTTGGTATTACTGTTTCATGAAGCTTGTTCCCAAAGTTCAGCCTCGCCTTTTTCTCTTTAGTACTTCCTAACCGAGTACGTAGGGTAAAGAAAGGGTCGAACGGGAAGGAACAAAAAGAGCTGATTGATCAGATTCCTCATTCCAATGCGAATGGGATGGCCGTGAGGCTACAGGCGGGTAACTCAGTCAGATGCTAGCGATCTTCGGATCCAACGGCGCTGACACAACATGAGGAACCCTGGGTTCGTTGGAGATAAAACTCAAATGGGCTGGAAATGGCTTAATCACAATGGATGACCACTGCCTTGCAACCACTTAAACCAGTGGGCTATGCGGGTGGGTCAATCTGAAATTGTGTGACCATATCCTGACTCGGCAATATCTACTCAAGGCTCTGAGAGCAAGTACATAATGGCCCTTCCCTACTATAAACTCCCAAGCAATTGGTGGCCCCGTTCGGCGGGTAATTACCACTGTTGCGCCCCAGGCTCGCCCCAACTGGGAATGACCTAATGCAAATTAGCGTCTTGTTTAATTTTGGATCGTCTCCTTTAGGGGAGACAAAAGAACTAACAGAAGAAAAAGTTGGATGATAATTGATGAATTTATCTCCTAATATTTCTTCCCAACAGGCCAAAATAAGGCCCTACTCTCCCATGTTGGCCGATATTGTCGGGAGATTAGAATCTCGCGGTCCCTGGACATGTCGGTTGCTCACAAAACATTTGTCGATACGCGCGCTGTTAGTTTTGGTTTAATTACCCAAGTTTTGAGGTACGAAACTGGGAATGACCTAATGCAAATTAGCGTCTTGTTTAATTTTGGATCGTCTCCTTTAGGGGAGACAAAAGAACTAACAGAAGAAAAAGTTGGATGATAATTGATGAATTTATGGCCTAATATTTCGGCCCAACAGGCCAAAATAAGGCCCTACTCTCCCATGTTGGCCGATATTGTCGGGAGATTAGAATCTCGCGGTCCCTGGACATGTCGGTTGCTCACAAAACATTTGTCGATACGCGCGCTGTTAGTTTTGGTTTAATTACCCAAGTTTTGAGGTACGAAACTGGGAATGACCTAATGCAAATTAGCGTCTTGTTTAATTTTGGATCGTCTCCTTTAGGGGAGACAAAAGAACTAACAGAAGAAAAAGTTGGATGATAATTGATGAATTTATTAGGTTGTTCGGAAAGTTCCAGTCATTTTTGGGTTCAGAAAAATTTATTGTGAAACAAGTCAAAGAGTTATCCGATTAATTAGACATATTGCCCATGTTTTTCGATGACTGTCTGCCAACGTGTCACCAACTTGTGGATACCCTCCTTCCGGAACTCCTGCGGCTGGGAGTCGAAAAATGAAGCCAACTAGATTTTGACATCTTGTCTTGAGTTGAACTTTTTTCCACTGAGATGGCGTTGGAGGTGACTGAAGAGATGGTAATCAGAGGGGGCCAGGTCTGGGCTGTACGGTGGGTGAGACAAGATTGGCCAGCCTTATCCAGCGAGTTCAGCTTTGGCCTTTCTGTCGACATGGGGATGAGCGTTATCATGCAGAAAGTAAACTTTCGCATTTTTCCCCCAATGGAGATCCACATGGAGTCTGAGTTTTCTCAGCTGACCAGTGTAGACATCGGTCGTAATAGTGACGCCGTCATCAAGCAGCTTCCAATACTCAACTGCACGGACAGACCATCATATTGATAACATTGCCTTTTTTTCGTGTATTTCATGTTTTGGCCCGTCAGCTGGCTGAGCGTCTTTGTCAACCGACTCGGCACGTCGCTCACTGCTATCATACATAACCCATTTCTCGTCTCCCATAATGATTTGATCAGACCATCCATGTGTGCGATGCAGGGTGAGAAGATTCAAGCAGGTATCCACACGTGTATCCAAGTTGTGCTCAGTCAAAACATGCGGAACATATCTTCCGAGTTTTTTGACTTTGCCAATTGCTTCGAGTCCATGACTAATTGATGATAGGCTCGCCCCAAGTGACCTTTACAGTTCACGGACGGATTGAAAAGGATCCCTCTCAATCTCGCTTTTCAATGCTTCCAAGTCTAACGATATCGGTCTTCCTGAACGTGGATGATCATCCATCAAAAATTCTCCTTTTTCGAATCGATGAAACCAAGTGCTAATGGTAGTTCGAGTGGGTGCATCTTTGTTGTAAACCTCCGTGAAACGGCGATCAATGTCGGCATTTTCAGGTCAGATATAAATAGAAATAAGATTACATTTCGGAAATGTAAGTTGTTAGAGACGAAAACGTTCGGCATATCTCACTACTCGGGAACACGAGAATGATATCCGTTGCTGTGTTAACACTTCAATACCCTACCAACATACTGATAAAACGACAACTGAGTCGCTTGCTTCCGGATAGAAAAAACAATCTTCAAAAACATACTATGAAAAATGACTGGAACTTTCCGAACAACCTAATATCTCCTAATATTTCGGCCCAACAGGCCAAAATAAGGCCCTACTCTCCCATGTTGGCCGATATTGTCGGGAGATTAGAATCTCGCGGTCCCTGGACATGTCGGTTGCTCACAAAACATTTGTCGATACGCGCGCTGTTAGTTTTGGTTTAATTACCCAAGTTTTGAGGTACGAAACTGGGAATGACCTAATGCAAATTAGCGTCTTGTTTAATTTTGGATCGTCTCCTTTAGGGGAGACAAAAGAACTAACAGAAGAAAAAGTTGGATGATAATTGATGAACTTATGGCCTAATATTTCGGCCCAACAGGCCAAAATAAGGCCCTTCTCTCCCATGTTGGCCGATATTGTCGGGAGAGTAGAATCTCGCGGTCCCTGGACATGTCGGTTGCTCACAAAACATTTGTCGATACGCGCGCTGTTAGTTTTGGTTTAATTACCCAAGTTTTGAGGTACGAAACTGGGAATGACCTAATGCAAATTAGCGTCTTGTTTAATTTTGGATCGTCTCCTTTAGGGGAGACAAAAGAACTAACAGAAGAAAAAGTTGGATGATAATTGATGAATTTATGGCCTAATATTTCGGCCCAACAGGCCAAAATAAGGCCCTACTCTCCCATGTTGGCCGATATTGTCGGGAGATTAGAATCTCGCGATCCCTCGGACATGTCGGTTGCTCACAAAACATTTTTCGATACGCGCGCTGTTAGTTTTGGTTTAATTACCCGAGTTTTGAGGTACGAAACTGAGAATGACCTAATGCAAATTAGCGTCTTGTTTAATTTTGGATGGTCTCCTTTAGGGGAGACAAAAGACGAGATTTTATTTGGAAAACAATCGGTAGAGTTGTGAATTCCGTTAATCTCGAAAATCCTGAAATTGGTGTGCCAGCACAAGAAGGGAATCCACGTTGAAAATTGATATAACAAAGTGAGAACAGCAAACATTGGACAAAGATATTGAGCTATTCTTGGGTTACATGAAGTGTGTCTTATTGGATCTTGTTGGACTTGTGTGAATTAAACACACAGCTACACGATGCTTGCGAGGGAATCAGTAATCGGCGAAACGGGAGTTCAGTTGTCGATTGTTCCACGCACAGTGGTTAGCGTATCTAATCCTTCAGTGATTCTTCGCTGTTCGCCCTTTTTCCTGTGTAAGATCTGCGTGAGAAAGTTATGATAGAGTTATGAGCGAAATCGAGATCGAAAAAGAGTTTTGATCGATCGAAAGATCGAATGACCGAAAAGAGATTTTTAGTCCTAGCTGGAAAGTTGCAAAACGGCGAGTGAATGGATGAATAACATGCAAGACAGAGTTCAATTTGATTCAATGTCTAAATTGAATAACTGTGTCTCTCCGCAGCGACCCCCTCTCCTTTCTATAATCATTTTGAGCATTTCGCCACATTCCCAGCCAAACGGAGGATACTCTTTGCTCAAGCTCCCTCTTTACGTATGCAAATCTGTGCACAAACGTCGTCGGACGATCAAAATGTTTTGTCTATTTTCGTTCCTCCGTCATTAGTATGTAGTGCTAGTACATTTCATGTACCGGGAATTTTACCCGTTCTCGTTATTACAACGCTTCTGTGTTTTTCTCACCAAACAGTAATTGAGACAAACACACGCGGCTTGCGTGAGCACAAATATTTGGGGCGAGTCGAACTGAATTGAGCTCATTTACTAAACGAGCTGACCACAATGGCCGAATGATGACGAACCTTGGCCGGGCCAAAATTGTGCGCATCTCACTCACATTGCCAACCTTTGCTCACTATTTTCGTAGGATTTCTGCTTGAATGGAGATCCCATCTTCTTATGGGCTATAGTGAAATGAAATCTGCCAAAAAGTCAGTCATGAGTTTCATCTGAGAACCCTCCGCCCCTTCGTTTGCCTTCCTTTCTTCGAAAAAAGAGCGGACATTAAACATTCCACTTCCTATTCGGAATTCGAAATCGAAATCGAAATGGAAGATGTGCCCCTTACGAGTTCCATTGTGAGGTATGTTTTACTGTGCTCCATAAAACGTCGCTTTGTCTCATGAATATTTCGTCTCTCTCGAGATAAACTTTAGCTTTTACTTTCACTTCCACTTCCATTCCACAAAAAGGTATTGCAAAAACTGACGAGACGTCATATTTCTTTTTTCGTCCGAACTCACTGCGATATGTCAACAAAATCAGTCCCTGGAGATTGTATCAATCAAACATTTCAAATGCAAAAACATTCCTCCAAAAACCCTTCCGTCATGATGAAATGTGTACTTGAGAATGAAACGAATCTGTGGAGGTCTTCCCCTTCCAATATATAAATATACTATCCTATATTATATTTCAAGATTTATCCTCTTCTAGTTTGTTCAGCGGATGAGGATGAGTGCACTATTCCCAAAACGATACATTCCCACCGACTCTGTCATAGGCATTTTTGGAAGACAGAGAGAGAAAAATTGAGCCGTTCATCACTATCAAATTTCATAATCTCTCTCAATTTTCCAACGTCTTCTTTCTAAATAAGACGAATCGAATGGTGAATAGGAATGAGGCCCCCGATATCTCTTCCACACCACTTTTCTTTTCCCATTGTCGCATCCATTTCGTTATATTCCTATTCTTCGTCGCCAACTCGATTCTATTCAAAAGTTCGGAAGATCCTTTCCGTTTCTTTTTCAATGCTCTTCGCTTCTATTTTCCGCCGCTATTTTCCTGTGCAGTTTGTTCGTTCAGCGAAAGAGACGGCTTTGAAGAGAAAGAAAGCAGAAGAAGAAGAAGAAAGTCCCGCCCCATCTCCTTCCTCCTAATTTTTTGTGCTCGGCGGTACATGCCCATCAAGTTTGGTTTTCCGTCCATCCAGTTCGACATTCTTTTTCTAATCAACCCGCCACAGCACTTTTTTCTTCCTTTTGCCCAGAAACTTCTTGCAATGTTCAGCTGATATTTGATCTGTTGAGTGGAAACTTGAAACTCAAACCAATACGTTCCTATGACAACTTTTTGTTTTCGACGGCGATGTTAATGACAAATTAGATGGTTCGTGGAAAAACAGACGACTTTTTGTCTATTTTTAAACCACTCAATTAACCATTTGGCCACTTTTTTTTCAAGCGTTTGAATTATGCATCAAACACTCCGTTCTGAGTTAACGGTTCCAAAAAACAATTTGCACTGCTCTTCTGGTACATTTTCACGTAAAAACACATTCGGTAACAATGGCGTGGGCGTCAGTGGCTGCAAATCTGTGATTCCACAGAGAATTTCGAACAGCGGAAGATAGAAGCGGGGCTGAATAATTCAAAAGCAAGGCTCGGTTCCACCCACTTTTAGCTGCATTCATGAATCATGTGTCTTGTTTTGACGGACCTCTTTAACGATTTCACGGGACGACACACATGAGCAGCATCTCCCCCCGTGGGAGTGAAAGAGGTACTCAAAGACGTGTCCACCACAAAACAGCTCGGACACTCGGGGCCGGTCGTCTCTAATCCCTCTTCGATTGCCCCGGTACCTTTTTTCTCCGTCGCGGCCGTGCCCCCCGAGCCCCCCTCCCGTCGTGGCGACCACGTTAATTGTATCATCGTTGATCGGCCGCAGAGACATTCGAAAGTTCTAATACACTTGGAGACAAAACATGCATCCTTTGCGGAAGAGGTGAGTTCCCCGCCGCGCTCATTGCACGCCACATTCGTTTTGCTCATTCCATTAGGAGATGCCATCTTGAGAAGAATGCATTTACGTACTTACTTTTGTCAAGAAACGTTCTGATCTCTAGAACTTTTCAAAATATAATTGAAAATCTAAATCTAAATCCTTGTTCCTATCCCATTCCTAATCCCTTTTCTAACCTCTTCTTGCTGCTTTTCGCTCTGGAAAAATTGACCTTAACGAAGTGACATTTGTCGTAGCACGACACAAACCAGAGTTCATTAGCATTATTTTATTTCTTTGCCCCGGCTGTTTTATGCCTGCGCCTTCTGCCGCTGCTCCTCGACCCGATGATTTCGTATAACTTTTGCAGCTTCTACACACGTTCTTGCCAGTCCCTCAAACCGTTTCTATATAAATAGAAGAGAAAAGTCAGAAATTTCAAAATTTTCCTACTTCCGTTTCAATATCGGATTTCTTTCGTATCAAAGTTTGTGTTCTCTAGTTTTTTGAAAACTGGTAGTTTTCTGCGCGAACATTCTTCTCACCCATCTCTCATTTCGTCATCAACCTCGATAGAAGGATTCTGGAAAGGGCTCAAGAGGTTGCGCACACTTCAGACACTCGCCGCTTTATTTAGAACACCAATTACGTTTCAAGATTTTTTGATGACGTCTATCTAAGACAGCACAATGTTATTCCGTAGTCTGCATCCGCTTCCTTATGTTCTCACTTTTCATCAGAGTACGATGCCTGATCATTGTGCTAGAATAAGAAACGCCGTTTCGGCTCGATGAATTATTAAAAAGAACGATGCAAAGAAAGGGCCATCTGAAAAATTTAATACCTAATTGCACTATGAAAAGAGCCACAATTATTCAGCCGTTTGGTTTTATAGGCTGCTCGCCCTATTCTCTATTCTCATTTCTGTTTTTGCCTAACTGCATTTTGAATTGTTCTAAATGCGTCACAATTGAAACGAGATTTCTTTTCAATTAATCTCGACCATTTGTGTTGTGCATGAATTCGGTCAGATTGGGTGCATCAAGTTTTGTTTTTGGAATTGCGGTTCCCGCTAGTAACTCGCAAAAAGCAGAGAACAGAAGAATTCGAACAGCTCGAAACTTGATTTATGTAAATGCGAGCAAAGGTTGCGACACAGAAATAGTGTTGTTTTTCCGCGTCGAAGTTGCTCGCTCTGTGTACGTCACAGAGAGGTTCCGACGGCCGATCTTCAAAGACAGAAACACTTGTCCCGTTTGTTTTGATCGCTGGTCACAAAAACAAAATGACTGCTCCGAGACTCTCTGATCAGGTGGCACTCGGTACTTTTTTTCAAAAATCTATCTATCCTTGAGCAGGAAGCGGAGAAAGGGATGTGCAGGGACTCATAAAAGGGCAAGAGCAGAAGCACATGACTTTTTGATCATTCTGGAAACAAAACTGCACCATTCCGTTTTCTTGTGCTTTTATTCTAAACCTTGTGTTTTTTCTGATTCTAATTTTTTCAGGCTTGTAAAACTTTTTAATTTTGAGTCTGCAAATTATGTTTTCCTGCTCGCCGCTAGCTAATTACCCGAAAAAACGTTTACCGAGTATAAAATCGATCATTTTTTTGGAATGCTTTTAAAAATTTTTAGAAGCCGTGCCGATTTTGAGAAGTAAAAAGAAAAATAAAAAACAGGGCGAGAAAACTTCAATTTTCCGCTCATCCGGCCCGTCTAAAGTCTGTTAAAAAGATTCTCTAGCTTAGATGCTATCACTTACAACGAATGCTCTGAAATTGATTCAGCCCATGTACCAAATCCTTTTTTCTCCTTCGTTTTTCTGTAAATCGCTGTGCTTTGAAAGCCGATGCCGTCAGACAGGAATGCCCGAAAAAAAAACAATCTTGTTTCTTCCTCCCCCCGCGCTCACGTTTTCAGTTTTCCAGTACATCCTTCACCACCAATTGAAAGACGTTTTATCCTATTCTGATTACACATAAACATGTGAGTAGAAAAGGAAATGAAGGAGAACACACAGGAAAACGCAGAAGAGAAATGGAGAGGAGATGGGTCAGAAGGAAAAAGGGAAGGGAAGGGAAGGGCGGACTCGTGCTCAGTGCATCTCGTCGAGGCCGTCGTTTCGTTCTTCCATTCATTCGGCTATTCATTGAACCCCATCCGGACGATCATTTAGAAGGCCCAAAAACCGCATTTCTTGTCGTCAGCACTAGTTCTTTGCTGCCATAATCCACTGGGAGCCGTGCGCTCATTCCTGCTCCTACTTATTACTGCTGCCAAAAAAACCTAACGTCTTCTTCGTCCTCTTCCTTTTCCGAGCAATGAGACGCCACTACTCTTACCACGATCGGCCCGCAACCTATGCCCACTGGTCTAAAAATAGAAGACTATTGCTGTGCAAAATGCTTCCCAAGTGAGTTTCATTCCGCCCGTTTGTCCGTGCTGTCCATTGGTCACTGAACAGACAGATCAAATTTTCCGTCGGTTCGGGTGGTCCCAACTCGCAATGTCTACATCTATTTTTAACTAGTCTCCTCTTTTTTTGCGGATAGAGAACGAACGTCGAGGAAAAGTTGTAAACACGAGTGTTGGTTGATGAAATTTGAATGCTACGTCAGAGTCGTCAAAGAATCCCTTTAGTGTGGGATTCACAGTATCCGTCCACACATTCAGAGACATGTGTTCGAAGACCAAATCGGCCCTCTGGCGACGATTTTGTCAAAAGTCACGTTGGACGCAAGGATTTCGGGGGATTCCCAGCACGGTTATAGAAAGTAACAAGCGTCTGGGACAAACATTCGCACGCAGTTGCTCAAGCCGTCTTACTGACTTAACTTTTGCGGCCCAAATTAGACTTGCTCATGAATCAGACAAGTTGATCATTCGAGATGGTTCTGCGTCGTTCTTTTTTTCCCATTAAAAATGATAGATTTATAGACTTCTAGGAAGGCTTTTCGACTATTTATAACAAGTCAGAAATCTACGAGGGTGCGAGGAAGTTTCTCGTTTTTTTAAGTGATGAATGACAAGATTCTACCTAACATTTCCCTGAATTTCGCTGACTTAACTGGTTGGAATTAATTAGTGCTGAATGTTTCTCTTCATTTATTCCGGTTTTCAATTCATTTTCTCACTAAACTCCACTCCATCTCATCAGCGCATGCCAATAAGAAATGTCATGGTCGAGCTATTTTGAAGTGCGGGGACCATTCGTTTAATAAGAATAAGTACTAGACTGCACAGGATATGAATATTTCATGATCAATGGTTTTTTATCATCCTACGGGACATCTGTTTTTGATACTTTTTTTTCAGATATTCTAGACTTTTCTATTATTAGATTTACAGATCAATGACTTTGTCGGTGCCTGATTGTGCAGAAGTGAATCGGATCCGCATGTCAAATCATCGAAAAATGAGCTTGGGAAGTGCTCCACTGATTGCCAACGGAAGACCGAGTCCGCCACCAAGAAGGACAAGTTTGGCAGGTTGGTGAACATCCTCGGCTCGAACTTGTATAGATTGAAAGCATTGAAACAGTTTCAGTGCATTGTGCTTTCATATAATAATAAAATACATGTGATAATTGAATCGAGCTTGTCTGGGTTGACCGTGATTCAATTATGGCGTCTTTAGAGAAGTATCTTTTTGTGTTTCTTTTACTTACATTCTATCATGGAAAGAGCTGGGGCAAGTTGACGGTTATATCAGAAATTGTTTATGAAACTAAAAGAGACTGTAAGGTGCTTTAAAGCAGACTAGCAAGATTCCGGACCGGCCCCGGTCGGCCCTTTCAAATAGACGGAAATTTATTAAGTGTTGGGACCTGCCAGAAAAAGAGCTCATGTTTAGTTCTGAAAGAGTTCTGCTATCCACATACTAATCACCTTGAACCTAATTAGCACTCACTCTATTCGAACTTCAACAATTGCGTCCGAATGTCATTAGGCACTTTTTGCGGTCTCCGAAAGAACCAAAAGAGAAACAAACTTTAAATTTGAGCTGAGAGACACGATTCATTTAGTTTTATTTAGTTCATTTTTTGTCGAAAAGGACGGAGCTCAGCTTTTCTTCTTTAAAGGTGGAACTACATTCTTGAGCTGTTCAGTCTTTTGGTCAATCTTTGACTGGAACTACCGTACTCTCCGTACGAAGATGTCGAGATTTTAAAAATTAGCTCCGTTTTGAGCGTCGTCCGTATCTTGCGCCTACAGTTTTGATTACGTTAATTTTCAAAACAAAGATGCAGTGGCACATGTATTCCACGTCTTTCTGTACCATTGCCTAGAAATGCAACGTGTTGTAGGTGAGATATTATTCAATGAATCGAAAAGTAGTTGCTCAGAAATCAAGAATCTAAAGTTGAAAACTAGTAACGAAACTTGTGATGTGTTGTTTTCAATTCGATGAAAAACTTTTTTTCCGAAATGAGAATATGAAGGAGGTGAAGAGCAAGTGAAGGACGTCTTGGCACCTCTCCATCTCCGGAGGCGTCTCTCCGTCCTACTTTTGCACCTCCTTTTTCATTTCATTTGGGCTCGCGCCTTATTCCGATGACGACACATTCGGTTTGGTGCCCACCACCAAATTGAGTGTTGTTTGCCCGATTCCGCCCATCCATCCACATGGCGAAAATTTCCATTTTTCTAAAATGCGTCTTTTCATGTGCCGGCATCGCGCTAATTCGCTTGTAATTCAAGCCCATCAGACTCGATTTCTGTGCTTTCCGAAATGTCGGCCCGACGCGCCCTTTTTTCTAAATCTGGCGTAGAGCTCCGTCATTTTTGTGCGAGCAATTATAGAAAAATGCTTGTTCTTTATTGCTATACAATCATTAAAAAGCTCAATTTTACATAAACTAGATTACTGTACTCGGCTAGTTTCATGAAATTCTGACCGCTGGCCTTCCATACATTTGTAAAAAGTGTGCTCCTCCGCAGATATTTCCGTTCATCCCTTCCGCATTCATACATTTTTTTGCAGAAAGCAAGAGGACCGGCTCCTCATTTCCCATTTTACAGAATGCGTTTTGTTTTCTTCGGAATTGCAGCTTTTCTGCAGAAATAGTGTCCACACCGAGCAAATGAGCTATTTCCCATCCTCTTCCGCGTGCTTCAGCGATAGTAAACCAAATTTCAGAAAGCATTCGCACACTGGCGTTCACTGCTCGTCGCAACTCTTCTCCTTTGTACCGCAAGTCGACGAAAAAGCTCAAAAAAAGTCGACTCGTGGGCAAAAATGGTATTTGTAATGTGTACAATACCAATGTGCCGAAGAAAGATCGACAATACTTGAGGTGAGTGCTTCGACTGTAAAGCTTTCGAATAAATGCGTAGGAAAAGAGGAAGAATTTCATTTTCAATATAAATCGCCCACAACAAAGATTCTTCGCGAGCGCTTTAAAGATATTTGCAAAAGTGCACATTCTTCAAACTTCTCTGCTCAAAGAACGTGCAAAAGGAATAATAGATCAAAAGTCCGCACTTTCAGAGATATATTCACCACTCTAATTGATGTGAAATGGCGATGGATGCTCTTGTTGTTTGCCTCGGCATTTGTCCTCAGGTACAGAAAACAGTCATTTTCCAACAACAAGACTTGGATTTCAGTTGGAGCGTCTTCGGAACTGCCTACTACCTCATCGCGCTGGTCCACGGCGATCTCACACTTCCAATCCCTGCCAATCATACAGCATGTGTCATGAACCTCGATTCCGTCTACTCTTCTTTCCTTTTTGCTGTGGAAACTCATCATACTATCGGATATGGACACCGGTACACATACATACTAGCGGGCCATTATGTGAAATTGAAAATATGCGCGCAAAACCAAAATTCGAATTGAATGCACAGATGGAAGAGAAACACGCACTAGGCAAAGATCGTCAAAAACAATGCAACATAACCTAGTACGTGTTTTCTTCCATTCTTTCAAATTCGTGTTCCCGAGTCGTTTTTGCTTCTATTCACTTTCTTCTCATTACAGTGCGTTTACAGCGCCCCGATGTTAGAATTCCCGTCGAGAAAAGTTTTGTTTCAGGTATATAACAACCGAATGTTATCTTGCCGGAGTCATTGTTTGTCTCCAAGCTATTTGCGCTCTTCTTCTTCAGTCGTTCATGGTCGGAATAGTTTTTGCCAAAATGGCAAGACCGAAAAAGAGAGCAGAAACTATCATCTTCAGGTATCAATTTGTAAAACCAAATCCTTACTACGTGTTCTATTTCAGTGACAAAGCGGTCATTTGTCTGCGTGACGGTCAACTCTGTTTCCTCTGTCGGGTCGGTGATATGCGAAATACCCATTTGGTGGAGGCTCATGTCCGTCTCCAGTTTATCACGGATCGGGAAACCAATGAAGGAGAGGTATTGCACACTTTCACATTTGCCTTTTTTCTACTTTCCCATTCAGATTGAGCCACTCCATCAATTCGAAATGAAGGTCGGACCTTCGATTTCCGACGACGACCGCCTTTTCTTGGTAAGGGAATGGGAACGACTAAGAGTTCAGAGCTCAAGCAAAAAAAAACGGAAATAGAAAATAGAAAATGGAAAATTCAGTTAATCTTGAGTTCGGAGTCTAAGCGGACGAACCAAAAAGAAGAGGGAATAGATTTTTTTGTTGAGATTGGAAAAGGAAAAAGAAGAAGAAAAAGTAGACGTTCTTAATGGAATTTTCCGTTTTTCCACTTCTCCGAGGAAGCCAGACGATGACGCAAGGGATCTTTCAGGTTTGGCCAACTACTCTCTGCCACGTCATCGACTCCCGCAGCCCGCTGTACAATTACAATCAGCAGACTCTGATGTCTGCTCAATTTGAAATCATCGTGCTCCTCGAAGGAATTGTCGAATCGACCGGAATGACCGCCCAGGCCAAGACTTCCTACCTCCCATCCGAGATCCTCTGGGGCCATCGATTCCGTAAACTTGTCACCTACCAACGGTCCAATGGATCTTACCAGATTGACTACGACCTCTTCAACAGCACCTACCCAGTCCGTACCCCTGCTTGCAGTCCCGCTGAGTTCTATTCCTCGAAGCCAAATGTAAATTAACGAATTCGAAGATCTGAAAGTCCCCATTTTCAGCTTAAGGACTATTACTGCCATGACAGTCTCGAGCACAAGTTGGAAGAGAACCGCTCGTCGGACTCGACCCCGCTCCCATCGCCCTCTCCATACAGTTACCCATCAACTCCCATGAATCACTTCCAATCGTCTTCCAACTCGCCGCTTTTCTCTAATTCCCATTCGAAATTCAATACCGAGGTGAGCTCATAAAACTAATGACTCGCATTCAATTCCCTTTTTGGATGCGTTTGAATGAGATTTTGAATGGGGATGCGAAAGTGAGCGCAAACGAAAATAGAGTGCACAACAAGATTTTCTATTTTAAAACGCTTTCAGGCGGTGACATGTGAGGCTGGAATGCTCTGCCCGCCGACAATCGTCGTCCAATGTCCGTCGACATGCGCTTCGCCGAATCATATGAGACGTTCTCGCAATCAAATGGATAAGAGTCGTACCAGGTACCGTGTGATTGAGGGGAAAAGAGGAAAAGAATCGGGAGGAACAGATTGAAGGGAGAAATCGAAAAATCATTGTCGTAAAATGACGAATTCTTCAACGCCCACGAGAAAATTTGAGATTGTCTAGTTTAAGGAATCTGAGCACAAATTATCAGTAGGAGGTGGATTTCTTGGACGCCGACGTTGTGCAACCCGACGTTTTAAAACCGCGACGTTTTGATACGACCGTGAACTACTTATGTTAACGATAACTGTCAATGTTCACGTTGGTATCAAAACGTCGGGGTCTCAATTTCTTATTTAATGCTGTCAGTGTAGGGCACTTATGAAAATAATCTATATTTTTTACAACTTCCCGGTGTTCTGTGTTGATCTTCCGAAATCATTCAAATTTTTCCCAGTTTCGCAATTCATTTCTGAAAGTTGGTAAACTCGTAAACTTTTATGCTGGGTCATTTCGCAGCTTCTCGCGGGAAAGACGCATCAATACGGTATCTTCAAAGATCACCTTGTCCGACAAGACAATATCGGAATGAATTTTAACAAAAACTCAACTTCTAAGACTTTAACGCAACTTTCAGCAGCTCCTGCGATCTGACTCGTCCTAGCACCGCTTTGTCGGATCTTGAGGAAGAATGCTCCGACAGCGGATCTCCGACCAAGTGCCAATCGCCTCCAGTGGTCCCCATCCACATTGAGATCGTCAGCGAGACATAGCAGTTTCCTTGAATTAGGGTTCTTTTTGTACTACATAATAATTCATTTTCTACCCGATGATTCTGATATTATCCTCTTCCCCATGTTGTCTATTTACTTATTTATTCCCATTTGCTGTACACCCGCTTCTTCTGCGAACCCCAATTTCAATTACTGTTTTTAGCCATCAACTTGCTTTTTCTTTGGAATCTCCACTTTTAAAAATTTCTCTTCCTGCACAATAACGGATAGGCGGCGCGTAACGTCCCATCCACCGGGCGCCGCCCTATAAAACTGTCCGTGCCCGATGCTCTCTTCCATCATTCCGAACTGTTTTCCCTGTCCCGACGGCTTTCTCCCTCCCTCCCCCTTCCTCCTTCCTCTCCACTTTTCATCCACTTTCCGCAGAAACAATCCCTGCAACACCTTAGCCCATCCTGAGAGCATTGCCTCAGAGAATTAATGAGCACTCGGTTCCCTTCAAGCTTTGTACTTTAACTCCCAAAAACTGTGGATTGAAATTGGAGTCATTCAAATAAAGTCTCAAGAAGAATGTGCCGATCGGACGGGGTTTCGCAAACAAACAGCTTTTTTTCGAGCCAAGGGCGAGCGGGCGAGAGGTCACCTCTTGAAGACATTGTGTGCACTTGTTGGCCTCTGATTCATAGGCCTTGACGGGTTGAAGATGAGGGAGACACCAACGGAACACCCGTTACCATGCCCTTTTTGAGCTAACAGCTGCGGAGGGCAAAGAGTTCGTTCAAATTAAAGCCATCCCGGATGTGGTTCACAACGTCAACAAGTTCTTTGGTTCTTCTTAGAGAATCCTTTGGACATGGGTGTAAAGCCCGTTCTTAAGGCCTATATGGCGGTTTGAAGGGCTCACAACCACTGTTATTCTGCGCAAAATTTGCAAAATGCGTGAAATGTGAAAATTTTGCCATATTAATTCACTACCCCTTTAAGGCACTAGGCAAACGTTTTTCTGAAGCGTTGTTTTCATTATTTTGGAAAAATTCCTATTTAATTCGAGTTGAACACCTTTGAGCATCTAACTTACTACTGTATCCCAAAGCTATGATACGGTAGCATAATAGATGAAAAAGTATTGTGCATTCGGGTTACATTAGTCCCCACAGCCCTTGAAATTAATAAGCTTCATCTTTCCTACAAGCTTTACCACTATGACTACGCTTGAGTTTTGACATAATTACAGTCCGTTGAAGTATAGGGCCACCCCTAAAATAGATTATATCGTCTTTTCCGAACAAAATACGAAAACAGGACCTTAAAAATCGAAATCAGCATCACAAATAACCCGAGGCAAACAATTTTGAGAGCAGTGCATAGGATAGTTAGGGAATGGTCCTGAAATATCCTGAAAAATCCTGAAAAGGTCCTGAAAAACCTGAAATGTGCTTCAATAATTTCACCTTTTTCCACTGCACTGTGCGGTTTTTTAAAAATCATTTTGTGGGGTTCCTGGCATGGATTATTGTCTGAAAGACCCATGTCGGTATCACTTTTGGTTCTGGAGGTTCTTTATAATTTTGCCCAGGTGTGTATAAGTTGAGAATGAGATTCGCCAGTTACCGTAACCCATTCCCAACCAATCTTTTTCCCTCTCTTCAAGTAAACCCAAGTAGTTCCAGGTGGACAAAACTAGAATTAACTATTTCAAGCTTCAATTTTCCTGAACGAGTACCGTAATCTCAATGATTCTCAACCTGCTCCCTTTCTGTTAAATGCTACCCTTTGTCAATCTGGGCCGCGCGGGAATCACGAACACATGGGTGGGGGGGTAGGGGGCCGGCGACCTCGCTCTTCCCGTGCGCCCATCAGCTGCGTCGGCACATTGGACCGCTGCTCTTCAGTCTGCGCCCTTGGCATTCGCCGTCACATGATTCATTTGGTCACCAGCTTCATTTGCATTTTGTTTTGTGGTTGTATCTAACAATAAGGAGCAGTTGTTGACTACAATAGGGGCACTGTTAAGCAGCAAGTATTGAAAAGAATGATCAATGGGCGAATGCTGGTGAGTTGCGTGTTTTTCTCGGGTTTTCGAACTCAGGAGAGCTTCACGACAGGCAATGGTCGCTAACAGTTTATGACTCAAGACAGTTCTAGACGGCGCACGGAGAACAAACATTTTTACAGCAGAGAAAACCATTCAGCTGTCACTGGCATACCAAATTATTTAAAACCCAGGGAACGCAACTTTTTTGAAAGTTTTAATAGAATGCGTGAGAAGATTTGAGGACCCGCTAAAACCTGTCCCGTACGACACTCCACTTCGCTGAAACGTTCCAGAAATGGTCCGCGCGCACAATTGCCTCCGACAGTTGCGACGCGCGGTACACAGAGGTGTTCTTTCCTCCCATTTGCCCTCAAGTCATCATGTTCTCTTCCGTTCTGTGGTTCGCTGATTCCGTGTACAAGGTCCTTTCCGTTCTGTCTTGCGCGTGTTTCTTTGCTAATTTCTTATAAACTGGCGTCATTCGAAGACTTTTTTGATGACCTCACTAGCCGAGGGCAGTCCGCAGTCATTCTCACTGTTACGAGGTGTTCCCAATCTAAACAATTGGAAACAAACAATTCAGTTTTGGCCCCTTTTTGCAAAGACTATCATTTTTCCAAACTCTGCTCACGTGTCACTTTGGAACCTCTGGACTCGCGCCTTTCCACTGCTTTGTCGTAAATCACTGGGAATATTGCCTCGTTACCAAAGCGCTATTTCGTCGCACATGGTAACTCAGCCCTCGATCCTTGTTTTCTGATCCCATGCGCAATCATGTTTTCCCAGACATAGTTTGTTTACGAAAGCACAAAAAGCCGCCAGTTTCAAGGGAGAAAACTGTTTCTCCATCTTCTTTCTTTCGTTTTCCGATCAGAACCCCAAGAATGTCCAATTAGTGATAAATAATCAGTTGCACTTGTCATTGACACGACGCGATAAAAAATGCCGTGTAACTTTTTTTATGTCTACTCTGGTTATCTTTCATTTTTTGCTCTCTCCGTTAAACTATGAAGAACATGACTTTACATGGTATTAGATCAACTGATAAATTTTTGCTAATGCGTTTCCGTCGGAGGGGCTAACGTCACAAAATAAGGAAAGGTGGGAGGAGTTGTTGCCTTGTTGATAGGCAACATTTGAAAGTCGAGGAAGTTCTTTGTTCTGCTCTTATTCCTCTATTTCGTCATATTTGAGCCTTTTTACTTTTCTCAACTATGCTTTTCAGTTCACATCGGCCTCTGTGATCTAAGACCGAATAATGTCGAATATATCGCCAGGACAGCAGTCCAAACAGAAATTTTCCATTGGTGCGCCCTGACTCTTCCACCCACGAAAAACCGTCATTCCAGGAAACGAAACGCCGGAGCCGCCAAAGAATCCAGGTCCGGTCGGCCGTGGCCCATTCAGCTCGGACCCGCTTGCCCAACTCTTCAACAATTGCTCGGAGGAAACCCCGCGTGAGTGAAGTTCAATTTTGCAAAATAGGAAGAAGGAAATGACGTAGATCAACCCGGGGGACGCGACGGGGGTCGGATGCTGTGATAGCATCAGCACAGTGTCAATAAATTAAAGAGAGCAAAAAATTGCTTGTCGACCAGAGAATGTGTTCTGAATGTGAGGTATAATTGAACATTTCAGTAATTATGCCGGTCCCTGCAAGCGCGAGGACCTCGGAGAGCGCGGAGAACTCGGAGGGACCAGGAACTGTAAATAGACCAAGCGCCGATCTGACGGTTTCATCCAATAACTCCAACAACAACGACGGACACCATCTGGTCGTTGAAGTGTTCACCATAAACGATGACTACAAAACGTGGCGCCAAGCGTCTCGATTTGCACGTTACGTGGAGGATTTCGAAGGATATGACAACCATCTCGGAAAAGCGCACGTACCGCTTTTCTCTATGGGAACGTATCATGCTCTGCAGAAGGTCACGTCAAAGAGCATCCTTTTGACTGATGTCTCGTACGAATCATACGACGAATTCACCACGTTTCTGGAGAGCAACGTGGTCGACGGAGACGTTCCGAATCTAGGCATGGCAGTGACAAAGTTGCTTCGCAACCGCATCTCCACCCTGGAGAAGTCGAGGCCACTGAATAAAGTACACAGCTCGTCGACTCAATCTCTCAACCATTCTCCTCCGAACGGAAGAGTGAACCCGACACAAGGTGAGCAACAACAATTACCGGTAATCATGAAGCATTCAGGTGGGATACCACGCTCTCTGCTCTCGGCGCCCAACAATTTGGCCAGCTTGACATCTCACAAAAGACTGCCCACATCGGTGTCCGGACTCCGCTTCAAAGGCTCGTTCTTACAGTATGTTAGGTCGCTCAGACACAGTTTGCAGTAACATTTTCTAGTTCGACCTCACAAGCGCACTCTTTTCATCCTCTGGAGCCGGTCCTTTGTGACGAGGATAGTGAGATCTGCATGCTGGTCACTGGGGTCAATCTGGACATTAATGTGTGCCGGCTCATCGTTGTTCGCTTCACCGAACCCACTTCCATTCCAGAGGCACAAAAAAGAGTATATGGACAGTTTCAGAACTGAATTTATTTCAGGTGTTCCCTCATACGACCAACATCCGTCACATCTTCTTCCTGATCGGCCCCAAACTGGAGGACATGGAATATCTGGATATGGGCCGCGCTCTCGCGGCCGTTGCCTCCAATCCGGTTAGTTTGAATTCAATGAACGAACAATGCGTAGGTAGAGTGCAAAAAGTGCAAACGCAAGCGTATTTTTCAAAAGAGACACACGTACACTTGTTCGAAATCCGATGAGAGCGCGGAAATAAAAATAAAATGGGAGAGATTGAACAACTATGAGACCTCGTACTGCGCCATATAGTTTTGAATCGAACATTTTTAGGCAGGAAGTTGCGTGAGGTAATAATAATTATCATATTTGCGAACATCTAGTCAGGGTTTCACAACAAGTGTCATCAATCTTCGTTGTGATGAAAACAAGCAGAGATTCTGCATGTTGTCATCAATCTTTTCGGCTTCTTAACTCTGTCTATGCCGTCCTTATGTACACTCTAGTAGAAAACAGACGATTCTTATAAAGGTCATCAAACAGATACCACCGTCATGATCTTTGAAAGGTACGGTAATCTTGATAACGGGGTCAACATGGGCTATGTTTACGCAATCCCGATGGTCTTTTTTTCCGTTTTCTGGACGTCTTCATTCCCTAAAAAAAGAATCCAATAAAAATGTTGTCATGGCCTCTTTAATTGGATGGGTTTCAGAACTTCTTCTCTGTCTTCGAAAAGCTCAGGTCATCGGAGAGCATCACACGAGCCATCGAACGGTAAGTCAGAAGTGACGTCGTACATAAAATTAAGATGAAAGGGAGAGATCTCTGCTAAAACTGGCCTTAGAAAGTTCTTACTAACGTATGTGGCATGCCATATCTCCTTTTTTCTCCCTGTTGCACGTGAACAGTTCATAGATTAACAAGTTTTGGCTTGTTCGCCTCTCAAGCACCATTTTGATCTTTTTTCTTCCATTTACGATGATTTTTGCGCAATCTTCCTCCACCAACCTTTGAAAATCATCTCCCATCCCAAAAGATCACTGTCGATGACGTCGCTGCTTGTCGCGGTGATTTGGATAAGCCGAAAAAAGTCGGTGAACGCTTCTTGATTATCAAAAATTCTGCATCCCCATCGTTCTCTTAAAATTTGCATTGAAACGAAATTCGTTTCGGTTTTTTCATCTCTCAATGAGCATCCTATTGTTTTGCAAATTTCCGTCATCCCATTGATCATTCCTTTTAGCGTCATATTCTGAAAATCGTGTGAAAAACACTAGATAGCTTTTAAAATGCCATTCATTTCAAAATACACCATGTAATCCCAACTCAAACTGAATTTTTCCAAAATCGTGCCTTTTTGTAATGTTGAATTCGCAAAATACGCTTTCCGGTTTGAACTAGCTAATTTCAATGAGAAAACAATTTTCCGAGTAACAATTCTGAAAAACCGGACATCTTTTTCAATTGGTCTTCTACAAACAAAACTTTCTTCAAGAGTATTAGATTCCATAAACTTTTATACAAGCTAAGTACTTTGAGATAATTTCAGTTTTCTCGCTGGAACGGTGGTCATCGCCCCGGGTCGCATCACTAACAAGAACGTCGTGACCGGCGAGTTGGTCCGAAAAATGGTGAACATTGAGGCGGAAAAGCAGGAGAAGAACGCGATTCCGCACCGCGGTAAGTTCTCTTTCGTCTACCGTTCGAAGTTTCCGGGGGGACGCTCAAGCGACAAACAGAAACTCACTATTTGACCTTTTGTACGTATGTATACACGTGCAAATATATGTGAAGCTTGAGACCACCCACCGAGTCACTCGAAACTTTTTCCTGTTTTGGAGGATATATACAAACGTTTTCGCGTGCGTATCGTATCATCTTCACAGAAGTTTCGCCTTCTTCTTTTCGGTGGTGTGCGTTACGTGGTCTTGGTTGACTGCTTACTGAAATTGTCCTCCTCTCGATGTGTTTGATTGTAATTGTCGGAATCACTGAAATTTATCCGGATTGAATTGAACAAACAGAACGGACACAAAATTCTATAATATTTTATTCAACTCTAGCCTAAAAACGTGTAAACTATGCTATCTCAATCTGATAAAGGTTTGAAGTTGAAAAGAGATCATAATTTAAATTCGCTATATTAACCTGGAGTTTCAGTTCATGCTCAACGCGTGGATATTGAACGAAATGCTCCGAAAGATCCGGAAGAGGAAGAGCCGTCTACCGGAATGTTCCTGTTCTCTGGAGTTCGTAAGGATCTCAAGAACCGCTGGAAATACTATTGGTATCAGCATACAAATCATTATAATTCTAGAAATATCTCATTTTCAGGTCGGACTATTGCGACGGACTAACTTGGTCTATTGTAACAGTCATCGCTTACATGTTCTGTGTCACTGTGGTCCCGACGCTCACGTTTGGAGCTATTCTCTGTACGTTAATTCTCAATGTTACTCCTTCTAAACCAAATTTGATTTTCAGCGATGGGTACAAATGGTATACTGGCGGTCAAAGAGTGCCTCATAGCTCAAGCCATTTGCGGATTCATCTGGTCATTCTTGTCTTGCCAACCACTGCTCATTATGTCTCCGACCGGTCCATTTTTGGTGTTCGAGAAAGCTCTTTTCCAGGTTGTTTGTTGATTTTGAGCTCTGAACCTATTTTCTTTTTTCAGTTTTGTCACTCGAATCATCTTGATTTCCTGGAAGTCCGACTCTACACGGGTTTCTTCTTGCTCTTTATTTCATCAATTGGGTCGGCATTTAACATTGCTCGTCTTATTAAGTACGTGACTTTGTACACTGAGGACATTTTTTGCGCTCTCATCTCTTTGATCTTTTTCTTCGAAGTCTTCGAGTTTCTGGAAGTTGTAAGTTTGGATAATGAGGAAGGATGGGGGGAATAAACAATTTTTTACAGCAACACCATCACAACGCAATCAAAGGACTCGACTATTACTTGAACAATAATTGCACTGATACGGATTCTGGTATGAGAAAATGTCATAAACTCAAGATATTGATGCTTGATTTTCAGAGGATTGTCATTTGAGCCGACCGAACTCTTTTCTGCTCCAACTCATGATGGTTCTGGCTTCAATTGCAGTTTTCCACTACCTCCGCCAGCTGAGTCGCTCTACTTTCCTCGGAAGACCAGTAAGAAATTAACATTTCTTTCAGATAATAAAGACGTTTTTCAGATCCGTAATCTTTGCGGTAACTTTGGTGGTTCCTTCGCTGTGGTTGTTGTCACTGGACTGTACCACATCTTTTTCGAAGAAGTTCATGTTTCGGTTGGTTTTCCTTATCTTTACGCTCATCATAATTGCTTTCAGATGGTTGAAATTCCCATAGATATGGGACATCATCATCCGAATGGTCTTTTGGTGGTTCCAACCGACCTTCCAACCATGAAAACCCTTCTAGTCTCCGCACTCGCTTCGTTGTTGCTTTTTGTGCTTCTGTTTGTGGAAACTGAAATCCCACAGCAGATGGCTCTTCGCGAATCGAGAAAGTTGAAGAAGGGAGGAGGTCTGCACTGGGATCTGATCGTCGCCGGACTATGCACAGTCGTCTGCTCCGTGATGGGTCTTCCGTGGCAATGCCCGGCCGCCGTTCAATCCCTCGCTCACATCAACGCTCTGACCATCTTCAAAAAGACTGCTCCGGGAGAACCGAGCCGTAAGAAAATTTCTCGTGAATTGGTTTTTAAATTAGTCTCACTGTGTTACAGGTGCTAGCCACGTCAACGAACAGCGTCTCTCCGGAATTGCAGTCTACGCAAGTCTCGCCATATTCTCGGTTGCTGGACACTGGCTCGCCATCCCATCCGCCGCCATCTTTGGTGTCTTTTTCTATCTTGGAATCCGCAATTTGGGTGGAAATCAGATGTTGTACCGCTTCAAACTGTGGTTCCTTCCGGCCAAGTACCGTGGCCACCACAAATATCTGGACATTGTAAGTTCCCTCGACTTTAAATAATGGGGGTTTGAAGCTCTGGTCGAGTGTTGACCGATTCCTCTACAATTTTCTGACTAGTAGCTTGTTTGTAAAGTTTGCTTTGAGAGAAGAAAAGCCACGTCCAAAAAACTTGAACTGGTTTCGCGCGCAGTTTGTCTTAATTCTTTTCGTTTTGCCGTCCGATTCCAAAAATGACATAGTTTTGTACAAACTTTGCGGAAGTTGAATTTGATCTATTTACTGGTGGAAGGGATGGTGCTGTAGGTGTCACTGCGTCACCGTGTCGACGTGTCTTCCTTTCTCAACGCAGATACACATACAACCAACCACGAGGCCGATTGTTTAATCATCCTCGCGCGCTGTTGCTGCGAAAAGGGTTGTCCCGCTCACTTTTCATTCGTCAGCAGCGCGACCGACAGAGAAAGAGGGAGAGAGAATGAGTGCCTGGAATCTCTTGAAAGGCTACACTTTTTCTCGAATCTGGACATTCTCTGATGTGTGTTTGTGTGCGGACGGACGCACCCACACGTGTGGCGGGGCGGCCACGCACATGTGCGCTTCACATGGGGCGCTCGCGCCGACCTACAATCGATGCAAACACCTGTAGAATCCGATGTTGCGAAGATTGAATTTCTGACTTTTTCTGATGAAATACCAAACTGGGATGAGAACTGTAAACAAGACCATTATAGTGTAGCATGAAGAGAGATAGCACAGAACAGTGGACTGTCAAACAAAAAACACACACACACATTTCTCAGATGCTTCTGACCCGTGCTCTTCGCTACTTACGTCATTGGGATTCCCATTGAAACACGAGTAGTTTGGTCATCTCTTTCTCTCGCTACTTTTGTAAGAACATGACGAATCGGAGATCAAATGGATGAAGTTTCCCGTTGTTCCTGAACACTTTGAAGGCTCCGTCCCTCTGCTTTATGCATTTCAAACTATCATCTTAAAAACACGTGCCGCCAGTCCCTTCCCTGTTTACGACCATTTTTTTGGATCTTCGGCCGATTTATCATGTGAAGAGCATCTTTTCGCTGCAAAATAAGATTGCCGCTGCTGCCGTCAGAACTTGTTCTTTGTCCTGGTCGCCCCTCGCCAAGGAGAAAGTCAATGGTCAAATGTGTTGTTATTAGCAGCGACGGAGAAGCACGTGCAGGAAAAGACCGAGAGAGATGGTTATCATATTGTGTAGTTGGTCGAATGGGCTTCCTCCGGTCTCGCATTTTTGCATCATCTGAAGTCACGTTGTCGTTCAAATCGGGTTGGTCGACACTGACTTTGGTTGACAACCGAAGACTGCAACGATGATCAATCGGAAAGGGGGTACAAAGTCAAATGGAATGGTGATTTTCGTCTTACGAATGTCACCCGCAGGTCTCTGTTATCAGAGAGACGAAAGTTATAGAGTGGGAAAGTTTAGACGCGAGCGGGTTCCCTCATCACATGAAACTCACAAGCGATGATCGAAAATCTCGGAAGCTGTTTTGTGTCAGGGTTGTTTTACGGGATCCCTCACATGATTTGCATTCCCCTAGGGCCTCCGAAGAGCCACTTGACGAACAAGCCACTGTGGACCGTTTGGAAAGGTGTTTGGAATGAATGAATGTGAAATAGAAACTGCAAAGAAAATAGTAAATACAATTTTTGTTTTTTTCAGGCTCCTTTCTACGTCACTGGAATATACACCTTCCTCCAGGTCACCATCCTTGTGCTGATGTTTGCCGCCAAGTCGACTCAAAGTGAGATTATACTTCTCTCCTCAAAAGCTATTTCACAATCAAATCAAAATTTTTTAGTCGGCGGTCTGTGCTTCCCGTTGATGCTCGTCGCCTGCTCATTCTTCGTCGCCAAAATCCTTCCACTCATTTTCACGAAGGAGCTGCTTGAAGCGGTAAGGTTTACAGTAGTCTTCTGCTTCCCAGTCCCCCTACAAAAATACTGTGCAATCCGCGTGCGGGCTTGTGTTTGTGTCTGTGACCCACCTCCTCCTCCCTATATTTATCGAAATGTTGACACTGGCGACCAAAACGCCGCGCCGCTGCGTCTGTGAGTCATTGAGTAGTAAGATGGAGGTGGTGGTGGTGGAAATAATTGAGGAAAGAAGGAAAGTGTACGAGTGTTTTGTCTGACTCATCCATGACCGATTGCCAAACTCCGCACCGTCCCCCGCTCCGCGCCAGATAGCAACGACGCACACTTTTGCACGCGTCTTTTGAAAGTTTCGTAATAGAACAACAGAGACAGGGAAGAAAGTGATATCAGTGATATGAGTAGAAAAAAGACAGCGGCCGGCGGTACACGCGGTGTGATAGTGTGTTTTTGATCTACAAAACAAAAACGACTGAGAGCGATGTTCATCCTGGGTACACGCTTTCCGGTTGTTACCCGGCAATAACACTTTCCCTGTCAAATACTGTTGTGGTTTTTGAATTCTGGAACACAGAACAATGCGTAATTGTCGTGTCAAAATGAAATATGGAATGATTCATTTGAAACCATTCACTCGGAACAAACATTGAGAACACTGAAAGGATTACTGTATCTGGTACAAAGTTTTCTATAATTTCAGCTTGACGGAGAAGACACTGGCGAAGGGGAAAATGACAATGATGACGTGGAGAACCCGGTCGATTTCTACTACAACACTCGCATCCCAGTCTAAACTTCCCGCATCAATTTAACGACATACGGTGTCAAACACGAATTCACGCTCGCTAAAATGTTTTGTTTAAATCTTCACACCTTCCCAAAACCACTTCAATTGTCATAATAATGCCGTTCCGAAAACAAAACATTTTTACTGTATGTACTATCATCTCACGCCGACCCCAGCCCCTCGAGATTCCCACCCCCAGTTCGTTCCATTTTATTTTACTTTCCACGCTGTATGTATACATATTAACGCTTCCGCTGTAGAAAACCCTAATTTCTCCTCATACACTTGTAAAGAACTTATTTTATGAAGTCATTCTGTGTCACTTTTTTTCCAGATCCATGCCAACGTAAGGTCATTGAGTTATTGTCCTAGCTGTGCCAACAGGAGCGTGCGCCCTTTCCAACTAGCTCGTAAATCGGTTTGATCCGAATGAACACACGCTGCGGCGCCTTCCACGATCGTCGCCACCGGTAGTGAGGTCACATTTCAAAATTGACTAGGAGTGTGGGGGCATCCCTCATAGTGTGTGTGTGTTAATGATCGGCCAGTATTTAGTTTCACCCAAGAGTCTCTTTTAACGCCTCCGCTTTAGTTTCGGGACGCGAAACCTCTTGCAAAAAGGCACTGCGAGAACGCACACACAGACAACATGTGAAGAAGCGGCGGAGCCGGGCGCTCAGCAGCACTCCCGGGTAGGTTTTTTTTGTTTTTTTTCCGAACAAACGGCTCGAAGTGTACGAAATGGAGGAGGGGACGTGCAGACAGCCACAAAAAAGAGAACGAAATCGAATCGGAACTGGTTACGCTTTGAAGCGACGTTTCCTGTAGGCGACTCTCCGCCGAACGAGAAAATTGAGATGAAAATTACCGTGTTTTCATGAGCCCTCTCTGCAAAAGCCTGATTTTAGGATTGCCTTCCCCCGTATTCCAAATGCAATTATGTCGTTCGTTCCGTTCGGTTTTTGAACTCGCTCACATTTTCCCGCAATTTCCAATTCTCATTTATTATGAGTGGACACCATTGCATGAATTATGGACTCTGACATGTTCTTTTCAAACCCTGCAAGCCATGGCTTTCTAAAGACGCATCGGAACCGCACGTCTGCAGTCGGAAGTATCGGAAGTGCCGAGATTACACCGATTGACCAGTGACTTTTTCAAGCCACATGTCTATCGGGCGTGCTTTGTGAAGAAACGTGAAGAAAGCAGGATTTCCCTCGGCTTTTTCCGGTGCTAGTCATTAGATCACTGCTATGTTCTCGCAGGTCCCCATCGGAAAGATCAAGTGAACAGAAGATGCTTCTTCGCTTCTCATTCCTCAGGTCATTTCTAATGCAGGCAACGACATTTCTCTCCCCATACGAGTTGACCTTTTGCAGGAAAGAAAGAGCAATGCTGTTCCGCGTCGTTCTCTCACTCCTTTTTTCCTTGTTTGGATTTCCGATTTTCGATCGTTGAGAAAAATGACCGCATTCGGTGCTTATGTGTGCGCGCCCGTTTTGCGCTGCTCTCTGTTTCTCGCCGGCATTGGAAATAATGATGCAATCGAAATAGATCTTCCTGGCGAGCAGCGCAGACATGTTTGAAAAAAAACGTTGCAAATTTTGCGAGGAGGAGAAGCCGGCGTGCTTTTTGGCGCAGCGCTGAGCTGAGCTCAAGAAGCAATAGAACGGAATGTGAAAATTGGAAAAATGAGACGCTCTGGGGGCTTGCCGACGCATTTCCTTCTGCTGCTCATACTCCGACGCTGTTTGATCTTTTGGACAAAGGTTCCCGATTTGGAGAGGGGGCGGAACGTCGGCAGCGTTATCACCCGAGTACAAACTTTTATCGCCCGACCGACTGGCCGACTGCAAAAGGCAAAAACTTTGAAAAGTGAAAACCTTTCCCAGACGGACAAGGCCATGATAGCGGTTCCGACGACGACGACATGATCTATGATGATGGGAGCGGATGGGAGGGGGATTTCCCAAGTGTCCTCTGGGAACTGGCCGATCTGCAAGTCCGTCACAAACTTCGGAGTCGGAAAAAAAGTCGAGGACGCTTCTAGCCGAACAAAAACGGGCACCGAACAAAAAACACTTCTTCATTGATCCCTGAACTCTTCCGAAAGTTTCTCCAAGGCCTAACAAGCGTGAGCGCCGCCAGCGCCATTCTTTGTGGCAGGGGGTTGAGCAGAACAAAACGAGACGCAATTGAGTGCAACAGTGACCTTTTCTTCTTTCCTCAAGAGCCAGAGCCAATGGCTTTTTGAGAAGGAGAGCTGTGTCTTAGCTGCCTTCTAGAAGATGCCTTCGGCCGTTCCCAGATGAATCATATGTACGATGATACCTCGTCGAATTAGGAATAATCGAAGGCGTTGTTGCCTGGGAGGGAAGATATTTTCGATTGACGGCGGAAACACAAAAGGGATTTGATTTCGCACGAGAAGATGGTCACGTTGATGGAGAGAGTACGATAGACGACGATTGAAAATAGTGGGAGAAACTGGGGGAGAGGGTATTTACAACACGATCCACGCGCCTCTACCGATCAACACGTGATCAACATGTGTGTTGCGAAGACTGGGTTCACCCTTCCTCTCTTTGTCTCACTGATACGATCATCTGACGAGACATCAGGGGAGTGCGTTTTGCTATCTTTATAAGTACTATCTAGAGTTGAAATAGAATGCAAAACTGTTTATTGTTGTATATTAATATATTATATTATATAATAATAATAATTAAAGGTTTTTTTGATTGTGAGGAATTGGCTGAGAATGGAGAGCAGATGAGAGGGGATTTTCAGGCAAAGGGAGAAGAATGACACGCAAAGAGAGTAACTTATTGGGGACGGAGCTTGGAAGAAATATTCTTCAACGTGCTCAATAACAGATCGTTAGACTTGGAGGTTGATAGGCAAGAACTGCGACACGTCAAATGGAGTAGCAGGAAGATTCAGGAGATCAAAAACGGTCTGAGGGTAAGCAAGAGGTCGCGGGAATGGGATCGGGCCCCGTGGAATAAGTCCTTCCGCGAAGAGGTCGATCATGTTCGGCTTGTGAGACTCCATTGGTTTGCTGGATGGTGAGTACTCCAGGTAACAGGGTGAGTCGCGAGATGAAGTCGAAGTGAACGATGACTCTCTAGACTCGGGCCGACTTTGAGGTTGAGTTTGGGTGAGTTGACTTGTCATTTGAGCGACTTCCTCGTCAGCTTGAAGTTGAGCGAGTTCTGCAGCCAACACGTCGTTTTCCTCTTTCAGATCTTGAAGTTGTTTCGCTTGGACATCATTCCCTTCTTGAAGTTCCTGCAAAATGTGATAATGAACAAAAATAACTTTTTGACTTTTTTGTGGTGAAACCACTCTTCCTCATCTTTTATTTCAGAACTAGTGGTACTAATTAGAAAACGGAAACAAGAAGGCACTTTGCATCATCATCTTCGTCAAGAAACAAGGACTAGTGGCTAGGGTCACAAGACGTAGGTGGAAGATAGAAAGAAAGGAAGAAAGGTCGCTATTGTCACACGACAATGATAACACGTTGGACGCACGTGGACGCAACTTACAATGATGTGATCCCTGGCTCGAGTCAACAGGGCAAGCGTGGTGTTCCGCATCGCGTCGCTGATGCAAGGCACCATCATCTTCAGCGTTTCGAGACATCCACGGAGGTTGGCTCTGCGGTTCTTCTCGAGCTCATTGTGAGCAGCGCGACTGTGTTTAGACGATTTCCTTGTTGGCGGAGAGCTACAGTAAGGATGGGATGAGGTGGAGGCACTGGAGCAGGAGGTGGTTTTCCTGTCTAGTCCGAGCTTTCCACAGAACAAGGATCGGAGTTCAGACTCTAAAAGAGAAGAGTTGAGAATGTGACAAGAGGCCAAGAAGTACCTTACCATTTGAAAGGTCGAACATGACTGGGGAAGTGGATCCTGGGGAGGAGGCGCTGGAGGTCAGAGCTCCCAGATCCAGAGATGCAATATCAAGAGTTGTGATATCGAACAGACGAGCTGCCGTGATGAGATGTCCGAGGTTGAGCTGTTGTTCCATTACAAACAAGGGAATAACAATTGGGGCGGGGCGTGGTTGGGGGACAAGAAAAAATAGGATGCTTTCTGGCGGGTCGTTTTGCGTCCAGACTGAGGCGCAGGAGAAGTGGGAGGAGGAGGAGGGACGAGGGGTGGGGAGCGTCAACCAACCCGGCGTAGGGGAGGGCCCTGGGAGAGACGATATGCAGGGCGGGCGGGCTAGGGCGGGCACATACACACACGACATCAGAGAACGAACCAGGAAAGCACCGAAGAGGCGACAGACAGTGAGAGGTCGTGTGAATGCACGTGCGTCCCGCATGAACCCGATCGCCCGGCATGAGGCCTCCGATTGCGTCGGGGGAAACCACATTGCTTGCCCGCGCACGCAAATAGCGCAAGAGACCTCGTTTTCACCCTCTCCGCTTCACACAGTCACCTTAGGTATCCCTCCCGCATTGTGACCGCGCGGAAGGAGAGACGGCGCGACTCGATCCGGCCCGCCTCGATCAGACTGCTGCGGAATCGTAAGATCGGTTTGGCGTGCGTCTTGTGTTGTTGCGATGAACGCGGAACGGGTACAAAGTGCATCAACTATCATTGGAGAATTGATTAAGACCAAAAGGGGGAACACCAGTCGGTCAACGTGCCGCGTGTCTATAACACTGTAACATTTTAGGGAATACCCACGTGAATTCCCTCGCGTGGAAGGGAAAGGATCGGTATTTCGGAACATGTCATTCCGTCTTGTGACTTTGATTGGATGGTTGCAACCCGCCCGACAATACGCCACGTTTACAGATTATCACGTGTGTAGGAATCAGTCCATGTCTCTTGCAATTCACTTCTGAAGTGGATGACGTTGTCGATGACGAGGACGACTTCTCGGTAAATACCACACTCGTTTCATGAATCAGTCCTTGAGGACAACATATTCGCCAAGAAACGTGTCTGACTGAAGGAAGGTCCTCAATTGGATTAATCGAGATGCACAGCGCAGCCGGCGAAACATGGTGGTTTTCATGTTTGTCCTAAAACTCATTGGTGATGCAAGAGGAAGAACATTCCGTGCCATTGACTCATCAGCTTCTGCAACCAGCGCTTTCGAAATACTTGCGTCTATTCATCGGATTGCCCAGCCAGCCCACGATCGTCTCGTGTTGCAAAAATCGCGTTCTATCGGGATTCACGTGAATGAGCGGATGGTCCTCCCCCCGCCCGAAAACTATGTACCCGATGCGATTTTCAAAGAGAGCACGTGCGGTGCTGCTCGAGATCCTGTCCGTCAACGCACACACTCACCCACTACTTGTTGCGCTTTTCTTTTTGATGAGTACGAGGGAAAATACATTGATCACGAGAGACAGCTCATGTGCCATGTGTTCATTTGTTCCAGAGCTTTCCCTGTCTGCAAAGTCATGTGGACTTTGCTCACATTCACTTGTTTCCGGCGCCTGAAACTTTCTTAAGCTCTTCGTATCCGGGTGTATCCAGAGCTCGATTTCTTGGGGGAAGCCCTCGTCAATCGAGCGAGTACGTGCGAAATTTTTAAAGTATTCGAGCGGCACGCAACTTGCACGCACATGCGCTGCCAACTTCCCCGTTAATCGAAAAATGCTCCCGAAACTCTGAGAATTCGATCTTTTGACCCCTAAGCGTCCAAATAGGTCGGCCAAAAGCGCCTCGAGCAAAAAACCACGGAGAGAAGCTTCCGTGCGGCTCCACGAATGTGTATCCCCTGTCTGCGAGCTGCTAAATTATTGATGAGAGCGCGCAGATATACGAAGTGGTCAAGTCAATCCAATCCGGCCAAGTTATTTTTGACGCCACCGCTGGATGCTACGACTGCTGCTGTGTGGCCTGCTGCAGCAGGAGCTGGAGAGCTGACTGGCACAAACATATACACGCTCTCCGCGAGTCGTTCGCTGTTTGTGCGCTCGCGCTCCGGCGGGTGTTCCCATCGTAGTTTTGTTGTGGCTGGGTGGCATCCATCCACCGTTGAAAAATACACCTTAATTCACGAGGAGTGGGCACACGAAATAGAGCAAGTCCCTGACCACCTTTTCATATTCATTCGCTCCGCAGGAAATATATATATAAATCTTGATGGCGGTGGGTGGCTGCTGCCGTCTGTCGTCGTTCGTTCCGTTGGTTGGTGGCGGGGGGGGGGCCACCCAGTGAGAGAAGAGAGAGAGAGAGCCGCCGCCAGTTCAACTGCTTATTATGCACGCGTCGTGGTGGTCGGGGACAACGGGACACAGGACGGATGGACGGGCGCACATCAAAGGATTAGTCGTCGTGTGTGTCTGCTGTCCCTCATCCACGTCATCGCGTTGTATCAAGTACCCGGAATGAATGAGCGGGGGTCGCGGCGTGGTTTCTGAGTTGATCGTTCAGTTACATTACAAATTCAATTACTACGTCGCCCTCTTTGTACTTTACACCTCTTGAAACGGAGGTGACTACGATTGGACATAATTGTCTAGTTCCCAGTGTTGCAACATGTTTTGTGATCGTCGAGGGAGCTGTTGCCCGGAAAAAAGGCACGCATTTTCTGCGCTCCTCCTACACACTAATTGGATAGAGGCTTGTGCGAAAGAATGCCGGGAAGTTGTGGACCTCGAATAGGGAAGCATCTGTGTCCAGAAATAGATGTATAATCAGGCAAAGTATGACCGCTATAAGGTTTTCGACAATTCAATTGTAGCGAAAAAGAGAAGCAGTCTAGAGAAAATCAGAGGGCAGATAGTTACTGCCCGCCGGAGACACGTGCAGTCCGGTGATAAGCAACGTGGTTGTTCTCCGCGTGACAATACAATTTTGCAGAGAAGTGGAGCTTGGGGTCAGGGTGACAACCTGAAAGTGCCATACACACAAAGTCCATCGTATAGTGTCGATACGCGAACAACACTTTGCCGTTTACCCGACTGCGTAATATCCGGTAACATGATCGCCGGTTTTCGAAGCGGTGAAGTAAATGCACGTGTTTCACGTGAATTTTGTGTAGAAAACAGTTAAGGTGAGAGGAAACAAATAAGGAGATTTTACTTTCTTCTCGTTTAACATCATTCCCGTGACTTGCTTCCAATTCATGTTTGCGCATAACTAACTTTGATTATGGTAGCAGCCGGCTTCATGTGATTGCAGCGTGTAATGGCTTCCAACTGTCTATCAGAACCGAAGTACGTTCAACCGAGTGACGGGGGAAGACCCTGTCGCGGAATTCACAGGGGCAGCCACGAGATTGGTCGACTGTTCTTTGCATTTGATCGCGCTGGTTTGTGATAATTTTTGGGAATGACCGTCGCCGAAACGAGGAGTGAAATGAGTGTACGCATTTCCCCCGTTTTCTCTTCTTTTCGCGATAAGGACAGTTTTGCGCCAGGAGTCTCGTGACATTTGTTCGTCGCTGCAGTAGAAAGCAAAGATGGGGGTATGACAGAGTGCTTCCCGAACCGCAGAATGAAAAGAGAGAAGTGAAGTTTGAACTGGCCTGTCAGCGGTACGTGATTTTTCTGCAGCCTGGAGGGGGAGTACGCGGAATTCGCAATGATGGCAATGACGTTCACCACAAACTCCGATTGTCCTCTACCTCCTACAGTATGTATTTCCTGGTCGGTTAAAGAGAGCGGGGGGAAAGTCCCCGGACCTTGTCAAACTCAAACATCTGACGATCTTTGTACATTCTTCTTCATTGCCGCCCAGACACTCCATTCCATTGTTTAAAATGTGTGCAGAATGCATACCGGCTGACTCCACTGTTTTGGCGTTCAAAATATAAACAAGAATAGAGAATGAGGGGGTTCGAAGTATACTATTATTGCTTCAAAAATGTGTTATTTCGGTCGAGGGCAGTTCTCGAGAATCCGGTGTTCACTTCGAGAACGACAAGATTAGTTCTAACACGGAATCGGCATAGCAGAGTAGAGAAGAGCAAAGAAAACTAAAATGGACTAATTTAATACTCAGATTTTCAAAACCATAGTCTATTTTGATCGCATAGTGTTATTCACCTGTTGTTCACGCGGTTTTCCCATTTTGCGACCTCAAAGTCAACTGATGATGGTTCCCAACTGGTTTTGATAGGAACGAATTGTTTTGTTTTTGGCCACAGACCGTTTCGTCTTGCAGACACCGTGGAGGAGAAACCATTGATGACAAAACAAAACACTGGTACACAGTGTACCGATGGAGAGATCAGAGACGGGGGGCGCCGATGTGTGTGACGTCGCTGTCGTTTCTCATTTTCTCACGTTTTCGTTCTACATCTCGTCGCCCACTTGGACTTTGTCCCGACACGTGCATCCCACGCGTGCCTCTGTGCTAGTGTGTACAGTGGAAACGGGACGACGATTGAAAATTATTCATCTGTAAGAGGCAGATATCAACACTGGTACGGTTGGAGGGGGATGACGGACGCAAACGAGATTTGCGCCGCGTGTATTCCGATTCCTCATCTTTCGCGCAAATAGTCACGTGGAAAGTGGATGCCGGTCTAGACACCTTGACTATCCTTTCTCGCGAATAGTACGGTAGTATCCATTTTGGAAGGGGACGTCCATCTCTCTCAAAGGATCTTGTTTATTTGTTGTGACTTGGACAGCTGATTCGTTCAAGCATGGAAGCATTGCTACTACTTGAGAATGACAACAACAAAAACAAGGCGCCGCGTCTCTTCTCTTCCTCGCCGTCGTAGTCGTCCGAGGCGGTGACGGGACACTGGGCCATCCACGGTTGGAAATGGAAAAATAGTTAGGGAAACTCCCCATGTGGAAACATCATTGACTCGTTCTCCCTCAACACATCAATGCGTCCCGGCGTTGTTGTGTTGCACGAATGTTACGAATGTGTCCGCTGGGGACAGGGACAGAAAGGGACCGATGGGAATTGAATTGGTTGCTTCTCCACTTCCTGGTGTTTTATTGGAACTATCAGATAGCGCCGCCGGCAAGGATCTTTGAACGGCTAACCGAGAGATGAATGCATTGCTGTTTCTTCTCCAATTCAAATAAAAGACAGAAAGAACAATTGACTTTTACAGCTATTTCTATGGATGTCTAGACGAAACTCAATTAGCCATGAGGTGGAAGGAATTCGTCCATCAAAGAAAGGCCATTTTCCAATCATAGTTACGCAACATCGTCTATTTTCGGATGAAAAAGGAGTCTTGCTTTAGTCAACACATCTAATTAGACGGATCAAACACGAAAGCATGCATGTGTGCCACCCTTACTGTACTATGTACTGATTTTTGTTTAGATCTACTTTAAAACGTGACAAAGGACAGCGTCCAATTCACATGATTTGACTATGTCATCTGTTTTCTCCTGCCAGATGTCACCGCTAGGACAGGAAATTGCAACGAAGAAGGAAGGGGGGAGGGGCTTCCCGGCCGCCCATATATCACTATCACCAGAAATCGTTATCATTTGTTGATAATGACTGGACGGGGAAAGGGGTTCCCCCGGGTGGAGATTAACCAGTCAAGAGCACACGTCTCCAAAAGATAACGTTTTGTCGTAGTGTGCAAATCGACGAACCGAAACTGACGGCTTAGAACTAATTCCAAACACATGTCATTCAGGATCAGGAAGTCTTGCTCACTTTGTCGTGTCTGAAGTTCAAAAAGCCCGATTCTGGCTTTCCATTACTGAGATTATTGGTTTTCTAATGACGTCTTTCAATTCGCTTCCCTTTACCAACATGCAAATGACACCTCAGAAGGCGCTCGTAAAAGGAAGAGGGAAAGTAGTGAACTTTGTCCACTTGCCCCCACAGAATCCTGCGAGGCTATTTGGAGGAAAACACACTCGCACAAGGAAGACAGACGCACACACGTGAAGGCGCATAGCGTGCACTTTGGCCATCAGACAGACGAAACGAGCCGCCGAGGAGCTCACACAACCAACCCTGCTTTGGCAGAATCGCCATTGGCTTTGGAATGCACTCTAAGCCCTCGTGTTATTTGAAGATAACACTTTCAATCGGGACGTTAATCGTGTATTGGCATGATGTCAGGGGACACTTTTGAAAATCATAAATGAAGTTATCAAGTTCCGCGTAAAGAAGAGCACAAGTCCTTTGGCCACGCTAAAGGGGGGCGCACGCGGTTCCTGTTAAGTGCCCAGATTGGCAGATCCCATCAACGAGCGCACTTTGTTTTTGCGATTTTCAGCCAGAATTGAATTCTGCTCGCAAAAAGTTCACTGCGCGTTCTCTTTTCTCGAATTGTCAAGCACTTTGGGAGGTTGTTTGGAGAATGGCGCTCGCTCGTGGTGGAGCGTCGAGACACGTGTTTTTCAGTCTTTCAGGAGAATGCGAAAATAAAAGCGCAAAAGGTTCCTAATTTTTGATCGTCGAGTGTGAGATTAACCAGTCAAGAGCACACGGCTCCAAAAGATAACGTTTTGTCGTAGTGTGCAAATCGACGAACCGAAACGGTTGTCACCCTGACCCCAAGCTCCACTTCTCTGCAAAATTGTATTGTCACGCGGAGAACTACCACGTTGCTTATCATCGGACTGCACGTGTCTCCGGCGGACAGTAACTATCTGCCCTCTGATTTTCTCTAGACTGCTTCTCTTTTTTGCTACAATTAGTAGTATTCAAATAGTTGACGCTGGACGGTCATTTTGCCCAAATGACGTTTTTTGCACTTTTTAGCTATTTTAACGCTTATTTTCATCAAAAAAAGTGTCTTTGCTCATCGAAAATTAGTCATTTTTGAAAAACGTCACTTTTTGGGCTGGACGTAGAAGTGACCATTTTGCCCACTTTCAATTTTTACACTTTTAAGCCATTTTAAGGCTTATTCTTATTGATTTTGTGTCTTAACTCTTCAAAAATGTATCATTTTAAACATATTTCAAAAATGGTCAAATGGTCGAAACTGCGCTACCATAAAAAAGTGGTCGAAATCCAGGGGTCAAAATGGTTAAAATATTGCGCTAACAATTTTGAATGAAAATAAGGTCAATAAATGGAGAAAAGGAGAATCTAAAATTCGATAAACATCTGAAGCCATGGCATTCACCAACATTGATATCCTTATTTAGTAGAAATATTGTGAGAAGTTTTTATGAGCAACACAAAAATACCCTTCACACATAATCTACTCGATTCAAATGTCATAATAATGGGGTGATGACGATGGGGATGATATTGGATTATTGGGGTCAACAACTAAATAATCATGAGTTTTGTACTTGAACAATCTTCTCGCGAACGAGGGTAATATAGTCTTTCAAGACTTCTGCCCCATTGGCAAATGCCAAATCTGATCGGCAGAATGTTTCCTTAGATTCGTCCAGTTTTGCCATGGCTATGTCTAATTTTGAAGTTATTCTGCTTTCGAGAATGAACTTCTTTGCAATATCGAGCTGCTTGTCGTACGACATTCCCTGAAGGCAAAGATTTATGGTTTTCATCAATGCAATGCAAAAATACAAACCTTAACCAACTCCACAAATCTTCCTAAATTTGTGCGCAATTCGGCCACCAGACTCAATAAATTTTTTGGACGCTCTATCCCTTCAAATCCACAAGAGGAATCGATGAATGCAATCTGGAAATCGACAACAAATAAGGTAGTGGAATTGTCGACGAATCCGATATTTTCTAAGTTAAAATCTCCTATGCCCAAAATTTGCACGAGCAAAGATGTCTGGATAATAGATTCCGCAAATTGATCTCTCTTCTTCACGATTTTACGTTCAAACGACTCCCTAAACACACACCAGTAGATGAAATTGAAAGTCAAATGAATCATAATATTCTAAAAGCACTTACCATTCTTTCTCTAGCTCTGCCATCGTTGTAAAGCCAGCGATCTCTTCTGAGCAAAGATATACAACTTTGCTTGACGCAACCGCATTGGGGATAAACTGAATTGCAGCTCCAAGGTCCAAGACGTCCAACAATACGTATACATACAATTCTATTAAGTTCAATGGTCCTCGGTGAGTAGCTAAATTTTAAATCATGATGATTAAAGTGATTCGCTACAATGAGCTTACATAAAATACTCGACGAGTTGTGGTTGGTCTTCAAAAAGAAAACACGACGATAGCCATGGAATGTTACAGTACAAATGCAACCAGACCGACTTCCTAAACATTTCTAAAATCAAAATCAATGATAAATAAACTCAGCATACCAGCGACTTTTTTGTTGAAGTTGATATCGACCATATCGGAAAATTTGCGTTCAAAGAACGATTTGGCAGCTTGTCTGATGAAGTCCGGGGTGTTGGCGAGATAAACCTCATATTCCGTTCGATGCTTCAGCCACTCCAGGTCAAACTTTTCGAAGGCGGAGAAGAATCGAGCGTCATATAGTTCTTTAGCATTGTTATGAGCTTCCAGCGCTATCTCTTTTTTCGACCGGTAGTCCTTGTGTTCACGAAACTCGTTTACTCGTATCAGGTAGTTGTGCCATTTAAGCATAAATCGATGTTTCTGAAACAATAACAATTATAAAGCAGTCTATATAACGCATTCTCCGTAAGACTGGAGCATGGTCATAGTGGGTGTGGACATAGAGCCTGTAGAGCAGGTATTGCTTAGAAATTTTATAGGCATGTATATAGGGACTAGTTTGCCCCATATGCACAATATTGGGTCCCAGCTCCGGGTTACGGTAGTACGGTAGGTGCTTAAAGGTGCACAACTCGAATTTTTTCAAAAAAATCGTAGGAGGCTGAAATTTTTTTTACAGTTTGTATATGTTTAGTGATATGTTTTCCTTAATTTTCAGCTGTTAAAAAAAATTTTTGGCGGAGTTGTAACAGAAAAACGTTAAATTTTGCATGATTTTTGGAGAAAACTAAAAATTAAGGGCCTTAGTAAGAGGCTCCGGAGATAACGATCTACTACACAAAGGTGTATTTTCATCTTAGCTTTCGACAAAAAAAAATTCGAGTCATTTCGACTTGCAGCAGATGCCGAAAAGTTGAATTGTTTGTGACCGACTTCTCCCTTTTCATTCGTAAGAGCATTGGAGTTTCTTCCACACCGGAGTTTCCTAGGCCACGGCCACAACTTCAACTGCACGCCGTTTCGTTCATTGGCATTTCTGAGAGTCAACCGGAGCTGGGACCCAATATTGTGCACAATGGTCACACGTGTCCCCATATACATGCCCATAAAATTTCTAAGCTCTACCTTCTCTACGGGCCCTATGTCCACACTCACTATGACCATGCTCCTGTCTTACAGATAATGCGTTATATATAAATATTGAATGCATCTCGAGGTAGAAATACAAAGTTTTATTAAGATAAGTGGGGCAACAGGAATGATTGAAGTCTAGGTATTTTGGGAGTAATAATAATATGTTAATTTGGCATGCAAATTACTCCTCAACAAATAATACCAAAATAGCATAACTAGAATCTCCTGTGTTTCTAAAATGCACTATTAGTCATGGGCTTATTTAATTATGTGCAATAACAATTTTAAAAAAAACTGTTATAAAATTCACTAGCTGTATTACAATTGTCTAATTATCTGTCTGCCTTTGAATTGTTAACAATATCACAATGAGCCAGAAAGTTAATTCTCCAGCTGTATAAACAATAAACAGTAAATTCTGAAGATAAAAATTGAACTTACCACTAAAATTTCATCGAAATCCTTGGCTGATAAAAGAGGTTGAACGCAATCAGGAAGCTCTTCTCCATTCAATCGAATTTGTTGATAGTAGATTGGAATCTTTGTCACTCCCTCAATCCGCTTCAATAATTCCAAATGAGAAATCTGTAAATAAATTAAATTTTAGATAAAGCCAATGATCAAAGTTCACAAACTTGTGTATCCACAATAATATTTTTGAAGAGTCGATCTTCTTTTTCTCCAACTAGTCGAATCACGAGAAAGACCATTCTGAAACAAAAGAATTAATAAGTAATTAAACTAATTTAATAAATATAACAGTTTTAATTCAAAGGAAATACGAATATGGAACAAGAACAAGAAAAAAAGTCTCTTTTCTATTCACAAAAGTTAGAATGAGGTGAAAGAATGTGATGTTTGCAGTTTCTCTCCTTCCTCTGCGTCTCTGCCCACAGACGCGTCTCTGCCTTCCACTCTAGCCCAACGCGTTTGAGTGTCGCGTGCGTCTAGTTCAACTGGGGCAAATATGTGACTGTGCTCGGTCAGAGTGAGGATGAAAAAGGAGTCTTGCTTTAGTCAACACATCTAATTAGACGGAGCAAACACGAAAGCATGCATGTGTGCCACCCTTACTGTACTATGTACTGATTTTTGTTTAGATCTACTTTAAAACGTGACAAAGGACAGCGTCCAATTCACATGATTTGACTATGTCATCTGTTTTCTCCTGCCAGATGTCACCGCTAGGACAGGAAATAGCAACGAAGAAGGAAGGGGGAAGGGGGCTTCCCGGCCGCCCATATATCACTATCACCAGAAATCGTTATCATTTGTTGATAATGACTGGACGGGGAAAGGGGTTCCCCCGGGTGGAGATTAACCAGTCAAGAGCACATGTCTCCAAAAGATAACGTTTTGTCGTAGTGTGCAAATCGACGAACCGAAACTGACGGCTTAGAACTAATTCCAAACACATGTCATTCAGGATCAGGAAGTCTTGCTCACTTTGTCGTGTCTGAAGTTCAAAAAACCCGATTCTGGCTTTCCATTACTGAGATTATTGGTTTTCTAATGACGTCTTTCAATTCGCTTCCCTTTACCAACATGCAAATGACACCTCAGAAGGCGCTCGTAAAAGGAAGAGGGAAAGTAGTGAACTTTGTCCACTTGCCCCCACAGAATCCTGCGAGGCTATTTGGAGGAAAACACACTCGCACAAGGAAGACAGACGCACACACGTGAAGGCGCATAGCGTGCACTTTGGCCATCAGACAGACGAAACGAGCCGCCGAGGAGCTCACACAACCAACCCTGCTTTGGCAGAATCGCCATTGGCTTTGGAATGCACTCTAAGCCCTCGTGTTATTTGAAGATAACACTTTCAATCGGGACGTTAATCGTGTATTGGCATGATGTCAGGGGACACTTTTGAAAATCATAAATGAAGTTATCAAGTTCCGCGTAAAGAAGAGCACAAGTCCTTTGGCCACGCTAAAGGGGGGCGCACGCGGTTCCTGTTAAGTGCCCAGATTGGCAGATCCCATCAACGAGCGCACTTTGTTTTTGCGATTTTCAGCCAGAATTGAATTCTGCTCGCAAAAAGTTCACTGCGCGTTCTCTCTTCTCGAATTGTCAAGCACTTTGGGAGGTTGTTTGGAGAATGGCGCTCGCTCGTGGTGGAGCGTCGAGACACGTGTTTTTCAGTCTTTCAGGAGAATGCGAAAATAAAAGCGCAAAAGGTTCCTAATTTTTGATCGTCGAGTGTGCTATGTGCTGTGGCCTTCTCAAAGGGCGATCCACATAACAAGATTGAGTTCTTTCACTGAAAACAGGGAATTATTTTCTAGCGAGGGACCGACAAACAAATCATCTTTCCCATTTCACTCTCTGCTCTTCCTTTTGACGTGTATCGATTGAAAATATAAAACTTTCTTTCTATCTATCTCCAGCAAAATATTTGTTTCCATTTTATCGCAGAGGAAACACATTTTAGTGGATTGTTTTTCAAAATGTAAACAATTGAGACCAGGCAGAGTCGATGATCGCAAATTGAAGGCCATTCGATGTTCCGCTCCGTTTGAACTTTAGTTGTATTGCAATTTGAAATTTTTCGCGAAACTTCTGTGTATTCCATTTCGAACTTTCCGCCGGTTTATCAGCAAACCCGTTTATGTGCACACTCCCCACCCCCCAAAGAGTAATCGATGTTGCATTGTGTATGTGCTCGTAAAGAGACGCCCCGGGGGTACGACCGCCTGTCGGCCGAGGTCGCCATCCATACACTGTGGAGAGAAAAATGCGTCTGGTCTATGAAGGCCATCCATTTGATGTAAAGTGCACGGCTCTCTGGCCCTAGCCAGCCGACCTATCGCAATTCACATTCGCTGCCGACACCCGCCGCCTCGCCCCTCTCCCTCTTTATCGATCGGTTTTCAAAAAAATGCAACTTTTAGGCTCGATGGCGAACGATTCGGACAACCCGAACAACTCGGGGGCGAGAAGAGATCCTGCTGGAGGAGAGAACAACGCTGCGAACCAAGAAAATGTAATTAAAACTGATTATTTATTGACTTTTCTGACAATTTATATTTATTCAGGATAATGTCGCACCACCAGCAAATAATAATTCTCCAGCTAGGTCGATTTTCAAAATTCTGGTTATCGTCGGTCAGTTTTTCTATTTTTGGAACTTCATTCTTGAAAATTGACTTCTCAGGGATCATAGGCGCCGTTGTGCTGAGCTATGGGGTTCAATCATACAATGACACCTACTTGGTGCCTATCCAAGAGGAGAAAACCTTCCCGCTATGGTCGGACACTCGCTACGTACCGGTATGAACAGCGATTCAATAGAATAGGTGTTCAGAACATCGTTCAGATATACACCGCTGTTCTCCCCGCTCCAGATAGCCTGCTGAAGTTCGTACAATTCCTCGACATGAGCAACGAGATAAACATGAAGCTGGTGGATGGAGAGAAGGTAAAACGAGAACGGAAAATTCAAAAACATTGGTTTACTGTTTTTTTTCCAGTTCGTTTCCGCTGAAGCTCTCGACTATTACGACCACAGAAAGTACATGCACGTGGAATCCTTCACATTCAAATGTAGGCCTTTGAACTTGTTTCAGGAGAAAACGTTGTTTTGCAGACAATCATCTGACGACCGTGATCAAGTACGTATACAATGATTCGTCGCTGGACGCAGTTTTCGAGGCTTCTGGCAGAGACCCGCGTGGAGTTGCTCAAAACTACACGCTTCTTGTTGCTCAAGGTCGGAAAAGCAACTGACGAGCGTAATGAATGAGTATTAAGTTTTCAGTGAACAGAGGCGATCTCCTTATCCCGCTCACAGACGGTGCAAAGCACTATTATCGATTCCCTAACAAAAAAGGAGAGGTGAGAAAGTTCAGAGGGGGCAAAACGCATTTCAACTCTCAATATTTAGGAATACCCGTGGCCAGAACATCTCGACAAAACCATTGCTCAGCGTGAAGAAAAATGGGAGAAGACCTTTGAAGGCATGTTCCAATTGAAGAAGAAGGTAACGAGTCTGAAGGGTATTTTTCTTAGAATCGACAAATTACAGGAAATGCCAGAGGTTTACCAAGATGTTGCACAATCTGCCCTTTCCTACGTCCAGAGCGGTTATACTATGAACGACGGAATTCAACTGAGAGGAATGTACACCCAAAACTTCACACATAAAGTGAAATTCGCCTACCTGCAGTCGAGACACACTCCCTTGAAGTCCCTAGATGAGCAAGCCTTCCCCGTCATTGTTCTCGCGAGATGGATTAACTGCCTAAAAGCGGAGCAGGTTTCTATTATATTTATATGAAGATTCAAACAAACCAGTAGTGCTTCAGATTATTACCTCGTGGACCGATCTTATCAATGAGTTGGGATACGCACCAAATCGCCTTGAAAACGGCCAGTTCGTACTGGAGGATATCCAAGATCCGATGCTGTTCCAATCTCTCAAAGAAATCCTGAATATCGTGAGTGCTTTTTGTTGATTTCGTAACGAGTATAATCTGCATTTCAGAAAGCCTGTGTTCCTACCTACCCAACCATTTTAACTGCTCTCGAAGTGGTTGCCGAGCAGACAATGAAGAACTCGATCGGCCAAGGAGGACTGAGAGACGTGCGATGGCTCGGACACTCTCGTGGAATCTTCCAGATGGAACCAGAAACCCCCAAAGGATCGTCTTCCCTGGAACTTTTGTGCCTTCTCGAAGACATCTGCCACGTGATGAATGAGATCAACAGAAGAGTCGGTCGAACGCAGAATAAGAAATGGGAACACATGGCCAGAGAATTCGCCGAAGCAATGAACAAGTACTACTGGGATGAGGAAAATAAGAGATATGCCGATTTGGAGAATGTTCGTTTTTTTTCAAGCAGCGATTGAAGTGAATAATAATTACTAATTCAGGGACAATTCAAAGCAGGACGTGCTACTCATGTGCCATTGATTATGTCTCTCATTGCCCCCGGTGCCAAGCAGCTCCCTCTTTCTCTTAAAAATCTCCAGGAAGACCCGGTAAGCCGATTCAAAAGTCAAAAGCACTCCAACCCCCAAAAAAACTACTAATCTTTCAGCTGTACACCGCCACCGGCTTGCAACTCTCGGAAGAGTACGGTGCACCAATCGCGGCCAACTTCCTGCTCACCCGTGCCCTGAAGCGCTACTCCATCATCTCGTCGACTTCGCAAGAAACTGCCCATGGCATGTACTCGACTCTCAAGAACAACCTGATCGCCGCTGTTGCTCGCTCGCACCGTCTCCAGAAGTCGTTCTACGGACGCTTCGACAAGGATATGCGTCCGCTCGGGCCACGTGGAGATCTCGACGGAACTCTTGTGCTTTCGCTCATGGCCGAGTAATCGCAGGATTCTTGGAACCATAGTTCTCACCGCTCATTTACTCAATTCCCTCAATATTCCTAATCTCCGAATACGTTTATTTGTTCCCGTTTCTTCTTTTTTGTCATGATTCTTCGAGTGCCCGCCTTCATTTACTCGTTTTTTCAGGTTTTCCCTTTTCCTTTTTCTTTTCCCGATCTTGTTCTTACTCATCTCAACTACACTCACAATAACTTAACTTTTTCGTTTCAATTTTAATAAATGCTTTTTTCCGACCCTGTGAGAAATTTATCGAAAACACGGCGAGCAATGTTGTTGTCGTTTAAAAGGGGTGGTTCGCCGTGGAGCGCACTTGCACACCACACCCCTCGCCCTCACCATTTCTCTGTGTGTATGTGTGTGTGCTCGCCGACCTCTAGTCCTGTTTGCTCTTGCCCCGTTTCTTATCTCTCGTCCGTTTGTCGGTTACCTGTTCGGTCGGTCATCTTGTAATCGTTCATCTTTTTGCATAGCGATGCCAACCTTGGGTACAAAGCGCATCAAACGAGTCATCGTCTACGGCCAGTTGTTCGTGCTTCTTTCGGCTTTTACATCGATTTATTGGCAGATCCATGGTAAATTTAAATTGTTTTGTTGAAAAGTTAGGTAATCGATTACCTTATAGGCTTATTCGGTGAACGCGGACTGTTGCCAGTGGCTCCAATGCTAGAATGTGGTATGTTTACGTTTGATCGCCGATGATAACGCTTTCGCGCCGACATCGATTTTATTTTTATATTCACGCAATCACGCCACGAAACTGATCAATGATAGCGAGTGACCGGCGTCATTCAAAGTCCAAATCCCTTCGACAGCTCGAGAGCAGCATCGGCTTTTCTGCGTGCGTGCAATTCCCGAACTCTTCTCTCTCGCGCTTCATTGCTTTCTCTCTTCTTTTTCATCGGCATGTTTCTTCAGTAAACTGCATAGAACTTCCTCAGTTCACCCCACGACCGTGTTGATTGTGTTTACGCGCGCAATTTCACGTTGCCTCCCTCTCTCTCTCTCTCTCTCTCTCTCTCTCTCTCTCTCTCTCTCTCTCTTTCTCTTTCTCTTTCTCTTTCTCTCTTTCAAAGAACAGTTTAGCGGCGGCGATAGGACAAAGAAGTCAAGTCAGGGCTTTGAATTTGTCAAGTTCAACCACGTCATCAACTACTAAAGTTCTACTTTTCAGAAGAAGAAAGTATCTTCCGATGCCGTCTCCCGCTTCTTCGCCTCGTTTGCAACGTCTTCAGCTTCTCGCCGGCTGTTGGTTTGCAGTTTTTGGCCCTCGTTGGAATCATTCTCTCGATCTATGCAATTCACCACACGAACTGCCAAAACATCCTCGTTTTCTTGGCTCTCTTCTTTCTCTACCGAACAATTTATGAGGTAAAAACTGAGAAATAAACTTGAAAACAATTGATTTCAGGCTGGTGGTGTGTTCATGTACTATCAATGGGATGCCCTGCTCCTCGAGTCAACCGTCTATGTCGCGATTCTGGCTTGGTTTGAGGATGGACCCGCTGACTCGGTGGCCATGTACAATATTGTCGTTTTGCTCCTCCGAGTGACCTTTATGAATGGAGTTACCAAGTTTTTGAGCAAATGTCCCACTTGGTACAATCTGACGGGTTCGTTACTGATTGATGTGTGATCGCAATTGGAATTCGTAACTTTTCAGCGATGGACTATCATTTCGAGACGCAACCCCTTCCGACCCCGTTCGCGTGGTACGCTCATCATTTCCCGCCGTTCTTCCGACAGCTAGTGACGCTTCTCACCGCCTACATTGAAATAATTCTGCCGCCTCTCTTTTTGATCCCAGTGATCCAAGTCCGCTATTTTGTCTTTTTCTGTCAGGTATTGTCATCTTCAGGGGGATGGTCGAAAATGATCTCAAAGTTCAGGTTCTTCTCACCACCCTCAACGTCTTCACCGCCAACGTTGGCTTTTTCAATTTCAACATTCTTGTCTTGTTGGTCAGTCTGCTAGATACGCCGCGCGTGGCTTTTGGTAGCAGTGTACTGGCTGGATTTGTGTTTGCGCGACTTGGATATGATATCTACTACCGTCTTCCGTGGAAGTTCACACTGCAACAAGACAGTGGTCCTACTCTGGCTCTCTGTAAGTTTCGCAATAACTGAAAACGTTACTATGTAAAATGTGTACTATTTTCAGCGATCACTCACGATAAGTTCAAGGAATTCCTGGCCTTCTACATCGACCTCATCATCATGTTTATAGGAATTCTCTTCCTACTCGTCCTCGGGTATTCCTTCATCAAGTGAGCCCTAGTTTGAAAACCAAATAATCCGATTTCCTTTCAGAGGACTAATAGTTCCGCATCGAGTCAAAAAAGTGGCTCACATGGCATTTGTGGTTGTCACGTCCATCCTTCTCATCTGCTATGGAATGATCCCTCTGCTCCGACTAGATGAGAAATTGGCTGCGAGGACAACGGAAAACCCGCTCATTATGCAATATTATAAATCTGCCAACAGTTGGGGACTCGCCAATTTTTATGGTTCCTACAAGCAGTTAGTCAACAGTTTTCAGCTCTTTGAAATATTGTCTTATCCTGCAGGATGACAACGTTTGGAAAGCCGGAAATTATTATCGAGGGAGCACACGCTATTGAAGGACCATGGAAAGAGTTCCAATTCTCGTCGAAGCCAGGAGACATCTCGAAACGTCCCAAATTTATTGGTATGTAACCGAATTTGCTCGAAATTTTAAGTCGAATTCTTGCAGCCCCTCACCAACCTCGTCTCGATTGGCAACTCACCCTAGCTGCAGAGGGAACCTATCAACAGAACCCGTTCTTCATGTCCCTCGTCTACCATTTACTCCAGAACACTACGGAAGTGGTAAACCTGATCGAGAATTATCCGTTCCAAAATCGATCAGAACCGTTGACCTTCGTCAGGGCCAAACTCTACATGTACCATTTCACGAACATTGGAGAAAAGTGAGTGTTTTTTCAGGGAAAAATCGTTATTCTTCTCTCTGCAGACACTGGTGGAGTCGTGACTTCCAAGAGGAGTACATGCCTCCATACAACAAAGGAAACGAAGCGCTGCGTGACTACCTGCGAGAACATCGAATCCTCACCAAGTCGAAATCACCATTTGTGAATGGACCACTCGGAAAGACCCTCAAAACGGGACACCGTATCACCTCCCGCATCGACCACCTTCTCTTTGTAGTTGGAATGCTTACTTTGGTCTTTGTGACACGAATCCATCGAATGTATTCCAATCACGAAGTCCACGAAAACTAGAGACCTCCTTCTTTCACAACCAAAATCAAAAAGCTCAATTCTCTCGATACTCTTGAAAGATCTGCATTTCATAAGACTAAACTTTAAATCAAAACGAAATGTCACTGGTTTTATAAATTATTTGTCATGCCATTATTGCTTTTTTCCATTTTCCTTTCTATTGTGTCTCGAGCGCTCTGATACTTTTGTGATTCCATCGTTTCTCTTCTAATTTAACAGTTCAGAACCGAAATGGCTGAGGACAAAAGGAAAAAGCTCGGAAGATGGTACTTTGGAGGAGTGGCCGGCGCCATGGCTGCCTGTTGCACCCATCCTCTTGATCTCTTGAAGGTACCGAATCGAGTATCGCCCAATTTTTAAATCAACAATACGTTTTAGGTACAACTGCAAACGCAGCAGCAGGGAAAGCTGACGATTGGCCAATTGTCGCTCAAGATTTACAAGAACGACGGAATTCTCGCATTCTACAACGGAGTCTCGGCCTCAGTGCTCCGTCAGCTCACCTACTCAACGACTAGATTCGGAATTTATGAAACTGTCAAGAAGCAACTGCCGCAAGGTATGTGTGCAGAGACTCATCAACATTTAGTTTACAAAAACTAAATCTTTTTCAGATCAAGTACTACCTTTCTACCAAAAAGCTCTGCTTGCCGGTTTCGCCGGAGCCTGTGGAGGACTGGTCGGAACTCCGGGAGATTTGGTCAATGTCAGAATGCAAAACGACTCAAAGCTTCCACCTGCCGAGCGCAGAAACTACAAGCATGCTTTGGATGGACTCGTTCGAATCACCAGAGAAGAAGGATTTTTCAAAATGTTCAATGGTACGAACTTGCTCGTATAATTCCAAGAAAGCCAGGCTTGTCTCGGGGCCTGTGAAGGTCTAACCACGCGCCGTGCCAGGCCGTTGAAACTTCCCTACGTGCCGGGCCGGCTCGTAAAATCACAAGTATGATTTGCCCTTGCCCGGCCCGTTCCAATTTTTGAAAAATCTGGAAAAAGCCTAATGATACTCGTTTCAGGCGCCACTATGGCCACATCCCGTGCCATCCTGATGACCATCGGACAACTCTCGTTCTACGACCAGATCAAGCAGACTCTGATCACTTCTGGAATCGCCGAAGACAACTTGCAGACTCACTTCGCCAGTTCGATCAGTGCGGTGAGTTGTGCTGTCGCTTGACATCGCACACAAAACTTCAGCGCCAATCCAATTCGGTGCGTAAACAATAATATTTTATTCAGGCGAGTGTTGCGACAGTGATGACTCAACCGTTGGATGTTATGAAGACCCGAATGATGAACGCCGCCCCCGGCGAGTTTAAGGTACCCGTATAAATAGGTGAACCTGTTCAGATTACAAGTTTCAGGGTATTATGGACTGCTTCCTGTTTACCGCCAAGTTGGGACCGATGGGATTCTTCAAAGGATTCATCCCGGCGTGGGCGCGTCTCGCCCCGCACACCGTTCTCACGTTCATTTTCTTTGAGCAACTCAGATTGAACTTTGGCTATTTTCCGGCAGCAAAAGCCAACTAGAACTTGAAATAACGCTTGTAGAATGAGAACTTTCCAAAATAGTGAAGCAATTAGAGTTAACACCTGCTGATTGTGCTCTATATTCCGAACAAAATATGTATGCCGTGTTTCTTTTCAATGTATTTCTTTCTTTTACCTTGCCATTTTTTTTCGATATTCTTAGTCAAATAAACTGAAACGGCAAAATTGCAAATTATATGTTTCTGTACTGGCATGTGTTTGCAATCTCAAATATTATCATCGAGGGCAAATATGTTCAGACAGTTAGCAAAACATGTCCTTCCGCTCTGACCGTTCTTTGCTTGGATATGCCCTAATGTTTACCGTTTTTCCACCGATATTTTTTGCTCAATATCTGCGTCTCTTTTGGAACACACAAAACAACCCCTGCGCTCCGTCTCCCCTTCATAACCAACCGAACGATCGGTGTCTTGTTCGATTTTTGTGCCATTTTATAGTTTCACCACCTACGCAATGTTTCTAGATAGAAAAGAAGAGGAACATGTGATGAAGGGGGGGGGGCAAACAAACAGAGCATTCGTTATTCACTTTTCACCGTTTCCCAACAAATATTTTATTCAAATTGCGTGTTTCCCAACACTCATGGTTTGAACAGTTATTCTCCCCGTCTTCCCCGTTAATTCTCGTTATCACCGCAGCTTCTTTCTTGTTTTTAACTCGCCGTCACAATCGAATTGATAACGTTTTGTATCACCTGATGTTTGAGTTTCGGTTATTTTATTTATATTTATATTTTCAGATTTGTCTCAAACATGGCGTCTTCGCAAGAGGATGCTTCGACCCATCCGGAGGCGGAACCGTGGACCGTCTCTCATGAAGAAAACGGCGACGAAGAGTTGCTGGAAGACGCGGAAAGCGCGGAGAAGGTCGAAATTCCCGTTGATGATGTGGTAGGCGAGAGAGTATCGAGCTTATTGATTTTATGCAATTTTCCAGGAAAAAGCGTTCTCCTTCAAAAAACTGTGGGCTTTCACCGGACCGGGATTCCTCATGAGCATCGCGTACCTGGACCCCGGAAACATTGAAAGTGACCTCCAATCCGGAGCAAAAGCCGCTTACAAGCTCCTCTGGGTCCTCTTGTCAGCTCACATCATCGGAATGCTCCTGCAAAGAATGTCGGCAAGACTTGGAGTCGTCAGTGGAAAGCACATGGCAGAGGTTGGGAAATTGAAGTGACCGTCGGTTTCAAACAATACTGTTTCCAGGTTGCTTTCCAATTCTATCCACGGATCCCACGCATCATCCTATGGCTGATGATCGAGATCGCGATTGTGTGCAGCGACATGCAAGAAGTGATCGGAACGGCTATTGCCATCTTCCTGCTCTCAAGAGGATTGTAAGTTTCTCAAATTGACAGGGCTGAGCAAAACGCCGACCCAGGCGTTACGTAGGCTCGAAAGCCTGGATAGAGCCCGATCGAAGAATTCCAATTCTTAGAAAGCCTGGAAAAAGTCTGCGCCGGCCTTTTGCCTATTCCTGCAAATAGTACAAGTGAGAACACCATTTCTTTTCAGCATTCCTCTGTACGTCGGTGTATTCGTCACAATCTTGGATACGTTCACTTTTCTGCTCATCGACCGATATGGAATTCGAAAACTTGAGCTCATTTTTGGATTCCTTATTTTCACGATGACCGTCTCGTTCGGATATGAGGTAGAATTCAAATTCACTAACCGTTTCTAAAGGGGTTTCGATCTATCTTCTTTCAGTTTGTCGTCGTGAAGCCGCCGATCGGAGAAGTCGTGTCAGGAATGATTGTTCCGTGGTGTACCGGGTGTGGAAAAGAAGAGTTCATGCAGGCGATATCTGTTGTTGGAGCCGTCATCATGCCTCACAACCTCTACCTTCATTCTGCTCTTGTCAAAGTGAGTGTTTAGTGACAAATGCTTGAAAAAAAACAGTTTCAATTTCCAGTCCCGCCGCGTTGACCGTACCGATCGTCGTCGTGTCGCCGAGGCCAACAAGTACTTCACTCTTGAGTCTGCCATTGCTCTCGTCCTCAGTTTCTTCATCAATCTCTTCGTCGTCGCAGTTTTCGCGCATGGATTGTACCAGAAGACTAATGCTGATGTGGTGGGTGTCTATGAATACTCGAACTTGCTAATGGTTACGTTTTCAGCGAAAAATGTGTATTGCCAAGCACGACATCCCGGATTCACACATTTTCCCGAACAATACCGACCCGGTAGAAGTGGACATTTACAAGGTTTGCCACTATTTTCAATCTTCCGTACCGAGATGTGCACGTTTCAGGGAGGAATCTATCTCGGTTGTCAGTTTGGAGCCGTTGCCATGTTCATCTGGGGAATCGGTATATTCGCGGCCGGACAGAGTTCCACAATGACCGGAACGTACACTGGACAGTTTGTAATGGAGGGATTCGTGAAAATCGCGTGGCCAAAATGGAAAAGAGTGCTCATCACTCGTGCAATTGCCATCACGCCCACCCTGATCCTCACATTTTACTCGCAGGGCGTTCAGAACTTGACAGGTTTTTCACAAAACCAATGTCCAAAACATACAATATTCACAGGCATGAACGACTTCCTTAACTGCGTGCAAATGATTCAATTGCCGTTCGCTTTGATTCCAATCATCACTTTCACTTCGAGCCGCAAGATTATGCACGATTTCCGAAGTTCGAAGTATGCGTTGAAGTTCTTTTTTCTTTTACTATGAAAAATACATTTTTACAGACTATTCCAAATATTTGCGCTGACAACGTCCGCACTCATTCTCACCATCAACGTCTACTTCATTTCCGATTACGTCTCCTCACGCCTCGGAACCGAGTGGTACATCATCATGATCCTTGCTCCGGTCACCGTCTTCTACGTGCTTTTTGTGATTTACCTGGCCGCGTACTGTCTGGTTTCCTGTGAAGTCATTCCGGAAACTGTCAGTATCCGCGGTTTCAGTTTCAACAAATTCTACGAGAACGATGCCCCATGGCTTTCCAATGATCCTTCGGTGGCAGGCCACGAGAACGAGGGATACGAGTGAATAATTCATAATGAATAAAGTAAATATATTGAACAAAATCGTGTCTGTACCTATACCTAAAATCACTTTTCTGGCCCGGACGTTGTGAAACTGAGCATTCTGTACATTTTCCAAATAAAGAGTAATACTTCCTTTCTGTTTCTATTACAGCCCGTTTCAAAAGTATATTTTTAAGGTCCTGTCTTCGTATTCTGTTCGAGAATCACAATATATTCAATTTTAGGGGTGGCCCTATACTTTTGAAACGGACTTTTTTTTCACTTTCTTTTCTCGGTTTCTCCGAGTATCTTATTTTGTAAACATTCCAGACAATCAATTTATTCAGAAAAATATCGGAGAAGCTTTGGTACAAAAAAAGGTCATGGGGCAATTTTGGTGTGGGAATGAGACAGGAATCGGGAAAAATGGCAAAATATGCTTCAAAAGGCCTGGATAATGTGAACCACCCCTGAGATAAAAAAAACAGTATTGTTTGGGTCATGCTTTTCGTTCTTTCCACGTCACTTTTTCCATTGCAGCGACGTTAAAAAGCGTGAAAAAAACAAAAAACATCAATTAAATGATCTGTCCAAGTGATAATATATAAAATAAATAATAGAACAAACGGGGGATACCCGGAATAAACGCCATTTGGGCGGATAGAAATAGATTGGGGGAACGATTTGGTGAGAAGAATGGGACGAGATGGATGGGAAAAAGGAAAAAAGACAAAAGCTTGAATTCTAATCATGTCTTCGTTTGTGAATAAATCCGAATGGTCCAGGCTGCGACTGTCCAGAAGTTGATGGTTCAGGCTGCGACTGTCCAGAAGTTGATGGTTCAGGCTGCGACTGTCCAGAAGTTGATGGTCCATGCTGCGACTGTCCAGAAGTTGATGGTCCAGGCTGCGACTGTCCAGAAGTTGATGGTCCATGCTGCGACTGTCCAGAAGTTGATGGTCCAGGCTGCGACAGTGAGGAGAGATTCCACCTTCCGGCAGTCCCTGAGGCGAGGTTCCACATTCCGACAGAAAATGGAATAAGCTGTAAAGGGAAAATTGTTGAGAATTTCAATTCAGAGATACGTACCGGTGGTGGAAAAGTCGACGGTCCAGACGTAGATGGTCTTGAAGCAGATCGCCGTGGAGCACTTCTCTTGCGTTTGTCACTGATGACTCCATCGCTCTCAGATTCCGATTGATCCGATTCAGGTTCCAAGCGTGCACGCTTCGCCCTGTTTTGGCGTTCCAAGAAAACAGCCTCTTGGGCTTTCTTATCTCCACTGTAGTCAGGTTTCTCGTGTGTTTTTCGATGTTTGTCGAGCTCGTGGTATACAGGATCCTTCAACTTCTCGGCTAAAGTGTTGTTGATGTTGATTCGATAGTTGCTGGCGTAGTTGGGGTGGCGCAAGACGTACTGAAATAATACGGTAAACTGATAAAGCACACGCTAAAACGTTGTTAACCTTAGTCATGTTCAAGTTGTACGCGTACGCAAAGTCAATTTTGTCCGAACTCTCAATATACGCTGTTGTGAGCACCATCATATCCAGATAATGTTGGGCTCTGTCGCTGTTCCACATATGCATCAGCTCAAAGCACTTTTGGTCTGTCCCATTGAGAGCCTGACTGTGGTGCCATATCACGCAAAGCGATTTCCAGACGATGCTGATGTCCTCGAAGAAGTTGAACTCATCCTTAGCATGATCAGGCCACATTTTGTCGTGGAACATTTTGCGCAGAAAACGAGAATGTGTGCTCAGGAACTGAAAAGTATGTTATGAGAGGAAAGAGAGCGAGGCGGCACAACTCACCATACGGTTCACTCCGATTCGAGCCTTTTCTTCGCCGCACACAAACCACGTGTCCACAGGTCCCGGCATTTCACGGTCCGATCTGTCCAGAGAATTGTACGTGTCCCGTGCATTCGTCTTTTTCGCGTCGATTGTGACCGTCACTTTAATCAAATCCTTCTTGATCTTCTCGACAAGTTCCTCGTCAATGACGTCAATAAGAATATTAACAGTCCGTTGCTTCTTGTGAATGACACGCTTAGTTTTCACCGTTTTCAGCTCAGCTTGATCATCTTCCAGCTTGACTTCACAGGTCATCAGGTAGCTATTCTTGCCCTCCGGCTCAAATATGAATCCAACGAGAAGCATCCATTTCTCGTGCTCCTCCGTTTCGTCCGTAACCTTCTCGTCCTCGACGCTCCGCGTTTTCTCCAGATAGAGCGTTACTTGACTGTAAAATGAGTAATTTTCTTTGTATTCTTGCCGTTCCTTACCACTTTGGACAGACATCGTTCGGCATGTCCACAACCTGAGCGCGGAAGAGCGAATCCAATGGATCGAGAGCCGCGCGGAACTCCTTGCACACCGTGTGCCCCACGACTTCAATCAGTTTCTTTGGACTTCTCTGGAAAGAAGAAATCAGTTTTTAGCACTTTTTGATGGTGACTCACGAGAATGCTGAAGTGTTGGTAGAAGGGAAGAGCGGTCCTTGTCTTGAAGTCGAGCAAGGCGTCCTGACGGTCCCAATTCTCCCAGGTGTTGGTGAATCCGAACTTGATTCCGTTTCGGAAATTCACCAGAAACTGGTCGGTCCCCACGCTCGACCGATTGAAGAACATGCTTGAGAATTCAAAGAACGCCTTCTTTTCCTCCTGAGAACAGACTTCTGTCTCAAGATCCCGTCGGATTTGATCGAATTCTGGATTGGCAGCTGTCATTGCTCTCTCATACATCAGAACTCCGAATGTCAGACCGTACCGCACCCAACTTGTTCCTTTCGGCCATCTCTGATTATGCCAATCAAATTGGGCGACCGGTTCGACTTCATCGATCACGAATACAACATTTATCGGCTTATAGTCGCGTCTGATAACAAATTGATTTGTGCTTTGAATAACTATTTTGTTGATTACTTGGAATCAGAGAAGATGAACACGTCCGGGTGCAGAGAAGTGCGGTGCGTATGGTCAAAGTGCAGATAACATGTTGTCTGAACCGGTTCTCTGCTCAGTAGGAGATCCTGATACAGTCTGGTTTTGACGCCATACACGTCGTTTTTTGAAATTCCGTGGCAGCTCAGCATCACACGGACTCCCTTGATTCCCGGCTCGATTTGGTAGATCCATGCGACGACTTGCCTCAAATTGATAATTCTTTTCACCGTTAACTGTACTCTTCCTACCATTTCAATCCCGCGATGTCAACCTGACGGATCTCGGGAGTCGAGGCAGTTGTTTCGATCGTGAACTCAAAACGATGTGGCCAATCGGGCACAGCAACTGTGCCGTCAGTGCCCTCGGCTGGCTTGGCATTGTCTTCTGCTGGAGCTGCGCCATCAACTGCTCCTGGAGCTTCATCGGCAACTGCTGGAGCTTGTTCTTGAACGGCGTTCAGCTCAGCAGCTCGAGCATTGCGTCGACGTCGGATTGCACGGAAAAAATGCATCGGCATTTGGTTATCCTCCGGTCGAGGATCGAAACGTCCGGCCATATTGTCTGAAATGACTTTCTGTCAATAAATGCACGACCACAGATGTTTAAAAAAAAATCTTTGACAAAAAACACACCTCAATGACGATTGTACGATTCGGAAATGGCAAAATTCACTGTGAAACTCACGGATATTCCTGAAATATTTCAGCTTGATAATTAGAAATCGTTTGCTCACAAGAAATAACGAAAAATATCGGCAAACGGAGAGATACTTTATGCGAACGGCGTGAGTAATAAACGAACGCACGCACGCGTTTTCTCGGCCACGGCCGTCGGCCACGGCCGTTGGCCAGCCCTTGATGGGAAGAGGAGGGTCCCTCGGGGACCCGCGGGTCTCCCAGCGAATTGACAGAATTGAACGTCATTCTACGGAAAATGTGACAACATCGTTCTGGACATTTTTGAATGAGATAAAATTACCATATCAACACAAAAATAGGTGAAAGTCTGCGCTTTGAATGTAAAACTGAAGGAAAAATCGACTTTTTAGGTAGAAAAACGTTCGCCAGTTTCTTCAAAAAGGGCAGGATCGGGCAAATAAATTCGGATTGAGTGAAATAGAGAAGTGAAGCGATTCCTTCTGACAATTTGTGGAGTGCGCCGAGTGCGCTGCGTGCGTGCTTTGCCATCTCTATGACAACAATATCGACTGGGACTAATTGTCGTGCGGTTTTGGAAAGGGCACATAAGCAGTGGCTATCTTGGAGCTTCATTCAGATTTATAGAGTTTGCAAATAAAATGACAAATTGTTTTGTTTATAATGACAGACAAAGGTTGTCAGAGAAATGACTATTCGAACGTGGAATTGTAATGGGATGGAATCGAAAAATATATAAATTGATGGGGAAATGGAACAGAAACAAATGAAATTTAAAATTTTCTCTCGAATCCTGGTGACTAGGTATAAATAAGCAGGAATATATTGACAATAGGTAATGTGGGAGATTGAAAACGTTATAAATTCTTCAGTTTTGGCGAATAGAAAAAAGTGAGACAAAGAGAGAGAGAACATTTATTGCTTCCTGGCCTTTTTGCGAGCACATCTGGAAGTCGATGGCTGCTGAGAAGTGGATGGCCCCGCCTCGCCATCGTTCGAAGTAGATGGTCCAGAAGTGGACGGGTCTTCCCCAGGCGAGTCAACCCATGCGTCAGTCGCTTCCTCGTACGTCACTGCTTGTCTGCCTCGCACGTCTGGTCCATCACTTTTCGAAGAACTTGGGCCAGAAGAGCTTGGTTCGTCATCTTCTGCTGGAGCGATTGCCTTCGGCGTGCTACGCTTGCGTCTACTTGGATATCTCCTGATACCACCGCTCGGATTGACATTGGAGCCCTCGCCATCGGGATGGTTGACGCTTTCCTCGTCAGTGATCGCCGCATTGTCAGGAACGTCGCCAGCATCGCCCACGTTGACGAAATTGACAATATTATTGCCGGGAACGTCGTTGGCCACGTGGTTATCAGCATTGTCAGCATTGACGACATCGATGACCTCGTCAGCATTGTCAGCGTCGGCAGCGTCGGGAGCATTGCCGTCATTTCCATTGTTGCCGGCATTTCCTATGTTGGCCTGTTCAGCCACCAAAGCGTTCATGAAATGTTGCAAACTTAAGAAACGGTGGGGATTTGCAGGGTTCCAATTAATTTCATTGTCATCGTTGCGAACGCGTGCGGGGGCTCTTCCTCGGAAAGCACGAAAATTCCCTACGGCCTCTTGTTGTGCACGCCCCCAGCCACGCCACCGTAACGGATGTCTCATTGCATTGACTCTATTGGCTCGTTCCATCCTTCTTCTCAGGTCCAGGTTCTGTGCAGTCTCCTCTTCTACTGGCTCGACTTTGACGACACGTGTACCGTCTCCTCCGTCGAGTTCATCAGCGTTGGGAATGCCCAAGAAACGGGGCTCATCGGTGAATTCAATGTTGAAGTTGGAGGCGTATTCTGGGTGACGAAGGATGTACTGCAATAATGAAACTATGTACGTTCAGCATGCATTAGGCTCCAACTCACGTTGATCACATCCATATTGAACTGGGCGGCAAAGTCTCGCTTGTCGATCGAGTCGATCAGATCCGTTTGCAGCAAGGCCATCTCGATGTAGTGTCTGATGATCGTGCACATCCACGGGTTGACCACCAACTGCAGTCTCCATATGTACTCGGCGTTAATGACCTGGCTACGGTGCCAGATGATGCAGAGAGCCGGCCAGACGGATTCCACACTCTCGTCCAGCGAAATCTCTTCAGTTCCACAGTCCGCAAAGTTGTCGTTGTAGAAGCGACTGCGGAAGTACTCGGTGTAGCTGCTGAGGTACTGAAAAGCATGAATTAACAATCTGAAGGAATGCTCTTTTCTGTAATCACCTCACGACAAACTCCGATTTTTCCGTCTTTGCAGACTACATATCCGTCAATAAGTCCGGGCATATCGATTGAAACGTCCTGGTCGCTGAAGCATGGAATATCCGCCAGAGTCGTTTCCTTTCGGCAGACGCTCGTCATTGCTTCATAGCTGCCGTTTTGCAGCTTCTCGAGCATCTCGGCGTCCATGATGCCGAACACGAATCCGACGGTTCTCTGCTTGTCATGGATGACACGTGTCGCCTTCATTGTCTTCACCGGGAAACCTCTCTCGATAAGCTGCACTTTAGTCTCCATGAGGAATCGTTTTCCGGCATCCGGGTAGAAAATGAATCCAGCCATGAGGAGCCAATTGCCACGGCACGATTTCTCCAGGTATAACGTTACCTGGCTGAAATAAAATGCTCACTACTTCAACTTTATAGGAAATAACTAACCATTTGGTGGACAAGACGTCGTACACATCGATGATTTGATATCCGAGGAACGGCTCTTCGTAATCCAATTTGATTGGAAGTTTACGAAAATGGTTTCTCAATTCTGGGTTGACCGCTCCAAATCCGGGAATTTCCGGTTCAATTCCCATGTGCTGATAAGAGGGAAGAAGAGTCCTCGTTTTGAAGTCCAAGTCGGACTCCAAAGTGTCCCAAGATTCCCACCCTTGTGTGAATCCAAATTTCAATCCATTGCGGATATTCATCAGGTATTTGTCGGTTCCGAAGAACCAGCGATTGTAGAAGGCGCCGGCAAAGTTAAAGAACGCCTCCATCTCGCGTACCGAGAAGACCTCTTCAAACAGGTCTTGGCGCACTTTATCGTAGTGCGGATTGATCTTCTGGAGCCCCGATTCACGCATGAGAATGCCCGTTTCCTTGCCGTAAGAGACCCAGTGAGTTGACTTGGGCCACTTCTGATTTTGGAACTGGAAGGACGGAAGCTCTTCGATTGAATTGAGCGAGACTAGCGCCGTGATTTGCGGCCGGTTAATACCATCGTTTTCTCTGAAAGGAAATTAGTTTCGATACAATTTGAAGCGAGCATTATTGCGGGCACTGGTCTAAAATCGAGGACCGAAGCGAAAAAATCGAGGACCGAAAAAAGGATCGAGAACCGAAAGAAAGAATCGAGGAGTCGGGAAACGTGCCTATTCTCACCGAACAACTGTAAATTTATTTTCTGTGCCATTCTTTACTGTTTTCTTACAGTTTTCACCATCATTTTTCCGTCGACTCATCCAAAAGCCACCACCCCGGAAAGCGGAAGTCTTTCCATCTTTCCATGGAGGCGAGGCGATTTTCAGCGACTCGCTCCATGTCCTCGACCTCGTATGAATCATCGTTGGTATGAAACGTCCTCAATTTTTTCGCTTCGGTCCTCGATTTTAGACTAGCGCTGCATTGGCGTACCTCGAGGACGCAAAGATGAAGGCATCCGGGATGATAACGCTTCGACGGTCGTTGTCGAAAACCGCCTGTTGAACATTCCGCGGTGGGTCTTGTCCAAATACGTTCTCATTCGACATTGCAAATTTCACCAAGTACGCCTTCTTTTCGGGCAGTTCGCTACAGGAGAGCAACAAGCGAATGGTCTTGATTCCAATATCGCGTTGAAATATTCTCGACGAAACTCTCCTGAAGAGATAATATTGAGAATCCTGAAAACGGTACCAACCAGGTGACACCATTTCTGACGTATGTACGCGAGACTGGGTCGCGGCTCCGGATGTCCAACTGGAGATTCAACTTGACCGGGAACTCCCTCATGCTTCCGTTCAGGGCAGCATTATTGGCAACCGCAGGATCTGCCATCCTTCTGGAAAGTGAATATTAGGTTGGAAAACAGAAAATCTATCTGTAGCTGGTAAAAATAGGCTTACTACGTGTAAGGAGAGACTAAAAATTAATTACCTCAAAAATCGATATTGTCACTTTTGGAAGGTTTTCGACAGAAACTGGCGACTGATGGTAGTTGTTATCTGGAAAAACTGAACATTTCAGTCGTTGGGAGCGTATTTGAACAACTGCGAGTGAGCAAATGCAATGATAAGGGTTATAAAACGGACAAAACGTGGTGCGCCCGATTTTCCATGGCGTCATCGGCCCGGGGTAGTTTTCTAGGCCACGGCCACCGCTAGAACGTATCCCAACTCAAACAACGGGGTATTGTGAAAATGAAAAGAGAAGGGCAGCGTCTAGACACAAAAATTGACGGAAAATGCGTTAAGACAATACTCATCACAGCGATTATAACGGTCGATCGATGAGAAGAAAGAAGAAAATGAAGGAGGGGTGGGTTGTTTTGCAATGCGTATCGTGTAAAGATGACGGAGACGACCTACGCTGTCCGAGAATGTCTGCCCGTTTTCTCTGAATCTACACTGTCTCTTCTCATGATGAGACTTATTGAGAATCGGCCGTGTCGGGCCGGGCCGTTATCGACAGATGGAAGAGAAAAACGCACTAGAACATGCATTCAAAATTCTGTTTTGAAGCTCGATAATATCCATAAAAATCTGATATGTGCTTTTTGCGAAAAGATGTCTTAAAATATCAGTACACAATTTAAAAAACAAGGGATAATTCAGCTGAACTCAATATTTTGACGGCAGGTTTTTGGAACGGGTTCGTAGATGGAATCGAGTTCCATATGAGCAATTTTGAAGCTTTTTTTTTCAGAAGCAGCAAATCGTGAAGTGTCGTCGAATTCCTCCAACAATTGTATGTCAAGGAGCATGTCACATTTCGCCGAGCATTCGTTTCCTATGCAAAACTCAAACAACCAAAAAACTCAGTATTGTGGCATGTTCAGTGTACTTTCTATGTACACTCGCAGATGACAGCCGTCAAAATACAATTCTTGTTTTGCTCGAGTGTCATCTTCCCATTGATAAAATGGCACTGCGGAAGGAATTCAACGCTGTTTTTTCGTTTTATCTCGGCAAGTGTCAAAACAAACATAAAATTGGTTAAAAGCGGGTGTTTCATTTTTGAAAACACATTTTTAAAACTTCTTCTCTAGTATGACCGATTCTTCAAAACCTGTGGATCGGACTGCATTCCGTAACAAAAATGCACCACCAATTGAAGAAAAAACGTTCGACGAGTTCATTGCTGTTGATATCCCTGCTGGTGATGAGGTTTTCAAAGGTTTTTTCCAGGTTTCCCCCTTAATTTTGTCATTTCAGAATGCAATTTTCTCTTGGCGAAAGCTCTGGGCCTTCACAGGACCTGGGTTTCTAATGAGCATTGCTTACTTGGATCCCGGAAACATTGAAAGTGATCTACAAGCTGGTGCTCAGGCAGAATACAGACTCCTTTGGGTTCTTCTTTTCTCTCACATCATCGGAATGCTCCTGCAAAGAATGTCAGCAAGACTCGGGGTGGTCAGTGGGAGACATATGGCCGAGGTATTTCTAGTTTTTGTATGATTCATTAGAAAAGAGCAGATTGCGTATGATTACTATCCGCTGGTTCCTCGTTTGATCCTTTGGTTGATGATTGAAATTGCAATTGTGTGCAGTGATATGCAAGAAGTGATCGGAACTGCGATTGCATTTTACTTACTTTCCAAAGGATAGTAAGTGGAGCTAACCTTTTCATACCGAAATGTTATAATTTTAAGTATCCCACTCATTGTGGGTGTTTTCATTACCATCTTCGACACGTTTACTTTTTTGTGCATCGACAGGTATGGAATCCGAAAGTTGGAACTGATTTTTGGAGTTCTTATTTCGACAATGGCGATTTCGTTTGGATACGAGGTCAGAAAATAATCAAATGTTTATATTATTTAAGATTTTTTTTTTCAGTTTATTGTGATGAAACCCCCGATTGAAAGTGTTTTTGCTGGGACAGTGGTTCCTTGGTGCAGTGGATGCGGCAAAGAAGAGATTATCACTGCTATTTCGATCATCGGCGCCGTCATCATGCCCCATAACTTTTATTTGCATTCGGCCTTAGTGAAAGTGAGCGTGATCTGATTGTGAGTTTGTAAATCATTCTGACGGAGCCCATTTTTAGTCCCGAAAAGTGAATCGTTCCAACAGAAACCGCGTTGCCGAGGCGAACAAATATTTTGCAATCGAATCGGCGATTGCGCTCTTCGTCAGTTTTTTCATAAATATGTTTGTTTTGTCGGTGTTCGCACGTGGACTATACGGTAAAACAAATGAAGATGTGGTCGGTTGATGAGCTGAAAAAAAAACAAAATGGAGATGTTTGTAGAGTTCGATGTGTCTCGCTCAACATGATATACCGGATTCAAATATTTTTCCAAACGATTCGGAACCTGTCGAAGTGGACTTATTTGAAGTATAGTCTTGCGCTAAGGATACAAACTGAACATTTTTATTAACAGGGAGGAATCTACTTAGGTTGTCAGTTTGGTCTCGTGGCAATGCTCGTGTGGGGAATCGGAATACTCGCAGCTGGTCAGAGTTCCACAATGACCGGAACTTATACGGGACAGTTTGTGATGGAAGGATTTATCAAAATCTCGTGGCCAAAATGGAAACGTGTCCTGGTTACTCGAGCTGTCGCCATCACACCCACGCTTATTTTGTGTATCAGTGCAAACGGAATCAAGAACCTGACAGGTATAACCTTAAAAACACGAAATATCTAAAACTAATATTTTCAGGTATGAATGACTTTTTGAACTGTGTACAAATGGTTCAGCTACCATTCGCTATTATTCCTATGATCACTTTCACTTCCAGTGAAAAAATCATGCACAACTTTAAAAATTCAAAGGGTCTCAAAGCATTCGCACTGATATCATCGGTAATAACCATTGGAATCAACGTCTACTTCATTATACAAACTGTTTCTGAACATTTGGGCACCGAGTGGTATATCTGGATCGCAATCACTCCGATCACCATCCCATACGTTCTTTTTGTTGCCTATTTGGTGAGTTCACAGTTTTCCATGAGTAATTCAAACATTTCAGTCTGTCTATTGTCTCGTGGAATGCAATATTCTCAGCGATACAATGGTAAGCCAACAAGTGGAAGTTTTTGAAAAACAAATCTTTATGTTAGGAAATTCCTGGATTTGATTTCTATCGTCCACTGAAAACAGACGCCCCTTGGCTTGAACAGCCAATACGGATCCCTCACATAAACCATGGTTATATGTAGCGTGTATTTCAGAAATAAATGTTTATTACTATCACAATTTATCTGTTTTCATCCAGCAGCACATAGATTGCAGCTTTTCTTGCAGTTAGCAGCCATGTATTGATCATGGCCGGTGGCCTTGCACAGATCTTTCAGAGCCCACGCTCCACAGTAGACGTTTTTGTCCTCACAGCCTAAAAAATATTGTTTTTTGGAGGCACCAACTAGAAAAGTAACCTGGTTGGCAGTACATTTTCTTCAAAAGTTCAATATCCGTAGTACCCATCTTTTTTCTTTGTCCCAAAACTTTCAAATTCACTTCTGGGTTCGTTTTGGGGTTCATGGTTGGAATAGCAATGTTCTGAGCGGCAGTGTAACCATTGTAGTGCATGATGCTGTCATAGGCATATTTGACTCCGTACGAAGTGTAGAGCTTCGAGTCGACAACTACAAAAGCATCGTATTGCTGCGGATCGATGTTGCTCCAGTTGATAGTAATGAACTGATCACGATCGGTGCGGAGATGTTGGTGAGCCACTCCAAGAGCATGCATGGTTTCGTGAATTGCTACTCCTTTGTTCTGAAATAACCATCTTTTCAGGTTTTAAAGTGAAAAGCAAAGAGAAACTTTACATTGTCACATCCGAAACTCAAGTAGACCGGGTTAGCGGGATCAGCTCGACCGACATAGGATAGTCCACAGCTGAAACATAATTTTATTCTTTTAAATATACTGAATGGCTTCTTACAAAGTGGGACTGTCGACTTTGTAGTAGACAATGTGAGATCCAGTTGGAGGGGAGCTGAGTTCTTTGAACCGAATGCACGTGTTCTTTTCGATTTCGTAAATTGCTGCTCGCACATCGTTCTTGTCAAGGGCTTCTGAAAAATGTCACAAAATGGGTCAGCGTGGATGTTAGATTACCAAGTGAGTCATCAAGCACATATTTGATTGGAGAACTTGGATCCCATTTCTTGATAAGATTACCTTCAAAATACAGCGCAGATCTGTAAAGGTCCATGAAAACTGGTAAAGAAATTGCAACTCACTTTCTTGCTCTTTTGCCTGGAGCTTTAGTAGTTGTGTCTGTGGAATTGGTCTCATTATCAGAATCATCGTCATCATCAGACTCAGGCAGTGGGATCTCTTCATCTCCCACTCCCGCCTTGTTCAGCTCATTTAACAGAATATTAGCTTGTTCTTCAGTGAGCATAGTGTCCAAGTCATAGACTCCATTGTCAACTGGTGCCACGTCAGCAGTCAGATTACCCTTCTCAATAAGTGCTTCCTTGATCTGCAAAGTTCTGTCAAATCGCAGTTGGACAACGTCGGATTTGTCTTTTGTGGCGAACTTGTTTTCGAAATCGGTCAGCTGAAAAGAGAACTGATGGGAACGATCAAACAAGAAAGTGCACCTTTTGAGTGAAAAGTTCTCTCAGCTTTTTGGCAGATTCTGGTTGTTCTCTGCATTTCCGTTTTTTGCAAATGTCCTGTAAAATTATATTTGGGATTAGGCTAGACACTCAAAGTTCTATATATACTCTGATTTTGTTGACATGATCCGAGCTGAGATGTCCAAATCCATGACCAGCATTATCCAGAAACTCTCGCAGTTTTGGGTCAACATGAGCAAGTGGGTCATCGATATGAATCCTGATAGAATGTTAATGGTTATGCTGTTATCTGTTTTTCCCAGTCTAATCCTTACTTTGGCACTCTTCTTAAAAACTTTCCGATGCCTCCTCTTGAGAACTGTCCAACCATGTCCTCAAGTTCTTTCTGGTCCGGAATCGTCCCTCTTCTGCAGTTTGGATGTCCCGGGAACCGATGACAGAATTGTTTCACTTTTCCTTTCCATTCTCTGTTCGAGAATTTCTTGCGTTTGTTGTGAAAATCCTGAAAAATAATGTATTTTAAAACATTGTTTTAAAAAATCAAGTCAAACCTTGAAGTCGGAGAGCACATCACCTAGTCCTCCAAGTCCTTTTCTCGCTGGCTCAATAATCTCTGTGATCTTTATTATGTTTTGAACTGAAAAGATCACGCACTAATCATTAAACTAGCCTACATCAAACTCTCAAACCTCCATGCGAAAATGGTTCTGGTCCTCCGCCATGTGGAAATCCTGGTGGTGGAATTGGCGGTGGAACGTCTCTTGGACCCGGTGGTGGAGGCCCTCCTCGATGGTCACCTCCGCCGCCACCGCCCCAGTTTCCAGAGTTACCGAAATTGTTGTTGAATCGATCCCACGGCCTCCACCCCTGCCCCTCCGCCAAGCCAATCAAGAAAAACACCACAATTGGTGTCATTCTGAAATGTTTACAATATCGAAAAAAAAAGCAAACAAAAGGGTGAATAAGAAGGGAATAGTCCGTTTATTCGATATCAGTCAATGATCAGCGCATTTATATCTTTCAATGAATCAAAAAAAGCGTCGTATTCGAGAAAGGGAGTGATAGGAAGAAACGAAATGAAGGAAGTACATGTTTGTGATGGTAAAACTGGTCGGCGTCTAAATGAAGAATCACGTCATGATCAGTCATTTTTCAAGGTTGAACACTTGAGACGGTCAGCGGGAAGAAATCAGAATGATCGAATGATATCAAACGGAAGGATATCATGAATGGAGCATCTCTTCCGCGGCTTGTTGCTTCAATCGCTCAATAATCGAAGTTTGGTTGACCTGTTCAAAAACATTTGGCGCCGATAATAGTATTCCCATAGTTCCACCAGTGGTTACTGTAACTTTCCCATTGATTTCAAAACAAAACACTTTCAAAGCAACTTACCGCCAAAGAAAAGATAAAGAAGTAATCGATCAATCACCACGGAAACAAACTTCCATTCTTCGCGCTGCTGAAATGAAGTCAAGAGTTCGGTGAACAACACAACACGCGAAACAGTAATTGTTTCTGACACGCGTCGTTCTTTAGTCCCCCTTTCGACTGACCCGTTTAAAGGTGTTGTCGTGTGTTAGATGCGTCGTGATATACTCGATCGCTTCGATCGCTTTCTTGGCATCCGCAGACAACCTTTCTTCGGAACTTGACCCCTAAAAGAGACATTTTAAGAACGCTGAAAAGTATGCTAAAATCACTCACTTCTTTTTTCAAAACTGTTTGTTTTGACTGGTTTTGGAACTGAAAAACAAGAACAGGAATTTGAGACAAATGAATGACGTCACAAAAAAGGTGCTTACCACTCTGGCATCGTTCTTCTTGAAGAACGTCTTGAGTGCAAACTTCATGCTCCTTCTCTCACGTTTCTCCCGTTTCATTCTCTCCAGCTCCTTTTCCGTACTTTCGGGCCGTCGCATCACAAAAAGGATGGGCAGAAACTGAAGTGTCTGTTGAAAATGAAATGGATACGAAACGGATTATGTACCTTGAGAAAAACTGTTTTGACCCAAGTTGGCATGATATGGGTAGCGGGACCACGAAAGTAGACGTTGATGATAATCACACTGACCTAAAAAAGAATTCACTAATATCTACGTTTACTTTTTTTTGAGTTTTACCATGATAGTTATCATATTCATGATAAAAGTCATTAAGAGATACTTTGCCATTAACGGAATTGTGGAACTTGTAGGAGGTAGTATCTGAACTAATTTATACAAAAATCTTTAGAAAATGGTGTCCCTTACTTTTGATACAACAAGAAGAAACACTACTAAAGCCAAAAGAATACTGATAGCAAGCGTTATTTTTTCACTAGATTCTGCTGGCAAGTAAAACACCATCATGGATAAAAAGGCCATAAGAACTGTTGGCATAATGAGGATAACCGTGTAGAACAAGGCTTTTCTGTAACAGTCTGTTCTTTTCTGTTTTTACAATCTTTCTAAACCGTCTAATTCTGATTTGATACGAAATTTTGGATCTTTCATCGATCAATAGGCCGGGCGCATCCATCAAATCCCAAACTCCAGAAGGTAAAAAGTCATTCAATTCGACCTGAAATCCCCGCACACAAATTCACTTTCTGTTCACTTCCTCAACAAACTGACGTGACGTTTGCCGGAGAGATAAGAGAGCTGCAACTCGTCCTTGCGAAAAGTCCAAGAACCAAAAGTGAGCGAACAAACTTGTTCTGGAAAACGACTGATGTTACACGAGATAATGGGGTGGGAGAAGTTTTTTTGTAGCACTTGCCATCAAAAGGAAAAAACTCGACATCAATCAAACAGCTGCTTTTATAAACTGCTGGAGGCACCCAGAGCATATCTCCCGTGTGCTCAACCACAACGTTCGAGTAGAACGAAACGAGGTAGTTGCCATCGGCACTGAAATTTTCGATTTTGCTGCCATAGTGCGTAAGAATCATCACTTACTTATTGAAAAGAACAATATCAGGTAGCCAAACCTTATCCGGAGGTACTCGGATCGTTTTGATTCCATCGAACTCGGTCGGGTCCCATTGCATTTGGTAATCATTCCATTTCATCGTCGGCCAAACATTAGTTTGCATAATTTGGTTCTTCTCATCCACATTGATGAGGAGGACAAATGCAAGACTGAAAAATACCTGCAAAAGCTATAATTTTTGCAAGAAGCTCACGAAAATGCAGACTTGCAACATGCCACCCCGGGGTCGAAACAGTATCTAACTGGGTCCAAAAACTTTTAAAAATTTATACATGTTTGCCCCGGCACAAAATCTTGCAAATTTGCGAAAATTACCTCAATTGGCGGTGAAGATGCGTTCAGAACGGGTCTAATTAGCGAATTATATCCGTCAAATATGTAAGAAAGAAGGCGTTCTTCAGCTGAATTAGGATATCCGTCCAGAGCTGAAAATTATGGAAAAATGGCAGCAAGAACTGACACACCATTCAATTAGATGCCAACCTGGGATTAACAAAACAGCAATGAAGGAAATAATATGCATTTCTTTGCTAAATGAATAAATGATATGAGTTAGAAGGATCTCAGCAACAATGCTGTTTACATTTCATTAGCCTCTCGCGCTCTAACTGACAAAATTGAAGCACCACCCTGGGAACAAAACAGACTGGAGAGGGCTCAATGGGACCCGGGCTGCTCAATCCGTTGATGAGTAAACACATCTTCTTCTTTCAGGTGTCGTCCGCAGACAAAGTGATTGTGAAGTGGATCCCTCCTTCCTTCACGAAGATTTTTCAATTTGCACTCGAACAAACTGGGAAAGTTTATTAGGGGGGAACGAAAGAGCAAATGGTGAGAAATGAAATGAAATTCGATCGTGAAACCAGTAAAATTAACCAGACGGGATGAAACTTCTACCCAATGGTGGTAAATCGGAACAAATGTTCTGATGTACATTGTATTGCCTATAGGTTATTTGAAGACGGGCTCAGGCGTACATGTCCGACGGTAGATATTTTGCGTTCAACTTTTTGATCACCGATTCTTGGTCGATGAAATCAAATACATGTGGTGCTGAAAATAAAAAGTTTTTAAAGTTGCAATTAGATCAAAATGATACCTGAGCAAATGATTCCTAAAGTTCCGCCCAGTGTTACTCCGAAGAATATCAGTAAAATCAACCTGTCCAGAACCATCGCGACGTACTTCCAATCGTCTCTCATCTACAATTCACGTATTCTAACTATTAAAATAGCAACTCTCACCTTTTTCAGACTCATTTCTCTCTTCATGTGTTCTGCGATGTAGGCAATCGCTTCTACTGTCGTTTTCATCTCTTTGCTGATCTTTTCGTGTAGTGAATCCACATGATTCCCGTTCGAATCGTCAATAATATCTTCACCATCTTCATCCAAACGAGCCTGAAATCTTATGCTCAATAGTTTCAAAGACTGGAGCACTAACTCTTGGAGCTCTCCTTTTCGACATTCTTATCGATAACCGTTTCTTCCACTTGGAACAGTTCTCATGGTGTTCCGACGATCGTCCAGAGCTAGTTGAACTCTCAGCATTAATTGCAGATGTCACTTGCAAGAACGGAAGCATTGTGGCTGTCATAGACGGCATTACAAGACCTAGATGAACACTTTTCATCCAAACATCAGGTGAACGGGACTTGAAACTCACTGGCATCAAAAATTTCAGAAGCACAGTATTCTTCGACAAAGTATCCATTAAAAATTGGTATTCTCTCGGGCCTTTTCATGACCAACAAATGGGGCAGAAATTCCAAGAATACTTTTCGGACCCATGTTGGCATTTTGTGCGAGAGCGCACTGCGGAAGTAGACGTTCACTATGACAACAGTTCCCTAAAATCATATTTCAAACTTTTTCAAAGTCCCAGTATCTTACCACTACAGCAACAATGTTCAGAACAAACGCAAGTAGGAGATATTTGCCCATTAGTGGAATGTTTGAAGTGGGTGGCAGTATCTGAAAATGGATGGACACTTGAAATTTGTGTGTGCAACGAGAGGATCATACTTTGGAGACCAGCAGCAGGAAAACGACAAGAGCGAGCAAAAGTGAAATTGTTAGTGAGACTTTTTCTCCAGAATCTACGGGAAGATAGAAAGCCATGACAGAGAGGAAGGCCATGAGGACAGTCGGGATGATAAGAATGACGGTGTAGAAAAGAGTTTTCCGTCTGATAACCACATTGAACACCATTTTGTTCTCCTTGGTGTCGGGTTTGTGCACCAATTGCCCAGGCACATCTGCAATCACATTCTATTTTTCTTTCTTCCTGTTATAAGTTACCAATAACATCCCATATTCCCGAATAGGAATAGTCATGCAGCTGTACCGCTTGGATATTATTGTACCAATGCAGTCGGACTTCTTCAGAATTGTACGTCCAAGAACCGAAGACCAAAGTGCAACACTGCTCATCAAATGGGAACCTGAAAAATGAGATGAGGAAATGACTTTTGAGTAGGTGGTAATTAGAATTTAGAATGCGAAAGGAATCATAATGAAGTTCTATTTCCATCATCCCTTTTTGAGCCTTTAACGCACCATTCGACGTCAATCCGACAACTGCTTTTGAACATTGCTGGCGGTACCCATGTCACATCGCCGTGATGGTCAACGAAAACGTTGGACTTGAAGGAGACTTCATAGTTGCCGTCGGCGCTGCAAGAGTCAACGCGATCATTTGTATGCTAATCGAGTTTTGTGTTTTAATGTCCGAGCAGGGCAACTCGCCAAGTGCAATATTTCAAGCTCTTGTCAAACGGCTATTTAATTATGTTCCAGCCAGTCGAGATAATCTTATTTTACGTTTTCATGTGTATATGTCTAAGAGGTTGCGGAAAGTGATGCTGTCGGTCGGCTTCTCAAAAGGTTCCCTCCTCCAAAAACTGACTTCAGATCATTTTTCATCACTGCGCAGTTTGGAGTATCTATTGGCCAAAACAAGTTATTTTTCATGTGTGAGAACCTGTTTTCTTCGTTGAAAATAGATATTTTGAAGATGAGCGAACGGCAGTCAAAATGGAACAATAATAAACCATAATTCTAACCAGATGAGAAGCTTTCTTTCTTTCTTCTTTCCTTCACTAAGTTTGCGTCCAACCAATTGCAACTCATCCCCCAAAAGGACCATTCAACAAAGGAGTCGCGTGTGTGCACATCAATTCAGCACGGGCTTAATTGCGTCGCAACTTTGTCTTCTCATCTTTTTGAGATTCGCTGCGTTAGCTCGCATGATTGTATAATTTGTGGAAGAAAATAGACGGCCACCAAAAGCTAACAAAGTTTGAAAAGAAAGAGTGTTCAGGACCCGAAAAACAGACATTTCCCCGAAGAAACATTTTCAAGGCCACCCTGACTAGTCGCAATGTCTCCAATCCAAAGCATCCAAAGCAGGAAAGTGACAAATTTGATATATTTGGAAGGTGGCTCATCATCACTTGTTGGCTCAAAACTGCGGAAACAAGATAAAGCGATTTGATTTACGATTACTACGCACATTCAGCATTCATACAAAGTGGATTTGGCGAATCTTGCCTTTCAACTCTCACAGGATCGGTTAGAAATGTAGGAAACGGGGAAAGTGACTCACTTGTTGAAAAGGACAATATCAGGAAGCCAGACTCGGTCGGACGGCACATGAAGATTTGAGATGTTTCCTATAAAAACTCAATTATTTACCAAAGTGTTGGTGGCAAACCCAACCATATTCAGCTGGATTCCAAGCCAGTTGGAAGTCATTCCATTTCATTGTCAGCCAAACATTTGTTTGCAGGATCTGATTCTTCTCGTCCACATTGATGAGCAGGATCATGGCGACACCAAAGTCCACGACGACCGGCGGACTGCTCACATTCCTAACCGGCCTAATCAAGAAGTTATACTCGCGGAAGAGATCTATGACCAGCCGATCCTCGTCCTCTCCCATGGTATCGCCTTGCTCTGCAACTTTTTTTTATTTGTCCGGTTTTCAATTCCTTTTTCTCTTTTTTCCTTTTTCCCGCACCATCATCTTCATGCCTTTTTGATGAGTCGTATTTACCCATTTCCTAGTGCTTTCATTTAAATTCACACTTTTCACACAATGTGTCTTTAATTTCAATATTAAAAGTCGGGGAAAAAGAGAGGGAGAGAGAAAGAGTTTGAGCTTGAGCTTTTAGTGATCAAATTGTTCAGAACTACAGGAAGCTGGAAATTTTCTAATAAATTCTCGAGCTCTCGTCGGCTCAAATCCCCAGGCAGTCTATAAAAACACCAAAATTATGGTGAGAAAGAGGGCTGAGACGCCTCGTTTTCGGGCTCTCAAATGCCCTATAGCCCTCCCTTCTCGCCCTTTTACTCTTGCTCTCCATTTCATTGTCGGAAACTGAGAAACTACTCAAGGGACATTAAACTCGCACAATATTTGATGGTCATATCGAAACACATCTGTTTTTTAGTGAATAAATGTTGTCGTTTCGTTCGACATGTGGATTCGGATCAATGAATGAGAAAAAAAAAGAGTGCGGAGCGAAAAAGAAGTGGAAGTTGCACGTTTACAATAGGTGCCGAACAAGTTCCCTTTGTTCTGACGTGGCTATTTTTGAGCTTCGAAAAGAGTGGCAACAAAGCAGAGTAGTACAGAAATTGTTTCCGGGTTGAGTCGAAAACGACAACAAAGGTAATTTCCCCAGTTTTGTCTCTCCAAAAACGCATCTTTCATGTCTATACTTTACAACAGCTGAGCTTTGAGATGCGGAAGCACTGACACAGCTGAATTTTGTTGATTTGCGTGAATTCACGCACAAAATGCTTGTCTTATTCAGGAAGGATGTGGTCGTGGGTGCTGTTGGATGGGATAGAATCGGCCGAAGAGGACCACCACCGAGATTTTGCATTTTGTCGCCGCAAGAGTTTGCATAAAAAAAAGAGTGAAGTTTAGGTTTGTGGGAGGAGGTAAAATGTAATATTTTTTACTTGGAATCGTGGTAAACATCATGTGGGGGTAGAAAAAAAAAAGTACCTAGTTTTTGTTTAGCTTCGAGAAAACGAACTTACCTCCAGAATTTTGATTGGGATCCGACGAATTGGAGTCGTTGGTCTGATTCAGTACGTCGGAGGCTTCATCCTCACTATCCTGGTCTTCATTCGAACAGTGCACTTTCAGGAATAATGTGACCAGAATAAGGAGAATCTTAACCGTCTTCTTCATGAAAAGCGGCGTCGTTCCCGACGAGGAAGGTGGGCACTTCGTTTGGATGCCTACTTCGGGTCGTTCTGCTCCTTCTGCTCCTTCTTCTTCTTTTTGTTCAGCGCGTCCGCGCGTCCGCGAGGGTGGGTGGAGGCAGGGGCAAGGATATTCTGGTTGAGGTGGGCGTGGCCGCCCGTCCGTCCGTCGTGGGGGCCCTCTGGTTCGTGAAGACAACTAAAATGACACATTTGGCGATGCGCCATCGCCGTCCGTCCGGGGCGGCGCGTTTCGTCGCTTTCGGAGGCTCTTTCTGCGTTTCGCACATGGGCAGAGTGTAGTCAACGGTCGGACGGACCCGCCCGATATCGCTATGACAGAAGAGCAACACGCGCTGGCTGGCAGGCAGGCAGGGCCCTCCCCATCGTTCCCCCGAGATTCATTGATATTCGCGCTTTGCTGGTGCGAATGTTATGCTTCATATTTTCGGGTGCGCGTGAGTCTCTTGCGCCGTTCCAAGACTCCGGGAGTGCCTTTCTTTTTTTTGGTTCGAAAAAAAAAGAAAGAAAAGTTTTTATTCCTTCTGGACACATATCTACATACACACAAAAGCATACTTTCTGTGTGACACTAGCTTTTTCATCAGTGCCGCGTCGCAACATGTGTACTCGAGAAAGAAGCAAGACGGCGGACGGACACATATCAAAACTTGAGCGCAAACCGCAAACTTTCACGTTTTTGAGACCGAATTTTTTGTGGGAACATGGATTTCCGACAACAAAATTCGAAACGAGGGACGAACAACAACTCATTCTTGTTGAAATATTTCAAACATCTGGTTGTGGCCATCAAAATCAAAATGGGAATGGTGCTTTCAAAGTATTGGCTGGGAAGGAGTCTGGAGATCGCGTCAAGCCGTTTTCCGTGTCGGCCGCTCATCATTAATTCATCAAAAGTTCCTTCAATCTGTTTCCTGAAGCCCAATTATAGAATTTGTCGACAAATGATCGTTTATTTCATGATTTTCTTTTATAGTTCATTTAAAAAAACACGTAGAAATCTTCAGTACATAATATCTTTCCATTTGAGTCAGTCAGTCGTAAGCTGAAAAAAAATAATTTTTGTACCAATTATATGAGTGTGCACTTACGTAGAAGTAAGTTCCGGCTACAGGCGTGCCGAGCATGTTTCCAGTGTCTGATTTCAAAAAGTCGGTCACCGATCTGTATTTGCTATGAAGATCTTTACTGGATAAAACATAAATGCGTCCCAACGGATTCGTCGTTTTGAAAACAAGCACAATCCACAGTTTTCGATCTGAAAATGACTGAAAATACTTTCTTTTCTTGTCTTCAAAGTCCTCACATTCTTTTATCGGACCCGGACGTGACGGATTTTCAATGTTTGTAATGGGCGCCGCATTGAAAATTTTCTTGGATATGAATCCTAAAAAGCAGACATAATTCGATTGCACGTCGGTCCTTTCCTTCCACTTCCCGGCCAGTTTATAAAAAGAATAATAATAATAATTGTGGTGGGATAGTGGAAAGAAAGAAGATGATATAAACCTCCATCCGGAATTGGCTCATCTAAATGAATCGTTTTTCCATTCGAAGTTGGTCGATCATAATACAGTTGCATTGTCTCCGTTGTCGACATGGGATCTGTCAAAATGTGTTTACATGTGTCTCAAAAAAGCCCCGCCAACACAATTATTTCCGCTTGAACGCCCTCCCCCCTCTTTGTACCGGAACATGTTCGAAATGCGATTACCGAATAGGATAACATGCACAAATGAGCCGTGGCCAAAGTCCGAGAATAGTTTGATTTTTTTCAAATACGCCGGCTCGAAGAGTTTGTAGGGTGTGAGCACGAAATGATCGCCAATTCTAATTTCCGGCGAGTGCTCTTTGGCGGAAGTGTGAACGTTCAAAGTGACCTAGAAACATGTATGTGTCTGTTGTGATGTTTTCTGCTTTCTGAATGGGTGACACAACTGAAACGTACATATTCGATGGCTGAAAGAGGGGGATTTGGAACGATGCGGGGGCTTATTTTGGCTTCTCCAAAAACAGACGCAAATGAATAAAGGGTCGTGGTTTTACAGCATAGAGATCGTCCGTCTGCTGGAAGTTGATGACCATTGGACGCCTCTACACACTGCAATAAATATGTTCTTTTTTCTCTTGTGACAAAGTCGTAAACTTTGTAGTCATAGGGGCAGATATTCACAATAGTCGGATCGCATAACAAAACATGTGGCATTTTGTAGGGAATCGCTCCAGCGGGGCAGACTGAATGAGGCAATTATGAAAACTTGGTTTTAATGGCTCACTTGGCTTGATTTCAGTGGCATTTAACGTGGTAATCTCAGTAGAATCTTGAATTCGATCACTGCAGCACTTGAAAACTCGGTCTCCGGCTGTTGCGCAGAATGGATTTCTTCCGGTGCAGGTGAATGGGTTGTTGGGTGAACAGGCAACTCCGTTACCTAATGTTTTCGACTATTGTGAAACAAATTTGAAAAAAAACCGAACCTGGTGTATAATCAGTGCAATGATTGATGGATGGAACGTAGGTCAGATCAGGAGACTGCCATCCTTCACTGCATTCTGCAAAAAACTGAATCTAGGTTTCTGATTTTCAATAAATTTTTTGTAAACTTTTGGGAAGCATTATCAAAAAGACACACTGCGCTTACGAACCTGGTCGTTCTGGTGGTGGAATAGCAGGTTGAGATAGACACGGAGGTATGGAAACCGAAAAAACGAATAGTATGCACAACATGTGTGTGAGTTCGACCACCACAGCCTTCTCTTTCGAATCAGAAAAGTTCCAAAATCGGTTTGATCAGAGCATTAGATCGAGTTCGTGACCGCGCAAAAAGCTGTTGATTCTGAGCCGAATTCACGGCCCCGTTTCATGTTGAGGTGTTGGTCATCCGATTATCAGCCAAAACACAAACAAAGGTTCGGGTGGTGGGTCCCCTTTCTTCGCCGCACTTCGAAGCCGCGGCGACCATATCAAAAGATTGCATTCAAATATGCGCCGATCTCTTATTATTTTTGTGTGGTTTGTTGTTTTTGTTGTTTTTTGTAAGAATAAACCTGAAAAGGTGATCGAAGAGGAGGAAGAGGAGGAAACTGGAGATGATTTTGAGGAAAGTGAGTTCTAACTGTAGTTAATGTTCTAGTAAATCAACAATTTCAGTTTGCCCTTTCCCCTGGCAAACTCACGATCAAAACGTTCTTGCACAATATTCAATGTGCAATGATGTGATCAATGAAGGTGTAAAATGTACTCCAAACGATCCAGTTGAGTGTACCGGTAGAAATCCAATGTGTGTCTTCTCGAAACTAACAAACGATCATCGATGTTGCGCGGATGTTCCCCAAGATTTGAGTAATCCTCCTGGTGTTCCGGAACAAGTCAAGCCAAGTAAGATGCACAATATGGAAAGATAAAAATAAAGTTTTAAGTCTGTCCATATGGTGCATCTTCCTACGATCTTCCGTCCGTTCTCCTTTGTGATCCAACAGAAGACAAGGCATGTCCGGAACACTACACATGCGAACAGGCGGTCAATCATCAAATGCTCACGACCTACAACATGCATCTTTGCTGCAAAACTTCCACACTCGACTCATTTGAAAACGGTAAAACAGAAAACTTACGACGTTCTTGAAACGAAAAGGATTTTTAGTGTTTTATGAGACAAAAGTTGGTATCAACAAGATGTCATCTAATCTTTCGATGCCGATTTTCTACGTAACACAGTTGTCCCCGTCCATTATCCCGATTGCTCCATCCGGTGGTATTGATTATGTCTGTAAAAAATGCTGATTTTTCTGTTCTGACAGTCAATATTCAGGTTGTACTGAATGAGTACATTCCGAGCAAAACTAAATCGAATACTCCTGAAATCCGTACCGGGGATCATTTCGCAATGCTTCCATACCGATTTAGAGAGCCAGTTTATTTGAAAAAGGTAAGACATCTTACTTTTTTTGGAGGGAACCACCGTTTTTTAAGGTTTACTTGTTCCACGAGCCAATGCCAAATTTCTTTTTCCACGTATTAGTTTTATTCAGTAAGTGTTCCAAATATAAGCACTCACTTTCGGATCGTTTTCTAGATCCTCACGGAAATCCTGAATCAATGAATTTGTATTATAATCGGCCGTCTTCACTCTCGAGAGAAATCGATTTATCCGTTCCCGTTTGGGACGAAGGAGTGTTTTTCAGAAACATGAATCGAATTCTTACTATTCAATCTGATCAAACGTCTAGCCGTCAAAGTAGGAATCTCACATAAAATCCTAATTTTTTGATGTTAAATTCCAATTTCAGTTCGCCGGTTATACATAGTTTTGGTGTTCAAAACGAAATTCCGGATAACCAAGAGAAATCCGCAAGTTTGGAATGATTTCCATACAAACTACACAACGTTCACAGAATTTTTGAACACGGAAACTGGAAAACAGCTCGGAAGTCCGATGGCCGGAACTTATTATTACGTAATTTGCAGTGAATTGAGCAAATATTACATGAACTGTTTCAGATCACCAAATAAATCAGAAACGGGATTATTGTCAAACTTTGAAAAATGTATTATTCAAATTTCTTGCTTTAAATTAATACAAATGAAGATTTCTATGCATAGCTTATACAATTAAATTTGGACCCGAATTTATACGGATATTCGTGTGAATTGCACAGAATTACTGCGTGAATAACCTAAATACAAATATGGTGTTTGGGTCGATTTGGGCGTTTCCGCCAAGTTGACTTTGAAGTTGGTTCAGACTGTTCCTGAAAAAAATCGTTTTGGTTGATGTGTCATGATTCTTACCTGATGACTCCAGCAACAGTATTCTGGTCTACACTTCCACCTCCCAACATATTGACCCTAAACAAGACTGCCAAATCGTTCCCTCTGAAATAACTGACGTTTAATTCCAATAAAAATGAATAGTTTGCTCACCTGTTTTGCAAATCTGTCAAAGTTGCGTGCGCAGCATATGGTTGCAAACTGGACGTCACAAACACATTATCCAACTCAAATCACTTTTTTTCTCTTTTGAAAGTTTTTGAAAGTATGTCTCACCGCGTTTTGAATCAAGTTAAAAGCAGAGTAGTAGGTATTTGTGTTTTTCATGTCGTATATTTCACTGGCTTGACGGAGTATGGTGAAAGATCCCGAATACGTCTGATTCTGTGAGAATATTGGCGACCCGGCGGTTGGTAAATTATTGATTGGTGGCCGAATAGTTGGGTTTAAAAGTGGTGAACTGGTGGGATTTTGAAGCGGATCAGCTCCATTAAAAACTGAGAAATATCGATTGAGAATTGAAAACTTACAGGAACCTTACCTCCGGACGCAAATAAAATTATGATGACAATAGCAGCAATGAGTAGTAGAAAAAGCATAATAAATAGTGTTATGTATATTCTTTTCGAGCTGAAATGTATCGATTAAATAAGGTGTTTTTTCTGACCGAACTGAGTGACTGAATAAATCCATTACATACCTGCTTTTTGAAGAAAACGATATTGTAGTATTCCGATCGCTCTCATTACTCCATCCTTGTCTAGTCATGTACGCCGCTCCCGTATTCTGCGAGTTGTAGGAAGGGACATACCCTTGAGTTCGATTGTGATGATTGTAAGACATACTCATTCACTGAAGCATCAACAATTCTTGCAGAAAGATTCAAAGAAACCCACGCAATTCACAAAAAATGTGCAAATGATTTCATCATCAGTAATGAACGTAGGCCGTGCGGGCGGAATGTGAGGAGACGGCGGGGTGTCTGCGGTACGGAGGACATCATGGCTGCGGTGCAGATGAACACACACACATCATCGCTCATTGTGTTTATTTTTAGACGCGCACATAGGTCGATTCGAACGAACATCGAGATTGGATAGAGGGATCGAGATCGATAAGTGTACAGGCTGTGTCTCTTTTCGATAATTTGTCGAAGCTGCAAAACTTCAGGTTTCCGGTCCCACAAAAAGGATTACTATCGTCAAGAATTGTTTCGACTATTACTGGAAAAGATGTTATTGAGTCCCGGATATGAAGACTACTTTGTTTTAGTACGCGGAAGTGAGAATGCTAAGCTTTTCTTTGAGCTCAACTTTTCCGGTACATAAAAGACAAATCACGTCAGGCTTAAAAAGACGATAACCTGTCCGTTCGCACAGAAGAGTCAGTCGGAAATGTGGTCGACAATGAGGTAGGCTTAAGGCTGCAACTGTTTTGACGGAAATACCCTTTATTACAGAGAAGCATCGATGGATTTATATGACTCAAGGCGCTATCGTCGGAAATATGTCAAATGTTCATCATCTAATTTATATTTAGGAGCAACCAAAGACATCAGAGATTGTTTTATTTAATTCATTATAGCCCGCAAAAAAACGCCCTGGGTCGCGCAATCAATCTGTTCAGGGTCTATTTTTAAACAGGTGATCGTTGAGAGACTCTGATTTTTGGGAAGGACAATGAAACTGAAAGATGGTTGGTTATTAATAATGAAAAAAAAACATGAAACATGAAGAAGCATCTCCGGTGAGTATGACTACTGTCAGTCATTGTTTCAGGCAGGATAAAAAATAATTCCGACATAACACACAATAAATATTTGACTTGGAAGACACTTGTCGGATGATTTTAGGAGATTTCGGTTGCTAAGATATTATTGAGGAGGGGGCTACCAGCTACCCCTTTTGATTTTACTTTTCTCGCGACCCTGCAACAACCCCGGGGTCCGATAGTCTAACCTGGTCTGGATTGGATCGTCACGAGCAAGAATCCTGGTCGAAGGGATGCAATAAAGATGTCACTGAAGGTGGAAATTCGTCGTTTCTAGCTCGTTTCAGCCTATCCAATTCAAAAAATAGCCCTTCTGCCTGCTAACATGATTATATTTCAGGTTTATTTCTGTCAAGACGGAGCAACGGTTACTCGTTTTGAAAAGATGGAATAGCAGTTGTCGTGTATTGTCTGACAAAATACGCAATGAGGAAATACTACCCCTCCGGCGAGAGCTCTACCGGCTCCACCGGAAACATTACTTGTAAGCTAACATTCCCCTGGCCACCCTAATCTAATCGGAACTGCATTATTCAGCGCAAGACCGTATGCTCAAAATTGTGACCGAAATGCGTTCTGGACACGGATCTGGCATGTTGCCGTTCACCCAGAACGCCGCCTCGACCATCCGTGACTCTCGCGAACGTGAGAAGAAAGAGATGAGCGACTTGAACAATCGACTCGCTAGTTACATCGAAAAGGTGTGACGAGAAGGAGGAAAAATCACACCCAATGACGCACTTTTTCAGGTCCGTTTCCTCGCAGCTCAGAATCGAAAGTTGGCCGACGATTCAAAATATGAAACAGCATTTTTAAAGCACTAAAACCAACGCTTGTCGTCGAGAACGCCAAAATGATTTTACATATGCTTACAACTTGTATTGAAACTGTGTGCGGATGCCGTTGTTCTGACAACTTACAATTGTTTTAATGATGATGTGTGATGCGCGTGAATAATAGAATGAGAAGTGGACAACGATGGGTAACCGTCTGGCACCCCCGATGCCCACTTGTTTACAAGTATCAGCATGTTGTGCGTGTTCTTCAGAGCTGGCTGAAATCGAATTTCTTCATGTTCAGTTCTATTCTTCCATTCAACCAACCCAACCCGGGCGGGCGACCAAGTGACATTTATCTTTATAATCCGACGTGACACGCGCGTCTTTTTCAATTCTTTGATTTTGCCGCTTCTGGTCTCAATATGTGCTCATTGGAATGGATCCATATGTTTCGTTTCATTTTGAATGCGACTACGGTAACTGCTTCCGACCGACGACAGTTTTTGCGCGTTCGTATTCCTCTTCACCTTACCCATCCCATAAATTGTTCTTTACCACTTGTCATTGACGGAATGAATTGTTCCTTCGCGCATGCGTTCCTTGACGGACAAAAGAAACGGTTAGTTGGCACATTTCAAACGCGTTGTCGGACAACCTCAGACCGTTTTGCCTCAAGGTCTTCTCTTCCGCACGGCCCATGTTCTTCTCCAAACCTCACATCTAATTTACCGTTTTTTCTTCTTCCTCATTCCTCCGGCATATGCAGTCCGGATGGCCACAGATTGTTTATTCCTTGTGAATCCAGAAGATGCTCACTCGCGTTCTCCCCGCGGGAGCCTTATGCTAACTGCATTAAGTCTCCGTCGATTGCTTGTCCAATTTGTCGACTCTTTTGTTTCGTCTCCTGGGCATTCTCCAGAAACCGGATGGTCCCTTCACTTTATGAGGTTGCTGTGTCTGGGAAACAATTTGTTTAACTTTTGCTTCTTCTAAACTTTTTGGAGCGTAAACGCAAACGTAAAGTACAAGTGCAAACTTTGAAACTCAAGCTTTCTGTCCCATTTCAATTAGACATCCTGGATCTCCAGCCCTTGATGCATCATTGCAATTCCTCAGGAATTTCATTATCCAGGATTGCCGAGGCTTCAACTTTAATTCATTTATCTTCTATCCCATTCCAACCAAAACTGACATTGAAAACTAAAATTGAGAAAAAGATGAAAGCGAAAAAGAGTAACAGAGCAACAATCAAATGAGCAATTTCATCGAGATGATTGTCGTTGTTTGGTGTGGGCCACGCCCGGATGCTGAGCAGTTTCACCACTTCCGAATTGGCGTGCTTCTAGTACGTCGCGACCGGAAACATGTGCCGGCAGCTCTGCTCGACTTCTCAAATCATCTGTCACTTTTGATCCTCATCAATTTTTGCTTTACTTTGCCCTCCTCCGAATATTCATTTCTGACCGGTCTTTTGCGCAACTTTTTCACACTTTCCCTCCCCTGGTTGATTCAATTTTGTAGCGCTGAAAGGGATGAGTCGCGAGTCTCTCTATTCATAACCACTTCATCAAGAAGGTGCTGACCTCGGAGGATTACAAAGAGTGCTCTCGCGGATTGCCTCTCCCTGAGCACCCACTTCTCCTCCCACAACACCACCCACAACAAGTAATTATCATTTGGGTGCCTTGATTTATTTTTCTGACTCCTTCATCTCCACAATTTCACTCGAATATTTTTTCTCGAGTGCCACTCTAATGCTCGCCTTTCGACGGTATCCATTTTTGTTTTGCAATGCATAAATTACACGATTTGGAAGAGATCCAAAAGAAGAAAGACAAGAGAAGGGCTGAGATTATCTTTGAATATTCATGAACATATACATAACCCGCCCGGTCGTCGTGGGGGTCCAATCCTTTTTCTTTTCTGGTTGCGTCGCGAACCCCGCCACCTCATACGCTCCGCCCATTTATTTCGCTCCTTCTGGTCCATCTTCTCGCTCTCGAGTCTTATGCTTTGAACAAGTGCTCTTCATGGTTATTTTCAACAAAAAAAGAAACTCTTTTCCCGTTTTACTAATTAAAACTTTCAGGGATGCTTTGAGAATGAAGAAACACCAGAACCACAGAAGTCGAAGCTGTCTCGAGCCCGTTATGAAGAAGAATTCTTCTTTTTCCGAACTGCGAAACATATTTATCATTATCAGTTTATCGATTGTTCCTTATCTTTCATCTTTGGATGGCCAGTTTGTGTTCGATGATGCTGAATCAATTGTGAATAATCCAATTGTCAATGGAAAAGATTCTCTGTCACAGGTTTGAGATGAATAAAAGCAAATCAGTAGCTCAACTAAATTTCAGATATTATTCCGTGATTTCTGGGGCCGACCCATCAGCTCTCCGCACAGTCACAAAAGCTACCGTCCAGTGACTACTTTCACTTTTTGGTAATTCCTTATATTTAAAAAAATGATGAAATAGGTGTGAAGCAGTAGATGACAGTTTTTTGAGGTTACGCAATACGGTGACACCTGCCACTCTTTTGTTCAGCTTAGGGGGGATTATTAGTGGGATGCGCATGGTCACTCCTTTTGTATTCATATATTCCAGTTATGTATCGCGTTTATGTTCCATCAAACATTTATTATCTCGAGCATTCTGCTCTTCCACTCGTCCTCTTTTCCTCTTTCCTGTTTTCGGTTATGGTTCGGATGGACACATGTGAAGCATTACGTAACCAAATCGGGAAGACGTCCGGGTAGGGGGACGGATGAAATATGATCGGAGGGTGTTGGCGGGATATCGTTTCCTGCGCTAATGGCTCGTGAACACATCTAAAGAAGTGTGCAGATGGGATTGAGAGTCACTGCGCACAGATTGATGCTTCTTCACACCGATGCGCGACCAATTTTTCAAGCGCCACTCACCCTAATCGTGACATTTCATCTATCCGCCAGCTTGAGGTTGCTGCTCAAATTTTGAAAATGGAAGTCTGGGAGGTTCGGTTTGGAATTGCTCTGACTACTTTCAATTCCGACACATTAGCGGCCAAAGTAAGGTCAATGAGGCGTACGTTTAGTACAACCACATTGCGAAGGAGGAGAAGAAGAAGAAGAAGAAGGTCTTGTTTCGTGTTTCACTTGGATTATCTGCCGAGCGGCACTCTTTTGTTTCATTCGCATCAAATGTGCCGTCGGGTTCTGTCATAAAATGCAAATCCTAACTTCTAAGGAAGTCAAAAGTTGCTCCAGATGTAACGCGACCAATTTCTTGAGAAATACGGGGGTTTTGTACTAAAAGTTCAAAACATGATTTTTGCGTCAATTCTTTGTGAAAAAAACGTCTTCTTTTCTCTTTTTGTGGCTCGCGTGTCGACAATCCCGTCATAAATAACAAAACACTTATTCAAGAGAAGGTCCCAATTAAAATCCTCCATGATTTGGTAGCACTTCGGAGAAGAGGGTGTGCATTTGGATTACGATACCAATTACGCATATTGCCTGAATGGAAGTGCCGTGCGCTTCCCGCAAACACCATCCTTTTCCGTCTGATATTAAAACCCCCGCCAAGATGTGTGCAGAAGAAACATGTCCTTGTTGACAAGTGTGGTTCGAGAATAGTCGAAATTAAAATTTGCATCTCCAACGCCATTTGGGCTGGCTGGATAAACACAGAGCGAATCCAGGCCGAGGTGTCTGTCACTCTCAAATGAAAAATGACGATGCGCGAAAAGGAAAAGGAAATAGAGAGAGAAAGAGAGGCAGATGTTAGTCAGGTGTGCCAAAATTTATGGCCATCTCTCATGCGGCGCTTCATGTTCATTTACTATAAATTTGGCGCACGTTTGGCAGGAAGACAAGAGATTGATGGGCTTGCGTTCACAAAGTGCTAGATTGCACATTATATTTGACGAGCGATGCGATCTGACAGCTATTAGTATGTCTGGCGTCGGTGGAATCAGGGTTCACTTCCGGTTAGGTCTTCTGAAAATGCGGGAGATTGTTGTACATAGTTGAGGCGAGAACTATGCAAATAAGATACACACCATGAAATATGAGCTCATCTCCTCCGACCGCATGTTCTTCCTTCTTAACCTCAAGCCTCAAGGGACTCATCCCGTACTCAAGATGCCAGATTATGAGCTGAAAACGGCGCTTAGGGGGGTTAGAACAAGTCTGCGTCTCCGTAATCCGCACACTTTCTCCAAATATGCCCATCTGCTAGCAGCAAAGTGGTGCGGGGGTCTCGTCCGGGAAATTACTCATCCTTCTGAATTAGCTCAACAACTTCCCGTAGAAACATTAACTCATAAATGTTTGACGGAGAATGAGACATGCGATCGGAAGAATTTTAGGCTCAACTACCAATTCAATGGGACCGCCACGTTTGGATACCATTTTGTGAATGTTATGTGTCATGTCGGCGCCACTTTGCTGTTTTACAAACTGGCAAGAGAATTGGAAAACATGCTGGAATTTGGCGAAGTGGCATTTTCAGGAGCCATCCTTTTTGCAGTTCATCCAGTGCACACAGAAGCGGTAACCATTGGAAAAATGCAATAAAATTTTAAGGCAATAATTTTTCAGGTGGCAAATGTGACAGGTCGAGCAGAAATGTTGATGGCAATGTTTTCCCTCGGCGCTCTTATACATTTTGTGGAAACTGATAAAACTGATTGGATTTTTATGACTTTAGTAGCGTTGGCAACGTTCTCTAAGGAACAGGGATTGATGACAATTGTGAGTATTGTCTAGGTGCAACTAACTTTTAAACTCCTTTCTTTCAGCCAATTGCCATGTGCCTCAGTATACTTACAAAACGATGCACCATCAAAAAACTTGGAAGTTTGTTGGGAATGTTCTTCACAATTGGAATTCTAAGAATTGCATTGAATGGATTCGAAACTGCAAAGTTCACGAAACTCGACAATCCTACCGCGTTTATAGACTCCAGATTCTACCGCGTAAGCTATTCATTTACATTTGGTCGTTCATTTACTTATCCAACTGTCTCAGGCCGTCAACTATTCGTACATCTGGCTCTACCACATGTACCTCCTAATTTGGCCGGCTAATCTTTGCTTTGACTACTCAATGGGTTGCATCTCGCCAATCTCGACGCTCTCCGACGCGCGCGTATTATCACCTGTTCTCATTTGCATGGCAGTAATTATAGGAGTCAGATTTTGGAATGAATGCAGGTTCGGAAAGCTGCCTCGATGGTGGCTAAGGATTAGCTGATCTGTTTTGCAGAATGGTCACGTTCGGACTGCTTGCGGGGATTTTCGCGTTCCTTCCATCATCCAATGTGTTCTTCACAGTTGGATTTTCAGTTGCTGAGAGGGTACTGTACCTCCCGTCAATTGGATTTTGTCTCTGTTGCGCTGTACTTCTGAAGAAACTATCAAATCATTGCAAAAACGCGGATTTGATCGCGGTCACCTTACTCGTGTTGGCAATTTCCAAGTCGTACAAGGTAGAAAAACTTTATCGGGGTTTCCCATCCCACAAAACGTTTGTCTTTCCAGCGCAGCGCCGAATGGAAGAGCGAACTTTCACTGTACAGCACAGGTCTTCGTGTTTGCCCAATGAACGCCAAGATTCATTACAACCTTGGAAAAGTGATGGGAGATAGCGGGTTGACAAAGGACGCCGAGAAGAACTACTGGAATGCGATAAAGTACTCGAGAGAGAGAGAGAGAGAGAGAGACTGAAGAAATTAGGGCCACAAACATCACTTCTTGTTGTTTCAGACTAAACCCGACCTATGAACAAGCGCTCAACAACTTGGGAAATCTTCTCGAAAAGTCTGGAGATAGCAAAACCGCGGAGAGTTTGTTAGCCAGAGCAGTCGCATTGAAACCAAACTTTGCGGTGGCGTGGATGAATCTTGGGATATCGCAGATGAACTTGCAAAAATTCCAAGACGCAGAAAAATCACTCAAAAACTCATTGGCTCTCCGTCCCAATTCCGCGCATTGCCTGTTCAATCTCGGAGTACTCTATCAAAGAACAAATCGCGAGTTGTTAGCAATGTCCGCGTGGAAAAACGCGACAATGTAAGTCAGAGAAAGCATAGCGTGTGAAAATGAGTCATTTTTTCTTTTTCAGAGTCGATTCCTCCCACGCGCACTCTTGGACGAATCTCTTCGTGGTTCTTGATCACTTGGATAATTGTGTGGAAGTTCTTGAACTGGCTTCTCAAGCACTGTTGACTGTTCCGCAAGAGTCAAGGGTTCACATGCAGATTGGGTCGTGTTATGCGAAACAAAAAGAGTTTTCAAAGGCTGAGTACCATATAACTACTGCAATAGACTTGAGTCCGACTTCGCCCTTGTATCATGCAAATCTCGGTACCTGATAGTAATTATAAAACTTACAGAAATTTGTTTTTTTTCCAGGAGTACTGTTTCAACGCATGAATCGAGTGAAAGAAGCTGAAACCCAATATCGAGTTGCTTTGATGATGGACTCGAAGAACACAATTGCAAAGCAGAATCTGTTGAAGCTAGAGCAAAGCAGTCCCGGAAACTCTACAACACCCTGAAAAATTAAAATATCTTCGCTCAACCCCCCCCTAACCATTCATGTCTTAGTCTTTACACTACGAGTACAGTATCCTTTTACGTGTTTTTTTCTTGTTTCCTTCTCTCTCCAATAAAATAAAATAAGACGTTTTGAACTCTATTAGCAGACACATACATCAACCGTCTTTTAGTGTGCGACATTAGTCTCTCTCTCACACATTGCCCTTCTATGTATTCGCCCTTTTCCTCTTCCACGTCAAAAATCTAATCTGCCGCTCCCATCTCACACAAGTGAACCCTTTCGTCGAAACTATAAATCTTGACGATTACAAAAGTTGAGATGAAATAGAGACCCGGTGCGCCTAATTATGGGTGGATGCTTTTGCGGGAAGCAAATTTACGAGAGTACATATAAAGGTAGTTACGTGTCTTCATTGAGTACTGCTTCCAGGCGTGGTCACATTCATGCCCTTCTTCCCTACCCATCCCTTTTAAAATGCCGTTTTGACAAAAACTGTCGGACGTCAATACTCTATCTCCGGTAAACAACGGTTTTTGTTGTTTTCATCGCCCAAGCATCATAACATTCTAGAGATCAGAATTGGATGATAAATACGCGATTGGGTTCTAGTGCAACTCGACCGTTTTTTGTCTTGTTCTTTCCAACTACAAGGTCAAGAAGGCGGCGAGACAATTATCGGCAGGAAAAAGGAGCCGGGCCCATCTAATGGTTTCCTTTCTGAGGCCATTCATCGAATCACAAAGATAATAGCTACATATCCTGTGTTTTTTCTCTTGTTCTCATCTTACTTGTTGTTTTATTTTTCACACGTATGCAAACTTGCTTTATTTCAAAATAAATTTCTTACAGACCTCTCAATACTGCACGGTATCGCGGATGGTTGGGGGTGATCTCACAGACGGTGAACCTTATGCGTCTACTTTTCAAATGTAAGTATCGTACCCAACAGATTCGGTTGCGTGGGCTTAGCTTTGTTCAAAGTACGCGTCATCCTCCAAAGTGAGACTATAGTCATCGTTTTTCTTCACATGACGTGGCACTTTTCCCTTCTTGCAATTTCCCTCTCACATCCATTTTCTTGCCGACCCATTCAGAAAGCGAGTCTTCTGCGGCTCTATCTGAGTAATCCGGTTCCGAAGGCAGGATTCAGGCAGGTCTCACGATCCTAACCGAGTACGTGAAGCAAAGTAAGGGTTGATTGGAAGGAACAAAAAGGGCTGATTGATCTGATCCTCCCACTACACTTCTAATTTTGCTGCAATGTATTTCTTTTTTGATGAATTCAGTTCTACCGCATTCAAATTTCAATTAATGTGTCCACTCCACACTCACAAAAATTGTATTAATTTCATAGTTTCCATTGTTTTGTGGAACCTGATTACTCTTTTTTTCAATTATCCATTCAGTCAATGGTGATTGTAGCTATCTGCAGGCACTAAGAGCAGAAAAGATATAATCGGATGAAAAAGAACAATTTCGGGCCGGCCGGTGACAACTATGAGTAGAATCTTAGTCGTACGCTTCAAAGTAGGTTTTTCTCTCTTTCCTGTGCTCCAATACGTAAAAAAGAGCAAAGCCCTCGTTCCTTCCCGTTTTGCATATCCGCGTCGAACAGAACATAAGTGTCAGAAGCCCTTTCCCCTTTTTGTATTCCGTGCCACTCTGTGATTCCTCTATTTTCCTCGTAATGCAGTCAGAATGAAAGACTACGGTACTATTTTGGAGCAGACTGCTCGCATTTAGTGCTACGTTGGGCCACTCCCCTTGCCTACTCATTCTCTTTTTCATGAGCTGCCTTTCTGCCTTGAACAATCCAAGTTCCCATTTTTTATCCATTTTTTCTTTAGAGATCCATCGGCGGCAACATCCACATCTCCATCATCGTCCGAAGGCTTTTTATCGGTTTCTCCTGAATTGAAGCTCTCTCGAGCTGACGTCAACCTTCTACTTGGTGTTCTCAACGCGTAAGACAAAGTGAAATCATTCCAAACACACAAGGTTTTGTTTATTTTCAGAGTAGTTTATACTGACGACGGTGTGCAGCGACAAGCGCATTTTGTAAACTTTTCTCCCAGGTCGAGAATTCATTTACATTTACACTTCGACTTTGAAAACTTTAGAAGAAACTGTAATACATTCACTTCTTCATTTGTATCGTCTGAGTATCAGGGATGTTTTGGAGACAGTGATATTACCCAACAGACAAGGTGCTTCGGCTCTTTGGATATAGAGACTCCTTCTTCTTCTTCTTCTTCTTCTTCGGTTTCTTCGGAAGAAAACAGCTCATGTGCTAAAACGCTTTCCGACAAGGTGAATCTTGCATGATTGCTGATTTAATCTCCAATAACTTCCAGACCCGTTTTTTCGAAGATGGATCAGGATCCAAGCAATTTGAAAGAGCAAACCAATGAGCAGAGCAAGTCAGCCTCCCCATCAGTTATTATCAACTTAAATTCTATTGTCCAAGAACTTCGCAATATAGAAAGTAACTTAATTTCCAAAAGACTGCCTAATGTTTCTTGTTTCAGCGGGTCGCAATAATCGTACTCATCTCGTCACTGACGATGACAATATTTCAATAAGCACGTCTATCCGTAATCTTTCTCCGCTGTCGGAGGTATTTGACGATGAACCAGAAGAATCAGAAGCGTCGACTCAACATGAGTCAGTAGAAGAAGAATTGTGGCAGATGCCAGAAGATTTGCCGCGAGGGGGCCAACTCATGACTGCTGAGGTACCGATTCGAGCTCCGCCGCCACCAGCTCCGATCACTGAAACTGTTTTGATAGACGATGACGGACCATATTATAGAGTCCCTGGTATGTACTGTATCCAGATTTGGCGACAAGTGGCGGACTCTCGTGGTCGCACCTATCCCCCGTTGAGATCTTCGCCGAACGACCCTCTTGGACCACTCCGCATCCCTCGTATTCGAGCCGGACCAAGCAGATCCGGACGGTCAGATCAACGTTATTTCGAATTCCCAGAAGGCGTGGAGAACGTTGAAGACATTCCGCCAGAGCAACTCATTCCGGAATGGTACGCCTGGGCTGGCTGGCTCGGTCCGCGTGCGCTTTTCCGAGTTCGTTGGGGCGCTCTGACTCCAGTTCCAAGATTTCTAATCGATGACATTCCAAACGACGGACTCGTTCATTTTCGTCGTCCGTTCAACCCTCCGAGACTTTGTGCACACCCATTCCGTTGCGACTGGCTTCCAAACTTTGCTCCGACTTGCGGAAGAGTCTATCCAACAAGCTGTCGGGCTGTCGTCCCATCCAACTACTTTTCCTATTTCAATTCGATTCAAGAAGAGACGAACTCAAGCGATAATCCGGAGAATGCAGTGGTCACCAACACGTTTGACATGAATCACATTGTTTTTGATCCACTTCTACAACTACCGGAGCATCCGACGCCTCCAACCGGAGAATCTTTCAACATGTTTCCGGATCCGATGACTCCGCCGCCCATTCCGTCTCCCGTATTGTTCCCCTATCGTGGACCATTTGCTGATTTGACCCGCTGGCAAGTTCGTGCTGCCTGCATGCTTCGCTGCATCCTTCTGTACTTGATGCCGGAAAGAACCGTCTCGATGGATGATCCGATTGGACGGCTGTTAACTGAAGGCGATCGTCAGTTTTTGAGATTTCCTGAACAAAGTGAAGACTATGAAGATCGAGAAATTGATGACGATGTGAGTGACTCTAAGTAAAGTTAAGACTCTGTCAGAATCGACAACTCACCCTTGGAATTTTCATAATCACTAGCTTCACATCTCGTTTGATTTTTACAGAGATGCTGTTCTTAATAATATTGTTTTATTCTTATCATTTCAGTTGGATTAATCTATGAACTACGCGCAACTTGGTCCCGTCAGTCGTCATGCTTCCCACAAAACGAAACCAATGAAAAGTACCAGAACTACAACAGGTTCCTCAGAAAAGTCTATTATGAATTCGACGTTTCCCGATAATATTTTCGCATGTGTGCGCATTCAGGAATTACTTTCTTCACTATGTATTTCTTTAAAATGTTTGAAATTCATGTTTCTGAGTATTCTACTCTTTCTTATAGTGTTCCAAAATAATCTTCCATTTACAATTCATTCTGAGTTTTTGATATGTAGTTTTGGAATTCAATTGTATCCGCACTCGTCTTCTACAATTTTTTCGTAGCTATATATGTTTTTATTGTATTGATAATAAAATCAAAATAAGAACACCACAAAAAATTCTAAACTCGAGCTACGACTTTAAGATTCTTTCTGCGATTTCGATCATTGCATTCGGAAACATTTCATGTTCCTGCACTTGGATTTTCTGACGAAGTGTTTCAATGGTGTCTCGATCGTCGACCATGACAGGACGTTGTGCGATAATATCGCCATGATCCACCAGTTCCTGAAAAATATGTCGGCCTAGAAAAGATGAAAGTGGATAACAGGACCCACGTCAACGAAATGTGCGGTACACCCAACGACTTTGGCGCCAAAGTTCATAGCGTCTTGCACTGCGTGCGCTCCTGATAAAAGTGTAAGGTGTCTGGAGACTGGAAGTGTTTTTTTGCGTTTTCGTTACCTATGAAAGATGGTAGGAGTGACGGATGAATATTGATTATCCGCGATGGGAATTGAGAAATGAAAAATGGGCTCAGAATTCGCATGTAGCCTCCAAGGCAAACCAACTCTGTTCCGAAACTTTGCAACATCTGCAAGAAAAGACTCAATATTTATAGGCAATCAAAAACAGATTCACCTCTGCAAGGGCTCTGTCACCAGTTACTCTATCGGCGGTATGAGGCACGACACGAGTAGGAACACCGTAGGATTCGGCCACTTTCAAGCCTCCAGCCGAGTCTTTGTTTGAAATGACTACAACCACCTTAAAATTTTCAGACTATGTATTACTAATCCCAGAATTAAGTGCAATAATCACTTCACAATTGCTGCCAGGAGTCTTCGATCGTTCAATGAGCTTCTGCATGTTAGTGCCCTCTCCGGAAATGAGAATGGCGACTTTCACACGCTTACGTTGTTGACTAAACTTTTCACGCTGGAAAAGTTTCTCTTCATTCTTGAAACTGATCGGTTCTCCGTGCTGCGACTTTTCCACGTGGCCAATTTCATAGAAAGTTTCATTTGAAAAAGTCAATATTTTTTTAACCTCTTCAACTTTTGACTTTTCAACTATCAGTACCATGCCGATGCCGCTGAAACACTATATTCTAGCAGAATTAGTACTGGCTAGTTTCAGGATACCAATTGAAAGTGCGAATCATTTCCTTGGTCTCCACAGGGCCCGCTGCAGCTATCCAGTTAAAGATTTCTCGAGGTTTCCATTTGGAACAGTCAATCTAAATCTTGCAAAAATTGAATTATCTATTTTTCCTGAGCCAACCACAAGCGACACTTCTGAAGTTTTGTCCAGCACGCGAATAGCGTTCTCGATTAGCCCTCCACCAGTTATATGGGCACATCCTTTCACGAGACCGTCTGTCAAAAGTGAGAAAACACTTTTAACATAAAGCCTTGTTCCTCTCAAGAGTTCCTCTCCGAACGTTGAGTTTTGGTCCCAGGGAAGTGGATCATTGTACTGAACCCCATTGACAGTGAGCACTTTTCGAGCCAACGAAAATCCATTAGAGTGTAAACCAGAGGAGGCGAGTCCAATAATGACGTCACCTTCTGTGATACTAGAGGAAAGTGGAAGCATTGGCCAAGAAGAGTCTCGAGCGGCAATCGCGCACCCCGCCAAATCCCATTGATGAGTAGTGTAGACGTCCGGCATCTCTGCAGTCTCACCCCCTAAACTACGATTCTTTTTGTGTATTCTGCTGCATACATTCGCCCTACCGATCAGAGAACATCCAGCCTCGACGCATGCCTTGGAAATTGATGCGAGTACTTGAGTAGCCATAGTTCTGTCCAGTTTGCCACAAACAAAATAATCCAGGAATGCAATCGGTCTTGCACAGTGACAAATAACATCGTTTACACACATGGCAACAACATCGAACCCGACACCGGCAAAGTTTTTGCAGTTGGTCGCCACTTCGATTTTGGTTCCGACTCCGTCGATTCCCACGACCAACTGAGAATCGCTTGTGAAGCCTGCTTTTTTCAAATCGAGAACTGCGCCAAATCCTCCAATCTGAAAAAAAAACAGTTGCATCAAAAGTTATTCTTAAAAACCTGTGTAGCTCCTGGTAGAAGAGTTTTCTTTACCAAAGACTTTATATCGTCCACGAACAGATTTCCTTCGTCAATATTCACTCCGCTTGCACCATACGACAGAGATGGAGTTTGCGCTTCCCTGATATTTCAATCAAATCGAGATATTTTTCAATTGTTTTCTCTCACAATGACTTTCCGATATCCGTTCTGAAGTGTTTTCCCTCAAACTGAATCAAATTTGCAATTTTGTTCGCAAGGTGCCTTGCTCCTCGAATAGAGTCTTCTACCGATGTAATGCATAGTATTCTTCCGCCATTAGTGACTACTAAAACAGTGAATTTAGCATTTGGTAGCGGGTATTATTGAAAATTGTACGTGTATTGTTGATGAGTGAAGTTCCGGCGTGAAAAACAACATTTGTGGTATCAGCTGGTGGGATGTCTTTAACAAAATTCTCGTGCTTTCTTGATATCATTTTTGATGATTACCTGTTATAGGAGTTCCTTTATCTCCCGACTTTGGGTAGTTGGCAGATGCCAAAACCACTCCACACACTGATTTCGAGGACCATTTGATGAAACAGGTAGAGAGAGTTTGACGGATGCAAGAGGTTATGATATCAAACAAATCACTTTCCAAGAGTCGCATCAGAACCTGTCAACCTCAAAATACTATCGACTGTTTGAGCTTTCTCACCTGAGTTTCTGGATCTCCGAACCGACAATTGAACTCCAAAAGATACGGTTTATCGCCAACAACCATTAGACCGGCGTACAGTACCCCACAATAGTTGATTTTCCTCTTTCCCAATCCCTGCAGTGTTTTCTCAAAAATTAGATCGATTTGTCGGTCCACTTCCTCTGGAACTTGAACTGGAGCAACAACACCCATTCCACCTAGATTTCTAATTTGGCACTGTAATCTGGTGGAGCGCTGACCTGTGTTGGGCCCTACATCAGAGTCACAAAGTCTCTTGTGATCTTTTCCAAGCGGCATTCGCCGAAAGCTGATACCATCTACGAACGCGAGTGCCCAAAACAAAAGAACGATCAGAAAGAATCTAAATGGGCGCTCACCGAGACCTCGTAACCCTCTAGACGATCTTCGATAATAATATTTCGTCCAGCGACACCGAATTGTCCCTGAAAATTTGCATTCCTCAGAGAAATCACTTTTTTTGAGTGCTAAATGTACTTCAAGCATGGATCTAGCTGCCGCCTTGGCTTCCTCATTGTCCTTCGGGATGATGACTCCTTTTCCGGCGGCAAGACCATCAGCCTTAACGACCAATTTGTTCCACGGAACTCTGCAAAAATAATCTCCGATTCACTACATGAATGACAGGAAACCTCTCGAAGACACCGTCGAGGCTCTTGACATTGTCGACAGTCACGAAATCCGCCGTTGGGAGACCGTATTCTTTCATAAAGTGCTTCGAAAAGGACTTCGATGTCTGAACACCTCCGTAACACGTGTAGTCTGTTCACCTACCGTACCTCTAGTTTGGCGCCATCGCGAGTTGGCCCGAAAACCAATAGATTTGGCGATAGATCTATCAGATCGTCAGCCAAACCATTAGATAAAGGTTCTTCCGGACCGATCACAACACAGTGTATATTCTCGGATTCACAAAACCTCACAACGGCGTCCGCGTCGTTGATATTCAAATCTGAACTTGAACTTTCGAACAAAACTGTTTTCAAAAAAAGATAATATCTTGGCTGTACCGATGATTCCGCTCGATCCATTTCCAGGGGCCGTCATGACGTTTTTGACCTTGTCGGACTGTCGAATTTTCCATGCTAACGCATGTTCTCTACCTCCGTTTCCAATAATCAAAACGTTCATTTCTCCTGCAAAGAATACGTTTTAGTTTGTGAAGGTAAAAATGAAAAACAGTGTTTGAATGGAGAAACATGCAAGATGGAGTGATGAACTTGATAATGAAAAGTGTCTGAAAACAGTTTGTGATAACGAGTCGACAACAATTTTTATGATCATTGACTGTCAATCGACAGAAAAATATTTGACAGTCTTTGATTTTCAAGGAAATATTTTGAAAGAATCGAGACAATTTTCAGAGTATGCACAGTTTTGTTGGAAATTTCAGTGATAAGAACGAGAAGTATCATGATATACATACAATTTTCAAAAAGGCGTTTAGTATCCTGGGGGAAGTCTCGGGAGAGGACAGTGTTCACAGGAGCCCTTGACTCCTTCAGGTCCCGGAGGTCCTCGCTCTCCACGCGATCCTTCTTTCCCGTCCGGTCCTGGAGGCCCCGAATCTCCTTGTTGTCCCGGAGCTCCTTGCGGTCCCGGCAATCCATCAACTCCTCTGGATCCTCTTTTGCCAGGAATTCCAGTTGGACCCGGCGGCCCAGCGGGTCCCGCAGGTCCCGCAACCTGCAATTTCGTGAGTACATTTAAACAAAAACCACAGTCAACTATTACCATAATAACTTTTCCGTCTTCTCCTTTTGGTCCCTTGGGGCCTGGTCTTCCTGGCCTTCCAGTCGGACCTTGTGGTCCAGGCATTCCTTGTTCTCCTTTTTTTCCATCCTGTCCTTGGAGACCAGGACTTCCACGTGGACCGGTTGGGCCTTTCTGTCCTGGGAATCCAAGTGGTCCCGCTGGTCCTGGTGGGCAAATGACACATGGTTCTGGTGCCTGGCCGAGCGGTGGCAAAAGGACTCCATCTCTTCCTGGTGGCCCGTCCACTCCAGATTTTCCATCAACTCCGTCTTGTCCATCATCTCCTGGCAAGCCCGCTGGTCCTACTGGACCTTGTTGGCATGTGCAACCTAGAGTGGGATACAAATGTCACGGAAAACAGTTTAGATGTTGCTCACATGCTGCCGGCTGGAATTCCTCAATAGCTGCAACTTTATAATCACCGTAAAGTGGAGCAACAGTTGGCGCGGGGGGATAAGTTCCATAGCCGCCGGATGAACCTGATCCAGTTCCGGTTGCTGAAAACATCGAGTTAAAGAACAGTTTGAAAGTCATCACTTGTTCACCTCTTTGATTCCTATCGAAGTATTGTCCGAAACTCCATTCTCGCTTCGCACGGTCGGCGGATCTTATCGTCCGTTTTCCTCGACTCAAGACGGTATCAACTGAGACGACTTCCACCCAAAGATCTCGCGATTTGGTCTGAACAAATCAATTCTGTTCTAGGTTTCAAAACTCAAAACACATACACGGCAAAAATCAATCTCATCCATCATGTGAGTTTGAAGGGTTTGTACGTAGTTGTATATTAACGGAAGCATGATTACCGAACAGAAAACTACAAATGTAGATACAGCTACCTAAAGTAACGAAAAAGTAGCTGGAAAGGAAATCAAGTAGATCACTTACAGATAAAAATGCAGTTTTCTTGATTCTTTCAGATTCCGCGCACAACTGCTTCTCCGACGAATCCATTGCTTTATTTAAAGGATCAGAATAGAAGAATAGTGATTCAGTTGGTTGAATAATAAAAATCGGCGGCGATTTTATACTAATCCTGGAAGTTGCTTCCCGCTGAGCAGCCGACAGTCTGGATCCGGTCCGGAAGCTTTAGAAGCTGGACAACAAATGTAAATGAGTGAGGGAAATGGGAGTGGTGTGTGATCGCTGCCTTTGATGGCCCACTTATATGTAAATTTTTTCAACCGAGATTCCGGTCACTGATTGGCATTCTAACTGGTTTCTTCCATTTCAAAGTCTGTGCGGTGCGGACACGGTTTATCTACGCTTCCAAAACCTGGAAGTATGGAAGTATTTCATCTGATCCTAGACCTTCGATTCCTTTTTTTGCAGAAAAACGATAGCTTAATGTCCTTTCGAGTTCTTGAAGCTTTTTTTTCGTGTTTTTTTCAAGTCCCCAATAAGAACGATATATTCCGAAGAATGCCGAGGGGACATGTGTCGTTTCTCCAGATATAATCCTGGAAGGAAGATCAAGTTTAGACTAGAATGACTTGAACTATTTATAGTTGCTCTGTGCACCTCAAAATGTATATAGTGAGGGCATTCCCCAACAGCTTCTCCTATTTCTTAGGCATGCGGATATGTGCAGGCGGATAAGCATATGCACCCCCCTCGCCAAAACAAGATGCTCAGCAACATGTCGCATGTTACCTTTTTCTCATCTCCTCTTCTTATTTCCGTGTGTAACCAGACCAGACATTCGGAATTCGAATTCGCCTAAGATAAGACCAATTGACCACGATAGTATCTGCTGAAGGAACCAAATCTACGTTTCGCGCAATTGTACGCGCAACAAAAAATCGACAATCTGAACATCGAACACATTTTCATGTCTTTCAAACCGCTTGAAGAACATTGAAAATAACAAATGAGCTGGGAAAATACTCTGAAAATAGACTGAGACAAGGACGTCATTTGCGCAGTACAGTGCAGAGATGTCATTCGCAACACCTGCAAAGGGTCTGCATGTCGTTTTTCTGCTGAATTTCAGTCTCTTGGCAAACGCTCGTCTCGATGAACACTAGTTCACTCTCGTTCATTCAAAAATAGACAGACTTCAAAGAAGCAGGGGAGAACCTATTGTCAGTTTCAAGAATTGAGTCAGATTTCTGCTTCAGGAGAAGTAAGTGCGTGAGCGGTCACCAACTATTGAAGCGCAAACTAACATATAATCTTAACCAGAATTTACGCCTACCAGTCGACCGTGATCTATAAAAACACGGGTGGCGGAAGAATTTAATCCAGTCCGGTCAAAAGTAGAATTTCTGTGATCTTTCATTGCTCACTGATGCTAGAAATCGGGCGTGTTCTTTGCGACTTGCCATACATCGGTCTCATTATGAGATGCTAATCTTTTCGTTTGTCCCGGATTTTCTGCCTATGAGATGTTTATCATGAACATTACCGATACCAAAATGTTGCCCTCATGTTTCAATGAACTCAGAGGCAAGGACCGCATGAACAAATTAGAATATCTCTTTCCGGTAGGATTATCTCAGCTTGTGTTTTTACGACGTACATCTTGGATCTGAGAGATTTTTTGTACGCTCTAATGCAAACATTGGACCGACATAAGATACATCTGTAATCTTGATGAGTGATCAATCTAGACTCCCGAAGCACTAGTGCAGTTTCCGTAAAGGAACTTTTTTTAATCATTTTATTCGATAGATTCGATGCACAGATCGGATGAAGTGATGTCATTTCATAGTGCCTCCCCTTCGCCTCAAGAAGTGTTCAAGAAGAGTAGATCAAAAATTGAGATAGCACAGGTATTGTCTACCGTAACCTTCAAAGGCTACAAAACACGAAAATTGTAACGAGACAGACAAAGGATAGCGGCAAGATGGTACCGCGAGGACGACGCGAAAAGAGTATAGATGAGGGCGTTTATCGGAATTCCGGATCGGGCCCTCTACATCAGACGCACAAATCATGCCTTCCTTCTGAACGGATTCTGTTTTCATGATCTCGTGTGTCCTTATCACTATCTTTTTATCAGCCCGTAAGAGGTGATAGAGGATAGTTTCAGGTTCATCCTGATATTTAAATCGGCCCGACCAGCGGGACCCCTTCTCTTCCTTTTGATCAAACTAGAAACGAGGCAGGCGGTGCGCCGATTTGTGCGGGCACTCTCCAGCAGTTTACGTCTGCCCGAAGGGGCGGACGGTTCGTTGACCAACAGTTTGTGTCGGGCGAATCGCTGGTGAACCAACCCTTTGCCCGGTTCGCATCTTAACATCAAGCCCCGCCCCGTCCTCACCACCCGAAAACCCCTTCCTCCTCGATGGTCGATGAGACTCTAATTGTTAATATATATCTCGCCGCACTTCAAATTCCACTGACTCTGCTCTTTCAGTAAAATTGCTCACTGTCAGGAATCGTCGATAGGCCGTATGATCCTCATCACCAGCCAACTGACTCACCCGCTGTATTCCAATTATACCGTCGAGCTGGCTTACGCAACTTCGAACTCATCAACATCGCCAAACTCTTCCCCGTCGCCTTCTTTGTCAAAAAGTGCTTCACCCAAGGTATGTTTCAATTCGGCAAACTGCGATTCGAATCCACATGTTGTTATCGAGCTTGTTCATCGAAACACTTAGATGGCATCACTTTTTTGAGTTTTAAACTTCGCCTTGTGAATGTGAGCGGTGTGAACTAGACTGTCCGTAGAGCGCTTGGTGTGAAGGGATATCAATATTTGCTAGAGGCTTATTTACAACTAATATTTATCCATGCATTGTCTCTCCATACATTATCTACGTAATTCGTTTCTGCTTTAGTCTTTCGACTCGAAATTTTTCTACCACGTTTGATTAATTATAGCTATAGTTCCGCCAGAAAGCTACAAAACTACGAAGTTTCTGATGTTTCCGTATTTTGGAGCACTCTTATTTGTGATAAAGAAGTTTTTCGGGCAGCACAAGATAACTTAGTTTGTCTTTCAAGATGCGTTTGCTCAACACTAAAAAAGGAACAAGGGACTTTCACTTTTTGAACACACAAGTACGTGTTCTGTGTGAGCGAGAATAATTTTTCGAACGAAAATAGTGATTAGGAACTGAAGATTCTCTAGCGATCTCTCAGCTGTTCATAATGAAGAGAGAAGATTGTAGCGAGTGAACATTTCGAGTAATTAGTTGAATTATGAATGCCCTATGTAGACTTGCGTATGTGTGTGTTTTGGTCTGTAGCGCCAGAAAAGGGCGTTAAGTGCGGGCAGTCGGTCACTATGCGTTTTGAGTGGCATAGAATTTACCGGAAGGATGGACTTTAGCCACGTTTTGATTGTCTCTCCTCCCACGCCAACAACATGCCACTATGTTTAGGATGTGCTGTGCTATAAGCTAGGCAAGACCTAAATCTTCTTTTTAGATGCTTTCTCAAACGGTGTCAGTGTCCCCCCTGAGTTCAAATAGTCAAATAAGACCGTTTCCTGATAATATGATGCTTCGCGATTGCACGTTCCCTCCGTACACGATCACAGACAGTTGATAAAACTGAAAGTATCAATTCTTGTCCGGTAGGCAAGTAATCGCCGAGTGTATCATTGTGACTCACTAGTGTTTGGAGTCATAGTCGAACATAGTGTTGCCGTCAAAACGTCACTGAATAAATAATGTTTCGACTGGACTATCTCTAACGTCCGTGTGCCCTGTGTTAAATAAACTTGTTGGTCGACAGACAGGGGTTTTTCTTGAGAGGAAGCGAGAAATTGGGGACACGAAAAAGCGATCTGTGAGGTTACGAAATCGTAAAGTGAACATTTTTCAGCCAAACGTGTCTCACCTAAAAGAACGCAGGGTTTTCGATTCACCATGCGCAATTTGTGGTTCCCAGGCCACGGGATATCACTATAATGTAAGTTTCAATTTTTTCAACAATGATTCTCATATTCATCATTTGCAGGTGGCATCGTGTAATGGGTGCAAGACATTTTTCCGGAGGTGCGTGCTCTCGAAGAGTAGCTTCCGGTGCATTCGCTCCGATTCAAATTGTCTAACCAGTATGCGACAGAACACAGAGGGTTAGTTCAAACGCATTGATTACGTAGTGAATTCGGTCGCCAGTTGTACTTTGTTTTGACGTACGCAAGTGTACTTGGTCACTTGAACAACGCTTTTTATAATTGGGGTGTGCGTTTCACGACTAGACAACGAATAATAGGGGCGTAGTGAGAAAGTACACGTGTTGTTTGGGTGAAAGTCAACACATCAATTTCCAGTTTGCTCTATGAACATAATGTTGTTATCACTAAACTTTTTCAGCAGTCTCATTTTCGTTCTCACATTACCATAGATCAATAATTCAACTCACATCAGTTTTTCCTTGAGACACACCAGTTTTTATCGTTGCAAATCGTTTTTTGACTTGATTGAATGATCATGAAACGTTCAATGAGTTCACCCTACTCTCGATGAGATATTTAATCCGAAGGCGAGGCGAAACCCGACCGAATTCACCTTCGTATTTCTGCAGAACTAAGAGATTTTGATTCGGTTTTCTAAGAGCAAAAACCAAGCCGCTCGTGGTTCATCCATTCGTTAGTCCAATTTTCTTCTAATTTCCTTCTTAAAAATACACATAAGACGGATTGAAATCTCATGACATTTACGCACATCATGTTGACTATAGAAGTTGGTTGCTTTGGAAACAACGTGTTGCGGCTGAAGTCGACATTGCCTGGTAGACAAATCATTAGTTCAAAGTACCCGACGGAAATGCACGCACTGAAGTGTAATCATTGATCAGTCTAGTGCCTTTTTCAAAGATAAGCTGTCAACCACTCATTTTCAGTGGCATTTAGCATGCATGTTTCCTTTATTTCTTAGATCTTTGAATCTGTTGCCAGCTTTTTTTGATGTGTCTTTTCCCCAAATTAAATCAATGATTGCAGGAGCTCGTATCAAGTGCCGCAGTTGCCGGTTGGATCGTTGTCTTCAGCAAGGAATGCGCAAAGAAGGTACGTCGATTTTGTAGTTTATGTCAACATAGGTCAGAAAATAAAACGAGCTGCTTAGTTCTCAGATCAAACCACGCAGATTTCTATCATTTCTGACCGGTCCCCTCCCTGTCTCTTTTCTTATCCGGCCCTGGCCATCGGAACAGCAGCTAGGAATCTGAATCTGATTTTACCATCAAAACATTGACTGGGCACAAAAAAACAGATATTGTTGCAGCAGTCACGTCCGGATATCTCCCAACCGACGCAAAAACGGCAACGGACGCCTATCTCGCGGCGATTTCCCAACCGGTAGGTAGATAAGGGATCGTCTGCCGTTGATATGATTGTTGTCATGTTTCTTTTCGAATAAATAAGAATACTCCAGTGATGCGGAGGTTTCGATCACTGAGTGGCCCCGGAAAACTGATAATGTAGCCAATCAAACATCAAGATCACACTGTTTAATTTGTTCAGCTGTCTTTTTGATTCAACATGGATGATTAGGGTTTTCTTTGAATAGTGTAGTTATATAGATGTCTTCGGCGATAAAGGGAAATCACCCGGGTCTATTCCGACAAGGAAGCTTTGTACGTTGATCACAAGACTGTTGATCTGGTGAACCTTCGTTTTAGTCAAAAATCCAAAAATAAAAACAAGTGATACTAATTGGGGACCAGCAGACAATTTTTAATGATTTCAGAGTACCTCCAGCGCCATCCCAAAGGTCACGGAAACCGCGGCTTGCCTCCGTCAAACTCTTCGACTTATCAACAAGTTCAGGTAGGTAGGGGTGCGATCTTTTTAGTTTCCCATTCACTGCCCTGAAATGTTCTCTTAACGGTTGCAAATGGACTAAGTGCGTTAGGTGTTGATTACTTCCTCGTTTGCTTCTCGCTCGCATCACGGGAAATCATAGTGAGAAACTGGTCGAGGGACATCACATCTCGAACGATTGAGGAAGGAAGTGTTGGGCACGTTAAAACGAGTAAAAGGGACTTTTCTAAGATAAGACACGGAAGATGTTGCCAGCAATCAGCAGGGCATTAAATGAGGAAATAGAATAAATTAAGCACTCGTAATTTTCCGGATTTCAGAAGATGCAATGTGCGTCTAGAGGACATCGATCTCAACATCAAAACCCTGCTGTGCAAAGACAGTTTCCTGGAGAATGTGTCGAACTACGAGGTAGTGTAAACGTGCATATCCCTAATATCAATTCACTTCCCCGTGCTGATCTTGATATCTGATCGGCATAAAGAACGTCATCAGAAGGAAATGCAGCGATAATTCTTCTGGTGTGAGATGACCTTCTTCCTATTACAGGAGATCAGAGAAATTTCCCACTTCCGGAGGGATCTGCCCGAATGGCTTACGGTAGATCTCGTATGTGCAATCGAGTTTGCTAAGCGGCTTCCTGATCTGGAGAAGTTTAGCGATTGTGACAAGGTAGAATGGTTGTACTAAACACAGATGATCTGTACTCGTAGTTTTAGGAGGAGCTGATCCGCAGCTCGTGCTTCACTCTAGCCATCGCCATTGAAGCGATCGAGAGCTATTTTGAGAAGCATACGCAAGTGATCTTCCCAGACGGAACTGACGTGATTCGGTCGATGATCAACGCGTGAGTTTGTGATATTTTGTTTTGGTGATAAGACAAAAGGAAGGAAGCGACACGAATGATCAAGTTCGGAATCGTATGTGTCTTCTGATTCAGAAAGTACAAAGAAGATCTGATTTGACACACATTCGACGAACAGAAAATCAGATTAACCCTGCTAATCAGTAATTGAGTCTGTGTCTGGTTGCAGGGGAACAATGCCCGATCCGCATTACACCCAAATGTTCATCAACATTCTCAATCCGTTGCACAGGGAACAGTTCACGATTGACGAGTTGGTGCTGACGTTGCAACTGCTCTTTTTCACAATCGGTAGGTACAATGAACAAAGTACGCGTGGGCTATCAGCACAAAGAATGTCACACCATTGAGCGTTTTGCACGGGAGTGACTTTTTCGAAACCGAAATGGAAGGGACCGATACAGTATTGTTTTGCAGGCTTCACGGAAACGCTATCTCCGGAGGGCAGAGTTCAACTTGAGAAGACTATCCAATCTGGCATGCAAAGTCTTATGGTCTTGCTGATCACCCAGAGTTAGTTCCGGTTCAATGAACTGGAAACATATCAAGTTTCAGATAACGCAAACTTCTCAGCTCGCTACGGAGCATTAATTGCGCTAAATGAAGTGTTCATCAATACCACCAGTCTACACAGTAAGTGCAGAAAACTAAAGGAAAACGTTTATTTTTGTGGTTGCAGGGTCCGCAATGAAAGCTGGTGACCCATACCGGCTGAAGCATAAAGATCTTCTTGTCGAGCAGTGTGTATTCGAGTACCGTGAAGCTAATTAAATTTTTCCGCCGTTTTAATTCTAGTACAATGTCTCAGTGAATCTCACCAAATCTCACATGCCTCACTTCTTTCTCATTTTCTCAGTAATCTTTCCTCTATAACTTTTTCACGTGCTTTCGCGTCATCAGTTTTCTTAGAATGTGTATTCTGAGTACGGGTTTCTATGAATAAAGAGCAGATTTGACGAAATAAAAATGATTTATCGGCCCAACAGAGAGTAACAATGCAAGTTCGGAGATCTGAAGGTAAAAGACAGTTATCATAGTTCCAGGGGGAAATAAAGTTTGTATCACAGTATAACTAGAGACAAGGTTTCAGGTTTAAGTTGACTATAAAGACACATTGAGTAAAATTTTAAAACAGTTTTTTAAGGCTTCCTTCCAATATATAGATTACTTTTTATATCTACAACTAAACGTTTGATTGGTTTAACTAAATGGCCTAAAGATAGATCCCAATAAGTCCCATCTTTTCTTTTTGAGTTTTATGTACATGTCATTGCGAAGTAATAAAAGTTTTAGTAATATTGTTGTTCACTGGGCGTCCTCCATGACATCATCAACGAGATCGTGCGCTTTTTTCCCATTGATTATTTTCATAATTAGATGAAAATCTTTCTGGTTCTTCTGGCGGCTGTCCAGTCCGTTGCTGAGAGCAATTATCGAGGCGTAGTGAGAAGGTCCTTGCATTCCCCTATTGGCCAGGCAGTACTTGAGAAGAGCTTGACTGTACTTTTCCTTCTCTCGTGAGACGACTTCTCTTGCGTGGTCACTCAGCCCATGGATAGCTGAAATTCGGTTTTGCAAGAAAGTAGATGTTTTATTATATTTTCAGCATTGCTCAATGGGTTCAATCACCAAGAATTCAAAAACACCTGATGTTTCTATCAACTTTTAAAACTACTCACTTGCATTGCACAGCGTGATTGCCTTGAAGAGCACGTACTCCTTCTTGTCCAGGTTGTACATCATAAACGCTCGGATTGAAGAAGTCATCTCTTCTCTGATTTCCTCTGGCGTCCGTTTTGGTTGAAAAGGGTGGTGGTGGTGCTTCTCATCGTGTTCCCATTCCTCATTGTCTTGTGGGTTTTCAGATCTCATAAGAGGTGGAAACGTGCCATCCGGGTGAAGAATCATATCGAACTTGTTCTCATACGAGTAGAACGATTGGTTGAGGTTCATCAATTTCAGAACAACTGCGCGGAGAAGAAGAATCTGCAAAATGAGCTTTTGTACTTTGAAACTAGTCATTCCGTACCTGATCATTTCTTTCTATTTGATGAATGAACATAAATGTTTTGGCGTACTCCACTGATGTCAAAATGTCGTATACAAACCAATTCTTTCTGAAAACAACTTACTTTGGAAACAAAACGTTTCAGTTTTAGCGCTTACCTTTCCGGTGCCAGTGGCAGTTCTTGCTCGCTCTTGTGGTAAGCTTTCATTTCTTTGTGTGATAGTTGCCGAATCGGCCAGTTTGGCATTGGCTGAAAGCAAAGAAATGTTCTTCAATAACTGCAAAAGGCTGACTCACTCCAATTTTGTCGACCATGCCAATCATTGAATGCTGGTCCAATAAATCCGTTAATTTTTTGTACTCCGACTTTGGCGGGTTATACGCACAACTGCGGAAATCGTCAACTTTGATTTCCAAGTACATGAGCCCGTCGATGAGTTTGTCAATTGCATTGTCGATGGAAATCACTTCGGTTGGAACGACCATCTGGAAAACATACGTTTTTGAAAGCCCCTCATTTCTTATATCCCCCGCTATTCACTGGTTTCTCCAATATTTCTCCGAATGTGTTTTCTGCTTATGCTCGTGGAAGCTTGTTTCGATGGTCAAATCTTTGCCATCTCGCTGAGTTTCTGATTTTCATGCTTCTGTTTGCACTATGTTCAGCTGTTTCAAATATTGCCCGGGTTCCAAATATTTGAGCTGGCTCATCACATCCCCCGCAGAAGCTGTCTGGCCAGTCCTCCTGCTGACCTTTTGAATGTGATGTTTGTTTTGTTAGTCTTCAGTCTTTGAATTGCCCATTTCCCCTCTCTTCCCGAGTTTTTTGAAATCCGATAGCCTTCTTCCTCTCTCTCTCTCTCTCTCTCTCTCTCTCTTTCTCTTACCTTGGATGTAGATGGAATCGAGTCGTCGTCTGAATTTTTTCGTTTTCCCACAATTTTCGACACAACGGCATTTGCGCAGAGTGAATCATTCGTTTGAATAGCTGCAATGCCAAAAATGGATAAAGGAAATGAGTCAGATGTTGTTACCAAATGGGTTCATCCCGACCTCCACACACTTTTGGAATCGACAGCATCGACAAGAGCATCGCTTTTCTGCAACAACAAAAAGTTATTATCGCGACACGCTGTCGTGTCGCGCATAAATCCTATTGTAATCCGTCTTTCGTGGAAACAAATGGCCGTTTAATAATGGTTTTCACGATCGCAACTATGGGAGAACGGGATTTCCGATATAAACAAGCCCCCAGTAGAAGAAGGCTTTGTGTGATGAGGTTTGACCGAAAAGTGCTATTTACCTTTCAAAGGTTGACGGCTAGGAGGAAAGATGAATGGATCTCATTCGCAGTGCGGAGGTCAAATCCAAAGAAAGTCCCCCTCGCCCTCCGGTCTGGCAATGATCAAGAACAAACTCGGCCAGAGGTGGGTGGTTTTCGAAAATGAGAAAACATGGGACAATATGACGTTGTGCAAAGTTTCAAGTTTTGTTTGCGTACGAAGCATGTGATAGCGCTTTTTAGTCACTTTAAAAGCTTCTTTTTGGTTCGTTGCACCGTTATCAGCGCTTTCGGGTTGAACTAATTCGGACCGGAATTGCGTAATTACTTATCGGCCATTTGCGTCGGTCACAATTCATGAACATTTGTTTGTTCTGATTTACGAGTCGTCTGCCGGGTCATCATACCTTTTGGCAGCACGTTGAAGCATTTTCCGCCACGCATGCAGTCGTATTTCCGTTGCGAGAGGACGGTTCGACGGAAGAATGTTTTGCAGCCATTGCACGACGGCACCTAAATCCCAAAATTGATCGGAAGTACTTGGAACGGGGAAAGAGAGGACAGGCCAGATGATCAGCGACACAGTGATGTGTGAATACCCGCGCAGACAACCCCAAGCACCCGACTTTTTTTTGCTCTTTTCTTGCTGGCGGTCGGTTCTCTATTCTCTGCTGTACCTCGTAGTGATATCCAGTGGCTCTGTCTCCGCAAACAGCACAAATCGTCGGGCAAACATTGCGCGGCAAGTGATGGAAGGCAACAACCTGAAAATAAACTCTGTTGCATCTTTTCTTTTACAACAGTTGATTTTTTGAGGTAGAGTCCGACAGAGCACTTCATTCTTTCATCCGTTTGTACATAGTGATCACCGGGCAAAACGGCGAAGGGGCAGAACATTTATTTGAACAGGCTGAGTTAAAACTTGCAGTGACGCTCTCTGTCCGATCAACGGGTTCATGGCAAACGGATGACTCACCTCTTTGACATCTTCCGGACTCGCGATCGGTTCCAGGACGTTTTTGATATCCTCTCCAATGTCAGGAAACTCGCCAACGCCCGTCCAGTTACTCATGAAAATGGGCGAATCGACGAGGTCGGCGAGGCCTTGCTGCGGTTCCGAGCCGTCCGACGAGGATGTGCTGTTCGAGGGCGAACTGCAATAAAGCATCGTTTGCACCGGCCGACAGAACGAGCGAGAAAGAGAGCGCCTCCACGTTTTATATCATTGTGGAACATTTGCATTGGACGAGAAATAAACTATGAGAATCTATGACATGCAACTCCTTTTCGTTTCGACAAAAAACGTATTGTTTTATCGATTCGGAAACTTTCAAAATAACACACATCACTCAGCAAAGAGCGCTTTAAAAGAGCAGCGGAGAAGGGGGAGGATACTTTTCTGTGAGGTTTGTTCGAAAAAACGAGACTGACCACCTACGCATGCAGAAGAGAACACGAGAAAACAGCAGCGGATTCAAATTACACGCTTCTAATATCAAATTATCATGATAATGTTGGATTCCAAGAAAGGGAAAGTTCAAAAACTGGAGAACTCACGTTTGCTCCTGGTACTGGTATTCGTTGGTGAATTGACCAATTCCGCTTTGCTCAGGGCTGTATTGTAGGACGTTCATTAGACAAAACGTTTCTGAAACTTGAATGGTATAGTTTTGCGCAGAATGCGAGGATAAAAGGTTTAAGAAGAAGTTGGCGTTAGTCGAATAGACAAGAATAGGCGAGTGTGAATTGAATCGAAGATAAGAAAGATGTGAAACTGTGCGTCTGGGGTGTGTGTACACCCGAATGATGCGATTTCGATTCGATTTGATTCGATTGCGTCAATATCAATTTTTATGGTTGATATTTTCCGGTTAGAAAAAGAAAGAATAACAGTAAAAATATGATTTCGCCGAACTGCGCCGTGACGTGTCCGAGCGGCGGTAGGTGTTCGCTCCGAAAATGTCAGAACAAAACGGGGGACCGATGGGTCGTAAGTGCGATCGATTATGTATCTGGTCGGTGTACAACAGACTGATTTAATCTGGCCGTCAGGTAACCGAGAAGGGGGGGGGGGCCCCCACCCAGGCTGCTGCTGCTGCTGCTGTCCTTTCAACCCAGTTTGTAATGAGCGAGGCGAAATTCGGGGTGGAGGGGAGTAGTCTTTTTCCGCCGATGAGGACTGAATATGCGTGCGCGCACACTTTTTGTCCGTGTACTAAGCGGTTGCTAGAGGTAACAGGCCGAAAACACTGCATACCAGCGTGACTCTGCATGGGCGCAAAAAGACGCGGAGGAAATGAGAATGGGATGGAAGAGGAAGGAAGGAAGGAAGAAAAGCATAGAAAAAGTGGGAGAAAAGAAATGGAGACGGCGGGGAGACGTCGACGCCGCACCTCAACTATTTTTGGTCTCGGGTCCACCTGCATTGGCGCACTTTGCGGGCGTCAACTCTTGAGGGGAGGAGGAGAATAACGAAACAGTCATTATCAGCTGAGAGTGAGTAAGTTCATAAAACCGCATAATGATGGGCGTTTCGCGGTGATAAGAGGACGTTGCTAGTTGCGTTGAAAGGTGTGGGTGTTCTCGGATAATAAAAAAAAGGGCAGAGTGAAGAAGAGACAGAAAGAAGAAACACGATTCGATTTCCGCCCACCTCTCACAAACTGCGACAAAAAAGGACAAAATGTAACATGATAGTTGGCCGAGAGCAAAAAAGTTCGAGAAGTTTCAAAATAACACATATGTACATAAATTTACAACGGCACGTAGAGACACACACACATTCTCCTTTCTGTCTGCTGTCCTTGTTTGCAATTCTTGCTATTTAGGGCATGAATACAGGGGGAGAAGCCGGAAAGTGCGAGAAACTAATAATTTGCAGAATGGTTTCACACTTTTTCGCTTCTTTTGTATCGAAATTCTAATTAGAAATGAAACGTTTGTGGGGTTTCGTGGAAGTCAGAAAAACCTTCATTAGCACTGTCACCAGCGTTATTTGTCGGAAGGAAAATGTTTACATTTCTCAAAATTTGACCCTTGCACACACACCCACCACACGTGACAAAATCGATTTTCCTCTGCGAAAAAATGATTAGCAATATCATATAAGAGTCTAGTCAATCGTTGATATTTGGCCATTTGAGCGTGCAAAATGGAAAATGAGAGTATACTTTTGGGAGTACTTGACCTTTAGGTATAAGATGAAAAGAATGAAGAAGGAGGAAATGAATGGTATCTCGACCGCGAAGAAATGTTTCGACGTACTCCCCTCATCATCTACAGATGACGTCGTGAACAGCGTAATGCAAGACACGACAAGAGAAAGAGAAAGAAAAGAAGGACCGCCGCTTCACTGGTGGCCCGCCGAGAAATAGGGAAAAGGAGATTGGAAGAGGAGTAGGAGGAGGAGGTCGAGCGAGCGCGCGCGATTCGAATATTTGCCCAACTGAGGCACGGAATAGTGTACTCATACTGAGGAGGACTGAACAAATTCTGACTTTGTATGTTTTCTAATAATCATCGGAGAGGGATGTTCAATCGGATATTGCTTCAAGGAAGGAACAAATGGCATAACGCCCACAAAATTAGCATTCTCACATGAATTAATATTTATGAGATTCTAGCTTTTTCTATTGAAACGAGGGGGTAAAACGGCTAGACACCTTCTTTTCTTCAGACGTGCGTTTTTACAAACATCAGTTTCTAAAACGGGAGAGAGAGAGAGAGAGAGTCCATTGAAACATGGCAACAAAAGCGTTGAATTTCGGTGTGCGAAAATTGAAAGAGGACTGGTGCTTATCCATCGAAATGCAGTTTTTTTTCTGTGAGAGACTATTGGAAAGGCGGCAAAACAGTGGGGAAATAAAAACGGTCTGTTTTATTGCACGATTTCATGAATTATACGAAAAATGATGAGTCAAACCTAAATGGGGGTGGCTGGCCGGTCGGTGGAGGTCTAACTGGTTTCGGTGGAAAAACGGTGGCAAAACATTACGTGTGTCTGGAGACTGAACTTTTTAATCCGACTGGAAATGACAAAATTTGACTTTTGTTCCAGAATTCCTACGACACAGTTCAATTATTTCCTTTCATTACTCATTTTTATATTGTCCACTTCATTAATCACATAAACATAGTTACATTAAAAATCAGAAGTACTAATAAAACTTGTACCTAAATTCAAACAGAGAGACACAAATCAGTAAAGCACATCGATGTCGCCATTGCTCTTCAATTGCTCCACTTGTCTGTGCAATTCCTTTAAATCACAATATCATGAAAATCAAAAATCAATGAGTCATGTTACATGTCTGTTAAGTTGATCGTTAAGTCGTTTGTTGGCTTCAACCAAATGTTCAAATTCCTGATATTCCTCATCTATAAATTGACCAATAAAACAAAGTTTTGCTTTGAATTGAAATATTTCACAATTACCATATGGCTTCAGAAGAGCTAGATTTGTGCGTAGTTGGCCATTTGCCAGAGATGCGTAGTCTTCCATTTTCTGCAATTTCCGGATCTGATCGTCCAATTGATCCACTTTCAATCTCCACTGAGTAATCTCCGAGTCCAGCCGATTGACACACTGAAATTTTGAAATATTTTAGCGCTCTGACCATATTTCTTGAAGAACTCACATCAATGTCAATGCTTTTCGCGAAACTTTTGAGAATTCTCCATTGGCCATTTAGTCGATCACATTCTAGACTGCTCTCTTTGATCTGATTGCCGAGCATATTACGTTCGCTCTCCAAAATGATTCTTCTGTCGCGTAATTCCAGAACATCGGCCTTTGGTGTCACCGAGTCCTGATCATTGAGTTCTTATTCCACGCGAACAACACTTTTATCAAAATTACCAAGTTGAACGAAGAAAAATCTGCTTTCTGCTCACGCAACTGCATTCTTTGTTTATCTTCCGTTCTGGCTTTCTCAATCAATTCATCAGTTTTGGAGCTATAAAATCGTATGTCGGATTGGCGGAGCTGCAAAATGGAAACTTTTCGTGAACAGTTTTTTCGGACATCTCGTTTTATGAGGAGTTATCAAGGTGAGTTTTGAAACCATAACTGCGTTTATGAGTTTTTGCGGTGCAATCACTTTTGCGATAAAGTTGGCTTACTGTCACATGTTGCGAATTTATTCAATACTGTTTTTTTCATTTCCAACGCTCTCATTTCTGTCGCGCGTACCATTCCAAATTTCACAGATCACTCCTGTCTTTTATCATGATTACTTCTAAAAATCTGAGAGAAATGATGAGGCTATAGTAGCTACACGCGTCGCGCACGAGGGCGTTGCGCGTAAAGATCAAAAATAACACTTTTGACTGTATAGGAGTGGCGTTTTTTCCGCGTTGATAGTCACAATTTATTGTGATCATGGGAACCAGCGCTGCGCAATTTGCATCATTTCTCTGGGTTAAAAAGTTCTCACCTCGATGCTGTCCTTCAGCCTTCTCACATCTCTCTCCATTGCCTGAGCCTCTTGTCGTTGACCGCTAACGAGTCCTTCCAGCTCTTTCAATTCATAAGTCAACACACGATGCGCTTCGTTTTCTGTTGCCCTCAGAATCTGAAAAAGTGATTCAATAGGAACAATAGAACAACATGTTTTATTGTATTATCACAAGTGTTCTCCTATTCTTCATTCCTAACTTTCTGCCAAACAGTTATTTCAAATTGAACTTCACCAGTAGGCATATTTGTTGGTCACTGTCAGGTGTCAGTTGGCAAAAATAGGATAATAAAACTTACGAGTGTGTTTTGAATGCGAATCTGAATATCACTTCCGAACACACAGTGATAACATGAATTGCGTCCAGTTTCTATTCTCCCTACCGTACCCTTTTCCTGTTGTCTTGCATTTCGGAATATTCTGGAAACTCGTCCAGTTCATCCACAAATTCCACGCTTTTCCTTGACCAACTGGTATGGGAACTTTGTAAACTTTTGATAGATCTCTGCAATAATTCGTTTTTGAGTGTGTTTCCGCTTACGGGCACTTGTCGCACCTCCTTCAGACTTTTACTTCTACTTTCCGGAATCTCCAATTTATCCACTAAGTTTGTATTCATGTTGAATGATGCAGTGTAAGCTGCGTACATTGGAGTGTGTCTGAAAACATTGGCATTTTTTCAAGGAGGTCAAGTTTGCAAGTTTGTATACGATTGCAAATCCGCATAATCTTTGGCAATTTTCAGCTTCTGTTGTTTTTCCTCATACTCGGCTTCAGAAATGCGCTGCTCTTCTAACACTTTCAGCCTTTGATTTGTCTGAAAATAACCAAAACCGAAAATCAAGTGCAGAGGAGTGTTATTTTTACCTTTTCAGTCTCTTTTGAAAGTTCAAATTCTTTAAGACGGATCTTTTCTTCAAGAGAATCCCAAGCATTTTCCAATCGGTCCAATTCTTTTCGCTCTTCTTCACTTTCCTCTTTTTCAAATACTGTTTCAGTATCGGTTTCCTGAAGGTATAACTTTTCGAAACATTTCAATGCTTTCTCTAAATTATACCGTAGTTTGTGAAATTTTCGAGCTCATTCTCGCATTCCTCCTCTTCTGATCACGCAATGCTTTTTCCGCTTGTCTGAAGTTTGCCCGTCCTCTCGACGTACCTGAATGATTACGGTAGCCAATCAGACTTATCACCCTATCACCCCTCTCAAGATAGAAACTGCAGAAAAGGATAAACGCTGAGATTACAATTCCCGAAGCATTTCCGCCCACTTACCAATCTGAATATCTTCCAAGCGCCTTTGGTTTATAAATACATCGTCGATTAATCTGGTTAAGTATTGCTCGAGGGTCTGAAATCATTTTTTGATTTTTGTTTCGTAATCTCTTTATCCCACAAAAACACAACGTTCTCATGAATGAATCAGACGGAAACGGCGCTTTCAAAGATCATTCGTAAGAAAAGCAGCTATGACTAATTGTTGTGTTCTCAGGCAAAACACAAGTTACTCGATTACTCTTTATTTTTAAGAGACTTAAAAATACAACCGAATGCTGTGTAAGCTCGGGGAAAATCTATACAACTAAAATGATGACAATTCAGCTTGATGTGTGAGAGAGAGAGACGCAGAGAACGCGCGCTGCGTGTAAACTCGCGCCACACATTTGCTTACGGTTTAAAACTTGTGGGTCTGCACCCAACACCTCCCCTTATAAGAAACAAACTAGGGATTGTGGTGAGAATGAATATGGGTAAGAGGGCATAGGGAAAACAACAATTTAAGTCCTGTTACTCGGATCGAATCTGACGATAGGTTTCCTCTCGCGTCCACTCCGACGCAGCGGCTCTTCATCTTCTGGCGCTCCTTGTGCTTGACTCAAATGTGGTTGACCTGATTGTCCCTGATTCGCGTGTCCCTGACTCGGTTGTCCCTGACCTTGGTGTCTTTGACTTTGCGATCCTTGGCTTTGCGATCCTTGAGGTGATGCTCCTTGAGGCAGTCCTGGTTGTCCGGTATCTCCTTGCATCGTGACGTCTGTTCTCGCATTCTCCGATCTCGTTCCAGTGGTGGAAGTGTCCTCCTTTCCCTTCACGGTCTCGTTGAAATAGAATTCATCACACGACAACTCAAAGATATCCTCCATCGTTGACCTCCATCGATCCTCCTTGCTCACTCCATTTTCAAGCACTCTCGGTTTCAGCTGATTAGCATGAACCGTTCGTTCACGTCCGTCGTTCAGACTGACAACGTACACCACACGACCGCGTCGTTGAATAACCGTAGCTGGTATCCAAGACCACGAATTGTGTTCGAAAATCTTTGTGAAGACTGCGTCGTTCACATCGAAAGTTCGATCTTTCACTCCGTTATGTTTGTCAAACTGCTCCTTCATTCCCGGACGGGAATCCGAACATTTGTTCAACATCGGAACCAGGAGAGACATCTTCGTACGAATACGTCTTCCGAAATGAGCTTCCGCCGGCGTCAAACCTCCAAGTGCATTAGACGGTGTCGACCGGTAATGGAACAAAAATTGCGACATTATTTCCGGGTTCACATTCCCCTCCCCTTTCAACTTCTTCAAGCCTCTTTTCAGAGTGTCTACGAAGCGTTCAGCTTGCCCGTTAGACTGTGGGTGGAATGCAGGAGACCGGATATGTTCAATTCCGTACTCATGACACATATTAGCAAATTCTCTGGAAACAAACTGTGTTCCGTTATCCGAAACCAACGTCTCGGGATATCCATGAGAACTGAATATGCCTTTCAGCGTTCGTACAGTAGACACGCTCGAGATTGATTTAACAATCGCTACCTCTGGCCATTTTGACTTTGCATCAACCACCACCAGATAGTACTGTCCGTTCTCGGGACCCGCATAGTCAATGTGCACTCTTTGCCAAACACGTTCCGGTGTGTTCCAAGGCTCTAGTGGCACTTTTCTCAGCGTTTTTCCGTGGATTTGACAAGTGTTGCACGCCGCAACCACTTTTGCAATGTCCTCATCCATTCCTGGCCAGAAAACAAACGCTCTCGCGAGTTGTTTCATCCGTACCATGCCCGGATGTCCTTCGTGCAATTGCTTCAGAATTGTCTTCTGCAACATCTCCGGTACGACAACTCTTTCACTCATCATTACGCAGTCTTTCACAACGGACAACGACTGCTTGATCGAGCTGAACTTCTTCAATTTCCCTTCCAGTTTCTTTGGCCAAACTCCTCGGGAAATACACTTGATAACTTCCTTCAGAACGTTATCTTTTTCCGTCTCCGACTGTACGTCTTCGACTCGAACTGGTAGTCTTCGGACAGCAGACTGCAGAGATCCTTCTACATCCACTTCCACTTGAGCTATGACCATATCCTCATTCTCGGATGGCATCTTCTGAATCATTCGCGACAGCGCATCGGCTTGTCCGAAATCATCGGTCTTCACGTATTCGATTACGAAATCATACGCTAGAAGAATCGTGGACCAACGCACCAATCGATTCTGCGAGTGTACTGGAATTCCCTTTTTACTTCCAAAAATGGAGAGCAACGGTTTGTGGTCCGTTCTCAGTAAGAACTTTCTACCGAACAAGTACTTGTGGAATCTTTTCACTGCAAATATCAATCCAAGGCCCTCTTTTTCAATCTGGGAGTAGTTCTTTTCCGCAGAATTCAAAGAACGTGCTGCATGGGCAATCGGTTTCTCCGTTCCATCGGCAAAGCGATGACTAATAACGGCTCCAATTCCGTAATCGCACGCGTCAGCTGCCACAACAATCGGAATATTCGGCTGGTAATGTGTCAGATTCAGGTCAGACGACAGGACGTCTTTCAACTTCTGAAAAGCCTCAGCCTCTTTCTGAGTCCAAATCCAATCACAATCCTTCATGAGCAGTTTGTCGAGTGGACCACGGAGCGATTTCATATGCGGAATGAACGCACTGTAGTACGTGATCATTCCCATAAAACTCCGCAACTCCTTTTGGTCCTTCGGCTCACACATGCCCTTGATCACCTGCACCTTTTCCTTGTCTGGTCTTCTTCCATTCTTATCAATGATAAAACCCAAAAATTTTATCTCCTCGCCGAGAAAGTGACATTTTTCAATTTTCACTCTGAAGCCATATTCAGAAATCCTCTTGAACAACTCTATCAAATTCTCCATGTGCTCTTTTCCAGTTCGGCCAACAACGATAATATCGTCGAGATATGCCGTCACGCCTGTCAGTCCAGTGATCATTTTGTCCATGATCCGCTGGAACACCATCGGCGCCGTTTTTGCCCCGAAAGGAAGTCTCTGGTACTGGTAAAGCCCACGATGTGTGTTTACCGTTAATAACTCCTTTGACTCTTCGGCCAGTTCGATCTGCAAGTACGCGTCCTTGAGATCAACTGTTGAGAAAACTGTTCCTCCGTTCAACGTCGCGAACACGTCTTCTGGCGTCGGAATTGGGTGATCTTCATCTTCCAAAGCTTCGTTCAAGCCCGTTTTGAAGTCTGCACACATCCGCGTGTCCCCATCTGCTTTCCGCACGCACACCAAAGGTGCCGCCCACGTACTGTGGTTCACCTTCTTGAGAACTTTCAGACTCACGAGTCTGACCAGCTCTTTGTCCACTGTTTCCAAAGCTCCGTATGGTACCGGACGCTTTGGTTTGAACACCGGCGACGACCCAGGTTTCACAGTCAGCACTGCCTTTTTCCTTAGTACATCGCCCCAGTCCTTCTTTGAACACTTCCGGAAATTTTCTCTTTAATTCCGCTCGAAGTGTTTCCGTGTCTGGACTCTTCACTTCGTTTACCATCAACCCTAGGTAATACGACATTTCCGTCGATTTTCCGATCCAATCTAGCCCTAGCAGATTGCCTTTCTCGCGGACGTACACAAAACCAGAAGCTTGCGAGCCTTTCAACGTGAAGTTGACGTTCGCTCTTCCCAACAATTTCAAGTCATCACCGCTTGCGGATGTCACTCTTGTTGCGAATCTCTCCAGTTTTGGTTTTCCGATCTTGATCCACTCGTCTTTTCCAATCAAAGTAATATCGGAACCAGTGTCAAGCTGGAAATCCACCGACCTGTCATTTATGTCCGCCGTGACGTACTGTCGTACAGCGTTCACGTGTCTGTTTAGCTTCACGTTCTGAGTTTTCCTCGTGCCACTCTTCTTGCTTTTACAGTACTTTGACATATGACCGCTCTGTTGACAATTGAAACATTTTTGTCAGTTTCTGTTTGCAATCCGGCTTTTTTTATGGCCCTTTTGCCCACAATTCCAACAAGCTTCCTCTTGTCCCCTTGAACGATCTCGGTCTCTCGTTGGTTTCTTTCCTTTTCCGTTTCCTCTGGAGTGTACCGCTCTTACAGCCGGTTCACTCTTCTCCATCTCTGAAACCACACAGTTCTGTCTGTCCGCTTTCTGCCACTCTTCGCAGAGGTCGTTTATCGTGACAGTTTCTTCTTTTTCCCACTTCTGTTCCACATATTTTATGAAATATGCCCGGATAGCCTTGTCTTTCGACCCATCTAACCCTTTTAACCAGAAGAAGACTTTCCATCCGTCGATGTCGATCTTGTCCAGATTTGCTGCTTCGCACATCGCGTTCACCTTGTTGGTGTACTCGACCGTCGAGTCACCGTCCCGAATAATGTTCATGCACGCAAATCTGTGGGAGAAAATACTTTTCTTCACGTCAAACATCTTCCTCAAAAGTCCGACAGTCTCCTCAAACTTCATTTCGGTGTGTTTCTTCGGACAGATCCGCTTAGAAAACTGCTCATACACCTCGTCCGAAAGTTTACTCACAAGCAACGAAACTTTCGCCTCATCCGGCAAATCTTTTCCCTCTTGGTCGAACGCAGTTCCGTGCCGTTCATACCACCTCGAAAACGTCTTCTCTGTTTCCAGATCAAACTGGAACTGTGAAATCCTGCCGCTGATCACATTTATCAGCTGTGATTGCGACACGTTTGACTCGCTTTGGCTCACCGTTCCCGGATTGCCATTGATCTTTCCAGATGACATGGACTTGATCAACTTGTCAATCGATTCTTGATGCCGAGTTGCCTGCAACTGCATTTGCTGTTGCGTCACTTCGATCATCTTCAGCATCTTCTCCATCATGTCGCTATTCACCGCCATTGCAGGTTAACTGGCACTGACGAGAATACACAGAAACAGTCACCGCCGTTTATACTGACACGGGTACTTTCTGCTCACCAGATTTCACCACCGTTTTTTAGCTGTCGTGGTTACTATTCTGTGTTAACTAATAGACCACCAAATTCCCTTTTTTAAGCCGAAAAGAACCACAATCTCAGTCACAAACTATAATTTCAATTGAGAGAAAAAAAAAGCAAAAGTGCAGAGTATGTAGTCATGTGAAAAGTGCGATATAAGTGGGAAAAACCTTTTCAGTCTTCATATCCGTGTCGAAAGCAGTTTCTAGTTGTTGATGCTCTTTCGCGTTTGCTTTTGCGGCCCTCCCATGGTGTTCCACGTTTTTTGAGACTTCGCTGCCTGCAAACAAGTACTTATTAAGAAAATTTTTGAAGCAGAGAAAGTGAATATTTGTTTTATTAAAAGGAATTAATTCAACAGTCTATTTTCACTCTATTTTCAAGAAACCGTACACTTTTCCTGAAGGTCTTTTTCCATTGCTGCCTCATGCATCAGATCTTCGTACAGTTTCTCCTCCTTTCCATCTAGAGCGTTCCATTGTTGCACCGCCTCATTCATTTCATTGTTCTTCTGCTGTTGCGATAAGAAGCTTCCTTCGGCGCTTTGCTCGAGCTTTTTGAACACTTGATCAACCTCATCAGATTGTGACTGAAACATGAATGATGTTTCACTGTGATTTCACTTCGAACTTTTGCTTGTTCGCTTTCTCATCCGTTTAATCCCAAACGCTTTCACGCAGGTGAGCAAATGTTCTAACTACGAATCACAGAATTTCTCACCAACAATTCGTTACGCTGCCCCCTTTCTGTCAGTTTTTGCGACTGTTTTATCTCCCTGCGCTTAGTTTTAGTTTCAGTTTTCAGACTGGTTTTGACCTTCATTTCCGAAACAACGCGCGGTTTATAAAAATCATGGTAATCCCCCCTACTTTTTTTGCAATTCTACCAGCCGAAACTTCCCTGTCATGTCCGTGCACTCAATCCAAGTCCAAGTTTGTTAACGTTTTTATTCGTTTTTTCGTATCACACCGCACTGTCTGTCAACAATAGAGAGACACTATCAAGATCTGTTCCAATACTTTTTGATCTCTCTTCTTTCCGCTGTGTTTCGATGCGGTGTAGGGAAGAAAGAATTGCGAAAATGTTGCTTATCGATAGAAAAGGAGAATTGTCTCGATTCGTATCAGTGACGCCGAGAAGCTTACGTTGCATACTTTGCAATTTTTAAAAATCGATAACGTTGATTCGACTTCCGCTGGAAACGTACCGTCAATTGTGAGTGGTCAGTTTCTAGTCTATTCTTTTCCGCTTTCAGCTTTGCAAACTTCTTGCAAATTTGCTCATATTCACCGCATTTCTTGTCTAGCTGCTTTCGCTTCCCTTCGGTCTGAAAAACAACGCTCGGACTAGGCTCATGTTTTTTTTTCACCTGTTCCAGAAGGTGTTGGGTGTTTTCCGAATCTGTTGGCAGACTTGTATGTTCCGCTTGAGCAATTCGAGCAGTGACTCGTGCACGTTTCACACTAGCCGATGACATGATACGAAAAAGTGAATAGAACGAAAGACAATTGGGGGAAAGAGAAGCCGGCGAACGTGAAAAGTGTCGTCCGCCGGCTCGGGCGTTTAGCGTAGTGTTGTTGTTGCTACAATCGTTGCTAGGAGGTGCCGCGCGAAGGTTGTGTTGCACGCGCCAGTGCACAACATTCAAAACGTCGAATTTTTCTTTCGAGTCCCTTGAAACCTATAAAAAGCTCTCGCTCTCGGTCTCCAATGCAAAATGCGGGAGGAATAAAGTGGACAAAGGTCTGTCGGAAACTGATAAAACATTGTAGCGCTTTTGTGACAGAGGTAATACATGATTTTCTACGTAGTGCTCTTTCCACGACCAATCAGAGATAAACAAGATTACTCGAAAATTCCATCGACTAGAGCATTTTTCCGGCTTCCTGGCGGCTCATTCACACTCTTTTCTTGCAAAATGCTTTTTCCTGCAGTTTGCTTTAAAAAAAGTCAACAGCAAGGGCAAACTATCACGTAGTTGTGCAAAAGTAAACAGAAGCGGGACAGAGCTTTAACTCTTTATTACTATTTTTTGCCAAGATCATTTCTTGATTTGACAATGCTCCTCATCACTTCCTGTTATCCAAAAAAGACTGTGTTTTGAGCATTGAGCAGTCTGCAAACAAATCCCCTCCCCCCTTTCATTTGCTTTTGCGCGCCTTGAAAAACTGTCCCCTGTTCTCTGGTTGTTCCAAGTCTTACAAATTTCTCTCGTGTAGTCTGTTGACTAGGCGACAGGGATGTTCATATGCAATTCGCGCGCTGTGTGACTATTTAATTCGTGAATGATCTTTTTTAATTACCTCCGTCTTGCGGTTCGAATGCCCGCCGCACAAATACGACTTCAAATTTGATTAAATTCGCAACTTTTCCGAATTAACCAAGATTCTTGTCTGCATCCAGGCGCCAACCTAATTTGGGCATTATTTGAGTCCACACTTATTTATTTATCGGCATGCAAGTTGCCAGAAGAAATTGTGTTATCAACTCAGAGAATTGGAAATATGACAAGCGGTGGCGAGAACTTGTCTTAGGTACCGATTTCTCAATGATCTGTTTGTCTGCGCGCCGGAGCAAAGGGTATAGTTCTCCCGACTAACGAAACAATCGGTAGTTCTGTAACCGGCGCGTGTTTGTCTTCCGTCCCTTGAGTAATACACGTTGTTTCATACAAAACGCAACTTTTTTCGCGTGAACCAAATGGACTGTGCAATGTTCGATCGCGGCGTGCTGTCAACGTCATGCCGATGGTAACACGTGAACTGGCCCTCCCCAACGTTGTCTGCCACCACCTAGGTCTCTCAAAAATACAGGCTGCCAAGTCACAAAAAAACGTTGTCGGGAAGTCAATTTCACGCGAATCTTTTTCTCTTTCTCTCTTGCCCACTATTTCTCGCGACCCCACGAGATTCGGTCGTTTTCAACATTTCTACCGCATTTGTCATCATTTTCGTGCTGTTTTGAAACCCGCATCGATTCGTTCCGCAATACTATTAGACGAAATAGTAAACGCGTGGGCAAGTTTCGTCAGCTAAGCTGGTTAGGGACTGGAAAATCAGCAAAATGACGTGGATATTGGGTTCAATGGCTCCTACCTCTTACTGATCTCGGCTCAAACCCCTGTCGTCAAAATTACCTTCCTCTGGTTTCTTCGCTTGTTATTTTTGGTCAGACTTTGGTTTTTCAACGGAATCCCATTTTCTTTTTTCTGAAATTGAGAGAAGGCTTCGTTACTCGGAGCTCGTGATTGTCTCCAGACAGAAAGGGAAACGGACAATTATTCATGAGTAGTTAAGCAGTAAAACCTACAATTTACAGTGATTTTTTGAGAAAGCGGATGTAACTGACTCACTGTTTTCAAATTCCCAGTTCGGAACTTTTCACGCGACAACGAAAGGTCGTTTCTAGTCCGAGTGAGACTTTGTGATCATTCCGCTTCTTTACCCAATTATCGGTCAAACTTTTGCACGTGTATCATACTAAAAGTAATCTGAATAAGTATACTGAAGTCTACGGTGACTCTTTTTCGCAGTATTGGTGTATGTCTAGGCCTGGTCACAAAATCGGCGGGCAGAAACTACGTTGTGCCGAGAGTAAAGCGGGTGTAGAGATAATAAATATGAGGGTAAAGATAAGAGAGGTAGATTGCAATCGTATTGAAACAGCCCGCCTGAAAAACACTTTGGGGGGGATATAGGGGATGTACCGGAATTTCGAACACTAGAAAAAATGACACTTTTATGTTTTGTGACCAGTCGGTTACTTTTTGTGACAATTGTGTCGCATTGGCCGCTTTACTCTGTTTTCTCACTCTACTTAGCGGACAGATTGGTTGTTAACTCTATAAACAAGCACTTTATTCGTGCGGTCGATGCCCCATAGTCTTGACAAAAACTAATCAAAAACGACTACTTACAGTGGGAGAACACGGGCAAATCTAGTCGGTTGATGTTCGTAATCGATAGGAACAACTTATTTTGCTGTTGTGATATTTTTCTGATTTATTTTATTTTTCTCACACTGAGAGAAAGATCAAAAAATGATGAAGGGTGCACTTTGAGTTGACGATTATAAATGTATATTGTTACACATTTCAGTCTCCAGCGTATTCAAATTTCAACTTCAATTTGAATTTGAATTTCATAACTTTCACTTTTTGCACTTTGTGCCTAATAGGCACTGCCTATGCTTAAAAATTTTGAATTTTCAGATGTCGTCTTACTGGGAGACCATGAACTGCACCCATCTCGACAAATCCAACAAACTATTACACCCCTCGCCGCCAATGTGGATCAACCGTGATTCAATGAACTGGGTCAGTTTACTATCTCTCATTATGGTCGGTTGTAATTCGCAGATACTCATCGTACTCGGAAAGAGGGAGAGGTCCAGAATAGCTGATTTTGTATCAGTTACCTATCAAGATAATGTTTCTAGTTGTATTGATTTTTGGTCGCCCGTATATCTATTCAAAACCGTTTGTAATAGATTTGCCGTACGGTCGCAGCTCGGTCTTTTCACAAAACTGTCCAATTGCCGCATAAAGTATAGGCTTTCCGATGAAGAAGGGCGGACATGATTCTCCGCTGAACTTCATCGGAACTACTCGAAATTGTTGCATTTCTCTTATATCTCATGAAACATTTCTTGCTCAAAATTTTATCAAACAAAAACTAGACTTCCTAATTTCAGGCGGTACTCTAGAGGTTCTTTTCAACTCCAATAATGATCACCAGTCTTTCCTATTTTTGTGTCTTGCTCTTTCACGCGATTTCTAAAAGTTTGCTGATCAAAAATCACACTATGTTCTGTTTTGTTTCTCGTTTATTCGCGGGTCTCTAGACGGTGAGAAGATGAAGTGCCAGGGAAAATGTTTTATCCAAACAGATCAAAAGTAACATCATTCTTCCCATTTTCCCAAGCTCGGCTCGCAAGCCGGTTTGTTGACAATGAGTCAGGAGAAACGAATAATGCGAGAAAAAGAGACAAAAAACCGAAACGACACGGGAATTTGAACTGATCTTTGCATTGCACTTACACTTGCTCGTGTATTCCGATTGAAAATTAAAAATCGAAAGTTGCGTGCGCTTTGGCGGGGTTTTGGAAACGTGTTGAACACCAAATGAAGAGATCTTCTGATTTATCCTTGATATTCAGGTGGACGGAAGTTTGCCCTCTCACTCTCCGATGTCGTCGGATTCAATATCTCCGCTGCGCTCGCCGGCGGAGGACACCAACATGATGGAATGTTCGTCGCACGAGCTTCCGCCGCCAGCGCCGGTCCGCAAGATACGGAACGTCCGCAAAAGTGATAAGCACCATTGCTCGGTGTGTGGAGATCGGGTCAGTTCGGTTCAAAATGTGTCCTCCCTTGTTTCCCTGTACATTTCCTGTATTCGTGATCATTAAACGAAGAACAGTTTCATCTCTTCGCCGAATTACGACGAAATAGATGAAATGGTGGAGGATTTGAGAAAATGAGAAATGTATTTTTAAGTTAAGTATTCAAAAAAGTACAGAGATCGAAATGTGACAGGAAGTTCAGTTCGATTAGAGGATTATTAGGATTTGCCATTAAATGGGGTTAAAAACTCGTTTTGAATTTTTGAATCTCTAAATTTCAGCCTACTGGATATCATTATGATGTGCTCAGTTGCAATGGATGTAAAACCTTTTTCCGACGGACCATAATCAACAACCGCAGTTTTGTCTGCACAAAAGGAGGAAACTGTCAGTTCACAAAAGGTAATAGTACACGAATAGTCACTTCATTCCATTCCAACACAATTCGTCTCAGATTTTCGCTGTGCTTGCCGTGCTTGCCGCTTCGAGAAATGTGTCCGCGTTGGAATGAATCCGGCAGCAATCCAATTTCCGCTCAACTCAGCGCACAGAGAGTCTGATGACAGTGGAGACGATGACGTGATTGCAAATCAGCAGGATGACAAATCTCTCGCCTTGATTCCATTTGTCGCCACACCACTCAGGGAAACAACCATTCACACTTACCGATGGGTGGATGAAATTGTGAGGACATGGGGGAGGAATCTGACAGAAACGGTGCGAATTTACAGTTCCGACGAGAAGATGCAGTGCTGCGACATCGTGTTCCTGGTACTTTGCCGGTTGAAGATGATTTCTGTTTGGGACAACTTTTGAGAAAGAACATACTCATCGGAGGAGATAGCATGATGATTGACAGAGTACGCAACTATTGAGCGAGTTGTTTCAATTTTAATAATACAAATAGTTCAGAAGCCAGGCACCCTGTATACAAACGATCCGGTGAGGTACTGGATGGTTGTTGATTTGCTTCTTATTGTCGAGTTTGCGAAAACGTTTGATTCTTTCCGAAAACTTAGCGAACTTGACCAGGTGCGTACCGTTTTTTTCCTCAACGTTTTCACTCATCAGTTTATTTTTCAGAAGTGTCTAATTTCACACATCGGAGGTGTCCTTCACGTGGCCACCCAATCATTTTATTCGTATTTCGAAGCCAAGTGTTGTACACTTACGTTCCCAGACGGCATTAACGCTTTTGAACGAAAAATGCAAGATGTCAAAAAAGATGGCAAACGGTATTTGCTTCCAGATAAATCAGAACTGTTGCTGATTCCAGACCTTTTAGACAAGTTTTCGTAAATTATTACGCCGAGATGTATAATGAGCCGGTTAACGAGTTTTTGAAGAACAAGATCACAATGACCGAATACTCGTTTTTCAAGTCGATTTCTCTTTTCTCTCCTAGTAAGTCCTGAATTTTTGGCAAAAGTATCGTAAGTTTTGATTTCAGATAACCTGGAAATGTCGACTGCCGGCCGAATAATTGTGAATGAGGAGCGTGAAAGACTGACAACTCTTCTCAGAAAGTATCTCGTAGCCGAGTATGGTTTCAAGATAGGAATGAGCCGTTTTTCCTTCATCTTGATGGCAATTTCAACATTTGTCATTTACGGAGAAAAGCGTCGGGATTACATTTCTGTAAGTAAAACATTGCTTGGGGGGGTTTAGCACATTATTCAAATTTTCAGTTGATGAACCTTCTACAATTTGACATCGCGAACATAGGAAAAGACATCTACCTTCGGAAGCCAACTGAAATGCTCTAGTCACTTCTATTTCCTTTTCTCTTTTTCTCGCTTTTACCCTTTTTTCTCTATCTCTCCTGCTCTTCCTTAAAACCTCGAAATGATCTCTCCATCCTTCTACAGTACATATTTGTTTTGCTTTCCATTCGTTTTATTTGGAATCTATCTGAATATAACGTCTGATATTCAGATACACATCTTTTTCTGGTAGCTCAATTCATAAATAAACCTGTGATGTCTACGGTGCTTCAATTTCATAAAGAGCTTTTCAGGCTTTTGTACTCAATTCTGCTCAACATTTTTCGCTTCTCATACACTGTGTTTGAGGCTGAGCCGCAAAAAAAACGCAGTCGGAATACAGTACATGACATGATTAGTCGAAATTATGCTCGGAAAATGATATGTATCGCTACGGCCTCCTCAATTGGCCGCCATCTCCATGATGCACGTTTCGACAATAGTCGTCACCCAGCCACTGTCTTCACATTTCATTTGTTCTCCCGCCTATCTCACGTCTGTTCATTCCCAAACTCAGCTCACGTTTTGCAGACACTCTGGAGTCTTTCTCAGTATTTGAGCATGGATGATATTCCATTTGAGACCACGACAGACACGTTTCTGTTCGAAGGAAGCACTTCTTCAGTGTCTGGTATCACGAGTACCACGGCAGAAGTCTATGCAGAATATGAGGAGTGTTACAATGATCCGATGTTTACAATATTCACATATACGGTATGTTGAAACTCTACTCTAATATTAACTACTGCGTTGCTAGGTGGATGATATGCTACTTGCCGCAAGTATGGCAGCTACCGTATTCAATGTCATGGTCATATTCTGTGCAATCAAGTTGTTCAAACGGAGCGGGGATACAATGCACTTATTCATTCTGAACATGACAGTTGGAGATCTCATCTTAACAAGTAATATTTTACCCTGTAACTTTGTGTTGTCACAATTAATATTCTAGTATTCTGCCATCCGAACGAGTTGCTCATCCGAAAGCACGACTTCCTCCAACAAAAACATCTCTGCGCCGTTGTTCATTACTTCAATTGGATCGGTCTCGCTGTATCCGGTTTATCTTTGACACTCCTTAACGTCGACAAAGTATCGAATCGTCACGATTGATCTGAAATTGATCGGATTTATTTCAGCTGATCTACTTCCGGTGGCCTCTGAACTATGACCGATCAATGTCAAAGCGCAGAGCCGCCATGTTCTGTCTCGCAATCTGGGCCGTCTCGATTGGGTGGGCGAGGGTCCCAACTGAACGAAGTCACATGCCACTTTCAGATTTGTCTCATACTGTTGGCTATTCAACATTGTCTATATTTTTCATCAAGATTGTTCTCTTCAAGTGAGTTGTTTTGAGAAACGTTATCGATTTATACAATTGGCATTCATTAAGATGTCTCCGAGCAAGAAATTTTATTATGAAATCTTCACGATGCTCTTCTGCGTCCTACCAGTCACGTCGTCGCTAATTGTCTCCATTTATCTATTCAATCTAACCAGAAGTAAACGAAACGCCACCAACGCCGGCGATACAAATGCTTTCAAAAACAAGGTAGTTTGTAATTTCAATAGGGGAATACGTCTTTTTAGAAGCTTCTATCTCAGGTCAAGTCCTTGGCATTTATATTTGCCACGACGACTTGGACGTCTTGTAGTTTACTTCCGTATCGGATTGTGAACTTGGCTAGAATTCATTTATTTACGTAAGAAACTGAATAATATCAATCGTGAATATTGAAATTCAGATGGTCTGAACTGAGCTGTGAAGGAAAACAAAGAATGAATTGGATTGCATGGGTCCTTGTCTATCTCCTCACTCTCAATCCTGTTAGTTAAAGGACTTTGGGTCAACAATATTTATAACTAATTCTAGATAATCAACCCGCTCATCACTTCTCTAATCTATGCTCCTTACCGTCTCACAATTAAGAAGTTCCTCGTAAATATACCAGTTGGAAACCGCCCGCTTTACTCGTACCAACCCGACGGTATGCAGTCCGACAGTAGCTTTGCCTCGGTCCGAAGGAACCGGAACAGGCGATCGTCATGCACCGAATTGGCTAGTTTGCGTCAATCTACCGAAGTATTTCAGAACTTCATTAGCAAATGTTGTCTGTTTCGTTTAGGTTGTGCGCATGTCGATGAGCGAGCCGCCGGTGACTCCAATGAAAAGTGAAGACGGATTCTCATTCGAATCACATTCGCAAACTTCAAGCGATAAAAAATTGCAAGCAGGAAGTAGATGTTAAATAATGTTTTATGTTTAACCTTCTGTTTTTCTTTTGTCTTCTTCCTTCTGTTTTGCTGTGTGGCACTGTACTATGACCCCTTTGCAATGCGAAAACAAAAATAGACTGTTTGCAAACCAAAGGGGTATTTCTCATAAAAACAAGATTTCTTCCGACCACGTACTTATTGGGTTTTCTCTTGGCCAATGTTCTCACCTTGATTTCTCAACTCTCCTTTTCACTTATATAACTCTGAACCGATAAATAAACACATTTTTCCCAACTAAAAAGCTGAATACGAAATGCGAAAAAATTTCGCTCCCGGGTGGGCTCGAACCACCAACCTTTCGGTTAACAGCCGAACGCGCTGCCTATTGCGCCACGGAAGCGTCGAAGACCGGAGCGGATGAGTGCGTTGATAGAGGGGGCCCGGGCCGCTTGTCTATTTGTCCCCCGACGGCGGAAAGAGAATGGCGACACACACACACACACACACACACACACACACACACACAAACACGTGCTGTTCTTTTGCATAGTTGTCATCGGGCTGTTCCGAGCCTTAGGGTACTTTTCTCGGAAACAACATAACTTTGTACAAGTTGGGAGTGCAAAGTGTACACCTCGATGAGTTTCATTTTTGCATTTTTTCCTTTTTCATTCAAGTAACGTGTAAAAACGCGTAAAGTAGCCGTGCCGGGCCGGCTCTTCCAAGGCTCTTAACTAGAAACTGATTCTGTAAATCCTAAAATTTTGCCTTAGTAGAACTCAACAAAATCTACATTTCGAAATTCCAACTTGAATGATAATTTCAAATCTGAAAAAAGTTATTCAGATGTCCGTAGTATGCCTCGAAACGACCCTGTGTTAGATATTTCTATCGAATAGTTTATCGAGACCCTCCTAGCCTCTCATATTTCACATGCTAATGGGGCGAAACAATATAACTTTGAGGTGTTTGTGGGTGATATAAATATAAACGAGCCGATTTCCTGACCGAAAGACGTGTGTGCGTGAGGAATTGAGTTTTATGCTTGCAACCTGAAAAATTAATGCCGACTGACATCAATGTGGGGGTTTCAAAACTACCTCTTGAAACATGTCAAGCTAAACGGCAACGGAAACGGCTTCCTGGACTCGTTCTTTGAAAGTGATTCATCAGTTGTTTTTTATCAACCATCATAAGGTACGAGTCAAATGATTCACTAGTCACCAGAAATTTACTCGATTTTACGTCTGATGATTTAAGGGCGTATTTATAAACAAAACTATCGAGTTTCGATGCTACACCCAACACGTCAGTATGCGGCTCAAATGCCGACTGGAGCATGGAACGATTTTACGGATTTACCCGCCGAGTTTTTGTCCTATTTTGGAACGATTAGTACCCTGGGACAACAGAACTGCTTTTATTCCGATGTGTTTGTCTATTTCGCTTCTACGGTAAGTTTTTGGGGGCATTACACAAACAGTGTTCACGAAAACAGTTTTCAGATGGATGATCTACTTCTCGGCGCATGTTTCATATCCACTTTGATGAATTTGATTGTGATCTGGACTTCCATGAAACTCTACTACGAAAAAGGAGATACTTTACATCTGTTCATCTTCAACATGACTATCGGAGACGCGATTTTGACTTGTATAGGTCGGTTTTAGCAAAATATTAAAATTAGATTTTTAGGCTTTTGTCATCCTTACGAGATTATCACTCGAAGATATCTCGGCGGTCAAATACATTCGTTAACTGTTTTTCTCAACTTTGCAAACTGGGTTGGATTGGCAGTTTCTGGACTTTCACTTACACTTTTGAACGTTGACAAGGTGAAAAAATACATGCCAAAACATTTAATTCATTCTATTCCAGTTGATTTTTTTCTGTTGGCCATTCAAGTATGACATATGGATGTCTTATTCACGAGCGAAATTATTCTGCTGGTCAATTTGGATTGTCTCCATCTGGTATGTAATTGAAATGTCTGTCACAAATTTACTATTTTTCAGTTTTGCCACGTACTACTGGATGTACAGTTACTTGTATTCTGTGATGGAGGAAGATATTCGAATGGAGGTTAGTGATCTAGATTTTAGCATAATTTTGTTGATTCTGATTTCCAGAGAAGTCTGGAGATACAATTCGTTTTGTTGACAATCTTTATGGATGGGGATCGGGTGAGTTATACTCCTCATATTAAAATTTGAAAACATTTTGAACTTCCAGCTATCGCCAATCAACAAGATATTCTATGAAGGGTTCATTATTGTTTTCTGCGTGGTCCCCATCATTTCCTCGTTATTTGTATCTTGTTATCTTTACCAGTTGACAAGTCGTAAACGAAGAATCACATCATGTATTGCTCCAAACAGCAAAACTCAACACACAGTGAGATTTGAAAAACTAAAATGTTCAAAAGTTGAAAAGTTGAAGCTCACATCATTTGCATTCATTTTCGCAACAACTCTCTGGACATCCTTTAGCCTACTTCCTTACCGTTTAGTCAATTTGGCCAGAATACATATGATAGTGTGAGTTTTTTTTAAATCCCATATCTAGATTGCAAAATTTGTGTTTTCAGCTGGCCCAATCTGAACTGTGATGCCAAACAATTCATAGGCTGGTTCACATGGGCTATGCTTTATTTGTTGATATTGAATCCGGTGAGGAAAGATGCAGACATTCTGTTTTGGAAAAATATTTTATAGATTGTCAACCCTCTGATCACTGCGTTTGCCTATGCACCTTACAGGCAAATAATCTGTTCCGAAACGACCAAATCTCCATTTCGAAAACTCCAAAAATACAAAAGACTCATTTTGGCGGAAATCAAGCAAAATAGAGAGAAAAAAGTGTCAAAACAGATGGTGTTTCAAATTGAAATTCCTGCTGATATTATGGATATGGTGAGCAAACTTTTTCACAAACACTTTTAAAAAAAGTTTCAGAATTATATCATAGAGCACTCAAGGAGAGCTCCACTTGCAAAACTTCCCAGCGTATGCTCGTTTGAATCACTAATGATGCCAGACGATTCACGTTCGACAAGATTCTGAAATTCTTCATGATTTGAAGAGAAATATTGGCTCTTATAGAGCTAAAGTGTACATACACAACCCCAATAATTATCAGAATCTCATAATTCATTCGAAAGATCTATCTACGCACATATTATATCATAAAGGAATTCATACTTTTTTGGGGTGTTGAGAACATGAAACAGTTGAAATATGCATCAAGAGATGGGTTCATAGATCCGTACGTCCAAAGTTTAAACGGAGATGTTGAGTCAAGTGCAAACAGATTTCAGAAAGCTTAAAAAGAGAATGTACAAGGTACCTGGGTATAAGAAATACGTTTAAAAAGAACAAAATAAAGAAGATCGGTGAGAGAGTATCAATCAACAGTGGCTGGACGTGCTGGGCCCGTTATTCAGTGGACTAGTTTCATCATCCACCATCACATCATCATCATTTTCCTCCTCCGCTGTGTGAGGAACGGCCGGACGGGCATCTCCGAGGTATCCGGGCGAATGAGATCTGGAATGTTCGACTTTGTACATATAATTAAATGTTTCCAAGTCAATCAAACCTTGCTGTATACATTTCCATATCAGTACTTGTAACGGACCGTCTTGCCATGTCCCGGCGAGCGCTACTCGGCTCACTCAACTCATCTCTCGGAGATGTTTGTTGAGTGAAGACTCTCTGGCCGGCCTGTCTCCCCATCAGCATCTCAACCATTAAATCCAGTTTCTTATCCATTTTTCCAACCTGAAATATACTTATGTTTATTTATAAAATGTTTTCGGCTTACTGTAGTCTCCAATGTAGCAATTCTGCTGTACATTGAGATTTTCGGATCCAGTTTCTCAATATTCTTTCCACAAATCACGTCCAATTTCGCTTGAACCGTTTTTACACGACTTTGCAGATCCACGTGGCCAGCGGAGTACTGTTCGATCACATCTTTCACATCATAAGGCTTTAGAGCTTCTTTGAATTTTCTCCGAGCAACAAGAAGTTGAATACGGCGAATTGCACGGACACAGTTTTTGAGAGCCGGGGTGAACTCCTCAATGGTTTGCGGTTGATATCCAATGGTTTCTTCCTCTGAAATGTTACCCTTCTTATTTTCACTTTTTTCTCCAAAAATTTTCTTACAAAACAGATTATTCTACTACTGTGAGAATGAAAAAAGAACATTTAGGAAACTGAGAAGGTTGAAAGCAAAAGCAAAAATGAAACGGTTTTCGTGAAGTCTAAATGCATTCCTGATGACGAAGCAGCATTCCATTCCACATGGCAAAAACGTGGCATTAGTGCGCAAAAAATAATTTTCTCTCGAAAGGTTAGATATTGTAATCATTTGGTTTGGTTGGGGAGAGAAATGTCAATCACTGATTCATTAGCAATTTTCCATTGTTCTTGCTCACCGTCCACATCTGAAATGTCCTCGGCGCGTCGTGTGGCACACGTTGTTAGTTGTGATAATTGGCTCCACACGCCATCCTCGACCGGCGTATTGTTTCTACGTACCATTTGTTCGCACCACTGGTAAATGGGTGCCATCATCAACGAGTAATCTCCAATGACATCGCTGTCCGAGAGCGTGGACCGTGGTTGGAGGGGTCGCAATTGTTGGCCATTGTTGGTTACGTCACGACACAGCGAGGCGGATCTCCGAGAACGCCGTCGTACGTCTAGAGAAATGGAGGCACACCATTCGATCACACGCGAGATGAAGACGATAGGACAGAGAGAAAGGAGAAAGGAAGAGTGACGTGGCAAGTGGAGGGATAGAGTTAGAAGAGGGAAAGAATGGTGAGTAGAAAGATGTTGGAAACCACTATTTCGAAACAGCTCTTTTGCAGTTTTACATAGTCTACGCACTCAGAGAATGTTGAAATCGAATCGTTGTGATCGGGGAGGACAAAACTACACCGTTTTTTTCATGCGAATTGAAGAAAAATTGTGATTTACCGTCAAGTGCGTGAGCATTCGATTGAGCAAGCATCCTGGACTGCAACATGGAATCGTCGGCGGCTTTTCTCGAACCGCTGTACTTTGACTTTGTTTTCCAACCTTCAGTTACATATTGTCATTATCAAACCAGTATAAAAAATGTTTGCGTACCAAGTGAAAATCCAAGAGCTCCAAGTTGCTCAATCTCAGAGATATCGGAAGTGGAAACAAGGCTGATAGTGTCGTGAACACGTGGAACCGACAAGTTTTTCGAAGAAGAGTGCGCGTTAGCGTTGAGGTTTTGCGCGTTAGAGTTGGGACTCCGTTTCGTGCTTTGACGCAGACGATTTATGAGTCCAGTCGCATTGTTGCTTCCATTTGGCGTCAGTTTCACACTAAAAATATGTACATTTTGAGCTGTCCCTTAATAGTTAACTGAAATACTCACAGTGGAGGAAGTTCCCTAGCCAAATGTATTTTCCACGTGGCAAGTGAGACGGATTCCGGCGCCGCGGAATAGTGACGCCAGAGACATTGGATAAGCTTGGCAGCCGGGATTCGTCTGCGGATCAGATGCTTTTGACGTTGATGCTGTTGCACTTTTAGTGCAAAACCTGAGCCTAGGATTCCCTGAAATCAATCGCTTGTTTTTATCTTTGAGCTTCTATTCATTCATACGGCTGGGAGAGCAAAGAACGAGATTCCCAGAAGAGCACAGAACGCGGCGATTATCTTTCCAGGCCACGTCTCCGGAGTTTTGTCACCGTAACCAACGGTCGAGAGGGTAATCTGAATGTGGTCCGGTGCGTGTAGTCTGTAGTGTGTGTAGTTTAGAACTTACCACTCCCCACCACAACGCGTCGGCAAACGTTTGATATTTGTCATTCGTGTTCTTTTCACACAGGTAGACTAAGAAGGAAGAAAAAATCAGTCCTAGAAATCCAATGTAGACGGTGGTGAGCAACTCCTGAAATCACGTGATGTTCATGTTGTTCATTTGAGCTCTGACCCAACAATCTACAGTAACCTTCGAGGGATCAAAGATCAAAGATAAGACGTCACAAGCCAAACGAATGTGGACCTTGGCAGGTCTACTGTTTATCTAATTGTTCTCGAAGAGGTCATCTGGACACCGCCTCCTTCCTAGTTGGCCTTCAATAAAAGAACGGTCCGATCCGTTGAACACCAGTCAGTCGGACAGTCTACCTTCTCGGCAACAATGCACAGGTCAGTTCTTATCCTTGTTCTCTTTTTTTACCTGTCTATGAGCCCACACGACACTTCCAAGTAGTTTCCAAGTCCCCGCACGTCGGTCAATTCGAAGCATCCGTAAAATTTGAAAGAATCGTAGTCCCCGGATAGCCGAAGCGGCGAATACTTGTCCGGTTGCTCCAATGCATAATACGGTAATTGAAGCGAGAATGACAATAATATCTGGAAAATGTAGTTGTATAGTCAGAAGATTTGGTCAGAAAGTGCGTACCGATGACGCAGTAAGCACTAGTTGCAAATCGAATCCGTCCGCTAATGCCACGGTATCTCGACCGACATCCTGCCGACCAGACACGGCAAATGTATTCTGTGGCGAGCCAAATAACAAAGACGATTTCCTTAAATTTTGATTCTGTACAAGAGTGCACTATTTTCCAATAATCGCTTACCAAATAATACAAAACAAGTGTCGCTTGCACTTCGAAATCGGGCATCGTAGAGAACACTGAGAGAGCTAGACACATCAGGACCATGAATAAGCTGAAAAGTTAGGAATAGTGCTGAAACTCATTTCAAGACTTACACTGCGAGGTGATAGGTGGCCGCTTTCCAACCTCGCGGCCGCTCCAAGAAGTTATGCATTTTGTTCTGCATTCTTCGAAAACGTTGATCGGTACGATAATTCTTGTATGTAAGCGGTTTTCCGACCAATGACATCTTCCGGTTGCCCTCCTGAAGAATGGGTTTTAACAAAGATGAACTCAATGCAAGTAGGTTCGGGTTGTTTCCGTCTTTTCACCCGGACCGCTTTATTTCAACTCCATGTGGCAATGCTTAACTTTACTATCCTACACACCGCCGCCCTTAGATTTATTGATCGAGAAGGCCCCAAACAAACCTCAGAATCGTGGGGGTTGGTTAGTTGGTCGTGCTCATTCGAGGACCCAACAATGTCTGAAGCGCACTTTTGAAAAAAAAAATTTCGTATCGGACCAGTTACCTGGTTCTTGAAACACGACGGTTTTTCGAGACTCTTGAGCAGTTGCGGACAATGAGCCGGCTTCTTGCTGCTCATCACTCGGAGCAGCTGGCTCGATCTGAAAATAAGGATGTATGAACAGAGAATAAACGGCTAATAACAATAATTATGACGACACAGTCACATGTGCCGAATACAATTATCCGATCCTGCCCTCTCGACAATTTTTGCTGCTTTTTTGCTCTAACTAGCCTTGTTATGCTCTATGAAAACTCAAGAAAACTCGAGAAAACAAGTAGGCAAAAACTAGAGGAGATAAGAATGTTGTGGTGGAAATATGAATGTGTGTCCGTCCGTCTGTCCGTTCTAATCTTGACTACTTATTCTGTGATAATCATGCCAAATTCAGTGGGCTCGGATACGGGATTACGGAACAAAATATAGAGGATGTTATGGAAATGACTATGAAACAGAGGTGCTACGGATGTATCTATTTTGAACAATGGCAGCTGACACAAACGCATCGTCATAAAAAGCAAATACAGAAGTCATAGGCATTGGACTGAGTGTGCTCGATTTCCGATTGGAAATGAAAGGATTTGTGCCCCACAACAATCTGTTCTGCTCTTAATACTCTCGCGCGGACCGAAATAGAACATGTCCGCCCTGTAATGGATATAATTTGGCATAATTGAAGGGCTTGAAACCTGCGCACTTTGCACACTTTCGAATGACGTTGGAACTGGCCTTTCCTTTTTGATTTAATATCAGGATCGCGCGGTATGAGATGGAAAGAAGTCATGTTTTCCGTGCGGAATGACTAGAACTCGCGTTGAGATGATTGAAAATGAAGACGTAGGCGATCTGCATTTGTAGACGCAGCTAGTACGGACACAATTTTTGTGATGATATCAGAAATGAACACAATTTGAGAACGAAGAAGAGGATTGTTCGAGATTCGCGAAGCCTTAGAACGCATGGCATGAATAGAAGCGGAGACAATATTGAGATTGAGATTATAACATGGTTATAAATAGGAAATATTTTTGAAAAGTATGCATTGACAGAACCAACTTCAATTTCATCTCACTAAAGTTAGGTAAGGGTACACACAGAACGAGGCGTTCATAGCGTACATAGTCATGTGGGACCCGTTTGAATAAAGTAGGGTGGTGCCATCGCGAAACCGGATACCAACATGATTTTAGTCCGTTTTACGCGCCTAAATGTTGAGTAAGTGCTTCGGGTTACACGTTGGATTGATCCATGCATCTTGTAGCATTTCATTATATTTTTCCCAATACTTATGATTTTCCCACAGTTTCCCATGGATACTGCATCACTTTTTTCTCTTTTTCCACACTTACCAAACTAGACTCCTCCATCTCCATTAACCGGTAGTTGGTGCGGAAATTCGGAAGCTTGAATATGGATTAGAAGTATGTACAGTAGAAAGATGAGGAAAATTATAAGAAAAAGAGGCCAACAATCAGTGAGCTCTTTTTCCGATTGTTCTCCGCTCCGGCTGCCGCGCGCTTTTTTTTCTCTGTTCAACTGCCACGCCCCTCCCCCATCCTTTCTCTCTCCGGCTCTTTTTGCATTCAGAAGCCGCAACTGGGTAAAATTGACTGAGCGCGACTCCACTTTCACAAAGATCGACGCAAAATTAAATTGAATGAGAGAAAAAACAATAATAGCCGGAATAGCTTAAAAGGGAAAAAAGCGACTTTCATCTAGTGTGAAATCGAACTTCAAAACTTCTTTGAAGAGAATCAGACATAGAGGGAGAATGCGAAATCAAGTCGACTAATCCGATCCGCAAATCGAGTTATAGCCTTGTCACCTTGGGTCGAGCACATATTTGTTTACAAGATGGAATGTAAGCTGAGATAGGATATTAGCTGATAACGTTCGTCTTCAATGTCATTTCAGTAATCGGCTTAGGATCAGAAAAGGAGAAAAAGGATGAAAAAAAAACTATGTTTTCATCCTATCTGCGGCGGTTAATCGAAATTGCCATTGTTGGCACGTCTTGATGTTTGTGTAGAGAGCCGCATAGAAAGCAGATTTTCCATAAAATGAGCAAGACATTTCGAAAAGGGAAACCAAGTGGGAATGAGTGTTTGCGGGCTTCATCGCTGTCGTCACACCGCCTACCTCTTCATTATTTAGCATTGCGCAGCTCACCGATTTGACCGAATTCCAATTCCCAATTAGTCCTCAAAGCAGAATTTTGTTTGAATTTTCATTTTCGTTTCAATCTCACCTGGATGCCATGGCATTCGCGCCAGAATCATTCCATCTGGTGTCAACGGTGATTCTGGGGAAATCGCCTCCGCAGCATTATTGTCTTCTTCCGAAGCTTGAGACATTCTGTGTATAGGAAAATGATTGGCAAGTAGGACTGATAATAAATGGAGCCGAAAACGAAATGACGTTGAGTGACGGGACGGCCGGATCAGCGAAATTAAACGCGCATGATGAATTTCACTTGAGAAAGTGCGGGGGGAAACTTTTAGACAATATATCTGATGAGAGATGAATAACAATGACGAAATGATTGTGTCAATAGGCACACTTGAAACTGTTCAAGTACCTTTCTGATGATTGCATTCAAATGATAGGATAGGATATTTGGTGGGGAAGCTCACAGAATGGTCGAAAAGTTTATTTTTCGGATATGAAAGTAAAACATATTCTTGCAGAATCTTCAAACTAGCCCTTCTCGTCGCAACTATTGGATGCGCGGCGTCTCAATTTGCAAAAGGTAACTTTTTGAAATTACATGAATATGAAAAGTGAACTATTATAATTTTCAGTGAAACTCTTCAACTGGAGCTACAAGGACTTCGGAACAAGCGCCTTCTCCGACATTTCTCTCGACCAACGTCAGCGCTTCTCGGATTTTCCGGTAAGGGAGAGATTCGGTCAAATCTAAAAGCGGATCTTTGAAAAATGCTTTCAGATTGGAACGTGCCCGGACGGATGGATTCGCTTTTCGGACTCGTGCTACTGGGTCGAACAGCACAGGCAAAGTTTTGCCGAAGCCGAGAAACGATGCTACGAGAAAAACGCGACCCTGCTCGTGGTCAACTCGCAGGACGAATGGGTAAGGGAGCGACGGGGAGACAAAAGGCGGACGGACTGTGAACCCACATATGTTTGGAATTTGTTGCGAATGTTGGCTGTCAATGCATACCCAATGATCTATAGATGAGGCCCCGGGCCTTAAAACAAAAAACAGAAGAGGGGGGGGGGGCAGAAAGAAGAAGAAAGAGAAGCACAAAGGACGAGCAGCAATAAAAATATTAATTTGCAGGACGCGGTTCGTGAGCACTTTCCACAAGTCGGATACACTTGGATCGGACTGGTTCGTTTCACCCATCGCGAGAGGTCCGAAGACGAGCCACGCTGGCAAACCGAGGGAGCCGTCAACCCGACCAGACTGTGAGTGTAGGGCCGAGCTGGGCCTGACGAGAAACTTCTAGACGCTTTCAATCACGATTGTAATTCGCGTTGCGCTTTCCCACCACCACCACCACCTCGTCGGGTCTCGACACGCGTTATTTATGATGGTGTCACGCTTAGATTGCATTGTTATTGAGCGAAAAGGCGGTGCGGTGAGCACACGCAAGTTGGTTTTCTGATTTACGGATATGCGTCCTTTCGAATGAAATATACATAAGGGCTCATTTCCTGTTTTTTCAGCAATTGGCTTATCCGTCCGTACAAACCAATCTCCAATGGATGGTCGATTCTCGCCAACTGCGTCGCCCACTTCAGCGCCTCTCTCAACCTCGATTCGTCCGCGTACACCTATTATCAGCCATGCTCCTTCAAGTACGCCTCGGTTTGCGAGAGAAACGGAACCATCTTGGATTTCCTCAACAGAAAGTTCGACTTCCAAGTTTAACTTTGAAATAAACTACTGCACTTATAATATTAATAATATTAATTGAACCGATACACGTTTTGAATAAAGTATACCAGGAAGAGAATTTTAGTTGCCAAGATGAGTGGGATAAATAATTGAAAGTGATATGAATGATGATGAAGAGGGTGACCACACAAACTTGATGCATACTTAGACCTACTTCTATCAAAGTGTGCGAGAATGCATTCTGAAACCTTGCTCAATCTCCAAAAAGAACTACTATGAAGGAAACCTTTTAGTACACTTTTTTCAACAATACCTCTTGATTAGGAAACTATTGTCGGAATAGTAGAGTCGCGGAAAAACGAACAAAACTCCAATTTCTCACAGAGCACTCGGAATGTACAATATTTTCTAGTTGAAGCCACAAACAATTGTTTTCGGCTTGATATTTTTCGTTTTCAAGGAAAAGTGGTGTGATTTGACCGATCATCACTTTTCAAACAGAAAAAAGGGAATCTGAATCATAAAATCATAAAAAGTGAACAAAGGAAGACGTCGTTATATATATAATATCCGCACTTTTCTCAAGACCGAGGTGTTCACGCATTTTTTTCCTTTTTGTCGGTTTTGAGCACATAATACCTCATATTACCTCACACGTGACACTACAGTAATCCCTCTTCTGACTTGCTTAATCTTCACAAAACATCGTTTTATAGTTGTATCGTCGTGCACTATACAACTCCAAATTTTTCCGAATTTATGTTTCAAAAATATCTTGAAATGGGAAGAAAGTGTAAAGGGACCAAAACGGAAGGTCACAGTGAGTCGGAATCAGAGAAAGTTGTCAGTTTTTGGTTGTGAAACTCGTCAAAAAATATTGTAAGTATCGAAGAAAAGGGAAGAGAACAAACTGATATATATCGAGAAGGGAAAGGTGAGAAAAAACGCGAAGGGGTTAGATGTAAGTACATATGACGGGGCAATGGGAGAGGTGGAAACAAACTGGAGAAGGTCTCATCAGTTTCTTGTGTTGTCATGTCAGACTATGGTCTCCTTGTTCTCCGTGGCGTGAGAGCTTCCAAAAAAAGCAGTGATGATGCCTTCGGAGACAAACAATCCGCACGAGAGGAGCGAGAAAATCTGTAACAAAATGATGTTTCTTTTCCGAGAACGTGCGCGAATTAATACTGACTCCTGCCAAAGCCCATCCGTTTATGGCGCACTGCGAACTCATGTCCGACATGCTGTAGGAGATGAAATACTCGTCGAGCCACGGGCATGTTGAATAGTGCATTTCCAGTCCGAAGACGAATAACGTGAAAGGGACGGCTCCAAATGAATAGCACATGTTCTGGAAAGAGTTCCATTTTCACCTAAGTATTTACCCCTAGTCGTGTGTCAAACAAAGCCAATCAATGCTTTAATTACAGCTGGCTGGGAAAGGGAAAGGGACTCACTCGGCTTAGCATATGTATACAAAGCAACCCCCTCGACGAGACAAGCAAATTAGCGGGCCCGGCAATATCTCACCGTGATTCTGGATATGGAAATTCCGCAGAGATGCAAAAGTTGTAGGAATATTGTGGAGAAGAGGAGGAAAACTGTGATGCAAGCGGAGAGATACTGTCCACTGAGGCGCAGGTAAACGAACGTCTCCGGCAGTTCGTCATTCGAGGAATCGTAGGTCCATTTGTCGGCGGTCAGCATCAAATCCTGTGAAACGCCCTGTTTTTGTGTAGAAATACCAAATGCGGAAAGCGATAATACCTGATAACGTCCATCTTTTTGCACTTGATATTTACCGAATCCCGAGAAAATGAGTATGTTGATGAGGAGTAGAAGAATCTGAAATCAATCTGATCCCTTATTTTTTATATGATGTTGTTTTCTTCTTTCCAGCGAATCTCGAATATGTTCATTGCATCAGATTAGTCTTATTAAATCTCATTGCCGATGACTAATCATGACTTGGCGTGATATCATTTGAAACTTACAGTGTTTGCCACCCGAATTGAAAAAGTGATTTTGATTGCACTAATATCATCGTTCCTTCGGGTTTCCACTTCCGATTCCAGTGCTTGCGCTACCAAAATGAGTCGATTGAGAGTTCCAGTAGAGACTTTCCTATCAGCAGCCTGAAAAGAAGACATAGAAAGAAGATATTTTTAATTAGTTTTCCCTCACCTCCATTTTGTTCTTTGTATCTTTTGCAGTCGCAGCAGCTACTGTCGGAACACTACTCGATTTGCATGCCGTCTGTAATGACATTTTTGGAGGATGAAGCTATTGGAAAAGGAAAAGTCGGCTAAGTGGTCCCTTTACGTGAATATACATGCGATCCATATGTCATTCGGAGCAGGAGAAGCCAATCGTAAAGCACGCGTGTCTGATTCTGACCCTATCGGACACAAAGGGCGAACGGAGAACAAATGGGTGCTCGTAAAATGACTTGAAAAGAAAATGAAAGCCTTTCCCTGGCAAAAGGAACAGAAAAAGGGTTGGAAAACGAGCACAAGTGGGAGTGAAACGGAAGTCTATAAAAGCGAGCCGTTATCAGTGTGTCTTGAAACGAATTTATAAGCGAATGGGAATTCTAAATGGAAAAAAAGTTGATAGACTACGGACTAGAGGTGTGAATTTCTGAAGTGTAGTTTGGAAATGAGACACATTGTAATTTACTAATGTACATGCACATTGGTCGACAAAAAGTGTAACGGATGGAATGCCATTGAAACGAACTAATTTTTGGAATGTTTCAGGGAGGAACGAGGTCGGGTCCGACATTCGCCGCTAATAGGACGGACACGACAACTTGACAATTGTGCCCCTCCCCGCCCATTAAGAGCCGGCACTGAGAAGACGATTCGCTCAAAACAGACAAGCTGAAGCCACATGAAATTTTCACGCGATTTCTTCTTTCACTCTCTCAGAGTTGCTGCTCTCAGGAAAGGAAGAAAAAGAGGAAGGGGGCGAAAAAAGAAGAAGATAGTTTACCTTTTTCGTGAAAGGAAGTCATTATCATACCAAATGAGCGAGATGCACTAGGGGCAAAAAGAATAATTGAATTGTGTGGGGTAGGAGAAAGACTTCCAGAAAAATGAAAATGAAACTTGAGCCAAGAGAATGTTGCGTTAGTTCATTTCATCACACGAAAACTTGTCATTTTCAGGAGGCCCAGAACAACAATGTCGTAAAAAATGTGTTGAGGCGCGACGGGTTCAGAGGAACACGTCTGCAAGATACTTCGAAAAGGATTTCGATGACGTAGTCTCATGGCGTACTTACTCACTATAAATGGAATCTCTGAGATAAAAATGGAAAAAGAAAGAGCTATTCTGAACCGTCGTCTAATCTTCTCTTTCGGATGACGGATGAAGAAATGAGGAGGATACGAAAGTTATTTATAAACTGCTTGTTATGGAAATTTTTCCTGGATTTCCGGAAATGTGTGAGATTGTGGAAGGAAAGAGGATAATCATTTGAATTTGATTATTTATCTTATAAATGTTTTAATTTACATTTGCACCTGCGACATGACCAGAATCCAACGCCCTCTTTCTTTTCATTTTCAGACTTAGTTTTCAGATCTATGATATTCAGAGACAGGAAACTGAACGAACCTTATTAGCGATTTTCTCCATATTGCAATACTCCTTATCCAAAGTGACTTGCTTTCTCATCTTGAAATATGACGATGTTAGAACGGAATGCTCTGCTGCAAACAAGAAAATAAAATCTGAGAAAACGAACAGACTATAAAACACAGAGATGAATGTAATGAAATGGAAAAAAAAGAGAGTATGAAGAAAGTATGATTTAATTTTATGCGTTCATTGATATTCTAGGGGAGGATTTATGATGAAACGCGAGAAGCGGCATACTGACGCAAATGCATGTTTAGAAAAGGTATAAAAGAAACAGAAGCATGTATAAATGTGATAATACAAAGGGCTAACGAACCCCCCACGAGTAAGATGGTAATTACAGGGTAAGGGAGGTGACCTGCTCTGACTGAGAACGCGGAAATAGTGAGGAAGAGAGAAGAAGGAGAAGAAGACCGGAAAATGGACGAGACGACATCTTGTTTATGCTAATATTCACAACTTATCACGGAATCGAGAAGGAATCGGCGGGGCACCGACCGGCAAATCCAATCTTGTGATTCGGTGACGAAGTGGAGCGACAAAGCAAAAAGAGAGAGAGAGAGAGAGAGAGGAGAGAGGGCGGCGCGGTGCTATGAGCAATCGGGAACACTCAATCCGCCACACTCATTTTGTCCAATCGGTGTATTTTATCCGGCTTCTATTCGATGGACGAGATGCCGACAAAACAATATTCTAACACCCGTGGATTATAATAATCCTTCGTGCATTGGTGCATATCAAATTTCTCATCCTCTTCTCCGTAACGCCGCTTTATCCGCAGTTTATCAGTCAAACTATCGAAGTTTTTTTATCGAAATGTTTCACGAGAACAAGGCGAATGACAAGGCCTGAAGTTGAAGGCAGTTTTGAGTGAAAAGAACAAAGAGAGCAAAGAAAACATTCGTTTGAACCGGAACTGAGCAGAGAATGCCAAATGTTTTAGCGGGAAGAATTGTTGTGCTCATGGTCTCCTCTCAAAACTACGATCAATCATAAATAAATTGAATTTATGTGTTGGTGAAAAACCGCATTGTATATAATAGTTTAAACTTTCATTTGGTTAAACTCAACGTTTATACACATAGGAAATAGGAGAGGAAAAGAAGGTGTGGATTAGAAGGAGTCCTCGTCGATTTGCACGTGGCGGCGGTGGTGTCTGAAACAACGGATTTCCGGAGGGCCAATCATGAGATCACATCATATTTTATCCCCAATTTCCCGTTGAAAGTACGGAAAAAACAGAGAATGTCAGTGAAGATTGGGAGATAAACCCTTTCCCGCTAGTCGCTATCATCCGCCACTAATACATACCTGTGAAGGCGCGAAGTGACGCTGTTCAGCTTTGGGATTCCTCCGACGACTCCGGATTCGATTCCGCACTCGTCAGTTCCTCTGAGGATGCGGAAGAATCCGTCCTCTCCCCAGTCGGTGTTCCACGAGTTGGCACAGGTCCAGTATGGAATTCCTTCATCGACTCCCCATCCGATCAGTTTCACGGCGTGTCCTCCTCCGAGCTTTCCTGCAGTGTGCTGCAAACAAAACGTGTCAGTTTCAGGAAGAGTATGAAGATCACAATGAAACCAACCACATAGACACCTCCGTCATAATTAAGGAAATCCTCGTAGACCTCGAAAGCGATCTCGAGTGGTCCATGAGTCATCAGCTCTTTCTGGATGGACTCCACATCATCTTTTACTCCGTAGGCACTCGATCCGTAGAATTTGTCCTCGGAGTAGGTCTTGTCAGTGTAGTCGTTGACGCATTTCTTCTCGCATTTTGGAGTTGGGTACAAGTCGTGTGGGCAGGGGTCGAAGTGCGTCTTCTTGGAGTGGTGCTCGCATGGCGGGAATGGGTACGGTTTGCATCCGGAGCTGGCAGTGTAGTTGGATCCAGTGACGATTCCGTCCTTGACCCAGTAGCGCCAAGCGTGGAGCGGGTCTCCTCCGTTGCACCCGAATCCACAGGTCTTGCAGCAACTGAGAAGGTCATCAGCGGACAGGGATACTTGGAGTTCTCCATGAGAAGCGATGCAGATACGGTCGGACATGGCCTCGACAGCTCCGAAAGCCCAGCATGACCCTGAAAACAAAACAGCGATTAATCTTTTTGTCCTTTTTCTAGTCTATTGTACCGCAGCTAGACTGATCTCTGATGTTCCTGATGGATTGACACTTTGGCCAGTTCTCACGAGAGTCAAAGTTCTCTGGAATGGCCATATCGAGATCCTTAGTCTTTGAGAGGTGCTGCTTTCCCTGCAAATGTTTCCAACATGTTTAGTTTGTGGTGTGTGCACAACATAACAAGGCTGATAACTCAATCACCTGTCACCTGACATTTTGGTAAGAGTATTTACATGCGCCTGATAACCGAATACAATCTATTTCTGTCAATCTTTCAAAACATAAATGCGTTTTCTATGTGGAAAGAGCCTTTTCAGATTGACATTTTTCAAACGTACCTTAACGGAAAGTCTGACGTGATTGACACCCATCAATCCCCACTTGGCTTTGTCGTTCTCGCCGTACACTGACGTGAATCTTCTTTGCTTCTTGGCCTAAAAAAATATTTTTGGAAAGAATGTCATCAAGAAGCGTTTACAGTCCACAGATTCTGAGCGTCATTGACGTAGTCGATCAAATCGTCTCCCTCAAGTTCGGCGGCATAGCTGCTGATTTCTTGATTACGGTACTTGTCTGAAAATAGATTTTCAGATAGAATAAGAGTTTCTACTTCAAGATACCCAAAACAGATTCAACGTTGTTCTCATCACAACCGCAGTTCACTGACACGGCGAGACAGAAGAGGAGAAGTAGCGCTTTCTGAAATTTGAAGTTCGGTGTATTGTAAAATTCAATTCAAAACTTACCATTTTGGCGTCGACGGTCAGAGTGTTGCCTCGTTAAGTCGTCGCTTGACTCCGACCTCTTATCGGCGTGCTTTTATAGAACATGTTTTCGTTATCAAACATGACCGTGCGCACGTCGATAAGAGGAGCATCGCCATCGGCTGTGTCCATCACAGTGTCAGGGTACTTCCTTGGACCGGCGAAGAGGGCGGACACTTGTCTTGTGATGGTTTGAACTGTGAGGTCGGGAATGTGTAAAACTCCGCCATTAAACTAAATTCTTACCGGGAAACAGTAAAATTTCGGACGTTTTGTACATAGTTTGTGCGAGTAATCATGTGACGAGAACATACCCTTCAATTAGCTTGGTGTCATCTCTACATGAACGACACTTTGCGGTTTTCTTCACTTCGCCCATAAACTGTTTTATGGCTTTGGAGCGTCTTATAATTTTCCAGAAACGAAATGACTTTTACCGATGAGTTTCACAACATCAGCGTTTTGAAATAATCATCTTCCTAGCAGAGAACTGTTTGTTTGTGAATTGGATTATTCGGCAAAGTAATTTTCATTATCAAGAATGACCGCTAAATGACCACTACACTGCATACGTGTCATAATGCCCGCAAACGGAAGTACAATGTCCATCAGGTGCACTTTTCAGGTTGAACAACGCATTTTTCTAGATGCTTCAGTGGAAATGATTCTCGAAGACCTCCATTAAAGCCCAGCAAAAAATGTTTTACCTGGTTGAAACATGAACGTCTCAAAGTAACCGAATATTCCTAATGAATAATAGATGAGAAAACGATCTTGTGCGTAATTTTTTTGCTATTCAGAAACAAGAAATCTCAAGTTGCTTACCATTTAACAGAGTTATTTTTGTCAAGACGAAACTTCCTGGTTTTGAATTTTAGTTGATCAGGAAAATCGACTCATTAGAGTCTAATTAATGATTCATACGTTTCTTTTGTATAACACAATGCCAACTACCGGGTTTTTTAATTGGGATAGTCCCAATTAGCAGTTTCCGTCGGCAGCGTCTCGCCTATCAAGAGTTGCCCACGCTTCTCAATATAAAAGAAAAGTACTGGCGGACTGGAATCTCAGTTTCCATTTCATTTCATTTTCTTTTGTGTCACCGTCCGTCGGCTACTCTCTTGACCAGTTTGAACCAGAAAGAAAACCGGAAAATTTGACCGAGCACTAATCGTGAGCGGAATAAATCAATGATAAGGGTGATAACACAAAAAGTCTGACACTTGACTTCAAAACATTGGCGATTCATTTCGTTTCGTTCTTCAGCACTTTCAATGAGTTGATTTCAGTGCCAAATGGCACCGGAGAACAATGTCATGAGATACTTTTCCATGACGTTCACCGTCATCGGCATCGTTCTAGCTTCAGCTTCCTTGTTCACCGACCGTAAGTGCAAACTGTAGGGTGTTAGTTTAAAAAAACGCTATTTAGACTGGGTGGAAGTAGAGGTCATTAATCCGAAAGGACATGACCTCATCCTCCATCGAGGGCTTATGCAATGGGTGTGCATCAACGAAAAAGATCTAAGCGACCGTAGTTGCATTGCCAAGTACCCGGTTAGCCTTTCAGTTCCCTTTTTGCAAGTGGCTCAAGTGACTTTCAGTTGTTCCCGGGATGGCTGAAATCGGTGTTCGGTTGTATGTGCTGCGGATTGGTGTTTGAGTGTCTTCTTCTTATCTGCGCGATTGCTTCACTGTAAGTTCACTTGACAGAGAGAAGTAAACGCTGTTTGCATAGTTCCTACGACCCGAAACGGCATGTAGAAAAATTTCAAATAGAATCCGGGACCATAAAGTCACAAGCATGACTGTTTGTAGGTTCCTGAAACGCGGAAAGATGTACTTGTCGGTCGTCTGCACTGCCTTCTCGTTCACCGCTTTCCTCCTACTCACCATCGCCATCGGAATCTTCAGTGGAGAAGCGAAACCTGTCTATTTTGGTAACAATTCTTTGATAGACCCTTTTTGTCTTTTAATGGCCCTCGACACTAAGCACACTAGAATTTCCTTCCTTTATAGAAAGCTTTGTGTTTTCATCTTTACTCTTTTTCTTGTTTATCAAACTTTTTTCAGAAACCTACGTGTTCAAGGGTCTAACCGTGATTTGCCACCTCGGGTGGTCCTACTGGATCAGCGTCATGGTCATCATTATCTCGATTCTGTGCACTTCACTCGAGACGGTCCAAATCTTTCTGAACAGCAACATGGGCTACTCGTCGTCGTCCCTCCCACCCGAGGCGATGGCCACTTGGAAGTTCACCATGTAGGAAGAGGACCATGCGTGACCCTCATTCGTGACAATTCTCGATGACGTTTTCTTGTGTCAATTCGATTCCCCTTCGTTTTATTTGTGTCAATTGTGAAATCTCGGTGGTGTGTGTCAGTTTTCAACGAAAAGCAATGCAATGCGTGTGTGCGTGAGCGCGAGTTGAAAATAAAATCAGTCTGTGAATCAAAATCAACACATATGATGATCTTAAAGCAAACTTGGTACGAATAGAGTACGTTTCTCCGAGTACTCGATGATTCTTCAGAACAAATATGGAGGCGGGCGTATGGAACATTTGAATCATATTCAAATAGTCGCAAAGAGTCGAGTCTGCTCCATTTTATTCCATTTTTCGATTCGTTCACTCTTTTCGATCTTGTTGATGCGTTTTCGTAATAAAGAGAACCACTAAAGTTGTCACGCGAATTCTGCAAATGTCCAATGAGCACTTGAAACCACTGAATTAGGTTAACCATCTAGGGTCTTCTTGTTTATTGTAGTCACGAAAAGTTTGAAAACCCAAAACACAAAACACTCCACTCACAGCTCTCCGTAACTATATTCTTGCAAAATGAGGTTTTTCGTGATTTTTGAAAGATCGTGTGATTTCTATGTTCAATTTCAGCTCCAAAATGTCACATCATCACCATAAAGCTCCGTTTGTCACCGCTGGTCTTCTGCTTATTGTGACTATCCTCACAGGTGTCGGAACTTTCACAGATTGTAAGTTTTGATGCTCCATCATTCAAAAAGTTAGACGATATTCAGATTGGTTCAAATCAAACGACTTTCACAGTGGAATCTATCATTGGGGCAAGTCAGATGCTGGCACTCTTTTCAAAGTAATTCAATCAGATTCGGTTTTGTTTTCCCAATTGATAGTTTCAGAAAGATCCGGGATGGCTCAAGTGTGTGGTTGTCTGCCAACTTATGGCATTCTCCTTCGAACTTCTGTTCTGTCTTCTGGTTATTCCCGCAATGTAAGCATAACAGAAATGATCACTCAAACTTATTTTTTATCCAGTCTGTTTCGTAAGATGATGCCCGTTCATGCAGCCTGTACCATCCTTTCTCTCGTCATTTTCATTCTTCTTGTCATCTCCTCAATTGTTTTTGCCGCCAACGTCGGCAGCTACAACAACGTGCTCTTCAAATTCAAAGTTGGCTGGTCATGGGGAATCTCACTCGCTGCCACCATTCTCTCTTTCTTCCTGTTGCTTGTGTCGGGAAGTGCAACCGGATATGGGACTTATTCGGAATACCGATAACTACAGAATATGATTGTTTTGAATGAAAGTTGTGAATAAAAGTTGCACTTTGTCTGATTACACATGAAATTCACATGTTTCTTCTTAAAGATCACGCGTAAAACAGATCACTATTCGGATGACTCATGTTTTTTCCAATCAATGAGCCCAGGCCTAGGCAAGTGAGTTGACTCATCTGCCGATCCGATTCCTCGTGCTCTGAGTAACAGCTGTCTCGGGGTGAGCCCGCCACAATACACCGTGGTCCGCACATAAAAAGAACATTCGAAAACACTGGCAGGCATTGCGACTCGGCTCTACTCCTCCTCCAGTGTAAACCTTCATCAAGCCCGCTTTTCTGCCGCCAATTTACTTCCTAGCTCCCAAGAAAATCTTCCTCTTCACTGATATTAACGATCATTACAGAAATGCGTTCTCTTCTCGTTCTCATCGCTCTCGTCGGCGCCGTGGCTGCCATCGAAATGTTTGGACGTGACCAGTCTTCCGCGGTAAGACCAAAAAAGGCATTGTTTTGCAGGAGCAATTGAAATTTAGGTTCGTGGAAAGCTCATTTGCGACCAAAAGCCGGCTGTTGGTGTCAAGGTGAAACTATGGGATAAGGATACCTGTTAGTTTCCGTAGGATTTCAGTATAAACTAGTAAATCTTTGTTCTCAGTGGACGCTGATGATCTTCTGGACGAGGGGCACACTGATGCGAACGGAGACTTCCAGCTCTCCGGATGGACCAAGGAATACACCCCGATCGACGTAAAGCTCAACATCTACCACGACTGCAACGACGGATTCAAGCCATGCCAAAGAAAGTTCGGAATCAAGATCCCTGACTCGTACACTACTTCCGGAAAGGTCGCCAAGAAGGTGTACGAGGCCGGAGTCATCCAACTCGCCGGATCCTACCCAGGAGAGAGCCGTGATTGCATCAACTAAATCTTTCGCACTTGACATTAAAATTATCAATTTCTCACTCACGTATTTTCTAAAATGAATTTATTGAATTCAACTGATTGAAATCACAAAATTTACAAAAAGTCCTATAGATACGAAATAAAATTGTCGATTAATTGAAGAGAAGTTGATTGAAATATCTGGAGCAGTGGAGAAGTCCAGTGCGGCACATTTCCGTCGTTCTGACCACCGACATTCTATCAGCTCTTTCGAAATTGCTCCGCACCAACTCATAATACTGTCCGTCCGAAAGAACAATCGAGTGGAGTTTGAGACATTTCATGCGGAGCACATCGATAAACTTGCTGAAAACAATGCAAATTGTGATGATTCTTTCATTTTTCGATCTACCTGGATTTATCAGAGAAACGAAGTGTTTCATCATCCCATCTCACTTCGAGTCGGGTCAATCTTGGGCAGTTTTGTGCAATACAGTCAATAAACTGATCGACGTGGATTTTGGCGACCACTTTTGGACAGCAATCCTCTGCGATTCCCATCACCATAACTCTGAAATAATCTGGTTTTATTATCCTAGACCTAGACCCTGCCGTTCTTTGCACCTTATGTTCCTCAGCTGAGGGATCATGTTCATCCAAAAGTATTCAAGCAGTTTGTGTTGGCCTCCGAGACAAAGTCCATGGAACTGGTGGCCGTGTCGTTTGATCATGTCAACAAGCGCCTGCTCGTTGAGCGAATCGCACGTATCCATGTTCAGGAACTGGAGGCTTCCCATCGCGTTTGAGTTTTGCCAGGCCTCGAGCACCTGGTCGGTCATGTTTTCCAACCAGCTGGCGTCGAGCCAACGCAGATGCGGCAGACGAGTCAGAATCGAAATGAGCGCCTCCGAGTTGAGTTCGGTTCCCTTGATATCAAGCTCTTCAATGCGAGTTTTCTCCCAATCCACGCTTTTGACGATGTTGTTGTCAAGCCCTGAAAGATGTCTGATTACAACACATACTTAGAGGGGTTATTCACTTGTATGGGCAAGAAAAAGAGTCCTCAATTTTCTGCACCTTTGAAGCACCAACTTCAAGCAAGATCCAGTGACTTTCTGGCAGTAGTTGACACAGAGACATTCCAAATGTGCACAGTTCGAAGAAATCGCGTCAACGTGCTCATCGGTGATAAACGGAACACCCCACAAGTTCACCACTCTCAGATTCGGCAAAAACTGCTTCAACTTGAATACATTTACAGTTTCGTAGACTTCTTCTTCTTCATCTTCCACTTTCTCGTATGTTCCTGTAAACGTGGTGATGAATTCCGACAAAAAAAGCGAAAAAGAAATGCCCCGAACCAGGATCGAACTGGTGACCTTTAGATCTTCAGTCTAACGCTCTCCCAACTGAGCTATCGAGGCACACACTTCCCCTAGAGCGTACGCAGTACACATTCTACCACGCACGCTGCCATTTCTCTCTCTCCCCCTGCCTTTTCTTTTCTTCTCTCGTTCTCTTTTTTCGTTTCGCCTGTTTGCATTGCGGCGAGAGACACATACATACACACACGCACATACTCACCAATGATATGAAGCGTCTCGACGGATGAAATAAAAGTGTACACTTTTCTGAGGAAACCTTCCAAGAAGATGTTCTCCGAGAGACAAAGAGTGAGTGATTTCAAACGCGATGGGAAAGTTTGAAGGTCGGTAAAGTCGTGAAGCTGCATCGCAGTGGAGAAGTCTGAAAAGAAGCGTTTAGAATACACAACAATTGGGTTTTAATCACCAAGAGCAAGATGCTGCAGTTTTGGGCACCGATTGGCCAGTTCGTGAAGAACATTCGGGGTGATAAGGTCTGTGGCCAACTCGACAATTCTGAGCTCTGAGAAACGGGTTCCTATAATCCCGAGGAAGAAGTCCATGCACTGTGGATTGACCTGCAAAAAACTAACACATAAGTGACCTGAAAGCAAAGAAAAACCTGGATTCCTCCATAATTTGGACGGAATGACACAAACTTCCACAACAACGGATTCTGAGAATTGATCCTCCAACGCTTGCATACTTGGCCTACTTGGTTTATCTGCAATACTCTCTTTTCTGTCTGTTTCTTCAAAAAAAAAAAGTTAATCTTACCTGCTTTGGCGACAAATATTGGAAAATATCCCGAAGAACTTTATCTGGCAGTTTCTCGATAGTCTGAAAAAACAAGATTTCAGAGAAACAATAACGAATATCTTTGGTGGCTTTGTAACCCTACATATTGATGTCTATCGTAATACGCCTGCTGATTACTGTCAGTGAAAAACTCGTTCACATCATTTTCCACATCATCAAACGGAATATCGGAATTCACGTCGTGCATGGTTACACGACGTGTCATGTCGTAAATTGCAGTCATTTTTTCTGAATACGAACTTTCGGGTAGCCGAACAAGAAGAGCAAAAGAACGAAATCTTCTCGGGGGGACACAACTAACAATGTTGACTTTTTCGCGCTGAGCTCTGCAGCGGATCGGTCATTCTGATCAATGACTAGTTGATTAGTGATAATGAGATCGATAAACACGCGGCAAGCCGTGAAGTGTAAGTGAAAAAGAAAAACGGGGACGGAGGAAGCCGGTGTGGAAAAGACGAGCACTCTGTTTATAATCGTCAGTGTGTCGCTCTCTTCTGTTTTGTGTGTCGAAGGTGCCACGCAAGAAGAGATACTTTTTGCTCGTGGCCCTCCCGCAGATCACATGCGGCAAATATGCTGTCATTTTGCGAAAAATGCGATCAACGACAGCTGCCCCCCTCTCGGGCAGGATAAATGTGGGGCCTCACGGATTGTCCTGGGGTGCCGCGTTTCATGCGGCTCGGGGATCCGTCAAAGAAGCATGAGAACTTGCAATCCCATGAATCAACTAGAAAATGCTCCCTTGGATGCTCAAAAAACGGATATTCAGGTTTCAACGAAAATGATACATGACGAGTTCTTTGAAAAGTTCAATTTTTGTGATTTCACTCCTATACGTCATAAATTATTAATCAGCGCTTTTCATAAAGAGTAGTGAATGCATGAAAGGTTGCAAGTGAAATAAGAGGAAGTGTTCAACTCACTCTGGCACGATATGACCGAGAACGGTGGCTTCCGCTGCTATCATGGCCATGATAGGCATGATTTGCACAGAACTGGGCGTCTCTCATTAGTTGAGAATCTCGAAATTTCGGCATTTGGGAGCCGGAGAAAGCTCAATTATGAGCGGCTTTGCGGATCTTACAGCAGATTGCAGAGACGTCGAGAAAAAACGGTTGGATAGATGAGAAATTGCCGCAGTTTTCCGTTCAACTTGAGCAGATGTTGTGGAAAACGATGTGGTTTGCGAAAAGTTGACGATGGATGTTTTAACGAACCAACTTTCTTTCATTTTGTTTTTTGGACTATAGTCAATCTCTTAGAAAACGCGGAAAAATGAAAATAAACATACCGGCATTCGGGATAAGACAAGTGCCAAGTTGATTTTGGAGAGGGCTCGCAGTTTGTTCAGGATTCTTGTCTTTTTCACTTTCCATTCTTCCGTGTCTCGAAAGTGTTTCTTCTTGGCAAGCCATGTGTTGGAAGACGTTGATGCTTGTGCCTCATTCTTAATAAATTTTATTATACTTAGGTTTTTTATTCCCTAGAGGCAAATCCAACCAGAAACCTCTATTTTTATCTGAAGATCAGCCCGGAACTCGTCTATTTTTTCTTGATCACGCTACTTTGCTCCCTAAAAAGACTCTCTCGGATCTTTCCTTCAATCAAGCTATTCAGTGCGGGCGCTACTCTTTTAATGGGATTCTGAGTGACGTTTAACGAATTCGGCTCAAAAATTAGCATAAGCTTTTCGAAAAAGAAGTTCTTTCTTCTTTTTCCGAGCACAAAGAAGCAGCTTACGATTTTTGTTTCTCCTTTCGACCGGAAAAGATCCAACATCGATAAGTTATTGACCCGTTAGTACAACACAACTGAAACAAGGGATGAGTTGAAGAAAGTTTGAAAATGATATGATCAAACAGTCAAATCGAGTGCGCAAGTGGGAAGTGGGAGAAAGCCTGGGAAAATTTGACGCGAAAAACGCGTCAAACAGGTGAGTTGGATCAAAGGTGGCTAAAAGTGTAAAAACGTATTTGTGAGTTGCGAAAGCAATGTTTAATGGTACCAATTTGCTTCGGACATGTTGGTATCAACATTTGTCATGATTTGCTTCCTCAAAATCGTTGTGAAATTGATATCGGAAGAAATTGAAGAAGATGGTGAAGAAATGAAATGCGAGGGTGTAATGATTGTGATAAATGATTAGAAGCGTGTGCGGTTGCGCGTGTAAGCCCGAAGAAAGATGAGAAAAACGGAAAAACGGACCCATCGTATGTCAGAGTGTGGCGCGGTGTCCGTTGACGCGAAGATATATATTTTAAAGTACATAGATACATCGTTTGTGCAATTGTGATATCCTGTCGAGGAGGTTCTCTCTGCACATTTCCGAGGCCAGTTGGTCACTCGTTTCACTTCAGGCTCACAGAGTTACCGCACTGACAAGTCGTTGCACACACACACACACACACACGTCTCTTGTCTCATTCAGGTTCCGATTCCGGGGGGCGCCAACAATTATATTGGCGGAAGGGAAGCTGCGGATTTATGAATGGATTTCGCCACGGAGCAGAACAGTGGCAGTAAAGTTTCCGACGAAAGTGGCCGACCGGAATAAAATGAATACCTCGTAAAAATATATGGCCGAATGATGGTGCCGACCGCTGCCCGATGTTTTCCGGCGTAGAAAAACTCGTCCGTCAGGTATATCCAGATATGATTTCTGAAGGGATTGCAGAGAAGAACCGAGAAGGGTGTAGGTACTTAAAATTACAGTTATTATGAAAGATTTGAAATCTTTAAAGTTAGCTACCTTCGATACTTTTTATCAAGAGGAATAGTATCCGTATTCAACAGTTCTCCTTGTACCAAACGTCGTCTCAATAAAGCGGACTGTGCAACTTCTGAAAGGTTTAAAAGTAGATTAAAATAAATATGAATGAATAAAACCCATACCAAATTCAATAGCTTTTTTATCCAGAGGCATCACTGCAACAAAAAGAACTAAAAACTCGAGCTGATAGAATGAAGTGCTTTCGCGGATTTGTTTGGTTAATTGATTGAGCGCGCATCAAATCAAACACCGCCCTCTCTCGGGATCTGACTGACATGTTGATCCCTGCAGAACGTTGAAACGGTGACGCATTAGGGAGAAAAGTTCATCTTAAGGTTATATGTAAAATGAAATAGAAAGGTTCTATGAGTAAAAAATTAAGGTTACAGACATGTCATCTATTCCGACATTCAGATTGATGTTCACCATCCTATGGAAATTGACTCTCTGTCTTCATTTCCCCTCACCGAAAAGCGGATTACGGTAGAATCTCATTCATCGTTCGTGCTCCCTCAATTTCCGCACAGCTCTTTGCATCTTTCACCACCAATCTCGATGATGTCATTTCATTTTGCCTAATCGGCTCAGTTCTTCACAAAAATTTCCTTCCTGCACTTGTTTTATGAACATTTGAGAAAGTTTTATGACCTTCCTCTGTTTTTTTTTAGAATACTATTCATTTTTGTCGTTCCATTTTCGTTTCAACAACAAGAAGTGAAGAAATGTATTCTTGGAAGCACCTAATCTACAAATGCTCTTTTCCATTTTCTATTCTCAACTTTTCCTCTCCTCCGTTAATGGATGCCGTTCTTTCGCAGACTCATTCAATTTGATACTCTCCACCGGCAACGTAATGTGAGGCAACGAAAGGAAAGAAGAAGAGAGAAAGAGAGAGAGAGAGAGAGAGAGAGGAACGAACTTTTTTTGTTTCTGATGTGCAACGCAGTCTAAATTAAGTTGGAATTAGAAAAGAAGAAAAAACGCGCGGCGCCTTTCCTCAAACCTTCGTTATGCACCGCGAATTAAAAGTTTTTTCGGGTACGTTCCGGCTTAATTCTAAACAAGAACCACTCGAAAGATCCGTTTTTCAACTTGACGTGAGGGACTCTTCAGTATGGAATACTTCCAAATTCCCTTTTTTGCGCTGACGTTTTTTTGATTCATTTCTTAGCAACCGTTGCTCGATGACAACACGTTTCATCCCCTACTACTTTTTCCTCCAAAAATACCCTTTGCTCATTTTCCATTTATTTCGTCATGAACGTGTCCAAGGTTTAGAGCGTATAATGGAAAATTCAAATGTGATTTGGTTCGATTTCAAAATGAATTCGAACCCTGAAATAAGAAACATAGTTTTTTCTCTCTTTTATTCATTAGACTATCGTGAAATTGATGTTTAGTTTTCAGAATACCGGATTTTTCTCTTTTCTCCAAAATGTTTCGAATCGCTTTTTGATCAGCACCGCCTGTCCCGCCTTTTGCGCGGGGCGTGGCTCCAGACGAGAACAGCATCGAAACTCTTCAGCTTCTGCTCTTTTGAGGGACTCCCCGAGAGAACTTTGCACTCGTTGTGCCCAAAACAACTCTGTTCACAATGTTCAACCATCCATTTCCCTTGCAACCCGAGTACATCGATGGGCACAAGTTCGAAATGAATCTGACATTGGTAAGTTATTTTGGAAACTTCTAATTCTGATCGAAAACTGTTCATTTCAGATGAATCAGATCCTATTCCATACGGTTTTCGTGGGAGTTCATTCGAATCATGTAACTCTTTTTATTTTTCTAAACATTAACTTTTTGATCAGAAGACTAATTTCAGTACCTTCACCTGGTTATTAACGGAATCATCCTGCCCATTCTCTTCTTTCTCTTCTGCATTCTGGCGTATCATATCATTAAAGTTGCCTACATGCCACATATCCGAAAAGTGGAAATGTACTACCTGGTGTACACATTGCTATGTATGCTTGGAGCGGAACTCTGTGCTACCTTGTTCGGTTTATTCTACTACTCCACTGGTTTGAACTTTAGCGAACACAGTGAGTCAGACAAAAGAATACAAGAGCGTGCTTTTGTAGATCAATTGGATAGGCCCAAACGAATTTTGTGAACGCAAGAGCGTGAAATTATATCTATTCAAAAATCGAGACGAAATCCCCAAGATTCACAGTATTTTGTCTTTCAATACCGGGAGAAAAACTATATGTGTAAAATTGGTGATTTTTGACAACTGTTCATAGTTTCATGAGATTAATTGTTATTTGAGAGCAGAAGACAAAAATATTTCAATATTGACAACGTTAGTTTGAATCTTCGCGGTCTTCTTATTCATTTAATATACATCAAGTCATAACCCCACTCCGTACACTTCCGGAGTCGCCACGTCTTTCAGTCCGAAAGTCGTCACTGAATCCTGCGGTCTTCGGATTGCTAAGCACGAGCGAAAAAGAGAAACGGCCGAAAAATGACTTGATGTATATCAAATGAATAAGAAGAACACGAAAATTCAAACTAACGTCGTTAAAATTGAAATTTGATCACAAAAACAAAGATAAAAGTGATCAATAAATGAAAAACCACTTTAGCGAAGGCAACGGTTATATTGAAAGCTCTTGAGCCAGTGAAACATGTTTGTGTTCAGTTGATGGAACTCCGAGGTTCACTTGTACTATTTATCTGTACTGCTTCAACTATTTTCCCCGATTACTCACAAGTTTATCATTCTACACTATCGGATTTCTCGCTTTGTTCCATTTCCGGAGAAGACAGTACGTTGTCCGAGACGTTCCTCTGACTGATTTCAATGTCAACATAATTTACGCAGTTGTCAGCAATGTAATCCTAAAAAATTCCGTTTCAATCCGAGTTTTCTACGTTACAGGCAACAATGTTTGATTTTTATACTATATTCATACTGTCATGGATATCAATTGCCGAGAAAAAGGAATCAACGCATCTAAAAAACAAATGCTTCTTACTTATGAATCCTATTTTTGAAAGAGTTTGATTTTCTCTCAAAGTACTATAAAAACGTTATCATTTTCAGTGGACCGAAGGAAATATGACATTCTGGGCGAAGATGATGGAATGGACCATTGAGATTTTCTCTCATAGTATTCCATTTCTAATTGGCGAGGTAACTCAAAAATTATTTGTTTTTTTTTAGTTCAGTTTGTTCAGGCGTATCTTTTATATGAAATTCGAGGAGTCTATAGACGACATATGAATCGGAGAAGGAATATTGGAATAGAAATGTGAGAAATCTCAGTGAGGAGGTGTTGTATTATCGATTTCAGAGGAGAAGAACAACATTACGGAGGAAGTGTTGTGACCATTATGATTTCAATGATCTACATGGCTGTTTTCGCGGTGAGTACCTTCTAAAATGCCACGTTTCAAAACTTCCTTGCAGTTTTTCAATTTATTTGTGGATGTCTATAAAATGCATTTACATTTTAGCACCTCCAAGACAAACGCTGACTTTTATTTTTGGTTGACTAATGTCAAAACCGTTGTGTACGTACTAAACAAGAAATGTTACCGAAATTTGAAATAATTTCAGAACGATAATCTACTACTTCATCAGCCCGTTTCAAATTCTTGCACTTTTCTCCTTGAATGCTCATTTCCAGAACACTATGATTCGCTTTTTGAATGGTGGATCTGGAATCAACGTGGTTGTTCAGAGACCTCCTGGACAGAATAAAAAGTAGAAAATGAGAGGCTTGAAAAGAAACCGAATGTTTTGAATTCAGGATTCAAATAAAGTACGATCCAATTCCGGACAATCTTACGTGGTCTGCAAAGCTCTACAAGATGTATCTGAGATTTGCGCCTGCCGTTTGGGTTTGGAAGAAATGTCTCGATTTTTATGATGACCGCTCTCGTGAGTACAGAATCTGGAGACGGCACAGAGAAGCGGAGCGGTTGGTTCGTCTTGGTCTTCCTCTGGTTAGATACAGTAAGTTTAGAAAACATTGAACAAAGCTCATAATTCAGTCTGGCCCGCATGGTCCAAATTCATTGTTTTTAAAATCTATCTTATCCATACGACTTCTGTAGATCAAAATAAAATAGATCAAAACACAACACTTGTTTGAAAACTGTGAAAACTATGTCAAATCTCAACATTCTTTTCTTGCAGATGCTGTAAAAAAGACTGTCGACTTGAAAAAAGTCATTCAAATTCCACGAATTGTCATTCATCCACCGTCAGAGCATCGAATTCCCATGGTTCATTACATTGTGAACGAGGAAGCTGCCGCCGATCAACTCTTGCAACAGATGCCCCACATGCAGGAGACTTTTGTATGATTCTCCCTGTTTTGTTTCTCAGCCCGAAATCTCAGCCCAGCCCACAAACGCGCGTTCGTGCCCTATTTGTGTTGTTCCGTTTACCCCCCTACGTATAAAAACAGACAAGGGCAAGGATCAGTGAACCTCACACGTGCCTTTCGAAAAAACAATACGTTCATTTGCGAAAAGTGTTCTCCCATGTCGCGCCCTTCGCCGTTTTGACCCCATTTTCCCACCCCATTCGACTCGAGCGTTTTATTGGCGTGAAGCTCTTTGCCGCAGCTCATTCTCAGATGGTGGCCCCCGTCACAGAATTCTTTTAGTTCCCACCGAATTAATTTCTTTAAATGTTTCTGTTCTTCGCTCTCCAATTCCCATCGCTTTTTTAAAGCTGTAAGGTTAGACTCGACCCCTCTCGCTTCCGTTTCTGAATGCTACCGTAGTCGTGCACGTGTCCCCCAAGTCCAATCTTCATTTTTGAGTACATTCGGTCTCACTCTCCATATGAATGAGTGATACTTTTTTGTGTTTTGCTCCGGTCCCACTTCCACTTTTAATAATTATTCATGTTTTCCTAAAATGAGGTAACTCTCTTTTTTATTGTCTTGTCCGCTTCCGAAATGAATAAAAAGTTACTTCAAAATGGGCTCGACGTTCGAAATCGATTCCTGACTTGGAAACTTTGAAAAAACGTCAACGCAGATTTTTAATTAAACTTTTTCGGTGTCGCCCTGTTTTGTGAACGACTTTAACTTTGGTGAGCAAAATGAAATGAAGGACCACCGGTCTCATTTTCGCTGTTATTTCTGTTTGTCTTTTCTGTGTTTTATTTCATTCTAGGTATTAGTCGAAAATCCTACTCAATCCGTTGCAGAAATTGGAAGTTCGGCTGGCCAGGATTCGGATGACGGGGGCAAAACAAATTTCATTACTCCTTATGGCTTTTGATTTATTTTATGGCTGCCAAGGGCAAGTAGCTTGACGTAATTGTCCTCATGGAAAAAAGTGAAATCTGCCGGGAGCTCATTCATCTTCCCCGGCGATGTTAACCTGAATGTACTCCCTCGCTTTTCAACGAATCCGTTCCAGATCTCTTTTTCTTTTCTTCTTCCTCTTTATTTTTAGCTTCCAGATCAGGGAAATCAAATTGAAAAGAATGAAAAGGAAGCCTTCCTTCTATCTATGTCCAATATATTAAGAAAGAATCTCTCTACGTCACGGTACCCTTTTCCAGATGAAAATGCTGAGTGATTCCGATAGTCAGGTCCCTTTTGGCCATTTTTTCCTTAAATTGTAAAGACTTTAGTGCGCACATGCGCTCAGTTACATTCACATAGTCCCCCGTCTCTCTAATTTGATTATTTGAACTAATTTCTCTTTTCGTGGCCTTTTCCTTCGAGGATTTTGAAACAATAGCAGGAAAGATTCAGTTGAAGTGGCGAGTTGTTGTAGAAAAGAAAAAGAGGATCGACTGAGGTCTAAAGTTTAATTTTATTCGGCAAAAGAGAAGGATAAGCTGAATTAGAGCCTCAAGACGATGGGCACTTTATTCGCTGACACTAAAGTGTGTGACATATGACGTGGCATGCCGCTTCCTTTTCTCTTTTCTCTTTCATTCCAAATCGTTTTCCACTTTGACCCAACCCAAATCCACGCATCAAGAGTTGATTGACCCACCCCCGAAAGTCGAAAAGAAAAACATAATTGCCGCGTTTAAGAGCAACGTTTCCTGTTTGGAAAAGAAAAGGACACAACACGAAAATGTTGAAAGTTTTGACGCCATTAGAAGACACCAAAACGTGCGTCTCGCTTTAATTTCCTTTCCATCTGACGCACACTGGGTCCAACAATCAATTTGGTTTAATTTCTTGAAAGTTAAGGTTTACCCTCCTCACCCCACCCAAGCCCACCGCAAGTCATCAAATTTGTATGGGGGCGGTCGGGCTCCGATTAGAAATGCAACGATAGTATTGTCGTCTTTTTGATATTGCCATTCCAGTGTTGTACTCTTTCCCAAGACCTTTAGAAGTTTCTTTTTGGAAATTGAAAGATTCTCATAAAAATTTGACAAACGATCCGGAGCAGCAGCTCGTGTTCGTGATGTTACAAGTTTGCTGTGTGCTACCATTTGCTATGGTGATTTTCTTCGTTTCGAAACGTGTACATCACTTTTCATTCCACTCACTTTGCTCAATCATTGCTCCCTCAAATTTTTGTAGAGAAAAGAGTGACACATCCATTGGTTTTCCAGTTTTGAACGCGATGACGTTCGGCGTCGGAGTAAACTCAAATGAGGACCGATTTCAATAATCTATGAACTCGTTGGTCCATCAACAACAACTGAATATCATTGGGTTCTGAGTCGAGTCGCGACCGCAGATATGTACAATCCTTTTTTCTCTCATTTTCTTTGTGTTCTTGTTTCAAAAAAAGGTGTATTCCAGACAGAATCCAATCCAATTCATTTCCATTTATGTTTTATGTACCTTCCAACAAAATCCCAACCTTTTTTGCTTCCCCTTCCTCTTCTTCTCCTCCCTTTCCAAACGAAATGAATTTCTCATCAAACAAGCTCATTCGTTCGTTCGCTTGCTCTTTTTTATGGCATTCCCCCCATCCTCTTTTCGCCTATTCTTCTTTTCTTTTCACTTTGGTTTATGAGTTGGAATCCATCAAGGTCCACCACCAGCACGACTACCAGAAGCTGTCAGCACAAATAAATTCCCATTCGGATTTTTTGTGGCGGATGCTTGCTTCTCTTCCCTTTTCAATACGATTCTGTTGAAAAAGTGTGTTTAAACGACGTCGTCTTATATGGGGGCTCATCGCAAAAACGCCGAATTCCGTGAAGTTTTTCGTTTTTCGGACGGAGGAATGCGTCCGACAGATGCGTGATTTTGACAGTTTTTCTAGCGGCTCACTGAACTTTAGGGAATATTCCAAAACGCCCCGCCCCATTACGATTGAATCTGACTCACTACGAAAGTCGCTTATATATCAGATCGGATTTGAAAGGCCTAGCTGTTATTTTTCCAACCCCTAGGATGCTATACATTTCCAAAAAGCTTGTTTATTTACCCGAGTCTGTCAAAATAATGTGAACTTTGTTTGACTTTGACGCGGTCCCCTGTCTGTCGACCCGACTCATTTTGAACCCGTGTGACCTCACTCGTTTTTTCGGACGGCGGAGGCAAAGGCAAGATGGTATCTTCTAATTGGCAATTTTGGCGAGTGTTTCTCCAGAAACGTTTCGCCGCCTCGTCGAAACATATTCTTGAGAGAGTGCTCAGCGCTCATTTGCGTGGTTTCTGCATGAGTAAAAATGAGCCGTTCTCTAGAAATGATAATCCGTCGAACACCCGATGATGCATGTTATTCTTCATTTGGTAGTTCATGCACATAAAGTCATAGTTCAAGAGAATGCCTAGTTTGGAGCGGGGGAAAGAAGAGCGAACTGGAAATGAAGCCGTATCTGGTAACACAATCATAATCTAGATTGATCCAAACATTGTTTGAGTCACTTTCATTGTTTTTATTTGTTTTATTTGGACACTTCAGCATAATTTTCCATTTACCCAAATTTTTCCTAAAAAACACCCAATATTTGTTTAAAATCTGAAAAGCATGGATAGAATACTTCCTGGAACACATCTTTTTGGTAAAAGCCGCACCCCTCCCCCCTCTCCACAAAAAGATAATGTATTCATTAGAGATAAAACTTCTCCAAGAATATATGTCTCCCTTTCTTCCATTTTTTTCGCGGCTGTCTGTAAGCGTCCAGATAGAATTTAGACTCCTTCGTCACGCAGACATCCATCTACATCCACATGCATCATAGTTTCTATTGTATTCCGTCAGGGTCGATTATAATTCGGTTAGTATCAGCCGGGACCACATGCGGAGCCCCATCCCCTGATTTCCGTCCAATTCCCTTTCCGCCCGCAGATTTTCTTCTTCTTCTTCTTCCCCAAACCACAATTCCTTTCAACAAGAAGCCCCCAGTCATTTTTCTTATCAGAAAAAGGATAAGAAAAGATAGAAAAGAGCAGCCATTCATCTTGTGAAAAGAAGTGAAGTGAAGTCACTTTGCAACGAGAAGTTGGACAAAAAAGTTTCGCCTCAAAGTGAAATGAAGATCTGCGGCCGGAGTGGACCCATCTCCTCCAGTCATCCACCTCCGCCTTATTTTTGCGCCGTGGCGTCAAATTTCCTGATAAATTGTCAGTATGATGTATCTCCGCAAGTGCCAACTGACACCTTGTGAACGCACTTTTTGCTTTTGGATCAGTCCTCACATGTTTAGTGGAATATAAATTGCTCAACACAAGACGTCACAATATTTGTGCTCGTTCACCTATTATAACCCCCCTCCCCATCCAATTGCTTCTTTTGTTTTCTTTTCTTTTTGAAAACGCTTCTTCCTATCAATCTAGATATCTTTTCATTATTCTGATGATAAATAGCGATGGTTTAGGCCTAATTTCCGACGTGGTCGTTCCCTTTTCTCAAAAAAAAAAGAAGAATTTTGATTACCGCAATTCAACCAGAGTGGTCTGACCAGACGAGAATCGCTGGTTCCACTTTTCGGATCACACATATTTTCCAAAACAAACCTTTTTCTTGAAAATACCATCTAATCCGAGAAAGAGCATAAATAACAAAATCCTATTGAGAAGCTTCCGGAGCAAATCTTTTACGTATTCCTATCGAAACAATTGCCACTTTTATGAATTTGATGCACTTTTTTCATGTTCCAACCTTGTAAGTAGTAATTTCTCAAGTGGAAGGGTCGAGTGGAGGACAAAAACAACAAAAGAGTGGTCTGAGCTCACAAGTTTTTCCGCATTCATTTTGCTGCTTTTATCTGATTACGTGTTCTGTTCCGTCTTGTACAAAATGACAGCCTTCGCGCCCTTTTCTTCTGGTACAAACTGACGGGGGACCTTTCTTCCTCCTCCCAATCCACTTTGGTGCACGTCATTTCTCCCCGCAAAGACAAACGGAGCACATCCTATAAACCTTCTGCCAATCTTCTAATGTACTGCCATAAAACCCTGGGGGCGGAGCCAATACGAAAAAACTACAGTTTTTGAGTTGAGCGCAGCGTAGGCCACGCGTGGTTTTTGTGCTGCCAACTGGGGCCAGCTTCATCCGTTTTCTCAAATTTAGCCTCTAGCGAGGAGTGTTCTTTCATAGATTTATCTTGTGGTATATGACTCCCCACGGGACTGATTGCGACCTGACAAGACGGACTCAGTCCGTTCGTATGTCAAGGCACAAGACACACAGGAAAAATTATCCTTTTCTCACTCCGCTTCTTCATTTCCGTTTTATATCTCTGTTTTTCTTTTCTTTTCCCTATCCCTGATCTGATTGGTCCCGCGAGCCGTTCATCATTTGACGGAAAACGCGTGTGTGTTGTGTGCTACCACGAGGTCGATTTCTGGTCCACGGCGCGAAGAATTCGGACCCTTTTCCCGGTCAAGGTGTGGAGATTGACCTGGAAAGGAAGGGAAAGGTGCGTAGGCTGCAAATTAGTGTTTGCATTTGGAATTTTTGATAAATGCGCTTTTGCTGGAGTGTAACCGACCCCCAGAAAACGCTTATGCAGCAGATACCTTCAAGGTGAGGGAGGATTAACTCAAAAAAAACCGACAAGAACGAATTAGGTATTGAGTCGGAAGACGACCCAAAACTAAAAAGTAGTACTCTCGGAGGGAGTCAGAGCGAGCTGCCCCTCAAAATACCTACAAGCCCTCAATTTTTCGTGCCAGTTAAATCGAAATTGTGCTTGGGATTGCCTTCTGTCCTACTCCTACGGGGAGGAGCCTCTGGACCCGGGGTCCGGCTCGATTCGTGTAACTTTGTTGAGTCCTTCTTTCCACACCGACGAAATCAGTGTTTTTCCACATTCAATCGGTCCCCCCCCCCTCCTATTTGGGCGCGCCCTCCCGGCATCTCCTCTCCTTTCCGCCGCATCCTCCATTTTCGTGAGACGAGGACGTGGAAGAAGGCGGGAGGCCTTCTTCCAATTCTCAAGATCCCCATTCCGTTTTCTATAAGAAAAAACAGACACACACACATACATACACATAGTCGAGATATTAAAACATTCATTTGCGCATACTTCTTCAGCAGTCCTCTTCATTCGCTTATGAATGTGTCGGTTGTGTTTGTCCAGATCTGGAGCAACACCAATTCTCCAAATTATTACTTTTCTTCATATTTTCACTCCTTTTCTGTGTCAATATTGCCAACTCAAAGCCCCATTCTACGGTATTTCAGAACTTGGAACGCTTGAGGTTTGAGGTTTTGCGAATGAGGTGTAAACAAAAAATACTTCCTTCTTGTTCATGCGGCCCACCATTTGAAAGTGTACTGTTCTGACCACTTCCTAATACAAAATATATTGTGCAATCTTTTGCAGCTTTGACACCCTCTCTCTCCTTGTTCCTTCCATTTTCATCTCTTTTTTCTCCCCAACATAACACTCAGAGTGTTATGAATACCAATGAATAGGATTATTTTGAGCCGTGTGCATGAATATGTTGAAAATAACGGAATACTCGCATTCCTACTCCCACCATCCACCGTCACTATTCACAAGTTGATCCTGACTCATAAAATGTTTATCTTCCTGCAACTGAACCCGAGTGTCAGAGGTTTTTTTTCGGTGACAATTCCGTGAGAAATGACTCGATTTACGTAATATTGCTGAAATTAGAGCGTGTACATTCTCGGCACGTGCGTATTCTGACCGTGGGAGAGGTTGGCCCTTGCGCGACATAACCTCATTATTACTCCCCCGAGAGACCTGAACTCAGGAAAGGGGTGACACCACCCCCACCCCGCACACTTCCTCATTGTCCCTCTTGTATTAACTTGTCAAAAAAAAGTCATGTCTTGTCTTGGCGTGAAATTCTAATCTCGGTTTTGACTTTTTTCGCCGCGCGACCCATTTAGTTGATCCCGCCGACGGTGGGGATTACCATACAACCTTTTTTCTCGTAAGCACCGTTTAGCGAGTCGCTGAAAACTTCTGATCCTTACCCCTCCCCATCGCAGAAAATGATAAATTTCAGAAAAAAAATAACCAGCCGCTGGATTCTTACCATAATGCTCATTGGAAGTTGTACTCCGACTTGTCTGACTTTTCTTCGTCTTCTTCTTCTTCTTTTTCCGTTCCAAACATGTTCAAAGACAAACCCCCACCTACTCGGTAAGGGTTTCCGAGCAAAAACTGGGGCACCTTCAATTCGTCGCCTTCAATTGACATGTCTATTTTTTGTGTCACCGCCAACATTAAGTTCGCCTCCTTTTCCTATTCCGGCCCGCACTTTTGTCTTCCACCACTTTCGAAGGCGTCGCCGCCATTGTCTGAAATTCGGCACTTGACCGCCCTTTTTGTTTCCTGGCGCGACCGCACGTTTCATCATTGCCATCGCCAGAGCCGCCGCCATTAAAATCCATCGTCACCTCGGTGTCAGCTTGTTTCTCACTTTTCCCCCGCCGGCTTTTCCTGAGAGCTCAAGACAATTTTGAGTGATCAGACCAGCACACAAACTTTTTGATGCATAACTCGGAAACCAACAATGGGATGAGCGATGATTGTTCAACGATGCACAAAGTCGTGGAGCCGTGCAAAATTTATTAGTAAGAACATTTCGCAGTTTTTTGCAACCTTGACTTTCAGCAGACAAAAACCGGGAGAAACGAAAAAAGAGACGACGAGGTCCCCACAGAAAACATTGACAAGAAACCAAGCCTTCGAAGCGTCCGTTTCCCTTCTCTTCCTTCTCTTTCCCCCGAATAAGTCTATAAAAAGCGAAGTGGGTCCCCTTTTCACGGGTTTTCATGTGCCGACACCCCAAACACATCAGCTGCCCATTTTTCGCAACAACTTGTTCATATTGCTTCCCGACACTTCCTTATTCGCCTCTTCTGCTGCTGCTCCTTATTGTTTTTGGCGCAATGTTGGCCGGACAACACCACGTTCCAGGCATTGAGTCGCCACTGATGGTTGTACTATGGCGCGTGGCCGCTGGCGTCTTTTTGCCACTCATCCCGACGATGGCGGTCTTCGGCAACGCACTCGTCATAATGTCCGTGTTCCGGGAACGATCGCTTCAGACAGTCACGAACATGCTCATTGTGAGCTTGGCAGTATCAGATTTCATGGTAAGTGCGAGATTTGAAAGGTCAGCAACTAATGAGGTAGTACAAATTCAAACTAGATAACGGCATTGGGAAATTGGCAATGACTATGTAGAATCCGAATCCTAGACAGAACAAATCCTGATCAACGAAATAGAATAACACTTCTCCATTTTCACCCAGACATTGGCCAGGTCCATACTTTGGTTCTTGTGTCTCCCCAGGGGACACGAGTTGCGGGAGTCTCAAATTTTCAAGCATAACATTATGTACCTGAGGGCTCGGTCTCAATTATTTCCTCCTTTTCTCCTTAAAGTGCCCTCGACAAACAATTCCGCGTTGTTAGTGGTGCACTTTGACTTTCGAGACAGAGAAAAAACGAGAACCCATGATGTTAAACGATACGCGCATGCGAATTGCGCCCAGGGGACCAGATATATGCAATGCATCTGTGCAGATAACGCGAACACCAAAAATCGTGTGCAAAAGATGGTCGATTCTGACAAGAAACCAAACTACTTTTGCATTTGACGTCACTTTCCGGAAGTGTTTGGAAAAATTTTAAAAAATGTCTTGCAGAGTGGGAAACTGAAACTTTTCGTTTTGCAGGTCGCGATTGGGGTAATGTCATTCGGTGTATATTATGAATGGAACAGTTTTAAATGGGGTTTGGGTGCCTTCTTCTGCCACGTGTATCAAGCACTGGATGTCGCTTGCTCAACAGCTTCTATTCTTAATCTTCTCGCCATTTCATTAGATAGGTATGGTTTTTTTGGATTTCAGAGCTTCAGACTACAGTGTATTCTTCCAGATACATTGCCATCGGTCATCCGATCTCATATGCTCAATACGGTGCTCGCGGCGGTCGTGCTATGATCTCAATCACAATAGTCTGGGGAGTCAGCGTTGCTGTAGCTCTTCCCCTTCTTTTAGGAGTGAATCCAATGGAGAACGATGTGAGTTCGGGTTGCAAACAACAAACACTTGCATCGGAAGAAAAACCCGGGTTGAGACGGACGGACGGACGGCGTCGTCGCTGACGCACGCAGTCCACACGTCAAACTCAAGAAAAACTCTTCATGATAGATTACTTTTTTTCCGAAAAGAAGATGGAGAAATAAAAGAAAACAACTAAGATTTTAGCAGAGAAGATGTTCTTTGCAACGCGGGGGGAAGTTTTTGGACCCAACAGTAATTTAGTAGACTCATGTGTCGTGGCAATCGGATCTATTTCTCAAAATGCAATTAAACCAAGTTCGGCGGTCCATACATAGAGAGGGAGTGACGGGGTCGTAAGTACTAATTGAATCGGCAGCGGAAGGAAGACGCATTCTTTTCTTGTCTCCTAATATACGCTGGTGACATCATTATGAGTCACGCAGGACATGGTCGAAACTGAATTAGTGGTACCAAAGGACCCGGATGTCGGGCCTATGATTGCATTAAAACCACATGGTTTTTCAAGAAAAACTGACAATGTGGGGGTTTTTCAGCAATGCGAACTCGCCAATCCCTACTTCAATATGATCTCCTCCATCTTCTCATTCTTCATTCCGTGCATCGCCATGATTATTTTGTACACCATCATCTTCCGAAGGCTACGACAAAGGGAACGGGCTAGAAGTCTGCGACAAGCACAGAAAAGTGAAACTGATAAGGTAACTGATAATAATAATCAAGGCAGAAAATTTTTTAAACAGAAATTCGATTTTTTCCAGATCAGTTCAGCTCTTCTCGGTGGAGCGCAGATTGCTCGTCAAATGGGCAAACATTTCAAGAACCGAACGGACCAAATTTTGCTGGAGATCAGTTTCCAGGTAGGTGTAGCGGACGAAAAAACAAGCGTTCAATCACCAATCATCAAGTTGTTATGTGTTCCTTACGGCGAAGTGAACTGATCAGACCTGTCAAACGCACTTGCTTTCGTATTTGGCTTGAGATAGCATGTGATTTTGGAGAAAATTATAGCTGACGACGAATATCTGGTTTTGACATTAACTTCGTATTCATCGGCTCTTCAAAAATAGTAATAATAATGAATAAAAACATCATACAAGGGAAAAAGGTGGACATGTGTTGAATTGCAGACGTCATCATTTCCCACAATGTCCGAATCGTCCGATGACGGGTCAACGATTTCTCCAATGATCAACTCATCCAACCAGTACTTGCCAAAAAAGACAACATATCCAAGCACATCGATCCCTGCAATCCCTGAATGTGGATCAATGCCAAATCTGACGATTTTGGAGAAGCCGGGTTTGGAATTGAGTTTTTCGGGAACGATCTGTTATTATTGTTTTCAGAAGAAGAACGAGAACAGAAGGAGATTTCAATAATGGACCTTCGGGAAACAGTTGAAATGCTTGACGACAAGTATTCGTCGGCTGTGATGACTAGGTAAATACGTGATTTCCGAACAGATCGATGACGTTTCCCTAAAGCTTTCAAACTTCCAGATCCTTCGGTGAGGAGCTTGAGGAAATTCTTCCTTTCATCGATGGATCTACAAGTGTGAAGCATTCCAGGGAACAGTTGCACACTACTAGGTTTTCCGTTCGTTTCCTCTCCAACTGATTGAGTGAGTTTTCAGGTCAAACACGAGTACAACAAGGCTGCTGGATGTGAAGCCGGAGTTAAGGAGCATAAGCGTTCCCAGTATGCAAGACGAGAAGAAGATGAGCCAGCGGGATGGCCGGATAGCCGAGACTCCTTTTTGCCAACAGAACGGAACGAGCAAACAGAAGCTTCTTCCAAATCCCGGAACATTAATGAAGAGCAAATCGACGACTCTTCTCAAAACAAATGGGTTTATGGACACAGACTCGCTCAAAAACGCTCATAAGAAGAGTCTAGCAGATTTATTAGCCAACGAAGAGTTTTCGTTCTCCGATTCTATGCGGGTATATAAGAATCGACTATTCAAAAGGTACTGATTGATTCAAATAATATGATGATATGCTATTTTTTCTTTTTTAAGTTTGAGTCGGGCGACAAGCGGGTGGAATAAGCCTAGACCCTCTAGACATATGGTAAAGAAGGCGACGAAGCAGATGAGGAGGGAGCACAAAGCTACAGTAACCCTTGCAGTTGTGTTAGGTATCTATTGTGAATGTGGAAATTGACCGAACAGAGTATTTCAGCTGTTTTCCTCTTCTGCTGGCTTCCATTTTTCATTCTTCACTTGAGCAACTCGATTTGCTTGATTCACGATCCGACCAGTGATTGTGTTGGATTTCTGCCTTTGTACCTTGCCACGTGGTTGGGATAGTAAGTATTCGATACTCGATTTCAGCAACTCAAAATCTGGTTTTCAGCCTCAATTCTTCGCTCAATCCACTCATCTACACAGTATTCGACCAACGATTCCGCAACGCGTTCCGGAACATTCTTTCATGCGGGATTTTCAAAAAACGATGAAGAAACGATCTCTAAAATCTATTTTGATAATATGGAAACTTAATGTGTCATTGTGTGCAATCATTTCTGAATGATATTCAACTCTTGTGACTGAATTCGATTTCAACTCTCCCTTTGCGCCCATTGTAGAATGATCGTGCGCCGGTCGCTTTGCCGGTGGTTGAAACGCGAGATCGAGTGAAGACTCAATTGAGAAAGATCTGGAATAGACTATTTACCTACATCGGGGTGGAAGGTCATGTTGTTTATGTACCAACTTCCGGGCGACCACACTTAGTCTAGAGGAGAGTCAGGTTACAATGAATACTTGGATGGTTCTTGAACGCCATCACGAATCTTAACGTTTTTCTGAGGTTTTTCATCGAAAAAACTGAGCTTCATCTTTGGTAATCGGAAAATGGATTGGAAGCAGTCTTGTGGCCGGCCGGGCCGGGTTTTAATACTAAAATGTGATTTTTCGGATTCTCCTAGCTACTTTCAATAAGAAAAACCAACTTTCCGAGTAAAAAATCTGAAAAGCTCGAGCATTTTTTCCAAAATATTTTCAAAGATTCTGAACCCGGACCAGGCATTTTTGACAAATCTCGTTAAAATTTGTCCAGGGTTACTGTAGAAGTACGAAACTGATCATTGGTGCTTGAATACAAACCCGGAAACAGTCGTAGCCGTGATCAAAACTCAAAATGTTTCATTCGGTGCCAATTTCACATTGCCCGGAAATTTTATTTGCCAACGTATCAATGGCCGGTTGACGCGTGCCTCAAATTCCACCGACATGGTTTTTCTCGCCGCACGTTTTTTTCCGCGCATCCCAGACCAGAAATCGGCAAGTGCACGGCACGTAATTAATCGGCCCGAGTGTCTGTCAGTCAGTCAGTCACTACTCCGCTGCTTCGTCCTTCTTGCTTACCGCTCTGCCACACAATATTTACATTACGGTAGAAACTAGAAAAAGGGAGACCAAAACCGAACGCAATGGGAGGTAGCGGTAGGGACGGAAAGGGGGAGAAGAAGGGGGAGAGAGAGGAGAAAGCAATTGACACCCCTGGGCTCTTGCGACCGGCCGCTCAACACCTCTCAAGTCTGCCTTTATTTGGTCGAAGCAGCACTCTGGTATGCCATAGTTGCACTCACGTGCGTCATCTGACTCACCTCATCCGGAATCCGGAATGTTCCTTGGTTGAACCGCATTCTTTTCAAAGTGCTTCTTACGCCTCCCTTCTCTCCGTTTTCCCCCGTTCATCATTTCTATCCGTTCATTCGTTACTTTGCAGGCGTGTTCGTTTGCGGGTTCAAGAAGAACGTTTTCAGAATAAGATCAACTCACTGATGAGACTCTTACTGCTTTCTACTGCACTTTATACAGGTATGAGTTCATGCAGCTTAACGTACAAATCTTTCTATTTTTACAGTTTCGCTATGTTGCCAACTCAAAGACTACTTGCCATGTGTTATGCAACTAAGCGCACAAAAAGTAAGCAACTCACATCATCTATAATTTCTCTTGGTTTTTTAGGTTGATTTCAACATTAACCCTATAGAAGTCATATTCAATATTACTACAGAAGCGAAACTTATGCACACATGCAGGTTAATAGTGTCCTTAGTATGGTTCAATGAACGTTAACTCTATTTTCTAGAACATACGGCAGGATATTTCCATGTTTCGATCAGAAAATGGTGCAGTGCGGTACTCCGTCTGAGAAATCCCAACTGGACCGTGGAAAAAGACTTCACAGCTACCTCTGCGCCCCATTTTCTCTCCAACGCCAAAAGATCTTCTTGCGAAGAAGCAAATGCATCCAGGAAGTTCTTGCCGCACCTCAAACATCGACTTGCGACAGAAATGACACTGCATTCGTTGAGAAATTAGCGTCATGCAGGTGAGCAAAATCCTTATTATTTTAAACTTACACACATTTCCAGAGAAATGTGTACTCGTCCGGACTGTCTTACAAAAATTGAGCTGACGGAAGTTTCCACATGCACTTACATTAACATTGGGAGAAGGTGTAGTGCAGAAGCTGCACAATTTTTCGCCCAAATGCAACAGGTATTAGAGAACAAGACTGTAGTTCAACTGTTAAAGCGGAGAGTTCAGGTACTTACCAACAAAGAATACCCAATGCAATGTCAATATGATCTGAGTCCAAAACCGGACACCGATCTGAGGAAAGGACTCCCGATTGAGACGCTCACCACTTCCTCTACCACATATGGCACTGTATACCCTCCTGGGTTGGCTCCAGTTGTCGATGGTGTTATCACTAGAACGAGTGTGCCAATCATGAGAAGAACTGACCCGAATTCCAAGTCGAAACCAAGACCAACCGTTTCTCAGTCTTCGGGACCGGTAATCAAAACAGTGATAGTCGATGAACGAGGTGCTCCTGTCATTGCTCCGGCAGCTCCCACAACTCAAAAACCAAAAATCGTCCACAAGTTTTTACCAAATCCTTACACTACCCGAAACCCGAATGTCATGAAAAACGACATCATAAGGACCACACGAACGATCATACCAGCTGATGGAAAACAAGGACAAACCTATGTTCCATGGACCTACAAGAATGATGTTCAGGTATTGGAAGCTTAATCAAGATAAAATATGAATCTAATTATGACATTAAGGTTTCAACTCTCTCAAGCGCTTTAAATCCTCCAGGCGCCAAACCGACTGAGACTGTGCTTTCCGCTCCTCCAGTAGCTTTCAACTTCAAGTTGCCAGCCGAACAAACTTCCACGCAGCCCTTCCGAGTGGAAATTAATTGGATGGATGATGGAGTCAAAGAAGAACCGACAACATATAAACCAGGACATGTAAGGGACATTTTCGCACGTTGATCCACAAATAACCGTTTCTTTAGTACGTCTCCCCATGGTACCTGAAGACTCACTCCTTCCGTCCACCAGAGGAAGAATTCGCTGCATCGACGGTTCCGAATCCATTAGCAGCAGTGAATCCGATTCTCAATCAACTGAAATCCCAGTCGCTGAACTTCACGGAACTCGGAAATCAAGCAAACAACTACTTTTCGGCGGCGTTAAGTGCGTTTGCGGAAACAAAGAAAGAGATGGCACACAATGACCCGTGGCGGACATTAATAGGTTGGTCTTGATCATGATCATTTGCATTCGGGCACCAAAACAATATAGAATCGACTTTGCAGATGCTGTGGCTCCCACAATCCACAAGTTCTCACCAGATGTCATTCCACGAATCCGAGAGGAAATCAACCGAATTCAACCTGAACAACAACAACAGCAACAACAAAAGAAACAGTGAAACAGCCTTGTTACCTTTCCTTTTCTTCCCATCACCGCCATAATTATGCCACTTAATTTATGCCTTGTTTCAAATCAAAAAATAAAGTAAGAAACTTCTTCATTCTCAAAAGAAGAATAGGATGGAAAGTTCGAATATGTATATCAAACCCGCAGAAAAATTGTCAACTAGAACCGCGAGAGCATTGAATGGAAAAAGAGCAAAAATGCCGGATGGGGGGAGAGGGGGGGCGTAGAAGAGGGGTTCATATCACAGAAGTACCGGTAAGAGGAGGACAGAGGGTTGGATTGCATACATTTTGATTTCATTTTGTATGAAAATTGAAAATTATCTACAAAACAGACTGACAACTAGAAGCGGATCGGAGATCTGATGTCTAGGGGGGTTTAGACCGTAGTTTCGGAGCAGTTGCTTAGCAGCTGATACTCCGGAGCCGAGTCCATCGGGATCGCGGTGGAAGTTGAAGAACGGTCGAAAGGAAGTTGCGGGGCAAGATGTTCTGGAGCATTATCGAGCAGCGGAGAGCTTGGACCCTCATTCTGATAGATGGGAGATGCTCGGTCGCGAGGTGACAAGGTCAGACACCTAAAAACATTCGAAATTTGACAAGTGCAACGCGTACATAGTTTAAAGGGGATTAGAAATTGAGTTGTGAATGGAGTAGAACAAGTGAGTTGGTTACTCAAAGGAGGTCTCTCACTAAAAAAAAAGTGCACAGGTCACTTAAAAAATTGGATAGAACGTCAAAAGTTACATCAGGTTGCAGTACACTGTTTTTCTCAATAATCGTATTTAGGGTCTGAATTCGTTAAACTCAAAATTTCTAACAACTTCTTAGTTGACCTGCTCATAATAATAATTACGGATATCGAGATATAAGCGAAGGAAAGTGCTCTTAGGACCCAGATCATCACCTAAATATGATATTTGACAGAAAAACCTAATGTAATTTTTGGAGGCTCTTTTCAGTGATATAATTAGTTTAACTTATTTTTTAGTGACAGGCCTCCTTTAATCAAAATACCAGAATGAAAAGAAAATCAAAACAGATGACCGCTCAAAATGAAACCAAACCCAGTTGTTGAGGGGGTGAGGGAACAAAGAAAGCAAGCAGCACCTACTACTTACTCGCTCATAACCAGCATGTAACTGTGAGCGATCGTATCCTTCCATGTACTTGACCACGTCCGGAATGATGCGCACCAACTCGCTGAACGGCGGTCGTTCGGCTGGATCCGCTCGCCAGCACACCAACATCACATCGGTATACCTTAAAAAAACGTTTTTTTTTTGTATTTACAAGAAAACAACGGGATAACTAACAATTTCTCGGGGCAATATGGCGGTTTAGGCAATCGGTTTGTTTCCGATTCCTTCAGCCAAGGCAAGATCAAGGACCAGCTGACCATCTTGTTGTACGGCGTTCCTCCACGAGTGAACAATTCCCAGATAACAATACCGAAAGACCAGATATCGGATGTAACGCCAAACTGGAAAATAGAAAAATAAATCATTGCTTTGTTTTGCGACGGAAATCTCGGTTGGTAATAGATATAATCCGTTCGTCATCAAACTAGACTCACCCCTCTTTCAACAATCTCCGGCGGGAACCAACGAACTGGCAAGTCGCGCTCGTGTAGTTGGACATACAGTTCCGTCTCGATGTCCACTTTTCGACACAGTCCAAAATCTGCGATTTTGACACGTTGACGATCATCCAAACTATAAATGTATGTTATAGTTGGAAAAATGTTCCGAGATTCTTACAGGCAATTTCGGCAGGCTAGATCACGATGAATAAACTTTTTCGAATGGAGATAGTCCATTCCTTTGGCAATATCGTAGGCAAACTCAAACAAATCTCTCATTTTGATGGTGTTTCCCTCGTTTGAAATGAAACTGTGTAGGTCTCCTCCGGCCATGTACTCGGTTACAATGATCGGTAAATGAGAAACATCGTCGAGAGCCACCCCGATCAGATTCAGGATGTTCGGGTGGTCGAATTCGGACATCGTACGAGCTTCATCGTAGAACTCAGATATTTTTCCATCTTTCAGGTATTTGCACACAACTTTTTCTTCGATTCCCTTTGGTGGGGCATATACGGCTTTGTAGACAACTCCGTAATGACCTTGGCCAATGGACTCGAACTTGTCAACTCGCAAATTTTTGAAATCGATCTTGAGCTCCGGGCGCATGCTCCTGAACAGTATTTCTTCAGAAATTAGTTCAATTGAAATGAAATAAAATACCTAAACACTTTCACATAACTGTCTCCATTCACGGCCAACTGTGCAGTCCTTCCGGGCATGTGACCAAGATCGTACTCGTTCTCTACTCTCTGACCCATTGGTGGTCGCACATGAGTTTTGATGCGGGGGAAACGATTCCTCATGTAGTACACAATCAAGGCGACAATCACAATGATAGTCATGACAGATATGATTGCGATTGCAACTTTCCAGCCTCTGAAAAACATTAATTATCCCGAAAGCTTTACAGGTTCGAATGACTCACGGACTGCTTCCCCTCTTGTCTTCTGAAGCGGCATTCTTGACGTCAGTTTGCGTTCCACGGTCCGACTGCGTGTAATCAAATGGAAATGTGTAGTTCTTTCCGTCAATCATTCCGCTCAAGTGAATCTTCTGACAATTATTGTCAATCACATCGTTGGGGCTTGTATCACATTGAATGCTCGACGCTTCCACGAGAGTGACTTCACAGTTTGTTCCGCAGGCATTCAATTTTGGGTTCTTCAAAGCTTTGAATCCTTCTCCGAGAGCTGTGAACCCGGAGTTGTTGTTGTATTTATGAATCTGAAATTAACTGATGTTCTTTAAATTTCTAGGATTGCTTTGCGTACCCAACGCATGTCAGGAGGACATTCGTATTTAATGTTATTGGTGCACAGCTTGGCCTCCGATGATGTGACAGTGTGAAATGGAGTTGTATCGGCACAGAAGGAGCAGTCCAAAGGATCCTTCCAGCCTCCCATACGAAGTGCATTGCAGTTCGGATATAGATCTTTGCAGGAAATGAGAACAGTTTGCAGCTGAAACATTGGCTTTTGGAAAATTTTTTTTAGTAGAGAGTATAAGCTTACTCCTTCTACGGTGGCGTAAAGCAGCCGGTTCTCTTGGATCTTTGCGATTGAAAACCTTTCCGCACTGCTGATGTTTGTCCGCCAGTTTTGCAGGAATTCCGCACTTTCAGAAGCAGAAAACTGAAATCAGAACTTTTAAGGAGTCTAATTATGCTTCAAACTCACTCTAATTACGTCTGCCACACCGTTTCCACCACCAACCGATGCGAAATATGCTTTTCCATCGATGATCAATGACTCGACACGATTCCAGAAAGAATTCACAGGAATTCTGAAAAAAAAAATTTAATGGTGAAAATACATAGTTGTCAGGCCGTAAAATATCTATGTAATGCCAAAAGTTACGATCGTCTAGCAGGATTGGGGCCGCCGGGCCGGGCCGTACAATCACATGTATGGTGAAAATGTTCGCTCACTTCAACATGAGTTCGCCTTGCAAGACGTTGTAATCCTCTAGCCATCCATATCGATACGTGTCACTTTTGACCTTGTGCAGCTCGCAGTTTTCCAATGATTGTTCTCTCTGAGAACGAACAAACAAAAATTAAAAGGAATATCGAGAAAAGGGAACATACCCCAAACCTCGCGCATAGTGTCGGGGAGGATTCATCATCAAGACGACTGTAGATCAAACATCCTTTCTTTTTCCGCATAACTTCGAATATCGATGGATATTTGCATTTGTTCGTCTTGGCAGCGATCTCGTTGAAGGAAACTTCTTGACAAGTGCTCCAGACGTTGCTGAATCGCTTTTCGAGGTTTGAAAGTTTAAACCGACACATCACATGACCCTGAAAAGTGAGGATTTACAAAAGCAGAAACGTTTCTAGTTTGTACCATGGATGTCTGGTTGAACATCATAACATTCACTTGTCCGGCGGCACTGTCATAGACTGCAGCTTCACCTCTTGAAGTCATGTTGTGATCTGAAATTATAATGATGTCCTGAGAAGATTTTCGAGAAAAAACACTTACATTGCTGATCGCACCCCACCAAAACCGAAATCTTCGATGCCAAGTCAGGAGTCTGATCGGCTGAGCACAGTCTGCAAATTATGTTTTACAAAATGAACTGAACGCCGTTATTACAAGTACCTAATAATTTTGGTGACAACGACTTGATTGTTTGACTGGTCATGAAGGAAAACGTCGGGTTCGAAGATTTGCACCGAAGTGGTCACAAAATAAACAAAACCGTCCCTCTCAAAGCCAGTAAGAACATCTTGTTCGTGGATGAAACTTGCTTCAGAGTAGTACGCAACAGGGATCACATTTCTGAAGGAATCATGCAAATTCTTGTGTAAACCCTCAAAGATTTACCCGTTGTCTTGAGCATTATATCTGAGAATCATCATCTTGGAAGTTCCCTCCACATTCCGGAAAGATATTGTGAGCATCAATTGTTCCATGTTTTCCATTTTGACAGCCGACGCGCTAAAGATCTCCAATATTTTCGGTTCATCCTCGTTGAGTGCAATTGTGGAACATGATGATGTCACTCCGGAATGGGTGCAAAGTCTGAAAACAATAGAATTTTGGCTTGATTTTTCTTCAATTTGAAACCAACTCACCCGCAAGCAAGTTCATCACAATAGAAAATTTCCGATTTTGAGAACAACTTGAGTTCCAGAAATCGAGTCCGTGGTTGCATATCGAGTGCGACTTGGCCAACTGTTCTGCCTACAACTGATGCGTCAACCGGAAGTTGTGAGCAAAGAATATCACTTACGTTCCTCGTTATCCTCGAAAAAATGGAGTTTTGACCGGGTAGCGACAACAAGAACTCCAAAGCCTGTGATGACACCGAGCACCTGAAAGCAAACATTTGTACAAGACGCTGTTTTTGTCCGACTGAGGTAAAGAAAAGGAAACTGGTCGACTAATTGTTTTCTAAACGGTCAATGTTATAACCGTCACGGGCCGGCCTAGGGTGGAAAAATTTCGAATTTTCAATAGTGTTTTCTCAAGTTCTCACAGGATCCTATGGTCAAACTAGACTTTCGTCAAATCTGCCTACCTCTTTATTCTGAATTTCATCTCTTGACACGTAGACTCCGTTGATTGGTTTGAATTGAGCGATCACAGAAGAGAAGCTGATCAGGAGGACCAGGTAGCGGAAGATGGAACTCGGAGTGGTCAGCTCCTTCGTCGACATTTGCGACGAGCCGGTTATCATATTGGGTTAACGGTTAACCGCAAGACATTCTATCACGTACACCTGAAAAAACGTATAAATTGCGGGAAAAAAGAAGTATATGCAACAATTTTCGACTCTGGTTTCGCGCCTAACCCCACCCTTTCATTTTCGTGTTATCAGTATGTGACTCTCTTTCAGAACCATAAACACTTTGAAGGGGCGAGGAGGAAGAAACCACACAAATTCCAAGAGGTGAAATAAAAAAATTGAGTGTCGGGAGGGAGGAATCGAAGGGAGAAAAAAGAGAGATAGTTAGGTCCGGAATGAAGATGAGAAGGGGGGTGAGACATGTGTCTCGCTTCAAACGACAAAAACTCAGAGAAGGCACTGGCACCCATTTCGCAATAACGAGCGAGGAACAATTGTTGAGAGAAAGACTATCGAACAATTATGTAAAACGATTGGAAAAGATCAAAAGTGTTGAAACACATTAACTAGGAAAAGTTCATTCGAGAAGGATGTTTAATCGATCGGGTCCCATGACATACCTCCTTATCGCTAGAAGAATATACAGACACAATATGCTAGTTTGCAGTGTTCAAGGCAACAAAAAATACAGTTCGCTGAATCATACGCAGGCTTAACTTTTTTCACTTCACGCGAATCGAAGGTTGATAGGAGAGGGGGGGGGGGGGAATTATAATCACAGAAAGGATGAATCATGGGGCAGACAGGAACATAGGCCAACTACTGATCAGCCCATGACGCTTCATTTCATTATTTAGGAGGCAAAAGAAAGTAAGTGTTGGGGTGCGGGAGGTACTTGCGGCGTTTGATAGATCGAGTGATGTCACCAAATGATAGCGGAGTGCGACTTTTTCCTCTTTTCTTTAAGCGCTCAAACTGTAGCACACGTGAAAGCATGATGGACACTAGGCGAACGGAGGAAAGAAAACAACGAAGAAGCGGAAAAAGTGTATACTTTGTCTGAGAAGCGCCCGAAACACAATGCTCAATACGGTTTGTGAAAGGGCGTGAGAGTGGGGTTAAATGTTTAGATTGGTGAGAGGCTAACAAAAAAGAAAGCAAATCGCTGAGGGAGACGGAAGGTTTCGGAGAGGGCGAATTGGAGGAAAAGAGAGAGAGAGAGGGGCCCGCACGCAAGTGATGTTTCCGCCTAGACCCAGACACACAATAGATCTTTCGCCCCAACCGGCCCTTCTCCGATGCATCGGCATGTTCGTTTATTGATCGAATCATGCGACATAATCATGTTTTAGTCGGCATGGTGTTGAACGTTTCGCCCCCGACCGAGGTTAGTGCGAACTGTCGACTGTCGCGCCATGACGCCGACTTACGTGACAGGTCTTTATGAGGAAATGATCTTTTGGTGTGAAGTTTTAGCACTGCGAGTCGCTCACAACTTTCAGAAGACTCGAATAAGTGTTTAAAAGTTTTGGAAATAAACAAATGGATCGGCAAAGAAAAGCGTTTTCAGTTAAGAGTTTTTATACCTTCAACGAGGACATTTCATAATGAGACAAAATAATTATATTCAAAATTAAATTCAATTTACGTCAGAGACACGTGAAATTGGGGAAAGTTATTAAGAAAGTGAGTGATGACGTTGAAAAGTGAAAGGAAAATGCAAGAGATACATAGGAATACATGGCACTTGCCGTTTTGCAGGACATGCGCGCCCCGGGGGGAATAACCTTTTCTGTTTGCCTTCCAAAATATGGTCGCAGCAGACAAATATGGAATTATCAGGACAAAGTACGGTTCTGAGAGGAGACCCAGACAGTACTGGGAGAACGCGGAACGGCTCGGCTCGGCTCGACCTCTTGACCTAATGGATGCTTCCCGAGGTCTCAAGAGCTCGGAAAAGTGGTTGGTCGTCTGGTGAACTTTTAGATTTGCCTAGTGTAACTGTCTTGTATCACACTCCACTGCGTAACTTTCATTTCTCCCCAAATAAAAATTGGTGCTTGTTCACCCTCCAAATTTTGACCCCCTGGATCAACAGCAGACTCTAGTCTTTCTTTTGATAGCAGACAATGAGTAATTTAGATGATGATGATTGTTTTGATCTCTTTTTCATAATAAAGTAGTTTTTTTTTCTCTTTTTGTCGTCATCTTTTTGATAGCTGGTCAAGAAACAAAGCGACGAGTCAATTTTAAAAAAAGGAAAGAAAGAAAGAAGAAAAAGGAGAAGAAGAGCTCAATGCCACCCAATTGAGTAAGTGCTGGTGCTGGTGCCGTTAGAAAAATTGGATTCGGTATTGCGAAACACGCGTATGCGTACAAACCAATTCCGGCGGAATTTCACAACACAAAGGGGTCGGGAAAACAATCGCAGTGCGTTTTTCCCATCTAATAGTGTTGAGTTGCAAAAAAGAATGTTTGAAAGTTTTGTAGTATGCCAATAATACCACACTGAGAAAAAAGAGGGAGAGTTCAATTGAGGCGTAAAATTGCGTTTCCGCAGTTTAAACGAGTCAGACTACTCGGTTTTTTGTGGTGAAATGATTTAAAATAAATGATGAGTCGGTTGTCGGTTTCACAATTCTGACAGTTTTTCACAAACAAACAGGGCAGCGAAAAAGAGAGGAGCGCACTCAATTTCGTCTGGTTTTTTTCGGTATCAAATTTCATGCCACAAACGCGAATTAAGGCAAAAGGCAATTTATCTGTTTCAACGTCTCAACGCGACGAAAACGAAGGAGAGTTTGTTTGGTCACATTTCAATGTCACAAAACCATTTTATCAATACCCTTTTATGTCCTTTGACTCGACATTATTTGATCACGCTTTTCCCCTGAATAGATGCATTTCCAACGGCTTTTGAACACCCCCGAACTAGCCGATTCAGATTCCCTTTGCCATTGCCATTTCCTTTTTGATTCCCTGATATTTAGCCGCGGGTAGGTTGCCATTCTATCCGTGTGAGCTCACAGAAAAAGGGGCGGCGCAGAAGCACTAATGGCCATTCGACGTAATCGTTCCAGCTTTAATATCTGACACGTTGTATGCACGCCGTGCAACGTAGCTGATGAGGGAAGGGATTAAGAATGCAACACGTTGTGATGGGCTGTTATTTGTGGCCACAAATAACAGATGTACTTTTAGAAAACGGAAGCAAGAAAAGAGAGAGAGAGAAACATGTGGCGAGCGAACAAAAATGCAACACGCCGTCCGGTTTATGGATGGCGAGGCGCCTTGAAGAATAATCGTTCTTTGTTTGATGGCAACAAGTTGAATGTATGGAAAAAGTTTGAAAGAATTGAGAACTAGTGATCGAATTGGTCCCCTTAGTGAATGTGATTGTTTCTTGTTCAGGTCGACCTAAAAAGAGATATAGTTTTCACGGACCGGACCGTGATGGAATTTTCTACGGCTCTATTTCTCACTGGTCTTCACAGTTTTCGAAACGTAACTTGGAACACAAAATTACAAAAACGTCATACATTTTTAAAACATTCTGATCCAGAAATCCCGGCCTGTCCGGCGACAAGTCTGCCTCAATCACTATTAGAACGCGAATTTAAAATGTGACCGAATAACTGTTTCTAGTTTGCTCCAGGCCTCTCCATTCAAATTGTTCTTGAACATCCATCTAACTTCAAAGGATGACCCCTTCCATCATTTCCGTCTCCGAAGTTCAGACACCAAAGTCAAAATTTCGTGTGTCTCGCGAGTTCGCACACGTGCATCTCATTGTTTTTTGTTTCGAGCTGACTAAATTGAGGTTCATGCCTGGTTACGTAGGCAATCACCGCTACAAAAGTTGACGCCACCGGCCCCTTTTTGTATGATAATGTTTGTTTACTTTTTTTCGAGCACAAGTTTCTGTTCTCTGCTTACGTGCCGTGTCGGGCATTCGGATGCACTTTAGTGTTCGAGACGATGTAAACACTCTACTTAACTACGACTTCATTTTCTGACTATCTCTTGTTTGGACGTGTTTTTCGAGGAAGGAAAGGAGAAAGCGTTGATCCATTTCTGACTGGAATTTCAATTTTAGTGTTATATTAGTTTATATCACGTTCCAATTAACCAATTTCCACCAAGAGAAACCCTTGAAGAATGAAAATGGGAAATGTGTACATACGGTGTTCAATGTGGTGTGCCCTCCTGAATAAGTGTCAAAGAGCGATTCGAAATGGCTGATGGGATTATGAACCTTTCAGGCAACTACCGGAAGCGTCATGAATGGAAGCCAAAAGCCGCGGTGTTTGCTTCTTGCTGTTTTTATTTATCCGGAAATTTGAGCACGTGCTACAAATCCCTGTGGATGTTGTTCCTCTTAAACCGGCACGTGTACAAATGAATCCCCATGTGTCGGCCATCCAGAACCAGAAACAAGTGTTCGTTACACTCACATGCTCCTACTCAATTATCATCCTGCAAACCCCCGCAAATCCAGCTGAGAAATGGAAAATGTTCGCCGGAGGCTCGGAGACAAGGCTTAACCTTCTTCTAACGGGCTCCTCTCGTAATTTCTACACTAATCTCTGTAGAAGGTGTTGAAGGAAGAAGAAAAAGAGATCAGGAAGGAAGAAACGGCTGTAATTTCAGTTCTGGAATCGTCTGGAAGGGTTTCGAGAGATCTCAGAAAAATGAAGTGACCAGATCCTGCTGAAAAGTCGGCAATTTCCAGAGATCTGCTTTGAATCCTCCTGTCTGATCTTTGTCAAGGTGGTCCATGTTGCCATTTCAAAGGATCAGACTTCTTTGATCAGTTCTAGTTGCATTCGGATTAACGTTCGATGTTCAAAGACTGTCTCCCATTCAATCAAAATAAACGCAACTTTTATTCCACTATGATTCCGCGTTTTGGGCTATAATCTGCCACTTGGCGGCAGTAATGTAGTCTGCCATAATCGTAGTCATTGTTCGGGCTACACCTACGCAAACGAAAGTGCATTTGGCATGTCACAAGCTTGTAATGTTTTAGGAACTTTGATAGTCTTTGTTTCCGGAAAAGTGTCGAAAAACAGTGCAAAAAAACAAGTTATACACGTGAAGCAGCGAAAAAAATTAAGCACAGGCACCAGACTGGCGGGTTGTTCACAGAGATCTTTGAAATTAGAAGTTGAGATTCTTCGTGGGGGCTGGTTGGAGACAGACAGACAAGAGATCATGATACAATTGAGATGGGAATGGGGACAGAAGAACCAAATATGATATGAGATCATCGTGTGGAAAAGTTGAGACCCGTTGCAAAATGAGATTACTAAATAATTATGCATAAATTAAACGCTAAATCTGTCTAATTACAAGTCTAATCACTAAAAACAAAAATAATATGAACAAAATGCACAAATAAGTTAAGGGCGTTATGTACTCGTAATGGGGTGTTCGCTTGAGATGATTGTGGGGCAAAAAAATGAAATGATTGGGAGGTGAGTTTTGTTTGTGGCAATCACAATGAAAGTGTAGGCGGGAGAAAAGTGAAGAGGCAATGAAAGCAGAGGGCATGAAAAGATAGTCCGACAAAATGGTTCCGATTAAAACATTTGCAGACGTGGTGTGTATGTGTGGCAGAAAGGAAAAATGCCTAGGGAAAGATGATTTGATCAGAAAAAAAGTGTCAGAAATGATAAAGGTAGCTAGAAATGAAATGCGTTAGGTACATAAATCAAAAATACATTATAATCTAGCCGCCTTCAACTCTAACAAATGCCTGTAAGCTCTCCTCCTCTTCGCGTGCCGCTTCGCTTCCTCCTCCTTCTGTTTCACTTCAGGCTCATCATCTTTCTCCTGCTTGGTATCATCATCATCTTCGTCTTCTTCAGAGTACTCCTCCTGGTTGAACTGTGGCGTCTTCAACTTGGACTTTGCCAACGGTCCCGATCCGGCCTTGAGCTTGAATACTCCCGGCCTGCTCGGCTGTTTGACGCCTCTCTCCTCAGACTGCTCATCGTTATTCACAACAATGTCTGTGAACTCTGACTGCGGGTGTTTGCGCGGGTTGCTCAGAGTTAAAAGTCGGATCTCATTCTTTATTCTCCTCATTTCTGCATCTTCCTGGAAACGAGGACAAGTTAGATTTCAGTCCGGATGTCTGAAAGTGCTCACCAGCTTTTTGAACATGCAAAAGTGCGGATCCTCGTCTTCTCCGTTGTGACAGTCCGCTCGATCATCACACAAATCGTGTGCTTCAATGCATATCAACTTTTCAGACGCATCTTTCGGGTCCTTCTTGGGACATGACATCAATTCGCGTCCCTTGACCATGCATTTCGGATCGGCTGAAATAGTTTGTGTTTTTCATTCTTCGTGTTCCGGTTACTACTCACATTTCATGTTCACAAAAGGACTCGGCATAAACACAGCCGAACGAACTTGTTCCGCTCTTTTGTGCCGTCTGGGATGTATGGGTCGCGATGATAATGAGCTTTTCTCCTGAGAAAAGAGAATGTAAGGAAAAACTAATCATTGCTCAGTGTCCTTACCTCCTGTTCTTGGGCTGAAATTAAATAAACAAGATATGGAAGAGCAAAGATTGAGATCCAGCGACACATCCTGAAATATTACAGTAGGATTGGAGGGATATATTGAAAAGTACAAAGTAGAACGGAAAGGAAAACACAAATATGGGATGAGGAAGGGATAAAAGGGTGCCGCGAGTAAACAAAATAAGCATGTGTTCTTTAAAAAAAAGTGACGAGTGGTACACAATGCTGGTGAACATGGTTATGCAATAAGATGCGGAGCGAGGGAGGAGGGGGAGCACTAAAATTTCGTCTTTATAAATCTAATTTGATTCAGTTTCCGCGAATATTATTAGCTGCTCACGCAATTTCTATAATTCCAAAAGTAGAGGGTGGATGGGGGAGGAGATTTCTGGACTAAAATGAGCTAGCGAAGGTCAATGACGATTAACTTTGCAGATTTGCGAGGAACGCGTAGTTCAACGTAATGTGGGGCTTCAAGGGAGGCGCCGACTCGGAAACGAACTACAACTTTTTGTGTGATGTCACGGAGACTGCTAGATCCTAGATCGCTCATCACATCCTGGCCGACTTTTGTAGTGGGACAATTACGCCATTTTGAAATGTACCGATCAGAACTCTACTAATTGGTATCCTGAGCACAGCGCCTACGTTTTGATTAGGAGATTTACCTCTGATCGTTGCCCCGGATTTTCGGTCGCCTTGCACTTCTACTTTTATTCCGGCAAAAAAGACTAGACTGGCTCCCTTTCATTCAAAGATGATGGTGAATACCGAAGGACAACAAGAATTAGTGATAAAACCAGAGGACTGGTGGAAAGAATTAAACAGGGAATAATTTTGGAAAGAGGTAGGGCATGAGATGGAATCCGGATGGAAGCACCAAACAACACGTCGCATATCACATGAAATGAGGATGCCGAATATATGCCAATTTGCGAATTACTAGTACAATGAGATCCCTGTTAATCTGTTTGCAACAAACACAACGTGCTGTGCATCGGTGTGATTTTTGTTTGTTGTGATTCGCATAGTGCAGAGAAGGAGTTTGTGCACGCCTTCCTTTTTCTTGGGCGCTTATGATTTAAATTTTGGAAATTTAATACAATTGAGAGGTTTCAATAGTAGTTGTAATAGTAGTAAAATTGTGATTTAGTTGAGGAAGCAGAATCAGAGGATAAGCATGCGCTTGAAGATTTACATGTTTACTGCCAGAGACATACTGTAGAGTTTGAAAGTCAGCAGTTAGAAACCAAAGTGCAAAAACTTGTCTGAAGAAGACGAATAATCAGGCTACAGTTGTGTCTAGGGACTTCAACCCAAAATCCGACCGGTGGCATGTTTATAAATCCAGGAACGAATCGCCCCGCCCCCTAGACGAGTGAATCTAAAGATATGTGCGGCTAACGGCAAGCACGAAAAAGAGTTCAAAAGACGAAGAGACGCAAAGAAATGTCTGGAAAGAAAGGGGAATGTGTGAAGAACCCTTCGGAAATTAGCTGAACTACTTCAGGACGACAGGGACTCTTTTGGTTCGGTTCGGGTTGAACTGCGAAGTGGTTGGATGACGTTTTCATTACCGACTGGATCTCTGGACACTTGAGAACGCTGATGTCACCCGCCGACATAATTTTGAGTAATCCCATTCATTGAGGATTTCAACAGATTTCGAGATTTTTGAATTATCAATACTGGTTCCCTTAGTGCACACAAATTGTTATACAAATTGATCTCAATGATTCTGCACTGTCCTTGCAAATTTCCAGGACACAAAGTGGAGAACTTCACTGTAGTCCTGGTTTTACGGTTTTGATTGTTTGCTCTTGGTTGTTTCAACGGTTCTCAACTAATATCAGTTCCGTTTTTGAAAATGCTCAATAGTCTCGGCGAGTCTTTCTACAGACTCTACCGTACCACAGAAAAAAATGTTCGAAACTCCCACTCTTAAGTTCTCTCTCTTTCTCTTCCAATTCCTGGACCAAATTTCGAATACGTCTCTGAAATAGGTGCCTAATCGCATCAGATTCCAAGGCAAACATGAAATGAGGGGGTCAGCGATTTGTGACGTACTTTTCCCCTTCCCACCAAAAAAATTTTGCCTCCTCTTTTCTCCGAGAAGATGTCATCAAGGTAGTACTAAGAAAGTATTACAGAGTATCCTCCCACTTTCTTTATTTTTAAACATCGCTGGTGCAGGCGGTGCACATTGTCAGTGCACTAAGGATTAGAAATCCTGGAGTAGTTTGGTTTTACTACGTAGGTAGGAAGTGGGAAGAAAAAAAGGGATTTAAATGTCAATTTTAGAACAATGAGTAACTGAGGGCGGATGGCGAATTTTTAGAGATTCGGATCATTGAAAAGATGGAGAAGCGAAGGGACTTGGTTATTTTCAAATAAACTAGTTGCCGGGATGTGGGTGAACGCTTTGTACACCACCCAGACAGGTTCCACGTTGTCTTCCGGGATTTCATGTTGACTAGAATGACGGAATCCTGTCTTGGGTGTTGACGTTTCCAGGAACTCTTGCCGAAAAATGTGAACGAACAAGTCGAAAAACGGGAATGTTTTCACATACAGTCACTTGAATTTAAAATCCGGATTAGCAAAAGTAATTGGAGATTTCCTTGATGGCTTGAAAATCACTTTCGGCCAAGCCAAGTCCCTATTAAGAGACGTTGAATGCGAAAATCAGGAAAAAGAAGATTAGAGACCACAAGAAGGACTTTTTAAAAGGTTGCAAGGGGCAAGATTGAAAGTCTAATCGGATATTCACCTTTCGCCGATCCAATTATGAGAGGAAACATCAAAGAAAGAAGACGCATTCCATTCGGTTGTAAGGTGCGGGGACAAGAAGTGCATCCTTCCGGATATTTTCTGTTTTTTTCTTCAGGCAATTGGTGACTCAATGGGTGCCTGTGGGTGCATTCTCGGATAAACTCCAGACAAAAACCTTGCAGACATGATCTGCTTCCTCCCCCGTTAAGCCGTCCGCGAGTTCAAAATGTCGCCGTTCTGCTACGTAGAGAATTGATTTCAACCAAAAAATAGTGTAGTTAGCTCTTGTCTCGCGCATCCCAAAGTGCTTACTTACATACAGCCAATTCACTAGGGCCCTAGTGATGACGTGAATCGCCATTGTCATGTCTGGACGCTTATGAATTACGTTGGTTCTAGTCAAAACTTAGGTCAACTTTCTTGTTTTTGACGTCTGTTTTTTTGTCAAAAAAAAATGAAGCGTAGAAGTTGAATACATGAGGTTTTCACACTCTTTCATCTTACGTTGTCACGCATTCAGAGCATCTACTACGGTTTGATGAAGTGTGAAAGAATGTGAATCGTGACTTGTAAGTAAGGACCGTAAAAAGGGAAACGAGACGGAAATGAAATGATGCTTCAAGTTACACAAAAACTAACTACGTTTCCAACGTCATAAAGGGTTGTTTCCGAGCCCCCAAAACAAGCTTATGTGGTAATAGATTTGGAACAGATAATACTCAAGGAGAAGAGAAATCCAATTTCAAAAAGTGAACAGCAAAAGCAAAAAGAAGCACGTGTAATTTTCGAGTGATCGTCTCAAAAAGGCCGGACTAATTATCGTAATTTTCATTCTGATTCCGATTTCCTTCCATTTCTCCCCAAAACCCCAGATTTTCAGAAATCTCTTGTGAAAAATACGAATTATCTTCACAGACGAAACCAATTAGGCTCTTAGGATTGAATTTTCAGAATCTGAAAAGTGCTCTTAAAGAGCACTCCCCCTTAGCCAATCCCTTCGGTTCCTGACCACATTGAACAGAGTCCAACTCATTTCCGTTTGATGAATGATCGGCCTTCCTGTTTACTCTACTGTACTAGTCGTGACATTTGCAAAATGCCAAACAACATCCTGTGCGGTTGAAATAGACAATTGATATGACAGAGTATCAATGTATCACAATACCATAGGTTCACTCCGTGCTATTTTGACGACTGTAGACTTCAGTGCGCTGTGTACGATGTGTGCTCTCACTTTTTCAGCTTAATTTTTCTTCACAGACAACAGTCTCTTGTCACATGCTTAGTGGGGGTTTCCGGTCCAAGAAATTGATTTCGCTTGCACACGCCTGTCAACAGTCTCGAAGCGGTTGCCAATCACAGGAATGATAAGCATTTTGCGCTGCACAAAATTACGGTCGTAATAATACCAAGACTTTGTTTGCCTTTACCACGTTTTGGTGTGGCTGTTTCGGCGACACAATTGGTCACGGAGACTATCATGTTATCACACAAAAACGACCATCAGACGCAATAATTTTCAGTTCTAGAAAACTCTGAGCTAATTACAAGTTAAGAAGAGTACACGAATCAGAATTAGACACGGATCGAGCTAGGGCAGAACAATATGAGAAAGGGGGAAGTTTACCGGGCGATGATGATATCCAGACAACGTAATTGAGCCGAGAGACAGCCAAAGCAAGCCATTTGCTAGTCATTGCCATCCCATTTCAGGTAGCTATGACGTACAAGACGGCACACAATGAATGAAATATGACAAAACACACAAATGCACTACTGGAAAGAACAATGAACGCAAGAATGCGTAAATTAGTAGCCGGGTGCACTGTCTGTCTGATTTTTTGGATCCAAAACGTTTCTCCAAAAACTTGAATTCTCAAAGGAAACGGTCGCGATTTTTGGTTATTTATTGTTTTCTTGTTTCTAGGTGTACTCTCATTGCACTTTTTATGAAATGATTAAGCATGACCGGTTTTTACGATTTTCTTCACATGACTAAAAATTGCAGAAAGTTATTCATTCAGAAGTGATGCTTACTCATTAGTAAACATTACTATTGCTGATTTTTGTGATAAAAAGTTGGCAAGCTCTGCGAAAAACACAAAAAGCTCATGAAAAACGTCGTGCCTGATCTTTGCGGGAGCGAATTGAGCATTGCCATATAAAACTATACAGAATATTTAGTTAATTGGAAAACTGCAGGTGTTAAAAAAAGAGAATGCAAGAAAATGTGCAAGCGATTACGGTGGTGACATTCGATCGGATTGAGGGGAGAGATGAAAGCCCAATCTGATCCCTTCCCCAAAATTTCCTTGTCCGCCACCCTCACCAATCAAATGCATATTGTGAATCCAGCGTAAGAGTTCCTCTATTTGCTGTCCTTTTCTCTTTTTGGCCCGGATTAGATTATGGGATTATCAAAATCTGTTCCATTCATGGAAGGTTGCAACTCTCTCACTTTAGAGTCACATTCTGTTCCTGAACTCTCAACTGTCGTTTTTAGTTTCGTTAGCAGGAAAATTTGCTCTTTCGCTCTTTGGTCAGAAAACCGAAGCTCCGCCCATGGGAAGGGCTAGAATGTTACCGTATTAGAGTGCTTACGTAATGAATACCGGTTTGTTCGATAAAGAATAAGTGGACAGACTCACGTGGGAATGGGTATAAAAGGCGGTGCCGACGCCGTCAAACTCAGACTGTCAGTCCACCACCGCCGATATGTTCCTCAAGTCGCTGCTTCTTCTCTCCACTATCGGTAAGTAGAACAGCAAGTCAAATGAAAATAATCGGGTAAAAAATATAGGATATAGCTTTTGGGTAAGAAGCTCAAAACAAGTCAACGAAATTAGATCACGATAAGTTGTTGGAGGGCTTCTCGCTAACTACTTTATGGTTTGGAGTCAGCTTTGATTTCTCCTTCGCAGCATTGCGGCTCAGAAAGTCTGATCAGACTGAACAGTGATGCAATGTTTTGTCCTAAGGATAGATTCATCTGATCTTTCTAGCGTTAATCTGTTGACTGTTGTTTTGTTGTCTTCATCAGCATCATTTCAGGCACTTAGCTAAGAAAACATGATAAACCCGGAAACCAGAGATCAATGTAGACTTTATGCTACTCCCTCATTTTCAGCATGTTTGTTTGTTTGCCCTAAACATCTTGAAAGTGCGGTAACGTGACTAGCTCACACCTGTTGTTTAGATGGATGAAATGGTGTCATTAGGAACAACTAAGAAAATAACAAAAGTTCAAAATCAACAAAAATAACGGGAAGTACGGTTTTCAGCTTTTGCGTACGTCTCCGCCGATTGCCTTCACTGCATCTGCATGAGAGAGTCCGGATGCAAGGCGATCGGATGTCACATGGATGTGGGATCCCTCTCCTGCGGATACTACCAGGTAAAGATTGAGGATGGCCAAAACTGAGAAAGAGTGGTCACTTTTCAAGCAGGAGAACCATATCACATGTTCGGTTCCTTGTTGATCATCTTTCCCCATTGAGAAAAAACTCGTGTCAATGTAGCGTAAAAATGTAACTAGAATGCAACTTGATTACGTAGAAGGCTCAACTAATTAGAGTTAGAATCAACCTATAAACGGTCCGAATTCCAAATTCCAATTTCTACCGTATCACTTGCAAAATTGAGTACTTACTCTTATCAAGGAAGAGCACATGGTTGCTGCGTCTAGAAGTTGACCGTTTGGTCTCTGCTAAATGTAGCGTGGTCGACTAGGACGATAAGAAGTGTGCATCAATGGGAAAAGGAAATACATACATATTGAGAAAACTAATGTTAAAACCGGCTTTGCCAAAGTAAACCCGAAGACATCCATGGATCTTCAGAATAGTGGCGTTGAACGAATTGTTCAATGGTATCGGTTCTCAGACAGAACTTGTCAGAACTTGTCAGAAGTGGTAGAAATAAAATAGGAAATTGAACTCATTTGCAGAAAAAGTTGATCTAAGAGTCTATAGTGCAAGAGATCAGCATCATAAAAATAAATTTGAGTATTTCAGATCAAGATTGGATACTACGAGGATTGCGGACAGCCAGGAAAGCAATCGGGAGAATCTACAGAGGATGCCTGGAAGAGATGCGCCGATGACCTCAGTTGCTCGACCACTTGCGTTGAGGTAAGTGAGAGAATGTTTGAGATTAGAAGTAGACATGCTCGGAATAGAGTGTGGGTACATTTTCGAGATGGTGTACTGCGCTCATCCTTCGGGAATCTCGTCATGCGGTAGATCACTTTTCCAAATTGTGAAAAGTCACCATGAGCGCTCAATTTAGCGCACACATTACGTGGACCGCGCGCCCACCGGGGACCTGAAGCAACCAGTTCACGCGTGGTCAATGCCCACCCAACCCAAGTCGACCTAATTGTCCTACTACGCCACCCGTCGGCACGAATCGCGTCATAGAGTTAATAAGATAATGAGAAGATGACGGTTTCGGCGGAACTAACTTGAAATACTAGAGACAATGTCAAAAATCACAAAAAAATAACCTATTTGAACGTAAACAAAGTCGTAAAAGTCAAAAAAAGAAACGTCATCGTGGCACGTGGCAATTAGGTTATTGAAATCACCATACGCACTCGGGTCTTCTGTTATTTACACCTAGGCAGCTTATGACGGAGTAGGGCTATTACAAGAAGCAGTCTGTACTATTTCCAGTCCAATCTCAGCTTTCTTCTTAATCAAATTTCTACATTAGCCGGCGATATGACTATAAAAAACCATACATAACATTTCTTACAGAACTACTACAACCGCTACAAGAGCCAGTGCAACGGACTCGGACAAGGAGCCTGCGAGGTAAAAAGGGCGGACTTTGCTTACTTCCTCGCCTACGCACTTATTTTAGTTCCGCCAGAGACACTTACGGCTACAATTTGAAGTTTTAGAGGGTGTGTGTCTGGTTCTGCTGGGGTTGCCCTCGTATTCTTCTGATTTACGTGTTAATCATCATCAGGAACAACAGACAGAGGGCCACAAAATGATGGGGGAGGGGCTTGAACGATAAGCGGCTAAACAAGCCGGATCACTTTTCCAACTACATTCTATGGGATTTCGGAGTGGTCGGTAGCTAAAATGAACCACAAAGCAACATTCGAACACGGACATTTCCGAAGACTGGAGAAAATTCTAAGAAAAGTAAAACGAGGCGTTAAAGGTCAAATCTTTTGTGTTGTAGCGTGTTGCAATTTTTAAAGTGGTCGGCACGAATCAAAATAAGACAGAGATAGTGAACAATATGTAAAAAGTTAGGCTTCTAATTTTTTGGCTATTCTGTTCTGACGAAAGAAATACTACAAAATGATTGCTCTTTTTGTCTCTGCGTTTTCTTTATCTTTTTGTATGCAAGTGTGGATTTTGAAAATGACCGAAAACCAAAAGGCATAACTACATAACTGTCAAAGATTGTTTTTTGTTCAAAGATTTTGCTACAACTAGTGTCCTTAACTTTTGAGACAATGTCTGGCCGAAAAGAACGTGCATATTTGTAGGTTATGTCCCGCAACCACAACGGAGGACCACGCGGATGCCACAACGCCAACACGCTCGCCTACTGGAACGGAGTCAAGAGCTGCTGTGGATGTTCTTAATTTCTCTTCTCATTTCGAACATTTTATACAAGTGTACATGAACATTCATTTCAATCTTGTTGTTATTGTCACTGAGAAGCTCTAATGAGAGCAACGAGTAGTAAGCAAGGGTAACCCAAAACTCTAAAACATGTTTACATCGTCATATGCCAGATTCTGGGCCAGAAGATCGAGAACTTCTTATTTTCAGAGCTAATAACAATTTTGAGTTATAGGTAATAAAATAAAAGTGGAAACATGTGGGTGACGATAGAGGCCATTATAGCATCAGGGGGAACAAAACGGAACAAACGCAAAGAGCTCAGAAAATTTAGAGAGAAGACCAATTGGTTATTTATAGACGCAATAAGGTCCAAAAACGGAAGCCAGTCTATGTCATAGCTAGCAAAAAACACAGGACAATGAGTTGCGAGTTGCGAGACATCCTAACCCACCCAGTTGACCTTATTCTGAATATTTGAGATGATATACATAGGACAGTTGGGGTATTGATGTCACCAATTGGAAATAAAGATATGCTCAATGATGTAAAACCATTTTTTGAGGATCAACATGAACGCAAGGAGGATTTTCTGTAAAGACTGGGCAACGATGCTGCATGATCAGATAAAAAAGACTAAAAATGAATGGGGTGGATAAAAGTGCACTAGATCAACAGTCAATTCGGAGCTTGTCAGCTCTCAGTGCATATATGTATGGCTGAGAATCTTAGAAGACAAAAGTAACTGGAACAAGGAGGAGCAGGAAGGAGCACAAACAGCTATTTTTAGGAGGAGCATCATAAGGAAGTCGGTGCGTTGAAAGTTGAAAAGGTTTTACTTGTTATTGTTTGCACATTGTTGACATTTTGGCAAAAATGCGAGAAAAAAGAAGAGCAAAAAACAAAAAGTTACCTACTTCATTTGTCGTGATGTTCGTGTTCTGGAAATGCTGGAACCTTTGGAACGAAAGTGTCAGCAAAGTGTACAGTCTAAGAATACGGTAACCAATGTGATCAGATCGGATGCAGACACAAAACAGACAATAAGACATCTTGTCTACCAGACAGCTAATATCATAACATGTGACTTTCAACAATTTCTGAAGAACATTTTGCTCTGTTTTCTTTTTTCTTTCTTCCTTTCGCTATCCGTTGACATTCTTTGTGTAGCCTATCTGATCTGAGGAGATAGGACACGTGAAAAATTGCATCATGTCATCAAGTCGGGTATGTTGGTCCGGTCACACGTGATTGTGGCGGTAAAAGATGAAATGGAACAACAGACACACACATACACACACACACACACAAATTCGTGAGTGAGAGTGCTGATAGTAGTGACTCGGCGACGCTTGCGGTGAGACCACAATCCACTTTACGAGAGCACCATAAAGTTGGTTCCAGAGGATTTGATGTCATGATTGTGATGAGTAACTTTGGGAGGAGAAGAGGAATCCGATCGGAGTTTGGAGTGAACCGATTGTGGCGAGGAAGCACACGCGCCGTGTTGTATGCATGCAAGTTCTGTGGTACATTGAACGATGTGTTGAATGTAATTCCTCATTTTCACGTGGTATTTACTATTCAGTAATTAGCGCGAGAGCATATCATCGTTTGGCATTTACTACACAATCAAAGTTCTACGCTAGAATGGGAAGCTTTCCAGATTCCCAGGACAATTCCAGAGTGTTGCACTTTTGAGTTTCATTTTTCGAAATGTCAAGTCGGTACGTACGAAATGAACCAATCGATGGGTGAATGTGATTGTGAGATTGATGGGTTGGCAATTCCCAAAAATCGCAACATTTTGTCAATGTTATCAATGAAAAAACACTGAAAAAGCGGCAAAAAAGTTCCACTTATCAGTTAAAGAACGTGGCATCATTCCGTCGAGCGCTGTCTCACACTTCATTCATTCACAACTTTCTTGCCCTGTTTCGTAATAACTGTCAATTAAACACTTTCTTCTCCTCTCTTCTATCTAAATTCCCAATTAGGTGCCCAATTGATAGCAAGTGTTTGCTAAACTCACAAGTGTCGGTCCGGGGCGTTTTGATGTATCACGTAACGAGTCAACATTTGGATATCTGGGCGACAGGGGGCGAGCGAGGTGACAGTAATCCAATAATACCAATGTTTGCACTATCAATACTAACCAATCAAACAAATCGACAATCCACTGACCTACTGTATCCCTCCAATTCACCAATTCATTCGCAAGACGCAAGAGAGAGGCACAATCTTTTGTGACTGTTTTAGTGTTGTTTTTTTTGCACGCAATCCCATATTATCTACTTGATTTCATCACTTTAGGATGGATGATCTTATGAACCGACTTCAAATGGTTGTTTCGAATGACGACGTGGATCGGAATTACGTAGCGTAAGTGATCAAAATACTTTAATCGTGTTCTGTGACCCATGGACTTATCTGACTAACTAGAATCTGTTTGAGCTGTTTTTACGATGAGCATAAGAAAAACGTAAATGCATGTGAATTTGTGATCACGATGATTTTATATGAAACTTTGGTAGTAAGCGTAAGCAAAAAACAAACAGTCAAAGGTTGAATGAAATAAACGAGGCACAATAAAAGTGTAACGGCTCATACAGAAAGAAAAGCATCTGAGCGTTCGGCGACAATTCCCAACCCGATGATGTGGGTTGTGAATCAGAACTGTGGGTACCGGATAAGAACGCCTCCCTGGGGCACTATGAATAACACATTATTTGTCTTCTTTTCTACATCCGGAAAACCCAAATGAGATTACAATTGCAGCCGGGACTTTGGAGTCAATCCGTACCGATGTGTGCTACAGGAAGTGCTGCTCGAGAGAAAGGATATGCTACGTAAGCGAAGGCAGAAGCAGAAGCTAAAAAGTCTTGCAGATATGGGAAAGGTTACCGCTGTCTTCCGGTGGTCTTTTACGGAATTAATGCTTAATGGCTGGACATGTTTCAGAAATAAATCAAATAAATCAGAGTTCGGAAATTCGAATCAAAACCTAAGCAACATTGTAGGCTCGAAGATGAACTCGACAGCGTTGTACGAGCACGAGGAGTCGTCGAATGAAATCGAAGAGATATTGGTACTGGAGAACATATAGCAGAAAACTGTTATAAGAACTAACTGTACTCATTTTTAGGGACAATTCACGAATCCAACGTTTCCGCTGGAGGAGGTGAACACTGAGAAAGACGAAGAATGGCAACCATTGGAGAGAAAGTATTTGGATGGAATCACCGGTATCCGAGAGGAAATGATGATGAAGACGATGGCTTTGGAAAAGGTAAGAGGAAGCGAAACCTCAGAACGGGTATCCAAAGTATGCTTAGAGGGATCATTGGAATATTTGTGTATGCGTGTTTTTTCTTGAATGTAAAGTAGGACTTAGAGCGTAGCGAAGCAATCCGTGCGATCAAATCTGACAACTGTGTTAGCTGACGAATCGGATTGTCATGACAGAAGAATTCCCCAAATGCTGAACGGCGTACGCGATGGGCACTTTTGGTGCTCGGCGGCAAATGTCACAATTCGCCAAACCATATAGAAACAGCTAAATCGGGGATAACCTCGGGGAATTTTCAAACTACTTTAAGTATATGGTTCATAAAGCTAAAAAGAGAAGTTTATCACGTTGCAGGACATGGAAAGGGCGATGGCGCACAGTGACGAGGTACTCAGGAACCAGCGGGACTTTAGACCGATTGATGAGATGGTGAGACCACAGTAAAGTTATTTTTGGAATTTCATCTTCCAATACTATAATAATGCGTTCAAGTCCAATCAGTTGAGGGAGCAGGATCAATTGGGGTCTAAATCTCATAATACTTTAGTTCTTATAGATCCAATCCTCAATCTTTAATCACAATGTAGTTTTAGAACGGAAAATTGTAAAAAGGAACTGAAATGCAAATTGAGGGAATAGGGAATAGGAAACAAACTATGATTCAGATTGTTGTGAAAATACACAGGTAGCCTTTCATGGGGGCTTATTTTGACATAAATCTTTTATTCGGGGTCTACTGTAATCCACTAAATACTCGCGCACATGATTTTCATCTCCGTGTGCTTCGATCGAGCTTTCAGTTGTCTTACGTGCACTTTGTTCACAACATCCGCCTTTAGAAGGATCAGATCAAATTTTTCTCATATCTAAAAGTCAAAAATTGTGGATTAAGTGCGAATGCAGACACATGCACTCAGTAGTTTGTCTGATTGACTGCAGTTCCAAGATCAAAATTCTGTACTAACCATAGTTGCAAAAATAGTTCCGTTACTTTCATTCTTTTCGGAAAGACTGAAAGTCACGGTTATTCTTCCGCCTATCTTTTATAGCTGATCTGCTAGCAGCTCAATGAAACTCTGGTTGATTCAGGATTTCGGTAACGCTAGACTTTGTGTTGCGAAGAAGTTCGAGCAGGCAAGACAAAGTCTCAGAGGAGACGCTGCCACCAAGATTCTGGTCCTTCGTCGTGAGATCGAGCAACAGGGGTGAGTTATCGGCTTTACAAAAAATACTCACTTAAGTTTGTCACTGTGTCTCACCCCAAACAAGTCTAGAATGGGACCCCGAGATCCTTATTTTTGCAGTCGGAAACGTCGTAACTTTGATAAGAACACCACGGACGTGCTAGCCAACTGGTTCCATGAACACCGCCAGAATCCGTACCCGACAGATCAGGAAAAAGCGGAACTGGCTAAACAGTGTAATATCAAGATATCACAGGTAAGGCCAGGATTAATGGGTTCTCCGGTGCTAGGAATTTTGCAAATTGTGTGTTGTACACATTCTAGAAATGTGTACGGATGATGACGAGGATCCTATCAAGAAATCTGTGGGGAACCGAAGCATAGTTTTGAGTTTATCGGGTTCAAAACTACGCGTAAGCGCTGATCGTACATAGAGAAATCGGTTGTAATCTTGAAATCTTGAAATCGTGTTATGCACATTTTGTCGTTGCGTCCGTTTTTCACATTTTCGTCACACGGAGTTTGTGCCCGATCTGTGCGGTATTTAGGGTATGTCTGTAGTCTTAGGAGGCCAATCGCGACCTTTTCGAGTCTTTTTCTGTCTGAAATAATGATCTTTCAAAATTTTGTTTGCCTTCATTTTTTTGTTCAAAAATGTTGACGTCAGCGTTCTGAACTTCTTTGTTAGTGTAAAGTGATGAACATGATTCATGCCGACAAGGCAACCTGATCATCCGAATTTGCTGAAATGATAAATTTCGTATCAAATTTTCTTCTCAGTTTGCAGCTTTAATCAGCTTTTGAAAATCATCGCGTTGGCGGTGGGATTTATTTTGAAAATACACTGACGCAAGTCTTGAGCTTTATCCGGGATTTTGTCCCGATATAGTCTCACTGAATAAAACTTTTTTGGGCTTTCCGGAGCTCCGGTTTTCGATAGGATTAGATGGAATCACCAGAAAGTTCAACAATTGATAGGGATTTCCCGAGACTTGAAATTTTTCAGGTGAACAATTGGTTTGGAAATCAAAGGATTCGGACAAAACAGCAAGCAATGAAAGCACAGGAAGAAGAAGAAAAGGAACGTGCTGCGGCCGCGGAATCTGAAGCCCAAATGATGCAAAACTCAATGAATGAGTTCATGGGCGCGCAGAATGCAAAGTCTTCAATGCAAGCAATTGTGATTCCAGCCAGACAACAGAGTGTTATGGAAAATCAGAACGGTAAAGAGACCCCCAGAGATTGTTCGTGTTTTTCTTCGCTTTTTTCGATATTGTGATCACAACCTCCAACTCCCCGAAGAATAGTATCATTCTGTTTTCCAGGATTCGCTCAACAACAGCATTATTTCCAAACTGGAGGACAAATGTCACAAACTGATAATGGAGACGGACAGGTATTAAGAAACTGTGCTGACGTAATGACCTAGTGCTCTTCAGCAATTCTACACCGACTTTGACACGTTTGGAATTATTCCGTCCGATCCAGAACACTTCAATCAAATGCCGTATTTGGGATGAATTTCATTTCTGATATTTCATTGTATGCCGAAATAAACGTTTTGTTTAAATGCATTTATTTGTAAATATATTGCACAATAAGCACTGGGACTACAAATTTATATTAATACAATCTCTTTGGGATAGATATCTAAGCTATGGTAGACATTTTTTTGTTGAAAAAATAATTTAAGGTGGTGGAGGATTATTGGAATGTAAGATTAAAACAGTTTGACGAAGAAGAAAAACAATTAAAGACGGGGGTAAACATTGTTTTGTCACTGGTGAATAAATGAGCCGTTATTTGGTAAAGTATTTGGGGGAGAGAGAGGGAGACAGAGAGAGAGACGTTTTGAAGGGAACGAAAATATGGGAATTGCACGGTTCAGCACTACACAGTACGCACAAAAGTAACAACGGGACGAAGAGAGGTGGAAAGTCAGACATCTGAACTTAGCACTCAAGAAAAGGAGACTCAAGTTGACAATCCCGAAAAAAAACGCTCACAAGTCAGTTAAAATAAAAGTTATATACCTTTGTTATAGTACGGGGACACGGGGTGTTCTACAACGAACAGTACACTGGAAGAATATCTTTTATCACAGATATCGGGAAAGGGGACCACACTGGACCGACAGAACAATAAGAAATGTACACAGGGTTGAGAGGATACACAGATAGGACTGTCTGTCAGCCAAGGTGACTACAAGTTGTAAGGAGGAAGGAACTTGTAGACCAGACGCTGCTTCTTCTCCGGCTTTTGGATGATTCCTAAACTTTCAAATATGAAAATGCCACAGCTATCCCAAATCGACCGTACCTTTCTTGTAGTATTGACGGAGACTTCTCGACAACTTGTCGTAGTTCATCTGGGAGCGATTCTTACGCTGACCCCAATATCTTGCCAGCAAGAGTGACGACTCAATCTTGAAAGTTCCCTCGTCTCTATCGACCCATCTCACGCAAGCACTATACTGCTTCGGCTGATCCAGCAGCTCACGGATGAACTGCCAGAGGTGGACAGTTCCCTGGTGGCGGGTGTACACCCGATCATCCTCATCTCCTTCGCTTCCATTGCACATCGAATCCATTGGCGAATTCATGTATCCTGGATGATGGAAGAAGTTGGACATTCCGCAGTTTTGGCTTGACATGTGGAGGTCGATGTCATCATCGTTCACTTAAACATATGCTTTTACACTATTTCTGAGCTTTCCTTGGCATACTGTCTTGGCTGCTTCCATTGCTGCTGGTGTCGCTGTTGCTCGGAGACGGCAGCACGGTGCCTTGTTGGAAGAAGCCTCCCATTGACATGTTTGCATACCCTCCTATAAATATACTGTATGCAGACGCGGTTTCCGGTTGAAACCACCAACCGTTTCCATTGAAAAATGATTGATTCGGGTTCTCAACAGCTGCCATGTTGTTTGTTTGATTGTTGGTGTTGGCCATCTAAAAATACGAAGAGGCTTTATGAAAAACGCATTGTGCAAATAAACGGGGGAAGAAGCGAGAAGACTGTGGAGAGAATGACATACCCAGTTAGTCTTTGATTGCATGCCGTTATCAGCAGCGGTCATTCCCGAACTCTGCACCGTCACGGGCGGATGATACGATTCGAATGCTGAAAAGTTACTTCATTGACGTGTTTGCTCAAGTATAAGCTGATAAATATGATATGATGTAAAAGAAGGGCGTGATTTATGCAGATCACGTGAACTGACGTACCGGTCTTCCACACTTGCAGTTGGGCGTGCAACGTGTCTCCGCGCTCCGGCAAAAACGACTCGAAGTCCTTCTGACTCATGCTCAACAAAACACGACCGGTGACAAAGCAATTACGTGGCGGTTGAAGGTTGAACTGCTGGCACATCTCGTTGATCCAACGGGCTCCATGCTCGGCGGTCCACACATAGAAATCAGTGGGAAGTCCGAGTTTAGCGCACGTGGTACTGATGTCCTGGATCAAATGACGGAGGATCAGATCCCTGTAGATGTCCATCTGCTGAGTGTCCAAACTATTGTCTTGGGCGATGTCCGCGTTCACATTGAAATTGAGAATGTTTTCTGAAACGAATCGCACTTTGAAACAGCGGCAAGCGCCGATGCGTGTCGGTCTCCGTTCTCCCGCAAATGACCCACACTCGATCTAACCCTGACACATTTCCATATCTCCCTCAGTGTCTTAGCACTCGCTTTTCATCGAAAGATCAAATCCTTTGCCACGTTTTTTTCCACTTTGGGAAAAGGGAAAGGATTGGTGCGATTTGACCCCTCGACAAGACGCCCAAGTCATTTGGTAGCCGCTTGTGCGCAAACAACTTTCACTGGTCAATCCAGGCGTGCCGTCAGGCGAGAAAAAGTTGACCTGTGCCTAACTACCCTCATCCGCAAAACGTGTTTTCAGTGAGCGAGGATATCTTCCCCAGGCTAAATGAGAAGTTTTTTGATGAGGCGAAAGTGGCGAAGAAAGTGAAAGAGAAACAAAGCTTATGATTGACACTAGACGAACAGCGACAATCAACAATGCGTCTATTCTACCGTACCTTCAATCTCGTTTTTCACGTAGCTGTTGTCTTCGGCGTCCTGTAAAACATGGTACGGTAACTAACTGACACAGGAATCCGAGTCGCTTTTACCTTGGTGAAACGTGGGTTGTACTCGAGAGATGGAATCGGATGACATTGCATGTCCATGTTGTTTGGGTGTTGTTTGTGCGTGTTGATCTGTAACCCGCACATTTGTACATTGTGTTCTTCCTCCTATTTTTGAGACTGTCACACAAAAAGTCAGCGAGAAGCCCTGCGGAGCTTATCAATAATTACCTCTGACGTAAATGGCACGCACGTGCTGTACTGTAGATGAAAATGAAAGTGAAAATGAGAATGACAAGCTGACAAAGGTTTCGAAATAATAGAGAGAGAGAGAGAGAGAGAGAAATATAGGAGAAGAAGGAACTCAAAACATCAAGTACTCATCGAACTTTTTTGAACTTCAAAACAAAATATGAATCAGAATCTAATGATGACGATGATTAGAAAAACAAAAAACTCAAAACGATTACGGAGAACAAAACAGCAATAAGTTTCAATTTCCCTAACCTGTTTCTTTTTCTAGAGCAGCCATAAAATAATTAACGCAGCCACACCCTAAACCCACAAAACACTGACCTGATCGATTCCGAAAAGATCATCATCAAACGGAAATTCGCTCTTTACAAAAGGGGTGCTCGCTGTCGATTCGGTACCGGAATGAGGCTCCGGACTCAGAGAGTTCCATCGTTGAGTTACTGGAACGGAGTCGTTCATTGAATGAGTATCTGGAAAAAAAAACGACATGAAACCGATTATAGAGTTGAAACTCACAATTGTATTCGTTGAACGAGAATCCGAATTGGTTCAAACCATGAAACGGTTGGGTCTCGCCTGGAAAACACTCATTTTATTGTTGAAAGAACCAATGAGTCTTCTGAGAAAAGTAAAGATACGTACAGTACGCGGCAGCCATGTTAGTTGAGAATTCAGGAGAGGGTGAGGAGAGTCGACCTGCTTGTGCACTCGTTTGGGTAACGAAAAGTGGCAATGGTAATCAGTCAACTTTTATCGTCAACTTTTCTTCCACACCCAACCCCTTTTTCGGCGGCTCAGCACCAGTTATCAGTGCACAAGACGGTTTTTGGCGCGTTTCAAGTCAGACGGGTTAAACACAGGTCTCGGCACACGTCGGGCACAGTCACATGAAATTTCCAGAGTAAGCCGTTAAGTGATAAGTGACGAAATGAAATGAAAATTGAAAATTGATGGCGCCAGTTAATGTTTGTGCGGTTTGAGAAGCGAGTCGATTGCGTCAAATAGGGGCAAAATGCGTTTTTTATCAGTGAATCATGTTGCACACTGACTCTGATTGAATTGAAAAGTGATCTATATGCTAGACGTCATAAGATTGTCGTGTTGCGTTCAAACAATGGTATTAGAGAAGTGAAAGTTAGATGGAAATACTAATAAACTTATTAGTCAGGCCAATAAAAGTGATGAATAAATCAAGACGATATGTACTGTGAAGGTTGGAGTTCGAACAATGGGGATGAATCAGGATGGTCGCGTCTGACACCGACTCTTCTTCGCCATTACAATGGTACAGAACTCGCGGCGCGCGCTCAAATTGCTCCATGCAAAGAGCCCATTCATAGTAGTACAGGTAATGTGGAGAAGACCGAAAATGTGTTTCGTCACAAATGAAACAGGAATGATAATGGGACAGGACAAGACGAGAGGAGACCCAACTCCTTTTGCCCATTTCCATTTCATTTCGCTTTTCTCATTCTAGTCTTTTTCCCCTTTTTCGATGACCGCTTGTTCGGTTTTTTGTGCGCTCGCTCGCTCCAACGAACGAATCGAATGGACAATAGTACCCGTGGCGTATTGTGCTCCACGAACTGTGGCGGTGACCAAACACAACTGAACCGGAAGGGGCAAAAAAGAGTTTGGATTGAGAGATTGAATGAAATCGTGGATGTGCAGTTTTCAGTTGCGTGGGCTTTTGCTCACATCAATTATGTGCCCGTGGGACGGAGCCGAGACGATTTATCTGCTGATTGTGCAAATTTTGCTTTGCACTCGTGACGCAGCTCTCATTTGTCAAGAGAGTTACGTATTCATTTAGAAGCTTTTGGCAAAATTTTTGTGATTACACATAATCGTCATAATCTCTCTTTTTCTGCTGCAACTACACTGTTCTTCCCCCGCTTTTTCGTTTGCTTCATAAGCTTGAAAGTTGATGACTGATAACTCGCGTGATTGATGTCGATTCCTTACGGCGCCTTTGCACGATAAATCACGTTACCGACAAAGAAATCAAATCGTTTTCAGCACTTCTCGATCGGTGCACAAACAGTTACGGAACAGTCTAGTTTGCTGTTTTTGGCATGACAAAAATACGCCGGTTGCGGAAATATTTGATTTAGTGTTTTGTGCTTTTCGTCGAAAATGAGAGGGCCAACCACCTGAAGTCGTTTTGCAAACAGCCAAGTGACCGGCTACCGTACGGCCTCACTTTGCCAGTCAGCGAGCAACAAACAAAACAAGAATGGCTCAGCAGCAGCAGCAGGAGCCACAGCTCCCGAGCGAGCACTCTCACCTTGCGCCCGGTGTATTTTCACACTGTTTGACCGGTGGCCGATACTTCAACAAGAGCCACTGTCCGACGGAGACGACAGTGGCGCGACTTTTTTTAATTCAACATTTTTGATAGGCGATTCTTGAGACGAGCCAAAAGCAAACAAGCGCATTTTTAAAAAATTGACGGCAAAAAATTAAATGGCAAAAGGGAAAAAAGAAGAAAGAAGAACGAAAGTGCAAAATTTTAGAGTTTGAACAGAAAGTTTCAGTTGCTCGAGCATTAGGATTAGCAGAAAAGATGATTTTCAGTGAGATGGAACAGGCTTCAAAGATCGAAACACCGATGAGTCAGTCAAGTCCACATAAACTTTGAAAATTCCGGAAAAGCACAGTTGATTAGTGTCGTGGGAAATGAAGGTGAAACTCAAAAATAGAGATGAAAACGCATTTCAGAGAGCTGAAAAAGAGACGAAGCTCATTGAGACTATCCTATCCGATTCAAATAAGGACCGATAGGAAAAGAGTTTGTTTTGAGTGGATTGACATCTTATGCCTGTTGCTCAGTGTCGTCCAAGACACATGGAGCCCTCCCGGCCAACCGGCCGTCGCAGCGGCACAAGAAAAAAATTAATTGTGGACAGACCCGGAGGCGGTGCCCTCCGCGCGGCTACCGCGCAAACTCTCCTATCCACAAATACACTCTCGGCTCCCCCGAATACCGGGGCCTGTTTTTTTTCCGCTCCAGGTTGACATGTAGGCAGACACAAAATTTAGGTGGGGGGGGGGGGTGACCCCATTTCGAAATTTTTCAACTTTTGACACAAATCTCTTTTTTTCAGTTACTCATCAATTTGATAAGCATACTTGAATTCAAAACACTTCCTGTTTTTAAGTGAAGCTATGAAGGAATGCACAAAAAGTTTGGGCGTCGCTCAGTGCATTCCATTGAAAAAGGATGTGATTGATAAAATAATATGATGTGCGTGGAAGTTAATCGGAAGAATGATGATGAGTTAGTAACTGTCGAGGGAATAGAAGCGGAAAAATGAACACAACAGTTATTGTAACGTCTTACGGAAGAATCTTGTAAGACAATGTGAAGTGAATCGTGAAATTGATTGCACTGTACAGGTCATCAGAGGGAAAACGAATGTGCGACATATTATATATGTGTTAAAAGAAAAGACAAAATGAATGAAACATTCGAAGAGTAGGAGTAGCGGGGGATAGTATTCTTGTCAGAGGTCAAACTTTTTGATGTTTTCCGAAAAGTGGCCCCTCGATCCTAACGAGAGCGGGGGATGGGGAGGGAGGAATAGATGAGGACCGATTTCAGGTGAAAGTGCTGGCGCGGTGCGTCACGAGAAAAGTGAAATGAGTGAAGAGCGAGGATCCAGGTCATGGGGTGGCCCTTTCTCCCGCCCGAAGAAGCTGTACGATCTGTTTCTCTACGTCTTCTCCCCCCGCCGTCGACCCCTTGATCCCTTTTTACCTCAACAAGATCGGACTGCGGGATGAACGACGATCTTCTTTACCGACTAGTTTACTTTCGTTCACTTTCCCGGACACTTGCAGCGAGGAAAAAACCATCAGCGAGGGGGACAAGAAGCGAGGAAGGATGATGCATACAACAACTACTACTACAGTAAGAAAATAAATGTGGATTTTCACTTTTTGACTACTTTTGATGAAATCGAAAGCTTTGTCCAGCTTGAGAGGATGAGGATGATCGAAAAGATGGGCTTAAGGGTCACAACAGCTGTACCAGAGCTTCAAATGCAAAAGCAAAAAAAAATGAAAAGAAAAAAGACACTCGGTTTGCTTTTCTTTTCCGGACTCACTTTTCTCTGGTTTCTCTGGTAATTGAAGGGTTGAATTCAGGAGAAGATCGATGGGAAAAGTTGTATAAGACACGTGTAAGGGGCCCGTTTTCTTTCAAGGTTGTGCGAGAGAAGAAAATGGGGCATCAGGCACTTTGCAAAAAATGCCGATAAAGTGCAATCAGGGGATTCGAAAACGTCGCCGCAAGCTGATCGCATCGAAGTAGTTTTGGGGAAGGATATTTGAGCGTCGGGTCAGATTTGTTATCGCTTCGCGCGCAACCGATCCTTCATCGTCATTGTTGCATAGGCCCTTCGCAAGGGGGCAGAAAGCGTCGAATGAAAGTCTCTGGTTATCATATCACTTTTGTGGGGGCGCGATAACACATAAAAAGAGAGTCAGATCATTTTCGTCTCATTTTATGGGGGCCACCTCCCCCGCATTTGCAGAACGATAAAACAAAAGTGTCTTCGGAAGGAATCTGTTTTATGATCGCACAGAAATATTGGTAAAAGTCCGTGGTATGTTCGGTACTGAATGTTTTGTTTGCACAATGGACGAGTAAATGAGATGAGACATCCATAATGTAGGTCGGATGAAACGAAACGCCTTCGGATTTCAAATCTTTTCACCTCTTACTGTTCTGGGTCGTGGTCACCAATAAAAAAGCATGTTTCACTTTCTTCTCCGAAATTTCGCCTCCTTTCACCCCTACAACAACAAATAGACGATGTCCCTCTCGTTCCTCCGGTGGCACGTCGTGTCAGAAAAAAAGGCGCCGAAGACGGTCAGACAGACAGAAAGAGAGAGCGACAAGAAATCGGTGTTTGTTATGAAATGGAAAGTCGGCTATTGGCCGCTCGTGGACATTCAAATCGTCATTAAGGCGCGCAACGCATGAGATCCCGAGCGTAAGATAGCATTTAGCGATTAGATGGCCTCAAAATCGTCTGGAAGTGTCTTCTAACTGAAAGAAAGAGTGCATTTATTCAATTACACATCAAGTAACATTCTGGGGAGTTTTTAGTATTTAGTGGTTGCAATCGCGGCTTTCTCCAGGCAGCATTCCTTCCAAGTTCCAGGTTCCAATGTCCAACGTCTTTGGGGTATCGGAATCAGAATAGATGTAATGGTTTGGCAGCTCGAACTTCCATCTTCTCTGGCATGGCTGGAAATAGAAAAGCTTGTGTCCGATCATCATCATCATTATCGTCCCACATTAATTCCATCATCGCAATCGTGATAAATTTTTAAATGTGGGTCAATTGTGGTCAGTTCGGTCGTGGATCCATTCAATTCGAAAACTCCATTCGCGTCGGTGTATCCCTTGCCCAAGTCATCATCTGGATCGGATCCTGAAGCCGAACATTAAAATGTACATAGCGAAGTCACAGTCTAACCAAAGTCATCATCTATCAGTTTGACAAGTACTTGCTTGGCTGGTTCTGTTCCACATCGAAACGTTCCTTTGACCTGAAAGCAGAAGTATGCAATATAGGTGAATGAATATAAACTTACTCTATAATACTGACGTCCAGTGTGTTGTTCTGGAACTGAATTGGCCAGAATGACTGTAAGGAGACAAGCACCGAAAATCAAGGATTTTGTAATCATTTCTGAAACGGCTGTATAATTTGAACAAGTCAAGCAACAATCTCAAAGATATATAGCGGTGCGAAACCGCTGAGAATAAAATATTATACGTCAGAAAAAGTACTATTTTATCATTCAAAAACATTGAGAACATGACCATTTTTCAGTGAGCACAGCTTCTGCTTTCGTTGTCCAGTTCAATCTGAAGCGATGCATTTGAAATTGTTTGTTTCGGATTAGAGAACCCTCAGAATTTACGTATCTGTCTGAATTGTCTTCTATTGCCACGTTCACTGTCCGAATCCCAACTCTTAGAAACGTTTATAGCGACCTCGCGCTGTTAGGGATTTGGAGAGCGTATGAGACAATAGAAAACGTGTCAATAAAAAACATAAACCGGGAGGGTTTCCTGGTCATTAAACTAACTTCAAGATTGAGCACACCCAAGTCCATAACCTCCTTCACTTCTGGTCCGTTTGTGATGTACTTTGCAGGTATCCTTATGACCCATTCTCTCTGACATGGCTGCAAATCCAAAGTTTCCAACCCTTATTTCTAATTGCTGACGTACGCTTCCATGATCGTTGCAGTCGTGGAAGATTCTGAGTTCTGGATCGATCGGGGTCAGTTCCATGGATGATCCGGACAGCGAAAAGTTACCCTCCTCGTCGGTTGTTTTCTGATCAAGCACATCATCTGGGTCCGGGCCTGAATCCGAGTATAAACTGATGACTCATTGATGACTTTTGACAAACCGTTATCTTCGTCAAAAAGTTTCAATTGCACACCGACTGCCGGCTTGCTGCCACACATCAGCTTCCCCTTGACTCCAGTCGACTGGGTACGGAACGCAAGTGATAATCCAACCAGGAGACAAAGACAAATTAGAAGTTTCATCTGGAAAAATAAATAAATAAACTGAAATTAAATCGTCTCGAGTTTCAAGGAGAACAACCATCAACAGTCGCATGATATTTCATAAAGACAGAGCAGAATAAACATTTGATTACAGAGAAAAAGTTGATAATCGCATTTGTGCGAGAGTTGGTTCAATCGAGACGAAAAAAACGTATTAGTTGAGCAAAAGAGAATGTGAATAGCAGTTCTGGATAATCTTCATGACGTTTGACACAAAACTAAAAGTGTCACGTGTTTTCAGGCACTCCTGAATGTTATGTGGATTCCTCGAACACATGTTATTCATACAACTTTCTAGAATCAAAGAATTCCGATTTTCTTCTCACAAACCTATTCCTAACGTGACTTTATCGAAATCAAACAACTATCTGCGGAACTGATAACCCTCCTGTTCAAAGTCCACAAGTCTATTTTCGTTGCAAAATGCACAAAAAGACAAAACGAAAGCTGTAATCGAATCGATAAGCAAGGTCAAGTGATTGGATTGGGGAAAGCGGGCAGAAATGAGGCGTCGACGGAGCAGGAGCTGAATTGTGTTGACCGAAAACAAAACGCCAGTTGGTCCCCGAGACACTCGATTGATTGCATTACGAACGTTCAAGAAGCGAAGCCACATGGTTGCTGAGTTATTCAGTTGAGCTGGCTGAACGAGAGAGAGGGAGAGAGAAGAGTTCAACGCTTCATCAGTTACGGATATCTGATAAATCAAGAGAGAGATTCAATATATTCCGTCGGCGTAAACTCCAACTTGTTTTCTGGTTGTCTTCACTGGGAGGAGGCTCTGCTGGTTGGATGTCATTGATTTCCGGAGTACTAATTTCATGAATAGACTGCGGAGAAATGGTGGAAACCTCCTCGAATGTTCTGGTAGGAAGGTCATGGGACTTCATCTAAAAGACAATAATTGGTGCGAATAGAGAAACACGACTTTCTTACTTTTCCCCGGAAAAATTTAAACACAAACTCTCCGCAGAATAGGAGCAATCCGATGCCGACGCCTCCAAGAAATACCCAGAATGCGCCTTGTGCTCTTTTCAAATCCAAATAACCTGAAACGCAAACATTTCTTGCACACGAATCCATACGCTCCGCACTCTTCGGTCCCGTGGTCGTCGAATTACACTCGTTAATTTTCTGCATTGCGACATATGATCTGTAGTCGGCAATCCATTTCTGTGTAAACCCTCGTTCGACCATCTCACGTATCCTTAAAACAACAAGTACTCTTCACATTTGTCTCAAGATATGACAGACTTTGTCGAAAAATATGATGAGTAAATTGAGTGTTTGACGAGTGGAATTGATAGGTACACTGGTAGAATGCCGTCATTCAAAAGTATGACCTTACAGTCCGAGTACGCATAAAAGTTCAACGTGGCCATGGGTCCCAACAATGCATATCCGGGGTTTGCTCGCACAAACGCGACTCCTGCAATGAATAAGTGACATGTAAAGTGTAAAGGCGGAAAATGGAAACCTCGAGCAACTCCGTTGACATATTTCACTTTGTGATTCACGTTCATCTCATGCCACAAATCTTTGTAAACCGGTAATTTCGACCTCTGCAACAACAAACAATAGGCGATCGACTTTTTCCGTCATACCGCAATCATTTCGGTTCTCGTGAACGAGTTTTCATCCATAACAATTTCGAATCTTCCCTGCTTCACCAATTTCACAAGCTGTTCGATGTCTGGAACTTGTTTTGACGTCACCTACAAATCCCATACTAACTTTGGAATGGCAAATTGGTTTTGTCGACTGCGAAAAGCGCGACGAGACTTCCAGTGAAAGTGGCGCTCAGTGTAATACTTGCCAGCCACCACAGAGCTACGAGAACACGACAGCTCCAACTCCGGGGCTGTTCCGGTAGTCCTGGAAACAAAAGAAAGAAAAAGATGCTTTCCGTCGTTTCGTTTTTCTATTTTCAATCTTCTATTCTACTCGTTTTCCACTAACCTTGCTGTACGAAAATAGAGAAAAACACCCAAATTGATTCGAACGGAGTCACTGCCATTTCTCGATAAACTTTTCGCAACAACTGTGTCATTCCAAGAAAAATGGCTCCCGAAAAGAGGATGACGGCAGCTGTTATGACCCAAACTTCCCATGAAAACGGCTCAGTGACGATGAGCAAAGTGTCGTCCTCGTATTTTTCTGGCGATCTAAAATGCAGAGAACAAGGCTTTCTTGCGAAGAGAGATAGAAACCTTATCATGATGCCAGTGGGTTCGAATTGAAACGGATAAGTGAGATCAGAGATCACGCTCCGATCGTATTCCATGATAGCGCCGCCGGCGAGCAAATCGACTTCCTGCCACAACAAATAATATAAATTTGTCTTATTCACACCATTCCAACCGATATTACCGCCTCAATCTTTTTTCCCCAAAACCACTCACCCCTCTCACAAGTTGTCCAAACGCGCCAGTCCATGTACCATTCAAATATTCTCCCCACGAGCTGCCGGACGCCGGGACTATCTGAGACGCCTCTTATTTTATCTCTTCTCTTTTGTCTGCTCCCTTTTTTCTCACTTCATAAGTCAAGTTGAGTCGATTTCCAATTTCTTTGAGTATTTCAATGACAACTCCCGGTCCATAGCCTTTGTCAACGACAGCCGCGTCGGTAAAGTTCACATAGTTCACATAAGGCGGCTCGAGGGCCGGCACCACCATTCGCAACGTCTTGTCTCGCATTTGGCTGAAGGAAAAGTGTTTCTCCGTGCTGTGCTGTAACAATTGCATTTTTCAATTTTTCATTCCCCTCTGCTCACCGTGTAGGCGTCTCCATAGTCGTTTTCAAAAGAAATTTGAGGAGGCGTCGAAACTTCTGCAACTTTTTTAAATGTTTATATATTTGAGAACTGCTTGCTCGCTCACTCTCATTTATCGACTCCAAAATATTATTGAGTGTCCTGATAGAATTCGGATCGGCCGTAGTGTTTTCCAACTCGTAAGACGCCATTCTATGCAAATCTGTGCGGCGAGAATAAATGAGGAGAAGAATGAGCAGAATTGACATGGTGTGCATTTAATAGGCATGAATTTTTTATTCTTTATAATAGAATAGAATTCTTGAATACCTTTGCTTCAGATGGCTCGAATTTCATGCCGTTATTCCTCGAAATCGGAGTACTTGAAAACAGGGTTTCTGGCCACCGAGAGTCAAGTGGAATGGAAATGCGCTCGAGAAAACAAGTAATTATGGCGGTGACCCGACAATAGCCGTAAATTATTACTACTGCCTTCCTCCTGTTTGCTGTCCATCTTTCGCAACTATCGACTCCTTTTTTGACGTACATCTATCCAGCATCCTCAATCATGCGTTGCGTTGTTTCAACCGTAAATGAGATTGCGACGCGTACAAACACACGCTCTTACGGACATTTGACCCGTCTATTTACCCGTCCCCTGTTCATTTCCGTGCATTTGGGCCTTTTCTGCGCGTCATATATGTATGGTCGGGTCGCAATTGAAATTCTTTGTCATTTCATTTTGGCGTGAAAAATTGAAAAACAGCAGCTGAATCAAGTTGATTTTTGTTTGATGTCATTCTCAAATAACTTTTATAAAGTGCATTGCTCCTTTGGGTCCATTCTCTCATGCCCACACTTTTTCGCTTTTTTGTTTTCTCAATTGAAAAATGCTGTTTGTCATTTCTTTTCTGAAACAAATCCGATTTCTCAAAGTATTTCATCATCGTTATGGCTTTACCTTCTCTGAGCCGAGAACCTACTATTCGGGGCCAAGGGTCGTCTGCTGACCCCTTTTCGGTGCATGCGCAACTTTCGTGCGTCCGTTACCAACTGGTTCCCACTTGACCCGCACCCCTCCCGCAGTCCAATCGACTTAACCGCCATTCTCCTCGTCTGCCGCAATTCCTCTTAACACTGGTGATCGATCTAGATCCCGGTGGCGAAAAATAAACAGCCATGTCATATTCGTCCGGAACAAACACCGGCTGATTCTGTCTATTTCTAATTCCGTTCCATTTCATCCGGGCAACACGCGCGACACTCAACGTCTCGGCGGTCCCTGGGTGTTATCACAATGATTCAAATCAAACATCGGGTTGGTTTGAGTATACATATATACAAAATGTCTCACGTCCCCTGTATTTGTATTTGAGTTTCGCTTATGACCCCTTTGTGTGGGAAAATGCCGTAAAACCGCCCTTTTGCGCATTTTCCGTCGTCATACCATCGCATGTGCACTGCTCTCTTGGTTTTGTGGCTCCTTAAAAGTCCATTTTTCAGATGCCGGTGCAATTCGACTTGCCACCGCCAACGACGGCGGGAAACACGTCGACACCGGAGAAAATAACCTTGGATCGACCGCTGGAATCTGATAACAATGAAGTCGATAAGACCACATCGAGCACCGACGCGAAAATTCGTCAGACAAAAGTGAGTCTGATCGGACCGGGCTGTGCTAAACCGTTTTTCTCGTGTGAAACTAATGGGAAAAAAAACAAACATGCAGAGGAATTTGTAATCAGAACGGTGTGATGTTTCCATTTCGGGCTGGGTTGAAGATTAACTAAAGCACGGGCGTACACATTTCCAACTAACAAGCTCTTTTTGCCTGAGTCCAAGTGATAAATAGCACATTCTTTTTATTAGGAGTGGAGGAACGAGAGAAATTGGTGAAGAAACTGATAAGAACGCGTCACAATCGAGGCGAAAAAAAGAGTTTCCAATTGTAAACGCTTTCTATTTTACACTCACATTCACCCCAATCAATGGGGCTGGACCGTTGCTGAAAAAGTTTCGCTCAACTTATTTTTCAATCTATTAGAAACGAATTTCGTTTAATGACGCAACTATTGATCAGTGTCTGAGTTTCGCACCGTTCTTACACTGCCCACACGTAAATGTTATCTGGAACGTGAACAATGTCTGATAGTGGTTAATCCGGTCGCCGAAAAGAGCCTTTAACACTACCCTTTGGCTTCTTCTCCCCTTTCTTCTCCCCCTCGCTTCTTCCCGACTGTCGCACACAGAATGGTGGCGCTTATCAGTAGAAACTACCTTTCTCCCTCTCTCTCTCTCTTAGTTTCATATTATCAACCTCCACAACTCGGTCATATTTCTTTGTTTCGCCTAACTATTCAATCTATGAGTGGGAAGTATTCTTCGATCCTAAAAAGAGAGAGGGACGCGGAGCGGTGCAAATAAAACTGGACGGTTATCAGTTGTTCTTCATCATATTCTTCCAGTTCCTCACTGGGTTTCTCCTTGAACAATTTTATGGAGGAGACTTCTAGCTCGGTTATTTAGAAGATTTTCCACTAACTTTTCTTCCTTTTTTTGGAAACTCACTCGTTTGCTTTTGCTCTACCAGCCATCATTCAGAGTGTAGTATAGTCCACGGTTTAAGGCAATAAGTACAACAAAAAACAATAACCATTTGGTTGATCGAATGGTAGGCGTAGGCGAAATGGAAACATACAGCGACTGTTCTGATTCTGATTCCTACGATCTTCCAGATGAATTATACACAAGAAAATATACGGTAGTTAGAAATGTGCGGACAATCATCCGATATTGTGTGTTCCAGGTTATCAACAATTGTCCTCATGACACTCATACTTTGGAGCACGGGCTACAGTTGAAAGGAGAGCCAATCAACGAATCAGAGTCTGCTGTCGAGTGAGTTCATTCCGTCCAAACTACATATGTACTAATGTAATTTGTTTCCTTTTCAGTAGCATCAGCAAAAGTCTCCTCGTACAAATAGCCATAACGGTTGTGTTCTGCGTGATCGAGTTTGTCACTGGAATCGTTTGCACTTCGATCGCCATGCTCGCCGACAGCTACCACATGGCGGCCGATGTGATGGCCTTGATAGTGGCGCTCACGTGCATCAGGGTGCGCTTGGAACAATCGTCTCCTTTACTGATAACTTTTTGATTTCAGATAGCTACGCGTCCATCGAAAAAACACGGATACGGATGGGTGCGAGCCGAGACACTCGGAGGATTTTTCAACGGAATATTCATGATCACAGTCTGTGTGCTGGTTTTTCAAGAAGCCGGTGGACGAGTCATCAGTCATCACAGAATCCTTCATCCATTGCAAGTTCTTATTATTGGAGCGTGTGGATTGGCGATCAACTTGATCGGAATGTTCATGTTGAACGGACATGGACACGCACATGGAGGCGAGGATGGACATGGACATTCTCATGGAGGTGGCGCCCACGGACATTCGCATTTTGGCGGGCACGGCAAAAAGAAATCTGACGAGCACGACGAACATGACGATGACCATGAGAACGGTCATGGTCACAGTCACGACCACGACCACGTTGATCACTGCTCTGAAAGTCATAAGAACGAGGAGCCCGTTGCCAATGGGCATTCAGTGGGAAAATCCAATGCGCTCACCCGTTTGCTGGCCGAAGAAGCCCGTGAGGAAACTGTGGAACGTCGTCTGTCCGGAGCCACCACCCAGAATGCGATCATCGCGACGATAGACCGTCAGATGACACCGTACGGGACTCACATTGCTAGCGAAGTGCTCAATGGCTCGTCGGCGGAACTCGAACCAACACATTCAAAGTCCAAAAAGAAAGGCAAGTTCATGCAGTGATATACTATTAACGTGGTTCAGTAAAGTTAGATGGTCACATAACTAGAATATAACTAATAACGTACTTGTGAGATCGAACAACAAACATAGCTGCAACTCAACTCACCAAAGAATAAAGGAAATTATTTGTTTTCAGAGGAGAAGAACGTGAATGTGCACGGAGTTTGGCTCCACTTACTGTCGGATGCGCTCGGATCCGTCATTGTCATGGTGTCCGCGTCGGTCCTTCTGCTCTGGCCCGACTGGTTCATTGCTCCGTATCTGGATCCCATGTTGAGGTATGCGCAAGCAGCGAACCCGACGTCTTTTCGCGTACTAATCGATTTTTTTAGCATGTGTCTCGCATCAATTATGGGTTTCACTGCCATCGTTCTCGTGAAGACGTCCGGAGAGAAACTGCTCAAGCAGACGCCGAAAGAATTGGACTTGGAGAAAGTCAAAAAGGATTTGTGCAGCATTGTTGGAGTTTCGAAGGTCGTGCACTTGAAAGTTTGGACCTTGTGCGGTCAGAGAATCATCGCCGCCGCCCATGTGAACTTCTGCCATCCGGCTGTCTTTGCGGAAGCATCGTTTAAGATTAAGAAGTATTTCCACGACATGGGAGTCCACTCGACCACAATTGAACCGACCTTTGAGGTGAGATCTAAATGTTCAAACAAAAAAATGAACAATGTTCTTCCAGGACACTTGCATGCAATCCATGACGGTGATGGTCAAGAAGGTTCTGAATGGAAAGAGCATCGAGGAGCCAGCTTCCATTTCGATCGGGAATGAAGTGGCTTACTAGGCATTCTGACATTCCTTTTTTCACTTTTCAAAGCTTTTAGTGCATAACCTCTCAAATCATGTGATATTTTTTCAAACGTTCCCCTATTGTTTTCATATTTTCTCAAATTCCAATTTTCATTATTATGTTTGTTCCCACTCCGTCTGCCTTACCTTATCCCAATGTCACATTCTGGTCATTCTTCATCGCACTTCTACTTATGATACGAGTATGCTCCATCCACCAAACTTCAAGTGCCAGTCGTGAAAACTTTAACAGAAGTTGATCGTGTCATCGTATACTTAATCCAGAATAATGTCTATACATAGAGAACTGTCCGGATAGTTTGTTTTTTTCGAATAATAAAAAGTTTGAATTAAAACATGCAAAGAAGAAGGAAGAAAACAATGGATGGTTCCATAGAGTTATACTTTTTCAGTTTGTACGTACATGGCAATCACAGACTAGATATTCAGATGGCGGCTCCAAATCACAATGAAATGCCAGACGTCACCATCGAGTTGGACTACGACGATGATTTATTGGAGGACGAGGATGTGGTTAGAATATTTTCCCACAAATGTCTACATGAAATCATTGCAGCTTCCCGAACAAGCCGAAGAAGAGGATGATATAACTATCGACGATCCGATCGCACTTTCCGATGTAACTTTCGAGTTTCCGGACGGGAAAAAGTATGACGAGCCTTATTTTCACTGAGATACACATCTTTTCTTGAATCTCCAGAATCAAAGAACTGGCGAACGACATTCTCGTCTCAATTTTCGACAATTTGAAGTTTCCAACCGCCGTGTCGACGCCTTCGTGGCCTTTTGTCTACGATTACCTGTGCAATCAGTTGCCGGTTAGTTGTAAACATAGTACGTGGGTGATTACCGTAATACAAACTATTCAGAACACCGACGCAATCAAGAATCTCGACAGAAAAGACGCTTGGAAACCATTCCACGAATTGGAAGCTCAACAGTTGTTAGATGCACTCGAGGCGGCGCAACGGATCGATGTTTTGTTCGAACTGCAAATGAAAATGAGAGCTGGCGACTATTTACAAGTTAGAAGAGGTATAATCGAAGGAAATTCCAACTGCGACAAACGTTTATTTGTCAGTTTCGCGCAATCTCAGTCATGCATCAACTCTATCGATTAGAAGCGAAATTTCCGACGTGAACCAACCGGCGAAAAAGTTTTCGGGAAAGAAAAGTGAGCTTTTTTGTTTGAGGAAGATTTCTATCCTAGTCTTGTTCAGGAATCCTGGTTTTGCACTACGAGAGAACTGAAACGGAAAAAGCCAACTTTAGTTGGTTCATGCAAAATTTGAGAAGAAATTTGCGTTCTCCGGCAGCCAACGGTTTGAAATTGCTCGACGTGGCCACTTTGGAGAAAGACGACGGAGGAAATATGGTCTACAAAATCGATGCAATGTATAACGATGTAAGATTTTTTCAGTTTCTGAGTAAATCGGCAGTTTTCAGTTCGTTCACATTGTCGTTTGCTTTAACAACTCGTACATGACGTCTTTTGACACTATCGATTTTGCAAGGGACTTTTGGCTGAGAAAGTGGATTCATGAGAAAACAAAGATCGAGTTCATGGACAATCAGGGCAGGAACAAACGATGTCGGTGTGTGCTCATGCCGGTGAGTCTGCTGTTTTTGCCTTTTTTCCAGGTCGGGCCGGGACTTTTGACCCACTTCCAATATTCCGATCTTTGCAGTCTTCTTGGACTTGGATGGGAATATCTTGGGTCCAAGTTTTGAACCAATAGGATTGTCTGGTCCGTAGATATACTGGTTTGAGGCTGAAAGATCAGGTTTTTGAGGAAATTTTGGTTTTCTCTGTCTCTAATCCACTTATCTTCGGACAAGATAATCCTATCGGACTGAAACAGAGCCACAAAATATTTCAACCCGAGTCCAGAAAGTTTGGAAACTCTGGGTTCGATCAGATTATTGCGAGTGGTTGAAAAGACCAAGCCTGTTACAAATTCTGTTTAGGGCACGACGCACGTGAATCGTCTCGATTGGGCGTCCGTCACTACTCAATACAAATTCCCCGACGATTTCAACGACCTTTTCAAGAGGCTCATTCTTATGCGAACCACGACTTCCAACACAGTTGAAATGGGACGAAAAAACGAAATTGAAAGACCAGGAACAATTGACGCAACTGACACAGTTTCAGCAGCAGCAACTAGTTGACTCTGCAAATGCCGCTTCCCGAGCCTTCATAATAAGCTCTTTCACAAGTTCAAATTTCACTGAAATTAATTGAGTGAATAAATAAAAGGATCTCTTCCCCTTTTCTCTGTTTATAATTGTTGTGTACTTTTTACGCGGACAACCTTGGCGAGTACCCATATTCTTGGGAGCTGACTCATCTGCTCGATTCTAATTGCGTTAAGGGCGACTCATGTTTAGAAAGACTGAGAAGAATCTGCGGACAACATCGGGATGTTTTCAGTCCCCCAGAATCTTGTGCGTTTTCTCATGAGAACTTTTCTTCCTGATGGATGATATCCCAATTTCACACATCGAACAGTCGGAGCTAATCGCATCACCGATTAGTACGCATTTCTGCACATCTTCAGTGATTCAGAACGGACTTGTCATGAGTTTGTTTCCGCTATTTGTTCGTTCATCAAAGTGGTGGTGAAGGTGGATTAGGCACTGGCGCGAGAGATCATATCGATATAAACGCCAAAATAATAGCGAGAAGCTTATCCGGCGGCATTAAGTGTACAACTGGATGAAGGTGGCTCCTCTTTCATTTCCAACGCAGCCATAATAACAACTCTTGTCATTGATTGCTTCTCCGATCTTCGATTGTTCCCGCTCAAATAAAACAAAGCAGTTACACAGCTCTGGAGCATAAATGATGTTCAAAAGCACTCGCAAGACCACCAGTTTTATCTGTCATCAATTCAAGTTTCATTAAGCCACCGATTCGCATCACTGAACCAATTTATAGAGAATACTAACTTTCATCATTTCATCATCGACATTTGCTCTCCCTTTCTCTCTTTCTCCTTTTCTCTTTTTTTTCTTTTTGGGGAGTATACAAGTGTATGTATGTGTGCGGTGGTTAATGATGGATTTGTGAAAAGAAATAAGGTTAGAAGTGGAAGTGTGCATACTTTAGCATGTTTCATTGATGTTGTGCACATCCGTCCCCAATCCTTCATCCAAAGGTCGTCGCATTTCTGTTCTTTTGCTTCGACCCCTCTCTCCCATACTCCGTCTACTTTTTGTTTTGTTCTGCACAAACTTTGGACAGTTCCTGAAAGGTGTCGTCTTTCCGAGGTTTTCCAAGATTCCCTCTTCCTGTTCTGACATCTAACACTCACTGATGTGTCTCTTGACAAAGAGGAAGAAGGAATGGAAGAAGAAGGAGCAGAAAAACTATTTTCGAAGCACTAGAATTTCTCGAGGCGATCGAATTTCAGCCTCTTCTTCCGTTTTCTGTTTCTGCTTCCATAACATCTCCAAAAACAACAAACAAATTAATTGTTTCTAGTCACCACCTTTTTTTCTCCCGGCGCTTCGCGAGCGACCAAAAATGGCTGAGCATGGAACAAATGATGAATCACAATGTGCAAGCCCATTGTCTAACGGGGGACACCTGACTTTTCTTTGTGCCAAAGATCACGAAACACCGGAAACGGTTTCAGGCTGACTTGTTTTTGTTTTGTCTTGTTCCCAGCTCTCAGTTTTTCGGCACCCAGATATAGATTTCAAAAATTCTCACACTTTACATAACTCGAGGCATGTCCACTTCCCTCTGTTTTCCCCTCATCCAGTCCGTTACATGTTTTGAAAAACAGGACAAAAAAATAATTGCGGTATTAAGCTTTTCATTGAGACCTCTCCTGCAGTGCGATGGGTCTTCGAGTAGCGGCGGCGAAATTGTTTCTGCCCCCATCCAATAGGAAAAGCCGCCCGAAATGTAAATATGTACGACTACAGTGAATGCCCCTAAAGAAAACCTCCTGGTTTTCCAATTACTTCCTGGCTTAAGATGCAACGGAACAGTGTTTTCAGTAAGATCACGTACTTTGCTCTTTGTTTTTCCACGTCATTTTCTCTCAGTTTCTCAATAACCTTTCCGGGAACATCACAAACTGGTTTTTCTAAGAAACGTACGTGACGCGAGATTGGAAACCCACAATTTCAGCCCAGCCGCACAACGTTGTCTTCTTCTATTTATAAAATCAAATTCGACTCGAATGATCCCTATAATTTGAGTCACATTTGATTTTTACAACTTTCCACTTCTCCACCTTTTCCCGTCATTTTTTGTCCCTAAAATATATGATAGAACCAAGCAGAACATATAGACGCTTTCGAAAAAAAAAGATTATCCACTCTTAATGTAAGCCTCTATGATTAATGATTTTTTGCATATCCCATAAATATTGATATTTGTTTCTTCTTCGAAAGAGTCAGATGACAATATCGTCATTTTTTCACATGTTCTCCGGGCTCCAAATATGCACTTTTTCTCATCTTCCATTCTCAACCTTTTGCTGAGCTGTTGAGCTGCAAACGAGATAAAGACACCGTGTAAATAACACGGAATATCTACTAATTATTCATTTTCGTGCACATCCCCCCGACCCCCCACGCTCACCACTTCCGTTTCTCATTCATTCATTCTCAGTTGTCCCCACTCTGATCTTCCTCCTTTTTTGCCCTGTCCCGATCCGTGGGTGTCAAATTTGCCGCTTCAAGTTTATATTTTTCTTGGGGGCAGAATCCCCCCAGGGGATCTGACTGCCGTTTTTGGGTTATAAAATCTTTGAACATCGAATTTTTGAAGCGACGTCAATTCTTGTTGATTATCATCTCACTTTGCTCGCCTCCTCGCCTCCGAAACAGCAAAATAAGGAAGAAAACGAGTGACTACTGTAGAACAGGGCTTTAGAACGTGACATCCGGAGAAAAAGGAGGGGGGGAAGCGCGACGATGTTCTTGTGATTCAGGGTTTGAGTGTTTTTCTATTCTCTTCTTCCTTCCTTCCTTCCTCGTTTTTCAGTCCGAACACGACCACGTCGCAAATGTTCACGGATCATTACACAGAAACCCTCCCTTCTCTTCCACTTGCACTCTCCTTCTACGTCATCCACACAGGGAGTAACCTGATAAATTCAAGGATCAGGCGGATTTGAGAGGTCCTAAAAGGAGTCAAGGGTCTTTGCATGACGATGTTCCGAGTATGCCGTGCTAATCTATCAATGTTCGGAATTCACTCAAATTTATGAACCATTCCTCATGCTCAAAATAAACATGTTTTGAATGTAGGAGAGAGGGAGAGAGAGAGAGAGAGAGCAAAATGAAATTGGTGTGTGAAAAGTGTAAGGAAGTGTAAACTCACTTTACCTACGCGGAGTTGGACTTTTATATCTCGTTGTTGGAGAGCAACTAGGAATTGCGGGTGGATGACGAGAGGGGACCTTCCTTTTTTCTTTTACCAGTCAGAGCATCCACCGATGCGGAATAGACGATGGCGTGCGATGAGCATAACTGATCAAAAGCCACAGACTGAATGACCCAAAACTTTTTTTCCCCTTTTCTTTATTCCATTCAACTCCATCCGCTTTTCCGTCGGAGCCTTCCTTAATCATCTCTAATAGACGCGCCTCAAATCGACGTCATGCAATTTCCGCGTCGCGATTTTTCATACCTTCTCCACAATCTCGCTGCTACCTGCAGTTATTACTATAGACTTTTCATCGCGCTCCCTCACCTTCCCCCACCCCCACTCTCAAAAAAAAGTTGGAAAATTTTTTTTCCAAGACGAATGAACGAACAATTTTTCACTCGAATCCAAGAGGTTTACGTGGGCCGCGAAGCATGAAATACACAGAAAAAGCTCAACTCGACACATTTTCTGTTTCCTCAGTGTCAGCTCTCAATATCTTGTGTTATGCTTCTTGCTCTCAGAAAACTGTTCCTCTCTCTCTCCCTCTTGCTCCCGAGCCACACACATGTTTGTTCCGACAAATTATGTTCTTTCCTCCCCCTCGAAATGTTTGCAAGGCCTTTTTGTTTTTGTCCGCAGACTTTGAGAGCTTTCTTTGCTCTTTCTCACAAACTTTCATTTTTCAATAAAAAAACCGTTCTGGGAGGAAACCATACATAAGAATAATAATAATAGTAATAAATGAAGGGGGGTGGAAAGGGATTAGAGGAGGCCGGCCGTGATGTACTCCTTCCGTTTTCCGTTGGTCGATCACTCTCAATTCTTATCTTCTTCCTTTTTGATGAAATTCACGTTTTAGCAGTCGCCGCTCCCCGTCGCCACACATCCTTATCCTCGCTTCATCCTTCTGAAAAGAGTTGGCAGTCCGAGACGCGCATATGTGCTGATGAATGATCCTCGTCGCATCATTTCTCGACGCCGCGGCTTTGGTCGTCCAAAACTAACCACTTGATGATGATACTCTCGCCAACTCTAACCCAATTTGCTCATAACCAACGCTTTTCCATCATCAGATGCCAATCAGATGTCATAGTCCGCAGCTGGTGGCCGCATACTCTCCTTTTCATACTACTAACTTGGTTTTAACATCAAAAACGCGAAAAATCCAATCAAATGTTATTTTGAAGATTTGACCTTCATGGCTCATATTTTCGAGTTAGGGGTGTAAGATTTAAATTCGAACATACGCTTTTTGAGATGAGTGTACTAGCAACTCAATTTTCTCCCTCTCAAGTGTCGTGCTTTCCCTCTTTTCGCAGGGGTTTTTGGTGAGTTCACAACAAAACGAAAAGTTTCGAACCGATTTCCAAAACCCCTCAAGAAAGAATAATGGACGGGCTTAACCCGAAACTTGAACTCTTACCCAACCGCCAAAAATCCTGCCGTGATCATGAATTACTTTTTCGCCGAAAAAGTGTTTCCCGTTGTCTTGGCCGCCGCCCGCCAAAATGACGTTGCCCGTGTTTTTCGTCGTCGAAACTATTCCGGCAAGCTCGCCGTGCTCACGCGTGTGCTCCCATAACTAAGCCAATTGTGAGACGGGTCGCACCTCAGTGTTTTTTCTCGCAGACTCTAGAATCCAGATTCTAGTTCATTTTTTGTACTTTTCCCAGACTTGCCATTTCATTCTCAGCAATATGCCGTGAGCTATGACTTCTAGGAGGAGGATATAAAAAGTGCAGCGCTATTTGTTTCGACTCGATTTCTAAAGTTATCCATTTGCTTTCAAAAAAAAACCCGCAAATGCAGGATTATCAAGAAGAAGATTAGCACAATACAGGTGAGTCACGCGCATCCTTCCATTCGTACTTCCAGCCAATGCCTACACTAATCCTAACTGAAATAAAGTTCACTGATATCTGATTCCAAACACGTTTTTTTCTAACGTATTCATACGCACTCACACTCAAAACTTTCTCAATTCCGCTGCGAATTCGATGGCAGGAGGAGGATTCTTGCGATAAACTGATTTAAGAACAAGTAGATTCGGGAGACTTCTGAGCTTCGATGTCGCCCCGCCGCCCCCGAGAAGAGCATGAAAATGCGGGGAAGGGTGCTCAGCCTATTCTTCATCACTAGACTCGTATTCTTTGCCGATACCATACTTTCTCAATAGGTCCTCGTTTATTCCTTCCTCCTGAAATGTGTTATCATCGCCGTTTTTTCTTTTTGCCGTTTTCTTCCACACTCACTCCATCGTTTTCTTTCTATGAACAGTAAGTAAAGTACATAGAAAGGAAAATGAAAAACGATCCGTATTTGGCCGGATGTATGTCTGTCTTTATTAGTGTGCAAGAACAAGAAGCATGTTGTGCATAAAAGGGGGGAGGCAGCCCACTTGGCTTGATCTAAAGAAGAAAAAAAGAAATATTCTTCTCTTTTTCTTGCATTAGCTTATTTTGCAATTCAATTCATTATTGCGGTCATAAAATCAGCATATATTGGATTTACACGTAGCGCCCTGGCCCAGCGACGAAATATACACGTATATCTTCATAACTGGAATGTGTCTGTGTATGTGAGCCTCTGGTCTTTTGACAAACCACCTCTGTCAACCAAATCTAATACTATTTTGAACATTTCTAAAAAATCAGTCAGGCCGAAATTGAAGTAAAAACCAAACCAGATTCTATTTTTGACAATTCCGAGGTGCCCCCCCCCTTTCTTTTCTTTTATCGCATTCGACATGGGTCTTCTTTTTGTTTTTGCCTTCGTTACCATATCGTTCTCTGTTTCGCCACCCTCACCCAGATTACTGGGGGCGCCGTTGGTCACCAAGTCCCTTCTTTTCCGTTTTCTCCTTCCGCACAGGGATATACGGTCGAGTGAACTTGAAAGTTGAGTAACACACACACGACCCGAAACCAATCTAATATGAACCCTCAGATCATGTGCCGCTGTCCCTTTTCGCCCCTTTTTTACTCCTTCATTTATATCTATATACTCGCGGACGCATACACAAACGACGAGAGGGTCCAGGCGCCGCCCCTACAAAAAGTGTTTTTCGTTTCTCGTTTCTGACTTTCGCCAGAAAGAGGCCTTCTCAGGACGGACCCTGCTTTTCGAACGATGTACTCTCCTGATCCCTCTTTACTTTCTTTTTTGTTTCCGTCGAACCTTCCGCGCACAAAAAACGACAACGACAAGAAAAAGAGGAGGAGAAAAAAGGATGGGTTCGTCGAGCACAACACCCGAAACGCTAACACTCAAATCTTTTTTCCCCTTCTCCCTTTGATTTATCGCCGTCTACTCATCTCTGCTCGCTTATATCCTCGCCAAACAATCCATTCCATTTTCAGTACAAGAGCGTGAAGCTTGCGCCTCCTGCCAACACGGCCGCTGCCATTCTGTGACGGATGCCCAACGTAACGGTGTTACCAGTGGTGGAGCCTTCGGACACCAGCTGGAATTCACCGTACAGTGTCCCAGTACAAGTGAGATCTTTTCCCTCTTTTCGTAATAAGGAAGTTGAATCGAATCACAAAAGTTACGCAGCGAATTTCCGTTCATGTGAGGGTGATTCCAGGTGGTGGTGTGGCTAGTCATAATCGTGTTGAGCTTGGAGACTATCATCGGAAATGCGATGGTCATTGTCGCCTACCGGATTGAGAGGAATATCAGTAAACAGGTGCGCGAGACTGGGGAAGGAAATGAGAAATGCGGACGAATGGTTCGTTTTGTAGGTCAGCAACCGCTATATTGTCTCGTTGGCCATTTCCGATTTGATCATTGGCATAGAAGGATTTCCGTTCTTCACCGTCTACGTGCTTAACGGTATGTGATTCTGATTCCGATGAGTCAATTATATTTTGATCAATGTTCAGGGGAACGGTGGCCTTTGGGCTGGGTGGCCTGTCAGACGTGGCTTTTCCTAGATTACACCCTTTGTCTAGTGTCCATTCTGACAGTACTGCTAATCACCGCCGACAGATACCTTTCTGGTAAACTTTTCATCTAAAACAATCACTTGGAAATGACGTTTTCAGTGTGTCACACTGCCAAATACTTGAAATGGCAAAGTCCGACAAAAACGCAACTTTTGATCGTCATGTCGTGGCTCTTACCCGCAATTATATTCGGTATTATGATATATGGATGGCAGGCGATGACGGGCCAATCCACGAGGTACGTTGAAAAGAGATTTTCAATCAAAACACACTTTTTTCCAGCATGTCGGGAACTGAATGCTCAGCGCCGTTCCTGAGCAATCCGTATGTGAACATGGGAATGTACGTTGCTTACTACTGGACAACACTTGTAGCCATGCTCATTCTATACAAGGTTTTTTTCCTCATTTCGCACACTAGAACATAATCTGTTATGTGTGCTTTCAGGGTATTCACCAAGCTGCCAAAAATCTCGAAAAGAAAGCTAAAGCGAAAGAGCGAAGACATATTGCGCTGATTCTGAGTCAGCGACTGGGAACTCAGGTGGGAGAAAGAAAACAATACGTGGGTCATGTCAGAAATTATGTGTTTGTAGGTCGGTGTCTCTCTGATGCTCCAGTCAAAAGCGGAGAAGGAAAAAGCCGAGGAAGCGCAGAAAGATAGTGGCTACACCAGCAATCAGGCAGGGGTAAGTTTTATGTTTAGAAGACTTCACTTTTTGGTTTCACTTTTCCGAATTCATGATTCTTTCCACCACCTTCCACCAGATTTCACATTTTCGACCACATTTTGCCTTTAACCTTTGCCGCATGTTAGGTTCTTTCGCCATATTTTCCATTTCATTCAGGATGCCAATAGCCAACGGCGTTTCGGGTTTTCCGAGCCAGAAACAAGCCAGTTTCGAGTTGATCCCAACTCACAAAACAAACTTAATGTAGAGGTAAACTCGCATGTGACTTCCTCCTGTTCGATTCGATGGATTGACTAATAACGAATGGCTTTCTTAATAACCAACACCTTTTCCGATTCTTTTTCTGCATGTTTTGTCTTTTTTGCCTCAAAAACAGATACGCATAAACTAACTGACTGTAGTACTTGAAGTATTTTCCGTTGAAGTTTCGGTATGAGTAAACTCGCCCTTACTAAACCTTTTACAGTTCTCCTCAACACGGCTTTTTGTATTTAGAACGTACTTCCATAAGAATACGAAAAAGTGCTAATGTATGCTCATTTTTTCTGATTTTAGGGCTCGATGAACACCGACAATGATCAAAACCTCGGAGTCATTGAAGAAGAAAGAAGTGGATTTCTCTCGCGAAGGTAAAAAGGAAAAAGCATAGCGCATGAAAGAAGGGGGAAGTCTATGTTTTTGTTGTTTTTGCAGAGAAAGCAACGAGAGTTATTACCCGGGACCACATCCGACGGCGGCCAACTCGAGGCGATGTAGTGAAATGGAAAGAGTTTCTCTTCTGAGTGACAGTGATGGTGTGCCGAGTGCCAGGGTGCCAGTGAGATCCTACGGGAGACTCTCGCTCAGGTATCTCAACACTTTGATCTTCAACTTTTCGATCCTTTGATTGTAGGTCTCGATATAGCGCTTCTGATAGTATCACCACGACTCACGAGGATGAGAAGGAGATTGAAAAGGCCGATAGTCTGCGGAAGCTTTTCGCCGACGACGAGCTGAACTCGGTTCTTAATTTCAAAGATGAGAAACTCAAAAATACGGATTCAAACAACGATAGTGACACCACGTCTGTGATATTGCAAAGGAGTAGGAAATATAAAAAAGTGCGCGTTTCAATTTCGGGATTTCTCGAATTTCACGTTATGTTCAGAACAAGAGACCACGCTCGAGTCGTCGTTCACAACACTCTACTCCAAGGCAGATTGCTAAAGTGAAGCAGCCGGAGGGGACCACGACGATTGCCATTGAGGAGCCGACTCCGGAAGAAGAGCACGCGGAGGCGATAGAGGTGAAACGGACCGATCGATGGGTTGTTTCGATGAAAAAGAGGATCGCAAGAGCTTTGATCCGTAGGCGGAGCACGCGGAGGGAACAAGGAAGTAGTAGCAATAGCGAGTAAGTTTTACGCAACTTGTTATCATTCATAAGTGGTTCACATTGTTGCGAAACCAGCCAAACATCACCACGTAACTTCCTATTCTTCTTCTTTTTCTACTTCTTCTAAATATCAAAAATCAACTGATAACTCATGATCGCAGCTCGAATTGAATCGTTGTGCATAAAGCCGGTCCGTGAATCACACACCTTCTAATGTAATCACTCAAAACTTCTTCTTCTTCTTCTTCTCTAAAACAATTTCCTGTTGAGCATGACCAATAACATGTCGTCCCTTTTTCTTTCAGTGATTCTTCTTCTGACGTCGAAGGCGATGAAAAGCCTGAAAACGGTAACAACAGTCTCAAATCACCACAATTAACCGCGAACAACAAAGATGATCGCGGCGAAAGCTCTGCACAGCCTGACCGAGATCGTCTTGCACCGGCCAACAAAACTGACACTTTCTTGAGCGCCTCAGGGTAGGTTTAGTAGGCCTAAAAAGCATGTGCAAACATTCATTCTCTCGTAGCACACCCATTTGTTCGATGATTTTTCGTAGACTTATAACCCCCCTCACTTTGGTTGGTAGTAGAGTTTTGGAGTCGTCATATTGTAGAGTCTCCAGAAAAATTTCGACAATCTCGACGGTCATCACAAGGGAGAAGGTGATCTCATCGATTTTCGCACCCATCGCTGTATTCAACCGTGGAAGGAAACAGACGAAAGCCGAGAAAAGAGCTCATAAAGCGTTCAGGTTTCAGATCTTGTGTTGACCGGTCAAAATCATCAAGTCATATTTCAGAACAATCACATTCATCGTCGGATTTTTCGCGATTCTCTGGTCACCCTATTACATCATGGTAAAAAAGACAGAGAGTGAAATTATTTTAAATGTTATGGACAATTGCAGGCCACTGTGTATGGCTTCTGTAAAGGAGAGTGCATCCCATCGTTCCTCTACACTCTCTCCTACTACATGTGCTACTTGAACAGCAGTGGAAATCCGTTCGCCTACGCACTTGCCAACCGACAATTCCGTTCAGCGTTCATGCGAATGTTCCGCGGAAATTTTAACAAAGTCGCTTAGATCTCTGTCTCTTTCTCTTTCTCTTCCTCATTCGGTTATCTTTCCTCCCTTTTCTCTTTCCTCGGAGAAACCACATTCTCGACGGGTTCCGGTCTCTTATTATATTTATAATGCTCGGATATTTTATTTGGTTATATGGGCTTCTTGTAGAGACGTACATAAATGTTCATAAAATTTTATAAGAAAATTGAACTTCTAATTTACACAGTCGTATCCAGATTTAGATTTTAGAGGGCTTGAAGCGATCGGCCGAGAAAAACGAGACATCGACAGTTGTCTTTTTCCCAGCCGCCATTTCAGCAAGAGCTTTTCCGATTCCAGGAGCCACTTTGAATCCCGATCCTGATCCACATCCGCCGACAAGAATGTTCGGGTTCTTTCCGGGAATTTTACCAATGATGTAGTGATCATCGGGCGAGTTCTGAAAGTTTAAAATGCAAATTTTAATTAAAAGTATGTTGGGACTAACTGTATAAATGCATTTGTCAACCCTGGTCGGAGCCGATCCGTCGACAACAGGAATGTACTTTTTGATGAATTCCGCTGGTAAGTCGATGCAGCGCTGAAACAGATAATATGTAGGTATACATGGTTATGAATAAATTTGCCTTTTTTTTGCTTACCTGAGAGCGTTTGTCTGGGTGAGTGAGGTCTTTTGTCAGAGCGTCACCGTGGTGGTAGCAAAACTGGAAAAAATAACTTTTGTTTTCTCTTCACGAAATCTTTGGTAAACCTTGATAGATCCGGGGAAATCCGTATCCGGGAGCGAATAGTGAAATTCCTTCAAAGCCATCTCTTGCGCAATGAAAACAGGATAATGATTTTCGTTCAAAAGATGACGATCCGCCTCATCTTTGGCTTTCCAATAGCAAACAGAGATGGAAATCGGCTGAACTTCATAAAATTAGGTAAGATGATAGCAAATAGACCACTACCTCAATGTTGATCTTGACATCCGGAAGAAACTTGGTAATCCAGCATCCAACAGTGAAAATTGTTTTCTTGGTTGTGTAACGGCTTTTGTTGGTGTGAACAGTCAAAGTGTCTCCGTGTTCGGTATGAGAAACCACAGCTTCACGGTCGTGCAAAACACCACCTATTTTCTTGAACTCATCCTGAAAATGCATATAATTTATTTGACCGAATATGTCAGTAGTATGTATTGTTAACCCGAAAAGCGTTCAGCCACTTGTCCGCGTAGATTACACCGCCCATCGGGTCAATCAATCCGTTCCATTCGTCATCAAACTTGAATTGAGGATATCTTTTTCCAATCTGCATTTGTTTATTAACTGAAGAAACGTGTTTGTGTTTTACCTCGCTTCCTTTGACTACTTCATGCTCAATATTCTTGGATGTCAAGTTGTTATGAATGGTCTCGACCTCATTTCCAGTCGACACCCAGAGAATGCCGGTTTTTCTGAAATCCATTTTCATTTCGAGTCATCCCAAGATATTCTCACTTCCACAGTTTCTCTCCACGAACTCTTTCAAGTTCGAAAATTTGCTCATAGGCGTCAGCGACCAAATCGACGTACTCGACCTCAGTGTGAGCATAACGAGTGATTCTACTTTTTCCATGAGAACTTCCGTTTGAGTGACTCAGTTCGAACTGAGAGTTTTGTTAAAAATTTTGAATCATTCGTGATGGGATACCTGCTCCAGAAGCAAAGTCTTGAGTCCGAGTTTCTGACAGTTGTATGCCGTGCACGACCCAAAAATGCCTGCTCCGACAACGATGACATCATAGTCCGTCGACATGATCTGTAAAACAATAGAAGTTGAACAAAGAAACACGACAAATGAGAGAGAGAGAGAGACAGAGTGCTATCAAGTTGGACTGTTAGCGATAACACTTTTGGATATACATATAGATTGCTTTGGTCAGTTCACTTTGCGATACATCGAGGTGTTTTATACCAGCGCTTTCCGAAAGATAATTCAGAGCATTCAATAGTTGCGTGCTTTGTAGTTGTCTGCCTAATCGGAGAGTGCTTTGTGGTCATTTCATTTTGGACATTGATAACATGCGTGCGCTCGCTTGTCGACTCTTTTAGTTAATACGCAATCCGATTGAGAGAAGAAACGTTATCTAATGTTGACCCTACTCGTTCTGATGGTTTGATTTTCAATCCAAATACGATGATGCAAGTGCACGAGTAAAAATCACAATTTTATTTTTAAAACAGACGAGTTCAGTCAAAACGATTGGGAGAAAAGAAAGACACGTCGACAGTAGTCTTCTTGCCAGCCGCCATTTCAGCAAGAGCTTTTCCAATCCCCGGAGCCACCTTGAATCCCGATCCCGATCCACATCCGCCGACAAGAATGTTAGTGTTCGAAGAAGAAATTGGGCCGATCAAGTAGTGATGGTCTGGCGAATTCTGCAAAGTATATGTACAGCTTAAATTTTATCGATGACAAACTGTGTTCTCACTGTGTAAATGCATCGGTCCACTTTGAATGGACTGGTTCCATCGACAATTGGGATGTGGGCCTTTATGAAGTTTCCAGGGAGATTCTTGAGATGCTGAAGAAGAACGGATTTTATTTTTGGGTCACATTTCTTAAAAAAAAAGGAATAACCTGAGTTTGATCATTGGGATGACAAAGATCAGTGGTCAACGCGTCCCCATCGTCGATCACGAGCTGAAAATGGTTTTTTGATGATGAGAAGCTTTTTGAACGTACTTTGATGGCTCCTGGATAGTCGGTATCCGGCAATGCGAAATATTCCTCGTGTTTCTCTAAATTTTTCACAATGACCGCCGGGAAATAATCTTCACTCAGCAAATGACTGGTTCCTTCTTCTTTAGCCTTCCAATAACAGACGGCGAGGCTAATCGCCTAAAATTTGATATTTATGCTGAAAAGTATTTTTGTAAGGGTACCTTTATATCAAATTTCACGTTTGGAAGAAATTTCGTTATCCAACATCCCACAGTGAAAACTAATTTCTTCGCAGTGCAGTGACCTTTCGAGGTGGAGATTGTCACGATTCCGTTGTCTTCGGAAAACGAGAGAAACTCTTCGTTGTCGTGAATTACACCTCCTAAGGTTCTGAATTCATCCTGCAAAAAAATTGGTTTAAGAATCTTGGGTGAAAGTTGAAACTTGGAAAGCCGTGAGCCACTTGTTTGCGTAAATCACTCCGCCCATAGGATCGAGAAGACCCATCCAGTTCTCATCGAAACAGAATTGAGGATAACGTTTCTCAATCTGAATAATGTGATTTAATCTTCGGTTTTATTCTTTTTTAAAGACCTCAGTTCCCGGAATCATTTCATGGTCGATATTGTGCAATTTCAAATTCCCGGAGATGGATTCGACTTGATTTCCAGTTGCAGCCCACAACAGCCCTAACTTTCTGAACAAAAAGTTGTGGTTAGAAAAAACATTCTCAAACTGACTTCCACAGTTTCTCGTCTCTTTTCTTCTCCAACTCTTCAATTTGATCGTAAGAGTCGCCGACGAGAGGCACGTACTCCGGGTTAGTGTGTGCGTAGCGAATCACTCGACTCTTTCCGTGCGAACTTCCTCTACTGTGTCCCAGTTCATACTGAACAACAATAATGGTTTAGAAAAACCTATTTTTTTTAAATCGTACCTGTTCAAGAAGAAGCGTTTTTAATCCTAACTTTTGGCAGTTGTATGCGGTGCAAGATCCAAAAATGCCGGCTCCAACGACAAGGACATCATAATCGGTGGTCATTTTCTTCAGAAAACGTTGTTTGTCTCTTGGTTTCTTCTTTTATTTTATTTACACAAACGAGCAGAAAGACCAGAGAAAGTGAACAGATGACAAAAGATGATAGCCGCGTGCGTCTCGTGGCGTGCAAAACAGCCGCATTATCGAGAAGTGTTTTGTAGTCGGTTAATTTTCTGGACTTTGATAAGGTTTGCTGGTTGTTGTGCAATATTTCAATGTCTTCTTATAAGCGCTATGCGCTCCGCGTGAAAAAGGAAACATCAACAGTTGTCTTCTCTGGAGCAGTATTGCACCCCGATCCTAATCCTCATCCGCCGACAAGAATTTTATGATTTGAAGAAGAAACAGGTCCAATCAAGTAGCGATGGTCTGGAGGATACTGTAAAATGACATTCGGATTGATATTTCTATCTTTCTTCACAGACTCACCGTGTAGATACATTGTTTCGAACGGACGTTTTCTATCGACGACTGGCATATGTTTTTGAATAAAAGTGCTGGGGTTCTGCACAGAGTTCTAATTGAAATGAATACATATTTCAAGCTCATTTTCAAAAAAATCGTACCTTACTACGATTCACAGGACGACTGAGGTCACTATTTAGCGGATAACCGTCATCAAGCACAAACTTGATCGCTTATGGGTGATCTATGTCTGGAAAACCAAAGTAAAAATCTTTCGAGTCATGATTTTTGAAAATGACTGTCTACCTCTACATAGCAATAATATTGGGGAGTGGAAGAGAGAAATTTGGTAAAGAGTTTGACTTCTTGCATAGCAATAACGTCGGGAAGGGGAAGAGAGAGAGTTCGACTTTTTGCATAGCAATAACGGCGGAGGGAGGAAGAGAGAGATACACTCAAGCGAAAAAAGCTACGAGATAGACATAATTAACGTTGTACTAGGTTTATATAGTGACAGTGAAATCACACCCACTCGGCCACGCCCTCAACCATGCTTGACCGCCACCACGGCCCTTCAGGTGACGATCACAAAGATGGAGGAGGCGGGACTGAATGACAAAAACACGGAGATTGTATGTCGTCACAAGGAGCTGCCTGTTATCATTGAACATATATGCAATACTTGTAAAAAGGGGTGACTCAGGTATTACGGTGTGAAGACCACAGGATCGAGCTTTATTTCTCTCAAACTCACTCTAGAATTCTTTCTTCAACCTTCCGAGCACAATCCTTCTTTCTGTCGTCCGTCTTACCTTTGGGTTTGAACCGTTTACACACTTCCGGAGTCGCCACGTCCTTCAGTCAGGTCTGAAAGGCGTCACGATCAGTGTCTAACCAAGGCAAATTTCATTGCACTCGGCGGGGCTCGAACCTGCGGTCTTCGGATTGCTAAGCACAAGCTTAACCGCCTACACCACCCTGGCCACGCGGCTCAATCGTCCATAGGGTGTATATATAATGGCGACGGACGCCGTTGGGCACTGTAGTGTCGGTGATATCTCGAGAACGGATGGAGTTATCGGGAAGCATTCAATAGCAAAAATGATCTGCAAAATGCGCTCCGTTCATCTAAATAGAAATCAAAAAGACTCAGAAGTCGTTTTAGGATTCAGATGACACCGATAAAGACAAATGACTTGATGTATATCAAATGGAAAAGAAGAACATTAAGATTCAAACTAACGTCGTCAATATTGAAATGTTTCGTCCTCTGCTCTAAATAACGAATGAGATCCAACAAAAGTAATAAACGTCACATTAATCCCTTTAGAAACGGAATCATGGAGATGTATCACAAGCTACCGGATATTAAGTTCATCTGTAGAGCTGCACATCTGAAATTTCATAATCATCGCTTATCAATACCCTGTCAACTATTTTTCAGTATACAGACTTTAGAAACGTAGTAAGGGAACACTGATTTTCAAATGCCCTCACGCTTTTACGGTAATTTTTGGCTAACAAAATAATCGTATGGAACAGTATGTTACCTCAAGAACACGGCGTAGCAAGCAGGAGGACAAGAACAATAATGTCTGATCAGAGGAAGAGAGAGAGATGGTTAAGAGTTTGGCGTTATACACGGTTTATATAGTGACAGTGAAATCACGCCCACTTGGCTACTCCTCAACCGTGCTTCACCGTCACCACGCCCCTGTAGGCGACGATCACAAAGGTGGAAAAGGCGGGACCGCTAAAATTTCAAATAGGGCAGATGTATGTACTATGGTACTATAGTAAATCCATTAGACATGTATCACACATAGCCTACGGCTCGCTAAATGGGAAGTTGTCCTCATTGAGAACATTTTTGTTTTGATGATTCTTTGTCGTCCAATGACAAACTTCCAAACTGATAGACTGAAATAAAAATTGACATACACACAATCGAAATGTTGTAGACCTGTTTGAATTCTTCCTGAAATAGAAAACGTTATGTCATTAGAGTTTTTATGAAAACCTGAAAAGCTGTCATCCATTTGTTAGCGTAGATAACACCACACATAGGATTGATCAGGTCTGTCCATTTTTCATTGAAAAACAAAACTGCGGCTACTTTTCTTCTATCTGTAATTGAAATTATTAGAAAATTTCGGCCAGACTGCCCTACCTCAGACCCTGCAATAACCTCATGATCAATTCGATACTGTTTCAAGTGTCCTGAAATCTGCTCAGCTTGATTCCCATTTTCAGTAGCAGCGCACAACAATCCTCTTTTCCTGCAACTAGAAATAGTCATTCCGCAAGTTTCCAAACTTTACTTCTAAAATTTTTCTCTCTTTTTTCGTTCTAATTGATCTCTTTGACTGTAGAAATCACTGACGAGTGGGATGCGTGCGCATATTTGATTATTCCGCTTTTTCCGTGTGAACTTCTGTTTGAATGGCCCGAGAAAAACGGAAAAGCAAAAAATAAACGTTATTCCAGCTATTCACGTATTCCAAGAGAAGTGTGCGAAGTACCAATTGCCTGATCGAATATATGCCAGAAGAACTGGATGATTGGGATGATTCTCTCAGAACAATGATAAAATAAGCTTTTGTTTATCACGACACAATGTATGAGAGATATATTATACACGTGTGTACGTTTTTATTGGTCTATTGGTCGTTTGGCCTTGAGATGTCAACGCTAATCCGTGCTTTGCGGTTTTTCCCGTCGACAGTCATTGTTCTTCGAGAACTTTTCCATTTTTCCATATTTTTCTGTTGCCCAAAACCCAAAAAGAATCTGAACTCGAGTACGGAACTAATTCAACAACCGTTTGGACTGTCACTAATCCGTCGGCTTTTCAGATTTTTCACACATAGGATCATCTTTTCTGGTCACCCGGACTGGAGAACGAACTTGATCAAAGATTGGCAGATATGGACAAACAATTCTCTCGAGTTTCACTAGTTCGAAATGCGGCTGACCCATCTCGTGCCCATTCTGTTTGTCTGTTTTTCTGAAAGTGCACTTTTCTCGAGGAATAGACGTCAGATTTGTGAGTCAATGAGGCTTTTATTTGCAAATAAGAGTACTTTGAAACTTAAGCGGTCAGCTCCAATGCAGAAACGGATGGCGATGGGGACCAAGTGCTTACCGACGCATCCACTCTTCATTTCAAAGATGACGAAGGTGTCGTCGGCATGAATGTGACCGCATTAGGCAATTCCAGTGGAAACGGATCGACTGCTGTCGGAACTACCGGTGGCGGAAGCGTCGGAAATTCTAGTGAGTTGTCAGTGTTATATCAAATGCCACGTGGTTTTGAGGTGTGGAAAACGTTGGAAACGTAATGGCGGTGGGAGACAAATCAAACTCGTTCACCGATATTTTTGCGGCAGTTCAGGGAGAAAACATAACTTCAAACCTGGTACAACAAGTCAGTCTCCTCATTTCTACTCTTTTGAATTTCTGTTCTAGGGTAAAGTTGTCGGACAAGGCGCCACGTTGTCAAATGTGAATGGCGGCAGTACAATGCAGAACAACAGTGGAGAGAAGAGTTAGAATCATTATTCAATTTGAAAATACCAATGAATTGTTCTGTCAGAAAGTGGTTCTTCGTACGGAAATGCGGGTGGCACCGGTTCTATTAATTCGCAGGCTGAAATCAGAACAGAACAGGCGATGAGTTGGCAGCAACTGATGGCCAAGTTGACTGGATCCGTATCGGCGTCCGGATTGGGAAGTGCACAATCTAACATCGACATGGGCACTGGGGTAGGCGGCAAAAGTAGGTGCATTTAATTGATCATTCAAGTGTACATAAACTTATATTTTTTCCTAGATATGACGATCAGTGGATTGGTATCGGGTCTCAACTCTGAGAAAGGAACAGTGAATGCTTTGGTCAATGGAAATGGAACGATTGATGGGGATAGCCAGTACATACAGGGAATGATGGTAGGATCGTCATCTGGAAAGGGAAACTCTACACTTGTTGGAGCCAGTTCAATCAACAGTAATCAATCCTCAAACTCAGGTTAGAAGAGTTAATCAATTCACGTCAATTTATCATTTTCAGAAGTGCAAGCATTCGGAAATGCTAACGCGTACTCCAGCGGAAATAGTTCTGTGAACTTGATCTCCAACACTAATATTGGCAATAATGTAGGTTTACATTTATCTACAAAAACGCGCTTTCATTTTTTCAGACCGGCCTCGGAGTAGTTCACATTGGAGATGCCGGACAAGGTGCAAATAACTACATTGTAGCAAGTAATGGACTGAAACTGACTGATTCTAATCAAGAAGCTGGTATTTCCGTCTATAAAATGGGGTGTACATAAGGCCAAGCGCTTTTCCAGCAATCATCGGATCTGGAGTTGTGAAAGGAATTGGTAGCGTAGCAAACTCTAAGGCAGCGGAGAACATCGACACCGCCATCGATTCCAACGGAATTATCAGGTACAGTTCAACTCAATATCAGCAGTTTTGATCAAACTTGAAACGGTTCGGACCGGACCAAAACGTGTATTTCTGGTTAACTTTATATTTCAAGAATTCAATCGGAATCTGACGGACAGTCAATTTCAAATGACGGGACCAACTCATCGCTGTCAATCAGCTCAAACGCACTGGTTGGAGGATACAAAAATTCCAGCTACGGTTTTGAGAAGGGTTATTTCCACTCATGACAATAAATGTTCAGACGCAATGGCAAATGGATACGGAGTAGCGACTGGAGAGAAGAACAACGTGACAGGAGTTGCATACGTGGACATAAATGGAGTTTCTCTCAACGGAAACTCATCTATGATGGTAGTTTTATTTAAAAAATTCTAAAATATCCTTAGAGTTTCAGGCATTCGGCAGTGGAAACGGACCAGTTTCAGCTGATACAAAGGCGGTGCTTAACTTGAACGAGAATGGTGTTCAAAGAAGTAAGTAAATTCCGATTTACCTAGTACCAGTGTCCGTTCAGACGGAACTGTAGCAGGATCAGCATCTGGAAACGGAAACAACACAAATGTTGAGAGCTACTCACTAATAAGCAATGATCAAGGTATCTGTTCTGTAAATGTTGAATTGTTTGCAAAATGAAGCAGTTTCAGGCGTTCAAACGTTGACAAACATTCAACATGTTTTGTCAACCGGATCAGGCTCTTCCAGTGTTTCAGCATCGAGTTCAGGAATATTTAAAAGAAAGAAGCGTTTTTCCATTTTAGCAGACATGTTGAAAAAATGAAGTAGTTTTAATTTCATCCCGGAGAAAGCCAATATTGACTAATGTCATGCAAGACCCTGTCTGGCATTCTGCGCAGATTGCTTAGAGCAAATGGATGAATGGCGCCCTCGACTATCATCTTGTGGTGAAGCAAAACGTATCTTTCTACTTTTGCTCCGCACTGGTTGTAAAACTGAAATTCTATAGGATCAATCGAAAAGTTTCGATATATTTGCAGTGGAGGAGCAGACAAGTGATACAGGAGGAGCTTCTATAAAGAGACGGTGGCGACACCAATTGACGTACTCGAATAGCGAATCGGGCATTCGTTCAAGCCATCCCTCTGCAAACAACTCATTCACTTTATGATAGTTTTTGAACTCTTTCATTGGTCTTCCACACGAAAGATTGAAATTACCCTACTGTCTAGTTTGAAAACACTTTTCACAGAGACAATGCCAACTTAAGTTATCTCCTCTAAATTTCTCGAGCTCACGGAGAAGTTGTCGTTCCGTGTACTTGCCAATCTTCTCCCGGTAACGTCTGTTCTGGAATACAAAATTTTCACGTATCTCTCGAGATCAAACTCACTTGCTCGGGTGACATTGCATTCAAAATCGTGGAGCTGCTCGACAGCGGGCTAAGACAGATCGGCACCCAAAAGATCAAAGTTCGTTATGAAGAGAGCGCAGACTCTCGCCAAAGGAGGTTTGACGGACTCTCTCTTTTTCTCGCTCTTATTTGTTTTTATGAATTATGTAGAAAAAAGGAGAATGTGAGTGAGCACAAACTTACTTGTCCCGGTGGATAGCATAGCTGAGAATAGGAGCCGTCTGGTCTTTTCAGGATGGTGTCAACGAGCCAAATATTTTGTCGATCGAAGCCTGCGTACTTTCGCAAAAATTCGACAGTTATCGTCGTCCGACATTTCGGAGCAAAAACTGTTAATGAGTGAAGAGCGAGCGGACAGGCCCTATAAAATTTATTTGATTTATTTAATGTATTGTCGTTCGGAAAAATGTGCGCTTTTTGTTAAATTTTGGTGAGGTGGAGGGGATGGAAAGTGGTAATTTGCAGTCGGTCTATCAACCGAACATGCTAAACGAGCAATGTGAGGGGGAAATGCAGCACAAAGAAGGGAGAGGGGTGTGGGATATATATTATGCATTCATATGTATTTAAATTATCATATCATCAGAAAGGCAAGAGACGAAGCATCGGGACGTGGTAGCAAGTCATGCAAATCAAAATTGGGACGAAATGACGAGCCCTCGCGAATTCGAGCTAGTCGGACTTTGCGCGTGCACTTTCATTAGTTACCGCTGTCTGAAAAAAATTGAGCGTTATCAGCAAGGTCTCGTTTCCAGGTCTTACATCCGAATTGCGAACTTCTGCTTCAGGACTGACTGGATTCGATCTTCTGATGATCACCGAGTCGTCTTGGATAGTGAGCACCTAGAATTACGATTTTATGTCTAAAATGACATTGGGAAACTGACGTCCGACAACTTCTCCACTGCATCCTGGTCAATGATGATCTTCTTGCGACTTTTTTGGAAAGCCTCGAGGAAAGTGTGGAATCCGGAACTGTCGAACGTTCTTGCCGGCGCCTCGGACTCTTTTTTGGGATTCTTGTTCTTCGATCTCTGAGTTATTGGTCGAGCCTTGAGGAGTCCGGCTGTAGGCTCCTGAAAATTGTCACGACTTTCCGTGCTCGTCAGATATTTCTTTTTTTGCTTTACGCGTAATTACCGTGTGGTGTCGCATCGCGTTTGTCGGCTGCACCTGCTGGTAATTGCTACCCCACAGAGAGTTTGTCGTGCTCGGATCGATGTTGAAATTCGGCGCAGCTGGTATCAGTTGAGACAATTGTTCGGGTTGCCCGATTTGTGGCAGCGTCAGTACCTAAATTTGTTCCAGCTTTACACGAGTTTCACATAAATCTTAGAATAGAAGCCCGCCCGCTCTCCCACATTGAGTGGTCGCCCCCAAGCCCAAAATTATTCCATCAGAATACAAGACTGAAAAAAATTGAGCTGACCTGGCTTTCAATACCCGGAAATTGCGTTTGCCAGTTTAGTTGTAGTTGCGGTTGATGCTCCGTTTGAATTTGCGGTTCCAGTTGTGTGACGGTTGGAACGATCGGGACAGGTGGAACAGGGGGATCCGTTTTCAAGGATCGTATGGTGTTCAGGAGAATTTTCAAATCATCGACAGTTCTGAGTGGCACTCCATTGCTTTCCAGCGTGCTCAACAGCATGACGAGCTGATCTTTCTCTTCGCCGCTCACAACGAGTTGCTGGGTGGACATTTTGCCGACCTGAAAAAAAATGGAAAATTAAGAGCCTAAATTCCGAGCGGTTTGGCAGTTTTGAGCGTAAAAAAGAGAGTGTTGAACAACGGGAGCAAACTTCGAAATGATGCGAAACAAAAAGGCTGAAGAGATGCGAGAGAAAGTGTGCGTATACTCGGGGGTGCAATGTCGTGATACGTGTGAGGAAGGGTGGTAGACGACGTGAGCGGCAGCGGCGGCGCGATAGCTATAAATAATTGGTGGTTTTGTGAAAAATGAGCATTTCCGAATCAAGCAACGTGACAATTACTCATTCGGAACGTCAAGTCGATGATTTTTTGTGCGGAAGAAAAACCTGAAAACCTGCAATATTAATTGAAGGGGCAAAAAGTATGTAAAGAACGCATTTCACTCTGGTCATCAGTACTTCACGCCAAACAAAATTAACGGATACACTTTATTAACTGAAAAACGGAACACGAAATCATCATGCCAAGTGTGGCAATGTTGGCCCGTCCGTCACTCGTGTCTGTTGTGCTTTGGTTTTCGAGCTCCTCCTGCTCCTTCATTTTGCGCGTGTCTTTTTCGACTCTCTCTGAAAATCAAACATACGATTGCGCAGTGCGTGGGAAAAACTCACGATTTCCAGCGGTCGAGGCCCGTATCATAATTTTCTTCCTTGTCGTCGCCAGACTCTTGCATGTTGAGCAACTGTCTCAGATCCACGTCCTTCCAATTCGGAGTTTTGTCTTTCTTGACCTGCTCAGCCGCTCCATACTCTTCGTCGTCTTCGTCTTCGAAATCAACCGGATCCATCTTACCTTCTTCCTGCTCTTCGTCCTCCACGACCTCTTCCGGGCTTTCCGGACTTTCTGCGCTCAGTAGGTCCTCCGGACTTTCGTGTTCCCATTGCTCCTTGGGACTGCCTTGCTGCTCCATGTTGTTTGGTTCCCATCGGTCCACGAACGGCATCATTATCGTAGGGTCCATTCTCCAATTGTAAACGTGGTCGGCGTTTCTGAAAATGACAATGATACTGGTCAATCAACAACTAGCTGACCTCGGCAAGCGAACTTTGTCTCCAATGAATCCGTCTTCTGATCCATCGGTGTCTTCCGAATAGTCGCTCTCGCCGTCCTCTCCCTTTTCGGAGACCTCCTCCTGTTCTTCGATTTCGTAGTCGCGGAGCTTCTCATCAAGATGACTATCAACGCTGTTGGATCTATTTCTGATGGATCCTTCTTCCGATCCATCGGTGTCCTCGGAAGAATTGCTTTCGCCGTCCTCTCCCTTTTCGGAGACCTCCTCCTCTTCTTCGATTTCGTAGTCGCGGAGTTTCTCATCAAAATGACTATCAACGCTGTTGGAGATATTTCTGACGGATCCGTCTTCTGATCCATCGGTGTCTTCCGAAGAATCGCTCTCGCCGTCCTCTCCCTTTTCGGAGACCTCCTCCTGTTCTTCGATTTCGTAGTCGCGGAGCTTCTCATCAAGAGGACTATCAACGCTGTTGGATCTATTTCTGATGGATCCTTCCACCGATCCATCGGTGTCCTCGGAAGAATTGCTTTCGCCATCCTCTCCCTTTTCGGAGACCTCCTCCTGTTCTTCGATTTCGTAGTCGCGGAGCTTTTCATCAAAATAACTATCAACGCTGTTGGATCTATTTCTGATGGATCCTTCTTCTGATCCATCGGTGTCTTCCGAAGAGTCGCTCTCGCCGTCCTCTCCTTTTTCGGAGACCTCCTCCTGTTCTTCGATTTCGTAGTCGCGGAGCTTCTCATCAAGAGGACTATCAACGCTGTTGGATCTATTTCTGATGGATCCTTCCACCGATCCATCGGTGTCCTCGGAAGAATTGCTTTCGCCATCCTCTCCCTTTTCGGAGACCTCCTCCTGTTCTTCGATTTCGTAGTCGCGGAGCTTCTCATCAAGAGGACTATCAACGCTGTTGGATCTATTTCTGATGGATCCTTCTTCCGATCCATCGGTGTCCTCGGAAGAATTGCTTTCGCCGTCCTCTCCCTTTTCGGAGACCTCCTCCTCTTCTTCGATTTCGTAGTCGCGGAGCTTCTCATCAAAATGACTATCAACGCTGTTGGATCTATTTCTGACGGATCCTTCCACCGATCCATCGGTGTCCTCGGAAGAATTGCTTTCGCCATCCTCTCCCTTTTCGGAGACCTCCTCCTCTTCTTCGATTTCGTAGTCGCGGAGCTTCTCATCAAAATGACTATCAACGCTGTTGGATCTATTTCTGATGGATCCTTCTTCTGATCCATCGGTGTCTTCCGAAGAGTCGCTCTCGCCGTCCTCTCCCTTTTCGGAGACCTCCTCCTGTTCTTCGATTTCGTAGTCGCGGAGCTTCTCATCAAGATGACTATCAACGCTGTTGGATCTATTTCTGATGGATCCTTCTTCTGATCCATCGGTGTCTTCCGAAGAGTCGCTCTCGCCGTCCTCTCCCTTTTCGGAGACCTCCTCCTGTTCTTCGATTTCGTAGTCGCGGAGCTTCTCATCAAAATGACTATCAACGCTGTTGGATCTATTTCTGATGGATCCTTCCACCGATCCATCGGTGTCCTCGGAAGAATTGCTTTCGCCGTCCTCTCCCTTTTCGGAGACCTCCTCCTGTTCTTCGATTTCGTAGTCGCGGAGCTTCTCATCAAAATAACTATCAACGCTGTTGGATCTATTTCTGATGGATCCTTCTTCTGATCCATCGGTGTCTTCCGAAGAGTCGCTCTCGCCGTCCTCTCCCTTTTCGGAGACCTCCTCCTGTTCTTCGATTTCGTAGTCGCGGAGCTTCTCATCAAGATGACTATCAACGCTGTTGGATCTATTTCTGATGGATCCTTCTTCCGATCCATCGGTGTCCTCGGAAGAATTGCTTTCGCCGTCCTCTCCCTTTTCGGAGACCTCCTCCTGTTCTTCGATTTCGTAGTCGCGGAGCTTGTCATCAAAATAACTATCAACGCTGTTGGATCTATTTCTGATGGATCCTTCTTCCGATCCATCGGTGTCCTCGGAAGAATTGCTTTCGCCGTCCTCTCCCTTTTCGGAGACCTCCTCCTCTTCTTCGATTTCGTAGTCGCGGAGCTTGTCATCAAAATAAATATCAACGCTGTTGGATCTATTTCTGACGGATCCGTCTTCTGATCCATCGGTGTCTTCCGAAGAGTCGCTCTCGCCGTCCTCTCCCTTTTCGGAGATCACTTCCTCCTCCTCTTCTTCCTCTTTCAACTCAACGTCGGGTTCCTTCTTCTCCTCCGCTTTTGTCTCGTCGTCTGCTGCCTCGAGCGTTTCTCCACAAGTCGACGTCGCATACTTGGGGGCGGTGAATCCATTTTGTGGTCCTAGTCTGTTCTGAAATTGGAAAAATAAGGACGAAAAAGGAAGAAAAATGATGATGTATGAGGAAAATACTGTCAAAATTAGGCCTAAAATTAGGAACATGTTTAAAGGCGCATGAGAACTCTCGAAGCGAATGTTCGGCATGAACACGCGTCGCGCCTGGCACGAGTTGCGGCGTACGATTTGAAAGGCCCGCAGGAAAGTTCTAGAGAGAGGGGGGTGGTACACAAGCAGAGAAAAGAGGTAAATGAGGGCAGAGGACATGTTATGGATAAAGATGTGAGTGGTCAAAAGCAGGAGAGGGAAAAGAGAAGAAGGTTAAACGGCTTGCTTATATCATCATTGATCGGAGAGTTACAATGATGCAATTAGAAGTGAAGGGCCTGAAGGAATGGAGCATGATATTAACGCTCCTGAAAATGCGTGCTTCTGTAAGTAATTCACATTTTCAAGGCGCATAAACGAGCGAGAGGTACGGTAGGCATACATACAAAAAAATATGGGAAAAATATGGAGTACACAATAAAATATGCTAATTTCGTCAGAGTTTTCAGAATTTTTCAAATATGTTTGCCGAATTTTATTCGATATTTTTAATGTCATCAATTTCCTGTTAGTGTTCTCAGAATCTATTTGCGTGAATAAGAACAATTCAATAAAATGAAAGTCTGAAGAATTTATTGAAAAAGGCGAAAAAAGGCACTAGCAACCCGTACTTGATGAGATCATACCGAAGTTAACTTTTGCGAATTGTAGCGTACGTTCTAAGAAAATGAAAATAATGTCTGGTATTGTGGCGTTTCTCTCCAAGAAACTGATTGCACTCGATCAAGTTGGGATTCTCCGCGAACTTCCAGTTTTGCTCACAAGCGGAAAAGTAAGGCCAGCTCAGCTGAACAACGGACGGCACGATTGTCCTTAAATCACAGGGTTTTCAGTTGAAAAAGGGAAAGCCTAGTACCATCCGGAATCACGGAGACATTTATACTTCTCGTTTACATTGTTGTTTCGTCGGATAAAAAGTGTATGCGTGTACTCTAATTTTAGAGCAGGAACGTGAATTTTTGAATTGTTGAAAGTGACGTAGGTTGAGACTGCCTGCAATGTGAGCTCTATATCTCAGTACATGGGTCAATCTGACCAGCATTGTGTTATTTATTGGTGTCCTCATCTCCCAGACTCCGGCCTCACGACGGGCCAGACCAATTCCAAGACCCCCGTCTTCCCAGAGAGGTTTGCACTCTGTCACTGCTTTCTGGTCGTTCGGCGCATTTTGTCTGTTCAGTCGTTTTCGTAGTTGCAAAGAAGTTTCGAAAGGAGACGCTGGTAGGATACTCGTGTAAATCATATGGAAAGCCGGAGCAACTGTGACACAAATCTAAAGCAGAGGAATTTGATCCTTCAAATGTTACAACCTACTCTATCTATCTCCGGAGGCATCGAATTGGAGCCCAGTCCGTGCACAGATGACAACAAAGTGACATTCATACCAATCAGTAAAACAGAGATAACAAGGGAGAGATAGAAAATGGTGTAGTGGAAAGAAACGGAGAAATATCTGCGAAAAGTTGAGGATATATCTTCAAAATTCAATATCTTGTACCGTATGAAGGATCTGCATAACTTATGACGATGATAGAAACTGTTGTGGCGGCACGTGTAATGGTATAAACAGGGAATCCAACAGACAAGGGTCCAGACGAGGTAAGTGAGACACGAAAGGATCCCCCAACACGTGTGACCGCAAATGTAGCTGCATGAACTTCGACACTGAGAAAACAATATTTGAAAAATGTGTTTCATTTTGTAATTACATTCATTCTGGCTCGATAATCTCCAGCTCTGCGAATCCATTCCTTCAATCCTTGTGTTGGCTTCACCAAGTGCACAATTTCTGCAGGTTTGCCGTTAGGAACCGGGCTAGTCGTGTTCGAAGTGTCTAGGAGCTGCTGAAATATACTCTCATTTTTCACATAATTAGCTAAAATTTCCAATTCACATCGTGATGAGGTCCGATTGTTTTCAACCGTGCCCATCTAATTGGCCATGTTTCATCGTACTCCCCCAAACGACCTCCGTTCGTACTACTACTGTAATTAAATGTTTTATGCATTTTTCGAGTTTTAAAAGACTTCAGACCTGGTGTCAATCGCTTGCCGGAAATGTTTCTTAACGGACGTGTTAACTGCCACCCCCGACACTTTCTTCCCCGGTTTCTTCGAGCACACCATCCTCCTGAAGAATTAGTTATCAGCGGCCGCATAAATTCTTTTGTTCTCACTTGTAAGAGAAGTACAGCACGGTGATTCTCCATATCAGCGATACCGTGCATGAACTTGCCGAGAGAACAAGAGGCCACGAGAGAATCTGCAACCGTTTCGCTATTCGCCTTTTCGTTTCAATGATTACAATCACCTTAGGGTTCGGACATCTGCAGGCTGCGATAAAAAAGTAGTTGAAAATTGTGATTGGCGCGTCGTGTAGCGCCATGATAAGAAAAGACATTCGGAAGTTGTTGAATGCCTAAGAAGTGAGTAATTTTTGGTCGAACTCAAAATAAAATGACAGGTTTACCTGTGTCCATTCGATAAACGCCTCAAACAGCAAAGCACATCCGCTTCGATAAGGAGTGATGTCAAGTCGATGAGCAAACGCATTCTCGATGCAGAGCACCAGCAGCAACCATGTAAACATGGATCCACAGACCGCAGTGACCACCAAAGACACTACCAGCCACGTGTTTAGAGGGAAGGATGTCACGTAACCCTGCAATTTTAACTGAATATATTCGCTTTTCGGATTTTGAAGTGTACTTTGACCACGAAACTGATATGCAGCCACGAGCAAATAGAGTTGGTGACGTAGACAACAAATGAGACCGCGTAAAGAGTGTGTAGCGTTTTTCCTAAATCATAATTCAACACTGAAACTTCTAAAACCATTGATGAGGACCTTTGAGCAGCGGAGTACTCGAGGACGCCATCGCAAACCCGGAGGTGTAAAGGGTATTGAGAAGTGCGAGCACATTTCCAGACTTGAGCGAAGGTGATGTTAACTCGTCAGTCATCGTTGACCGCCTCGTATGTCGTCAGAATAGCAAAAAGAAGCGGATAATGAGCCGATGTGCAATGCTTTCCCTCCACTAACGCCACACAATGCTCGGACCGGATATACTCATCCGGTTGTCGCATGTCAACTTCTTAAATTTGGCCCCTATTTTGAGTTCAGTATGGAATGGAATGTAGAATGTAGAATACGAAATGTTTTTCGCAAAGTGACCAAATCAAGAAGATTGCGAAAGTGACAACATAAACATAGTTGTTTCCAAACGAAAATTTATTCCACACAAAATACGCTTACAAAATAGGAAAGGCAACAATAGTAGGTGAATGTATAACAAAATAAAAGAGAAAAAAGCAAAAAGTGAGAAATTTATACAAGTTGTTACTTAGAGGTGGATGGCGAAAGTAGTTTGTTCTGGTTCCAGTTCGAAAGCCTTGTTATCGATGGAATAACGAACATTATGCTCCACTTCCTCGTCATCGCTGTCCCCTTCATTGTCGTGTTCGTCATCAGTCGTGTAGTAGTTGTATTCGTAGTAGAAGATAGCGAGAAGAGCAAAAACGGCAATGACAACGAACATGGCAGCCGCGTAAACAAAGAATTCAACAGCCATGTTTTGGAACAAGTTCAGAATGGTAATTATGACGATGATTGTGTCTCCGGCGGCGGTGGTCAGCAGCCACAAAGCTTGCACAAGAGCCTTCATGGATGGCGCAGACTAAAAACTCTTTTTTAACTCAAAACATTTGAATGTGGCTCAATTACCTGGGAGTAAGCAAACTCGTATCCAGTGATAGAAAAAAGAATCTCAGCAGCAGTGATCACGACAATCTGTGGAATCTGCCAGAGGATAGACACTTTGTTGTTCTGAACAATTTGAAGCATGTGAGCAGTTGGATTATTGATATCTCCGGTCAAAGCGTAAATGAAAACACCTCCTTGCTCATAGATGGTTTTAAAGATTTTTGTTGGGCGCACAAGAGTAGCATTCTTGCTGTATGTTTGTCTGTTCACATCTTTTGGGGTGTTGTCGAGATAGTACAGTTGCCATTTTCCCGGTTTTACCGACTTGAAAGTATAAGTAGTGGCCGGCCACTGTCTTCCGCCGGTGATTGTCGCATTTCCATCTCTGTCATCCGTTCCGTCGTTGTAGTCGGTTTCCCAGAAATAGAAATCGGCTGGATGTCTTGGGTTACACGGATGGGCGGCGTCGAAGTCGCTGGCGTCTTGTCTGCACATGGCAAAGTTTCCGGCGTAAGGAGTATTGGTAACAGTGACAATTCTGAATGAATTATATAAATGTGACCCTTCGGCAAAGTCATTACCCCATGGAGAACTCTCCAGTTCCATCAGTTGGCTTATCAGTACTGGCAGTGTTTTGGTAGTATCCAAACGCTCCAACTCCGACGTAAACGACCTTCTTGCTTTTGGCAACAACATTGATGGTTGTTGGGAGACCCTAAAATAAAAATTTAGCCCCAAAAAATGTTTGTTCTTGCTACATACAGCTGGGCACCCATTTCCGTATTTTATAGTGTAGGGCACAGTCCAATCGGCGTTGCTCTTAGAAGATGACTTCGAGGTGAAAAGTTTGTACACTCCGGCTTTATCATCTTTGTCCTCATGAAGACCCTGCAACGTGTCACAGTGATAAGTGGTTGATTATGGTGATAATTCATTTTATAACTTTCTCCGAAAAACGTTTTATCAGCATGTTTGAAATGGCATGATGTTGCTTGCGAGCAAAGAGAAAGTGAAACTCACAATGCTCTGATTCAGGACTCTCATGTTATTGTTGGCATCAGTGACAGTGAACGAGCACGCGGTGTCGAATTGATTCCAAAAGCTTATAGAGCACTCTCCCTTGCCTGGAAGAGTTGGCAAGGTAGTCTGAAAACAACAAATATAAAAGAAAACATAGGTAAAGTAATACATTGACTTGAAGTTGAACAAATCCGGTGATCAAGAAGGAAAGCGAAGCGAGAAGTCCTCCAGTTACCATCTTTCTCAATGGGCTGTAACGAAGACGTTCAAAAAGAGCCATAAAACACAATCCTTACGTGAGCTTGACGCATTTCGCTGCGATGGGGTAGATAATGACTTGGAAGAGGGGGATGAAGACAAGAATGAGAACGGCGTTCAAAGTTTGCATCTGATCCGGAAGAAGGAGGAGGGTGTCACTGAGACGGCAATCCATTTGAATAGCTGAATATAACAGTTTAGTGGCCAACCTGTGTGACGTCTGATACCTTGAATAAGCCAGACGGATCCTTGTTGATCGTAAAGGGCCCAGAACATTGGCACGGGAAGGAACATAACCAATACACGGAGGAGAGATCTGACATCATCGATAAATCTCTTCTTCTGGCACAGTTTTCCGTTGTGTTTTAGGGCCTGGAGCTCGAGGCATTTGGCGTCTTTGGAGCAGTCATGGGTGGTGAGGTAGTGAAGGAGCCAGTGTTCCTTTGGAGTTGACCCCTTCTTGGACTTGTTTCCGACAGCGGTCTGAAAATGGATTAGTCTAAAAGTCTAATGATATTGTTTCTGTTTTCAACTCACAAACATAAGTCGAGTGACTTCACCAAAGACGTTATCCTTTGGCGGATTCTTCTTATACCAGAACGATCCTCCCATGAACACCACTGTAATAAAATGTTTCAAAACCGCTCACTGGAAAGAGAATACTGACGTGTTGCTACAATCATAAGAATAGCTGGAATACCGAAAGCCATGGGGTAGCAAGAATCCTGACCGAGACATGGTTGAGCTGAAAGTGATCAGTATCAACCATTGAAATATCAATATAAATAATAATACATCTGAAGATTGGCGAGATGAAGGTTGAGATCATAGAACCGGCGTTGATTGAGAAGTAGAACATGGAGAAGAACAGAGAGAGCATTCTCTCTTGTCCCAACTCGAACTGATCTCCTCCGAACGCGGACACACATGGCTTGATTCCTCCGGTACCGAACGCGATAATCAACAATCCGGCCAAATCCATCCATCTGCAAATTAACACGTACTTCTCTCTCCCTTCCTCACTTTTCGGTCGACGCCTTTTATGATGCCAGTGCACCAGCGCACGAAAGTTGCCGTCTCGGAGTGCTTATCTATACACGAACTGCTTTCCCTTTCATTCTTTTTGCTCAAATGTTTCAACTATCGGAATTCGTAAATTTGAAGTTTGATGATAAGTTTCATGTTCTTGCCCACTTACGGATGGACTGAAGACTGATAATTCTTGACGGACGCGAGTGCAAGAACGACTTGACCGATGGCATAGAGAATGGAGACCGAAAAGATTGTCCTGAAAGTGATGGGATCTTTGTTCCCGCATACTCTTAATCTTGGTTTACCAGAATTTTCCAATGTAACCGTCAGCAACGATTGATCCGAGAAGTGGAGTAGTGTAGCAGAGCACAGTAAATCCGTTGAAGAAGATAGTGGATTGCGAATCGGTGAACTTGAGAACATTAAGCAGGTAGAACGTCAGAACCGCTGCAAAACATGTCACGTGCTGATCTATTGCTCTTCCGACGTCATTCGAATTCTCATCCAATTTTAAAAGACCGGATTATGAACATTTCACGGTTCTCCGGTTCGTGAGTGAAGTTTTGCTTTAGTTTATACTTTCTCCTTTGTCATCATAAGCACTTGCAAAGTTGGCAACATGTACTTCTGGTTAAAGACATGATGGTGATAACATAAGTTTATCAACAACACCAAAGTAGTTGAATTGTTTCTGATGTGAACTGTAGCAACAAAAAGTACTCACTTCGCATTCCATAGTATGAAAATCGTTCGCAGAATTCGTTGGACACAATGCAAAGTGTGGTTTTCGGCCAGTGCCGGATCATGTCGGGCCATGTTGTGTAGATTTTTTTTTCCGGAAGTGGCACCGTCTCGAGTTCATGTCCGTAGCTTTTTTTCCCTGAAAAACAATGGAAATGGTTTTTGATCTTGGAGCGTTTTTTGTCATCATATCGGAATAATGCTCTACACGCGGCAAGATTATCTTTAAGCTTTTCGTTTTCTCCTAGTAATTATTTTAAGCGCATATTATCTGCAGAAAAGTGGTAGGTTATCAAAGAGAGTTCAACCTGGCCTCTCCAGGAATTTTGATGATAAAAGAAAAAAGGGCTCTGGGATTTGATGTTATCTATTGCAAGGCCAACATTTGTTTTTTTTTTAATTGAATACCAGACAGTATGTTCAGATTAGGTACAAGTTACCCGTCCTAGAGACATTGTGCCATTAAAACTTTTCAACAGAGAATTCAAACCTTTTGAATTGACGCTCGGCGAGCGACTCTCCGAGTAGGCCATCGCGGCGATACTGACGAGGAATGAGCCGGGCGGAGTAGAAAGGAAAGAAGAAGTAGGAGGAGGAGAAGGAGGAGGGCGAGTAGGTGGGGGAATCGGTGCGTTGGCTCGCTCGATGACTGTCCTCACCGTTTGTCTCTGCGTCTCGTTATCACGTCGAACTGCTCTGTTCTCAACAGTGCTCCCACCTTATATATTTCACTCATAAATTTTATCAATTCCTCGCCCCTCTGTCTTGTAAGCCCTTTCCACACATTAAACTCTCACTAATCGGATAGCGCAGAAGGCGGGCGTAGCGTCGAGAGTGCATGTACGGTCGAGAGAGCAGGCGCCAATTTGTATGCGGGTTGTCTGTAAGTCAGTGTTATCTGCCCGCAGAAAAGGGTGTTGTTTCTGAAGAGTCGAAAAGGACAGAGACGAAATCGGAGGGGTGAGGAATGATATAAAAAATACAAAGTAGACAATGGAGGGAAAACGATGACATTTCGGACATTGGGTCAGTCCGATTTATGATGAAAAATGATCAAGAAGTATGAAATTATCATCTCGGAGTAAGACGGGGTCATGATATTGTAAACTCGCCCCATTGGACCCAATTTGTGCACATTCTCTGTTAAAAGCGGCATGTCACTATTGGATAGAACACTAAAAGGTACATCAGGTTGTAGCTTTTAGGAAATCATACGGCAGACAGAAGAAACATTTTTTACGGAAGACGGGAACCAACTTGGCGATAGTGATATTCATAGCGTTAACCAGCAGTCCTCTTCTCCACATCTTGAAAGTATTACACAAAAGGGATAACTTACCTCGAATGGTAAACTCTGAAAAGCAGGATTACTGGCTCCCGGGATTTCTTGGAGAGTCACAAGAAAAGTAGAATCTCACCCTTCGTATTATACTGAGCAGTAGAAAACCAGTAAAAAAACCCTAAACTTTAAAATGCCATCACGCTTTTACGGTGAAATTGGGGCAACAACACGCGTAATAAATCGTAATCTGACTTACCAAAAAGGCACACTCACCTTTGTGTGAACGGCTTGAAAAAGTAGATCCTATTAATTTTCTTTGCGATAGTAACCTTCATCACTTTTCTCGGCGATAATCATATTCATAGCGTTAACCAGCAGTCCTCTTCTCCGCATCTTGAAAGTATTACACAAAAAAGGTAACTTACCTCTAATGGCTAACTCTGAAAAGCAGGATTACCGGCTCCCGGGGTTTCTTGGAGAGTCAAAAAGAAAAGTAGAATCAAAACGTGTACCTGGAAGCCTCATCAATAAGATCGTAATAACCGACATCTGCTAACATCGTCCGATAGGTGTCCTCCGAGTCGAAAATATATTTTGTTTTTGTCGGATTATGAATACGGGAGTAGACTCTCTCTGTAATAATGGGTGTTTCCGTCCAAAAACGTCTCTAGTAATTATTGAAATGAGAACAGAGAGAATGAGAACATTGATTGTGGAAGCTCGGAACTCGAAATCACTCAAATTGGTGAACAAAGAAGTTCACTAACTCGAGCGAGAACTAGTTGAATTACGCACCTGACTTCTCTGTATCCGAGTCTCTGATCAAGACACTTTCCGCGCAGTTCACGTAGGTCAAAACGGCGGAGTGTCGTAACCAATCGAATGAGTGAGTAACGTGTTTCACGGGATTTCCGAGGTAGAGCGGGAAGTCTTCGGTTAATATCCTCATCGAGATCGATCGATGACGACGAGCCATGTGTTCTTTAAGGTTCTCTGAAACGAATCAAGTAGAAACCGAAAAAAAACAGATGAAAAGTAAGTAGGACGTGAACAAAACAAGATTTTAATCGAAAAAATTAAATTTTTTCTAACTGCTTCAGAAATTTTTAATGGAAGGATAAAGAAAAACTAGTTTGAAACGATTATTGGACAGAATGCCAAAAAAAAGAATAGTCGAAAGAACGTGTGATGAGTGAGGTCTGCAGACATCGTCTCTAACCACCTCGCCCCTCTTGTGTTTGCACGCTGTCTCGCGTGTGCGTGACCTAGTGGCAGGAGAGAGGAAGAGAGAGAGACTATGCGGCAAGGAGACGCAGACAGCGGTTTTGCACCGAACTCGTCGGCTGGAAATGAAATAAATCGGACTGTCCCAATATCCGAAATGTCATTGTTTTCCCTCCATTGTCTACTTTGTGTTTTTTATGTCATTCCTCACCCCTCCGATGTCGTCTTTGTCCTTTTCCATCTCGGAGTAAGACGGGGTCATGATATTGCAAACTGACCTCATTGGACCCAATTTGTGCACATTCTCTGTTAAAAGCGGCATGTCACTATTGGATAGAACACTAAAAGGTACATCAGGTTGTAGCTTTTAGGAAATCATACGGCAGACAGAAGAAACAATTTCTTACACTGGCGAGAAACTGGCGAGAGACTTGAATTCGTTCGAATAACATGGACATGCGTGTTTCTATTCCTAGTTCCCGAGTTCTCTATCCCGATAAAAACGGGAACGCGAGGCGAACCATGTAGTTATGGACTATCGCAGCGACTTCCGAAGAAAACAAGGAAAAAATGAGTATAATGGATTTGGATATTGAGAAACAAGAAGCAAATGAAACCAATGTGTCCTTAGACAATGAGAAACAGCACCCTTTTCTGCGGGCAGATAACACTGACTTACAGACAACCCGCATACAAATTGGCGCCTGCTCTCTCGACCGTACATGCACTCTCGACGCTATAAGTGTCCAAAAATGAAGTAATTTTAAAGTAGAGCAAAGGACAGTGCTTTGAGGGCCCATACCAGGATTTACGAGAAAAATTATGTAGTACAACCTTATGTGACTTTTGGAGCTTTATCCAATGACAAGACATCAACGTGGGTCCCTGCGTGGACCGAGCTGACGCTCGGAAGCGGCTTCGTCGCTAGTTATTTTCTTCCAACCGTTCAAAAGTTCACGTGTTCATTTCTCTAACTTCTTCGTCACAACTTTTTTCGTTTTAGAAATAAAAAAGTGTGCGGACGAACCAAAAAAAAATTATTAATAAGAATTATATTATAAGCTTGAGCTTCGATTTTTCAATGACAGGCTTCCTTCAACAGTATCCTGTAGGACATGGATTTCATGACGAGTTACTTCCAAAGTACTCCATGCTTCAATTTTACACAGTTTTGCAATCACCGTGGGCGAGGTGAGCGGTTGAAGACGGCTCCTTTGTTCACATCACCCTAATCATTGCTATTCATTTTTCCAACCATCAAGATCGTTCGACCATGAGCGACATTTTTTCTCGTTTGGCCTCGTCAAAGTTTGCCCAATTAAACTGCAGGCGACCTTTATTTTTGATTGGCGAAATTGCGGCAAGAAGATAGAACCACACGCACACACACACTTCTGCATCGACACGTAACCCTAACCCAATGAATGGACGTCGTTAGTTTTGCATCCACCCAAACTAGTTGATGCGCCCAAACTGTTTACTTGTCTTTCTGGGAGTTGTCCTTTGAGTTCGATTGACCATTTGACGTCCAAAGAATGTTATTTGTAAGCATTCTGTTATCACAGTTCGGGTTGTCTCTGACGCAACCTGATTTTTTTGAACGTCCTCCTCCACCACCACCAGGTAGGAATTCCATTCAAGTCAGCTGGTTTTGTTGTTTTTGTGAGCGAGCACCGGCCAAATTGGCACAGGAAGTTATTATCAATACTTGATAAGAGAAAAATTTCAAAATTTCGTCCGGTTTGCAGATTGGTTTTTTCCAGGACCGCCGCCTCCAAGACCATGGGGACCGCCGCCCCTGCCATGGGATCGGTAGGAGATGTCTGAAACTTCGAATCAGGTTCTATCAGTTTTAGACAACCACCACCATGGGGTAGACCTCCACCACCATGGGGCAGACCTCCACCACCATGGGGCAGACCCCCACCACCATGGGTATTTTCGATCCTTATTCAAATATCATATATTTTCTCAGGGGTTTCCACCTCCGCCGCCACATCCGCCACCTCCGCCGCCTCCCCCTGCACAAGTTCAACAGGATGTACCTCAAGTGATGTTCACACAAGATATTGACAAAGTGTGAAACAAGGTTACATAGGGAACAAGTGAATCAGTTCAGGTTGTGAACAGCGTGAATATGAACACGGCAGCTTTCCAGAGACCAGGAGAGAGTTACGATAGAGTCATTCAGATAATGAGCTCGTATTTCAATAGACAATCAGGCTCGCAATACGTGAGTTAAATGAAATGAAAAGTAGGTTCAATGTTCATTCTATGCCAGGACATGAACACTGTGATCCCTGCCAACGGGGTATCAAACAACGAGATGACAGCCAACAGTAAAATTGCTGCCGTGATGTTCGAGAGTGACATGGTGAGTTTTCAAAGTTTCTGTAATTTCTAGTGTACTTCTAGGCGCTCACAGTGGCCCAGATGAATAAAGTCGCACAAAATGGCTTCCGTGTGAAACGAAAGATGAATTTAAACGGAACGACATGGTCCAGAACCATTCCTTATCGGTTTTTGGAGACAGACAGTGAGTTTTCGAGTTCGCTTTCTGCCAACTCAGGTTTTTCAGGTTCTTGGCAGTCTCAAATCACAAATGCATTGCGATATTATGAAAGACATAGTTGTATTCGGTTCAGTCTTAATGGAGCTGGAGCCGATTATCTCGTTTTTAGTAGAGGAGAAGGGTATGAAGTCAAAATCAATGTAACTGATTGTTAGAGTGTAAGTTTTAGTTGTTACTCAAGTGTGGGAAGACTGGGCGGTCCGCAAGAAGTGTCTATTGGATACGGATGTGAAACAGTGAGCTTTGAAACAATACTCCACTTCATTTTCATTTATTCAGCTTGGTATCATAACTCATGAAGTTGGTCACTCTCTAGGATTCTGGCATGAGCAAGCAAGACCAGAAAGAGACAGTTATGTCAGGTAAGGTTTCTGTTGATTCATTGATTTAAGAATTATATTTTCCAGAATTAACAAACAGAATTCCATAATTGGTTTGGAAGGTCAGTTTGACAAACGTTCGTGGTCCGAAGTAAACGAGTACAGTCTTCCATACGACTACGGGTCAGTCATGCATTACGGACCAAAAGTATGTCTCATTTTTACATGAAACCGCTCATGTTATGTTTATTTTTTTGTTTCAGTCATTTTCCCGTTCATCTACACTAAATACAGTAGAACCGGTGGACTCTGCGTTCGTGAGCACAATTGGAAATCGTGTCGAACCATCCTTCTTAGATCTCAAGTTATTGAACACTGCTTTTTGTCAAAGTTTGTAATGGTAAATTAAACCGAACCACGGAAAATTGCCATTGAAGATGTGTGTACTAATCGAATCAACTGTCAACACGGCGGATACCCAGACCCTAACAATTGTGGTCAATGTAAATGTCCCACTGGTTTGGAAGGAACTTATTGTGAACGATTACAAACTTCGAGTAACGTTGGGACTACGGTTAACACTAACTAGAAGCGTAAAATGCAGATTGTGGTGTAGAACTTCCGAGAGCGGATTACACTTGGAGAAATATTTCGTACTCTGGATCATCTGATTGTTATTGGAGGATCATGGCGGTGCGCTTCACCTGAAAACGACAAATTATCTTTTTCTTTAGGTGAACGGTGGTCAAATTCGTTTTGAAGTTACCTATGTGATGTACAAGTGTTCTCCTGTTTGTGATGAGTTTGTAGAGGTGAGAAAGGTTTCCAAGAACAAGTGTATCTCTTCAGTTATCAGATAAAAGCTGAATATGGTCACGAAGCAACCGGGTACCGGCAATGCTGTACAGCGGTACTTGGAGAAAGGATAAGCAAGGGGAATAGTGTTATTATCATCTCCAAAGCCAGCCAGAATTCTCAATTTGTTCTCAGATACAAAGCAGGCATCACGAATTCATTCGGATTTTTCTTACTTATTGTTTTCTCAGATGGAAACCCACCCGCGACAACACCACGTCCACCGCCGGTGACTCGACCAAGACCTCGAAGTTATTCTCTGCAATGGTCCGGATGGACCGGTTGTTCCGAGAACTGTGGGGCATGTGGAACACAGTACAGAACGAGGTGTACAAGTACAAGGGATTGCTCGTGAGTCACATCATCACTTCCTGATCCATTTTTTTCGAACTGATAAGTTCAGAAGACCAATTCGTCAAACAAGAGTTTGCAATACCCAGCCTTGTGCCCAGGGAACGACCCGAGGGAAGCGGAGTGTTCTCAAAACTCAAGGTACTCTCTTATTCTTCTTCATCTTCTTCTTCTTTCTTCTTCTACTTCCTCTCAACATCAGCATCATTGTACTCCGTTTCAGTCGTGCCGCGCATCAAACGATTCGGTGAATGGTGTTGTGCCCGATTTGTCCTCTCGAGGAGTGTCTGTGTTCCAGTGCGCATTGGGTAGCTGCAGTTGGAGAAGAGACCGATTGAAGTTTCTCGGAAAGAAGGAGAAAGAGAAAGCATGCAGAGTATTGTTCATATGTATGAAGTTTAATTCATCGAATAAATGACCTTCGAAATACAGTTGGAGGATATGCCAATGCAAATATTGTATCTGGATGGAGTTTTTTCTAGACGTAGCATTCACGCAAAGTAAACAATAAAAAAGATTGTACGAGTCAAGATTTTTGAATTTTTGAAAGTTCAAAAAGCTCATGGTTCAGAAACCACAACGTATTTTTTGCCCTCAGCTGGAAATAGGAAGACGACTTTATTCGCCAAGCGAAATGCAGATTTGCAAGATGTTGAGCCAGGTCGAAGATTTTTCTGATTCGGCTCGGATGATTAACTTTGAACAAATTTTGTTGAGAAAAGTATAGAAACGGGTGCGGCAAGGTTTCTAAGAGAGCGGTAAAGATAGAATAATGAATATTAGTGTTGCGAAATATGGATCAGCCACTTTTGAATAAATTTTTGAAAATTTTTGGAATTAGTTGGAGCCTGCCGGACCGGAGAATTTCACATTTCGGTCCGGAAAAAGCATCTGGGCACTAGCTTCCACTTGCAAAAAAAGTCAATGAAACGATATTGTTCATCATAGGGGTCCTCCAAAGGTAACAATTGTCAAAGACTTTGAAATGACAATGCTTCTTATGCAACCTTCAACTTCTTCTCTCTTAGTCGCCCACTTAAAATATGAAGAACACATTTCACAACTAAATCCAAAAGCTTGCAAAGGTCACAGACTCTTCTTGAGACCTCCTAACGAAAAACTAGTTAGAGGTGTGAAGCAGTATAAATACGGATATGGGTGGTCGGATGGCATAGCAGCTTCCTCATTCCCTACTTTTTCCTATTTGCCAGTATGAGTACTTCGCTTCCAGTTTTTCTTTTCATGGTAAGAATGAGTCATCGTTCAAGTTCAACCAACCACCAATCTTTTTCTAATTTAGGTCATTGTTGGCTCTGTTTCTGCTCAATACATGTTCGGTCGTTCATGTGGAGGGTGTCCCACTCCCATGTGCCAACCTAGAATGCCCTGTGCTCCTCCGCCAATGCCAATGCCAATCTGCCCACCACCACCACCGTGTCCAGCTCAGTAAGTTCTGCATTAGTCTTTGTATTATAAAATGAAAGCTCTCCAGATTCTGTCCCCCGCCTCCAATCTGCCCACCACCACCACCACCACCAATGCCGTGCCCGCCACCACCACCACCGATGCCTCGACCGTCTTGTCCATGCATGGGGATGCAACGTCCCATGTTCTACCCACAGTACACTCCACAATATTACCAACCCATGCCCTTCCAAGTTGCTCAACCGATGCCCGCTGCTGGAGGTTGTGGAGGAGGGGCCGTGATTCCATCTGTCCGAATTCCTGCTCAGGTTTTTTGAGGTTTTCTCTCATCTATTTTATCAAACGTTATTCTCAGAACGACTGCTGCTGTGGCTGCTCTTCGCCGTGCAAGTACAAAAGTGTCAGACGAGCTGCCTTTGCCGCAAAGACCATTGATCCTTCATGCAACAGCTCTGAACTAAAGAATATCATCCTCGAGGTAAATTTTTTCTTCATTTATATTTTCTCATCGCTTCTAACTTTCCAGAACATCAGTGAGGACGCCAGTGAATCCAAGAGGAACATTCAGAAAATCGCTGAGGAAACTCTCGGACACGACGTGAATGTGATCTGCGGAACGGGAGAATTCAGCTACATTGCACACACTGATACTTTCTGCCAAACCTCGAAGGATGACGTCACGTGCTATGCATTCAAGCCGCTGTAAAACGATAAACTATTATTTTGTCTGTATTTACTGAACTTCGAATAAAAATCTGAAATGAAATCAAACCATTGTATGACTACTGTGAAAATCTCAGCCAATTTGTGAAATAGACGCTAATTCTGGTACATTTAACCAGGAGAGAAACTTTTTTGTTGTGAAAAAGACACTTTGCACGCGCGCGCTCTACTGTACAATTCGCAACAGTTTAGTATGCTGGCTGTCCTGTCAAAACGGCACCCGATTGAATGCCACACTGCTATTACCATTGCAAACAAACATTCAGTAATCGAGTTGGACCGCCAAACATACACGTGCCTATTTCACAATTCCAGATACTGCATTCGCATTTCTTGTGATTTCATCATCACCAGAGATACGAAAAATACCAACGCCAATATTTTTACTCCGTCATTCTCATTCGTGTCACTGTTATTCATATCTATGAAAGATATCTAACAAAAAACGACGATCTCCGTCGTCGGTTGTGCAGACCGTTTCGCCGGTTATCTCTTCGTTTATTAGGGTCGTCTGCATCGACCTTGGCCTGTGCGTTTTCCACTCTTCTTCCTCTTTTTCTCTCCTCTCTCTCACTCCCATACAGTCTCTTACATTTCAACGCCGCGTTGGTTGCATCGTTTTGCGAAGACACAACACAGTGTGCTGTTTGATCGACTCTCAACAACTCTTCTCGTTTCAGAAACATGAAATCCTTCATCTCCGTTTCGCAAAACTCGGATTTCCCAATTCAGAACTGCCCGTATGGAGTGTTCTCGACTCACAGTGATGTATGTCTTTCTGACTTCTTTCAAAAATCAATTTAATTTTTTGTTCCAGGACACACGTCACATTGGAGTGGCTATCGGAGACGAGATTCTGAACCTCGGCGAGATCGCCGAACTCTTCGACGGTCCAGAGCTGAAGGCTCATCAGGATGTTTTCAAGCAAACCACCCTCAACGCTTTCATGGCTCTCCCACGCCCTGCTTGGCTCGAAGCCCGTGCCAGAATCCAGCAATTGTTGTCGGATGAGTATCCGCTTCTCCGTGACAATACTGATTTGAGGTACATGGAATTGAAAGGGTCTTCAATTAAACCCAACTTTTCAGACACCGTGCCTTCACTTCTCGTGCCGAGGCAATTATGCATCTTCCTGCCACCATTGGGGACTACACAGACTTTTATTCCTCCATCCATCATGCTACCAACGTTGGAATCATGTTCCGTGGAAAGGAAAATGCGTTGATGCCGAACTGGAAGTGGTTGCCGGTTGGATACCACGGAAGAGCCTCGTCCGTTGTTGTGTCTGGAACTGAATTGAAGAGACCGGTCGGACAAACCAAAGCTCCAGAAGGTAAAACGGTTTTGATCAAAACCTCAGTAATGTTTGTTCAACAGCCTCTGAACCAACCTTCGGACCATCCAAGCTCATGGACTTTGAGCTGGAAATGGCTTTCTTTGTCGGAGGACCGGAAAACACTCTGGGCACTCGTGTCCCAATCGAGAATGCCGAGGATCGAATCTTTGGAGTCGTTCTCATGAACGACTGGAGTGGTGAGGGTTTTTTCTGCTCTTCAAAAACTGAGTAAGAATGTTTGCAGCTCGTGACATCCAGGCTTGGGAGTACGTTCCGCTCGGACCATTCCTGGCCAAGTCCTTCGGCACCACCATCTCTCCATGGATTGTCTCCATCGAGGCTCTTCGTCCATACTTTGTCGAGAACCCAGTTCAGGACCCAGTTCCACCAGCGTATCTCCGTCACGACGATCCATTCACTCTTGACATCGACTTGGCTGTTTCCATCCGCCCGGACGGAGACTCGGAAGCCCACACCGTCTGCAAGACCAACTTCAAGGTACACAATATACCGAGCTCTTGAAGATAACGTTCTTTCTTTTTTACAGCATTTGTACTGGACTCTCAAGCAACAACTTGCTCACCACACCATCAACGGCTGTAACTTGCGCCCTGGGGATCTTCTCGGATCTGGAACTGTTTCTGGACCCGAGGAGGGTGCCTACGGATCCATGCTCGAGTTGTCCTGGCGTGGAGCCAAGGAGGTGCCTGTCGGAAACGAGACTCGCAAGTTTTTAAAAGACGGAGACGAGGTCAACCTGTCGGGAACGTGCATTAAGAATGGTGTGCGAATTGGTTTCGGCGAGTGCCGTGGAAAGCTTCGCCCAGCCGACATCTAAGTCATCATCATCTCTCGTTTCGCCCCATTCCTAGTTGTATTTCGTCGAATAAAGTCTTAAAGCATACGAAAAGTGATGAAAATGGAAGTGTGCAGTGCCAAAACCGATAGGGCGTATGTCACGATTTCATGTTATCAGTTAGGAACAAAACTACATAAATAGGGCGCACTGAGGACGGAGAAGTCATTCTGAAGTCCGACATGATTTCGACAATCCTGCTGTTGACGTTGGCCGCCACGAGCTCAGCTTTCGTGCTTCCATTCCAGGTTGCCACTGCCGTTACCAACATCACTCGAGGTAAGGATAAATATGAAAAGTCAGAAATTTATTATTGGAGATTATCCGAAAGGCAGTATCCCAAATGAAACTAACAATTTCAGGAGGTCAAACTCTCGAGCAAGCCTCCAGCTTCTTCGTTGCCAACCTAACCATCGGCACTCCAGGACAGCTTTTCACGGTGGTCATCGACGTCAGAACCTCGGATCTCGTCGTTCCAGACATCACTTGCTGTAAGCCTTTTTCTGAGCGATCGTGACTCTTGAATTCACTGTCTTTCTCGTGATGATGACGGGGGCTTGTCAGCTTTTGCTGACAATTCAGTCAGTTTTAATCGGAATCGTTAGAATCGGAATAGCTTTTTAGATGTGTTATCTGTTGGGAGTAGAGCACAAACAAAGTGCATACGACACTGGAGTTTGATAGCATTGACCAAAGACTAATAATTTTCAGCAACTGAGCTGAACTGCTACAACAAGAGAAAGTTCAACTCGTCGGCGTCTTCCTCGTATTATCCTTTTGCATATAATGTCAGCTACCATAACAATCTCGGAGACTTCCAAGGATTCGCTGGAAACGATGTCGCTGTGGTATGACAATCGCAATAACGAAATTTGAATAATTCACAGATGTTTTTTTCAGATTGGGGACCGCCCAACTGATCTCATCACTATTCCGAGCCTTAAGATCATGCAAGCCACTACCCTCGGACTTCTTATGAATGGCCTCGCCGCCGACGGAATCTTGGGCCTTGGCTTCACCAGTGCCTCGCAGATCGGAGGAAACTCTCCGTTCGTACAGGGTGTCAACCAGGGAGACATCTCCGACACTTTCTTCTCCATTTGGATCGAGCACTTCAATCAGACTGATGACCTCGGAACCCATGGAGTTATCTATTACGGAGGTATTCCGATAGTCATTGAATTGTGTTTGAGTTTGAGATTTTCAGGACTTGATGAAGTCCATTGTGCTCCAAACGCCCAGTACGTCCCACTTACATCGGGTTACGCGTATCAACTCACTGTCTCCAATTTCAAGTCTGCTGGATCTGCTGCCACCAACTCTAACAGCAAGTACATCCAGGTAAAACTGATTTTGAATGCAAGTTTTCTAAAAAAAAAAAGGTTTACAGGCCGTTCTCGACACAACCGATGCACGCATTGCCGCCCCAACTTCTTACCTTAGCCAAATTCTCGATTCGATCGGCATTAACATTAACACAGTTTCTGTTTACCCACCACTTGTTCCATGCGACACCAAAGTCACTCTAACTTTCACTTTCGTCAGTGGTAAGCAAAAAATATCAAGCCAACTGGAAAATTGAAAGGAAACGGCTTTTAGGAACCTCGGTCACCGTCACCGAAAGAGATCTCGTCACGAGTTACTTTGGAAACTGCCGACTCCAAATTGTGCCAAGCAGCAACGGAGCGTAAGATATTTTACCCAAAGACCCTAAAGAATGGCCAATCAATTTTTTTAGTATCACTTTGGGACTTCCATTCTTCCGAGGACGTTGCACATACTTTGACCCCATTTTCCAAAGAGTCGGATTCACCCCAGCCCTCCTCCAGGACTAGTGTAATTACTTGTTTCAAACTTTTAATAAACTATGAAATGTTTTTTTTTGACATTTCATAAATACGAAGAATCACTCACATTCTTTTCTCAGAAGTCAGTACAAAGCGGCGTAGATCGTAATCAGAACAATTTGGGATAAAAAACGTATTTTTAACACAATTTTTGGAGCGATTCACCTACGTATTACGATTACGACAGTTGCGAGTATAAAAAGAGACCCCAGCTCTCATCGAACAATATTCCTTCCCGAATGTTGGCTCTTATTCTCCTTATTTCTCTTTTCGCGCCGGCTTCTGGAGCTGCAGATCTTTACGAGCATCTTAACAATGCTACCATCCGTCTTCTTACTACTGCACCATGCGAGAATGAGTTGGACGAAAAAACCTTCGAAACTTGTCTTATTTTTGTTGGGGTTTGTACTGGTTTTGGCAGAATTCCAGTTTGCAACTGGTTTTCAGAACAACACTGTCAGCCTGAAACGCTATGAATACAGTTTCTTCCACAATCAGACCGATTTTATGGAGACCATCTCCACCATGAAATTCTTGGCGAATTGCATTGCCCTTTGCACTTGTCCAAGGCTCCGTTTGTACAAGTATCACTTGGATGGAATGATCTTTGTCGGAGAGAAAATCTTCATGGATGCTGAAGACTGCTTCATAAATGTACTCCTGTAGTGTTATCAATCATTATGTATAATGCTTTTAAGGGTGATGTTCTGTTCCAAAGCGAGAAATGCACCGATTACTCTCGTCGCAAGTTCTCGCTGAAGGAATATGCCGCCTACGTTTACGATCATCGTAATAAAATCATGACGTGCATCGACAAGGATCTGCAAATGACTAAAGAATGCACGGATGAGAAACGGAAGACGATCGCCGCCGCGTTCTACGCCATGATCGACGTACTTGTGATTACCGTGGCCCCCTTCAGCAACTACATCGTCTACAAGTTTCAACCGTACTATAACTCGAACATTGACCTCTAATGTCTGATTTTCTGAAACCCTGTAAATAAGAAATGAATTTGAAATGTCTACACCCGAGAATCGCGAAAATAGAGACATTGGAATGTTTTTGTGCGTGGCCAAATCGCACACTTCCGGTGTTGCATTCTCCCATGGTCCGTTGAGAATTGGTGTACCTTTTTCTTGCTTTTATGCCACTTATTTCTACTAACCAAAAGAAAATGCTGAAAAATTTCAAAAAGAAGTTCAATTGCAAATTTGAAGTAAGCAGATCCGGTTTGCACCTTTACTTTCCGTTTATAGTTAATCGCCTTCAGGGTCTGAAAGCGGAACAAGAGAAAACGTTAACGGAAGCTGTCATTCGAGTATTTTTCCTCTATTTCGCTCGGAATCCGATTTACATCACAATAATCTGTGGAATTATCCTCTTACATGGCGTCTATCACATTCTCATATTCCCTTTGTCATCCTGGAATAACCGAAATATACTCTTTGGTTCGTTTGACACGACAAAATGATTATTTATCATAGCGAAATATGATTGAGTGGTTTTTACCTAAGACAAACGTCATTATCAGAAGAAGCATGTGCGGAGACACCGCGTGGAAAGTGACTTTGAAATGCGAAAACTTACAAAATTGCAGGTATCTCTATAATTGCCAGCTTCGCTTGTTTCTCGCTGACCACAGTTACAAAGCATGAACTCTCCAGGTTTTTTGACCATTCAATGGATACTAAGAGTAATCGAGCATCGTTACAAAGGTACACAACTGAAGGAGCGAAGAATAGTCAAATTTGTATTTTGTTTCAGAACATCAATTATCGCACTGCAATCAATTTTCGGTCTTGCCCTTGTTCTACTATCAACTCAAATGCACTTCAACAGACACTACTCCCCGTACGATCTCGTTTTGGTCATTCTGTGCATTGTTATAACGGCAAGACTCGCCGTTGTCATCATTGTTTGGACTAATTGCGTTTATCGAATTGCCGAGAGAGTTCGTGAGATTGGAAAGTTTTTGGAAAAGTGTAATGGAAGAACAGAGTATGAACACTTGGCATTGCAAATGAAGGTGGTGACACTATAGGACATATTAGTCTCTGACAAGTGTTATGTATTTGCAGGACATCATTTTGTGTTTGGATGTACTGAACAAAAAAGTATCCACGATCCTGCTGCTTAGTTTGATGATGACGGTATATTGTTTGATGTTAATACTAAAACGAATGATATCAGCGACTACACTTGTTTTTCTAACATCACCATTTCTCCTACTGTATCTAATCTGCTCCTACGCAAATGTCCAGGTACTCACGTGGAAAGAGGTTCATGAATTCAAGACACTTATTTTCAGTTGGAAAAATTGAAAATTGCATCTTTACGTCTGTTTGATTTGCAATTTATCACTCCGGCGGTAAACTCGTTGGTTGGAAATGATCTAGGTTTTCGAAAAAAATGATCAGAAATTGCAGGTTCACTACTTTTGGATGGCTCGGAAAATCGAAGAGTTACCAGCGGTGGAAGTCAAGTACCTGTTCGAGGCAACATTCGGAAACCTAATGAGAATAATATTTTATTGTTTTGTGGTTTTTATCAGCTTTGAGCATTGTATCACTTCCGCTCTGCAATGTAAAAGTTTTTGATCTTCTGCTTCCGTACAAAAACAATAAATTGTCATTTTGCTTTCATAGTGTTCCAATTCCTGCCCTGTTGCAGTAGGAAAGAAGCAGGCGAAAGTACAGGTTTACTGTTGAATTGTGCTTGTGGGCGTAGCCAACCCTTTTGGAGAGGGAAGAGGAGCGTGATAAGAACTGGAGCTCATTTTCATTCGGACGCGCACCGAGCACTCGGTTATGCTCCGATCACTGGGCATCCTTTGCATTCTGGGCGCTGCCCTGGCGGCCCCCGCACAACTTGCGAGCAAGGATACCGATCTCGTTACTGATCTTCCCGGACTTACTTTCACTCCGAACTTCAAGCAATATTCCGGATTTCTCGATGGTTCTCAAGGAAATCATCTTCATTACTGGTGAGCGACTTGTCTCAAAACTAATTCAACTAGTAGTGCTCTCTAAAGTTGTTTCTCTTATTGACAGCCTATTGATACCATAAAGATTCAAATTCCTTAACACTTTTAAAGAGCAAAGATACCGTAGTCTCCTTTTCAATCCTGGGTGATTCATTTCCTCAAAATTTTGTTTTTGGTGCTGTGCTGTACTGATCAACAATTGTATTGTATTGTCGTTTTTCAATATCCTTCAAGCCACATTTTATTGTATTTCTGATCATAGTCGAGAAAACAAATCCCTTTTTTGGTTTCCTACTTTTTCTGGACACCAAGTAGAGAGAGACAAGGGAACTTAGGGCTATTAAAGATGTAATCGTGATTTAAGACTCAAATGATAACATCGACTGGCATGAAAAGTACGAATTTCACGAGAGGACGTCAAAATTTGACAAATATCAGTCGGGTTATCATCATAGGTTGGACGCCATTGATTCATTATCATTACATTTCGTCAGAAATTCACTTTCTGATGAAGGGCAGACTGGAATACCAATTGAGAAGAGAAATGATAATGAATTTGAAGGGTGTTTCGATTTTAGGTTAGTAGAAGCTCAATCCAACCCAATCACTGCTCCGCTTGTACTTTGGCTCAACGGAGGACCGGGATGCTCTTCTCTTCTCGGACTTCTCACCGAGAACGGACCATTCAGAGTGAACAGCGACGGAGCTACTGTCATTGAGAATGTGAACTCGTGGAATAAGGCTGCCAACATTTTGTACTTGGAGTCGCCAAGAGACGTCGGATTTTCGTACAGAGACACTCAGACTTATGGAAACGACACCCTGTACAACGATGACAAGACTGCCATTGACAACGCTATCGCTCTCCTTCAGTTCTTCCAAAGATTCCCGGAATACCAAGGACGCGACTTCTACATCACAGGAGAATCCTACGGAGGAGTCTACGTGCCCACTCTTTCCAAACTCGTCGTTCAGCTCATCAAGAACAACACTGCTCCGTACATCAGCCTCAAGGGATTCGCCGTTGGAAACGGAGCTCTCAGCCGCAAACATCTTACCAACTCCGGAATCGATCTTCTGTACTACAGAGGAATGTTGGGAAATGAGTAAGGTGTCGTTGTCCTTATGCAGTCTAGTTATTGATTTTAGTCAATGGGAGAACCTCCGTAAGTGCTGTCCGGATAGTCCTCAGGGACCACTTGTTGACTGTGACTTCTCTCAGGTAGGTTCTATGTCTAGTTCCAAGTTTATTCGTTTTTTTTAAAGTTCGTTATCTTCGACGATTTCGGAAACCCAGCTCCGAGAAACGACACCAACGATGCTCAGACTATTGCTTGCGGAAAGATGGTTGTCCAGCTGGGACTGAACTCTATTTGGGAGACCTAGTACGAACAACTACTTGAGAAATATTAATTCAAGTTGATCATTGCAGCAACGATGTGTACAACACCTATCAGGACTGCTACAACTTTGATCCTTCCGTGTTCTCGAGCGTGGAAGAAAGACACTCAAAGATCCACCAGCAGACCATGAGAAAGATCATGAAGACTTCGCTCTCTACTAATGGAGCTAACAGCGCCTACAACCTTTTCAGCACTGGAGTGAACCCGTTCATTGATCAGGGAGTAAGCAGAAACGATCGTTTCAATAGTTAGTGCAAACAATATTTTCAGTCTCTTATCAACAAGCTGTCTACCGACGCTCTCAATGGATATCCATGCTACGTGGATGCCTCGACCACCACCTACCTGACAAACGCAGATGTGCGAAATGCTCTGCACATTCCATCTTCTGTTCAGCCTTGGCAGGAATGCAGTGACACCATCAACGAGTTCCTTTACATCCAACAGAATGCTGACATGACTCCGGTCTTCCAATACCTCATTGATTCTGCTCACCCGCTGAAGGTTCTCATCTACAACGGAGATGTCGATCTTGCTTGCAATTACTTGGGAGATCAGTGGTTCATTGAGAGTCTGGCTACTTCTACTTACAACGTAAGAACAAATATGTAGTCCTGCTAGTGAGATATTGTGTTTTCAGATGAACCTGACCAGAGCTCGTGAGCAGTGGAACTTCACCCGCCCAGGACCCGTTGATTACATTCCAACTCTTGCTGGATACGTGAAGTCCTGGAGCTACAACCAGGTTACCATTGACCTTTTGACTGTCAAGGTAAAATCAAGACAAAATTTTAAACTTTTCCTTCTTATCGCATCAAAATTCAGGGAGCCGGACACATGGTACCAATGGACAGACCAGCCCCATCCCTCCAACTCTTCTATAACTACCTCTACAACAACAATGGCTACAGTAACCAGATTCCGTACGACCTGACCGCCGCTGCTCTTCGGTCGCAATACACAGCCGCGCCTCAAAAGACCTGTGAGTTCTGCACGAGAGACACCAGACAACGAGACTTTTGCCCCGATCACAAAACGCTATCTCGAAAGAATGACAAAAAAGAGTCGCAACAATTCGTGTACATCACTTACACGGAAAGGGCTTATCAGTAATAGCCGCAGCGAACCAAAATGAGATACTAAAAATGATATGGTTGGAGCGTCATCATTGGTGAAAGTTTGATTTCAGGGACTCGCAAGCAAGCCGACAGAGTTTACAATCTTCCGGGAATCACATATGGACTGAACTTCAAGCAGTACTCAGGATACTTGAATGGAGTCACCGGAAACTATCTGCACTACTGGTTTGTCGAGTCACAAGGCAATCCGACGACTGACCCGCTTGTTCTTTGGTTGACTGGAGGACCGGGATGTTCTGGACTCATGGCTATGCTTACTGAATTGGGACCATTCCATCCGAACCCTGATGGCAAGACTCTCTTTGAGAATGTCTACTCATGGAACAAGGTCGCTAATGTCCTCTTCCTCGAATCGCCGCGTGGAGTCGGATTCTCTGTGCAAGATCCAAGTTTGAACAATGACACCATCTGGGACGACGAGAGAACTGCCACTGACACTTACCTCGCCCTCAAAGATTTCCTCACAGTATTCCCTGAATACGTCAACCGTCCATTCTTTGTCACTGGAGAATCCTACGGTGGAGTCTACGTTCCAACCATCACTTCCCTCCTCATCGATAAGATTCAGGTAAGCTTGTTACAACCACACCAAAGTATTTAGATGCTCAAAATAAAACTCTAAAATAAAGTTTATTTTTAGTCTGGAGATTTCCCGCAGCTCAACCTTGTCGGTATGTCGATTGGAAACGGAGAACTTTCCGCCATTCAGCAGTTCAACTCTGCCATCCTGATGGGATACTTCCATGGACTTTTCAGCAAGGAGTTAGACAAACACATTCTCTTTTCACGTTTATTTTCATGGTTTCAGTGACTTCGACTCCCTGCAACCGTGCTGCAACCAGACTAAGACTAGCTCTCAATGGTTTGAATATTGCAACTTTGCCCAGTACATCAGCCTTGGAACCGATGGAACCGCTAACCCGATTGACAATTCCTTCTGTGCAAACAAAGTCGCCGATTTAGGACAGCAAAGATTCTGGAACAGCTTGAACAACGTGTACAACATTTATCAGGACTGCTACGAACAAGCTGAAAGACCGTTCGGATCCAGCATGACCGTCAAGAAGCAAAAGCAGTACATGCGAGGATTCATTGATCAGGGAGCCAAGGTCTCCACCTCCTCTACTGATAATCAAGGAGGGCTCATCTGCTATGGAACTGCTCAAGCCGCCAATTGGATCAACCTTCCGGATGTCCGCAGTGCTCTCCATGTTTCGTCTGCCGCCGGAGCCTGGTCTGCTTGCAAGTGAGATTGAATTCCTGAAAATACAGTTTGTTTGCAATAAGAGTTTTTTTTCAGTGACACCATCAACGCTGCTTACGTGCAACAACACAACGATACCACTTCTGTCTTCCAGCACATTTATGATTCTAAGTACCCGTTGCGCGTTCTCATCTACAACGGAGATGTCGACCAAGCATGCAACTATCTTGGAGACCAATGGTTCATCGAGGCTTTTGCCCTAAAGAACCAGATCCCAGTTGCCAGTGCTCGTGCTGATTGGAGATACATGACTCAAATTGCTGGATACACCAAGAAGTTCGACACTCAGAATGGATTCTCTATTGACTTGATGACCGTGAAGGGAGCTGGACATTTGGTACCAACTGACCGACCGGGACCAGCTCTTCAGATGATTGCTAACTTCTTCCGTAACCAGGACTACAGTAACCCGACCGTTATCGACACTAGCCTCCACCCACTTCTCAGCGCTTATGTAATCGCGGAGCAACTTGCCGCTTCCCTCAACCGCTCCACCACTGGAGTTGCCCACAATGGAAACAGAGTTCACACCAAGGTCCATAAGGTCAACCGGGCCAACAAGTTGATGGAGAAGAAAACTGTCAAAACTCCAACTGAACTTGACGCTCCACCACCGCCACCATCTCAAACCAAGGACCAAGATGAAGTCACCAACCTTCCAGGATTGACTTTCACCCCGAACTTCAAGCAATACTCTGGTTACTTAAACGCATCCGCTGGAAACTATCTTCATTACTGGCTTGTCGAGTCGCAGCTCAATGCGACCTACGATCCGTTGATTCTTTGGCTTAACGGTGGTCCGGGATGTTCGTCGCTTGGAGGATTCTTGGAGGAGCTCGGACCATTCCATGTCAACGCTGATGGCCAGACTCTCTTCGAAAACCAATTCTCGTGGAACAAAGCCGGAAACGTGTTGTTCTTGGAAGCACCAAGAGATGTCGGATACTCATACCGCAGTAACGAATACCCGGCTGATCCAATGTACAACGATACTTACGTAAAGGATTCCCTAATTAATTTTCATTATTTCAACTGTTTCAGACCGCTTCTGACACTGTTCTCGCTTTGACCAACTTCTTCAACAAGTTCCCAGAGTACCAGAACCGTCCGTTCTACATCACTGGAGAGTCCTACGGTGGAGTTTACGTTCCAACTCTCACTCGCGCTCTCATCAACGCTATTCAGGTATGTAAACACAAAAATAGACATAAATTAAGAAAAGTTGTTTCGTTCCAGGGAGGAACTATCCAGAACGTTACCCTGGCCGGAGTTGCCATCGGAAACGGCGAACTTTCTGCCATTCAACAAGTGAACTCTGCCGTGTCCCTTCTTTACTTCCGAGGAGAACATGACAAATCGTGAGATCGACTTCATAAAACTTAAATTAAGTGTAGTCTTTCAGTGACTGGGACGCACTTGCCAAATGCTGTGATACTTCGGTGCCACAGGCATATTGCGATTTCACCCAATACATCACAATTGACACATCTGGAAACGTCTGGCCAAAGGTGAATGACAATTCGCTCGCTGGACAGTGCGGACAACTTGTGCAACAGCAAGGATTCCTCGACGTCTGGACCACTGAGTAAGTTTTGGTCTATAACTGAACTCATAAAACTCCCATTTTTCTAGCAATGATGTGTACAACACTTTCGCCGACTGCTATGACACTCCAGGTGCTGGAGACTCAAAGCTGAACGAGCTGGCTAAGGGAATCAGAAGAGTTCAGAACAGACGTTCGAAGAGAGAGGTCTCCCCACTTCTTCCCAACACTTTGTTTGTCGATCAAGCCAAGAAGATCAACTACAAGTCGACTGATGCTAACCAAGGATTCACTTGTTTCTCCGGAGCTTCTGCTGAGGCCTACATGAACATTCCCGAAGTCCGTACGGCCCTTCACATCCCAACTGCACTTCCATACTGGACTGATTGTAATTATGACATGAACGAGAACTACATTCAACAGCACAACGACACCAGTTCCGTTTTCGTCGACATTCTTAACTCTGGATATCCACTGAGATTCTTGATCTACAACGGAGACGTTGACATGGCTTGCCAATTCCTCGGAGATCAGTGGTTCATTGAGAAGCTCGCCAAGGACAACAACATGGCCGTCACTCAACCACACGGACCATGGAACTATACCCAGGGACAGTTCTTGCCGCGTGTTGGAGGATACTGGAAGCAGTTCACTTACACCAACCAAAACTCGAACACCAAAGTCACTTTTGATCAGCTCACTGTCAAGGGCGCAGGACACTTTGTCCCACAAGACCGTGCCGGACCGTCTCTTCAGATGATCTACAACTTTGTCAACAGTCTCGACTACAACCGCAACTTGACTCTCGATTACTCTCGCAAGACCCTTCTGCCACAATACCAGCCGGCCCCAGTGACTGTTTCTCGCAGAAAGGCCGATCACATCTCCGTGCTGCCAGGAGCTACTTGGAATGTCAACTTCATGCAGCATTCTGGATACCTTCAGGCCACCGCCGGAAACAAACTCTTCTATTGGTTCGTCGAATCTCAATCTGGAAACGACGGTGATCCAATCATTCTCTGGCTGCAAGGAGGACCAGGATGCGCTTCCACCGGAGGACTTCTCGGAGAAATCGGACCATTCTACGTCAACCCAGATGGAGAGACCCTCTTCGAAAACGTGTACTCTTGGAACAAGGCCGCTCACATTTTGGTAATTGACTCGCCAAGATCTGTTGGATTCTCGTACCAGGACACCAATGTGAACAACGACACTTTCTGGGATGATGATAAGACTGCTAATGATACCTACACCGCTCTTGAAGACTTCTTTGCTGCCTACACCCCGCATAGAAACAGCGAGCTTTACATCATCGGAGAATCATATGCCGGAGTTTATGTGCCAACCCTCACCAAGCTTCTTATCCAGCAGATTCAGGCAAGTATAATGAAAAAAATATGTTTAGTTAAACGTTTTTAGAGCGGGCAATCGAACATCAAATTCCGCGGTATTGGAATCGGAAACGGAATGGTCAGTGCTGTCAATGACGTCAGAACTCTTCCGGACTTCCTCTACTTCCACGGAATTTACGACAAGCCACAATGGGAGAAGCTCCGTGCTTGCTGCCCGTCTTCGGATGCCTCCTACGATTGCAACTACGACTACTACATCACCATCGACGCCGGAGTCAACGTCATCGCCAAGTCGTTCCCAGACAACCAGACTCTCCAGGATTGCGCGTATCTTGTGGAGAACTTGTCTTACGACAGAAGTTGGAAGGCTCTTTATGATCAGTACAATTTGTACCAAGACTGTTACGCCGACCCGAAGAGCACTCCGTATCCGTTCAAGAACGAGAAAATCTCGAGACTCGAACTGGAGCGCAGACTCAAATCGTACATTCCACAGTCTACGACCAAGGTAAGAAGAAAATTCGATATCAGAGTAACTTGTGAATGTTCAGACCGCTCCACAGGATCCACTATCCACCGACGCTACTGGAGGATACTCTTGCTGGAACGAGTACGCCATCAACAACTATCTCGGTCTCTCTCATGTTCGCGATGCTCTGCACATTCCGGACTTCGTTCAGAGATGGAGTTTCTGCACGTCAGTTCAACAATATAAAGAGAAAGTGCTTTTTTTTCATTTTCAGCGGAATCAACTACTCCAACTTGTACAATGACACCACTCAAGTCTTCACTGATATCTTGAACAGTGGATATGACCTCAAGTACGAATCGGAAACTGGAATTGTTTGACAGAAAAAAAGCAATATAAATTTCAGGGTGCTCATTTACAACGGAGATGTCGACTCTGTTTGCTCAATGTTCGAGGCCTTGTCTACCATCAACAACTTTGCCATCAACCAGCAATTCGTAAGAAAAGAGTAGTATCCCAACAACTATGTACTTGTTTTTCTAGGTGCACAACCAACCGAGATCGTCTTGGATGTACGGAGGACAAATCGGAGGATACGTTGAGAAGTTCCAGAAGGGCAACATGACAATCGACCTCATGACCATCAAGGGAGCCGGTCACATGGCGCCAACTGACCGTCCAGGACCAGTGCTCCAGATGGTCAACAATTTCGTTCACGGACAAGGAAACTACAACACGACGATCAGCGTGAGCATGCTCCGCCAACCACTTCTCGCTCAGTACACTGTAAGTTTTTGGAAAAAGTAGAGAAAGACACAGTACAACTTTTTACAGGAGCAAGGATCCGGAGTAGTAACAAGTGCTCCAGTTACTGGCGCTCCGAACACAAATGGTCCATTCACCGACGCTCCGCTCACCAACGCTCCAGGACAAACCACGGTCACTACTGCTTCACCACAGACTCAGGCCCCAGTAGTCACATCTACTGGTGGTACCAACCCGGCCAATGCATCCACCCCAACCGCCGCCGTCTCTTCGACCACTGTTTCCACCACCACTCAATCCGCCACATTTGTCTCGTTTACCTTCTCGGTGTTCGTGGTCTCTCTTGTCAAACTTTTATTGTAAATTTCAATAACCTTTCTCCTCTACATATTGAAGGTTAGCTTCTTCTCATTCATCCAATTTTATACTGAAATCTCTGATGTCTCATAAATGAACAGTTTTGTTTTGCTTTGTGAAAAAATTCATGTTGTCCTTGAAATGGATGAAAACGTTTTGCGAACATGACGATCGAGAAAGATAATTGCGGACATGATGACAAACACCATTGACTCGGTGCAAAACGCAGCCAATTAAAATGCGTATAAATAAGCGACATCATTCTCGAATTTTCAATTCCATTGTTGGCCATCTTCCTTCCATCTTTTGTGCATTCTCCCATTTCTACACCAAAATGTGAGTTGAAGTGAATCTTCTTATTTTCACTTCCTACCCAATTTTCAGGCACATCAAAGCTATCGTCTACAACAAGACCAGAAAGTATGCTGGACATACTATCGATTTAGAATTAGGGGATAACGCAACTGTTGCTGAAGTAGCGAATCTATAATGTTCGGGAAAATTTTCAGAACTTTCAGGCCAAGTCGAAGATTGAGGAGATCACCACCGTACCCGCTCAAATCCAGTGGATTGTGTTTGGAAGTCAGAAAGAAATATGAAATCTTTATAAAATACGAAAATGTTGTAGCTGCACACCTCGAGGATTCGAAGCCACTCCGCGAGTACGGAATCCGTGATGGATATACCATCTATTCAACTCCGACTTACGTTGAAATCCAGGACATGCCGAATCTTTAAAAGATTTTGTTGATTTCCTCGATTTGTTCATTGAAGTAACAATAAAGTAACCTTTTTCTAAGCAAAATGCGATTTCGGAAACTTTGAAATTTGCGAGATGTCTATCTCTTATTCATGCGTGTCTTGAATTGATTACCCTCTCCGCCTCAACTTTGTTGGGTCCTTCGCTCGGCTTGCGAGCCATTGTGTCAATTTTGGCAACTCTGAGAGCTTCGCAGAGCCACAAAAACACATTTTCTCGCGGAGCCTCCTTCTTCTCTCTCAATTTCTTTCTTCTCGTGCTCATTTTGATGACCAAGAAATCTTTTCATTAGGTTTGGCTTTGCCCGCAAAATGAGGCACACGCACAACTGCTCGTTTTCCTATTCATTAACGCCTTTGCTTTTTCCGTTTTCATCAACTTGATTTCCGTACGGCTAACGTCTCATTATGAGCGCGAGAAAAGTTTGTTGACGGGACACAGCACGAGGTTTAACCCAAAAGTCCGACCTATCGCATTTCAAATCTTATTTATTCCTTATTCACCTTTTCCCTCCCAGTCCCTTCCGGTTTTTCAAAGAAAAACTGATAAGATGGGACAGTTTGGCGCTTCTTCCAACAAGTATAAATAACTGACAAATCGCATGAGTTGCAATCAACAATCAACAATTAGCAACACCTTTCCGCAGCTTGCTCTCTCAGATATCTCTGTCAAAGTCAAGCGCAAAGCGCCGTCGTTTCTAAATGTCAATAGTCAAGTGGTGTCCTTCCTCCGCTCACCCTCCGGCTACTACTTTCTTGTTTTCTCTTTGCTACTATAGCAACCAACCGCTCATTTGGCTCTTGACGCCGGAAGATTACCTTCTTCCTTCTTGCCTTTCGATTCGGGAAGAATCTTGTCTGTTCGGATAGCACTTTTAAACCAAACAAACGAACCGGCAGGAGGGTTCTCTCCGCAGATGATTTATTTGTTTGAATGAAAAAAGAACGAATGAGCTGTTTTGTCTTTTTACAAAAACGAAGCGAAGAGGCAAGGCAAGGCAGATTGTGAAAGAAAAAGTTACACAAACTTCCTTGGACTCATTCCTCTTCACCTGCTTTCTTTTTCTTCCTCTTTCTTTTTCACCTGTCATTCTCATTTTCACCTGACCAAGAAGAACACCGTGATGAGTAAGTAAAAACAAGGACACTTCATAGACCCCCATTTGACTTCTGACGTCCTTGCCCAAATCGATGCGCCGCGCATCTATTGTTGATTCATCGAAGTTTATGCAGAAACCCAGGGGATAGTGTGTATTTGGGCGGAGGGCGCAGAACTTCTTACCGTCTCTTCTCTATCTCGCCCGTTTTCCCACATTTCCACGACGGCTTGCAATACGATCTAACAAGAGGAGGAGGTAGAAAGAGAGAGAGAGAGAGAGAAAGACAGGACATGTACCTGCATAACTATCCTTGTTTTGGTCGATTCTTCTCAGAATCTCTCTATGGTATTGCTATTGTTGTCTTTTCAATGTAGTTGAAGTTAGTAACCATTTTGTGTCAAATTACGAAACAAACGATCAGCCTAACACAATAGCAACTGTTCTAGTTCAAAAAAGAAATAAACTTTTGGGATGCCGTTTTCGGTCAGTCAAATAGTCTATTCTAATGGCCTCGTTCATGCATTGCAGAGGAGAACCGGAAGACGAAGCACTTCAAAACAGACTTTTCGACAATTTTGGAAAAAATGATTGATTTTTCAGAAGTTTTACTCTGGAAATGCCCTTTTCCATTAAAATTAGCTAGTACAAGTCGGAGTGTCTACTTCAATACTACAACAAAATTTTCTGATTTCGCTAATACTCCAGCCTAATTTCAACGAAAAATTATAAATTTCGTGTTTCTCATAACAAAAATGTTTCCCTTGGGATTTCATCGCTAACTCCAATTCTCCAATTCTCCGAATCTCCAATTCTATTTCCCTTACACTTCTTCCCAGCTTTTTGATGACTTTTCGTTGTTTTCCTGTCGCAAATGCTTTTCTTTTCGTTCAATATTGACCGCAACACTTTTCACAATTTTTACATTTATACGAACACATATGTTTGCAGGTATGCCGGGCAGTACAACAAGTGTACCGCCGAGCCCGTCAATACTGACATATGTTTTGTCAGTTGGTGGTCTCATCGCCTCGCTGATGCTCACCGCGTTCGGATTTTCAAACAACGCGTGGATTGTGCTCGCCAGGCCGAATATGGATGAATTCCAGGTAACTGGATGCGGGAAGGAAAATGTCATCGCGGCTAAACATTCAACAATTTCGTTTTCAGCGGGGAATACGAGGTCATGATTGTTATAAGCTGACTCACGAGCCAGAAGGACAAAGTCAAAGCATCAAGTGTCTTCCATGGGGCTTTGAAGACAAATCAGCCAAGTTCCCGGATCCGTTTAACGAGGCTCTCGAAGCCTCCTACGGTTGGAATCAACTTTAGAATCATAAATTATATACTTTTTTTTCAGTAGTCCATGGAGCTGGTTTGATTGCCAAGCTGATTCTTCTCTCTCAAATCTTCTGGTTGGCCTACACCATCGGACACTGCTGCAGCCAAAAGTTCTCGGATAGACTCGAAAAGTTCCGCTTGATTTTTTTCCACATCATAGTGATCCCCGGTCAGTTAATATCTTTGGATTTTCTTTAATTTTGCATTTTCCAGTTGGTCTCTGGATCATTCTCTTCGGCCTCATCGTTTTCGAAACCTACACCGAAAAAATTCTGCCAGCACTTCTGATGAAGCCCGAGGTACGTGTCGATCTCTGAACCAAGATCCCTCTTACCTAACATCAAAAAATCCAAGTGTCATGAAATTCAAATGTCAACAAGATTTTTTCACACTTTCGTGAACCCGCCCACGATTCAATCGAGCGTACTCTCACAAGTTTTTTTATGAATCAAATTTTTAGACGCCTGAGCGTGAAAATACGATGCGAAATGTGACATTTTCATGACTAAGATGTGAAGTGCATATTTTCAGTACGCATATCGCATCGGAAATGGCTGCTGGATGTTTTTCCTAGGAGGTCTCTTGCCGTTTATGATCGCCGTTCACTGTCTGTTTGGAGAGCAGATGGATGCTTCGAAGGAGCGACTGATTGGCCTGCTCCAGCACCGTCATCGAGTTCCCGTTAACGAGGAGGAGATGGTCCCACCGGCATGATTTATGAAAACAAGGATAAACTAACTAAGAATGTTCTCACCTCAAGATGACTTTTCCCTGTGGTTAGTAGCTTTACCACCCCCCCCTCCTCCCTCTTCCATTTTTTTCCTCCTTACACCCCATATGAATCGCTCAACCCATTCTTCTCCGATCTCTCCCTCCCGCCCAACTATTGTTGTACACTTCTATTTTGGTCCGAATGATGTAATTCCTCTTCCTGCTTCCAGCCACTATCCGGAATGTGATCTTTCCAAGTTGAGAGTAAAATAAGCCCTGACGTTTCAAGTGTCTCAATCACGTTACTAGTTTAGTTTCAACGCATTCCCCAGCGACTACTGATGAGGCGAGTTTTGAAAGAAAACGGAAGAAAAGAGGCTCAAAGCGGCCAATATCATTCAGCCATCAATCACATCATCCATGACGTGGCTTTAAAGTGATGTGAGTGGGAGAAAAAAGACACGGAAATAGCGCATCACTTTATTCTCAATCGTCAGAACAATGGGCATCAGGAACATCAAAAAAGCGCCGTAAAGCGCGAGCACGGACATAATTGATGACGACAGACAAATGCTCTGCAGCAGAAGCACACTTTACGGTCCTCCTCGACATCGTACTGATCGTCAGGATCCACTTCGTTTTGCTCCATTACTGCCACGTATTTGCTGCACACATCTAAAAAAAATTGAGTATATATTCCGGTTTCTGTCGGAGAAATTGCTAAAAACAACCGGAAATCTTAGTCATTGCTCTCTTATGTCGAAAAGTTCCGTAGAGTAATTTTTGTGCTATTTCGGGCGAATGTCCAACTTGTCAATCCACTAGTGCGAAATTGGAAAACGGAAGTGAAAGTACGCGCAAAATACTCATCTGAACACCTCATGAACATGCTATCTGAACCTTACCTGCGACAAAGCAAGCGAGTAGAAGGAGGGCAAAGAATTTAGCAGACATGTCGGACAATACGTCTAGAATCGGGCAACCGCTTGGTGCAAGAATGAAGTAACTTCAGAGGGCGAAGGGGCGGCGCAACTGACGTCGTCTCAGAAGTGACAGAAAAGGCATAGAGGAGCTACTTCGGGTTCACGGCGTCGTCGTCGAAATCGAATTCATTCGAAAAGAACCCGCCCACTCTGGAAAATGTTTTGTTTTCAGTCTTGGACAGGTCTGGAATTGCGTGCGATGCGGGAAGACGCTAATAACATTGAGACAAAATATGAAAAAAATTGACAATTTTGTCAGCCTAAGTAATTGGAACAATAAGAAATTGGATAAAGATCATGAATACAGTGAAGAGTTGCAAAAAACTATATAAAGCCTTGGCGACGAAACGCTTCTCGGCCCGGGACTGACATATATTTTAAGAAATCAAGACATGAAATTTTAGTACTGAAACCAGGCCCACGACAATTCTTCACTCTTCCCAAATGTTTTTCAAACTTCAATCATCCCACGCATTCATTCCAGAGACCATCGTTTCGAATTCCGGTAAGTATATATGCAGACGTTTTGCCCGAAAAATTTGTATGCTCGCCGCTCTTCTTCCGGTCCATTGTGTTGATGAGTGGGTTTTTCGGTGGACAGGAGTTGGTCGCCAGAAGATGATAGCCGATATGTTACGTGCTCCACGAATTGAAAGTGTTACACAAACCGTTGCGAATCTATGGAATTTCTATGAATAACTGGATGAGTGAATAGAGAGAATGTGATGATTCGGTACTTGAATTTGGAAAATTCCCATCTGGAATTGCCGGAACTCTAATTGAAAAAAGATTCCTTATATTGCACAATATTGAAAATACTGGAAAGTTCTGGGGAATGTAAGATCAATGTGGGATGATTGTTTTCGGAGATTTTCAGACACTTCTCAAAAGTGCGGTTTGTTTTGGTAACTATCACCCCCATGACCGGTTAACCTTTTTGATATATTTGTTTTTTGTATTTCTCTCCCCCGACACTCGGCCGCTTATGCATCAGCTGTCTTCTGCCAGCCCTCTCCGCAGCGTAGGAGTAGTCGGCGGCTGTTTGGTCCCGGCAGGAGCAGTTTCTCGAATGAATAGATCGGGTGATTCGGAAACGCATCGAGATCGCAAATCGAAACATGATGCCCTATTGCCACGATAACACATCAAAGATGAGCGCGCATTCTGAAGAAACGCAGACTCGCCGGCAGGCGGATAGAGAGATAGGAGCGCTGCCACACGGCTGCTCGGGGATCTGCGTAGGTGTAAGGTTTACAGCACAGATTGTGTCCGTATGTTATACTTTTCTCTCCGTCGGCCTCCCGCTCATCCTCCCGCGGCCCCTCCCACTTAGCCGACGGGTCTCCGGAGCAAGCACTTTCATCTCTCTTCATTTTCGTTTTCAACATCCCGCCGAGACTTCTCCTCTTCTTTCTCCCCAGACTTCTTCCATTTTCCAAACATCTGCTCATTTCAGAACTTAAACCCAACTGACCAACGCCATGTCTGACGAGGAGGAAGTATAGTAAGTATATTTGAATGAGAGAAAACCTAATTGCATGTTAATCTTGTAGCAGCGACGAGGAGGTTGAGGAGGAGGAGGTCGAGGAGGCTCCGGAGCCGGAAGAGCCGTGAGTCGAATCATAACACATTCAGATGTACCGTGTTCGCGTTTAGGGAAGAGACCACCGAGGAGGTCATCGCTCCACCAGAGGTGAAGGAGCGTCGCGCGCCAGTCCAGGAGGAGAAACCAGCCGCCGAGATGACCGAGGCCGAGATCGCTATGTTGGCCGCCAAGAAGCGCCACGAGGAAGAAGAGGCTGCTAAGCTTCTCGACTACGAGCAACGCCGTGTCCTCGAGAAAGAGCAAATCGAACAGGAGCTTCGTGAGCTCAAGGAGAAGCAGGAGAAGCGTCGTGCCGAGCGTGAGGAGGACGAACGCCAATTCGCTGAGCGTAGACGTCAGGATGACGAGCGCCGTAGAAAGGAGGAGGAAGACCGCAAGGCCCGCTCCGACGCCGAGAAGGTCCGCAAGAACGAGGAGAAGGTTCGCCGTCAGCAGATGATGGCCGGAGCCTTCAACGGAAGAGTTGAGGCCGGAGCTGGCCGCAACTTCACCGTCACCTCTAAAGGAGACCAGGCCGCTCAGTTCGGAAACTTGGCTCAGGTAGTCGGGCAGACTGGAATACGCCAGTGTTATAAGATCTTTGTTTCAGACCAAGGGAAAGGACACCTTGAGCAAGGAACAGCTCGAGGAGGCCAAGAAAAACTTCTTGGCTGCCGTGTGCCGTCAAGTTGACGTCTCCGGACTCCTGCCAAATGACTTGAAGGAGAAGATCAAGCAGCTTCACTCTCGCATCGTCAAGCTCGAGGCCGAGAAGTACGACTTGGAGAAGAGACGCGAGCGTCAGGAATATGACGTAAGTTCCTCCTCGTTTCAATTTGACACATTATGGGTGTTTCAGATGAAAGAGTTGCACGAGCGTCAACGTCAGGCTGCCCGTAATAAGGCCCTCAAGAAGGGACTTGACCCGGAGGAGGCCGCCTCGTCCGTTCATCCGCCAAAGATCACCACCGCCTCCAAGTTTGACCGTCAGACCGACAGAAGATCCTACGGAGACCGTCGCTACTTGTTCGAGAACCAGGAGGAGCCAAAGCAAGCCTCCCTCGTCCGCGGATCCGGAAGACCGCCAGCGGAGTGGGGACGCAAGCAGAACGAGGAACTCGAGCAGATCCGCAAGAACCTCGAGCCACCAAAGTACGTCGAGCAGGTCAAGGTCGAGGGAGCCAGAGCCCCAGTCGAGTTCATCCCGCTTCAGGTTCCATCCGCCGATTTTGAGCCACAAGAGGTAAAATAATACATACATAGCTGGTATTGTTTTCAAACTTGACACTGTTTCAGCTCACCGAGAACCCGAATGTTGGAGAGGAGATCGTTGTTGAATAAATACTCTGCTTTATCCGTTTTATTGTTTAACTTCCCATAAAAACCAAAAAAAAATTCACTCTGCTTTTATTCCACCGCTTGCATTTATCTTTCGTTTCTATTCGCATACTCCGGTTTGTGCTTATCAGTAAATCGTTTGTCATAAAAATGCGTTTATTTCTGTTGGAATTGATGTTTTTCTGTCTGTCTTTTGCAGAAGATAAGATAAGCGACGCCACTTTGGCACGAAGCTCAGTCAGCATTTCTTAAGTGCATCCAAATGACACGAATCTAGAAGATCATAGCCCATAGAAGTGATAGAGATAGTTGGAAAAACCTGCCAACCTGTTACAGTGGCGGTAAAGTCGAAAATGTCCAGATTGCTTCCCCTTAAGGATATTCCGGCAATCTGAACATTTCCGACTTTTGTGCTCGTACCAAGTGTCCCTCTTGTGCTCGTTTCACAATTGAGGGACTTTACACTTTTAAAGATGTTTGATCATTCACTAAGCCGCCAACGCATACATTTTGTGGATAGAGTGTTTATTAAGCATCAGTGAATAGAAAAGGACATCTACAATCAATACATGGAATTGATTTTTATCGGGGACGTAGCTAACTAGAGTTGTTTTGAGACAAATAGAATAATATTCCAAGATGAAAGCGAAAAGGAAATAGTTTTCGATTTGCTTACAACAGCAAATGTGATGAAGTTCAATTTGTGTGGGGAAGAGAAGGAAGAGAAGAGAGAATTGGCATGACAGGCCAGAGTTTGATGTGTGCAGCAATCTAATCGTTATTTTTAATACAAAAAGTGCAACTTTCAAGGAAATCCATCACAATTCTATTAAGTTCGTAAGAATTGATCGGTTACAGATGATTCATAACATCTGGAGTCAATTTCTGAAAACGACATTGAGAATTGTTCTTAACACGAGGCGAGAGAAAGGAAGAGAAATAATAAAAGTTATGAGGGGAGACATCTGGAAAACAGCGAAAAAGAGTTGCTATGGCGTCAAGTAGGAAAAGCAACGGGGAATCTTTTGAAATTCACCAGGATTCTATATTGTTCCGGGTCCTGTGCTACAATAGTGTACAATAAGGAGAATACGTGGAGGGAAAGAGAAAAGAAAAGAACAAATTTTACACAAAATGTTGCATAATGATTTGTATCGGATGGGGGGAAAGTTGACGTTGTAAGTGGGTCTTGGGTTAAATTAAATCGAGCTCACCAGAATACAAAAGCTTCTGAGTTTGCTGAATTATGGAATTTCGTGAATGGGTCAAATAGGGTAGAAATAGTTTAATGTGGTAAAAGTAAAGAGTTTCGAAGAAAGGTGGGGAGTTTTTTGCATTCCGTCAAAGCTTTTTACAACATATGAGAGTTCTCGCAATTGTTTCCAATTACAAGTCGTTTCGGGTCCGGAGAAGCGTTGGTCGAGAGCATGCTGTATCCTTGATCGTTGTTCTCACGAGGATGACCACCTGAAACCGGAATGTTTACAAAGACATAAAAAGAAAAGAAAAAATTGTTAGAGAAACACTAAGAGTAAGAAGCAGTTATTGGTCAGCCATCAACAGAAAACTTTCATGAGACACCTCATGCGTTAGATTTCTGCTTCCAGAAAAGCATTAATACACCCAAAGCACCCCATACATGGAATGCGGCAACCGTTTAGATGAACTTCACTTGTTCATCGTTTTCCTGACTCCTATGTGTATCTGAATGGTTTGAATTTACAATTTCTGTTCCGGACACAATTCTTTCATAGTTACTGAACGCTCGATTACCTTTCTGGAGTTGATCCTCGCAAAGTCTCTCAATGACCGCAGTGGCAATGCTGTCTCCGTGCACGTTGACGGTGGTTCTCAGTCTGTCGAGCATGAAGTCGACTGGGAAAATGAGAATGAACAGGTTGGTTGGCAGACCAATAGCAATCAAAACCATGATCATGGTAACAATTCCTAAAAGAATGTTTCTGAAAATCATTCAGTCCCTAATGCTCTTCCTAACCGGCTTGTGGGATTCCAGCGGCTCCGATGCTAGCCAGTGTGGCTGTCAGCGACACGAGAATGATCTCTCCTAAAGACAGATCGTTTCCGACGCATTGCGAAATGTAAATGGCAGCTACAGCTTCATAAAGGGCAGTTCCGTCCATGTTACTGAAGTTAGACAACGTTTTCAAAAAGCGAATTGTTATTTCTCAACTAACATAGTGGCTCCGAGTGGGAGGACAAATCGGGTGACTCTCGGGTCGACTTTGTTGTTTTCCTCGCAACATTTGATCGAAAGTGGCAAGGTAGCAGAGCTGGAACTGGTAGCCAGAGCAGTCAAGAGAGCCTGAGCCATTCCTCCGACGAATTTGATGGGGTTACGGCGGGCCAGCTAGAAAAAGGATCCACTTACATTAGATTGATCACATTTATCTGAATGAACCCACCACCAAGCACAAAAGAGGAATGACGATGAACGCGTGAATAAGGAGGCCGAGGATTACGGTAATGACATATCCCATCAAACGCTGCAATTCTTGTCCCGGGTCTTTCATTCCAACGATTTGTGAAGCGATGAGGAATGTGATTCCAATTGGAGAGTACCTGAAGAATCGCTAATGAGGAGGCGATGAATCATGTGCGTGCTAACATGATAACCCAAGCGATAAGTCTCATGCTGCAAGCCTCCAAGCTCTTGAAGAAGTTCTTCATCGGTTTTCCCTCTTCCCCAATGATTCCGATGACGATTCCGAGGCCCACACTGAAGACGACAAGTCCCAGAATGTTCATACCGTCGGACACTACTTTCTCAGGCACTTCAGTGAATTGGGCACGCTGATCTAAAGTGGGATCGGTATAAAGTTTGCCCAATTTGACAAATGGATGTACCAGGGGACATGGTCATAGCAATTTCCGGCGGGATCTCAGTGGTTCCATTGAAGAACTTCAGGCAGACTTTCGTAGAGCGGAAGGTGGCTTCGATAAGGTTCTCTGGGAAGCAACTCCTGTATAAAATACATTTTTAAAGTATAGAAAAGCAAACACCAACTTGAATAGGTCAATGATAGTGTCAACAGCAGTAGCGACACACGGCGTCGTCTTAACACCTCCGACGAGATCTTCCACATTGGTCGTTGTCCATTTACCAGGCTTGATCACAGTGACCAGAAAGATTCCTGAAATGAATGACCAATTAAACTTTTTCATTGATAAATCTGTGTTTGAGATGTTTTATTAATTGCGCAAAATCTGCCGGCTTGAGTTGGTAAACAAACACAGACCGATTTCTTGAATGTTTGACTAATCTCACAATCTCTGATTTGTAACTTCCAGACTGACCCAAGAATACGGCAGAAAACGTTGTCAGGGTGTAGTAGACCATTGAAACCACTCCAAGTCTTCCGGCTGTTCCAGAGTCCAAAGATGCCAAACTCGAACTGAAATGTATCTGTTTCTTTTCAATATACTTTGGTGTGGGATAGATAGACACATGTGTTCGTTGGCCTTAAGTACCAAGTATCAGTTTTTTCGCAAGCAATTTGTCAGCGGGTTTAGTGCCTGCTCGTTGCTCTGTTTTGCAGTTGGGGAGCGCCCTCCCGTGCGCGCGTTTGTCCAAAGCTATGAGAGGTCATTGAAAGATCAGCTCGTCGAAAATTGCTCCGAGTGTCAAGAGGGAGAGGGTATCGCTTGCTTGTATATGTGTCTACGGCATTGCATTTTGGAAACAAACTCACATAATACTTGACATGATCATCGGCAGAATGAGCATTTTTAGCATCTGAACAAACAGATCTCCCGGAAATCGCAGGTAAGAGAGGTGGCGTTTTGACCAAGCTTTGTTCGGATCTCGCAGCGAGTAGCCCAGCCCGATGCCGATCACAACACCAAGCACCGTGAACAAGAGCAGCAGGTTCTCCTTGGAAATCTTCGCCATCTTGTTCTAAAATGCACAGACTGTTGAAGTAAAGTGAAAGTGAGAATATTGTTTGGAAGGGCAGAGAACAAATAAATGAGTTTGGAATGTGAAAAAAGTGAGAAAAGCTGAGCGGAGAATGCTGGAGGTTTACAGACTTAGTTCCAATATGAATAATTCATCGGAAATGCATCGTTTGATGATCTTCACGTTGCTCGGGCTATTCCCAAATGAGCGAGCATCGGCCAAGATCCGAGTTGGCAGAAACGCGGAAGGATGAACAAAATTTCAATATTTACATTTGAATCAAGAGAAAAGAATCTAAGAATCTGGGCATTAGCAAACATGAGAAAACAAAAAATGAGCGTTGATCAATCGGAAGAACTAACTCCGGCAGCGAACAAGATGACCTGCGCTCCCGACTAAACGGACAGCAGACAGAAGTTTTTGGGGTGCCGTGGGCCACTCGGCTTTTTGTTAGTTGTGTGGGACAAGACAGCCGTTAAAAGCCCCATGAAATTGAGGTGTTACGTCGTGTCGAGGACTACTCGTGGGGCCCATGCCCCTCATGTCGGCGGCACCGGCCGCGCAACACACAACACTACCTACAATTGAATGTGACATTTTTTGGAGCCAATTCAATGCCTGTCGGATACGGCGCTTGGTTTCTTCCAAACGTTTGTCGCTCGCGCGCGTGATCACGACTAATTGTCTCTTTGGACCAAGTCTGGGGTGGTCGACGGTCCCTGGCCAGGCAACAGCGGGATGTTATGCTATTCAGCTATCAGAAAGGAAATTAGTGGCAAATACCTTGTGTTTACTAGATCTTGTAAAACCAACCATAATTAAACACATGGGATGTAGGGTGGTTCGTTGGGTTGAAGCGAGGAAACAAGTAGTAATAAGTACGTTTTAGCCACCGACCAAAAACAATTTTTTCCATTTGTTATGACCAAATTGGGAAAAAGAGAAAAAACTGGACAAAACTGGCAAGTCCTCGGATTTCTAGAACAATTCCACAGAAGCCCTCTAGCTTTGCCGCCTTGTGTATGTGATCCATTATTCAAGAAGAGCATCGTGTCTCGAAAATTTTGAGCACATATTACAAAAAATCATGCAGCCATCCATCGAAGCGTAATGAATTTTCTCTGACATAACACATATCCCGCGATGATAAATCGAATCTTGGTCACGAGACATCGAGGTGGCGAACAAAAAAGAAAAAGGGATGCGAATGGGAATGAAGACGCGGAATAACTTTGACATGTACATAATTACTTGTGATGAGGGCACGAAAATTTCATTCATATTTACTTTTGAGCTCTTTCTCTTTCTCCTTCTCCCGCCTTTTTGTTGCTTGGGGTCCGTCACCTTGCCTTTTTCCTCCTCTCCTTCTTCTTCTTCTCCTTCTTCTTCTTTTCCTTATTTCTCTGTTGAGTCAAGAAGCAATTACTTGAGTGTCAAATGTTTGGGCGGATAAAAAAGGAATAAACAGAGGAGGAACAATGCAAAACGTTGGAACTCAGTCAGGTGAAAACGGAACCAAAACAAAACATGCTAGAAGAGCGATATGATTGGGGAGGAAGGGAAAAAGGGAATAACGAACAGAGCAGGAAAGACAGGGTTATTTTGTCGAGACTATACTCGATTCCCATCGGAAGTAGTCGGGATAGTGGTAGGAAATGGTTATTGGATGGAAAATCCCATCTTTTCCAAGGACTACAAGCTGCCCCGTGAACCTGATCACTGGAAGAAAGCAAGTTGTAAAAAACCGAACTTTTGTATGTGATAAGCAGAGAGAAGAAGCAGAAAGAAAAGACAACGAGCGGGAGTTTCCCCATCTCTTTCTCTCTCTCTTTCTCTCTCTCTTTCTCTCTCCCTTCTTCCGACCAACACCGAGAAATTTGTCGCGTTTTTCGTTCTTTCCTGCTCTGGTCGCCTGCTCATTTCCATCCGATCAGTCAGTTCTTCTTTCCCCCCTCCTCAACTGTTTCTAATTGTAATTGGGTGTTGGGGCGAGAGACGGCGACTCATCAGCTGTCAGTCGCACAACAATTTATTTCGGTTCTGCAGTGGTTTGTCGCAGACGGGACCACTGATATTTCGGATTGATTGGAAGAAAAAAGAAAGAGAGAGGGACAGAGAGAAAGTGAAACAAATTGGTGGTGAAATGAGTGAAGCGTAAAGAGAATTCTGTCTAATAACATGTATGAGCATTACTAATTATCATAAAAGTTCGAAACTCAATGGAAAAGTACATTGTAACTAAGTGGAAATGAGATCGACCAGACGGCCATCCAATAATCAACAAATACTAATACAAGAACCCAATTCCCATTTCCTACCGTAATCCTGTTAGGCTTTCAAATGCCAAAAAAGTAAGAGAAACGGGACAGACACATCCAATATCGCCACTGAGAAGCATGTCTGATACTCGAAGCAAATAATCCAATCGAAATAGAACGGAGTGACAAGTACCCCTAGGATCAAAAAATAAAAGGAAACTTGACGTCACCGTTCAAACTCGCGCATTTCGTTTTTCTTTTGCAGAATTCTCACTCCCCTGACACCTTACATGAGAAACGCAGAAAATAATATGAAAAGAATGAAGTAATAGAGATGATAGGGCGGGGAGATGAGATGTGTGGATGCGACGATGCAAATACGTTTTTTCGAGGGTGGAAAAAGTGGTTGTGAAAAAAGGGAAAATGAAGAAGAGAGGAAAGTTGATATATAATTTATATAGCTCATAAGTGCAGCACTCAACATGAGTAATTGAGTGAGGATATAGTGTTTTTTTTTTCCAGCTTCCAGCCGAACTGAAGTATCTACGTGTGTGACCTAGCATTTTCTGCGGGAGGCTTGTACTATGTGGACTACACACTGGGCAAAGTGTAACAGTGATTGGAAAACGATGGTCTGTTGAGCGACATCAAAACTTTCCGTTTGCTCAGTTTCTTGAAAGCTTCAGTATTTATGCATGAGCCAGCTGCATTTAGAAGGAAGGCCTCCCAAAGAAACCTCAACTTTTGAATTCAGCACCATGGCGTCCAAAAAAATGGAGCAGAATTCGGAAAATTCCCGGAAACGCCTTACTTCACTGTCCATTGTGACGCGACAACACACACACACATGCACATACAGCTTGTTCTGGGCAGGTGAATGTGGGTAATTCTTGTGACGCCGCAGGTATTCCACGCACTTTTCGTCTTTTCCTTTTCGGACGGCGTCGCCAAGCAAGAGGAAAGAGGAAACCAGCGAATTAGGCTCCAGGAAGTAAACGAGACATTTTCTTGCTCTGCTGGATCTGATTGTGAGGTGTGACTGAGTGAAGAAGAAGGAAATGTCAGTCATGAGATTTCCGTGTTTTCGGGCGGTATGTGCACAGTGAGTAGCATTGCATGTTTTACGCGCATCTGTTATTATACGGCGGCCCGGTAGACGGAAACACACACACACACAAATATGATAGATCTTCTTCATATCTGTCAACGACAACAGAGATCGTTGACCATTGGAGTGGGAACGTGCGTCATAGTTGAAATTAATAGCCCAAATGAGCACAACGGAGCAAAACTTTGCAAAATTAATAACATCTAGTCGCCGAACTACGTCATGTTTCATTTCCGTTTTGAACAAAAACGCAAAAACGTGAAGGAATCTGTCAGAGAGGAAAAAAAAGAAGCAGCGAGAGTTTTGAAAAGTACCTCGAACTAATCCCGCAGGATCACACTGTTGCGAAAGGACAGTGGTCCTACAAGGACGAAATGCATTTTGTGGCGGGAAACGAAAAGCGCTCGCGTAATCATGGTCTATCATCTTGCTTAAGAGGCTCCCAGAAAAGGCGTCGTCGGTCGTGTTAACTTGAAGTTTTGTCGTCCTCTTCTCTTTTGCCCACAAAGCGTTTTAATTCAAAAGAAAAGAGAAAAAACTGCTTGAATCCATGTCGGCAATGTGAGATGTTTGTTTCTTGACGCACATGTATGCATCCGCTAACAGAAGACTGAATAAAAGACTTGAAAAGATCAGATAACAGAGTCTTTTTTCAATTTCTGCCAACGCCGTTACAAGTTTGAGCATCCACACAGAATCAGGAAGTGTAGGCGGCACAAGGATGGGAAGGGAAGGAGGACGAAAACAGAGAAAAAGTGAACCAGTGGTTAATTGAAAGTTGGTGCATCTATATGCTGCTGACAAGTGCTGTCACGCACAGAAATGAGTATTAATAAATGCGGTTTTTCTCGTTGACTACACCACAATCATTGATAAATCTGAGCTTTCACTGAGCAATGACTGATTTCTCGTGTACCATGAGCCGCGGGGGATTGCTGTTTGAAATTTTAGTGAATGTGCTATATCCAAAAGTTGAGTAGAAGCAGTCAATTATGATTTCTATGAAAAGGGCAAAAATGAAAAGCGCACGAGGAAAAGGACGTGCGTGTTTACGTAAGGTGCAGATGGGCAACACGTGACAGGCAATCGCAGAAAACAATTGTCTTCTGACCCGCTTCATTAGCCTTTTTTGCTTTTTGAAATAGTCTCACAAGCTTTCTTGAGATCTCTAAGAGCTCGAGTAATCAACGCGCTAAAACTACGATGCGATTACGAAGGAGTCGGGGCGGACTTGTTGTAAGAACTCGCTAATCGGAAGAGACATCTGAAAGGTCCTAATTCTGAAAAAAAGAAGCGGGAGGGTATCTGATGAAAGTCGACTTGTTGAAATCAAAAATCAACGTTAAGAGGATATGATTCATTTGGATCTTGAAACATTTTTCATATTTCCAAGTTGCAATTGCAATTTCTTCTGTGTGGATCACGCGACAACAAAAAATATTTAAAAAAATGCTCTCCTTTTTCTTTCAGTAACAGACTTCCCTGCAGGTTTCCGCTCTAGTGAATGTAAAATTGAAATAAACGACACTTCCCTCTTTCCGTGTTTGAAGAATGAAATCCATTTCGACACATTGGACAATTCAAAAAGAAACAAGAAATTGTGTACAAGCTGAACAAAAAAAGCTGGGTAAAAGAAGGGAAAAACAAGAGAAAGTGAGATTGGCGGTGGTAACAAGGGAGAACGAAAAGACAGTAATAACAGATTTCGTTGGAAATATTACAATTGTTTTTCCAAGAACAAACCCATCATTATTATTCTGCGAAACAGGAGATCCCTCTTATTTCCTGTTATCTAGTGGAGTTGACCTCAAAACAAAGATTTGTGGTTCGAAATTTAGTGAATAGTTTTGCTTTGGCTTCTTTCTAAATTTCTAAAGAAAACACGTGGCAGTTTTCTCCGACTTCTCTTCTTTCTTCCTCGAAAGCTCCGGAAACCAATCCCCCTAAATATGATTGGCTACTGCCGGATCCATAACATCTGCTCAATTCGGGTCCGATCTCGTTAATTGTCTTTTCTTTCTTCAGACACCTTGCGTGTATATCCATGATTACACCATTATATAATACAATTGTCCAGAAGGCAATACTTGCGTGGAGGAAATCGGGGGCTCGTTCCGGATGACGAGGGGTTGGGCCCACCCCAAGAGTTATAATGCGCTTATTCAAACCACCTTTTATATATGTATCGCCCTGGCAATCCGCGATTTATATGCCCTTTGTGCCCACTTCTCATTTTCCATACGCACCATCCATCATTTTTTCGGCATTTCACGTTTCAGGAAGATGGCAACACGTTACAGCGCAAAGTTTTTCCGACGACAAACGGAAGATGGAGAGGTGAGCGGATATTGTGCTCCTTTTTTGGGAACAATGATGTTTTCTTAGAAGTGACACGCCTCCAGACACTTGTTTTTTGGTTTTCGAGGTGAAAAAGTTCGCTTTTCAATCTAGTTTTTCGAAAGCTATCTGAAAGTCACGAAATTTCCACATACTAATCAAGAATTCTCGAGATTTTTTAGTATTGAACCAACCACTATTGCGTGACCCTGATGAATAATTCAAGCGTTCTTTCAATCGGGCCGCCATTCACAGAAACCCCCCTATCCGTCACTTGATGTTTTTTTGACTCTGTGGACAAGTAAGGGCAATGTGATAAAGTGCAACACTGCAGTGATTCCATTATGGTCAGGGAGAGGAGAGGGAGTATAAAAGCGAGTAGAAAGGAGTACTTACTCATCCTCGACGATGAGGCGGCGAGGCAGCGCACAAAAAGTGAGGAATCTTTGAATTATTCGCTTTGACACTTGACGTGTCAATTCATGTTTTTTCCTGTTTTTAGTGCATTCTCTTCCTCTCCCAGCGCTCTGCCTTCTATCCAACTAGGAGGAAAAAAAAATTTTCTGCGGCACTTTGATTAGAGTGTTGCTTGCCGCTTTCAACTCATTTGACTTGTGTCACCCACCTAATCATGTTTCCATTATCGAGTCACTGACTGACTCCTTCTACAAACAACAGAATATACAATTAAGTCGTAATTTGATACACGCGAACACTCTTCCGCGACATCCCGACATCCCGACAGACCCCCTTGTCTCTTCTTGTAAATTAGTTGTCGGTGCCCCCACTCGCTCGACAACTATCACATATCAAACATGTGGCTCCGGGTCAGATCCATTAACAGAATTACGCCTGAAAATGTGGCCTCTCCCCCCCCCCCCTTTCACAATATATTTCCATCTCATTTCTCATTCTACGCTCACTCAAAATCTTGCGAGACTCGAAGTTTTTCGGTTTCGCCGGGTGCCACTCACTTCAAGTTGTGGAATGAAAATGAGATTTTGGAAAGAATTTTGAATTCAGAACTCGTTTCCCGATTACCTTTCGTCTTCACAGCTCGCCGAACTTGACCTCTCTCCGGAACCGCTTTATTTAACAACCAGTGTGTGGTGGTGTGTGGGTGAAACGCAACTTATATCCGCAACATATACTTTACAACATAGTTAGGGCTTCTTCTTCTTCCGCTTCTGCGCACTCTCCGGAGGTCAACACATTTGGGACAGCTGTTCCCGCGCGGATGAGCTGACACCGACCTTCAATACCGCCGGTTAACGTGCTTTTCTACTTTTATTTTTCCTTTTTGCTCCTGCGAGGTCTCCTATGCGGAATGCAAACCACTTGTTTGGCAAACAGATTTTGTTCCGACAAAGAAATGCGATACTTGCAATTTCCCGTCCGTATAAATCTACTATTAGTTTTCAAAATCCATATTTTCCAGATGAAGACATATTGGGGCAAATCTGGCGCCCCAATCACCCTTCCATGCTCCATAAACTTGTACAACGAGGAAAACTTTTCATTGGACTGGCGAAAAGATGAAAAATTAATTCTGAGTGCTTTTGGTCAGGAGCAAGGACACGTGACACCAACACTTCAAGGTGAGTGGATGGCTAAACCTTTTATTCACTTATCATTCGTTCCGGTAAAACTCAATACTCTAACATTAAAATTTGGGAAAAGGGATCACCCGATAAAGAGAACAGTATTATGAAAGAATGAGGTTTCCAGATAGTTGTACGTAATTCCTATATCGTCCGTATTTGTTCTGTAAAAAAATTTTGTGATTTTATCGAAACGTCATTATTTTCTGCCGCGAACGGGCTTTCTCAAGGCCAGCTAGTCTGAATTGTCGGGGAAACAAACAAACAAATATTATAACGGAGATTGATGGGACTTACCAATGATCCTCCGAGAACCATTCACCGTCATAGTAGTAAAGACGATGTTGGGGAGATCTACCAAACTCGTTCACCGCAATGAGCACTAACTGAAAATGATCAAAATATTCAAGAACTTTTTGTCATAATTACCTCATCAACGTCGGACATTTCCAAATAATGATCAAGAGTGACCAGGCTATTCCATTTTCCATCAGTTGTTCGATGATAAACGTGGTAAACCTGAAACACACTCAGATTTTCTCAAAAATTGCTACTTTTTCATACTTTGGCAAATTCACCCTTCGCCCACGAGATTTTGTTGTTGCCGAACCAAGAACGGTACCCAGACACATAGGAAACGGCATTAGGGAGTACCGATATTTTTTCGAGTTGACACTTGAAGATCTGCAAAACGGGTTGTTTGTTTTGAAACCATTATCATTCAATAACGTGAAGTTTGCTGTTGACACACCTTACTCATATATCTGGAACATGATCTGGTTTTGAACAAGTTCAAATCGAAACGACTGTCGCACATTCCCAAGCAGTGGTACGGTATCTAGAAAATTGAGGGAATCGTCTGAAGGGTCTGCGAAAAGAAGATAACCAACCTGAGCATGAATACAACATCCCGCACTGTCAAAATTTCTCTTAGAACACTTTAAAATTCTCGCACTGATTCCTTTGCATCCAGTTGGTGGAAGAAAGTTTCCTAAAAGTTTTCATCGATTCTATTACAAAAGACTATGAGATCATACCTGGCTTGAGGGGAGTTTGCTGGTGGCGCCCTACCACCAGCCCATTGCAAACAGAAATACATCCCGGGTGATGGGCTCCTCTCGAACAACATTCTATAAGAGTTTCCGGAGGATTCTCGCTGGGTGCTTGCTCAGAATGATCAAACTCCGTGATAATAACGTTCGCGTACTCAATGCTGGAATTCCTGATATGACATCGGAAAGAAGTGAAATCAGTCGAGTCCATGTTTTTGATTTGAAGAGCAGAAATAATAATTTCTGGAGCTGACGGGTTCGGAAACGAGAAAATTGAGTACTTTTCATCGTCTTCAATGATTTCACTCCCATTCGCAGTCATCTTTCTCCACGCCACGTCGTCCGCGTATCCAAGAATTGTCCTGACCATGCAAGGCAAAGTGATAGATTTTGCAGTGGACGGTAATTTGAACTCTTCCGTGGAGATGGCTACTTCCGATTCCGTAGTGAAAAGAATAATGTTGGAAGTGACAGATTTGTACCATCCCTCGGTGTTATTGAACTCCGCAGCTTCGGCAACCACATAAACCGTATATGAAGATTCCGGTGATAGCCATTCAACGGTGTATTCCAGTTCCTTTGACTCATAGATTATCTCCAGCTCATCCAATTTCCGTCTTTCAATGACATGAATCTTGTACGTTTCAACAAGATTCGGAAGTTCGGCAGGTTCCTCCCACTTCAAACCCAGTGTTTCGTTAGTTTTTGATACGATTTCGAGGTTCCGTGGTGCAGATGGAGCTTTTGTGTAACTGTCAACTATGCACGGGAAGACAGCTCCAACATTCACGACCATGCAAGACATCACATCAGTTCTCTTGAATGGGTTATAGGTTCTCGTTCCATTACAAAATCCGTAACAATAATCGTAGCTCGGATACATTGCGTGTGAATAGCAACAAGAACTTGAATCCCTTCCTTGAGACAAACATTTAGCCATGGGTTCGAGCCAATCGTGGCAAGTCTGGAGATCCCAAACGCGATGGACCGTTTTCACGGTTGGGATGTTATACGGATTGCACATTTCGAGACAGAATTCCGGTACTCCGACATCTTTGCAACATTGTTCGGAAATGGAGCCGACAGTAGAAGTGAATATTATGAAAAAGAATAAATAGAAGAGCATAGGCATAGCTGAAGGTCAGATTGAGCTATGAAAGAAGAATATGAAAACTACGAGAGACGGTATAAATCAAAGATGGCTGCCCGCCCACCGCTCGCAAAACACGCCTCGGCCTTTTTGTTCCGTCTGATTCATAAGCCAATCACTCACATTTTGAACCCTCCTTCTCTCCAAATTCCTACTCAGAATTCAAAAAATTCTATCTTGTGTTTTCCACAAAGGGAGTCAGAATTTTCTTAGATGATTGATAATATTGATAGGCATGAAATTAGTGAATAGAAAAGAAAAGAGATGGGATATGAAAGAATACGGTAGCAAACGACCAAAGACAACGGAAAAAGTGAGATTAGAAAGGAATGAAAGAGAGATGACAAGTAATTAATTGTGGTGAGACGGGAATATGGAATTCATGTGTTTCTTATTTACTCACCGTCAAGATTTTTTTTTCAATCTTATAACCCCAGTGAACTGTAGCGTTTGAGGATGATTCTATATCGGTTATCTCCCAAAGAAATAAATCATTTTCAAAGCAGCTAATGGTTAGAAAGTAAAAACGTAAAGTCATGACCCCCCGGGAGAAATGGGATCATATGATCCGGTATGAATGATAGGGATGATGCGAAGAAGAAAACATTTGCAGGACGTCTGGCACGCGATGGACACCTTGGAATTACCATACATTCGGTAACGGATACCGACGCGGGCGTGTATCAATGCATTGTCACAAAATTCTCGAAACAACCAACAAAACCGGAAAAGGGACTCTCCGCAAAACTTGTTGTTAATGGTATGGTTCCAAAAATTGAGCAAGAGTAAGAAAACAACGTCTTTTAGTTGCTCCAACCATCACGTATCCAAAGAACATGGAAATGATACACCAGAAACCGGGATCCGATCTGACAATCGAATGCAAAGCGGATGGTGCACCACTTCCCGAAATAACCTGGTCGAGAGTGAGTTCATAAGTACAAAGCTAACGAAATGTCGTATATCAGAACGACCAAATCATCAGTACATCGCCAGTACTCAACCTGAGCAACCTGGAAGAGGAGAATAAAGGGGTTTATACGTGCTTGGCAGTGAATATTGAAGGCAATAGCACTTCCTCGATTGATGTCAGATTCTCAAGTAAGTCAAAAAAGTTGTTCAAGAAGAAGTATTCTATTCAGGAGCTACCACACTTGACTTGGTTCCATTGAACAAAACGGTGATCGAAGGCTCAAACGTGTTCTGGCACTGCCATGCAAACTCCCAGCCTGCCGCGATTTCTTATTCTTGGCTTTTCGAAAGCAAACCTATCAAAACGACATTTCTTGGTCTTCGAGCGAACATTCGGGTTGGCAATTTGAATCTGAAGATTAATTACTATTCAATGTTCTTTTTTGTTTTAGTCCGGCGACCTTTCTCTTCAAGATGTTCGAAAAACCGACAGCGGATGGTATACATGCGAAGCAAAGAACAGCGGCGGCGAAACGACCAGTTCTACGGCTTATCTCCAAGTGTTTTGTGAGTTACAGCCATTCCTGCTTCCAAGGCCAGCAAAAATGGCCTTCGGTATAATAAAAGTTGTATGGGAGGAATGGGAAATCTATCAAGGAAAATAAGCGATTCGCAGCATTTCAAAAATGATCTATCGGATAGTGGTGGGCAAGAGAATCTCATCGATCAAGTTTCTGCAGTCTCCCTCCCTTTCACCTCCCCCCGATATAGCATCTTGCACTTGTGAGAAGTACGTCTACCGCGTCTAGCCCACCCATATAACACCCCCGTTTGAAACGTTTGACGTTTGACGTGACGCTGTCTGATGAAAGATTGATAAGATCTCCCTTCCTCTAACAAAGAACAAGAAAAAAGAGAAGAAAAAACCGGGGGAAGTTTCTTCAGACCCCCCAGAACCTTCGGCGACACATCAACCGGTACAAACTGTTGGCTCGGGAAGAAATGCCACTGTTTCCTGCGATGTCATCTCCAATCCTGCTCCGACATCATACATCTGGTCAAAAAACGGTCACTACATGCCAACACAGTCTGGGGTACAAACAGTGAATAGATTGTCGAGAAGAAACTTCTCGGTTCAGAGTTCAATCACATTGATCAATGCCAAACCGGGCGACGGCGGAATCTACGGGTGTCAGGCTGATAACCTTGCCGGAAAAGGACCTGTAGTAGAGACTCATCTCGTTGTCGCAGAGCCACCAGTATTCACCGTCACTCCTCCCTCTGAAATCAAGGCACGACTGGGAGATGCCATTTCTATTCCGTGTCAAGGGTTTGGGGACCCGATGCCGATTATCTACTGGATTCGGAACAAGGTAGCCGTACATGATAATTAAATTAGAATCTGAATTTCAGAAGAGAATTAACCAATCTACGCTTAACTTCAAACAAATCGAACATTTGGATCACGGCCTCTACGAATGTGTGATCGCGAATTCTGTGGAGACCATTTCTACTCGAACCATGCTTTTAGTAGAAGTTAGTATCCTCTTTTTCACATTTAAAATGATTCGTATACCCCCTCCCCCAATTCAGAGTTCCAAACCACAAATGACGACAGGAATAAAGTTCACTTGCATCAACAGCAACTCTGTGAAAGTTGTCTGGAATCCAGGTATGTCGTGGCCGCTAAAATTCAAAAATTGTTACACATTTAGGGTACAATGGCGGTTACGATCAGACATTTGCACTTCACGCACAAAACGAAGTCACTCAGCAGTGGACTACCATCCGTACATCTCGACATGAAGTCGTCTTAGACCATCTCGAACCATTCGTTTCTTACCGAGTGACCATTGAAAGTGCCAACTCGAAAGGCTCGACCAACTCAACCACCTACAATAGAAGAAGTTGCACAACTCTACACTCTCCGGAGAAAATGTACTTTTGCGGGTACAATGAAATATGCTGGACGGCTGCAGAAGGAGCATCTTCGTATCGTATTGAAAGTCGCACAGAACCCAGCAAAAACTTCCAACCATTGGTGAGAAACGGCTGCGTATTCAGATAAATAAGGGCTTTGTTGCAGGCGGAAGTGTTTGAAACATACTATCGGCTTGGTAAAGACATCGATGACAGAAAGACGACTGTATTCCAAGTCAGGAGCAGTAGACCAGCATGGCCGCCAAGTGAACCCAGTAACTCGCTCAGATATGGACCAGCAGGTACAGTTGTGCATGTCAATTCAAATTCGAACTAGTTGATTGCAGATAACATCGACTTCCCTATATTTATGTTCGCCGGAGTATTCGGTCTCTTTTTCCTCTTTCTGTGCGGGTTGTTTGTGTGGAAGTGCGTCAACAAAAAGAACAAGAAGAAGCGCCGAAAGAGCAGAAGCGCATCAACCCCTTCAAAGTCATATCAAGATTATGGGCGATTCACTTTCGGTGAGCTCTTGTTTTCTCTCTTTTTTCGTTCTCTCTCCCTTCTGCTTTTTGGTTTCGGTTTCAAAATTTGTTTTCGCGAACTGAATTTCTTGTTTTTCAGGCAGCGGCAGCAGCTCCAGTCAACCGGGTACGGAAACGTACTATGAACCCTCATTGAGATTGTGAGTGAATTTGGGACATGCAGAATTGTAAACAAAGCCGTGATGAACGATTGAGCGAGAGTTCTGCAGAATAACAATAACCAATTCTTGGAAAACAGAGAGTGAGAATATCAATTTACAGATTGGACGAGGCAAATGAGTGGAGATTGCCGAGAGATTCGGAGCCGGTTTCTGTACGATACCCACCGGTAATTGAAGATCATCCGGAGAAGCATACACAACTATAATAATTCAGTCACTGAACGAACTTGACTACGACATCGGGGAAGAGAACCCAATAGATGACATGTTCCGAGATCGGTACATTCTCGGAGTTCAGGATCCGCCGGCCCAGCTTTATCAGGACTTGAGGCTGGAAAGACTGCGACGGGAGTACAAGCAGTCGCAGATTTGAACCAAATTGTCTTTTTCTTACCGGCATGTTCATTTAGTCGGGTCTATTTTAATCTGTTCCGCATCATCATCTCGTTTTTGCATCTCATCTCTATGTTTTTTCCGTTCAATTCTTGTTGCCATACATACTTGGATTAGTTATCAAATAGTTGAAATGAAATAAATCTTGCTCTTGCTTTTTAGACCTCAAATGTGTTCTGTACACGCCAAAAAAGTATCGCGTGAGTGTAAAAATGTCAGCTTAATAATGCCAATGCCGCCACTTTTTGATTATGTTTTTATATTGTTTGTAGCAAAACTGGTATTTGGAAGAACCAATTTTGATCGATGCTGTTCAAAATTTTGCCCGACTGCTAGTAGTTTGAAGGGAGTCTAAACACGACGCCAAATAAAATCTGAACACGACGCCAAATTTCCCTCGTTTTGCGTTCTTTCCTCATTTTCGGTAATTCAATGCGCAGTTATTTTTTTTTTCTGCCAGTTATGAGGAAAATACGTCCGTCTCCATGCCAATCTGTGTCATTCATCCGTTTATATCGTTCCAATCGCCACTTATTCTTACAGAACATTCCGGAATTGTCGTCAAATGCGCGCTGTTCAGTCCGCAGAGTGAACGTGAACTGGTAATGCGCAAGACTCGCCGACAATTCTGCGAGTGCGGGCCGACACACTCGCACACATACTCCGCAGTCTCCCCCCGGCCCGTTTCCCCTATTGACATTTCTCTCCGCTCGGCCGCCACCCCACACCACCAGTCGTCGTCGTCGTCGTTGGATTCGTGCGCGCATTAACGTGACCAGTCCACCTGTTCGAGCTCAACGACATTTTTTTCGTACAAATTCTTCATCTTCTACCTATTTCGCAATCCGAAATCTAACGTTTTGTGAGTTTGCGACCTTCAGGTCGCGTGCTGAACGGTGTTTACGCAACCTGTGACTGTTGTTGATGCTAGGGCATGGCATCCAAATCACATTTTCACTTCGAATTTTCCTGAAAGCCTCTTTCTCTTCCTCTCTTCGCCGTCTACCGTAGTTTCTGAGGGGTGACGAGACCCATCTGCAGCGCTTAGTGTATTGTCTAATCGCGTTTTGTAAGGCGAAACCCTTTTGCGACGACAAATACCCAAAAAGCGATCGATGTCGACTGTTATCAGGTTAACCGGAGTGGAAGAGATAGCGTCGCTGCTCTCGTTATCGTCGCGATTAGCGCTGCCGAAACGTTATTCCCTCTCAATTTGCTCTACAAAACCTTAGGTCTCGACACGACAGTCTCCTATCTTGTCCGCCTGTCGCTCATTTAGGCCCCAGTAATTGGGCGAGAAGAGGTCAGCAGTCGTTATTACGTTGGACCCGGTTAGTCATCGACCCACTATCCTGCTGGACCTCACGAGGTCCCGCATTGATCAACATCGTTAGTTTGCGCAAAAATATAAACATTTTGCGAGTTTCTGTTCACTAAATCACTCCACTCACTCCTATTCAGTTGTGTTTGCCTGTGGCCTACACAAACACGGAATCTATTGATTTGTCACTCTTTCCACATCTTGTTCGCTTTTTTCTCTCCCGTGACCACCGCTTGCTCACCCTCTCTTCAATCCGTCTGTTTTCAGATCGAAAACCTCAATCTAGCCATCATAACTATGGCCAGATCGATCGCTTTCTTCTTTGGTGAGTGTGTGACATCCGACGAGTCGGAAATTGAAAAGAAGACACTTTAATGAAATTGAAATCTTTGCAGCCTTGCTGGCCGTCGCCTCGGCCGAGCACTTCTACGTGACCAACAATGAAACCGGAGTCACTTGTCTCATACTCGACGGAGACTTCCAGTTCAACCTGATCTTCAACGACGAAACGAACACCACCCACAAGTACACGGCCACCCTCAACAACACGGTTGAGGTCGATGGAAACTGCCAGGAAGTCATCAACAACCAATCCGTCCAGACTTTGAACGTTAGTTTCTCAGTCTCAGTATGTGGGAGCGAGAAACAATGGTAACCTGTTACAGATCAAGTTCAACCCGGAGGGACAGTCGGCCCGTTACTCCAAGGAATGGGAGCTCAACATCGTGTTCGGAACGTCGACCAACGAGGCCTTCAAGATCGTCAACTACACTCTCCAGACTCAGAAAACTGACCTCATCCCATTCTTCGCCAAGTTCGAGATGGACGAGAAGGCCCCAGGAGACGTCACCGCCACCGAGACCAACGCCTACAAGGTACAGTTTTCAAAAAGCAATCCGCGGGCCAACGGAATATTCTCTTGTTTTCAGTGCTCCACTGCCAAGCTCGGACTCGTCGGAGGATCGACCGTTGACATCAAGGCGGCCAACGTGATTGCCTTCGCCCACCTCAACGGAACCGCCTTCCCGACCAACCAGGTCTACGAGGTGTGCTACTTGGACGCCCGCACCAGCGACGTCGTGCCGATCGTCGTTGGCGCCTGCCTCGCCGCCCTCGTCATCGTCGTCCTCGTCGGATACCTGATCGGACGTGCTCGCGCCAAGAGACAGGGATACGCCAGCGTCTAAAAACGTGTCCACACTACTCACCAACAAGATTCTGGATTCTGGCTTCGAGCTCAGAATCTGATGTTTCCAATTTGTAATCCGATCAATCTCTGACTTTATATTTTGTTAATCTCAGTTCCTTCACACACACCCCCTCAATTACTCTTCTCTTCCATTTTTCAAACGAGTAGTGCCTCACGTGGTAATAGAACACCGTTTCTGAGCCCGTACTTTGAATTCTCTTCATTAACGACTTAATTTTGTGGAAATAAAGGATTACTACTAACAGCCTTCATGCAGAACTCTCTCAAGGAAGCACCGATCATCCCCGGGGACCACATTTATGTGCATCGTGACATGTGAGTAGTACGTTTTCTCACATAACTTTCAAGGAGCGCTTTTTGTAAATGAATTTATTAAGAAACCAACAAAAGAGCTGGAACAGAAAAAGATTATGAGAATAACGAAAACAGAAAAAAAAAGAATAATTTACCAAATTTCTCTAGACATAAATGACAATCAGAGTTTGGTTCGATCAGATCGGAGGATTATTTCAAAACTTAGGCGATATGGGGGTACATACCGGTTTGGCGGGCTCCGCGCAGGCAGTCGTCGGTGTTGTGAACATTCTGAACCACGGCTTGACTTCCTCCAGCGACCAGTAGTTGTTCTTGGCCAAGATGAGCACCAACTGGTAATTGCGCGGAGTGATCTTCTTCCAGAACTCCGCGCCATTTTGGAAGTCGATGTCCTTGGTGCTCCTGTACTTCTGCTCGCAGTGTCTTGTGAGCTCATTGAGCGAGTAGAGGCCATCCAGTTTAGGAGGAGGGGCACATAGTCGGAACCAAAAGTGAGTAAGTCCACGCTCAGTAGTCGTGAGCCGGCATATGTCTTGGGATGGACCAGCGAGAGTGATTTCCAAGGGAAATAATCCGTTTCTCGATGGTTCAAAAACGCGCCGAAGACAACAATATTCGCTGAGACACTTCATTTAACAAATGATCGGTATGAGTTGGTGAAAAACTGAGTGATAAATACTGGGATTGGGATGACAAAAGCTGGAAAAATGGAGGAACAAATTATGATAAATAAATGTTAATGTTTTTAAGTTTGAAGAGACAACTGGGATGATGAGGGAGGAGACAGTGCAAAAACTACACACCAAAACATTTTCCGTCGGTCTTCACCAGATCGGCAAGCTCTAAAGTTGGTCCAAATAATAGATAGCTATGAGGTGGCAAAATACATTATCATTAAATTTCTATACACAGGCAATAAGTCTAATAAGTGCGAGCAATCAACTGGGAATTCGAATGTTATTCGGACAAAACCGATTCGATTCACTCGTAATAACGACGAAGAATACTCTCAACATAGAACATCGGAAATCCGACTTCTTGGGTCAGAATAAGGTAGATCTTGTGGATCTTTGAGAGGCGATTCAAATCCAGGTATTTGATGAAGACTGCTCTGGCGAGGAAAAGTGTGTTGTGCGTGCGCTTGTACACCTGAAAATTGATATACGGTTTGAAGATGACTTAATTTTTCCGTCAACTCACGTCTTCGTAAACACTAACTCTCTCCTTGACAGCCTGATGCATTATGTCATAGCAATCTACAAGATATTGTTTTTTGTTAGAGATGAAACGCATTCCTACCTTCAACCGAATAGTAATCCTCATCCCAGTTCTCGAAAAACCAGCGGTACTCGGCCATTCCCCGTAATTGGGCTTCACTGAGTTCGGCATGGTTCTGGTCCTGATTCACGAAGAACTCCGGTTTCGGCGGCTTTGAAGGTTCGAAAAGGGCTTCCGTGAGAGCGAGTTCACTGTCATAGCGCGGCTTGCTGAAAATCATAGAGTTCGTTTCAGTGTTCCGATTCTTCCGATTCCAAATTCAAGATTTTCCCCCAACTCCCAGTTCTGAGAAGTCCCGTGTAATTAGTATTATTATCCGTTTATATTTATACGGATCATCCAAATTGTTCCACCGTCTTGATTGGCCAATCCTCGTCACTTCCGCAAAAATTTTTTGAACTATTATCGAAAACACACACTGGTTCAAATGATCTGAATTTCAACCTATCAAACTTCCAAAGCTCAGAGACATTCGCTACACATTGCCCCTGATTGATCACTATTCCCAGCACAACAATGCTCTGATACGCTTATGTCTTTTCAAATTTTCTTTCTGTCATTTAGTTTTTCGGGACGGGAGGATGACATTCAGAGTGTTGGAGGCGATGAGAAACCAAGCAGAGAAAGTGTCCAATCAGCCCGGAGACCTAAAGAAAACGGTCTCAGACAAGCGCACGCTCTCTCGATCTCTTCTTCTCACTAGTGACCTACTCTACTGATATGCTCTCTACCGAGATACGAGACCTGTGGATGTAAAATTCCTCCTTCGAATAAGTGCATTGATAATTGAGCAAATTTGGTGTTTGATCACTAACGATTACAGAAGTTGGAAAGCGTGGAAAACGTACTTCAAAAATTGACAAGCTTTCTTTTTTCACCAACCAACAACTCAAACACCCACGAATGTGTATGAAAGTACCGTCGAAAAAAAGCAAAAACTTTTGACCACTGAGCGGATCGAACGCCCAACCTTTCGATCTGGAGTCGAACGCGCTACCATTGCGCCAAGCAGTCATGTATGCTGCCCGAGTGTACGCCGGCCAAATACAACGCAAAGAAAGAGAAACGGCGGGCGGGCAAGAGGACGGAGACAAGGGTTGAGTGTGCGAATGCGAGTGCATTGCCAGCACGTACTTATGCATTTTCGCAAAACTCAGAGCACAGTAATGTTTCCGCACAAAGAACATCATACACGCAATGAAGAAATGATGTAAAGGATTAGAATCACTTTTCTGAACTAAACACCTTCAGATTAGTTCATGTTTTATGTTTTCCCAACAAAGCTAGCCCGAAATTAGCATCGCGACATCACTGAAGAATCGAAACTCACAATGTTCGCACTGAGTTCCGGAAGTTTGAAACAACAAACAGTGCTTTTCAATGGCGGAACGAAATCGGCGAACCATAAGCAGTTTAAAGTACTTTCCCATTTTAAAACTCTTCGTCCCTAAGTGTAGTGCCAGTATGCAGGAAAATTCATTATTGCCGCCTTTCTGACGGTAATTAGAGCTGTGATGAAACTTCGCCCAAGATCTTTGTTGCAAAATGATCTTCTTTGGTCCCATTGCCGAATGGTTTTACCAAATTTCCTTCGATGGCAAATGTAGTGCGGCCAAAAGTGGATGATCGAATGAAGGCTCGTAAATTTGAACGATGCACGTTGCGTGGTTTTGAAAAGAAAATGAGGCCAGCAAGAACTCATCCGATTAAAAGCACACATTCACTTTTCATTCGTGCGTATCGTGTTTTGTGTGAATCGGATATGAAGTCTAGTTTTCATTAGCTATGTTAAAATAGAAGTTCGGTCGACGCGGGGCGCTTTTCGAACTGATAACAATAAGAAGTTCACGTGACCGAAAAACAAAACGCCGCATTTCGACAACCCAACCAGTGATTGAAAGATAATGGCATGTTGAACTTCAAAGATCTAATGACTACTTTGAGAAACAACTTACAAGAATCGTTTTTGGTTGTACATGCGAGCCGGGATAATGTTCTTCTTTCCGCCACGTGGAGTGAACTTGACCCTGTATTTGTTGCCTGTCTCGGTATTCTCTATAATATTCCATTTAGTTGTTCAGATAACAAAGGCGCTTACCACAATGCCAGTGGAATGTCCGCCCCTCAGGAAGTCGTGGTACTTTAAACATCGGATCGGCTTGAACTTGCTTGTTCTTTATTACGAAGCGCCGTTTGACATGCTGGATTCTCAGCTTAGCCTCATAACCCGTCAGAACCGCTCGTAACGGTTTCATAGCTGTAAGCAAACAACTGAATGGTCACAAAAAAGTTTTTGAAAGGAAGACGAAGTTGTAAAGACGAGAACGGTTACAATCAAATGCAAATACGAGTGAAAGGAAGGAGTGTGATGACAGTGTGCACCAAAAGCAGAGTGCAAGAGAAGACGTGTGTTTATGAGGACCAGGGAGCGACCGACAGAATGCTGAAGCGAGTGAGCCATGTGCGGGGACAACGTGTTGCTTGCCAGCGCAAATCACAGTGTGCGGATGGGTGGGGAGCAGGCTTCTTCATCTCTCAACATCTGCTTTAGGATGCGCGGTACTGAAATGGAATGTGATGGCATGTCATGAACTCGAGCTCATCTGTACGTACTAAAACGCATTTAAATAAAGAGATATGGAATTAGAAGCCTACATGGTGAATGTTGTAGGACAAAGTGAACCTATGTAGTGCGGAAAGTAACATAACCAAAGAGAAAATGAGGACTGTCGGAAGAACCGTGGGACTAGGTAATCAACAAAACCAACGAGAGACACGTCACGTGAAGATACTGTGCATGGCAGATCTCGCCACGCGAGATTGATGCGCGGGAAGAAATTGCGTGCGCTTTTAAAGGCAGTGCTCTCAAGCATGCCAGGGGCATAGTAAACCAAAACTAATAAAGAGAACGGATTTATTGATTGAAAGTTTGTGAATGCAGAGTGGAATCCCATGGTGCATCGGAAATACAACAACGCCTCTAAACGATTCAGAAAGTAGAAAAATGATAAAGTTCGCAGAGAGGAAAGCGATCACTGAATTTACATAGGATTAGCGGGAAGTGAATGTGTAGAAACTTGAGCTATAATGGGCATGCGAGAAAGGGCAGCTGGAAATGAAATGAAATGAAATGAAATGAAACGAGTTGCATTCTGCCGCTTTTTGATCTACTCAAATATTCTACGCAAAAGAGTTTACTGCTCCACAATTCCGAATGCGACGTTCAAAATGAGAAGCGCGGTTTAATTATATGCAAGCACGTAGCTTTATGGAAGACGTTTCAGGTTCGAATTTAATTAAACTCATGGTAAACAAACAAAAAACCGCAATATGCGCACATGACCTTTTTTTCTGTTTTTGATTAACACCGGAAATGATTAATGGGGAAATGGAAAGAAGTGAGGATAGATAGGGAAAGCCTGCGTGCACCTTGAGAACACTTTGAAATTAGTGCACGTCATACGAGATGTTTATTTGCACCAAGTGTTGTTTTGGATATTTCTTATTTCGAGGAAGAATTTCTCATCAAAAGAATTGAGGTTCGCTCTATTTTTTCCTTATCCGGAACACATTCAGTTATCTTGATTTACTCAGAAATTAACACAACAGACACCCAATTGATAACCAATAAACCACAAAAAAACGTGAATTGCGTGCACAAGACATGAAAGAGTTTCAGTGGGACAATCGGAGAATCGACAATAACGGTGGGGTCAGGGAAGATGAAGAAGTAAACATATTCTCGCAACACAAAAACAAGAAAGTTCTATGCACATCGAAATGGAACTTTTCGGGGAAGTCTACCGGAACTACGTGAAAAAGAGAGAGAGAGAGAGAGAGAGAGAGAGAGAAACATTAAAGCAACAGGTGGGTTAAAAGGGTACGAGTGCAAATTCAAGAAAACTTTGGGACACTTTTCTTAGAATGCGCGACAGAAGAAATTAAATTAAACTAGCTTTGCCGCGTAGGCGTCACGGAGCGTCTTCTCGAGCAGATCGACGGAGAACCAGTTACGGTAGCAGGCGCCGACGAGGCACTGGTGAAAGCGGCTCAGATCCTCGAACTTGATGCGTCTCCAGAAGATGGCGCGATGCAAGAAGTAGTCGTTGTAGGTGTTGTGGTACAGCTGTAAAGATTTGTCTTAAAAACTCGCTAAATAATGAAAATTAATACGTCGCAGTAGTGCTCGACTCTCTCCTTGAAGAGTCTCTCGGACCACACTTTCAATTCCTGCGAGTTGCTCCATTTCTGCTCCTCGCTCTCATTGTACATATCAATGGCGAACGTCACCAGAGCAGAGGCCATGTCGCCGATGAGTGGCGGGTCCGGCTTCGGATGGTGAAAGTAACTCATTTTGGGTGGCTGATCGCACATGCAGTCGTTGTAGTCGCGAAGCGCTCTGGCGCCAAGATCACGCCTGAAAATCAGATTTAAAGAAGGGATAGCTAATAGTAATTTCTTACATCTTCTTGTATTTCTCACTCTTCATGATGCGCGCCGGCAGAACACCCTGGTATCTGAACGGAGTCGGCGAGTACTTGATAAAATACGGCTCGATTCCCCCGCCAGCAACACGACGCTCTAAAAATGATATGAAACTGAAGTTGATAAGGAAAAAAAGAACTCACTGCGCGCGTAGTGATACGTGAACGGTGTCAGGTCGCGAAATTCGGAGATGTCCGTGTATGTCGGCGGGATAATTTGGTCGGCGTTGTGGGTGACCGCATGGGCGATAATATCCCTCTTTCCAGCGAGATGCGACACGTGCTCCGCAATGATCGAATCTGGTCTGTGGAGCATGACGAAGAACGGACTGTCGTCAGCGTTCGGATGTTTTTGTTTCATTGTAGTCACCGCTCTCTCGTCGACCGGGTTTCCAAATACTATCTCGTTCATTACTGCAATCCCGATTGGTTTTTTCGAAATTAGGTGGGCAGAACTAACATAAATGCCGAGAAAACGATTAATCAAAGAAACGAAAAAGAAGTGGTAGAGGTGAATTGAAGAAAGAGAAGATAAAACACACACACACACACACGACACGGAAAAGTTGCTCAGGCACTCGTACCGAGAGAGCAGATCCGCTGCATGTGTCACGAAGATGAGAAATGACGGCGGGAAGGGAAAGGTGGACAGTGTATCGACACTCTGTTATTGGGGGGAGAGAGAGACAGAGTGAAGGTCGGCTGTGGATGGTGCACATGGCCGGGGCTTGGCACTCTAACTCGCGGATCGATCGACACTGTCTACGTCCCTCTAGCGGCAAGAATATGCGGAATAGACCAAAAATGGGAAAAAAAAATGGTAAAGTGCCAACCCGACAAATAAAACGATAGACACACAATGGCAAAACCGTACTAATGCTCGGAGCAGATTAAACTGATGGAAATGATCATTTCGAACAGAGGCGAACAAACTACTATACTGATTGCGCTTCAACCGATATAAAATACTGAAACAGGCAACTAAAAAACCGTTTTTCAGTGATAAGGGGAGGTGGCACTGACATAACTGGCGGTGGGCACGAGGATCGCAGTCGTGTGTTTCGTCGAAGAACTGAATGAGGAGTGCAATTGATAGCGAGAACGTACGCTCTGTCGGCCTCTAACACTTTTCAATTTATTATCGTTCAATCGGAAAAAAACTGCAGTACACTAAGCGAAGGAGATGCGATATCGAAAGATATTGAGAACTTTTGATAAGGATGTCTTCCGTGTCGGCGGCGCAGTTGCCAGTTGCCACGCCACCTTTCGACTTTCACTTTCTGGGAAACTATTTATTTTGGTTCTTTTTGCCGTCGGCTGAGCGCAAATCACAGGTTACAAATCAAAATTGTGGTGCACAAGAGGCGTTATGGAGCAGAAAATGTCATCGCACTCGGGAGAAGTATGGGCGTTGGCGTGATAGAGCTAACATTTGCATACAGTGCTTGGCCTATCTGTACTGGTTGAGGACGACACAAATGATCATTACTTGTGGGAAAGAGGAAGACTGGGCACAATAGTGTCCCGGTCGAAGGGAGGTAACGATACCGAGTGATGGAAAAGGAAAAGGAAAAGTAAAACATATCGGAAAAGGCATAAAAGAGAAAATATAATGGAAGAAAGCCAGAACGACCTTCGGAATGTGCAGGTCAGTTGAATATCGACCGATTTGAATTATGCCGTGTGTGAAGTGTCGACAAAAAGTGGCGCGCAACACGGATGGAGGGAAAAGAAGGGGAAGGACTGATAGGTGGCCACGAATCTGCTTGCTAACAACAGACACCCATGCGCTTTTCGCCGTTCCGTCCCTTTCTCCCTTGCAACTCTAGTGACCTTCTTCATTTTTTCGGCCGTTGTGAGTGGGAGGGAGCGGGAATGCCTTGGAGGGTGTGAAATGGGAAAATCGAGATGCCGGCAAACAGTTTATTTTCACATTTTAAGAAAATATTACTCATAGCAAAAGAACACAAGTTTGTTTCGCAACAAATACGATGAAATGTTTGATTGGAATCGAGACAGAGGTCACAGTACATAGTGCAGACTCGAAAAGAACCGAGTTGATTACTTACGAAATTAAAGTGCAAAAACAGGAATTGATAAATTAAATATTCAAGGAAAAGGTCATGAATCAAGGTGAGATGACGAAAAGCCAAATTTAGCTATAATGAGCACGGAAAAGGGCATCGACGAAGCCCAGGTCGATTTGTTTGAAGAAGCACATGATCATCACTGAAAAGTGCTCGTCGCTAATCACTTTCCAGTCGAGATATTTCCAGAAGACTGCCATTTTCAAGTAGTGATCATTCCGCGAGAGGCGATAGCGCTGAGATTGAAGGCAATTATTTGAAAGGCCCGTCTTAATTACCTCCTGGTAGTACTCGATTCTCTTCTTTAGCACCATATTGAATATTCTATCACGCCCTAAAAATTTCAACAATTTTCTCAATTCAAAAGTTGTTGCTTTGCTTACAGTTCCCCAGGTTATTGTCCTGTTTCATGTTATTCGTGAACTCTTTAAAGTATTCATCGTTCTCGAACATTTCCATCGTCAGATTTGTGCTGTTATCATCGATCATTTCCCTCTCATACGTGGGGAAATCTCCGTCCGAAGCCCACAGACTGTCCACCATGTTTCTATGGAAATCCGGACGCTTCTCCAGCCTGAATTTTAGATGAATGTGTGTGTTTTCTGCGTCAAGGCCTACATCTCGATAGGATTGTCGGCCAGAATGGGTCCGTACGTGACGTTTCGCTCGATCTGCCCGCGAGTCCAAAACACCCAATAGTACTCTCGTCTGCCGTTTTCGCCGAGCCTATCTAAAAATATACTTTGTCGGGATTAGACATCTCGGGAGGGGGGGGATTAAAAACATTGACTTACAACATAGCCAGAAATAAGTGATAGGATACTTTTCCGGGATTCTTGGATGCTTGAACACTGGATCCTGGTTGAAGACGGCATTGATATCTTCGGTATTCCCACTCATCACCACATTTTCCAGACGAAGAAAACTTGCCATCAACGCGTTATTCGCTCGTTCCATTCCGAAACTAAAAACCTTTTCATTTCTCTCTGCAAATTCAACAAAACCGAGTGCAATAAAACGTTGGTTTCCGGATGCGGGAAGTAAACGGAATCATTATGAACAACACGACGAGAGGATGGTGTGACGAGGGAGCACTAAAAGGCAAAAAAACGCGTTGGCCATACACATACACACAACGAATCAATTTTCTCTTTGCATAATAATAATGCGCTTCGGAAAAGAAAATGATATTGTGTTTTAGAACGGAGGAAAATTGAAAATTGAATTGAATACATGTGTGACATATCTGAATGACAAATCGAAAACATAAATACCGTCTGATTCATCACTATTTTCCGGGGTTACCATTTATTTTAATCGGAGCAGTGATAACGTGGAATTGGAAGACAAAACCAAAAGAAAACAAAACCCAAGCACGTACAATGGTATTTGTATCAGAATCCAAAGAATTCGGCGATAATCCTTTTCAAAGGTACAAAAAAAGCAGACAATAGACATTATAAGCTTATTATCCCTTTTAAGAATCCGTACATGAGTCTGGATTGATTACACTCTTTAAAAATGCACGAAGAAGATGATAGAAAAGGGGGTAGGTCTATTTTTGGTTTCACAACACGCAAAATAGACACTTTATATGGGAACTCAGCAGATCGGGCGAGAGAGTGTATTATTTGTCTTCCGAAATGCTAAAACTAAAACGAAAACTAAAACACAAGTTTGTTGTTAGTTTGAAAGGGCGCAATGCGTGATCATCTGGGATGCTCACTAAAGTTAACAAAACAAACATTAGAAAAGTCAGAAAAGTATACAAACTTTGCCGAAAACAGTTTCTGTTTTATTTTCATTTTTCATTTCCTCATCGAAACGCCTAATATTAGTTTGAACTTGAACAATGATAAACATTGCGGCTAGGGGACGGGGTAGACACTATATTTTAAATTGATGAGATGGATGTCTGATACGAACATTTTGTAAACAAGGGCAGACGAGAGTGCCACGAAGAAGTGCAGTCACAAGATGTTTTGTTGAATTAATGGTCTCGGCTGAACTGTTTTTCCGACGCGGTTCTTCTCACACTTTATCAATTGGAAAACACGGATGAGCGGGATTTGAGGGGGAATAACGAAACACAAAACTTCAATTTTCCCTATTGAGTGTACAAAGGAAAAAAGAGTAAAACATTTCATTAAAATGATTTTATAAAACTAAAACGTCAGTACAAAATGGTGCATTTTAGAGTGTGACGCAAGTGAGGACGACTACATTTTTGGTAGATGACTGAAAAAAGAGAAGAAACAAAGACGACGCATGTGTACTAAAATTATGGGGAGAAAATGAAAAGAGCCCGACAAGAAGGAAAAAAACGTAAACTGGAAGGAAGGTTTCAAAGCGTTTTGTTTCTACGATGACACTTAGGGTGAATCAATCACAAAAATGTTTCTACAATGCATCAGGGGGGGGAAAGAAAAAGGAAAGAAAAGGGAAGAAAAAAGAAACGAGTCGAGTCAATCAAAGATTCAGAAGAACTCGGGTTGGCAGAGGGAACAAGCGTCTCTCCAGAATGGCGATATCTGCCGGCTTCAACTTCTGAAGAACGAACACGAGAACGGTGGCCTTGGTGCGGTCCAGACGGTTCTTCAGCTCGTTCAGCTGGTTCTTAAAGTAGACGTGCGCACGCTTTCCGTTCTGCTCGTATTGCTGCAAATAAAGTGTTGCATCAAAGGCCAGATGACTCAAAGACGGCCCAATTGTGTGTCTATGTAATGTCCGCGTGTCTTACAGGACCCGCCGCCGGCGAAACTACTACTACTACTACACCCCCTACCTCTTTGTGGAAAGCGATTCTCTTTCCGACTTCATCTTGGGCCATTTGCAAAACTCCTGAAATTAGTTTGTTTTCTTTGATACGTGAGAATCATCAGTCTCACGGTCTTCATCCAACTCTTTCATGATCCTTTCGAAGACAATGAAAGTGATTTCCTTGCTGAAGAAGTTCCACGGATCTTTGAGATTTCCATTGGGGCACGGCAGAGTGTATTCCCGTCTTCCGGAGAATTTTCCTTTGTCCTACATCAGTTTTATAAATGTTTATGGTTCTTCCCATTAAAAAAGTACCAGGTTCAGTGGTCTTCTCGTCTTTTTGGCCCGATTGGCACACTTCTTTCTGGGAATAGCCGAAGTCGACGTCGAGCCGGCCGCTGCCATCTACAAGGCTATTAGCATGTCACGCTGGCCAATTATCCACTTTTTCTCACTTGCGCCTTTAGTGCTTCCAACTCCAAAAAGACATCTTGCATGGTGAACCCGAAATCGGACGGGTCCGATGTCGAAGGTTGTAGTGGTAGTGGTTGTGGAGCAGCAACTGGATCTGCCTGTGGAGGAGGAGGAGGAGGAGGAGCAGCGAACATGTCGAACGGAGTGTCGTTGGGCACTGATGACTCCATTATCGCTCTGCAATTATGAAATGTAAGCAAAGCCAATGAGTCGTGAAATCACGCAAAGAAAAGCGGATAAGAACGCGGAAAAAGAAGAGAAACGAGAAAGAAGAGGACAGAGTACTCTATTGATTTGTTTTCCCCTTTTTCCCGCACTCCAACTTCAACCAAGGCCTCGTCGTTGCCCCGTATCATTGCAATGGCCTAGTTTGGCGAACGTTTTTTCTTTTTTTTTTTTGCTTGAGAACATCAATGACCACGCGCAAGCGATCACCACTTCAAAGTCAGCTCGAAAACATCAGCTTTTTTCACAAACTACTGGATGCACAGAAAAAAGGTTTTACATTTAAAATTTGGTGAGAAAAGAGAGAACAGTCGGCAGAAACGACCGGTTCGCGGGCGATCATCGATGGGAATAATAGTGTTCACGATAGCATCTGGGTGTAATGCAACCTCTCCGACGCCCCGATTTCATACACAGCAAAAAATGGTTTCGTTGAAAAAACGAGTGAGGAATTTCTCGGTCTCTCTCTCTCTATTTATCGTCGCATGATTGTGTCCAATCAAGGAGAGTTTCGATTGGAGAAAACTGATAATAACAGAAACCGACGTCTGTCTCTGTTTGAGACTAAAACTATCAGACGACCCGTTTATTATCTGTCTACACGTACATTCGAGTAATGCTCATAGAGAGAAGAGTGAAATGTGGATGACTTTATAGCCAGAAAGAACGAAAAAAAAAACAAAAGTGACTTCATTCTAGTGTCATTGTTATGCAAAAAAAGACGCGACGAAAGCGAAGCAGAGAATGAATATTGTCTGGTTGAAAAGTTGATTTTATGAGTTTTCTGCAGAGCGCAATGTGTAATAACACACGTGGAAGAAGCATAAAGCAAGAAATCGGCGATTCGGAAGGTTAAAGTGAAATTTAATAAAACTGCACGGGTTGGGAACATAAGAGATCATGGGGTTCACTTTTTTCCTAATAACGTGGTTACTCTATGGTGACAGGAACATTCAATAGTCCTCCGGTTTCGGCGGGATGAGGTAAATCCATGTTGGCGGCAATTCGTTCACCGAGGTAAAATCGAGCCATTTCTTGCGGACTGACTCTTTCGCGGAGGAATGGATGGGCAATCATCTCGATTGCAGATTTCCTGTTTGTCGGGTCGTATTGGAACAGGAAGCCGATGAATTCCTGCGAGTTAATAGATGATTCGTCTGGTCTCGCCGAGAAAATGTTGTTTACCTTTAATTGGGAGGAGAAGCTCTCTGGAATCATGGGCTTGAAGTTTGAGACGACCAATCGTACATACTGAAAATCAAATTTTCAGAACACAACAATTTTTGAAATGAGTCATCCATACTAATGGCAGATCAAAGATCATTCCTTTTTTGAACGGGTTGTGTCCTGAAGTGATGTACGCTGCGAAAGTAGCCACACTCCACATATCAGCCTTTGTGTCGTATCCCATCTTTTTAATTATTTCAGGAGCAATCTACAACTTGTTTTTGAAAAATGATTCATGAAATAATTGAACTACAAAGCCCGGAGTTCCTCCGATATTGGTGTTCTGGTCAGATTGAGTGTTTGCAACAACGTTGGCATTTCCGAAATCAGCTAAATTCGACGTCGAATTAACATTTTTGCTTCAGATTTACAAAACATGCCTAGTTTTATGACCCCTGTATGCGTCATAAGTACATTTTTGAGGCTGACATCTCCATGAACAATTCCAAGAGAATGCACGTGCTTCAACGCTTGCAAAAGCTGAAAGATTACTTTGCAGATTTGTCGTCGCTTTAATATTCTCACCCCTTCACACGCATATGCCACATGTTGCTCGGTTTTTTTCTTGAGAGCAAAGAGCGATAAATCGCTACCAGAAGCGTACTCCATGCACAACTGACACGTAAAAAGAGATTAGAGGAAAAGAGGGAATAATCGCATTTCGAACCTGAATTCTAAATCCATCGCCGTCTCGCTGGCACAGACATAATCCGACGAAAAGGACATTTGGGTGAGAACGACATTTCCGATGCATTTCGACCTCCCTGATCACTGACGCCAGTTTTTCGACGGAGAACTTGATTAGCTTGACAGCAAATGTGTTGTGAACGTTGTGCGTGCCAGTTGGGTCCAAACGATTGGAATGAATCAGTTCAGCTCTACCGAATGCTCTGACATTGCTGAGAGTTTCAGTAAAACACTTTTCTATCTCACCCCTTTCCTAATGTAAAAACTGGAGTCCAATACGCTGGAATTCCGGACAGTTTGAAAAGATCCGGACAAGGATTGCCATCAGTCCTATCAACTGGCTCCGCCGGTTGAGAAGGTTGTGACTCGGCTACCTCAGTCGCCGCGGTCACTTCGGTCACCTCGTCCACCTCGGCCACTTCGTCCACCTCGGCCACCTCGTCATCACGACTGTCGTCCGATAGCAAGTTTGAAACTTTTGGCGGCGGCGCTTCCGGTTCGAGCCCTCCGTCGGCGCTCCGTTTCTGGCCATGCGGCGGAGAACTGAAAAAGAAATTTACAGTCGAAAAACGTGATAAGTTGTCTATTTTTGGAGAGGTTACCTCATGGCGTAGGGCAGAACAGAAAAGAAGAGACCGAATGGAATTGGCTGCGTCAAACTCAAACTGCCTGCAATTGTAGGCAGTCGTATAGTCGAATGAGATCGAAAACAAAGGCAAGGAAAAAGGACACCAGATGAAGAACGCGAGCCAAAAAAAGGCGTCAGGCGTGCAACGAGCCGAGGAAGACGAATTAGCAAGCAGGAGGGTAAAAGATGAATTGTACTGCAATCCACATCCATCGCAGACACCTACTTTATCATCTCAGTAGTCGACACCATCGACATCGAATTTGTAGCCAAGACAACGAGAATGATCTCCGTTTGCTTCTGAATCAGATGCCGAATCTCCGGGATGAATATGTGTTTTGACGTTGGCATACGGATTGAATCGGAAAGAAACCAGGCAAAAATCTGCCGGTTTCATCAAGCACCGCAACGCTTTCTTTCATTCATTCATTCGGGTATATGGGGAGGGTGGTGGTCAAATGATGGAAAAAGTCGGATGGGGGGACATGAAGAACACAGCTGTGTATTGCCCTCGGAAAAGAGAAAGACCTTCTCGGATTGAATCGTTTATGTATGTTAGCGCGCATCACAAACAACAACTAAATGAATGAAGAGAGAATCTTTTCTTATAGAGATGAAAGATTGAGTTCACGAGTGGTACGTATCACGAGAGACTACATGGCGAGACCAGACAGAGATGTTTCTTTCTCATTATCACAATCGTTATCACTTCTAAAGCATATCAGCATGGAATTCCGGCGCCTGATCACCATCGTAGTCGGTCACAACTCTTATGGCGGCCAAAATGCGTTCATACTCGGGCATGTTGAAGTGGAAGGCAAGCAGCATGGTCCACAGCTTGGGGAACGGGTACTCTTGAATGTTGCGGACGAACAGCATCTCGTGAAGGAAATGATCGTGAGCCGACTTCTCATAAACCTAAATTCATCGGATATTGCAAAGTTAATTGAAATTGACTCACTCTCGAGAGCTCCTCATAATATGCTTTTAACGAATCATTTTTGCGCTTGATGATTACTGAAACAATTGGTTTGTTTTGCGACCGTGCTCTTGCGTTTTAGTACTCACTTCTGTATGCCTTGTACGTTTGTCCATTTCTATTGTAGTAGCCGAGAAATCCTCGGCTAGAAGAGAGATATTGCAAATAATAATTGGCTGCAAGTACAAAATGTGCTTTAGGAGCCTGGATTTTCAAGCTCACCTTCACGCTGGTTCTTCTTTTGGTCCGCTCTGAAAGAAAGATAAAGATTTTTGCTCCGAATGGCTTTTTTTGCAAAAGTCTCTACGTGTCATTATCACTACGTCTAAGCAGATTACTCTGAAAGTCTTCTGAGAAACCACTCACGCAGGAACATGCTTGCGGCGATAGAAATGATTCACGTGAAGATGAGAATTGCTGTTGAAGTTGACAAAGTAGTCTTCCTTCTGGCTTGCACTCGGGTATGTTCGTCTGAAAATAATTCAAGATTCTGGAAGTTTCTCCCAGTAAAGACCTCATATGGATCTTCAGCATTTCATGCCTAATCCCGGTTCTTGGGAACTTCTCCTCGTATGTCACAGTGCCATATCTCTTGATTTTCGGCTTTGACAGAATGGCTTCCAGCTTAAAAGATTCAGAAACTAGAGGAAAAACTGAGACTAGACTCTGGTCTCTAATCCCTCACCTCCGGGTTTGGCTTGCTGGAGCGGAAACTGCCAATCATAGACATATTTTTCGTTAAAGTAATGATCTAGAACATGAAAAGTGGAAAATGAGTTCAGATCAAAGAAAAGAGCAAAAAGAGAAGAAGAACATTTTGAGAAATGAGCAGAATACCAGAAGAAAGATCTGTCAAGTGCATAGAAAGCAAAAGAAATGGATAACCAGTCTGGTGCAGGTTGAGAAAGAGTGCTCGAAAAGGGATGAATGTGTTGCTAACCGCTTGTGAGAGTGTGAGAATGAGCCGTATTCTCTCTGGAAACACTGGGCGGAGCTTTCCTGATTGGCATGAGAACATCGCGCAAGTGGACACAATCAGAAGAGAAAAGAGGGAGAAAGTTGATAGAAGAGATGATATATTCTGCTCGCGAGAATATTAGGTACACAGGCGGAGAGGTGCTACTTGGCCGCCGGCTCACTGATAGAAAGAAACACGACTCCTCAAAAAAGAGAGGCAAATGTGCGCGAGGGCAGAAAGAAAGAAAGAGAGAAAGAGACGGCGCCACTAGAATTATGCGTAGAAGCCAAAAATGGGTCGGGTGCCCCGAAGAGTTAGGTGAAAATAGAGTTGATCAAGAGGACAACAACAAGAAGGACGAGCAGAAAAGAACAAGCAAACATCACCGGAAACCGACAAAACACTGAACAAAATCGCGACGGCCACTTCCTTTTCCCCGTCAAAATTTAAATTCATTCATCCAGATATATCTATGGTGACGTACGTCAACAAAACAGAGAAAACACATTGATGAGCATTTAGATGAAACTCTGAGAAGATGAAGCCAAAAAACCACTTGGTGTAGGTTCATATTCTGAGAAATTTGAAAACTGTGTTTGCAAACGAGGCGAAAAAACATGTAAAAGTGTTTGGGTTGAGCATACATACATAGAGGGTACTGATTTTTGAATATTAATGGAAATGAGCTCTGAACTCTTGATGACTCCGGATTCTTAATCAGATAACTTTTTGATATCATCGATGTGTACTTTTCTTTTGTTATTCCTTTGATCTCCGTGCGTGACCTGAATTGAAAAACAGGGAAAAAAGGAAATTATCCCCTTCTTCACACGTCCTTTCCTTTTTTTCCAACTTGATTATTATTGGCTGAAATAGTGTGGCTCTCCGGAATGAAATAAAAAAATGACTTCATCGGAGTTGGACTTTTCTCGCCATGGCAGGCAAACAGACGGCTCAGGCCCTTTGAAAGTTTAAAAACTTCTTGAACTCAAATTGAAGTATCAAGTTTCAATCCGATCGGATCACCTGGTCCAATTTGGATGTGAGGCCTAAAAAACCGGGGTTTTGCAAAAATTGCGGTCTCTTCGGAATCCACATATTTCGAGAGCAGATGATTAAATCGGTCTGATACTTGGACCCAATATATTTCAAGCCAAGTCCAAGAAGCCTGCAAAGTTCGGGTCCAATCGAATTATTCCAAGTGGGTTGAAAGTTCAGGTTTCGAAAAGCCTTGACCGACTTTTTCACTAGCCTGGAAAATGTCCAAAATAGCGTTCTCTGGAATAGAATATGAAAATGATTTCATTATGGTTAAATAAAAAAAACGTTTTGACGTAAACGTATCAGATTGAATTAGCGAAAATTAGCGGAGATCTGATTGATTGATTATCTGGCAAATCACGTCTTTTCGTTTTGAACGTTTAAGGTTTGATGTCAGTGTTTTTAGGTGGGCTGATTTCTGCAAAGTTGCAAATATGTGTCATTTATGGTGGACTAGTGTAGTAGATGGCACTTCTAGCTGACATCCATGAAAGTTATCCATTTGAACGTGCTCGAGAGCGGCGAGGTGTTGCGAAATGAGTTCAGCCATGTCTGGTCGAGGTCCATCAATGCGGCCAACCTCTCGAAGGACGATTGGTCGTTGACTTTCATCGTTCACATCTGAGTCAGGGAGTAATCTTGAAAACTTTTTGTAAAATGCGAAAAAAACTGATTATCATTAAAAAAAAACACGAACACAACAACATTACAAGCCCATCTCACTTTCACTCCGAAGGCGGTCTGCATCGGCTAAACGTTTTTTGACAGAACCTGTTTTAAAGGAAAGCTTGCGATGTTCTGGCGCCTCTGAGCCCATGTCTTAAAATATGTCAATTGGATTGGCGAAGCACAAACACCAGACGAAAAGGGAATGAGAAAACGAGTTTTGCTATGCAAATCTTTAGCTTTATTTCTTTTTGCAGCTTTCACTTCCACCAAATTAACATAGATCAGCGAACAAAAAGCATTTGGAAACAAAGGGATGGACCTCGTTGTCCGAAGACGGGGAAAACGAGCATAAGTGCTCGCTAGTCTGCTCGAAAACTTGATGTGCATGTGCAAAGCGAATAACGTGGTTTGTGTGTCGTCTTGCGATTCATGCGCGCCGGAGAACCAAAAGGAGCGCCGCCAGGGAATGTATTCGATACACAATTTATTCATTTTGCTCATTGATAGATTATGAAGACGACAAAAAGTGTTAATATAGAAGAATTGAATTAAATTTTGGATGTGAAAGATACTAGGACAATTGAAAACAGACTTGTCGCGGGCCAGCCCGAGTTTTAGTACTTTTAGAACTCTCAAAAAAAATTTTTTGATTCAATTTTTTCCAAATCGTGCTTTTTTGTAGTTTTCAGTTTGAATAATACGTTTTACCAGCTAACTTCAATGAAAACAGCAAAAATGTAAAAATAGTGGTACTTGTGAAAAACGATGATCTGACAGTTCTACAGGTCAAAAGTTTTCTTGAATTGACGGAATTTGGGAAGCTCTCCGGGAAAGAAAAACAGGTACATTTTCATGTTGTAAATGAAGCGGTTGGTCTCGGCGCCGGAAATGCACTCGTGGATTTTGACCAGAGCTGCGACTTAAATCAGAATTGTTTTAAAATTGTGTAAATTGTAGTTACTCACGTCTTCCACGGCGATTCCCGAGCTTCTTGACGTTGTCTTGAAGTTCAATGACGATCTTCTTCGCGCAGACGTCTTGTTCGCGCCAGTCCATCGGCAGCTCGTCGGTCAGGCGAGACCACGAGTGGAATCTTCTGATTTCCTCCAACAGGTTCGTGGTATCGGCTAAAATGCGGAATTTGTTCGTTTCGAAAGAGGTACTTGACAAAAGAACCAACCTATGGCTTTATTATATGTCGAGATGCGCATTCTTCCGAGTTTGCCATATTTAATGCCCGGCATAGTCAGGAATTTCGGAACTGTCGGTGGCGGCATGCCGACAACTGGCGGAATGGGGTACCAAACGTTACCGTAAGCCATGTGATTGACTGTGAGAAAAAAGCGATGGTACAAATTATTGATATTTATGCTCTTACCAAAGTGAGCAGCATCCGGGGAAGGGGTGTTAAGATCGGAAGAAGATGGGGTTGGCGGCATGCACTCTGCAGAAGAAACACATTGAGACTATTGAACTCTCCCAGAATCTACGTACCATCCATTCCTTGAAGTGGTGGTGGCTGACCATAGACGTAGTTCGGATTGATATTGCTCCACGACGGATGCATAGCTTTGGAAGAAGTGCCGGGAGACTGTAAAATGGACTGAAACTGATGATAAAACCGAGAACAATAAAGATATCGATTGCTAGTGATGAAACAAGAACGAGCATTTACTTCGGTAGAGGCGCGCGTGGGCCATACTGTTTCATAACATGCTGCTGCTGCCGCTGCTGCTGCTGAAGGGGATAGACAGTGTCGTGCACTCACAGAAAAATGAGTCACCGATGAAGAAACTCGTGGAGGAAACGAGAGGAAAAAGGTTGTCTTCCGGATAAATAGATGACAGTGAGAGGCTCTGTTGTACTGCCTGCGAGTCGGCACACGCGGTGGAAAAAACTCATTACACCGCGTCTTTCAAAACAAAATACGCAAGGTAACAGTCAAAGGATCTGTCGAAAGAGAAATAGTGGCAGGAATGTTTGGAAGACTTCTAACGACACAGCAATTCTCTGATAGCCAAGAAAACGTGGCTAGGGAATACGGTCCAGTTCTGGTTAAAATAGGCTCAGCAGACAAGTATGGATCTCCATAACAGCGCAGACTTGTCGAAAATAGTCCGTGCCGGGCCAATGGAAAATTTACCTTTTTACCTGGCCCAGCCCGGCCCGTCAAGAGACGAGTCTAAGAAAAAGGATTTTCTTTCTGGACCCGCACGGTGGGGCAGAGGGGTGCCACGTCTGAAATGTCTGTTGGTTCTTGCATTGATTGGATCTCGGTATCAACGTCGCTGCTGAGTCATCGTGGTGGCGCGAATTCAAATTTTCGATTTTCGATTTACCCCGTGATCTCGCGTGAAATCAAGTTTCATAAATGTGCTATGAGCAGAAGCCGTGTACCGTTGGATCCCCAAACTTTTTGCTTTTTCTTTACAACCCGATAATTGATTACTTGTATCAGATATGCGTAAATATCCTTGTAATATGTCTCACACCGGTTTCAATTCATTAATCTGTTGTTGACAAACCGTTCTGACTGATCTCTGCGTTGAAAATGCGATACGGTGGTCTTGTAACCGAGTAAGTTCCTTACCTGCCCCGTCGTTTTCCATTTGTCACAAATCGCACTCACTTTGCACTTTTGAAAAGTGCCTGAAGGGAATTCAAACTAAATCAACACTCATGCACTGTCAATGTTAAACGTGAGAAGATCACCCGTCATTTTATTGCACCGTTGCCCTTTGTGAAGCACGTTTGAATTCAAAAGTGGAGAGTCGGTGTAGGTCTTTCCTTTCCATTTATGACTTGGCTCTTACATGCGTCCCTGTTTTGTTTTATTTCAAATTGTTTCGCCATATCTTCAATCCTCATTATCTCCGAAGTTATCTATCAGTTTCAAAGCGGAACAAAATTGTTTTGAGTATGAGAATTCTTTGAATGATTGCTACCGACACTGCGTGCGGCAAATAGAATGGTAAACAGTCGATTAACTTGTTTACAAGTTATGTCAAAGATGAATGGGAGATATAGTTGTATTGCGTCAAACCGTTCTAGTTTCCATGAACGCTTTTCCACTTTTTCCGCTTCCGTGCTTAGCATTAAGTTCAACCTTGATTCGGTTCACTGCCAGTTTCCCATTCGAATCAACCATTTTTTATGTTCATGAGAACTTTTTTCCATCTTTTTTTTACACATCTACCTGTCGGAAGTGGGTGGTACCGTATTGCAGAAGTCATTAGTGTCCTATAATTCCCCCAGCGACTAGTACTTAGCTGGTGACCTAGAAACGGCAAACGGCCAGACAGGAGATAGATGTTCTTGAGGTGCGAACCGACATCGGCACCTTTTTAATATTTCTCTCATTGATAAGGTAGTCGTTTCCACTGTCGCGGAGATCAAATTTAAACCCGAATCATTTGAAACTGGCAGATTGTTGCTTGAGAGGCACATAATCAGTGGGTTCCCAGTGGTTTCCACATTTTTCGTCTAATGGCACAAACTTCTTATTCTGCTTTTGTCTTAAACTTTTTTTTCGCAATTTTCAAACAAACTGCTTTATGACTCATTTTCAGTCGAAAATGGATAAAAGTTCAGTTTTCGAATCTGCCGACGGAGACGTGTGCGAGCAGATGGACAAAGTCAACCTCAACAATAACTACCAAGGTAAGTAATGCTTCAAATTCAAAATTGCCAAACGTTTTCTTTCCAGAAGCTCCTCCAAATGGAAATCTACTCAAGGCTCTTTTGGAATCCGCGCAGATCGATCCACGTGTGCTGAAGGGCATTCATCGCTTTCTTTCCGCCAATCCGTCTGAAAACTCCATCCATTTTGTTGAAGTATGGAAGCGCGTGTACTACCCATTCAAACAGTCGCTTCTCTTCCATTTGGTCGACACGTACTACGACAAGGTATCGAGCGGGCGCTTCGAATCGTATATAAACACGCAAAGAGGTACGATTAGCAATAGGTGGAACACATAATTATCTGAAATAATCCAGACAACTACTCGGACGCCAGACAAGAACTGCAAAGGTTGATCGAGGAACACGAAAAGGTCAGTGAGACTTAGAATATGTTGTATACTCGCAGTTAGGGTAACGTCATTGCCAAAATTCAACTTTTAGGAGTACATCGCCAGTGGTTGCTTACGAGTATCTTCACTCGAAAAAATGATCTCCCTCCTTATCGCGCGTGACGTCATGCCACTGAATTTCTACCTGATCTTCAACTTTGCATGCTCCGGCGTCAGCGAAATCAGCTGTCTCAAGGCTCAACTGTTGGAATCAATCATGGACCTGCATCTCGTCGGATATGATCCCGAGACCGATCAGCGATTGTTCAATTTATAATCTCGCAGACATCTTTTTATCTCTTTTTTGGTTTCAAACCTCATTTTCATTTTCCCGGTTGCTTCGTGTTTTTCAATAATTTGTGACTATCAGCTCAATAAATTCAATAAAAACACGGTGCGCCTATTCAGTTTTGCAATTCGCACACAATAATCACTCCACATTCTCGAAAATTCTCTTCGATTATGTTTCATGTGGCCCTGTGGCGCTCGGCCGCCAACAGGGAACACACACTTTTCCGTAGTTCGAGGCCACAACAACTGTCCTGTTAGTCAGTTCTCCTCCGGCGGCTCAATCCACAAGATGGACCAGATTTTTCTACCCCGCCCGATTCTCAATCAATTGATGGAAGTAAGTTTTATCACGGTAATTTCATCATACAATATCGTTTATACATTTTCAGATAGTGCGAACCTCGCTCTATTGGAATATTGTCAAGTTCAAGCTGAAACTCATCGCGCATCGCGATGTTCTGGTAAAAATGCCACGTTTTACAGTAGAAAATGCTCGATTTCAGATGAGATTGCCTATCAATGAGTCTGCCAACCGCTTCGTCAACACTGCTTGCGTTCTGGAGAACTGCATCCGTCACAACGGCTACGCTCATCTGAGTGATGACGAATTCAAAGTTCGATCCATTTTCCTTTCCGGTAAACATGCAACCCTTTTCGCTCAGGATAGCATGCAAATCTTCGATGTTGCCATCCACAACGAGACCCTCAGAATGGAATTGGAATCTGAACTTGAGACTGATGACTGATGAGGATAAATCCCCCTCTCCCCTTTTTTAAACTTCAAATAAACACGAACAACTTCATGATATTATCAAAATGATGGTGTGAAAATATGAGACCTTCCGGATGTTTTGAGCATTCGGAAGTAACAAATGTGAACAGAACCGAATAAAAACCGAAAACATTAACAAACACGGTTGGGATGGGGGAATGCGTGAGAGGCATGGGTGTATGATTAGAAAAGAAACTAAACGTTTTCTAGCAAAACAAAAAAGCTACTCCGTTTGAAAGTTGGAGGGAATACTTGAATGAGGGGGGGGGGCGGATTACTCCACAACGCTCTTCTGTCTGCTCAAGATAAACGAGCGGCGGATGATATCCTTAGCTTCCGGGTAGAGAAGTTCCTCCACCTCTTCCCAGGTGATGTTGCCCGCCTTGTCGTGCATGAAGAGAACGAGGCAGACGAAGTAGTCATCCATGTGGTAGAACTTTCTCTCCCAGATGATGCGATAAATGTTGTGCTTCAGGCACTTGGTCAAGTAGAACTGGGCTCCGAGAACCTTCATTCTCTTGTACAAGTAGCGGCTGGCCAACATGTTGCGCACTGAAAACATTCATTTTTAGCGGATACTTCGCAGAACAATACCTTCTTCCTTCATGTCAAAGCACTTCTTCACAAACGTCTTGAATATCTGATTGTGCTCGGTGAGAAAGTTCAGCTTCAGGAACATCTTCGCGAACGAAGCTCCTTCCTGGGCCAATTCTCTGTCGTCCACAGTTTTCATCGGGTGCGTGTTCGGATAGAACATGGCTATGATCTCCAGTTCTTCAACCTTGTCGAATGTGTAGTCCTTGATGAAATAACTGATCTCCTCGTCGTTCCTCGGAGCATACTGCATGTTCTCCCGGAACTAAAATTCTTTGTCGTTCATCATGTTCTACTGAATCGAGTTTAGTACCGCAAGATAATGAGCGACCATCTCGTAGAAACGCGGTTTTGAGTCGTTTCTGGACACCGCGAGCAAGTGGGTGACCAATTTGTACTGATGAGCCAGCGGTCCTCCCAAGCTCCTGAAAACAAAGGATTTTATTGAGCAGAACATTGAATGACACTCACCACTGAGCAATATGGAGATCGCTTGGCGTGTTCGGCACATGGATGTCGAGAGGAGTGTAGGCCTGTTGAAGGCGTCTGTTCAGCGAGAGCTTCTCGAGCTCCTCCACGACTTTCTTCGCGTCATCGCCCGTTTTGTGCGTGGGATTTCTCTCGTTCTCCTCGTTTCCCGTGTGCTCGAACACTTCGTCGGCGAGACGGATGACTATGCTTTTCTCCGACTCTTTTCTCCCTTCCGCGAGGCTATCCATGTTCTGCTTCAGCTTCGACAGCTTTATCATCTCGGCCATCTCGACACGCTGCCTTTTCTGATCTTCGGTGCTCGTAAACTCCGTGATCGAAGCAAGTGGTACCAATTCTTCCTCCTGAATAGACATTTGGTTCTTAGGCGATCATTTTTATAAAAACTCACGTAGATTCCGAAAACATCGTCGTACAGTTTGGCAAAGTAATGTTCATAAGTCGAATGACACTGTGTCCCTTTGTCCGTCATCGCGCTGAAATAAATGCAAAACGTGTTATCAGTGCTCGAGGAAGGGTACAACGAAGAAGAACGATTAGCGCTAAACGTGTAGCCAAATAAGGTAACAAGACGCTGTCAGAATGGCCCAGAAATGCAGCGGGCAGAAAACGCTCGAGAGAAGTAGGCCGGCGAAAAGAAAAAGAGGGAGAGAGATAAAGAGAACCGCGCACGAAAGGTCAGCAGACGAATTTTTTTTCTCAAATCCTTATTATAAAAAAACAGAGCGCGTGGACGAGAGGACTTGCCGGAGCGGCCAGTTCTATTCCAGACACGGACTAATCAATAAGGTGCGTGGCAACACGGAAGAACGATTGGAGGTGGAGAGGGTCAGCAGCGGCAGAGACGAGTGAGAGGAAACGAAGAGGAAGAGTGTGCTAACAATGTCCCCTCTCTGCCGCTCTAGCCCTCCACGCACGCCGTCCTTCCCGCCGACTCAGACACCCGCTTGGTCAAGACGCGAAGCAATTTTTCAATCAACTGTTTGAACACGGCACAGCGTTTAGAAACTAGAAAACTCCACGTCCCCATACCGTCTGTCGACTATGAGGTTAGAAATCAAAAATCCGGTCTTATGAGACTTCCGAATTTCGATAAATTTTCGCTTTAGAGAAGTTGGCCAAAAAATTTGCTTTATGGGTTCAGGAAGGTGGTATACTACTCATGAGGCCGAGAAATGTTCAAGACAGAGAATTGAAATTTGTAAAAGTAGCAGTGGCGTCTTTTCTTCTTCTTTTCCCTTCAAAATCTTCATTCAGCAGTGTTGTATAACAAACGTTAAGAATTCAAAAAAAAGAAGCGACCCAATGGAAGGAAAGCGTGAGGGGATACAAAAACACATAAATTAATGATAATAAGCATAAATGGAATAGAATACATCAACGGGCGTGATAATCTTCACTGGTATGTGGGAACAGCACCGTCTCAATGTCATTGAAGCCCACACTTGTGGTTGGACTGTTGATGAAAAGCATGACCATCAACGCGTAGGAGGAGCTCTCGTGGATATGTGTCCAGCACTTGGAAATACGGCGCGATTCGCGATCCGCCAGCTTTTTGAATCTCTGTAAGCAAAATTTGTTAACGAGTAACGGGAACGAGAACACTATTCTAACCTCAAAATGGAAAACAATTCTTGTGTCAATGTACTTTCTGACGAGAGTTGTGATTCTTGCGCTGTCGTACTTCGAGTTCGAGTATTGCTTGCAGAACTCGATGAACGCGTTGTTTGCAATAAAGATTGGCGCGGTTTTCTTGGCAACTGAAATACAGAAAATGAGGAGTGTGAGGTTAAATCATAGGTCACTTACAGTCGGTATGAAAGGGAATTTTCGCCACGTCAGTCTCGTTGTTGTTCATGAACACTTGGAGATCATCAACATCCGGCGCTTCCATAGACAACTTCTCAACGTCGACTTGCTCTTTGATACAGAGTGCCTCACCGGCGTCTTCGCCCTTTACTTCCAGTTCAGCGAACGTTTTTCTCACAAAGTCCGCATCCAACTCCGGCAAAGTGGAACTGCTGGTCAAGAAGTCGCTGCTACAGCCCACAAACTCCTCGTCCTCAATGCTTTCGGGCAGATCATCGTCACTCAGAACTCCTCCGTCTTTCTCCTTCTTCTTCCGTTCGAGATGTTTTATGGTCTGTGCGACTTGTTCGTTGCTCACTTCGCCAACTCTCGGAGTTCCATCCGGATTATTGTCATCGATCACATAAGCCAACCATTTTCCGTTGTCCAAAATATTCTTGGACAAGTTACCAGCGACGTAGTAGTTCTGAAATGTTACAATATGGTCCGCATAAGTGCACTGATTATTCTCACCTTCTGTTTCGGAGCTTGGCCACAGTCGAGCTGCTTTCTCTCTTCTATAATCTGGTCCAAGTTGATCTCTCTGTTCGGTTCAACGTCTCCGATGCGCATTTCTTCGAGTCTGCTTTGCTGATCAATTTGAACAATTCTGAACTCACCGGGCAGCAGCTCGACAGAGTGTGGAGGTGGCGGAGGAGTGCCTTCCTTGCCGTTGACCACGTACAAACCCTTGGCGGCTCGCTTCTTTGCTCTCTTTCTCTGTCCATGACTCATTTTTGGGGCGTCATCTTCGTCCTGGTCGGCATCATCATCCAACACAGGCTCGAAGGTAACGGCATCTTTCGGAGGAGGTGGTGGTGCTCCCTCAGTCATCAAAGCTGGTTCGATAGTTGTGAATACTATTTGCGGATCTTCTTCCAACGCCCCGAAAATTGGGATCTCCACAGCAGTCTCGACGATTGGGTTCCCCACAGCAGTCTCAGCAGTTGGGCCTTCTACAGCAGTATCGGTGCTTAGGTTCTCCACAGCAGTCTCCCTTGTTGGGTTCTTCACAGCAGTCTCGACAGTTGGAATCTCCACAGCAGTCTCGACGATTGGGTTCCCCACAGCAGTCTCAGCAGTTGAGCCTTCTGCAGCAGTCTCGGTACTTAGGTTCACCAGAGAATTTTTGGTAGTTGGGCTCTCTACAGCAGTCTCCCTTGTTGGGCTCTTCACAGCAATCTCGGCAGATGGGCTCTCTATAGCAGTCTCGACAGTTGGGATCTCCGCAGCAGTCTCGACGATTGAGTTCCCCACAGCAGTCTCAGCAGCTGGGCTTTCTACAGCAGTCTCGGCACTTAGGTTCTCCACAGCAGTCTCCCTAGTTGGGTTCTCCACAGCAGTCTCGACAGTTGGGATCTCCACAGCAGTCTCTGGCTCTTTAACAGTTTCAACTGCCAATTCCGTTTGCTCTTGAATATCTCCAACAAGTTGTACAGGTTCTGCCGGTGTCGGAACCGGAACGGAATTGGCCATCATCTCCTGCTCCTGAGCCTTCTTTTCCTTTCTCAGTTTGTCCTTCAGCCGTCTCTTTTCTTTTCCAGTCAACGCAACAACTCCTCCCTGCTCATTTGCTTGATCTCCGATTGATTTTGCCGAGTCCTGCTCCGCAGCATCCTCATTCTGCTCCTCCAACTTCATATGTTCCATCGCCAGCAACTCCGCTTCCTTCTTTTTCTGTTGACGGTATCTTCTGCCGTCTCTACCGGTCTTTTTCTCCATGTCCACTATTTTTTTCTCCCTGCCCTTTTCATCAGCAGTGGTTGATTTGAACTCCGAGACGTCGGAAATCATCCCAGAATCCGGAGTTCCTGACGAACGGGCCATATCGACTCGAACCGGGCTGTTCTCACGCATCGGGCTCGCCTGGCTAGAAGCCTCTTCATCACAAACGACAGGGAGAGTTTCCATGTTCCTGGCCAATGATTCAACCATTTCGGTGACGCACTCCAGATGACGTGGCACATTCTGACTTGTGGTTGCCTCGTCGACATTACGTTTGTCACCGGTTTCGTCCAGATTATTACTAACAGTGGCGGCGACGGACACGGCACCCTTAAAATGTCAGTAGTAAGGACGACATGAATCATTAGTGTGTCCAACCTGATTATACTTGTGTGCCTCGTCCGTCTTAATCACTATTTGCACCGCTTCAACGGGTTTGTGTTCTTTCTCAGGTTGCTTCTTGTACGACGACTTGACATGATCGTCCTTCTTCTCAGTTCGAGCAACAATCTGAGTATCTTGTGGGGCCGGATCAATAACTTTCTTGTCTTCCATATTGACGAGTTGCTCTTCGGTCTAGAAAGAACATAAAATGCAAGATAAATGCATTAATTCGTCATCCTTACTCTCTGCTCCAGCTCATCCTCTTTCTGGAGGATTTCAGCATTGATCGACGAAGACGGAGCGGTGTATGGATAGCTGGCCCTGGTCTGCTCAAACTTTTTCCAGCTGGCCCTGAGTCCACTCATGTCCTCTGGCTGAGAGGTGAATGGATTGTTGGCGATGGTCTTCCCAATTTTTTCCCAACTGGTCATGAATGCATTCATGCGCTCTTTGAGCTGAATTATCTCCTCGAGGTTCTTGCAGCTTCCAGACGGGCATTCGTTGTGCACGAAGGTGATTGGTTCAGCTTGCTTGTCTGAAAACAGATTTCCGATTATTCTCCCACGCGCGCAGGCAGCTCACTTTTGGCAAATGGATTGAGTTTCTTGAGCAAATACATCTCTTCGAACTTTTTGATGCAAAATCCAGGCGTTCTGATCATCTGCTCAAACCCACGTCGATCCTCGTCATTCATTGTCCGCTGGAGGTAACGCCATCCTGCGACAATCTGCAAAAAAGTACTTGAATGGAACGTTGGAAAAAACTGAACTGACAATATCGAGGTCGCCGAGCCTCCCGTGAATATATGCGGACGCGGGAATCATGTGTTGAGATCAGTTGGCAAAACGCTGGCTAGATGTCGGTCTGTAAAAATAAAAAATTATTCTGTAAAAGAAGAAAAAGAAGCGGACAAATGAAGCGGAATGAGAAGGAGAAGGTGAATAGATATTACTAATAATAGTGTGTGCGCCAAAACTGAAAAGAAACCAAGTGTCATACGTGGCCGCCATTGTCGGTATTGTGGTTTTCGTTCTCGTTCTGTGAGAAAAGAGAGAGAGAGAGAGTGAGTGAGAAGACGCAGAGAGAGCACGGTGGTCCTGTGCGGTACGCGTAGCGTTCTAGAGGATTCTAGAGAGATAGAGAAAACCGTTCTATACTGTGCGGCGCGTCAATTCATCGATTAAAGAGGGCAGCGAATGGAGCAGTGGACGCGACACGACGAGGCGGCGGGGAAGGGAGGAGGTGTACTATGATTGATGGCAGCAGAAGAAAAGGAAAACGAGTGCACCAGATCAGATCGACTGCTTGCGGTCGTATCGACGCCCGCCCCTTCTAAAATGTGGGAACAACGGAAATAAAAACATTGCAAAAAACCGTGGTGTTTGGGAGGCAGAGAGAAAATGTGAGTCAGCAATGAGAAATCGAAGCGGACGCAAGGATCCGCGCCGACAGTTGTATGATTTTGGTGCGCGCCGATAGTTACTTTTTTTTCGAAAAAGAAAGAGAGAAGAGAACGGAGGTGGCGACGATCGAAGGTCGCGTAACCGCTCACTTACTCTCAGCTACTACCGTCAAACGGACGGACGGACGGACGGACGGATGGACAAAGGGACGGACGTGCCTGTATGAGATAGGTATCCAGTGATGTCGCACACACAAACAAGTGAAAAGGACAGCTGTTGGCCGTCGGAGGCAAATGAGTGAAGTTCTGCAAGAGATGTGTGTGTGTGTGTGTATGTGTGTGTGGGGTGTACTGCCGGACACTTTGGAGAGGATTTGGACGCGGCGACCGACGAGTTAGTGACTTCCGAGGTCGCTCGCATAAGTCAACTCTCGTTACGTTTTTTGGCGCTTTTCGCTTGGCAGAATGTAATTGAAAAAAATGTGAAAACGAAAACGAAAACGAGAGCGACAAAAATATAGCGGCAGGGCTAAATTAAACACGCATTCACGGCGTTGTTGAAACGAATGACGCGGGCTGAAATGCAAAAACCCAACAACAACAATTGTGCCCTTTGAGATCCGAAACGGTTTTGTGACATGTACATACATCACAAAAAAGTTGACAGTTTCAGATTAATGCGGCGTGTTATCAGCAGAGGCAATTTGGATGGAGCTCACGACCATTCGAGTTCACAAGTGGAGAAAGACTGTCGGTGAGTGTTGACTACGCCGTGCACAACTGATAACTCTCTAGTGTGTCTTGTTCATTTCAAGAAGATCATACTTGCTGAGTGGGCCAAATTCAAATCGTTATCTTATCGTGGAAGGAAGGCTCCGTACATTCAGCTACGTAAATGGCTCTAGAATTGTGCCCAGTCTCAACCACTCTATTTCATCTTATCTTTTGTTTTTGATAATGCTGCGGAAAGGTGCATACACACAAATACAAAGTTTCTATCCAATCTCGTCGTTTTTCTTCCAGTCTTTTTGTCTTTTCAACGATCGCTCGTTCGACCGCGTGTTTGACTCACAAGCCCATAAAATCAAAGAAAATTTATGCAAAATAGGCCATCTTGTTTCTTCTCCGCTCATAATTCGATTTACTGTATGAAAAATCATTCTTCGTTTATCATTTTCTGTTCGCTTCGATGAAATGTCTCGATTCCGTAGCCTAGCTCGTAGATTCAGTAGGAAGTGTGAGTCAAACTATATTCTACTAGAAAGTCTTTTGCTTTTCCTATCATTTATTCAGTTCCAGGGCACTTCTTGATGAACATACCGCCATGTCGTTTGGTTATCTTAGCAGCCATCGTTTCGTTCTGTGCCAATTGGTCGTTTGCGTTCCAGGTAATTCGGAAAAAAGTGGAAAAACTTGATCATTGAACACAAACAGTTTTTTTGATGGGGAGCAAAGAACAATCGATGTACGAATGTTTTCAGATCACCTATGTGAACACATCTGTTGACACATTCTACAAACTGGCCAGGACGGCGTACAAGGAAGTGAGACAATGCTCCACATGTCAATTGCCAGAAACTCAATGGCTTTCTCAGTGGAGTGTGGTCGTCAGCATGTTTTATCCCGGAACGATTCTAGGATTCCTCGCCGTGAGCACTTACCGAGCAGACTCTGACTTCTGACAACATCTAAATATTGCAGGTACCCCTTATGACAAAGTGGATTGGAGTCAAACGGTCACAAGGCATCATGTGCATCGCAGCTACCATCGGAGTCGCCGTCCATTTCCTTGCCCTATCTTTCCTTTCCTTGGGTAAACAACAAAAGTTGTAATTGCATGTGTGTTTGTGTTGTTTTTTGCAGGAGAAATCACTTACACAACAATACTATCAATCGGGCGGCTGATGATTGGCCTGCAGGCTGGAAGTTCTCTGTGTTTGCTGCCTCTGTACATAATCGAGATCAGTCCGCCATATTATAGATCCTTCCTGAACAACTTTCAGGTTGGAATCTTGAACCGAACCATTAGAAAAATTAATTTTATTCATTTCAGCAAGTATCGCAGTCCTTTGCCACTCTTCTCGGACTTGTACTCGGATCCGAGGAGATCCTTCCATTGGGAAACGCGAGATTCGTGATTATGCAGATAGTCGCAGTCGTTCCCATCCTTTTTCTACTGTTTCTTCTCGTCATCACACCTCAGACGCCGACTTATTTAAGTCAATTCCATCCAGAGTGTATACACGAAGGTTGGAATGATAGATCTATAACTGTTGACACATTACTCAACTTAGTGCCTTTGCAGCCATACATTCTCAACTCTTTTACCACGGCACCGAGAGATCGAACTCTTACAAACCGCTCATATCGAACTATGAAATGATGGAAAGCAATAACAATTTGAAGTATGCGAGCTATGGGTAAACAGAGCAATGCTAAAAGTGTATGATATACTTAAATTCCAGGAAATCCTGGAAAGATTCCTTCAAAGGTTTCCTGATCGGAGCTGTTGTGGCTGCTTCGTACGCGTTCACCGGAGACGACTTGATTGATACATTTTCTGCGAACATGCTGATTGTATGTTTGCATCCTGATCTGGTCTGATCAAAATACCGTTTTTTTTTTCTGTTTCAGGGAGACTCCAACGGACTGAAACAGACTCACCAATCCACCGACACGTTCACAGTTTTGGTCTCCGATGCCTTGGGACTTGTTCTTTTTTCGGCTTCAATTATTGGCATTTTTTTGGTAGGACTCTTGAAAATTGACACGCAATGAGAATGTTCTAGGCGGATCGCTACGGAAGACGTAAACTGGTACTTCTCGGGCTCTTTGGAACATGCGTTGCAAACATTGGCGCCGTGGTATTTACATCAAACAAGGTGGTTGTGTCACTCTGTTTTGCGGCCACCAAAACGTTCATTGGAATGGGATGCGGTGGTCCTGCATGGTTCTTGACTTCGGAACTTGTCGACCCCGACTACGCGTGGATTTTCCAACCAATGTCTACCGGAATTCTGCTTTCTTCAACCATGGTTTTAACATTTTTCTATTTGAGTGTGGATGCCCTCATCGGAAGTTACAGGTTTGCTTGTTAATCTGATTGCAAGAGAACTGACTAATTTTCATTGCAGCCTTCTGATTATGGCAGCCGGGCCCGCGTTGGTAGCTGCCATTCTCATCTACCTGTACCTGCCAGAGACGAAAGGGAGATCGAGTGAAGAGGTGAGTGAATGCCGTCAAGTGGCGTGTCTAGCAGGAAATTTCCGTCTAGCCGTGACCTCCCGCCACGGAAAATGAGAAAATGACATCTTCAATATGTAGTATGCTTCATTAGAATACTCATGAACAAACAGCGCAAGTTTAATTTCATTCAATGTTTTCGAAGCGGGTCTATTATTCTTTGTTATCAACAGCAGCCCAAAATTGTAACAAAAAACGGCATGGCCGCTATCTGTCAAAACACGAATGGGTTTAACTATGTCTTCCGACACTCTATTAGTCATTAACTCGCGATAAGCATAAAAATGTCATTAGGGAGCGGAAAGAAAAAAGGAAACGAATCTTGCCCCGTTTTTGCATCTAGCAAGTTCATCGATAAAGCCACTTCCTCAAATTTTGTTTCCTCCTTCACTTATTCACTTTTTTCAGATACAACACATGCTGAATTCGACAACTTTCAGCGGAATTCGCTCTGCTAAGAACAGTTCAGCGGACATGTACGGAACATTTGACGACGGTGGAATTTTCTAATGAAATTGTGTTTGTAATGTACAATATCGGTTTAATTTGAAGTCATGATTTTATTGGAGTTTGATTTGAAAGACTTGCAAAATAAATAGTGCAAGAGCAAGATTAAACAGATATTTAATATCCTGGGGCGGTTCTTGGTGGTGGGCAGTGATCGCAACCTCCTGGGGCTCCGATCTCTCCGTCGGCTCCATTGTCTCCGTTGGCTCCTGGCTGTCCTGGGGCTCCGGCGGCTCCGTTGTCTCCGGCTGGTCCTTGTGGTCCCTGGGATCCTGGCTGTCCTGGGGCTCCTGGTCCTCCGGCTGGTCCAGCTGGTCCGTCTGGTCCTGGGGCTCCTGGGGCTCCGGCTGGGCCTGGAACCTCGACGACCTTTCCTGGGGCTCCGGAAGCTCCGGCGTTTCCTGGGTGTCCGTCGGCTCCAGCGTTTCCTGGGGCTCCTGGTCCTCCGGCGTTTCCGTTGTTTCCTGGGGCTCCTGGTTGTCCGTCGGATCCTGGGTTTCCACTTGGTCCCTTTGGTCCTGCTGGTCCTGCTGGTCCTGGTGGTCCTGCTGGGCAGTCGAAGCAGAACTCGTGTTGTGGGGCAGGGGTGGCGGCTGGTCCGTCTGGTCCGTCGTTTCCTGGAGCTCCTGGCTGTCCATCGGCTCCATCCTCTCCGTCAGATCCTGGGGCTCCTGGTGGTCCAGCAGCAGAGACTCCGCATCCGCAGCATCCTCCCTGGTGTCCGGTCGAGAAAGATCCCTCGACTCCGGCGCTCTCGTATCCAGCTTGACGGCGGGAACGGACGGCTCCTCCGGAAACCTTGGCGAGCACCTGAGTGCGGGTCACCTCTCTCCAGATGTTTCCGGAGCGGGAACGGCAGAAATCGACCTCGGACTGCATAACCGACTGCATGTGCTGCATGTAGTTGTAGAGCATCGGGGCGGCAATCACGCACACGAGGGTGGCGGTGAAGGAGACGGCGACTCCAACGAGGGCCACACGGCGGAGGGAGCTGGCCTCAGACTCGAGCTGCTTGATATCAGACATCTGAAAAACGAGAGAATATGATAGCCGTGATGGGATTGCACTTACTATTTCAGAACAATGAAACGAGATGAGAAGTCACCTGCATTCTTTTCGACACTGCCGCTTTTTATACAACATGTGGGCGGAGATGGGTTAATGAGTGTACACTGCCAACATGGAGACATAGCTGTCAAACAGAAAAGGTGATAGTTTTTTCTCATCAAGGAAATACTTACGACATTCATGAAGACAAGGTATCGGGTTTGGTCGCAGCGGTAGTCGGAGACCACACCGCACGCAAAAATTCGCGTTGCAGAGGACACAAATTGGAAACATAGTTCCGATACTTGCCGCCGCGGAAGTGATTACTGAACAACTAATTTGTATTGAGTATTTGGTCATTCCAATGCCATTAGACACTCCCAAAGTTTGTCAACTGTTTTGGAAGAAAAACAGATAATTATGCAAGTGTTTAGAAAACTTACTGCAAAACTTCTCCAGATGCGTTGCAGTTTGAATAAGAAAATGAAGGAGCATAATCAAATTCAGAGGTTTATTTGATAAAACGTTGTGTCTATCTGAAAGTTTATTTTTTTTAAGAATGAAGAACTCAAGTAGGCTTGTGAAAGAAACGTCCCGGTTAATAAAGAAGCACATGTTCTCAACAGGGATCCATGCAGAACTTGGCGACAATCAGAGAATTATCTTGGGCGTAGGCCTGAAATTCAATCAAATGAGCGTTGAAGAGTATTTTAGTGCACAGAATGTAAGTTTTATGTACCCAGCTTAGGCCGATTGAGAAATATTCTTGCGTTCCAATCGGAATTCGGTTGAAGAACAGATCTTTCTGGACGTTTCAAGAACATTTTTGCGGCCTACGAATGATTTTCCGACCGGAACCAAGATAACATGTTTTCTTCACCAGAATGCCGTGACGGTAGCAATGAACTCATTCAATCAAATAAGGAACTCTTTGAGTTTCTCCTCAATTAGTATGCACTTTCGATGAACATTCTTGTCGTCTGAAAACGTTTTCCGGAATCAACAGTAAAATCACAAATTATGAATGCAATCGTTCGCTCTCCTACATTTGTCTGAAAACTCGGGCCCTGATTGTCTGCTTGGAGTATATTTGCATTGGTTCCCAGATCAGAAACGTGTCTCTTCCTATTTGTTTGTGTGTCTTCGTACTGATACCAATTGTTTTTCTACACTCTTCATGGGTACCTGATGTTTTCATCCTTTTCTCTGTAAAATTCTGTTCGATTGACCGGGTGGCCTATCGAATCGGTTGTGTTTCAAACCAGTTTCTATCCACGCATTCTTCTCTCCACTCGAGTAAATGACATTCTTAATTTTCTTCCTCATTCATAGAACATCACAATCGGAAGCAAAGTACATTCTTTGTCAGAAACATAATTGAATTCAGTTGATATATTTATTTGTAAACTCTGAGAAAGTACAAGTGATGAGAATGAGCAATAGAGATACAGATTGAATGAGCTTAATAGCCTGGGGCGGTTCTTGGTGGTGGGCAGTGATCGCAACCTCCTGGGGCTCCGATCTCTCCGTCGGCTCCATTGTCTCCGTTGGCTCCTGGCTGTCCTGGGGCTCCGGCGGCTCCGTTGTCTCCGGCTGGTCCTTGTGGTCCATCGGATCCTGGCTGTCCTGGGGCTCCTGGTCCTCCGGCTGGTCCAGCTGGTCCGTCTGGTCCTGGGGCTCCTGGGGCTCCGGCTGGGCCTGGAACCTCGACGACCTTTCCTGGGGCTCCGGAAGCTCCGGCGTTTCCTGGGTGTCCGTCGGCTCCAGCGTTTCCTGGGGCTCCTGGTCCTCCGGCGTTTCCGTTGTTTCCTGGGGCTCCTGGCTGTCCGTCGGATCCTGGGTTTCCGCTTGGTCCCTTCGGTCCTGCTGGTCCTGCTGGTCCTGGTGGTCCTGCTGGGCAGTCGAAGCAGAAATCGTGTTGTGGGGCAGGGGTGGCGGATGGTCCGTCTGGTCCGTCGTTTCCTGGGGCTCCTGGCTGTCCATCGGCTCCATCCTCTCCGTCAGATCCTGGGGCTCCTGGTGGTCCAGCAGCAGAGACTCCGCATCCGCAGCATCCTCCCTGGTGTCCGGTCGAAAAAGATCCCTCGACTCCGGCGCTCTCGTATCCAGCTTGACGGCGGGAACGGACGGCTCCTCCGGAAACCTTGGCGAGCACCTGAGTGCGGGTCACCTCTCTCCAGATGTTTCCAGAGCGGGAACGGCAGAAATCGACCTCGGACTGCATAACCGACTGCATGTGCTGCATGTAGTTGTAGAGCATCGGGGCGGCAATCACGCACACGAGGGTGGCGGTGAAGGAGACGGCGACTCCAACGAGGGCCACACGGCGGAGGGAGCTGGCCTCAGACTCGAGCTGCTTGATATCAGACATCTGAAAAACTATGCTTTAGCACAAAACATAGGCAAACAAACAGGTAATGAACAGTTCCAGTCAAGACGTTAAACAGGGAAAAAAACATGAAAACCGATCCGATTGGAATACTAAGCAATGAGACGAGAAGGCATCTGTCTGTCCTCGCCCCTCACAGCTTTTATACTGGAGGTGGGCGGAGATGAGTTACTGAATGTACAATGTGAAAGACGGAGACGCAGCTTCCAACAAAAACGGTGATAGTTTTTTGCATCAAGGAAATACGTGAAACGACCATTACGGGGAGAGGGGGGATTCTTTCTCAAACAAGGCGCTCCTCCACTCACTCAGAAAGACCACCTAATGAGATTATGAGGGGTGCACGAAACAGCAAAATCACGGTAGAAAAAGAGACGAAAGCGATTGCAATGCTGTTATTGCGTAATTGGGGGTGAATAGTAAGAAAGGGAAAACAAATGAGGAAATGTGCAAACCGGGAACAATTTCCCCAGCTCGCAGTTTGTTTGGTTGACACTTGAAGAAACTTTACAGATGATGTCCTGTTTTTCAGGTAGTTCTAGCGAATTACTCATTTGTTGTCTCGTGTTACTTCGAGGACTTCTTCTTACCTTTTCTTGTTTCAGGACACTTTTCTCCTTTGTTCTACCGTACTCCAATGCAGGCCTGCGTTATTACTTCCCTCTACGATTCATCTATTACACCGTGCACGTATCAATGACATTCTTCAAAAGTTCATTTCTCATATTCACGATTCGCTATCCTCTGCCTAATCACTTCACTCAAGAAGGAACCAAAAGCAAAAAAATCAAGTTTTTTTCGTCTGCCCTTGCTTCTTTTTCGATCCTTGCCACCAGATTAAACTGCCAGTCACATCGCTGATGTTTCTCTGATCTCACTATCGATGTTCACTGGGGGGATCGCCGATCGGTCGGTACCATGAGGCTCCTGTCGCTTAACTTTGAAGGACATCTCAAATTTCGGCGCATTCCAAACCGACCACGACAAATCAATTCAAGCCGCACTAATTTGTTTCGCTAGTAGTATTTACCGAAATGCCAAAAACATCGTCGCGAAAAAAAGAAAACCGTCAAACAAGGTGGGCTGGCAGATCGGGTGGAAGAAAAGAAGGTGGGAGAGGAACTATTTGCATTTTTATGGGGATCATTTGAAAACGTTCCGACATGGGAGAACAGCCATGGCTGTGGATGTTTAATTTATTCGACTTTCACTCAAAAAATCCTTTTTTGTGACCTTTTCAGAGATGCATCGCTGCTACAGGAATTGTGGTGACTATCGTCGTCATTCTGGCTTGGCAACATCATTATGGCAGAATATCCAACACCCCTTTACATCCACATACACGTTCCTTATGACCACCATCCTGAACCTGGCGGATATCCGATCTGCTACAAAATCGTAATAGAATTAAAACTCATTACGGAATATTTCTCCTCTGCAATCCGAATATCATCAATCCATACAGAAGGCACAAACAAGAAAAAGGACTGACAGGAATTGAAATATGAAAAGGTGCTCGAGTGAATTGAAATGTTCAAAATGAATCGAAAATCTGAGAAAACAAATACAAACACATGTGGCGTTGAAATGGCAGGAGCGATTGACATCGAGATCTTCTTTATAGCGCACCACGAATAGAACAATTTGGGACGATTTCGGATTGTTTTTCTCAGATTTGAAAGCGAGATTAACCATAGTTAGCGAGTGACTTGTTCTTGGATCATCTTCGTTCCATATTTCATATGTATATTCGAATGGCATGAGAACACTAATAGTTGTTTGAAGTTTGTCAATACTTTATTTGCTGAGGTATAAAGAAAGACAGGCAATGCAAAAAAGCATTGGAGATACAGAGTGAATGAGCTTAATATCCTGGGGCGGTTCTTGGTGGTGGGCAGTGGTCGCAACCTCCTGGGGCTCCGATCTCTCCGTCGGCTCCATTGTCTCCGTTGGCTCCTGGCTGTCCTGGGGCTCCGGCGGCTCCGTTGTCTCCGGCTGGTCCTTGTGGTCCATCGGATCCTGGCTGTCCTGGGGCTCCTGGTCCTCCGGCTGGTCCAGCTGGTCCGTCTGGTCCTGGGGCTCCTGGGGCTCCGGCTGGGCCGGGAACCTCGACGACCTTTCCTGGGGCTCCGGAAGCTCCGGCGTTTCCTGGGTGTCCGTCGGCTCCAGCGTTTCCTGGGGCTCCTGGTCCTCCGGCGTTTCCGTTGTTTCCTGGGGCTCCTGGTTGTCCGTCGGATCCTGGGTTTCCACTTGGTCCCTTTGGTCCTGCTGGTCCTGCTGGTCCTGGTGGTCCTGCTGGGCAGTCGAAGCAGAACTCGTGTTGTGGGGCGGGGGTGGCGGCTGGTCCGTCTGGTCCGTCGTTTCCTGGGGCTCCTGGCTGTCCATCGGCTCCATCCTCTCCGTCAGATCCTGGGGCTCCTGGTGGTCCAGCAGCAGAGACTCCGCATCCGCAGCATCCTCCCTGGTGTCCGGTCGAGAAAGATCCCTCGACTCCGGCGCTCTCGTATCCAGCTTGACGGCGGGAACGGACGGCTCCTCCGGAAACCTTGGCGAGCACCTGAGTGCGGGTCACCTCTCTCCAGATGTTTCCAGAGCGGGAACGGCAGAAATCGACCTCGGACTGCATAACCGACTGCATGTGCTGCATGTAGTTGTAGAGCATCGGGGCGGCAATCACGCACACGAGGGTGGCGGTGAAGGAGACGGCGACTCCAACAAGGGCCACACGGCGGAGGGAGCTAGCCTCAGACTCGAGCTGCTTGATATCAGACATCTGAAAATATACGGTCATGATGGGTTGGGCGCAGTGAATCGTTCTAATTAGATTCTAATTGGTGATCTCATAGCTAACACAGCCCTAACGATCTGATGATACGGGGAAATGGAATTGATCGTTTGTGACCTGATAAAAAGATTAGAAGGCTTACCTTGGGTTGGGATGTGATGAGACACCTGTAAAATGCCACCCGCCGCAGTCTTTTATACTGAAGGTAGGCGGTGTTTGCCACCTCCCTGTACGAAACTGATAGAATAGAAGAGGCGGAGTCGTTCGCGGATAGAGACGGTGAAACTATGAGACGGCAACAAATGAGAAGACAATGAAAAAATGTCCGCAAAAGGTCGTCAGTTTATGATAAAAAGCGTTTTGGACCTGGTGATGTAATAATGTCTTCTTTACACCCCACCGTGGAGGGACAAGCCGGTAGGTTTGTTGAGGGACAAAAGCGGAAGTAAATTGAAAATGACTGATGCTGATCACGGTCTCAAAAAAACTGAGGGACAAGTATGAACGCAATTTTCGGTCGAGTTGTTCATGAATCAACTCCAAACAGGTTCAGGAAGTAATTAGGATGATTTCAACAAAAAAAAAGTGAAGACGTTCGGTGAAACAAGTCAAGAACCGTCGATCATGGAAACAAGATTGATTGTACTGCTTCTTAGATCAGAAGCAACTTTACAGTTTCGGTAATCCTTTCACTACTTGTTCCTTTTTTCTCAGGAAGCGCTGATACGAACGTGACACTTTCGCTGCCTTTCGAAATCTGCAAAAAGCAGGAGGGAAGAAAGTAGAAAGTGGAATGAAGCGGAAGACGTTTTTTCGATCCTAGCAGCATGTGAAAAGATGGCAGAAAACGGCTGAAAACATCCGTGAGAAGTGATTGAGTGTAATGAAGCAAGTTTATCCATCCAAGCATACTGTAATAGTAGTATTTGATGAAACTTGCAGCAGTAGCCGGTAAAAGGTGTTTGTGTATAGTAACCAAATCCAGATTCTGCTAAGTTTGTTCAGTGTTCATCTTTCCGGTGGTGCCATCATAATCACTTACAATCGTTTGTGACCCAATTGGTACTCTTACTTCCTTGACCGACTCGAACGCCAGGTTTATCATTGACGAAGATGTGTTTTCTACTACTCGGTTTGGATGTTTCATCAATGTCATCGCCGAGATAAGCAATCGTGGCGGTCGTTTTGAATTCGGGTTTCAAATAACTTCCGCATTTTCGGTAGTATTTGCGAGTAAGGTCGCATCCTATCAATCTTTTACGACCCTAAATCTCGTTTTTTCTACAACGGGCTGTTTGAAAATCGGATGGCATTATTTCAACAGATTAATATCTTTGTAAACATCGGAGAAGATGCAATCTCCTGAAAACAAGCGACTCGGTGACAACATATGCCAACTTTGAAAACAATTCATTTGTACTTTTGATTTTTGTGTGTGTGTGTGTGAATCCAAATAAACAGTCGGATACATTATTGTCTGACCGGAGATAACTTGTGTATTGGTAGGGTTGGAAGAAAATGCACGAGGATTTTTTTAATAGTTTATTTCTTTGAGGTAATGAGAAAGACAGGCAATGCACAAAAGCATTGGAGATACAGAGTGAATGAGCTTAATATCCTGGGGCGGTTCTTGGTGGTGGGCAGTGGTCGCAACCTCCTGGGGCTCCGGTCTCTCCATCGGCTCCATTGTCTCCGTTGGCTCCTGGCTGTCCTGGGGCTCCGGCGGCTCCATTGTCTCCGGCTGGTCCTTGTGGTCCATCGGATCCTGGCTGTCCTGGGGCTCCTGGTCCTCCGGCTGGTCCAGCTGGTCCGTCTGGTCCTGGGGCTCCTGGGGCTCCGGCTGGGCCTGGAACCTCGACGACCTTTCCTGGGGCTCCGGAAGCTCCGGCGTTTCCTGGGTGTCCGTCGGCTCCAGCGTTTCCTGGGGCTCCTGGTCCTCCGGCGTTTCCGTTGTTTCCTGGGGCTCCTGGCTGTCCGTCGGATCCTGGGTTTCCATTTGGTCCCTTTGGTCCTGCTGGTCCTGCTGGTCCTGGTGGTCCTGCTGGGCAGTCGAAACAGAACTCGTGTTGTGGGGCAGGGGTGGCGGCTGGTCCGTCTGGTCCGTCGTTTCCTGGGGCTCCTGGCTGTCCATCGGCTCCATCCTCTCCGTCAGATCCTGGGGCTCCTGGTGGTCCAGCAGCAGAGACTCCGCATCCGCAGCATCCTCCCTGGTGTCCGGTCGAGAAAGATCCCTCAACTCCGGCGCTCTCGTATCCAGCTTGACGGCGGGAACGGACGGCTCCTCCGGAAACCTTGGCGAGCACCTGAGTGCGGGTCACCTCTCTCCAGATGTTTCCGGAGCGGGAACGGCAGAAATCGACCTCGGACTGCATCACCGACTGCATGTGCTGCATGTAGTTGTAGAGCATCGGGGCGGCGATTACGCACACGAGGGTGGCGGTGAAGGAGACGGTGACTCCAACAAGGGCCACACGGCGGAGGGAGCTAGCTTCTTGCTCGAGTTGCTTGACGTCAGACATCTGAAAAGAAGAGCTTTGAGTAAAAAAGTTGAAAACGTAAAGAGGATATGTGTTTCTATCTTATTTGCCAAAAATGATGCTACTAGTTTAAATAGGCAAGAAAAGGAAGTCTTACCTTAAGTGGATGAGATGAAACACCTACCAAATGCCATTCTCAGCCATCTTTTATACTCATGGAAGGCGGTGTTTGCCGCCGGCGTGTAGGCGTGAAAACAGTCCACCTACCTGCGAGGCGCAGGCAGTCGTCAGAGAAGAAAGCAGCTATGCCAAGGTCGAAAGCTCGATCGTTCCGTACTCTGTTTTCTGTTCTGTTGGAGCGGCGGATATGGCATTGAAGCTGATGGATTGAGGAAGTCCATTTGAAATGAAGCTAGCTAGTTCCCTCACAATTGAAACGTTGAAACCTGACAAAATGGAACACAGCTGGAGTTGAAGATTCTGTCAAAAAATATTTCTAAAACGCAATTGTTGATCTAACGATTCGCTCTTCTCATGTTCGCCCAAAACTTTACAGACCAAGTATACATTGCAGTAAACTTGTCGCGTATGATTCATTCGTACACCAAATATGCACGATGTAATAATCAAGCATTCCTTGTTTCCGAGACGCAACCTCTTTGTTTCCTTCTTGCCCGAGAATATTCGCCGACTTTTCCTGCTGTCATAATTGCCCGTCAACCACCCTTCAACCCAGCCCAACCCTTTGCCCGACCACATACGAATAATGAAGCTGATGGAATTGCCACCCAAGACAACACAACAAACACATACGGTTGACAGAAGAATAAAAAAGGCATTTTTGTGAAAGAGAGAGAGAAGGTCTTCCACATTATGTTGTTTACTACGTCGTGAAGTTGGTGGTCCAGCTACAAAAGAACCCACAAACATTTGATATTTTCGTACACCGCAATAAGAGAACATTCAAAAAAACGGGTTCCTCCTTTCGTCCAGAACATTTGCAGATCAAATCAAGGGTTCCCTTGATAGCTAACAGCGTGAGCGTGGAATTTCGGCGGACTGACCCCAGTCATCAACACTTGACAATGTTTTTCATGAGTCAAAAACAGCGTGGGTTGATTCTGCCATTGAAGATCAAAAAATCGTTTTGGCTTACGCCAGAAAGAAAGATTTGTTTATTTTTTCACATAAGGGATCAACACAAGATTGTTGAACTTTCAAACTGTGATTTGAGATATCTGTCACATCATATTCTCATCAGAATCATGTAAAACCTTCTTTGAATTCCGGCGTGATCGTATCTGAAAGTACTATTGGAGAGTATCTTGCCACCCATGTTTTTTGATGTCGATGTATTTGAAGAAGAAAAAAGAAGATACAAACCGCCGTTTCAGATGCAAGATATGCGCATCGTGATAGCTCCGAAAAGTGACCTTCTGCGAAAAACGAAAAATGACTTCCTTGTCTCAAGGCGACCGTTGTTTTTGTGCTGTCCGCAAAAAGAGATGTTATCAATCGGGATGCTTCTTCCGGCAAATGGGTTTATGGGCGACCTTGGATGAACCGGTGACATGCATGGCGCCATATGAATTAATTTAAATTCCGTTCATTTCGAGGGACTTGCATCTTGATGAACGTGACAAATCTTTAAAGCAGCCATTTTCTAGCTTAATCTTCGATCACCCAAGGACGTAATGTAATGTCTATAAAAACGGTGTCCCTTTTTTGGCCGCATCAGAAGCCGCCGAGTGACGCAACAAATCGCAGCTTATCGCCGATAACGAAGATGCATTGAGGAACACCGCGTCCATATTTCGGACACTTTCTCCTGCAACCAAGTTTTTGTTCCTAGATCTCAGCGCTTCCTCGCTCTCCCTGATACCTCGACGGCTTCATCAGGTCTTTTTGCCTTCCCGCTGCCACCCCCCACACCGACAGCTGCCCTTGAAAAAACCGGCATCACAAACTCGAACCCTCTCTGCGACTCATTATCTCCATTATCTTTTCCCGTTTCGTCAGTTGTACCTGGATAGAGAGGACCGCTTTTTCGGTGTTTTTTTCGGCCGATTCATGAGAGAAAAAAGAAAACCCTGCTGTCTGTTCAGTTTTTGCTTCCTCGCGGAAGTCATTAAAATCGCCATTGGCGGCGGGGAAGAAATGAAAAACGGATCATTAATGAGGAAGTACATCAATTTCCAGGGAAGACCTGTCAAAACATCTGTCAATTACACCTGTTCCATGTTCTGTGTTCACAGATAAATCAGCTTCAGCGGCTTCTACAGAAGCCTTGCCGCCAAAAAGGTCGTTGTGTTCTGAAAGCCGGTATGTGACATAATGACATAATTTTTTGATACTTTCCATGAAACTTGAATTCATAAAAAAAAAACAGTAGCGGAGGTTATCATTATCATTATCACAACAGAATGTTGCCAGCTGAAGGTCATGAAAGTTCTTCAAGACAAGGGTGGGTCTCTCTCGAATTGTAAGAGAAACAAGCCGGGGTGCGAAAATGCAAAACACAAAACATCAAAAAGACGTGTGAAACAATGATGAAACAATGAGCTCTTGTACGGAGCCAGCGCTCGAACACCATCCATACAGCGGATCAAGTGGTCGCGACAAGTGGGTTCTGCCGCGGACTCCAATCCGGAAAAGACAAAATCGACGTGCCCTTTTTGCTCGCTTCCGTGAAAGAGGATTAGGTGCCGGAGCAATATTGTGCAATGCTGAAAAATGAAAAACAGATACAAAACATATAAACTTTACCTTCTTTAAGTCATGATCCGATCAAACAGATTGTTCAGATCAGATCAGAACCCACTCATGAGTCATTCGATTACTAGAAACTTGAAAATCGGGTTCATGCCGTCAGTCAGAAGCCATAGTTTGTAGATTCAAGATGAGTCATACTCCTGTAATGAATCCTAACTTTGCGCGTGCTCTCCGCCAGCTCACACACTATTTCCGCACAGTGCCGGCGCCACACCAGTGTTGTGAGTCAGTCTCGCGGAAACTGGTCTGTTGCTCGGCGAGATGCCGCCTCATATAAGCGGACGTGTATACAGTCCTCCGGAAATCTATTATATTGAGTGAAGAAAACGACTAGAAACCTACGCTTCCCGAATCTTCCTTTTTAACTTATAATAATTAAATTAAATTATTAATAATTTATACAAGATGAAGATATATATTCTTGTTATTCCTACTTTGTTATTACTCTCTCAGTCCATTCAAGGTAAGTAAAGTGTCCTAACTTGTTTAGTTCAACTCTTTCATTGACAATTGAGTGAAAGGTTTGAGAAGCAAATCATGAACTGCATGATTTTGATCATCAATGATCAATTTCGATTCGTTAGCCCATTCTTTGATGAATTCCGTTTTAATGTGTTTAGTGTGACGCTCTAGACATTATGAAAGAGCAGAATCTGATTCCTTGACAAACATTCGCGGTTCCATCGGCTTCCGCGCGGAAAAAAACAAACGAAAACGTTTCAAGTGGCCTGCATCCCCAGCAGTTTAGGTCAAAAAACCGAGCCAGTTTCATCAGTGATTCGAATTTCGATCGTTCCGACTTCCGCGTTCCACTCCACCGGAATCTAGTTCAAGGGCGCTTGCTAGTTCGCACAAAAAACAGTTTCATGGCTGCCTATCACTTACTACATCGGTATCATGTCATTTCTCACTGAAATCCGATGCAATCGAGAACAAACCCCAAGGTCGGACTCTTTAGTAGGCAGTTAGCGGTTCAAAGAACTAGAACCTAAGACAGAAAAGGACACCGTGATCGGTATCAAGACTAGGGGGCAACACCCAAAACTCAAGGTAATAAGAAAAGAATGAGATGCATTCTATTGCAGGGGCCGAGAATTCACCGTCTGCAGGAAAAGTGTGCATGACCGTAGAACATCTGAGACCGGCAGACAATACGACTCAGTTCTATGAGTGTGCTCCACTCAATGATGATGAGGTAAACAGGCTCGCAAGGGGAATAATTGTGCAAGATCAAAAGTTCAGATCAAAGGATACGCGTTGAGTAAGAAATACCTTGGCGTGTGGAATCTCAGAGATTGCCCGAAAGAGCACGAGTTTGACGAGCCGAAACAGAGATGTATTGAGAAGAAAACGTTCAGAAGGTATGAACTAACTTGGGAATAAAAGCACAAAAGTGTTGTACCAGACAACAAGTGGCATGTGCCCAAAACGCCCAAGCTACCGGATGCGTAACCGCTTGCCAAGCACCAACAGCACTTGCCAACCAGGGAATGGAATGCAATTGGCGTTCCTCACCGCTCCAAAGAGACACAGCCAGCAACGCGTACTTCTTCCAATGCGTCCCATCGTCCCCAACTGAAGGTTGTGGTGAATGGACCCGTATGCAGTGTTCTCCATCTACTGTTTTCAATTCGGACCTCAATGTTTGTGTCCCCCTCGCTATTCAGAACTCTTGCGATAGCTCGATCCAACAGCCCGTCTGTAGCTGTTCTCAGGTGTCTAACTCCTGCCCTGGAACTGCACAATGTCAGAATGTGAGTATATTATAATTACTATCAATGATTACGTGTTTTCATTTTGCAGAAAGTTTGTTGCCAACAAACGGATTCGCTTAGTCTGAACAACCTTATCCAACATCAAGCGCCCTGTAAGTAGAAAACTTCGAATCTTTATCAAACATCATTTATTCAGTGTGCCCTGGATCTAATGTCCCGCCACTTGGTTCCTGCAGTGAGCAATGCCCTCAATGTAAAAATTTCTTTAAAGATATATTCTCAACCGTCCAAATGTTTTAGATTCTGCATGCACTCCCGGCCTCGGATGCTGTCCAGTTCCCGTTAACGAGCAACCAAGCGGAATTATCAAAATCACACTGTGTCCGGGATCTTATGCTCCACCACTCGGTGTCTGCGGCTCGTGTCCTTCGGGAACTCAATGCAATCAGCAGTTGCAAATGTGTTGCCCACTCCAACAACAGCCTTCCACCGACATCGTGTACAATGTGGTTCTTCTTTGCCCTGATGGCACACCTTCCACCACCTCTTGCTCCCAAGGATGTGGACCTAATAACGCTTGCTTCCAAGGCGCGTGCTGTCCGATTCGTTGCCCATCTGGACAGGTAAGATATCAAATACCAATTATATAGTGATAGTTAAATATTCAGAACGCCGTTGGTTTCTGCTCTGCCGGATCTTGCGGAGTTGGTAGCTGCTACTCTAAGACCACGTGCTGCCAAGAACCGATAAAACTGCCTATTTGCTCAAACGGCCAAATCTCCCAGAAACGTTGTTTGGTTGCTGCTGAATGCGGTCCAAATCTCGAATGCTCAAACGGAGGCTGCTGTCCTATTCCATTCTGTCCAAATGGTGTTACGGCCCGCGGTAGATGCTCCGCAGTTAATGGATGCCCAATGGGTCAGGCTTGTATGGAAGGACTATGCTGCCCACTTCCAAGGTGCTCGAATGGAATCACTTCTCTCGGAATCTGCACGAGAACTCTCGATTGCGGAAGAATGGGTGTGGACTGCAACAACGGCGCCTGCTGTCCCCTTCCAAGTTGCCCCAACAACCTGTCCGCTTCCCAGAGATGCTCAGCAGGTTGCAATAACTGTTGCCCTGTTGGTCAGACTTGCATGAACGGAGGTTGCTGTGACCTTCCTTCCTGTCCCGCTGGAGGTTTCGCCATCTCCATGTGCTCCGGAAAGTGTGGAAGCGGGTACGAATGCGTGAACAGCGGATGCTGTTCCCTTCCAAGGTGTCCAAGTGGTCTGATGTCCGTGCAAAGATGTGCCATGGGAATCGGATGCCCACCTGGAAACGTGAGTTGTTTAGGATCTACTTTAATAACAAAAAAGAATTCAGCAATGTGAAAATGGTGTGTGCTGTCCTATGCCAATGTGCTCAAGCGGAAGTATTGCATCGTCTGTTTGCGGTATGGCAAACTCCTGTCCGATCGGCTACATTTGTGAAGGTAAGACTCCTGTAGCACCTTTAATGTGACCAGAACTTTTCTCTTTAAAGGTCGTGGATGCTGTCTGGAACCACTTCCACTCTGTCCAAACGGTGGCAGAGCTTCGATGAGATGTTACAGAGGAGCCGAGTGTCCACCTGGTTATGGATGCACTCCGCTCGGTACGTTTGTTTGCTAACAACTATTGCCATTGTCATTCATTTTATTCAACACAAAAAATAAGCAATATTTGCTAATTTCCACTTCCAGGCGGTTGCTGCCTCCTTTCAATGGAACCAGTGTGCCCAACCAGATCCAACGCAGTTTGCCAATGCTCGCCCAACAATGTTTGTCCGTCTGGTTCGAGCTGTACTATGGGAACGTGCTGCTCTAGCGGCATCAGTCCCATCGTCTCGTTCAGTGTTCCTGGCACGGGATGTCAGAATACGAACCAGTGTAACGGATTCCAAAACAGTTGTGCTCAATGCGTTCAGGGAGTGTGTTCCTGTGTGAACGGAGCGGCTTCAAATGGAGCAACTTGCGAGCAAATGGCTCCGACTATCTTGACTTTGGCCCGAAACGGATGTGACCAGTATGGATCGCCTTGCAAATTCCTTCTCTCTACCGCCAGAAGACGTCCGATCTTTGCGCCAACTTCTAATTTGACTGAAACTCCATGTAGGTTCAACTTCACAGTTGCAGTGCTATTTCCCGATTATTTCAGTGTTCTTCAACGTAGCTGCAAAACGAAAGTGTATTGCCGACATCCAAAATTTCGACTCGGATTCCACTTGCCTTCCAAACGAGAAGTGCATTGACGGCGAATGTAGAATGTGAGATTATTCAAGACGTTGTTCATCGCAAAATACTTCTTTTCAGGAAATTGTGGCCAGGAGAATACGGTTGTCAAACGGACACGGAATGCCAGTCGAGATGCCCGAATACGTACTGCGAAAAGAAGAAAAGTGACAAGAATGTTCCCCAGTGTCAGTGCGCGAACGGAATGTTGCTTTACGGAAGATGCTGTGAGTGCAAGCTGTTTTCAAACATTGAGATAATCTTCCATATTTCAGTCTCCCAGTGTCCACGTGGTTTCCATGAGTCTGGAGCGTTCTGTATGCATGACGATGAAGAGAAGTTCTGGATGGATGCAGAAGCTCAGGATAATCTGAAGGCTTTGTTGAACGCTGGAAAATGCTGATCTCTAAATCCTGTTTTGAGATTTTTATGTATATTCGTGACTGATGATTCTATGTAAATATGTGTTGCACTAATAAAGTTTTATGTATTGCAAGATAAACACAGTGATGAGAGAATTGAAAAATGATTATATACCGTCATATGAAAACTCTACTATATATGTAAGCGTTAGTCAAATCCGTAAAAAGAGATTGCGGCGACAGAGATTCACTTCAAACCTGTTATCAAAAATGTGTTAAAAGTTCTATTCGGTTTTAAGAGTAAGGAGAGGAGGAAGAAGATGAATAAATGAGAAGGAAGTCAAGTTGATTGAAGATTTTTTCATCACTCGTGTGAGATATTCTGGGTTGAATCCCCAATGATGTTCAGCGGAAGTGATCTGAATCTGAACACTTGGCATTTAAAATTGAGAAGTTCCAGAAAACCAAAGGTGGACGATAGATGCATGACACACGTGAAAGGACAGAGAATGCACACTGTTAAACGGACTGTAGAAGAAGTTAGTATTATGTAGGTGATCACAAACTATAACACTTTTTTCACACGGTGCCATACATCTACCGTTTTTAACGAACCTTGTTCTCTGCTTATTTGCGCTGTCTTTCTGACTGATTCCCTCTTTGGTTTTGCAAAAGAAGAAACAGAGTTTCTTTTTCATTTCCTTACGGAAGTGCTTGCTGAAAAATCTTCAGAATAAGTTAACTATCTTTCGGACATTTTCATCACCTGCTCATACAAAAAAGGATAAAGTTGGCGACTTTGGAGCAAGTGACTACGGTCGTGGACAGTTGGGCACTCGTGTACATGAATCTAGTTGTGTAGAGCGCGTCGTGGAAGAGGTTGCTGAAAGTAATAACATTTTAGCACAAAATCGAGTCAATAGTAAAGTCTAATTTGATTTCTTAGAATGGGAACTTACAGGTAAACATAAAAACAAGCGGAGGGGATATGCGAGACTATGTAGCAGGTGACAATTGCGGTAACCGTGTAGGTGACGTGGCGCTCTGCCTTGTTCACATGTCGATTCCAAACTCCGCTGAAAGAATTGTTTCCTAGAGAGCAGACAAAAGAGTTAGTTGATTCTCACCTGTTCGCTGAATGATGTCGAACCACCTCTGACCGGTCGGACACGTTGGTCAGCAAAGGAGCTGGAACGTCATCGGATCTTGTAGAGTTTCGAGCACTCCTTGTTCGAGTCGGAAGGAAGTGCTGAAAATCTTCTTCTTTTAAATCTTACATCACGTGGAGTGGTTTACCCTGAGGCGGTTCCGAAGGTAGTAGAGCAGACAAGTGTGCAAAGTGATGAGGAAGAACAGGGGAAGGAGGATGTGGAAGAAGAGCATGAGAATGGTGAAGAACTGGAGCAAAGACGGACCGGAAGATAAGTTAAAAGAGCCCTAGATTTATTAGAATATGATTCCGAAGTTATCAACCAACTGTACCGTGGTATTCATGGGTCCGGTATGATCATCGAGAAGTTTGAAGTTCATGTGGAAGCAGCTCGCACCCGTCAGGAAGAAGATCAAGGGAATCGCGATGAGATTATGACGCGAACAAAACCTAAAATAATTTCACTTCCTTTTGACTTTTTTGAAAAGCTACTACGTTTGCGCGCGAGCCGAGAACGGTGCCTTGATTGCATAAAGTCGATCGAATGAAACAGCAACGATACACCTGAAATATCTGTGAGTTCCGTGATGACGTGGAACTTTGGTACCATGTGCTTGTTGCCGAAAACCAGTTGAGCAGGAATGCGATATTATGCTTATACTCTACAAAAAATATGTGAAATTTGGTCGGACACCGTCTTTGGATATCATCTTCTGAAATGAAACATTATGGGAGAAAAAGTTATTGCAAATCAACCTCCACAGTCTATAAACGAAAACGAAGGCCACCGACTCATTTGGTTCGGAATCATGCAGATGATGTACATAATATCACACGCCGCCGCCACCGCTAACATCTCGTTCGTGCTGCAAAACGCAGCCGTTTTCTTTTCAAAATCCCTTTCTTTGTTTGTACTACACAAATTAGAAATTTGACTGTGCTTACACATCGTCAACATCTGAAAAGGTCGGGGACCAGACCTCAAATCTTACCTGCTTCTCATGGAACGACTGAGCAAAACAAAGAGAGTGATGGAGTTGCCCACAATGCCCATAATTGCCAAGAATGGGAACAAGTACTCGCAGGAGATGGCCACCAACCTGCTAATTTCGTCGAGACTCATTCTGGAAGAGAAATTTCAACTTTTGAAGAAGTGGAAGTCAGGACGAGGAAAAAGGGAATACTTTGAAAGATGGCGATGAATGAATTATGTGACGTGCGAGATAGTGAGAGATAGCGCGAGTATGATCTATGGCAAAAATGGTGATCAGAATGAAATAGAATGAAATGTGGCCCGCTGTCTCTTTTGCCAGGTGGAAAGTCAGAATCGCAAATGACTTTCCATTAGATTTACACCGGTCGCTCGAATTTGCAGAATAAGAGAGAAAATCAGATTGTGTCGGATGTCCACGAGCGCTCAGGCGCCGTACAAAAAGGGTAAATGAGCACGTGAGACGTTCTGTCCATTTCCGACTTAACGACGTGCCGACGCTCGGAAATGAAAGGCACTGGGCGGCGGCAGAAGATGTTCCTGTCGGGAGGAGCATGCTAGATGAAAAAACATTCATCCTTTCCCATCCTTTTTTCTCTCTATAAAACTAATTTCCACCCGAGGAGGACACGCCCCGAAAAGAGAGAAAGATAGAGAGCAAATGTTGCAAATTGAAAGTGGCCGGCTCTTGGAGGATCCGCATTCCATTCCTCGCCATGCATCAGTCTAATGACTTCTTTTAAACGTCGCGCTTATAAATAGATCAACAACATTTGAGGAGGAGATGCCTCATTTCCGGATCTTTCTGAAAAGGCGACGGCGCCATTTGCACAGATAAGACCAAGGAGTTCATCGGTGTTTAGCCATCTAGCTGTTATGAACAAAGCGTGACCAAAAATTGAACCGCATAGAACGGAAGTAGGTTCAGAGTGTAGGGTATAAAAGTTGAGTCAGGCGCCGAAACGAAAATGAGCCTATTGCCTAATGCTTGAATAATCCGGAATAGTAAAGAGCATTCGTTTTGCAGTACGCACGCATCGGGCAAAAGAAAAATAAGATAGGCTCATGGTAGTATATAGTCAAATTAAGGGTTCCAGTGTTCAAGAAATAGAAGACCAAATACGGAGTCAGAGAGCACCTTCAATTTCAGAAGAGTCGTCCGGGGGAACATCCGTTTTTGTCATCAACATGACCAATGCAAGGCGAAAAAAGCACTTTTTCTGTGCTACACACAACAATAAAACTGAAGTGAAACGAAAACGACGTGCAGAATGGAAAAATGTTCATTCTCTAGTAAAGTGATTCATCCGGAGATAAGAGTAAGACGTAAATGAGAGAGGTTGCAAACGTGAGTCGAAGCTGAATCGGGAATTAAGGAGGAAAGAAAGCTTTTTGTCGATGGGGTCTACCAGGATTTGCAAAAAGAGCCTGCAACTAACAGGACAACTCGAAGATCTCTCTTTCTTCCTGAATGACGTCTTTTTTGAACATTTCTTGAAAGGATTAGAAATTGAATTGAAAAAAGGAACATAATTCATAGATTGATACTTTGAATTCTTGGTTCATCTCAGACCAAAGTATTAGAAGCGTCAGCGAAGATGAGTAGATGAAGGAAAGTTCGTGAAACTTTTTTAATGAGAAACTAGTCAACTAAATGAATATTATTTCATAAATCCAGTTGGGTTAGTAGTAGTTTTGCACGAGGCCGTCGAAAAAAGGTTGCCCGAGGGGGAATAGTAGTCATATGAGACTACAAAAAAGGTTTGAGTGGATCACAAGGGGGTCGTAGGTTAAATTTCACCACAGTTTCTACTTTTTCTCCTCCTGCTCCTCATTTTCAATTTTCAGCTGACGTCTTTTTAGCGAATCCGCCCACTTCTGTTTATTTCCTAAACTTGTCATGTGGAGAAGAAGAAGAATATGAATAAATTTGGTCCGTCACCAAATAATTGCTCAGGGCCGGATGAGTGTCTAGGGCCGCGTGAGCAAGTAAAAAGAAAGGCTCGATGAATCGTCGGATTTGTTTTGTCGGAAGAAACGGAAGAAGCACGTGATTACAGAAGATGCTCCATGGATCAAGAATCTGTGAAGGGAGACAAAAATGACGAATTGGAGGGGAGGGGAGGGGCGGCGTTCGTCATGGAAACTGACTGAATAGTTAGCTTTCAGATAACTTTCGCCAAGAAGTTCATTTGTCAGCTTCAACGACAACAATAATTTGTTGCTCTTTCTCGGAATCAGAGGCAGATTTATGGTTGGAAAGAAGAAGAGAGAAGGAGTACAAGAAAACGACGGGTGTGGCAATCTAAAGTGCTCTTCTTGAAGGGCTATCATCTGTCGGCGAAGGCTTATTGCCCCGGGGCGCTTCCGAATTGGTAATTTCAGATATAAACGATCAGATGTTCGGGACAAGAAGCGATGATTCGAGAGAGGAAGGGAGCAAACTAGAAAAAAACAAACATTCTGTTCTATATCGAATGTGTGTGTGTGTGTGTATGTTATAAGAGTGATGATGATGACAAGCGACTGACAAAATGAGATGCGCCCCACTCAAAAGAGAAGGTCTCCGCTTCTAGCCGCCTACTGAGCTTGTTTAGACAATCGACTCCACTCCGAATTTGGTTTGGATCGAATTACAACATAATCTTGAATAATCATCGCCAAGAAGTCAAGGCTGGGGGTCTTTTCTAGTCCGTCTGAAAAGTGGAGGAGTTGAAGAAGAGATTCAATTTTTTCAAATTCCGAGAAGAAAAGGTGCCAATTAAAGGATTTCCAACAAGCGTCCGCCCCACCTCACATTTTCTCAAGTAGTTCGAAAGTTTTGGTAAACAATAAAGCATGGTGGCTCGAAATTTGAACGCGTTTACCTTTTGAACGCTCGTGTGTCTGTCTCGTAAAAGTGTGAAATTTAGCAATTGAATAAACATTTGACGCATTGTCGGCTGACAAAAAAGCGTAAAAGATACTTGAAATTATGGCAGATCGTCTCAAACTACAAGTTTGCGGAGGCCTACGTCAGAGCATTTGAAGAAGATCAAGATTGAAAATGGGAAATGGAAAATGAGAAATGATGAATCAGATTTACGGAACAAAACACAATGCTCAGGAAGACTGGAGCTAATAAGCAATTATATCAGCACTTCCTGTCACTCATTTCAAATTCTTTTGACGTTTTTGTTGCACTTTTTGCCGGCCGGTGTCGTGTCTTGTTCTTCTTGAACTTTTCACTTTTAAAAGGTCTATAAGAATTGAGATAAAGTGAAAACCTTCTTTCGGATACTCGTTTGGATAAAAGCGCAAGCGGGACAAGGAAATAACTGGATTGCCAATTTCTGATGCTTCGCAACAATTCGGCAACACTATTTCAAGAACGGAAGTGAGCTGGTCAATGACGAGACATATATATAAAGTCGCCCTTTTCTGCGGTCTCAAATTTCCCCAGTTTTCTGAAATGGAAATATATTGCTCAATGCATGAACCTTAGAAATGAATCACGTGTGATCAGATATGTTGATGCACCGCCAACAACAAATTGAAAATAAAAAAGAAACGACCGGTGTTGGTCAGTTAGTTGCATGTTTTGCACCCTTCTCGCATTTCACACCTTTTCCAGTGACTTTTTCCGCATTCACCGGAAGCGTGTGGGTTGTGGGGTAAAGAAATTGCACGATTTGCTCAAGTGTGCATGTGTTCACATTCATTTATTTTTCCGGATGTACGGAAATCGAAATCATACAACTGTTAACTACATTTCCATTGCAAACTTACCAGTTGGGTCTAATTTAGGGCTGAAGAGAAGCTAGCAGAGAAGGGAATGCATGAAGCAAAGCAGAAGGGGTCAGTGATTTCAGGGAGTATGTATAACTGCAGACAATACAGGTAATAAAAACGGAAATTCTTCTTCAGTTCTGTTTTGAAATCAAAATATTATCATACGGACGATTGCGAGCACTCTTCGACTTCCGGTAGGCACAGTATGCCACAAATCCCCAGATGATCAGCGACAGAATGATGACGAGCACCCACAGGGCGTACCAAGAACGACGGTACGCCGACAGCTGAACCCTCTCTTCATTCGTCAAATCGGCATCCGGGTCCAAATCCATTTCAGCGTCCTTTGCCACGTACTTGGTGATGAGATCGGCCTCGGTGTTCCAAAACTGGGCGTCCGGAAAGTGAATCTCACCCTCGAGAAGTCTGAAGAAAAACAGAATTAGTCATGCGTAATTATAAAGGAGAAAAATGCTATATTTACTTGAGGGGTACGTTAAGGGAGACGTGTTCGGTAGAATTTGCCGAGAAGATTGGCCACGAGAATCTGAATAATCTTGAAATGTTGAGTCATCTGCCGTGTTTTTTTGTTTGTTATTCTTCTTTTTCGAACCCAACCTCGTCGTGGATGGATCTCCTGTTTTGACAAAGTTGGTGAGCATCGTGGTGAGAATCTTTGACATTGTCTCTTCGCGCTTCGTGAACGGGGAAATTTCGAAGTTACTGCTGTAGCCTCTGGAGAAAATGAAAGCGTGATCGAGACCGTGGAACGCGGCCTTCTCCACTGAAATATGATTCCCGGGTTCAGAAAACAGAACAACGAAACAAATAACTAACGGATCTCAGATTTCTCAGTGCGTTTCATTTCGACGGGTTTCGCGCCAAAAAGCGAGTAGATTTTGCGTTCCTGCATACATAATTGAATGACATGTGCATGACGCATGAATGCAATTACCGATTCAAGAATTGGACTCTTGGGCACGTAATCGAAAGAGTAAAGGTAAACTGGGATGCCCTTGTCTACGTAAGCAGCGACTTCCCTCTGACAAGGAGCCACAAACTCAATATCGGATTCCAGTTTCTGGAGGGCGCCGACTACTTGGTCGGCATTGAACTCATTTTTGACGTTCTCCAGATATCTAAATCATAGAACTGCTTTCAGAGTGTTTGGGACTACTGTACCTAACAACTGTCGCATTTGCAATCAGCTGAATCGTTGAGTTGGACAATTTTTCAGACGCAGTCTCGTGGAAACTATTATCAATAATCCGATAAACTTGCTCCTCTACGTCACTCCGCTTCAATCCGTCTCTTTGGTGCATGCTATAGAACATGGCTGAAAAGTCCATCAGTGGAATTGAACCCGACTATAATCAAATAAATGTCACTTTACCCTTCTTGTGGCCCCATTCTTTGCGTGCAACGCCAGTCATGATTGGAATTCGGGCATTGTTGCGGACCAGGGACACTCCCGAAGACGGCACCAAGTCCCCGTCAACCACCATTTTGGACACTCCAAGCTGAAAAAATATATTTCAGAAAATCTGTGCGTGCACTCATGGGAGTACTTCAGCGGCTAATGCTTTCCGGAAAAGTGGCGAAGAAAAATTGAGCTCTTTCCGGAGACAGCTCAGTTTTTCGGTTTGACCCATGTCATCCTGAACAACAAAATGAGGCACAGAACAGGATTTTTCTTACAATTAGACAATCAATTTTAACGTTTTGATAGTTGCAAAGTGAAGAGCGCATAACAGCTTGGGTCAAATGCTGATACTCATCTCCAACTACTTCCTTGGTGTCTTCCTCGTTGATCCACTTTTCGCATCTGACGGAATTTAATGTTGAGAACTCAAAATTGATAATACTAAGAGCATTAAGCGTGTAGAGCCCAGGTTAGGAAGCGTGAACTAAGGTGTGCAACTGAAAGAAGCGTTCGGGGGAGAAGCAGTAAGCCGGAGGAGAAGGAGAAGCTGGATAAAAACAAAACATTAACAGAGGGAAACGAGCGCAAATGTAGACTTAGATGTACCCCTTGTCAAGAGACCTGAAGTACGCCACCAGGTTGTCGACGGAATACGCTGGTTGGCTGTGACGATGGATCGCCCAGCCAGCCATTGATGAGCCGCTCATGATGATTGCTTGATGCAGGAGACCTGTGATGTCCCAAAATTTGAACACATATTTCTCAATTACAAACTGACCTTGTGATCTTGGAGACACGGCCAACAGACTAGCAGCAGCACCACCGGCACTTTCTCCGATCACAGTCACTCTTGTTGGATCTCCGTTGAACTGAACAGTTTAATGAGATCATCCGTTATTTGAGGGCAGAGGACGAAACATTTCAATATTGACGACGTTAGTATGAATCTTCATTTTCTTCTTTTTCATTTGATATACATCAAGTCATTTTTTGGTCATTTTTCTTTTTCGGTGACATCTAAATCCTAAAATGACTTCTGAATTTTTTTGGTTTATATTTAGATGAACGGAGAACACTTTTCTGAGAGGGTGAGTTTGGTACATTTTTCGGCATGAACGTTTCGCCCACATGATGAGACCCTTATTTGACCCACTGGCGGCTCAAAATCGGACAGGGGCTTAGCTTGCTCGGTATTCCGGGAACTCCTGGTATTCAGCTGGTATTTTGATTTTAGGGGACCCTTGTTTTTCCTGGAGGTCCTATTGCTATGCAAGAAGTCAACCTCGTAACCATCTCTCTCTCTCTGACCCTATTGCTATGTGGCCAGGGTGGTGTAGGTGTTTAAGCACGTGCTTACCAATCCCAAGACCGCAGTGGGGTTAAAATCGTATCAATATTGATTGATCGGCCGAGAGCAGGCAAGAGAATGGATGAAAGGTTGAAAATAGAAGTAAGTCTCAACGAATGAATGCTCGAACCTGTGTTCTTCACACTGTAATCACTGATTCACCCCTTTTTTAAAGTATTCCATGTATGGAAGTTGTAATAATGTGATGATCTAATTGTTTGCGTAGTTTCCATCGAAAGAATATCTAAAGATGCAATACTTACAAAAAGGGGTGACTCAGGTATTACGGTGTGAAGACCACAGGTTCGAGCTTTCATTCGTTCAGACTTACTTTTATTTTCAGCCTTTCATCCATTCTTGAGCCTGCTTCCAGTCGACCAATCAGATCATTTGTTTTACCCACTTCGTACACTTCCGGAGTCGCCACGTCCATCAGTCACTTCTGAAAGACATCACGATCAGTGTCTAACCAAGGCAAATTTCTTTGCACTCGGCGGGGCTCGAACCTGCGGTCTTCGGATTGCTAAGCACAAGCTTAACCGCCTACACCACCCTGGCCACGCGGCTCAATCGTCCATAGGGTGTATATATAATGGCGACGGACGCCGTTGGGTACTGTGGTGTCGGTGATATCTCGGGAACGGATGAAGCTATCGAGAAGCATCCAAGAGCAAAAATGATCAGAAAAATGTGCTCTGTTCATCTAAATAAATATCAAAAAGATTCAGAAGTCATTTAAAGATTCAGATGACACCGAAAAAAAAACACCAAAATATGACTTGATGTATATCAAACGAATAACGGAAAGTTGAGGGCTGACTCAGTTCTAGCCCTAGAAGTGATTTTTATGAAAAATAATCTACTGGACTCCTATTTCACTTTTTTCGCTCTATCCGACATTAGAAATATCTCATACACTAAATTTTTGGTGGCATGCCTCCTTTAACGGCATGAAGAATACAAAAACTGACTTGTTTCATGTTAGACTGAATCCATTGAAGCGCCATGACCATGTCCCAGATTCCGAAGTTTCCTTCCAATTTATCTCCGTTTTCGTAGTTCATAAATCCAAGAGGACCCAAACGGTAGTTGATAGTGACAAATGCAACTCCTTTCGAAACGATATTTGCGGCAATCACTTCCATATCGATTCCAGTGTCGGCAGATCCAGCCAAAAATGATCCTCCGTGGATCCAAACAAGAATGGGGAATGTCTTCGACTCATCATCCGTGTCCTTAACCCTCTTTTTTGAAAGAAAACTATCCTATCACTCACGTAAGGACTAAAAACATTCAAGTATAGACAATCTTCACTCTGCCTATCCATATTCGCTTTTGCAAATTTGTCATTCTTATGGAAATCCATAAACTGCAGACATGGAGGTCCATACTCGACGGCCGAAAGCTCCTGGTGCCAACGGATTTTCTTTACGGGTGGCTGCAAGAAAAAAACAGCTGCTCAGTGTCATGATTTGGGAATGAAGAGTTATGATTTATGGAAAACACCACATGTTTCTCCGTCAGTTTAGAAGAGGAACTGAAAAGTGGGCAACGATCTTCGACCAAAAGTTTCGTACCTTGAATCGTAATTCTCCGATTGGTGGTTCGGCGTAGGGAATTCCTCTAAAGATCTGAATGTGCTTCCCGTCAATTTTATAAATATTTCCTCGAACTAGTCCTTGCTCGACCCATACCGATCGAGATTTCTCTAATAATTGGCCTCTGGCCCAACCAAGTATTAAGATGAGCAGCAGAATGCGCATCTGCAATAGTAACTGGATGAGAAAAAGTGTTCTGGACGAAGAAGAAAGATCCGGATGACTGGAAAAAGAGCTGGTTAACAGATAGAGCCGGAGGAGGGCAATAGTCGGGTCATAAAACGTGGCGAAAAGAGAGAAAGAGAAGAGTGGACTTATGGATTGTTTGGAAATAAGATAGAAGAGCACAAGAGGTTGAGATTACAACCGATCAACTCGCCGAGAGATGCAAAGACATGAGACGACAAGATGACTCCGTTGCCCGTTGGCTTCCTGCACTCACTCGAACACACCGGAGTAGATCCTCCATCTATTATTACAACTTTTTCACTCTCGCCGAAACAATTTCATTACAATTTTTCGCCGGGATGATTGGCATCGGTTAGCGCCTACTTCATCTTGATAAATGACTTTTTTGACGTTTTACGCACAATGCGTAAGTCAAAATTATATTTTTTACTCACTTAGAGAGGGAACAAGAACAGAGAAAAGAACTGCTCAATCTCATAAAACTCATTCATGCGACGAATAAACCATATTTCGTTTGATGTTCTTCTTAACCATAAAATAAGGACACACCACTTTGCCGATCACAAAAAACGAACAGAAAAGGAAAAAATTGGCTTCGGCTGGAAGAATCTAGTGGACAACACAACACAATGCTGAGAATGGGACCTGAAAAGAAACGTCCGTAATTTTTCTTTCAAACTGATTAGATGAGCCGTTGAAGCGTCAAAAATTGCAGGTTTCAGAGAGAACTACTTCCTGAAATGTGACAACTGATTGATTTGCAGTCTTTTTTCTAATTTTCTGCGAGTTGGCTCTGGCGAGAAGAGAAATAACAATGGAGATCTGAAGATACACAGGGAGAACGGCACGTTTTGGACGATTGGAGCGTCTACGGGCATTGAGGGTGACTTTCGAACCAATTTCCGAGTTAATAATGTTGATTTTCTCAACGTTTTTCGTCGATCCTTGTGGAAATATTTCCAATGTTTCCATAACTGATGCCCATACTTGTCACGGGCCACCAGCCCAATAGAGGGGGTACCACGACACTGTCTGCCCGGATTTTAGCAGTAAAAATTCAACAAAAAAATTTTTAACTGGACCGATTTTCAACAAGTTTACTGGTACTTACAAATAAGCAAAAGACCGGCCCAGGTTTTTCGAAGACCTGCCTTTCAGACAGAATTATCTAGACCGGCAATATGTGATGGCTGAAACTGCTGAGTTTTTGCAAAAATTGCCGCCATTTTGACCTCTGATCATCATATATATCATGAGTAAATGATCCAATCAGTCTGAAACTTGGAGCCAATACACTTCAATCCGATTCCAAAAAGCCTGCAAAATTTGGGTCCGATTGGATCATCTCAAATGGATCACATGACCAGGCTTTCGAAAAGCGTAGGCCATCCACTTGCGCGGCCCTGCTGCTCCCTAAAAATGCCTGAAATTAATAGGAACAAAGAAAATCGGGTGTAATCTGAAATCAGCAACCGGAAAATTCAAATAGAAGAGAAGTTTTTGTGGGACCGGAAGAAACATTTTGAGCCTAGACATGTACCGTAGTTCGTCTCATAAAATTCAATTACATGACTCGGAACGCGTCGAAATTGGTTGAACTCGACGGCCAAATTGGATTTTTAACAAAAACGAACTCCATCAACTCAAACACTCAACTTAAGTGCACCATCGCTTTTTTGCGATTGTCTGAGAAAATAAGTAAAACAACAAAACGGGCAGGACGAATTTATTCTATCAAAGTGAGCGGTTGTGAGACGAAACCCTGAGAACGGTTTGTAATGCACAAAAAGTGAGATGAGTTATGGCTTCAGAGAATCATTTGAAACGAGACGTGAGATTTTAGCACCAGCATCAGAGTGATGTGAATAAAATACCGGAGGGGAGAGATGAGTACACTACGGGAGAGAAATTAGATAAACAGAAAACGGGGTGAGAGAGGAAATTATTGTTGTTAGGATATTAAAGAATTGGTTAGGATATTGAAGAATTCGGGATTCATTTACAGAAACGATGGAAGGAGCCACCTCAATTTACAGGTACTTGCTGAGGAACAGAAGCACGGCTGAAATGAAGAAGCTGGAGAGGAGATGAGTGCTCCAGATGTGGAAGGCGTGGTCCAGTGGGTAGCCGACGGCCGAGTAGTCGTCGGTGAATGTCATTCCGGTGAACACGAGATGGTACATCGAGAGCAGCATAAACGACAGGTTGATGAGGCCGCGTAATCCAAAGTCCTGAAAAAGATAGTTAATGTTGATGAATAGTACCTTCAAGCAGCAGAGGGCACACTAATATTCAATTGTTTAAACAAAAAGACTGGGCTCGGCAAATGGCTGGTCTTTCGGACCACTTGCAATATTCCGAACCCAAAGTTTGCAAGCTTTTAGGACTTGGATTGCTGTGTCTTGGGAGCAAGTTTCAGACCGATCGAAACGTTTTTTCAGAAGATATACTGCTCTACTGCCTAAAATACCTCATTTTTGCAAAACCTCCTACTTTTTGGCCCCAGAAAAGTATATCTCCCAATCAGATCAACTGATCAGACTGAAACTCGGTCCCCAGATTCATCAATGCAACTCCAAGAAGCCTGCCAAATGTGAATCCTGTCTGAATGTTGCAAGTGGTCCAGGTCTCGAAAAGCCCGGGCTGCCCAGCCCATTCAAAGCGGTGCAGATATATTGTCTCAAGTCAGTGTCAATTCTTTTCGAGCCAAATTTTTTCCGATTTCTTCCAGTCGCAATGCTTTGAATAAAACCCTGCGAAGAAACGATTTGTAAACTAAACGTGTTCACGCAATACCACTGCCCTCTTTTGGTACGCTCTCTTATCAGAGTCAACCAATCAAACTTTGCGCGAACACACATTGTGCAGGCCGTTTGCGCTCCGTATTTGGCATTGCGAAAAGAATATTTGCGAGAAGGGCAGCGATTTTCCGCCAAACTGGAGAGGTGACTCACGCACGGCAGCGGCTTTTCCCCTCTCTCTCTCTCACTCTCACTAACCGAAGTGTGGGCGCGGTGGGTGCATGTGCGGCGGTTGCGATGGTATTTGCATGGCTTGGCGGCAACACACATCGAGAGACGAGCGGCCAATCGCTTGCGGAAGGCTGAAATGTTTTAGTTTGATTTTTTTAGGAAAATGGATATACCAGTTTCCGAGTAGGCGAAGAACGCAAGCGAGAACAGAGTGATGGACATTTGGAAGTCTAGTCCCTGAAACGAAATAGTTTGTTGGAAGGACTCTGGTTGAGAACAGTACGTGAAGAAGGGAGCTGACGACGAATGTAAGCAGAACATTGAGAGCGGTGGATTTGAAGAAACGGCCTCTGAAGACAACTGAAAACAAGCAGAGATTAACTACTGGTGCTTTGAAGTTAAACGAACATTGATGCAGGAAAGTGTGGAATGGCTTATTCCACTCGGACACCGTCAGGAGCATCGAGCGAGAGAACTCGATCTCCATCGGGTCCACCACGGTCACATCGGATCCCAGGAACACTAAGAAGCCTGAAATCACTGCAATGAGTAAACTTTCCCTGTCGTTTCCGTTTCACCTTGAGCGGTCAAGCCGATGAAGTAGTGGCTGAAACGGAAAGACATGGCGGTGACCACGTCCTCGATGAATTGCGACGTGGGAGTGTAAATGTCGAAGTGGCACGACGACATGACCCCGAAAGTGACGCCCGTGAAGATCAAAGCAACTGCGTTCAGACCGAGGGACACCTCATTCTGAAATGAGTTTAATCTGGAAAATGATTCGACAGACAAAGAGATGTACCAGAAGTCCGGCAAACTTCGAGTTGCGCATCTTGGTAAACTGTTCGAAAGTGAGGTAGGGTCCGAAGACGACAAGCGGGGGGTAATAGACGTACTCCACGTATGCCGCAAAATCAGGGAACTTCAATTTCTTCTTCGGAAACTGCTCAATATCGAAGGCAACGGTGGCCAGGCGCATGATGTGCATCATCAGAATTCCGCGGATCGAGAGGAACAACTGCTCGCGGTCAAAGTACTGGCAGACGAGTTGGCTGAAAATCCGATTGGTTTCTTCTCGAGATACTTGAGAGCATTTCTTACAGGATAATCAGTCCGAGAATGCACTCTCCAAGAATAATGTATCCGCGGACTCTTGCGTAGGTTCTTTTGAGGGCAATGTGGCCGAAGAGGTTGTAGATGAAGACCGCTAGAAGCTTATCCGCAGAGATCCACGCGATGATTACCGAAGTTGCGATGACGTTCACAACAAGGCCCGTTTTGATCGAAACCGCTAAAAAACTGAGATTATGGGATGTAAGGCGATACGTGTGTATTTTTTTCCGAAAACTCGTCAACGTTCTCGAATTTCCACAATTTTAGGCTTAAATTTGAGAGAATTGAAACTCACAAACGTGTTTGAAGAACTTGAAGCCGATGACGAGCACCGACATAGCCATAATATTGTACGAAATCGCACCGGTCACTTGACGAGCGCATGTCTTCTCCGTCGTGGGCTCGCGCAGCAAAAATTGCTCTAATCCGATCTCGTCGAGAGGATCTCTCATCTGCTAAATGTGAAGGGTAATTTTTGAGAACAGAAAATTGGTGGAAACGACGAAAATTTGAGGAAAAGTTGGAGAAAATAGGCTAAAAAAGAGGGAAGACTAAGTTTCGAAAACCGTTCGAACGTCTGTTCAAATTAGTTTGGTGGGGCGCATTTGCATTATCGACAGTTCTTCGGCCACGGCCGTCTAAAGCGGGGTGAAAGAAGGGATCCAACGTTTCGCAACCCTGACGTTCACCTGAACTTTAACAGCGGAATTTATCGCAAAACGACAGGTTTCAAAATGGCCGGTTGTGAAACGTCCCGGGTGAAGAGAAGGGCAAATGAGGGTCGTTGTCAGAGACTACGACTCGAGAAAATTATGAGCCGTCAATATTGTATCATGAGGAAATTCCCTTCTACTTTTCAAAGCTCTCTATAGGGGGTTTTTTAAAATAATTTTTTGGAAAAATGGAAGTGAACCCTACATATTCTGATGGATCTCGCCGAGAGATGGTTAAGAGTTTGATTTCTTGCATAGCAATAACGTCAGAGGAAGGAACAGAGAGAGAGAGAGAGAGAGAGAGAGAGAGAGAGAGAGAGAGAGCTGACTTCTTTCATAACAACAAAGTCAGAGTGAGGAAGGGAGAAAGCTGACTTCTTGCATAGCAATAGCGTCGGAGAAAGGAAGAGAGAAAGAGAGAGAGAGAGAGAGAGAGAGAGCTGACTTCTTGCATAGCAATAACGTCAGAGGAAGGAAGAGAGAGAGAGAGAGAGAAAGCTGACTTCTTGCATAGTTAGCAATATAGTGTCGGAGCGATTTGGTGAAAAGTTTGACCTCTTGCATTGCAATAATGTCGGATCAGAGGAAGAGAGAGAGATTTGGTTAAGAGTTTGGCGTTGTGCTCGGTTTATATAATGACAGTGAAATCACGCAAACTCGGCCACTCCTCAACCCCTTTAGGTGACGATCACAAAGGTGGAGGAGGACCGCAAAAATTTCAAATATGGGCGATGTACTATGGAACTATAGTGCATCCATTAAACATGTATCACACATAGCTCAGCGAGCCCTAGTCCACGACGGTGTCATAAAAACCGTGGGGTGAAAGAAGAGTGGTTGGCAGGTTGGAAGAACCGGGTTTACGACATGAGAAAGAACATTCATGTGAATTTTATGATTGGTACGACGCCGATCGAGGGTTGTCCGGAGTATGGAGAATCTCGCGCGGCCAAAATGTTACAATTAAGAAATTTCATGCGAACGTGATGTGGATGGACCAAATTTGCGTTGGCGAATTGGTTTTCTTTAAGTATACAGCGGAACTAATCCCTTCAATTCCGCTCAAGAATGAACAACAAACAAACAAACAAAATAACAAAAAAGTTGCGAAATCTAAGAAAACGAAATGTGTTTTTTTTAGTTTTTAGGCGAATCGAACGGCTGAATACTTCCAGGAGGAACGCAAGAAACGAAGGCCAGACGGAGAGAGACACTTTCGCAGTGTGCGGAGCGGAGGGGCAAACTGGTTTCGGTGAACCGCACGCTGTGTTTTCTGCGGAGGAAGGGTGTCTTCACTCGCCTCAGTTGTGTGTTTTAGTGTGCGGGGGTATAGCTCAGGGGTAGAGCGCTCGCTTTGCATGCGAGAAGTCTGGGGTTCGATTCCCCATACCTCCAGATCTTTTTTGTCTTTCTCGGACTCTTTTTTTCGGATTCTGAAGATCTAACGTTTTTTGATAGCAGTCTCAAGAAAAAAACGCTCTTCAATTTCAAGCGCAGACAATTATAACTGGAGCAACTTTACAATAAGAACTCTGGAAAAGACCCCAATCAATCAATACAACGAGTGTCAGCTGGTGGAAGAATGGCACTTGCAAGAACTCGGGAGAATTTCTCTTTCGAATTCTCAACGGATCGAGTCACATGAATAAATGCGTATTTTATTGATTTGTATCGCTATTATTCCCTACGTCTCGACTCTTTCCTGCCCAGAAGTGAACTTGTCCCAAAGGCCGAAACACTGCAAGAAAGAATGTATAGCGGATGAGGATTGCAAGAAGAACAAGAGATGCATGTGCGACGGAGAATGCGGGCTGAGTTGTGTGAACCCTGGTGAGTAATCGAATCACATGTTTTTCTTCCGTACAAGAACCGAGGTTGCAGTAGCAATGTGTCACCCCCTTCCGAACATTGAAAATGGATTCATCAGAACAGCGGGAGATTTGAGATTCGGATCGAATGCGGAATACGGGTGCAACAAAGGATATATCCTGGTCGGTGCTAGTCAGAGAAGATGTCAAGCGAACAAAGAATGGAGTTCAGCACAGCCAGTCTGCAGATTACAACGTAAGAATCCGACAATCACTTAAAAACACCCAGATTATAGTGAAATGCGGACCTCCGCCTGAAATCCCATTTGCGGTTCATGACGGATCGTCTTTTTCTGGAGAATACGATCTTGATGCAGAAGTCGCGTACAATTGTATTCCTGGATACCATAAATTTAACGCAAAAGTGAGTACCTTCTAAAATTTTTAGTCTACAGCCAGGGCTAACTAAGTAAGCAAAAGGCTTGCCCGGGCTTTTGGAAGGCCTGGACTTTTGGCTCACTCGCAATAATCCTATTGGGCCCTTTCTTGAACTTGGATTGAAGTATCTTGGGTTCAAGTTTCAGACCGATTGGATTATCTGGTCCGGAGATATGTGGACACCCGAAAAGGCCGAGTTTTTGCAAAAATTGCTACTCTTCGGCCTAGGATCCACATATCTTCAGAGTGAACAATCTGATCGGTCTGATATTTGGTAAGTGGCAAAAGTCCAGGACTCGACAGGCCGTTTAAAAGTCTGGAGCGGCCTTTTGTCCAGTTCTGTCTACAACTAACTTTCCTAGGGACTCTCCATCTCGAAATGTCTTCTCAATCGCAAAAACGTTGCACAGTGGTTTGGACCAGATTTGCGATGCAAAGGTATGGGAGATGCAGACTCGAACTGAAAATCATTTTTTAGCGAGAGCATGTCCGGACCCAGGAGATATCGAAAACGGCATGAGAGAAGGGGACACTTTCGAATACCCGCATCACGTCAAGTACTCGTGCAACCCAGGATTCCTACTTGTTGGATCCACATCTCGCCAGTGCTCGAGTAATGGAGAATGGACTAATGAACCCGCCAATTGCAAAGGTATTGCAAAGCACGCTTCATATTTTTTACTGACTATTTCAGCAACTGAATGCTCCCGTCCGTCAAGCCCTTTGCATGGAAAAGTGGTTGGCAGCTCGTTGACTTATCAATCAATAGTCACTTATTCCTGCGATCACGGATATCGATTGGTTGGACAGGTTCAAAGAATATGTTTGGCAGAAGGGATATGGGGAGGAAATGAGCCCCGGTGCGAAGAGATCCGGTGCCCACTGCTTCCTGCTCTGCCTAATGGCTACATTGAAGGCAGTGAGACGTCGTTTGGAGCAGTGGCAGTGTTTCGGTGAGGAAATTCACACTTTGGTGAGGGAATTTTTAAAATTTGCATACAGATGCTTGGAAACTATGACCCACGAAGGCGCCTCAAACGCAAAGTGCATGGAAGATGGGCAATGGAGTGCACCGATGCCGAGATGTCTCGCTTCTTGTAGAATTCCTCCGATTCAGAATGGGCGGATTAAAGACAAAAGTGAAGGACAACTCATTGCTTCAGGTACATTTTTGCACAGTATTCGGGAGCCTGTTCAGGTTTTTGTTTTCAGGCTCAAAAATAATTGTGGAGTGCAATAAACAACACGAAGCAAACATTGATGAACGCTTGATTTGTTCCAACTCGACATGGTCCCATGTTCCCGTTTGCAGTCCCTGTGAGTAGATAGTTATTTGCACAATAAAAAACGCAGACTTGCAACGAGCCGGGTCGAAACGTGAAATTCTCGGCCCGGGAAGCCTCAAAAGTGGCTGATCAATAGTTCTCACCGCTCACACACGTTTTTTCAGTGAGTTGCCACAGTTGGCCGCCAAGAGTTCCACACGCCAGAATTCTATTCTCCAAGTCATCGCATGGCTCGATAGCAAAATATGAATGCAGTAACGGATTTCATCCAAACAGAAATAACAAAATTATCAAATGCCTTTATGGGGAATGGACAAAAGATGGGCCGCCGATGAAATGTCTTCCAAGTGAGTTTCATCCACCAATCTTGCATTATTTTCTAATTTCAGGTTGGTGTGAACATCCGAGCAAAACCTACGGCACGCTTCCAGGTGGTCAAATACTACTGGAAGGCATTCTCGGAGCGTACGAATTCCAAAGTTACATCCAGAAAGTTGAAGAAGGCCGAGCAATCAGTTTCCAATGCAGCAAAGGCAACTATCTCATCGGTGAGTTCATTAAGCTCAGATTCATAGTAAAACCTACTTATTCTTCTTTTGCAGGACCCCCTAAAGCCACATGTGTTAATGGTGAATGGATGCCGAAAGTGTCTCCAAAATGCGTTTCTCAAACTCATCCAATGATCGAAGGAAAAATTTTGTGGGACCGTAAAAAGAGAAGCCTACCTAGCAGAGTTACGAGACAATTTAATGATGATGGTTTGCAACGTGGACAATAACTGTTGAACAGTGCTTCTTCAGAATTATCGTATAATCGTCAGATAATTGGAAAATGCGGTCTGGTACCTGGAAAACTGGAAAGAATGATAATGCAACACTCGGAAAATGGAATTTCGGTCTGTTAAAACTCTTGTTTGAGTAAACGGTTTTTGTAACTACCATCTTGTCTTTCATTGCTAACCAAAAGATCCTAAGAGGAAAAAGGTTCTGGAGGTATGGGGAATCGAACCCCAGACTTCTCGCATGCAAAGCGAGCGCTCTACCCCTGAGCTATACCCCCCGCACATTTGCCCACTATCCAATTGTAGTTAAATGGAGAGAAATGAGTGTCTTTTGCGATAGACTGGTCGGTTGAGAGTGGAGAGAAGGCAGACAATAGATAGGAATCAGTGGTGGAAACAGAGAATGGGGTTTGAATGCTCAACAATCTGTTCTGTGAATTGTGAAAGATCTGTGAATTTATCTTTAAAAAAGCGCTTTCCAACAAATGAAAAGTTGCGAGACTCATCTTACATTTCAAAAAATACAAAATCTTTCTTTTGAACCTATAAAAATTGATTCCGCATGCCGCATTTCACAAACGTACATAAATGGTCACTTCCACAGAGTTCTGAAGCCTTTGAAAGTTATAGCAAATAGATATAAAACCTTTTGTGTGACTTTTTCCCGGATTCATCCCCTTCCAAACAGTCCGGGAGCAGTATGTGCGTTCAGGTGATTTGTAGGGAAGGATACGAGTTTGCTAGCGAGAGTATCGATGGCAAATCAACGTGTTTCAACGGTCGCTGGCAACCTGAAATTGCAGAGTGCATTCCAAGTTTGTCCCTATCGCTTTTCTTTCCCAAAACACTCATTCCCTTTGAGAATCTTGTCGAGTACCGATAAGACTGCACGTGTTCTTTTTAAAAACGGGTACTTCTCAAATTTTACAATCGAATGACGTGGTGGAGGACGGAACTGTGGCTCAAATGGCATGTTTGCGAGGATTCCATTTGAACGGGAACGGCGTTTTGGAATGTGTGAAAGGGGAACTGAAAGAACCACTGGGGCATTGTGTGCCACGTGAGTTTGACATCGAGGTGACCTGGAAAACCAATCTTTCCTATTTTTTCAGAAGAATGCGTGCTTTCCGAATTGATAGTGGGAAAGTACAATACCACTGCAGAGACGATCAAAAATGGAGAAAATGTGCTTCTCATGTGTACTGGCACAAATGTGACCATCACTTGCTCTAAGGGAAACTTGAACCCAGCACCTTCTTGTCATGAAAATGGTTAAAAATGCGGGCGAGATAGGAGAAACTCATAAAAATCTTCAGAAAGTCGTTTTTGCATTGCTCCTCAGGACACTACTCCGGCCATAATCTATCGTTATCACGGATTGAAGAAAACTCACATCGATCGATATCAATCGGCTTACCCCAATGGTACTATATTTCAATTCAAGGTGAGAAAGGTTTGAAAAGGTGGTCTCAATTCAAACGTCATTTTTTCCAGTGCAATGATAAAGAAGAAGCGGGTGGAATTGAATGCATCAACGGAGAATGGGTCAGCAATTTGTTACCTTGTGGTAAGAATCATTTAGACTTTTTTTTTTCATATTTTTAACTTGCTCTTTCAGTCACAGCAAATATTACCGCGTGGAAAATGCCTACAAATGATGAAATGTGCTCGCCTCTTCGTCTGGAACCTAATCAAAAAATATTTAATGTCGAAAACTATGTGCCCCACCCAACGCACTTGTTTGCGCATGGAACCATTCTTAATGTGACCTCTTTTCATGCTCGAAAGTTTGAAACAAATCTGATTTTTAGGTAGGATGTATGACAACCAGTAGTGCGGTGGAAAGCGTGTCAATCAAGTGCAGACGTGGCAGATGGGGATTCAAAAAGAAATTGAACTGCTCAAACAGTATTTAGAGTTTACCTATTCTCATTTGAAGAATCATTTTCAGTCGAAACAACATGTTCTCTGAAAATGAACATCAACTCCCACACAGTCATCTATCACACCCAAAAGAAAGAAACAGTGCTTTTTAATCAGCACTTTGAATCCGGCGCGAAACTTATATTCCGATGTGTGAATATTGGATTGGAGAGATTACACGGCAAACGAGAGCTTCAGTGTTACAATGGAGTTTGGAGCAGTCCCATACCTTATTGTATTCCAATTCAAGCAACAGGTATTTTTTTCAGTTTTCAGTGTTTTCAGGGTCGTTTTCAGGGAGCAGTGTGCCTATCAAGTACTCGGTGACTCATGGAACTCATGCGATTTCTTCGAAAGGAGAGCTCATAGTTTCCAGAGCAGCCAATGTGAAACTGACGTGTCTCACAGAGAAAGTAGCTTCGGATACAAATTGGGTGAGAATGAACAGATAAGTGGTCCCAACTGGTTGGATCCTTCAGAAAGTCACATCCACTTACCGCTCATATCCGACACAATGGACAAAAGCAAAGACAGGAGATCACGATGATATCGATGGGTTTGAAGTACGGTATCTCCAATATTCTTCTCATTTCGTTTGGATTTCCAGGTGTCCATCGCAAGTGCTCAGCCATTTGACACTGGATTATTGCATTGTGTCCTACCGAATGGTTCCAGAAATACCATCAAACTTGTCGTACACGGTAGTTTACAAAAAAGAGGAATGAGTTATGTCGAACATTCCAGGCGACAAATGTCTGTTCCCCACAGGTCCCGCCAACTTGCAGATTCATCTGTCAAGCCCGACGTTATTTGTGGGAACAGTTGCTCAATTCTCGTGTCCGTCCGGGTTTTTTGTGGAAGGGAATCTCGTGGCCACTTGTCTAGAAGATACAAATTGGAGTCATCCTGTTCCCAGATGTGTTGGTAGGGAATGAAACGAAACAAAAACGTTTTCCTTTTGAATTTCAGCAGCACAATGTCCAGCAATATTTGTGAATGGAACACGAATGACGGTTATCGTCACTTCTTACAGAACTGGCGGAGTTGCTCACTTCAAATGTCATAAAGGGTGATTTGATTGGATTCAGAATTATTTTCAAAGTTCAGAATGATCGTACTTGCAAAGCCGGCCCGGAATTCAATTTTTACATTTCAGTCCGGTATATTGTAAATCTGAAAATCATATCATTTTCAGATACACTCTTCTCGGCGAGCAAAACGTTCATTGCACAAACCAAGGAGCGTGGAGTCACGACTTGCCACGTTGCAATGTTGTGAACTGCCCTCCACTTCTACCCCCGGTGAACGGTCATTTCATCGGCGAGCCTAAAGAACTGTACACAAAAGGAGACATAGTTCTGCTTGGATGCCTTCCAAACTACATGCTGACCGGAGGCGACTTTGCCGTATGTCAAGCGGATGGAGAATGGAGCGAGATCAAGACCAGATGTTTGTTTGCAGACTTAGCCCCTCAAAAGCCAACAGGTTTATTGTTCATTTTCAGGCGATGGCTACTGTAGACATCCCGGACAACCGGATCATGGAGCAACTACCACAATAGCCAAAGACTATTATTCCATCGGAGAGAAGATTGTATTTTACTGCCCGTCCCAGAACTACAAACTGAGTTCGGACAATGTTTTGATTTGTACCTCACCTGGCCAGTGGTCACGTCGTCTACCACTTTGTCTGCCGTCAAATTCCTGAGAAATTAGTTTGCTAATTTATGATTTCCCTTTTCGTTCGTTGCAATTCTCCCTCACTGGAATGAAGATTCATTTATGCTAGCGTCTGAATAAATCAGCTTTTTTGAAGAATTGGGTGAAGTGTCGGTATGTAAATAGATGCTAATCATGTTCGTGTTTCACCCATTCCTCGCCCCTGGTCGCTTCTTCGTATGAACCCGAATGGCAGAAGAAAGAAACAGAGAGGGAGAGATTTTTTTGGCGGCCGAATCGAAAACGGGCAATGCCGAAGCTTCAATAACAAAAAGAGATAGATATCATTGCGCAATTGGATTGCTTCGGCCCTAAACTGGATCTTACCACAATAGCAAACTATTGTGATAGTTGGAATTTCGATTTGAAAAGTTCGGGCTAAACTTGTAGCAAGCTTGAATGCGCCTCGGATGATCGGTAGTTTACACTTTTAGTACACACTCTAAAAATGTGTGTGTGTGTGTGTGTGTGTGTGATGACGTAGGTATGTCAGATAACTGGAAGAAATTGTTGTCTCAGACCTCAACAAGATGATGTATTAGAGTGCAAAACTGTGAAGAACGTCCGTTCCCTGGCGATGGGCCGGCTGTGGCGATGGGAAGCGTTTAAAATAGATTATGAAATAACCGCTAACCTCTGCCAAAGTGCTACTTTCACTAGAGACATTCTTCCTCTTTTCTTCCACTCTAGCTGCATTTGAATTACTGGTTCGCACTTATTCTTCGCATTCCGCACAGTTTAAACGTCGTCTTCAGACCCTTGTTTACCAATTCAGAAAAGGTCATTGCACGTATCTATTGCATGTATGAAGTTTCTACAAGATACAATGCAAGATACTGTATAGCTGGGCAAAAAGACGAAAATGCAAATTGAACAGGAACCATGAATGTGGCGTGACGTAAGCAGACACAAAATAGCCACTTGACTTTTCCTTTGGATTTCCCGTGTCCGGTTTTGAGTCGAGGCTTCTCGTCTTCATTATAGACATCTAGAAACATCACGTGTAGAACCTTTTGAAATAAGAAAAACAAGTTTTGAGGTACAATTTTTTATTTTTCAGACACATTTATCCGTACGAAGAACCTTGCTACAAACGCAAGCTGAAAAAATACATTGGATAATAAAGGAATTAATATCCTGGGGCGGTTCTTGGTGGTGGGCAGTGGTCGCAACCTCCTGGGGCTCCGGTCTCTCCGTCGGCTCCGTTGTCTCCGTTGGCTCCTGGCTGTCCTGGGGCTCCGGCGGCTCCGTTGTCTCCGGCTGGTCCTTGTGGTCCCTGGGATCCTGGCTGTCCTGGGGCTCCTGGTCCTCCGGCTGGTCCAGCTGGTCCGTCTGGTCCTGGGGCTCCTGGGGCTCCGGCTGGGCCTGGAACCTCGACGACCTTTCCTGGGGCTCCGGAAGCTCCGGCGTTTCCTGGGTGTCCGTCGGCTCCAGCGTTTCCTGGGGCTCCTGGTCCTCCGGCGCTTCCGTTGTTTCCTGGGGCTCCTGGCTGTCCGTCGGATCCTGGGTTTCCGCTTGGTCCCTTTGGTCCTGCTGGTCCTGCTGGTCCTGGTGGTCCTGCTGGGCAGTCGAAGCAGAACTCGTGTTGTGGGGCAGGGGTGGCGGCTGGTCCGTCTGGTCCGTCGTTTCCTGGGGCTCCTGGCTGTCCATCGGCTCCATCCTCTCCGTCAGATCCTGGGGCTCCTGGTGGTCCAGCAGCAGAGACTCCGCATCCGCAGCATCCTCCCTGGTGTCCGGTCGAGAAAGATCCCTCGACTCCGGCGCTCTCGTATCCAGCTTGACGGCGGGAACGGACGGCTCCTCCGGAGACCTTGGCGAGCACCTGAGTGCGGGTCACCTCTCTCCAGATGTTTCCGGAGCGGGAACGGCAGAAATCGACCTCGGACTGCATAACCGACTGCATGTGCTGCATGTAGTTGTAGAGCATCGGGGCGGCAATCACGCACACGAGGGTGGCGGTGAAGGAGACGGCGACTCCAACGAGGGCCACACGGCGGAGGGAGCTAGCCTCAATTTCGAGTTGTTTCTCGTCAGTCATCTGAAAAAAAGATCATAGGTACAAGTTACAGGAAAACCTCTCTACAGGCCACAGTAAAGAATGTTATCAGATCAGACAGGTAATACCCGACCAAGACAACAAGAGAGAAAACAAGGGAAGGGAAGATACCGAAAAATGCTTACCGTATTCGGTTTGATGAGATTGCCCACCTGCTTCCTGCCCTCGGCGGCCGTCTTTTATACGGCAGGTAGGCGGGCGATTTGGCAAAGGTGAGAGGCGTCGAGGGTATATGGAAGAGACAGAGACGAGCGACGGGCTAGCTACGAAATAGCAAGGAGGAAGCAACGAGACTGGCATGCCAAGGTCGTGACGCCGTTTCAGAATCGCTTCTAACTTCTCATCTTCTGATGCTCTTTCATCTTTTTTCTGGCCACCCGCCGTCTCTGATTTCGGTTATCAACAACTACAGCAACTGTCGGCGACACTTCTCGAAGGAGGTCTATCTTCTCATCGTTTTGCAAAAGAGAGATACAGTGGTTCCACGGGTTGGGGAGATGAGAACCCGGAACCAAGGGCTTCAGAAAATCTTCAACTCCTGGTAGCGAACTGTTATCAAAACCTGAAAGTGAAAAGTTTAAAATTGCCTTGTTATTACCTCCATACAATGACAATTACAGTAACGATTAACCCATTCTCCATCCCATCTTTTATAATCAGAACAAATGACTGACAACCGTTGTTTGGGGGGTCTCGAAGAAGTTAGTCAAACTAAGATTGACTCATTTCCCTTTCAATTCAATTCCAATTTTTGATGTTGCAATTTCAATTATTTCTCGGGAGTTTGTAGAGATGAATCATCCTCTGAAACTTTTGGACCAAACACGGACAAGTATTCAACTGGATTGCCATCCTTTCTTGTGTTGTATCTGGATGCGACCGACGGCGCACAAATTAGCCGTGAACATCGCAGATGCCGTGGTGCTTCGCACAGTGTCTGTCGTCTTGGAAAAGATTTTGTCTGTCGTCTTGGAATATTCATCCGTCACGTAACGCCAAAGGTGAAAGTGAGGACAAGACTTCTTTTCCCGCCACCACCAATCGGTTTAATTTAATAAGAAGCAAGCAAAGACGCGCGCGCGATTTTGCGTGCCTGACCGGATTCAAAAACACGCACAGCGCACGGTTTTGAACACTTATTCGATTAGGGATTAACAGATTGTCGCCCGTCTCGCACCCTTCTAGAAATAAGATTCCTCGCAGGCCGTTTGCTTTCCTTCAGCGAAAGTACAGCCTCAAAATACAATAAGGCGATCAACGCCGTCTGCAAAAAATAAGAAAAAACGCTCCGGTGGGGATGTTCCGATTGTTGCATGGTGTTCGGTCCTTCCTATCTATTGATGAATCGGTTCTTCGTCATAGTGCATCCGCCACCACCCATGCCAGCAAGCGACGACAAAAACTGTTGTAACACAACCTCAAAAGTGGAAAGCGATAAATCACGAAATCTGCGAAAGGTCGAATATTCAGAGACGGGCCGGCTTCTTCATTGTTTTGCGTTGCATGTGTACGTCTCTGCCACTCAACTCATCACACAAAAGCCCGTTTCTTACACAGTTTTTTTTGGGTTTCTGGTGGTAGTGTCGCTTGACGTCTAATTATCATTTTGTGAAAGGACGCTCATGTAGCCGAATGAGGAAGAATTAAAAGGAGGTAGCTGTGTGGCGATGTTTTTGTCACGGCCAAAAAGAGTTTTCACTTGCCGTTCGCCCAGATTCAAGGCGAAAGTTTCGTATGGATGAATGATAACGGGCGGAAGAAAGGAAGCTACTGTAGATGCCTGAATTCTCAATTTCCTTTTTCTTTTCTCAATCTCAAGGGCATCATCGGCCGTAATCATGTTTACTTTTTCATGTGGCATCTTTTTGCCGGTCACCACCCGTACTACTGGCTTGTTGTAGATGTAATTGGTACCCAAGGTTGGTCAACTGCCAGCGGTTGTTTTAATTTCGACACCCGTATCTGATGCCAAAGTGTATCTGTCAACAACAAGCCGAGGAAAACGAAAAAACACTGAGGAATTCGAACAGTGAAGCGATGAATGCAGAACGATCCTGTTCCCATTCTTTGGTCTTTCTTCTTCCCTGGCTCATTTGCATTTTGCCATTCATATTTCTCAGTTTGATTGCAAGATGAAAGGATCGGAAGGATCGGAATGGACCCAGTGGGATATCACTTTACAATGAGAACCTTAGTCCCAAGGTTGACGGGAAACCTTGAGAAACTTCCTGAAGCATCAATCTTCGTTTGCACCAAACCAAAACTTGTTCAAAACGTTCCCACTTACCCTCACATTCCAAGCAATCATTCATTATTCATCACATTCATTATGTAGGGTTTCGAAAGGAAGGAGGTGTTCCGATGTTCCTCCTGGGGCCGGTCTTGGGTCTCTTTTTTGAACGACAATACAAACCAATTAATGGGCCATTAGGTCCAAGTCGCTGATCAAAATCGTCAACAGAAACAGTGTCAAATGTATGTGTTCAAAGTGATTATTTTGGTGATTAATGCACGATTGCATGAATAATTCGGGTTCTTCTCATTCATCACTTCCACCAACCCAACCCAACCCACATTTTAACATTTCACACGTTTGATAAATGTTCCGATGAGATTTCTACACTTTTGCCATCAAGTTTTGGGTTTGGTTTGGAAGGAGGAAGTGACAAGGTGTGTAAAGCGAAAATGGGGAGCAACTGGCGTACACTTTTCTCTTTGCTCGATTCTCTTTATATCATTGGAATCAGTTGCTACGAGAAATATCTCCGTTGTGGTCTAGTGGTTAGGATTTATGGCTCTCACCCATAAGGCCGGGGTTCGATTCCCCGCAACGGAATACCTTTTTTTCTCTTTTTATGGATATTGGTGTCTGTTCGGAACAGTTTTGTTCTGCAAATGAAATCGGTAGATTACGTCACATTATGCGCAATGCAAAACACGTAGCCTTGATATTTTTACGATGATAATCGGATGACCCCACGGCGCCGCACAACTTCCTCCTATCACATTTTTTGGTTTTCAAACCCAAATATCCGCCACCCTGTCACTATTCAAGGTTACGCACAAATTCCATCGTCGGAACAAAACGGAATTAACATCTCGGGAAAATGAGTAAATCAAAGTTCTGCCTGTCCTGTCTGAGTAGTGAGACCCGAGGTTTGGTCATTTCGTGTGTTAAACCTTTTCCGTCTTGACTTTTTGCCCTCAACACAAAACGAAAACGGCAGGAAGGTGGTGGCCGCTAAAATGGACTGATACCGATGAATCGGAAAGGGAGAAAAGCAAGGCCATCAAAGTCGTTCCGAATTTATGTTTCTCAAGGAAAACTGTTTGCTTGACGAGTAGTAGTATTTCGAGTAATTGGGATTGTTTTTCAAGGAGACTGACAGGAAATGAAAGATTTCGATGCGAATTCCGTTCCACAGCAAGGGGATCGTTAAACTCGACAGTTCTTCAAACACTATAAAAATTCGATTCCCTAAACGCACTTTGTCACGTTCTGCTCTCTGATACAAGCTAGACAAACACGTACATCATCAGAAAGACAAGGTAAACACAAGGCACAATTGATTATCATTGGTCTCTTCTAGTTTCTAGTGTGCATTGTTGTTACGGCTCGAACCAATTGATCACATGTGGAAAGAGTGGAGAACATTCTATGTACATTCTACATTATGATAAGATACTGATATTGCGTCAGAAAGTTTGACTAGACTTTTGAATGACAGAAGGAAATGATTATGAAACTCTTGAAGGATTTTTACATAATTGTTTCATCACATTGTGTGTTTTTATCAATCAATGATTGTTATTGGTTCCCTTTTGTCACTTCAAATCGAATATGAACATTTATTAGTGGAAAAACTTGATAAAAACAGTTAAAAGGCGATAATACAAGCATACTGTGTTGTTAATTTAGAACTGTTGCTCCTCCTTGGCTGGAGCAAGAGGTGGTGCGGTGATTGGAGTTGCTGCCGGCGGAAGAAGAGGAGCAGTTTCCGAGGATCCGTGGTTCTGGGAATGGTTGTGTCCGTCGAGGCGTTCGTACATGCTGCGCTGTTTCACTTGGTAGATGATGATGATGATGAGGGCGACGGAGAGAAGAATGCAAAGAGCAAGAAGAACCCAAGTGACCGTCTCCCAGGCTGCTTTTCCGGTGATTCTGAACGAAAACTATGTAATTTATGAGAACTTTACTGGGCTGCTTTCTTACTCGTCTAAAATCGTTGCTTTCGGGGCAATGTCAACTGGGTTCTCTTCCAGAAGCGGTTTTCCAGAATGCTCCGCCTTCTCCTCATTCAAAACTTCCTGAAGAGCTTCTTTGTCCAGCTGGTTCTGAAGTTTATCAGAAATTTGATTCGAAATCTTATCATTCACACTCTGGCGGATGAGATCCTGCAAGTACAATTCGTCTACAGATCTGCATTCTCGAGACAGTTACCTGAATCAAATCTGAAAGTTCTTCTTTCTTTGCCTCGTATGTTTGAGTCTGCTCCTCGACGTTGTTTCCTTGCCCTTTGAGCTCTGAGAACTTATCCTGAAGCAGAAAAGGTTTCAGTTTGTATTGAGTGAGTGTCCTACATAAATCTGCTGCTGAAGAACTTGCTGGTTCTCCTTTTGCTCGCTCAATCTCTGGTTCTTCTCCTCAACACGTCGTTTGACTTCGGCGGTAATCAGTTCTTTCACTTGGGCCAAATCTTGTTTCAACTCTTCTAATTTCTGTTTTTTGCGTTCATCGAACTTTTGTTTCGCCGCGTTGATTTGTTGCTTCAGATCTTCTCTTTGTTGACGAAGCTTCTCGGCCACTTGTTTCCATTGCTAAAGGAAAAGTGTAAATCGCTGAAAATTCTGTTCTCAGTTCAGCTGTTCACCTCAATTTGCTCCTGTTGTTTCTTCTCTTTCTCCTCTCCTTTTTGCTTAATTTTATCAGTCACGCTTTTGACAAAATCATCGATTTTCTAAAGATACAGAGTTATTTTGAAGAAAAGGGTAAGACGAATTCACCTGCTGTCTCTCCTGATCTTTCGCTTGTTTTTTCTCTTTCAAATCTTCCACAAACTGGCCGACTTGCTCGGAAACTTCCTTCCATTTTTCGACTGCAGCCTCTTCTTTAGCTTTCTTTTCCGCTTGTTTTTCCTGAAATCAAGACCAGGATCATCTTGAATGGTTTGAACCAATATGTGTACCTGTTTCTCTTTCTCAATCTCATCAGCTTTTTGCTTCACAGCCTCCGCCACTGCCGACAACGTTTCGTTCAGCTTTTTCTGAGCATCTGCTTGATATTTCTCTTTCGCAGCTCTCGCATTCTCCAGATTCACTCGCAGTTCTTCTTCCAAAGCTTTTTCAGTATCTAAAACTGATTGGAAGGTGTCCGCAAGTGAATAGTAGCGGAGAGGAACAACTTCGTGAGCAGCGAGTAGAAGGATTAGGAGGAAAGAGAAGGTTCTCATTCTGTAAAGTCAATTCAATTGCAGTAAGTAGATAGATAATGGAAGTAAGAAAACAAGGGAGGGAAACCAAGTATGACCGAATGAGCGCATTGTGCCGCATATCTTATCAGTCGCTCAGTACTTGGCTCCAAATTAGCGTCCGCCCATCGTGTTGTTGAGTGAGCAAATAAACACAAGTCAGGATGGTATCATGGGTTCGATCTAAAAAATGTAGAAACTAGACATGTGATTGCCGTTGTGATTGGCAGAAAAACGACAGCTGGAAAACTAAATATGGTCATTGTAAAGAGCACAAGAAGAAGAAAATGGTGAAAAATGGTGTACACTTTACCAATACGTAGTTAGCTACTCGTCTTCATCCGCTGTCCTACAAATGTTTTCCCTGAAAACGAGAAAACCTGTGTCACATTTTCGGAATTGGCTTCTCTACTTCCGTCCGTCTTTACGCCACCATTGCTGTCCTTAACACGCCGCTTCACTTGGGAGATGATGATGATGATGAGGGCAACGGAGTGAAGAATTCAAAAAGCCAGAAGAACCCAAGTGACCGTCATCCAGGCAGCTTTTTCGGTGATTCTGAATGGAAAATGCTTTATGGGAGCTTTACTGGGTTGCTTAGTTACTCGTCCAAAATCGTTGCTTTTGGGGCAATGTCGACTGGGTTCTGTTTTCCGCAAGATGCATCAGCTGAAAATTCGACCACCAAAGACTGGGTCGATTCGATCCAGACGGATAGCAACTGCTCTCATAGGATTTGGATTCTGATCTGCAAAAAGATGTTGAAACGGTACTCGCGAGAACTTTTTTTCGAAACTTTATTCAATAACGTAGTTCAGAAAGAAATAATAAATCCAAAATAAATGTGCCCAATAAATAAAATGCAGAATGCATATTCAATACAGAAGATGTGCGGTGAAATGACTAAGATAAGAATAAATAAGTTGGAGGAAGCACATCACTGCTGAAAGTAAATTTAACGGATTGAATTGATAGTTAACTCAAGGGGATAGGTAAGAAGACACGTACAGCAAAAAAGAAATAGGGGAATGATTAAAAAGTAAGACAAGAATTAGGATGATACAAAAATGCGACAGACGAATCCATGAAATTAGTGAAAATGGCGACAGAATCATGTGCAATGTTTTGCAGGATTAATGAATATAAAAAACATGGGAAATTTCTCCAATAATGCGAGTTTGGAAGAAAAATGAAGTTGCTTTCTTAAATAATTTTTAGGGAATTTTTTGAGAATTTTTGAGGAACGGATCACAATTTTCGGGTTATTTTAAAGGAGAAATTAGTCGAGAGAGTTGTAGATGGGAGCGGATAAATCAGGAAGGTTAACACGTTGGAAGTTCTTGAAAAAATTGTCAATTATCGGGTCGGGCACGTCTTCGTCAAAGTGAAACTCGACTGTTTCTCCATCCACGACAATTCCCCTGTCAGCCGCTCTGTTGAGTGCCGCAATTGTTAGAGCATCAAACATCATGTCCACAACGGTGCACCCTGGCTCATCCTCGTCGTCCGCGTCGCTTTCCAGGTTCGTAATGACCTCCGCCAACCGCTTGAGGTCCGACGTCTCGGTAATATCGTTCTCTGTCGGCTCTTTAGGAGGCGCCCCGAACTTCTCTCCTTTCTGCTGTCTCTCGGCCTTGGCCTCGTCGATTCTCGCCTGATCCGGTCCAGCTCGGTTGTACGCGGCACTTCTCGCGTGACTGACATATCTCGCCACACAATCCGACGCTATTTCTCTGGCAACGTCCTCAGTCTGCGCAGGCGGAACTGCTTTGTAGGGAAGCTTCGAGCTGATAATGTTCAGGTTGATGACTTCGGAGATCAAGCATGCCAATTCGTCTGCGCCCCTGCCGCCGAGCCTCTCGCTGCCAATACGCGATACAAATTCTGCTTTGCAGTACTTCTCGATCTGATTTTTCTTTGGAACCTTCTTGCGTTTTGTCATGATCTCAACAGAGATTTCCACAAGCTTCCTGCCGATAGGATAGTCTCTGCCTTCAGCATACAGCACTTGTCGAGCATCGTTCAACACATATCTGATCTCAGGAGTGTTCATTTGCTCATCAAAGTTGGTGCCGATCGTGAAGATATTGTCCACAGTGCTGATGCGGAACGGAAGGGTATTCCTGAAAGAAGAATATAGTTGAGTTGTACTGCCCGTTTTGAAACTCAAACTTACTCGAACGTATGCCACATGTAGCGGGCTCTTCTGACCCGGCAGGATTGTCCGACAAGGCGCTCCATCTCGTATTGCTGCACACTCAACACCTTCATCATCAATTCAACATGCGCTGCCATGCCATTTGGGAAATCCTTCTTTTCAAGAGCGTACGGGTATACGGGCACTGCATTACTCAATGGGCAGTACGGTCCAGTGTACACATCCTCGCAGTGCTTTTCGCAACCGTTGTAGAATATAGCGATATGTTTCATGCACTCAGCGCGAAGAAGCTCCAATAGTTCGACAAGATAGGGTGAAAGATCGCCGTCACGACACTGCCCGATGGTCGCACACCGATAGATTTCTTGACCAAGAATTGTAATCTGAACAGAAAATGTGGAAATTAGCGGCTGATTTCAGTACTTACCGTAGCCGGGAATGCTTTTCCGTAAATCCCGAGCTTGTTATCAAACAATGGTTCGTACACTTTCTCAACAAGCAGCATCAGAGCCTCAATCGCAGAAAGTGTGTTGAGAACTTGCTGCAACGACGTGTAATCTTCCGGAATAGAATCTGGCAACATTTTTAGAATGTTCTTCTTCTTCTTGATGATACTGCTGCGAAGGTTGCTCTGCGCGGTCATTTGCTTCAAGTAGCGGAGTGTCGTTGGCTCGTTGACCTTTACTTTGTCGATAACAGCCATCGCCGTGTCGAAGCTTCCCATGTGATTTGGTTCCCGCGAGAACAAATCGTTGAGCAAGTCTGTGGCATTTGTCGGACTACTGAACAGAGGAGTTCGGAAACTCTCCGGGTAGTTTATGTCGTAGTCGTTGGCTTGAGCAATGATATCAGCGCGAATGTTGTTGATCTCGATCTCGGTCACCCGGGCCATAATCAACCATTTGGCGAAACTCAACTGATACCTGTAAACATCATATCAGAAACGTTTCGCATTTTCTTCAACTCACTTTCCATTGTACACGCTTCCGCATACGAACGTGTAGTCAGCCATGCTGTAACGCTCCGTGATTTTTTTGCAGAAGTTGGGCTGTTTTCCCATGCGAACAGGGTTGATGATGCGGAAGTGGTTTCTCAAGCTCTCAATCAGACGATCACGGAAAACCAGAAGCGCCGTGTAGTTACTCGGGTCTACAAGACGAGTACGGTAGCAGATGCGGATTCTCTCAACAAAATTCTCGAATTCCTCGACGAGCTTAGTTGGGAAGATCGGGTTTCTGTTGTATTCGTTAGCCAACAGCTCAAAATACAGTGTGGTCATTTCCGAAAACACCGTGATGAGACCCATGAATGAGGCATTGTCGACGCGTTTCTGAGCCTGCGGATCCGTTTCCGCACTCTCGACCAGCAGAAGTTTGAGTTTCTGTCTAGCGAGATCGATTCTCGAGCTGTAGTTGGACATCACGAATCTTGTTTGATCCGCCACGAGCTGAAAAAAGTACTGTTTACCAAGAATCATCCGATCCGAGCAACTCACATCATATTGAAGATTGACGTCAATGTAGTAAGTGTCGGCTTCGTTGGCGTTGCGGAACGTCGGTGTATCGGCCGGTGATTCAAACTCTTGTTCTTCTGGATCTTCCTCCGGTAGGCCGTCCGATAGGTCCTGTTTCTCTTGACGTTGGACTTGTTGCTCAAGTTGATACTCCTGCATGAATTCGGAGAACGACTTCGGTGGTCCTTCCTCTTCATCAGGACTTCCAAAAGAAAAACGGTAACAACTTGGAGAATGCACACACTTCCATGTTTTTTCTTTTTTTAGTTTTGCATCTTCAATTTCCTGCCTACGACTTTCTTCTTCTTCCAGTTCTTCATCATAAAGTTGATTAAGACGGAGGTAGTCGTTATATTGGCAACTTCGGACGTAGTCTGTCTCAGCTTCCACCCTGAGACGTTCCAAGGCTGCCCATGCGGTTTCATCGTCGGGTTCATTCTCAAGGAAGCCTGACTCTTGCCAAAATCCCATATAGCTCAGTTTGTCGTAAGGCTTCTGGGGTTCCAACACGAATTGTATATCGTCAGCACAAAAAACCAATTCAGCAGATATCAAATAATTTGGATCAAGTGACTTGACGGGAACTATCCTTTTCTCCTTCTGCGGTTGCTGTGGCTTTGCACATTGTTCCTGAGGTTGTTCCTCGCGATTGGCAGCACTCTCCATGATCGCTTCTTACCCAGCCGAAGTATAAATCTCACTGCACCTCGGTGTTATATCACTGCACCTCGGTGTTATATCGATTTTCGTATACCTATAAATAAGTTTTTTAAATCAACGAGAAGACAGTAAATGCGAAGAGAAAAAGGAAAAAGAGAACGAATTTTGACAACCTGTCCGGAAAATGAAAGGCAAAAATCACATACATCTAGAGAGGAATTAGTTTTAGGACAAAATCGAACGCCGTCGAGTCAATGCGTATGCAAAATAAGCGATCGTGGCGAGACCCGCGCTCGTAAATCGACACATACCCCTTTAGTCTCTGCTTGGAGGCCGTGAGTGTGGTGAGCAGGGTGAGTGCGGGGAGTGTGGTGAGCGCAGTGAGTGTTCGGCGTTCACCGTGGTGAGCGTTGAGAGTGGCAGGCGTTGAGTGCGATGAGCGAAAATTTGTGAGCGGGCCCAAAAAAGAGCGTGGGGAGTAGAGAGACTCAGCTAGCAAGAGTGAAAGCTCACATCGATTCTGCCGCCCGGCGGAGACGGCCCGCGCTGGCCATGTGGAGAGAGAACAGGAGAGAGGAGAGAAACGAGAGTGAGAGCGAGAGAGGGAGAGAGTGCGGGACACGAGACGGAAATAAAGGGCGACAGTTAGTGGACTTAGCGGACCAGTTACATACTTTTTGGAAAATGGAAGATTCTTTGAAACGAGAACAGAAACGGTTTAATTTAATCCAAAATAATTTTTATGAAAAGGTTAAAAGGACTGATTATAATGTGATGAAAGGCGAATGAAATGGTTTCAGAAAGATAATCACAAGAAAAAGAGCTAGAACACAAAACTACAACAATCTTATTCAGATGGAATCCAGAAGAACGGCGAAGCTGACGGGAAGACTCTTTTCGAACAGATAGAAGATTGTTGAAATATCATCTTGCGAAAAGACTCCGAAGTCTCCGCGGGAAGTGAACTCGGTTTCATATTCGAAACACCACGTCTTGAAATTCTCCTGCAGGTTGTTCTTTTTGTTTTCGATCGAGTGTTTAATCAGCGGCAGCAGCATCTCGGCCGCCTTTCGGAGACGGAATCTTCCTCGATTTATATCAATTATGATCTTGTCGCCTTCCACTTCGGTCAGCATGAAATTGATGGTGACCGCTCTGGTGAAGCTCAGCGTCAAACTGCTCCGGACGTCTTCGGTGATATGTTTTGGTAGAGACTGATCCATAAACGCGGCAAACTCCGCTCCGACAAAACCGACATATTCCGAAGGGTATCCGGATATTTGAAGGCAAAGCGTCTTCCATTGTCCAAACATTTCTCTTCCAAGCTGTTGGGCGGCGTGCCAGTTCCTCAGATCGAAGTGATTGGAAAAGAATACGCCAGTTTTTGGATTGAACTGATTGACCGCGAACTTGGGAGCATCATTGCTGAAAAAAAAACGTTTATCTGAACAAATTTATCAGTCTGGTTCTTACCCCTGAAGACGCAACGCGAGTGCCTCAAAAGCCAATTGTCTCTGATTTCTGAGACGCCACAGCTCGATGTTCTCCAACTTCATGTTCCTGATCAGATCCTTGTTGTTCAAGCGATTTCTAATTGGGATGGTGTGTCTATCGAACAGGTTCTTGTAGAAGTCGATGTTCGTCGAACCTCTCACGAGCTGCTCCATTTTGTATTCTTGGTGGAGGAAGAAATCCTTGACAGAGTCCGCAACTGCTTCCCGAACAAGATCCAGCGCCTTCAACAGAGCACGATTTTCAGACAGATCCGCGTGATTTCCCGTCAGAATGGTCTTGAACACACTCTGCATATGGAATCCAACCTGTAATAATCAATGGACTATTGAATAAACTCATTTCGAGCGGCGTACCTCTGAAGGGAATTGAAATCCGAACATTCCGAGGTCGTTGTCCATGTAGGGAGCAAAAACGCGTTGGATGAGGAGGAAATGGGTCTCCAGGACAACGAACACTGCCATGAGTTGCTGGGCGGCGTAGATGAACCCTTGACTTTTTTGCCCGGCGAGTCCCGAAATTTCAACCAGAAGATCCTTCTTGCGCGAACGAATCAGACTGCTGAAGATTTGGAAGTAGTGGAAGGCGTTCGTGTTCTGCAGCAGGGAGTCTTTTGAATCCAGCTCGACCAGTTGTTTACACGTGTCATAGTAGTACATCCTCGCCGAGTATTCAATGTCGTTCGAATAACCTTCTTCGAGCAGTCGGGTCGGCTCGAATTTCCGTGGGCATTTGTGGGCGTTCGGTGGAAGCGGGATATTTTTCGCCGCGAAAAGGATGTTCAGACGCTCTTGGCAAAGCGCGATTTGGTTGATTCGGCTGATGGTTGCCCAGCCATTCGTTTCGTATCTGTGATTTGAGACTGCATTATTCGATTTGGTTGGATGACAGCTTACAGTGAGAACGAGCTGGTTCTGAGCCAATCCTGATCGTACGGCACGTAGCGAATGTCGTTCATATCGTTCGGGTTATGGAGTTCGGTTCCATTGCGAAGCGGCACCGTGATTCGGTACATCGTTTGCAAGAACTTGACCACTTCATCTCGGAGCTTGATAATGAACTCGTAGTTGTTTTTCGCCACTTTCATTTTCTGCGTCACTTTCTCAAGCATCTCGTAGCCCTTTACGAACTCTCTGACGAGGGTGACAGGGAGGAAAACTCCGTATTCGTGGTGCTCGGACACCATCACTCGATTCGTCCATCCCCAGAGTTCCGCAAACGTGACCGCCAAACAAATCGAATCCAGCTGAGCCACCGAGAATGGTGTTATCAGCACTTTTGCCCAGGTTTCATCGACGAGCTTGATGATTTTCAACGAGAGCTCCTGTCGCTTCTGCTCCATTCCCATGGAGCGGTACTTGTTGTGGTCGGCAGTCACCTGACAGATTCCTGTTTATTTCGATGACACGTACAATGGAATATACCTTATGATGAAGTGTCTTCCGATTGACAAGATAATGTCGGTCCTTCATTTTTTGCAATGCCGTCGGGCACTCCATATGAAGCTGATCGCAGCCTTTCCAGGTGTGCTCCTGGAACTCTTCGCAAGTGTGGGTGTGGTGACGTACCGGCTCCCATTCGACCATGTTGCACCAGGAAGAGTTATCGTCCTTGATCGGCGTCGTTTCTTTCTTCGTTTCTTTTTTGGTTGCTTTCTTCACCGTTTGTTTCTTCGTTTGTTTCTTAGCCATTTCACCTAAATTTGAATGTTTGCGTCGATTGGAAAAAAAAGGAAGCGAGTGGACGGAGAGGGAAAAATCGATAAAGAAGTCACATATAGCCAACCGGTTTTTGCGTAAAGACGGAAAGTAGATCACCGATAGCTGATTTTTCGTCTTCTTAATGACAACAAAAATGAGAACAAGTGGGCAGATAACCTTCATGTGTGTGTCAACGGTGAAAGAAAGGGAGCGAGTGAGAGGGGCAGCGGGGCGCACGCCCCCGAGGCACTACAAAGACGGTGAGCACACGCACAACTGTGTATCGAATTAAAGGGTTGGCGGTTATGTACGCGTCTCGTACCGCCTATACTGAAAGAACGGACGAAAACGACTTTCAGATAAGATAATCACAGCTCGAGTGCGTTTGCCGCACAGATTTTCAAGGTTTTAGTTCATATCTCATTAAGGTTTATTTTCGATGACAATGATCGACAAATAATTTAAAAACACTTACTCAACAAAAAAATATATCAACTAGCGAAGAGGCCAGGGGTCAGAACAAATAAACGGGAAACTTATAATACAACAGGTGTCTCAATCTATTCGGGAAAAAAATAATTCGGCAGCGAAATTTCACCGTAAAACGAATGGAAATGGGGAGGAAAACAACTGGGGGATTACAAAACCTTAAGGGGATGAAGATAAAGAATGGATAGTTATGATGAAATATAAGAATAACAGCGTCATTTGATGTTCGAGTAAATGCACAGAAACCCATTTGAGAATAACGAACAAATAGAAAATGATGTGCGATGGAAAATAATCGGTAAATGAGAATATAGAGTGTGGGGGTAATAAAGGGTTGTTCCACCAGATTTCAATCAATTAATTCTTATTCAGAACGGAGATTGGTGCCACTTGAAGTAGAAGATTCATGAATTGCGAGATGAGAATATTCATAGTGATCAGCGGTACACCGGTGGCAGTGACAGTGCAGTTTGGGTCGGTCGGCATCACATTAAGCGAAAGAGCACGGAATAGAATGTTCTTGTATCCGTGCACCTTCTTCTTCTCCACCTTTAGATCCTTGCTAATCTCTGTCATAACGGCGACTGCGATCTCTCTGATCAGAGCGCAATCGGTGGAATCGTTGCCATCAAACTTCTGGAGACAGTAGTTGTCGACAAACACGCGCACGAAACACCATTCCAGTGCAAGTTTGAGCTCTGGATGGTTGATGTAGCTGTACGTGGAGCCCAGAATAGCATTGAATTCCTTTTTGATGGTTTTGCGGATCGACGGTTTGCATCTGGCCTCGGCATTGTGGACATTGTGGGTACTCTGTTCATCCAATCGAGCCTTTGCCACGTCGTCGAAGAACGATTTTCGGAATTTTGCCTTACGAAGCGGTCTCTCGTCGAAATCGTCATCGGTGAGAGCATGACTGAAATGAGGTTACGATAAGATGAGCAAGATCCAGAAAAAATCCTACTAATTCACGCGCAGATTGAGTACAGCTTCGGTCAGTCGGCGTTTCTCCGTCACTTTCACAATTTGGAACTTCTCCAGCTTTAGCAAACGGATCCTATCGGCGGGAAGACAGTAAGATATGTGAGCTGGCACAGCAGGAAGCATATCATTTTGGACAGATTTGTCCATTGGAGTTTGGACCATACGTTCAATATCTTTTTCTTTTTTCTGATAGTACTCTTTGATCGCCTCCGCTGTACAGTCTCTTATCTTCTCCAAGTCCCGGACAATCGGACTATTCAATTGGAAGCATTCCGAGATCTGCGAAAACCACTTGTTTTCCAACGAGTGAACCAGAAAAACGAACTGAAATATTCAACGATTTATAAACAGTTTCTTGAATCGTCACTTACGTCAAGTGGTGGTGCACCTCCGACAAAGCCTTCGTTGTAATCAGCATAATTGACAAAGGCAGCATGGAGGAGAAGCATCTGAGTCTCGATAGTAGTGTATAGCAAGACTTTGGCCAACATGTCCCTGTTGAACGTGTTGTCTCTCAAATTTATGGCAAAAAGGCGCGATTTCATGACATACAATTCCTCTTGAAGGAAGCGAAATTTGTGCTTGACGTAGGCTTCGGCGAGGATCGGAGGAGGAGTAGGCTGCATTTTGTAGATCTGTGTTAGTTTGTCGATCGCCCAATTCGCGTGAATCTTCATATCCTTGAATTTGTCCCAACTACTCTGAGCGGGGTCATAACTCTGCATGTTGCAGAAGATAGTCGGCGAGATCGCAGTCTCTGTGGAGTACGCCAGTCGGAAGCGCTCGATGTCAATGAGAGATTGGTTGGCTGCGCTGACCCACGGAACCGGAGTTTTGTTCACACTGAAAACGTGTATAATTTGTGCTAATACTCGAACACAACAAATTTACTTCGCATAGGTGTTAGAGGCGATCCACTCGTAATCGTGCGGGTTGTATTGACAACTCGAAAGGTCCACCGGTAGGTAGATTTCAGTGCCGTCTTGAAGTGGAATGAAGACGCGGTACAAGTGTTGCACACACTTGAGCACCTTATCCCGGAGTCTCATGACGCGGAGCGAGTTTGCCATCGTGACATCGCCAGTTTTCAGACACTTCTTGATCATGTCGTAAACTCGCTCGAACGCCGTCATGAGTGAGACTGGCAGGTAGCAGTTGTACTTGAAATGCTCCTTGATGATCACTTTGTTGACCCACCCCCAGAGCTCAACGTAGACTGCTGCCAGACAATACGCGTCCATTTTTGCCATCGTAACTCTTCCGTCCGGGCCGAGATCCCCTAGTTCGTCGATGATGATCGAGTTGATCATCGCGGAGAGTTTCATTCTTTTCTGCTCCCATCCATCCAGCAGGTACTTATTTTGATCGTCGGTGATCTGGACGGAGAAGTGTCAGTGGAAGAGAGTGAGTGAGAGAGAGAGAGAGAGAAAGAGAGAAAGAGAGAGAGAGAGAGAGAGAGAGAAACTGGGGAGACTCACCTGTTCGTGAAGTTCTCTTCGATCCACACCGCTTCTATTATCCAACATGAGGATATCATTCGTTACCATCGCCAGTTTCTGATCTCTGGTACCGTTTGAAGTGTGGTCTCGGTAATTGACGCAAACGTCGGTGTTGCATTCCAGGTCAATCAGATGATGCTTTGACGTCTTAAAGTGAATCGTTCCGCCGAACGACACTGGCCAATTGATCCTTTTCGTTATTGGGCATTCCTCGGGCTCTTTGACCTTTGTGAACGACATTACCTGAAAAAAAAACAGAAATAAATCTTTGAAATCAGCGAATTCAACGGTTGAAAAAAAAAAGTAAAAATTAGAAAGAAAAAGAGTGTTTTTAGGCGTATGTAAATTCAAATGTTTGAATTCCCGCACCGAGATGATAAGAGTGAATAGGCGAGCAGAGGAATCGTGTTGGCACGCATGTGAGTCCGTTCGAGACCCGAACGCAAAAGTACGTGTACCTTTAAACGAACGTGTAGAGATGGAGGGAGGAAAGAAGAGAGGGCATCGATGTATGCGCGGGCACATATTGATTTTGGGCATTAGGCAGAACGGTCCGCGTCCGATCACGTTTTTCAGCAGTTTTCCAGCTTTTTCCAGAAAAAAAAACAGTGATAAGACTACAATGAACAGATCAAGATGGATGTATGGAGATGCAACGTGAAGAGGACGCGTTAAAGTGAAGAAATTATGAGGATTTTGGCTAGAACGATGCCGTCAAACGCTCGTACCGGAAAGTAACGAATACCGTTTTCTGAAAAAAACATTTATCCATATATGGGGAGAGATTATGGCGGCGGCGACGGCAGCGGAGACGTGAATAATGAAGTGTCGACAGAAATAAAGCACGTCGTTTAGAAATCTTCCCATCAGAGTTGTGCCGAAGTACTGCCGGACTGTTCAGATAGGAAAATCTCAAAAATCGGACAATTCAAGTTATCGAAAGGGGTTTGGAGATCATTTTTCAGAGAAAAGCGATACCTCATGCTTGGGAACATCCGTATCTGGTCGGAATACAGTCGATTCTGGTAGGCTACAACGCGGACAACGCGGATTGTTGATTGAAAATAATTGCGGCGCAGAAGTGCGGAATTAATCATATTGGACGAGCTCAGAAAATTGTCGCTGCGACCTGTAGAAAAGTGGCCTGAAAAATGGGCTTCTTTTGCGAGTCGATTTGTCGCGTGCTACTGCAGAGTCGGCAGTAGCGATATGCACCGCTTCCATTCAAAATCGTCAGAAAAAAGAACAGTCTTACGGTTTTGATTGCTTCATGTCGGGACTATGAAGCGATAAGAGTAATCAAGAAGAGGATTGACTTCACTGAAATCAACAGCTCATTTTAGTGGCTTTTGGGGCATCGCAACGCGAAAAAATGCGAGTACTACAAAGCCAGAGATTGCTTTCCAAAACAGATTGAATATGGACAAATGAAGAGAGGGAGGCAAAGGGAAACAGATCAATTGATTGTGAGCAAAAAAGGCTGCCAGTCGAGTAAAAGTGCGTGTATTTTAATGATAATGGGCAAGGGATATGTTTTCTTCGTCAGCAGCTAATTGGCAGATACGGGCTGCTCACAGACTTTCGAGAAATTCTCAGCAAGTAGCTCCAAGGGAGCAAAATAGAGACGAATCAGCAAAGTGAATACGATCTATTAGTGAAACGATAAAAAACTGCGGAGCCTTGTTGATTTTGAAAGCGATGGGCTGGTTTTCTTGTAATTTATAGAATTCCAACAATCTATTCGACGTCATTCGGCTAAAGTAACTGGATGAATCTTTCTGATTCCTGTATAATCCAACAATTACATCAAACCACATCAGGTGTCAAACAGCAAGTGTTAATCCCATGTATTTCCTGTTTATAGTGCTTAAAATTGTCATTACTCACTCCCTATATGATTATTCTCAACACCACGCGTGGCCTTGCGTCAGAGACGTACGTTTAGATGAACGCAGATGTTCGTGTCATTGTTTGCACGTGTCCTTGCTAGAAAAGTACTTATTTGCAAAAACATCAGCAGCTTTCGGCCACCTGCTCAGCACCTGTTAATCCTTCCATAATGAGACTCAGACAGATGTCGCTCGTCGTGATAAATCTTTATTCTGCAAACAGTAATGTGTAATGTAAGAGCGTCGTTGAAGCATGATTAATCGGCGTTATAGAATCCTAATCGTGGCAGATTCCTTTCAGATTCTGAAACTGGATTGGATGTTTGTTCGGAAAAGCGTCTCATGGATGCCCATGACCAAAATACACAAATCGTTCAACTGTATCACACATTCGATCAGACATCATATCTATCAACCAAGTGAGTGTGCCTGACAAAAAATTTCACCGAAAGAATAAAGTTCTGATAATGACATCCTTAGTCCCTCTCTGTTTCACGTCACTCATCCATGAACATGCACTCGCAGCAGAGCGATAACATCTCAATGTAGGGGAAACTTGAACGGCGCCTTCGTACACACTCATGGCTGTCAAGACCCTCTCTTAGTTGTAACGGCTTTGCCCAAATTGGCCCCTGAGGTATCAACGCAATCCCATGCAATTATCGAAGGCCTGAGTAGGCGTCGACCTTTTGAGACAATAATGAGGTGGTTGTTGAGTGTATAATTTGCCCCCCCCCTTTTCGAAGCAACCACAATCTTCCAAAAAGACATCAAGTGGGTAAATGAGTCCAACAGATCTCTGTGCTGTCGGTTAGTGCCTTTGTCCCCTTTTCAAGAACCTCTGACAGATGGCTAATGCGTTTGTATCCCTTGGCCGTTTTTTGATCTCTCTATCGGCAACTATTCAAATGCAAGATGGTTTTCGCAGCTTTCAACAAAAGAGTTGTATGCGTATTTAGCATAACAAAACTTCCGGGTCACCAAAGATTAGCGCATGTAGATCTTGCGTAATAGTTCCTTATCAGTTGGAATCGGCAAAGTTCTTTGCGACATTTTCCAAATGGCACTGCACAACACGAGCTGGCCTATTTTCCAGGAAGAGGGCGCTTATGATGATAATTTCTTTTTAGCTATTCACGAGGATGTTCTTCGACCTTCCTACTGGTCGTCCGGACTCAATTAGAACCAGCTGAGCCAATTTTCCCCCATTCTTTTTGCAATGACCGCTGGCGTCGGAGAAGCATAAGATGTATGAATTTATAATTGCTGGGCAGCAAGAACCAGTTGCCTTCGTTTCATTACTTTTAATGGAGGAAGTACTTGATGGTGTCGTGGTCAAAGCCGCTGCGTTAGAAAGAGATAAAGATTTGGTGGCGGATAGCACACGGAACAATTGGCCCCTCGTCAGATCGATCGCTTCGGTTATTTTCGTCAAGCTACGAAAGAATCGGAGCACCGATAACCAAGGCACAAGACGCCGTGGTGTCTGATATGACGATCGGTGCTTATCAGTGGCTCCATTTCAAGGAAATCATACAATTTTTCTTCTATTTCTGCTCATTGGTGTGTAGAGTGTAAAACAATGGATCTGAGGGAAGAGATAACTGTGCAAATATGTTGTGAGCAAATATAGATGTGATCAGATTTTCGGTTTTGCAAATGATGAACAAGTCTGGTTCAGAAGAATATCTGGATAACCCCCTCAAATGTAGATCAAGCCGTTGGAAGCCTATCCCTCGGTAGTACAGGAGAAAAGACAAAGAAAGGCAAAATAATAGTACCTGCCATTGTTGTCACCTGTTCCCTACTCTTCAATACATCTATCCATTTTCGCACCACACGCACACACAATGGTCCTAGAGCACCAACTGTCATCATAACAGATGATGTCATCGATGAACCCCTTTGTGTTGTGCTGGCGGGATACACGGGTCGCTTCCTCTCCCGCTGAGCACAAACAGCACGCACTTCTGACCTGCCCACGTGTCTGATCACTATCGATCACAAGACAGGCAACATCAATTTGTTTATGTGGGAAGAATACATACGTGTGACCAGATGGAATGTATAGTGTCGGAGTCACATTACCTCAAACACTTTTCCTGTATAGGATCGGATCGGATCCACATAAACAATAGGAAAAAAAGAGCAGATCCCAGTGTAGCCCACGTTTTTCCAATATTCACTCCAATTTTCTTTTGACGAATTGTATGTGAAATTCGTCATTTTCACCAAAAAAATCACCTGGATTTCTGAAAATCCGGGAATGTACCACATCACTTTTCACTTTCAAATCACCTGTTTGTGCGAAGCATATGACCAATCAAAAAGACAACTTGACGAATTCGACCCAAACACAGATCCGGAATGAGTCAGAATGAATTATGTTTTTCTTGTCGTTCCAGATCACTGATATATTCGTTGCGATGCAATCCCTACGGCGCTTTCACGCGGCCGACTGCCGATCAGTTCTGTCGTTGTGGTTTCCCATCTTCACACTTTGTTATCTATTTTTGTTTGGCCCTGACAGCTGGTCAAACTGGTCCCTGGTCGTCTTCTTAACTTCCGTCTAGGTACTCATAAAGAAACAAAAAACTGTTTTTTGTGTTGCTTTCCTCACTTGGCCACGCACGTAGACCACGATTCGATAGACTACGTGTTTCGCTTTCATTATTTTCCCCTCTATCTCTCTTATTTGTCACGGAAAAATCAGTGATGCCCGTCGGTCCGTCCGAATCGATTGGAGTGACATGAGAGAGAGAGAGAGAGACTATGATCGGAGGAAGCGACTAGAAAACAGCGGGTGTGTGACGAGTAATGACGCAATTTGAATGGATTACACACTACTGGGTCGGAATCATGAAAAAAACGGTGGCGACGACCGGCACGGATTCTCCATTCATTCTCCATTCAGGGCTATCACACCTGGGATTAGGGTGTTGACAGGAAGGTCATCTGCCGATTAGGTCATCTCGATCATTTCTTCAGTTTGAAAGAGGAACCCCAACCTAAACTTTTCCGGTTCCTTCTTGCTCTCACTCTCACCCCCAGCTTCAAGGGTAAACATGTACTGTTTGCTCTCGAACCTTCCACGAACAAACGCCTCACTATAATATTATCACACACACGCGGCGCGTTTTATGGGGTAATCTGACGGGTTCCAGGCAAAACCTCATACATCTTTGCGTCGAAGAACACGATGACGACCCAGATCAATCAACCGAACAACTTTTGTCATTCAAATTTTGTTCTAGATCTAGAGCAAGAACACAGAGAACACAATTTTAAAAAATTCATTTATTTACTCGTTTTATTGTAAACACTTTTTTGTCTTTTTCTTTAGTATATCCT